GATTAAGAGTAAGCTCTAGACTTATCTAGAGCTAGTCTATAATAAAGAGATATTTAAAGTAAGATTATTATAAACTATTTATCTAGCTCTTACTTAGCTCTTACTTCCTCTATATTAAGGAAGAAGAAGAATCTCTCTTTTTTAATTCTTCTCTTCCTTAAGAATTAGTTTTAAAACTAATATAATCTATATTATCTTAGACCTTAAATCTATACTATATTAGTATTATTTTATATTCCTTTTAGTTCCCTTTTACTATCTTCTTACCTAGCCCTTTTATTCCTTATAGGCTAGTTTTAGCCTTTTACTAACTATCCTATAGTATAATTAAGTATTTTATATATTAGCGAGTATAAGGCTATAAGTAGCGCGGGTAGTGAGCGCTATTAAATAGTTCCTAGGAACTATTAGTCCTCTATAGTCTAGAGTAATGCGTCCTAAGTGGGTCTATAATATATATGGCCTTTTTACTAGCTATATTATAATTAATATAATATAATATAATATTTAGCTATAAAAGATTAAGGAAATATTACTTAATACTTATTAATATTATTTATATTAGAATATTAATATTAACTTATATAATATATATAAATTTAAAATAGTTAGAAGAGGGGTTTTATATTCTATGAGTAAAATAGCTAGATAAGAAGATAGTAAAGAAGATCTAAATAAAATATAAAATAGTACTAATTTAGTGTAGATATAAAGTCTAAAATAATAAATATATAGGCCTATATAAAGACTAAGAATCTTTAATTAAATTAATTAAATAATTACTTATTTAATTAGTAAATAATATCTTTAAATTCACTTTTAAAAAGATAGATCTATATTTATATAGCTTAAATAGAATTAATAACTTATTTATTATTATATTATTCTAATCTTAAATTAAACTTACTTTAGACTTACTTCTTATATTCTTTATTAAAAGTTCTAGAATTATAGATAAATAAAGATATAAGTCTAATTTTAATAAGCTATTATAATTTTAAAGATAGGATTCTTAAATTATTACTTTCTCTTTTATAGTAATAGATAAATTTTAAAATTAGGTAGAGTTATTATTAATAATAAGATAAGCTTTAATTATAATTTAAGTATCTTTTGATAGTAATATAGGCCTATCTTACTAATTTAATAATATCCTTATTATTTATTAAAGTAATAGATATAATAAAAGCTCTATAAATTAGAATTAAGAGTTTTCTAATTACTTAAATATTTAGAATTATAAGTTTTATAGATTTAAATTAATATTTTTAAATAATTATAAGTTAATAATATTAACTTTAGCTATTATTCTAAGATTAATAAAGTCTTTTTTATTAAATTATTATTATAAAGATAATAGAATATTATAAGTTCCTTATTAAATTAAGAAATATTAAAGTAAACTCTATTATAATTTATTATAATTTCTAATAGAGATTTTATATATTTTTATATCTTTAGTCTTAGTTCTAGTAATAATTTAAAGAAAAAAATAAATACTAATTTTCTTTATTCTTTTCTAAAAGATACTCTTTTATAGAATTTAAATATATCTTAAAGTTAAATAGATATAAGTAAGGAATTAATATATAGCTCTAATTTAATTCCTAATATCTATCTTAAATTAGTATTATTTTAGTATTTTTAATCTTAATATCCTTATCTTTTTAAGATAATTTAAAGATAGATTTTAAGAGCTATAAAGATTTAGGATCTTTAGTATTAGAAAGTAATTTATTTTTCTCTTTATATAATTCTTATAATATTTTAATTATCCTTTATACTTCTTATAGCTATTCTTTAATAATAAGAGATGTTTAATCTTTTATATTTAAAATAATACTAATTCTTTATATAGAAAAAGGAGTAATTCTTTATATAGAAAAAGGAGTAATTCTTTATATAGAAAAAGGAGTAAGATATATAGATTTTATACTTTCTTTAATAATAGTTTAATATAAATTTACTATCTTTTTAGATAGTCTAAGATAAAAAAATTAAAAGTTATAAGTAAAAGGACTAGATAAAAAATAATAAAGAAGATCTAAAAGGAATATAAATAGTACTAATATAATATAGATTATATTAGTTTTAAAACTAGTTCTTAAGAAAGGAAAGAATAAAAGGAGAGAGATTCTTCTTCTTCTTTAATATAGAGGAAGTAAGAGCTAAGTAAATAGTTTATAATAATCTTACTTTAAATATCTCTTTATTATAGACTAGCTCTAGATAAGTCTAGAGCTCACTCTTAATCTAGATATTAAATTAGAAGTGATTTAGTGTTACTTATTATACTATATTAGAAAATTCTTTTTTTAAAATTAGCTTTAAGATAATATTATTTTATTTTTAAATTAGACTTATCTTTATTAATAAAAAGTAAAAGAAATCTAAGTAGAAATCAAACTTATATAAAATAAAAGATTAATTATTATATCTATAATAGTTTTAATTATATATAATTTATTATTTATAAAATATCTAAATATAGGAAATAGTTTTTAAAAATTTAAAATTTAGAATTTAAAAAGTATTAAAGTACTGTTTTAGGATATCTAAGATATCCTATGATTTCTACCTTAGAAAATAGGTAACTATCTTTTCTTTTATAATAATGTCCTATAAAACTATTTTATTTATATAAATCTACTGTAATTACTATAATAATAATAAATATATATTTCTAGGGCTAATTTAAGAGATATAGTTAGATTCTTTTCTTTCTATAGCATAATAGTCTAGCTATAGTTAGGTAACCTAGATAGAGCCTTTCTAGATAGATCGCGCTTCTTTCTCTTCTTTTCTTTTTTTCTTATCCTCAATAATTAAATTATTCTATCTGTTTATTCTTCTTTATGGTGGTAAGTTATAATAGCTTATACTTACTTTTCTATTGTATTTAATCCTTATTCCAGTATATAACGCTAATGAAAAAAATTTCATTCAAGTTTCTAAACCATTCTTATAATAAATATAAATCAATCTTAATTTATCTATACCTTGGATCCATTTCTATAAGAGAAAGATCATAATATAAAGGAGAAGTCCTTTATAAAAAAAAATTTAAAAAATGGAAATTCAATTGTAACTTCTTGACTTAGTCTTTGGTCTTGATTTAATAGTGCTTTAGAGAACGGAAAATGAAAGCTGAACTCTTTTTATCTTTTTACAAAGGGTACTCTTTGTAATAAGAATTAAAATATATCTTGAAAACAAACAGATATACTATGTGTGATGAATACATAGCTTTAATATATTTTTTAACATTTATCCTAAAACTAGTAAAATATATATATATAAAAAGAGGTCATTAAATATTCTTATAAATCAGTATAGTTATGATCTAGTCTCTTCTAAGATATATTCTATAAATCATATTTTATTAATTCCATTAATAAATGTTAGTCTAATGAGAATCTTTATTATTGTTTGATAAATACTCAAGAACTATAACATATGGAAAAGCTTAAGGTTGATTAGCTATTTATATCATTCTACAAGTAATAATTAGTTGTTAATGATTGAAATAGATCTAATATTGATATCGTTATGTCTTCAGGGCTCTGAAATAGATTAAAGGTAAATTTAGAAGATACTCGAAATTTATAATCTTTGATAATAAAAAACATCTTGCTTCCTTTCAGTCTAATTTCTCTATAATTTCCAATTTTTTCTTATACTTATTATAGCTCTCATTTGAAAGATAAAATAAAGACAAGCTCTAGATGAAAAAGAAGGTAAAATATATATAAGTTCTATGCTTCCTTTCAAAATAGTTTAATATATATTAATCTTCTTCTTAAGAAGGTAAGGGAAGAGGAATTTATGATTTAAAAGAAGGAAAGACGAGTTCAGAAGATAGTAAAAAGGATATGAATTGTGTATAAATTGTACTGAATCAGTATAAATTTAAAGTCCGAGAAAATAATTTATATTAATCATAAGACTAATTCTTAAAAGAAAAGATTCTAGAAGATAGAGATTCTTCTTCTTCCTTATTATAATGGAATCCAGAGCTACAAATGCTATAATATACTTAATCTTTTCCCTTTTTCAAATATATATATAACAATATATATACTCTCTCCTCTTAGTATGGGAATTTAAATATGCTCTATTGTTTTCTGATTTAGGATTTTAAGAACATATTATACTTATATGATAAATAAGTTTTTATTTATGCTTAACCTAAGACTTCCTGAAAACATTTGTATCTTTAGTGCCTAGCATACAATAAGTTGTATAAGTTGTATATACCCATCATCAAAATTAAATGAAGATATTAGAACTTCATGACATAGCTATGATCTCAAAACGGAGATAGACAATAATTGTGTGCAGCTAGCAATTCTCCCCATGGGGGCATTAATTCTGCGTTCGCTTTCTATATCCCAGTGTTACGATCAATTATTCGAGTGTCCAGCCGGGACAAAGCCGGTAGATCATGCTTTTTGAACCACCACCATTGAATCGTATTTTCTATCAAAAAGTGGCAGGAGCCCGTGGAAGGCCTCGTTCCACGCGGACTTTTCGATAGCGTTCAATGTGAACGGCCCGACTAAGCACTAAATAGACTGAACATACAATTGATCGATATCTTGTAATCTATAGACCTGCTTCTGGTTACTGCCGTATAAAATTGACTCCTCCATTTCAGAATTGCTCAAGGTCCATGGAGAAGACTCGAATTACCCTCTATGTAACCCCTAGACTTTCTACTACATCGGACCCTGTAAAGAATCCACGATACGTACTAATACAACAATTGGCGGTATATTACCTATACCCCAAATTTCGCTGTTGAATGTTTGAGTGTTAAAATTTAAGGTTGATCTCCATCTTTGATTTGACATTAGATTAAGGGGCATTATATATAAAAATAGATTCGTGGTCAAGACTATTACCGAAATACAACGTGGCCTTTTTTAAAACCGGGGAAGTTTATCTGCGGCGATAACCTCGTCTTCCCTTTACCTCCTTCAACACCCTCATCAATAACCATGGTGAGTCTAGCTTTACCTCTAGCCCGAGAATCTACTAATCCATACTACCATAGGCGCAAACACCTCAACAACGACGTGCGAACGAACGATTCGCAAAGCAAGAGGCCGCCAAGCGAGGGAAAGGGCCTGTTATCACAAAACCCAAACAAACCACAAAGACCCCCATCTCGGCGAGCTGGCTTGGTATGTGCCCTGGAACCTATCCGGTTTGCTAGATCTATGAGCTAAGACGTATAGTGATCCTGGCCTTTGTCGTCTGTGGTGGACTTATGTTGGAGCTCCTCAAGGTTGTGCCCGAGATCTGGTCAATCGTAGCCTCAACCTTATCCCGAATCACTGGATAGCTGCGCTCACCTTCCGAATGCTTTGAAATACCCCGAAAGTTGAGACGCCTGTTAAGTCTACATCGCCCCATAGCTTCGACGCCGATGCCCTCGCCACAGAAGACGGTCCCAACAAGTGATACCCGTGGTGATGATCGCCTACACCAGATAGATGGATGCTACTGCCCTACCCAAGGAAAGTTGGGGATCCTGTACTATATCGCAATTACCTAAACCATCTTGCATTTCTATCCAAAGCAAACTTGAATAAAATGTTATTCACTCGTATGCTTCTTCTTCTTCCTTTTCGTATCGCCGGACTGATCAGTAGCCTGGCCCTTCTTCCCTTTCTTCCCCTTCTTCTTCACAAGAGTGCCCTCGGCAGGTGTTCCCTCTAATTCGATTCGCTCTGACGCTCGCTGCATGCGCAGGCGCATCTGCTCCACATTTTGCATCGCTTTTCTCATCTCGATATCCTCCTCACCCCCGGTTAAACCAGGGCCTTGACCATCGTTCGCCCCCGCCAGGTGCCCGAGCCCACTGGAGTCAACCTGTAGTAGCGAGCGCTTCAAGCCTGGCCCTCCAGCCTTAGCAGAGTAACTGAGGGCCACCGACTCTTCAGACCCGAATGTTTCGTCCGCCGCAACTTCCATTTTGGCGGCAGTATGCACCCGGCGGCTCCCTAGAGTATCACGTCGTGCTCGCCTGATCGAGTCATCGTCTAGCTTCAAGTCGACGATAGGGATCGAATCGATATCCAATGCGTCACCACTGGATGCATGTGGGGCATCATGGTGCGGGGTGGACGTGCCCAATGATGGGTCTAGCGGAGCAATGTAAAAGGGATCATCCCGATAGCGCTCTTTCCGGTAAACCTTTCTCCTATCTACAGTGCCTGGGGAGTCCGCCGTGAGGTTGAGACTGTTCTGGTAGGAAGCATCAAGTTGGATTTCTGCCGCGGTCAGCTGTTCATGAGGCAGCTTATGGGAAGGCGGACTGATATCGGCAACGTGATAAAATTGTTGAATAAGACGATGCTGAGTGGTTTCCGCTAGAGAGCCCCCCAATTCCTGGAAAAGGCCTGGTAGATCATCGTTGAATGCTTCATCCAGGTGGAGATCAGGGGGAAACATCACCCTTTTTTGAGCGCTGGCTGCAACAGGGTTGAGTTCCAATCCCGCGAATAAGTTTGGAATAACGGAAGCTAGAAGGAATGGAACACCCTCCGTTTCAGATTGAAGGGACTCAGCCCCTAAACGAAGGACTTCTAGAAATTCAATGGCTCGTTCTTGCACGTCCAAGTCCGGGTGAGCGGCTAGTGCGTCGAGGAAATCCAGGACCCGCGCCAAGAGAAGAGAAAGTTCACTCTTCCATGCCTCCTTCGTCTCACAGGATTGATTAACTTGTATCAGAACTTTGGGAATGGCTTGTAAAAACAGCTGGAGTGTATTGGGAGGCAAGGACAGAGTCGACGAATCGATCAAAGACTGAAGAGTTCGGCTCGGTGACTGGAGATGATCCGCATATTCTCCAGCAACCCATGCAATAGGTCCCAAAACGTCATCCCCGACATTTGAAGAGGCGGGGAATAGCATCGGCCTGTTATCGATGAGCAGCAGAGACTCCGCCGCCCGGGTAGCCTCCAGACGGACTCCCTTCACACGAACAGCAATACTGCGAATTTCGGATCCTATCCGAGACGCGACAGTAGCCCTCCCGCCAGTTGAACCCTCTGGGCCTCCTGTAGAGGAATCGTGTCCGTAGTCGTGCACTTCTGATGGCGGAAGAAGCCTGATCAGTTGAACCAAAATGCCAACATACCATTCGAAGTCGACGACATCCGAATAGTTGTTCTGGGAGCAAATATCTAGAATGCGGTGAATAACCTCGGATCGATAGTTATTGGGCATGTTGAGTGCATCCATGACACCACTTGAACCTTTCCAATTTTCGAGTTCCTCATCATCCGGAACAGACACTGTCCCGGAATCAGGGCTATCTTGTGAAGAAGCCAGTTGAAGCTGGCTAAAAAGACGATTCACAACTGCCTGAAGAGTATCACTGGTGACCATCCCGGCAGCAAGTTCTAGGGCTTGAAGTCGAATCGAAACATCAAGATCGTCCAGACAGTCCATAATGACGTCTTGTTGCATGGAAACCAACATAGAATGTGTTGTCACAATGCGATTCAATGCCAGAAGCGCGACATATTTAACTTGTTTCAAAAAGTCAGAAAAATCATTTAGCGCCCAGAGACAAGAAGGCCCACTCACGATTAGGATCCGAATCCATGACAATCATTCCCCTCAGCTTGCCGATACAAAGAGCCGCAACCTCATCTCTCTCTTGATCATTGTCCTCGCCATCTAAAATGCCGCCTTGAATGATACCATTGATGCACTCGTAGAGCAAGGACATTGCCGTCGTGGTTTGGATGATATTTGTCAATGGGCGAAGAAGCTTGCGTGTCAGTCGCGGTTCAAGCGGGGTCAAGGTAGCAAACTGCCTTGTATTAGTTCGGATATATTCATGAACTGGGTCAGGGTTCACAAACTAGCTTGATGATCTTGATGGCCATCCAATTGTTGCCACTGTCCACGAGAAGCTCAAAGAACCTGGGAGCCAAAGGAAGAAAATCGTGCGGTCGCCTCCAACCAAGTTCACAGATGACATTGATAGCTGCAGTAGTCACACTGCTATCTTCCTGTTCATCCATGAGATGATCCTGAATCTTTGGCCATGCCAGCTTCAGAGCATCTGGGTAGACTAGAGCCAGCCGGTAGAGACACACGATGGACTTCTTCCGGACAACCGCGCTCGAATGGGAGAGGCGAGACAGAATATCAGGGAGTAAGGACATAGCAAGAGATGGTGTGATGATATGCGGTAGAGTGGCCAGTGGGAGTGACAGGGTGAGGATATTAGGCGATACAATGTCCTAGAGCCAGGAGAATTAGGATCCTTATGATCAGGCTCACCGATAGAGGAGAATGTGATATGCTAAGCTAGCTGGGGAACAGACCTTTTTCAGCATGTTGGTCGCCAGCATCAGAACTTCGGTATCTGGCCGGAAACTTTGAACGGCCCCAAGATATCCTACTCGTTTTTGTAGGTACTTCGGGGAGGACATGACCTCCAGAACATGGAACGAGGCCCAAGACATATCGTAGCCAAACATCTCCAGATAGATCAGCTTCAGGAGTGCCGTTGCCTTCTTATCTGCCCAGATTCAGCCTCTCATCCCGGCGACGTCAATGAAGGGACCTACCTATGTCCTGTAGCTTAATTTCCGCCTTGCATTCGCGTAAACAGGCTTGAACGTACTCATCCTCGCCACCTTTGTGGTTCCGAAGACCCTTAATCAGGTCATAGAGTGATTTTTCAAACCTAGCATGCGCGGGTCAGTTCCGCCGTCTGGCCGATTTCGTCATGGGCACAACCGACATCGCGTTGACCTCTCGCTCTCACGGAGAGGGAAAAGGAATCAGAGAAGAAACAAGATTCCAATGTACAGTCCACTATTCCCCGGTAGCATGGCCCTATTGTATGCCCCTGGGAGCTGAATGAAAGGTCGAGCTGGGGAGAATCCAGAGTCAATTGACGAATTGACGTGGGGGGATAAGCATCACGGGATCGTGTTCCAGACTCCGCGCGCCGCCAGGTCTCCACACCTCTCCAGACCACCGCTCATTGCCCGTTTCACGTAAACCAGTAACCAGTCTCGCCGTTTAAGCATTCGGCCCATCTCGTCCTTGCAACACCATGGGGGCTTTTGCTGATTCCCGGGGCATCAATGGATCCGATTTAATCTCCGCTCTTCATCTCTCCCAGCAAGCGCCTGCGATCCTCGGCCACGATCCCTCCAACACCACGTCAACCGCTTCATCCTCCGCAGATACCGCGGAAGAGTATGGCCGGACTGAACAGCTTTTTCTTGCCTGTCTGCGGACGGGTGATGATCTATCTGCCCAGGCCTGTCTCGATAGGTTAAGCTCCCGATTTGGTGCCTCCAATGAGAGGGTCATGGGGCTCCGTGGCCTCTACCAGGAGGCGACTGCTAAAGACACCTCTGCCCTGGAGAAATGCTTGAAGGAATATGAAACCATTCTTGGAGACAATCCGGTCAATGTGGTGTGTTCTGCATCCCCACTCCCCTGCTGAATATTAGCGTTGACTGTCTCAGCCCATTCTAAAGCGTCGGGTCGCTTTGCTACGCTCGCTCCACCGGCCTGCTGATGCGATCGCTGCTCTCATACAGCTCCTCGATGCCATCCCTACCGATGCAGAAGCATGGTGTGAACTCGCCGATCTATACCAGTCGCAGGGACTGGGTGCACAAGCCATCTTTAGTCTTGAGGAGGCTCTTCTTATCGCTCCTAATGCCTGGAATGTATGGATCTACCCTCCTACTTCCCTCGACGCAGCTAATTTTTCCTGTAGATCCATGCCCGACTTGGTGAAGTGCTCTACATTAACACCTCCTCCCCCGACGGGGCCCAGCTTGCTAGCAAGTCGATCCAGCATTTCTGTCGAAGCATTGAGCTCTGTGATGATTACTTGCGTGGTTTCTATGGGTTGGCTCTGGTATGTCTGTGATTGTGCTGCCAATGGCGCTCTCTTTTCCTTTTTCTTGTTTTTCTCATCCACCCGTCTTTGTTGATGACCTTCCATCTGACCAAGTCCCAGGCCTCATCTCGCATGCTAGAAAACGACTTTCAACATGCCGCTGCGATCCCGAAGACAACCCTTGACAGGCTGCAGCGCTTTTCTCTTCAGCGACTCCAAGAAATTGTCCAGTCCCGGTCGATAGATGATCAACACTGGGCATCCAGTCGCAGTGAACTCATTGCCGCCAAAGCCTTATTGAATCGCCTTCAGTCCACTCAATAATTCTGTATTGGGTGTGATGCTGTTCCGCCTGATTTGGATATACCCCCTGTTTTTACTGTCTAATGTTTTTTTTTAAAAGGATGTGATCATTATCACAAAGATGTGTATGATGTGTATGTAAAACCCGTAGAGATGATCCTTGTTGTGTTTACTTTATATTCTGCATTCTACCCCCCTGCTGATCTTGGATCCACATCTGCAGGCTTGGTATGACTCGTCTCCCCATGCATTTCTGGAGCGTTCGATCCATGAAATTTTCCAGGTGGGTCATGATTGGGCATTTTGGGCAGCGCTTTGCATAACATTCAGATCCTAGTACTCTTCAATGACAGAGACATGCCCAACCATGATTCCCAGCCCAATAAGAAGTGTTATTAGGCCGCTCCCCAATCATGATGTGGACGAGTCTATCTGGTCTGGCGCAAGGGATTAGCGTGACAACCCAATTGAAAACCCAAAACCAAAACCAAAAATACGTATTGGCAATTTGATACTATTTATCTTTATTTCTTTTTCGGGTTTAACTCTCAACTTTCTCTCCCACAACATATACACACTTTCTCCCCCCTTCACTCCCCTGACCTTGACTCTCTCCTTTATATACTTTTGTCTTCCCGCCCCAAGAGGCTCAAGTCTCTATGACGTATGTTTTGATTCCTTTTTCCTTTTTCCCCTTCCCCCATTCTTCTCCATCCCACCTTCCTTTAAAACCCCTCCTTCTCCGCCTCCTCAAGAGCACAACACACATCCACAATCGTACCTTGCACTGACCACATCCACTTCTAGGGTCAGCATCCAGATTGACCCCGCTGATCCGCACGACTCAGATCACTCTTTGTCGGACGAGGACTCCTCGGGTGGACAATTCTCTCTCCTGTCGGATGGGAGTCATGAATATCCAGATTATGATGAGTGGGCGACTCTGCCATATCCGGATGAATTGAAACCGTCTGATTCAGCCTCTCGACCAAGGACCACGATTCGCAACCGCTCGCTCCACGGTTCGCGCTCGGCTTCGGGCCGTCGCCACCCACACCCCCAAATGATTCCCGATCGCGATCGCGACTATGGCTCCCGGGCCCGTCGCCAACCATCCCCAGAGTCACCCGGTAGTGCAGATTCGGAGGAATTTGCCAGTCATTACCCACGCAATCCTCAAGAGCGGCGATGGGCCGGGCAACAAGCCGCGGGCTACCCACCAAGTGTTTCCTCGGGCCCCTCCTACAACCACCAATATCCCCCGGGCCATGGCCCATTTCCCCACCAGAATCCTCCTCCTCCTCCTTTGTCTGACCAGCTCATTCGACTCGGTCATGGTAACCCAAATGGCCAGCCATATGGGTCGGCCTACCCATATGGGCCGCCCCACGGGGCTCCCCCCATGCATCCCTACTTTCCGGAGCAAGCACATGGAAGACATCCTCAACAGCCGCCCCAAGCCCGCATCGACCCTCACACCCACCAACCATTACCGCCTCATATGGGCGCCCATGGCATGCCCTCGCCTTTTGCTGCGCCTCCATTTCATCACGAGATCATGCCCTACCCCCATAATGGCTTTTACAACAACTTTCGAGACCCCTATGCCATGTTTCAAGGCATGATGCCCCCATCCTACTTTCCGTACCCGCCGCAAGTACCGTCCCCAATCCAACCAGAATCTAAGACACCTCCTGCTCCTCCCCCCGCGGATGACCCAGCGAAAGAAGCAGCAGCCCAGGAGGCCTCTGCAAAGGACGAGGCTATTGCGCGACTAGAGAAATTGATTCTGGATGATCGCACAGAGCGTGAGAATAGGGAAGCGGCCCGCCTAGCAGCTATCGCAGCTGAGGAGGCAGAACGACTCGCGCGAGAGAAGCAGCTGGCTCATGACCAGGCGATCGCGTCGGTGGCAGCGGCAGAAGCGGCAGCGTTGGCGCGCGCAGATGCTGAGCAGCGCGCAGCGACCGAGGCGGCCAAGGCGAAGGAGGAGGCAGAGAAAGCAGCCGCAGAGGCTGCGGCGAAAGCCAAAGAAGACTCGGCGCAAGCGGCGCAGGATGCAGCCACCAAGGCGTTGGAAGCCGTGGAAGCAGCGAACGCCGCCGCCGCCGCCGCCGCCGCCAAGGCAAAGGAGGAGGAAGAAAACAAAAATAAAGTGCCCCCACCGGAGAAGAAGAAGCCCATTAAATTCAAGGATGCCGTTGGGAGGAAATTCAGCTTTCCCTTTGAGCTGTGTAGCACCTGGCAGGTAAGACAATCATTCCTCCTTGCTCCGTGGGTCAGCATTGACAATACTTACTAGGGAATGGAAGACCTGATCAAGCAGGCCTTTCTCCATATTGAGGTCATTGGGCCTCATGTGGCCGAAGGGCACTACGATCTAGTGGGACCGAATGGTGACATTATCCTTCCACAAGTGTGGGAAACGGTGGTTGAGCCAGATTGGACGATTACGATGCACATGTGGCCAATTCCTGAAAAGCCCAAGGAGCCTGATCCACCTCCAGCCGCCGATCCACCACCAGCTGAACCTCCCAAGCCTGCGGAGAAAAAGAAAGAAGGTATGTGGACATGGAAACTCCAGGATTTCTTTCTTCCACAGGCATCCAATGGCACCATGAACCCTTCATTGACCTAATTCTCTAGGGAACAAAAAGGCCCCGCGTAAGCCAGGTGACCCTCCGGCATTTACGACATGGATGATGGGTCGGCGTCCTCCTCCCCGAGTCAAAAAGGCCCCAAAGGCAGAAAAAAAGGATGAACCAGCACCTCAGTGATCAGGGCAAAGACGACCCAAGATGAGGAATGGCCTTGAGTCATTGGCCCCTCTTCTCTCTGATATCCCACACACCAATTCACCTTGCGTGGGGGTTTAAACAGCCCTCCGCCTGCCCTGCTCCCAGCACCCCCAGAAGATCCTCGATGGTTAGATGGAAAGCGGAAGAACTGTTTCGGCCAGGCATCATGTTATGGGCCAATCCCTGATACACCTGCACCTTTTACCTCCACTCTTCCTCTTCTCACACGGGTCATATATCCCAGGAGCTCAAGGGGTCATGAATGGGTTCATATCTAGCTAGCGTGATGTCTTGCTTCATGGGAGTACAACCCCCCTGCCCGAAAGGCAGGATGTCTTGTCTAATAATCACAAGACAAACGTTATTAAAATATAATGACACAACTGTGAATATCGGTTTGCTTTGCGAACAGAAAATATACTCTCACGACTTGGGCGGTTTTTTTTTTTTTTTTTTTTTTTTTTTTTTTTTCAGCATAAGCCGCTATACTCTACTGCTTGTTCTCTTGTTCTTTGTTTGTTTGCTGTTCATGAAGATCGTGATGATTCTATGTGGTTCCGATAGGAGCAGTATGGAGGTTAATTGTCTTATATTTCCATATGAAGTTGATGTTTCTCCAGTCTGGCGGTGCATGTAATTTACATAGAAATTTCGCGTCAAAAAAAGAAAAGAAAAAAGGGGATTCTTCATTGGAACCTGTTTCGTACAAAATAAATTATATTTACCGTGGGATTATAATTTAGTGGGTATTTTATTCAACTGGGATATAGCCTGGAAGTTGACTCATAATGTTGGGTCGATATGCAAGTCGTGGCATTATAGCTTCGTATCTACGGGGATCCTAGTCAATGGTCCTAGGGATCGCCAAGCCTGGAACCCTGTCCACGTAGCAATAGTCAAGAAATGAGTTGTTTAACGCTCATTGGACTACACGTAAGTGGATGAGAAACCCATGAGGTCAGTAGTCTTAGGCAACAAGCTAGAAGAAAATGAGCCTCAGTGCACAGAGTACATGTAGAGCCGCATCTGCATCTATTCAGCATTTGGCCCAATGTCCTAGGTCTGTAATGCGCCCCGATAAGTGATAACGCTCCTTTGTATTGTTGAATGCTAATCTAAACTAGGCAGAAGTTGGGCAAAGACTAGGGAGGGGATGAATACCTAGACTGGCCGATCGGGTTATACCATTTAATCATTGGGGAAGGAGTGGTTTCCACGCAATTTGTTCATCCATAGGATCACCAAGGAGATCAGGACCGCCTGCCCCACCTGTGCCCGTGCGAGATGAACGGTTTCTATCAGGATTTTCTAGGGACATGGTGGAGTAGGATTGTCCGTTAGACATTGGCGAGCGTGGAGATAGTTGTGAGCTGAGTGACATGGGCTTCCGAGGAACAGCTGGCGGTGCTTTGTCCACTAGTGGTGAGTTTGCATCTATAGATGTGGGTGCCTGGTCGTTCAAGGTTCTACCGCGTCGGGGAGGTGGTGCAGGCTTCCTGTCAATGCTGGTCTTCGTCAGTCGCGAAGCTGGCACCCAGTCAGGTTCGGAGTCTGCGGAGAAAGGATTGGATTTGCGCTGCATGTTGGCAACAAGTCCCTCTCTAGGTGGTTGAATTGTCGCCTTGCCTGGTGCACCTGTTTGCTTGGGTTAGCTGTGATCGGTGTCTGGGTGAGAAAAGTACTGGGCCCTGTTACCATTGTCCAACCACCACCTGCTTCGGTCAGAGCTGGCAGGTGGCAACCCAGGTGCAATTGATCCTTGTGGTAGACTATCGTCATCATCCATATCCATAAGATGAATGGAATCAGAGAGAGCGTCGTGCTGTTTTTCTTCGTAAAGCATACGCCGCAGATTATCCTTGAAGGCATGGTCGACAACATCAATTACTCCATCAAAGGTGGCCCACACGGGACGATGATCCGACACACGTAGATCAGCTACTTGATATTGGGTTTGACGCAGGTTGGGTCCTCTCCATAGCACTCGATCACACCATGCAGGGATACGGGCCTTGTCACTGTAGAGAAAGAAGGTTAGTGAAGTCTTTGCGGGATGAGCCCGACGAGAACTTACGAGGTATCGTAGTTATCAGTCCCAATATCATATTTGTACGTTGGGGCAAACCCAATGGGGCCTTCGGAATAAAACTGGAAGGCTCTCCCGGCAGTCATTTGGAGATTTAGCTATTGTCCTAGTCAGCGCAGAGTTCGAGAAATACATCCGAGGGGACATCAACGGCACCTGATCATTTTCATAGAGTTTTTGGTAATCACGCTGAGACAGAAGATCTCTCACGATCTGATTCCCTAGCCCAATACGGTAATTGAAATCTCCAAGCCAGATCACCGCATCATGATCTGCAATGGTTCGGTTCTTCTGGAACCGCAAGCCTCGATCGATGGTTTCGTAGTCTCGGTTCCGCTCGTCATAGTTTGCAAACCCGGCTGCCAGATGTGCGGTTACCAAGCAAATACTGGTATTGGAGAAATCAAAGCGAATTGCACAGCCGCCTTTGTTACCAGCAATCCCCGAAAGTCCTGTCTATTCTATATGTTAGTCAAATCATACATGTGAATCATTAAACCAGCAACAGGCCAAAACCAAGAAAGAACGAAGACTTGCCTTTTTGACGGCACCTTCGACATTCTTGATTTCCTTGAGTGCATCTGATTTCACGTAGATCATCAGCGCAGCACCCACGAGCTGCCCGGTCCTTAGCAGCACATATTTGCCCGTGCCCTTTGCCATTGTATGACTGTTTAAACAATCTTGCACGGCTCTCTGCCAAACCTTGCGGGTACTCGGATCAGTTGACATGATCTGTTGAGGGCTTAAGTCAACAATCTCTTGAAATGCAACGGCAAAGATAACAGGGTCTTCGTTAGATTGGACCGCCTCGGGGAAAAGCCAAGGCGTAAGATCGGTGCCAGGCCCTTCATCACGACCGTTCACGTTGAAAGTGCCAACCCAAAGACGGATATGTTTGGTGGAAGAGTATTCAGAAGCACGTCGATTGAGTTCTTCAGTGACTAAATCATTCATTGGGTCATAAAGGTGAACCGGCATTTGATTGGCCAATCGACCCAACAGAAGGTCAATCGTTCTCTGTTTAGCCTTGTCGGTAAAGTTATTGACGTAGAGCCGGGTAGCACTTTTTCGGGCATCAGCCAGAGCCCCCGCAAGCGACATTTTTCCATGACGAGTGAAAGAGGACTTCAAAGCCCCAGTACCGGCATAGATCTTAGAGAGGGCATCCCCATTGTCTGCCCAGAGGGTTGAATGACGCATTTGCATATCTGAGCCAAACCTTCCACCCTGGTGTGCTAGAAATGACTCCAATGCCATCGAACTGATAATTGTCTGGACAAGGTTTGTTCGGTCCAGACAGTCCAGGCAGTTGGTTCGGAAAACTCCCTCCTGCTGCAGGATGACCGAGGAGGCACCAGGAACGTCATCCCTTTCAAAAAGAGATGCAGCAGACCGCGTAGAGTCCTCGGACAGAAAATAGACAAACCCGTCCAGGGACCCAGCCAGCTCATACTTGATTTGGTTGCTCGCTTCGTAGCCAGCTGGACCACGGGTCTCAGCCAAAAAATCGTATTCTGTTAGCCGTAGAAGGCTATGATGTTCAGGGTCTTCCTTTTTCCTTAGGGAACTACGGGCAATGTGTTGACGATACTTGGCCGACAAATCTGCTTCGCCAGATCTGAGCTCGCTTAGGAGATTGACCACATGCGTGGCTCCATACTCCAGTTCAAGGGTTTCAAAGTGCTGATTGAATGCATGTTGAGTTGCCTCACTTGACCGTGTTACCTCGATCTTTTGCTGTCCTGGAATCAAACCGGGTGTTTGCTCCCAGAAGATTGGTACCGAGCCTCGGACTTGGACGTACGAGAAAGTAATACCTGGTGAGACCCAGAGAATCAATTCAGTCTCCACAAAGTTGGCCACATTGCCGTCATCATCAATTCCTCGCGAGTTGAATCTCGTGCCCGCACGCCGAGAGGACTGTCGTGAGACAATGGTCAGAAGAGATGGAAAGTTTGTCCGCACCTGAGGCAGAATCGAGACTGTGGCCGGAATCTTTAGAGTGCTTGCGTATCCCCGGATGACGCATGTCAGCAGCTGAGAAGAGTCTAGCTTGGCCTTATCTGCGGGTGGCAAATGACTTCGGAAAAGGAGAAGTGGATTGATCATGTATGAATTCCAAAGCATGTCCTCATCCAAGGAATCGATATCAAATGCCGCCGACTTATCCGAGCTGAACTTCATTTAGAAAATGATCGTTTTAATCTGAGACAGCACTTACCGATCTTGTAAACGATCTGTGAGGTTGAAATCAAGACTGTAGTAAAAACTACCATCTCCGAGAAGCTTTTTCAGGGCCTGGAAAGGGTGTTCTGTCATCACATCCCGGCTATCTTGACCGGTCCGCTCCTCGACGGCAAATTGAGTCCCAGGTTCATAATCGAGGCCGTATTCATATTCTGAACGATTGAGGCAATCTGTAGGTGTCAGATATAGACAAAGGAAGACATCGAGATTCGACATTTTCAAAATACGCACAGAAATCTACAGAATCAATTCTAGACACAGCTTCTCCTGGTCTTACAGTAGCAGCTTGAGATGATGTGGTGACAACACAGACGAACAGGTCTTCATTTAGCGTGACCAAGCCCAAAGTACCATGACCAGCACCCAAAGGCCGAAAGGCCCCGAGATCTGCGGATGCAACATCCACGAATTCCACCTGGCAACGTGGTGTTGACCCAGACCCGGCATCGGTTGCACTGTAGTGGAAGATTAAGACATGCTCGGCCGTCACCAGCGCAATTGTCCGCTGAGGCTGATCTCGGCAGAGAACTCGGAGATTGAACATAGTCCGGAAGATGAATGAGAATCAAAATCCCACCCCTTCCTTAACATATATGGAAGATCAGCGCTCCAAGCACAGAACTGTTGCTTTTCCGAGCCCTTTCCATGCGTGGAGAGAGACAATTGCCTCGCGTGATAGCAGATATGGGAAGCCGGCTCAAAATCGGAACTGGCGATTGATAACCCACTTTGATTTTTTGGGGGGTTTCTTTAAAAGGACAACCTAATGGCTATCTCTTCTTACTTTTCTTCCTCTATCTCGGATGGGATTGAGACAGGTAAAGGAAATTATCAAATGGTGTAAGATACATTGATTCTTCTAAAGATGTGGTTCGTGGGTGGGGGATCTTATCGTGCTGACTCAGCGTTATCTTTCGATCCCGCAATTCAAACTTTTTCCTTCTTTTTCTCCGACTTCTTTGTCCTTGAACCTTCAAATCTCTTGATACTGCCCACCTGCTCCAATTGTCATAATGGGCTTAGCTGCTCCCCGAAAGTATGCACGTCACCTTAATATCGTTGCGCAACCAATCTGACCCATATGCAGGAAAACTAAAATTTCCCATGATCCCAATAACACGCAATGGGCTCGATCGACAACCGGCTTCGGCCATCGAATCATGAGTTCCCAGGGTTGGACCCCAGGTGGTCGCTTAGGGGCTCGGGATGCTGCGCATGCTGATTTGTTGACGGCCGCCAGCCACTCCCATATCAAAGTGACGATCAAGGATGATACCCTGGGACTGGGCGCCCGTGTCGGGCGGGAAACTGAACCAACCGGTTTAGATGCTTTCAAGGGGCTACTTGGTCGATTGAATGGCAAGTCAGATGGGCAGTTGAAGCAGGAACAGCGCAAGAGAGACGATGTGAAGCTGGCTCGATATGTCGCCCTGAAATTCCCGGAGGTTCGCTTTGTCCATGGTGGGCTCTTGGCTCAAGAGAAAGTTGAAGCTCTACCCGCTCCAAAGCCTCTGGATAGTCAGAAGAATTCTGAATCAAACGACGATGACCAACAATCCAACGAAGAGGACGCATTGTCCAGCGAGTCATCAAGCGCAGTCCGGAAGTCGAAGTCGAAGTCGAAATCCAAGTCCAAGTCGAAATCTTCAAAGAAGTCCCGTTCAAGTATCGACGACGAGGAGGAGGATTCTGCCTCTATTTCCGGGTCGAAGAAGAAAAAGAAGTCCAAGAAGAGAAAGGCAGATGCGGCTGAGACCCCCTCCACTGAACAGACGGATGCATCATCTCAACAAGAGCCTGAGCCTTCTAAACCCATTTTGGAAATGACCACAGTCTCACGAGAGCGGCGGCCAATGGGTCGACAGGCATTCCGAAGCCGACATATTGCACAGAAGAAAAGAGCGCTTATGGATGATAAGTCTCTTAACGAGGTAAGTTCAAGCAGATCAGACACCATTATTATATTGATATTACTTGTACCAGTGCTGATTCAAATTAGATTTTCATGGTGAAAGCAAAAGCATGAGCCTTATATTGAGCGAGGGAACATTCTTGCATTGTATATAGACACACATAGGGATCGGCGTTTGGTGCAAAATGGAGATGCATGCTTAGGATCTGAATTTAACAAGGAATTTTTCTACTTTCCAATCCACTACGATCATTGTCTCACATATTTTGTGCTCTAAAAACGTAAATTCATGTTCAGTCATGCGATCCACCACAGATCCACGCGGATTACCTAATCGAGACATCAACGTCATCCTCTTGATCGAAACGCGGGGAGCTTCCTCTTTCATCCTTCGCATTACTTTCCACAATGAATGGGGTCGCTCAGTCTGGTCGCAGATCTCATCCTCCGGGGTGGACTGCGAATCGGGAAAAGAAACGGTATACCATCATTCAATCTTCCTAACAAACTCCGCTGACGACTCAGTAGAATCCATTGGGCCCCATTGAATATCGGCCTCGAACGACGATTACAGACCTTTGTCGTCTTATGTCATACACTCACAATTGCTATTTTTGTGACGAGCTTTTTCTTTACCTGTGCAATTCCTCTATTCTGGCCCCTTCTCCTGCCCTATCTGGTCTATATCACTTTGTTCTCCACAGCACCAACCTCCGGGGAACTGAAAGGCCGAAGTTCCTTCTTACGATCACTTCCCATCTGGTCTATTTATGCATCTTATTTTCCGGCCCATCTTCACCGCGAGGAATCTCTGCCCCCAACCAAGAAGTACATCTTTGGCTATCATCCCCACGGGATCATTTCACATGGTGCATTTGCCGCTTTCGGGACCGAGGCCCTAGGGTTCTCGAAGCTTTTTCCCGGCATTACCAACACCTTGTTAACTTTGGACTCAAATTTTCGAATCCCGTTCTATCGAGAGTATGCCCTCGCAATGGGACTGGCGAGTGTCTCTCGTGAATCCTGTGAGAATATTCTGACGAAAGGCGGTGCCGATAACGAGGGAATGGGTAGAGCGATTACCATTGTCGTTGGTGGAGCCCGGGAATCTCTCAATGCACAGCCGCATAGTCTACGCCTGGTGTTGAAACGTCGGAAAGGGTTCGTCAAGCTAGCCATTCGCACGGGAGCCGATCTGGTACCCGTTCTAGCCTTCGGAGAAAATGATCTTTACGAACAAGTGCACTCGGATCAGCATCCACTCATTCACAAAATTCAGATGCTTGTCAAGCGTACCATGGGGTTTACCGTCCCCCTGTTCCACGCACGTGGAGTCTTCAATTATGACGTTGGGTTGATGCCCTACCGCCGTCCGCTGAACATCGTGGTGGGACGACCGATCCCTGTGATGCAGCAGCAAAATCGGGATAAAATTGATGACACATATATCGATGAGCTTCATTCCAAGTACGTGCAAGAATTACAGCGACTATGGGACGAGTGGAAAGATGTCTATGCGAAGGACAGGGCAGGTGAACTGGAAATCACCGCGTGAAAGCGGCTTGCGGCGGATGCGATCGATCTACAATGTTAAAAGAGCGCTTATCTTGTGTCTTCATCATTATTCCCATCATCTTGTCTTCTTTTACTACATGCAGCATTCAATGCCCCTTGGCGACATCAGCAGATGCCTATCTGGCACATCCTTATTGTATTGCTTATTTCAAAACATACAGAGAAGGAGAATAGAGAGACGAAAACACGAAAGGGTCGAATACAAATATCATGGCGCTACGTCGTGCGGGACGAAAGTCCCCAACTCTAGAACACAAAACAACAACAAAACCACATGAAACGAACATAACAACTTGTACAGATGAAGGGGGTATCAGATCAACAGGAAGCATTCAGCAAAAAGTACAAGAATAAGGCGTATCATCACTTGGTGATTTTAACTAGGAGAACTGGGGGTCCCTTCCTTTGGCGCAGGCGCAGTAGGGTTCAAGCCTGGCACTTCAGCCGACAACGATACTCGGCGACTATCGTTGGAGGCCCTTTTGATATGTCCTAAGGGGCTTTTCTCAGGATGCCCATGGCCACTTTCAACTCGACCCTGGATCATTTCATCCAGCATCCTGGATACTTCGTCCATATTTTTCCTTCGGTCATCGTCCTTTTCACTTCTCCCAGGAAGAACGGGACCCGGTGGGCTGGCAAGCTTATCGACCGCACTGTTGGTCTCCAATGGGCTGTTGCCCCCGGAGCCTGTCATCTCTTCTTTGCCTTTTAATTCTGGCGACAATGCGTCGTTCGTCACAGCAGCCAGGTCACGGTGTCGCGCAGCAGACCGAAGGGCAGCCAACATTCGATCCTTATCATCAAGCTGAATGCGTAGCTCGTTGATCTCCATGTCCCTTTCGCGGAGTAAGGCCATCAGGTCCGGATGCTCCACAATGGTCGAGTTGTTGGATTTGACCCCAACTGACATCCGAGAATGACTGGAGCGTCGTGCTTGCAGCAACCGGCGCTCCAAGGTGGAGATATATCGGTTTTTGTCACCCAGATCAGCCTGCAAGGCAGTAACCTGCCGTTGCAGACTTGCTTTGCCGTCGCCAAATTCGCCCATGTCGTCTTCATCCTCATTACCGAATGATGCCCCTGGAAATGGCATGAGCCCTGAAGGGTCACTGCTGTTGACTGACATGAAAGACATTGGTCTGATGGATGAATGACCGGCACCCAATGTAGATTGACTGGCCGACGACCGCAGTGAGCGGGTTCCGGAATCCGCAGCGGACATACGGGATAGACGACCAAATGCAGAAGATAAGCTGCCGTGATTGTTGACACCGGTGGACTTGGAGCTGAGGATCAAGCGGTTGAGATGTTCAATTCGCTCCTTCAGGGCCGTCCGGGCCAACTGCATCTCCAAGACCTGCTCCTCATGGCGCGCCTGAGCCTCTTTCTCAAATTGCTGCTCATCCCACTTCAACTCTTTCTCCGCTTGGGCCTTGGCCTGGGTGTCGAGTTGACCACGGAGAGCTTGAATTTCCACGCGATATCGCTCTAGCAAGACTCGACTGCCAGAGTCGGCCCCACCGGCCCCGTAGGCCTCCTCCGCCTTTTGTGCGTGACTGACGATATTATTCTTCGCGCGCGCGGCAAATTTCAGCGTATTGAGAGTTTCTCCAGAATGCGCATTCACGCCGGAGACCAGTTGAATTGTACAGAGAATGCTCACTAAGGAATTGCCTGATAAAGCCGGCTGGAGTAGCCGGGTCAACTTGCTGTCCCGGTAGGGCAGATGACGGCCTTCCTTGTCCATTGGGTTTCCTTGCTTGTCCTTGGCATCGGAGAGCTTGGATATGATGTTACCGAGCGTGAGCAAGCTCTTGTTGATATGGGCTCCCTCGGTTCGGCGCTCCTTGTCATCGGCGGCGCGCTCGGAGCCAGCCAGATCAATCAAGCTGAGGGTCGACACCCGGACACCACCAGGAGCGATCCCAGCACGTTTGTCCTGCGAGTTGCCGGCTGGCACTCGCTCGCGACTTTCAACCACGATCTGAACGACCGCATGACTTCGAGAACTGCGCGCGTTAAATTGCGTACTGCTCGTCCTTCTCGCATGATCACCTCTTGCAATTACTCGAAGAAGCTGTGTCGGACTCTGCACAATTTCTTCCTTAAGCGGGGTCGCATAGACGCCGCGTTTGCTGTCCTCGCGGAGTTTGATTTCTTCTTGAGGCGCGGCCGGACCATTTGTGGTCGAGGCGGAGAGAAGGTCATGAATTTTCTCGTTGTAGATTTCCAGATAGCTGACTCGAAGGAGGAATTCTCGATGGGGGGTTTCGCGAATGAAAGAGAAAATGTCTGTGATGGCGAGGGGGATCACACCGGGAGAGGTGGCAGTACCTTGCATGGAGAAGGTTTTACCAGTTCCTGTCATACCGTAGGCAAAGACAGTTCCATGGTAACCCTCCATAACCCGCCGGACCAGGCGTTTGGCCCCGGAGTCGTACACCTTGGCATTGTTGTCATGGGCCGCGAAAACGTTATCTGCCTTGCCGTCAGTATGTACGAAATCACGAAACGTAGTAGTGCCCACCATAATAATAGTCTCCTCCATCTTTCCCTCGATGAGAAATTAAACTCTGTCGACCATCCACTGCCCACTCGCCATGGTTTCTAGGGGTCTCGCCCCCCTGGTTATTATCCGGCCGAACGCGTACGCTGACAATGACGTTGCCCTTGGTCTCTTTAGGTTTGGAGGTTGACTTGCCACCGGCATCATCCGCATCTTCGAACGTCGTTGCACTAGTTGAACAAGAGCCTTGCGCGGATGAGCTTCTGCTATGGCCCGGGGACCCCTCTGGGTCCCGCGCATCCGCCAGGATGGATTTCCCATCCCCACTGCCATTCAACAGTGACGGTGTTTTAGAGCTCCGGTAGCTACTGGTGGTTCCTGTGCTTAGTCGCGAGCTCCGTTTGGGCTTGGCACTGCCTATTGGATTTGCGGGGATCCCCGACACGGAAGATGCTGTTGAAGGCCGACTCCCTCCCGCTTTGGGCGGCTGTGGGAACGAGGCGATACTGATTGTCCGGCGCAAGGTTTTGTCCGGACTGCCGGGCGCGCGCCCGCTGGATGCCGATCGAATGGCGCTGAGATTCGATGTGGAATTCGAAGTGGATAGCGGGGATCGGGCCGCGGATGGTTTGGGGCTCGATGGAGTGCGCAATTTAGAGAGTTGTTGATATGGTGATGCTGATCGTGGTGTATCACCGGGTGTACTCTTTCTCGGTTTCGGATTGGGCAGAGGGGGCAATGCCACGGTCGGGGGGTTGGCGGCTGGCCGTGACGGTTGGGGCAGGGCTGACGTTGACGCCATCTTTCTCGTCCCTCTATAGTCTATTTCGTCGGGCCAACGGGGATTCTACTGCCATGCGGAATGAACGGTGACAGGTCAAAATTGAAATCCACTGTGAGAGTAGCTGTCGCGTCCGACGCCTCAGTCAGCAAGTAGCAAGACATCATGATCACAGACAAGGAAAAAAAAAAAACAAGGTCGGACGACATGAGACATTGAGGTTGGTGCCTATGAGAGATAGAGATGGAGAGGGGCTTGAGTCTCGGATACTTACAGATTCAAACATGCGTTGCGATTGCAACGGACGAAGTCCAGCGCCAGTATTAGGAAGAGGATGAAAGTGGAAAGAGAGGAAAGATAGAGAAATCCCGCGGGTTTTAGCTTCTAAGGAAATAGTCTCATCCCCCGCAGAAAATAAAGGGCATTGTTTGAATACTTGCAGTTAAGCTTAACCCTTTATGATGACTAGAATTAAAGGGTTGTATGTTTCCCCTACTGATTCCTTCCCAAAGCAAGTATATTAATATTTATACACTACTTCGTACAAGACTTTTAGACAACGGTCTGGACGTGAGGAAAAAAAAAGGGGGGGACAGGAGTCGAGGCGTACGCCCCTCTGTGAAAGCTCAGACCAATGATGGATCAGATAGTGGACCAGAGGAGGATTAGTTTAGGGAAAAAGGGGGGCTAATCAGCAGAGCAAAGCCCCAAAGTCTTGTCCTCGATAATTAGGTTAGAACGAACCCTTCGTTTTGATTTGATCCTTATACACGGGCGTTGAGGACCCACTATTTGGGGTCCCTTTCCCATCCTTTGACAGGGAGATTAGAGCAATGATAGAAGTCCTAGCATTGGAGAGGGGATATCCAATGGGATACAATCTCCTTCTCTTCCCCTTATTCGATTAGTGAACACTTCCCAGACAGATACCGGTCAAGATAGTATATGCAGAGGTCGTCCCCCTGCATCTACAGAGATCATTGCAGGACATGTCATCATTATGTTGAACTATTGGGCTTATTTCTTCGCTCCAAAATCTAATTGTCGCGCGGCATTTTTGAAGGGTCCATCGTCAATCTCGCCGCCGCGCCGGCCCATATCCTCGCCCATCTTCTTCGCTCCGGACTTTCGGGGGAGATCTTCATTCCGCGTGGGTTGGGGATCTATCATCCACCAGTTGTGGCGCAGCACCTGAAGGGCCGTATGGCGTTTGCGAGGATCCAGTGCACACATTGACATCATTAAATCGGCTCCCACCGGTCCAGCCGTAGGGAACTGGCGAAGGAAGAAGTCCCGGCCTTGCACAGGCACAAGCTGCGTCCGGTCCGTAGGGATATAGTTAGGTAACTGTGTGACTCCCGGCCAGTTCTCTTCAGTGGGGGTTCCAAAAGCTTCACAAATCTTGGAGAGTTGGTCCAAATCAGTATTGCCGGCCACAAAGGGGACCCGCAGCAAAAGTTCGGCAAATACCATGCCCATGGACCACACATCCACCGCGCCCGAGTACTGTCGGGCTCCATAGAGCAACTCCGGTGGCCGATACCAGCGAGTGATGACTTGGTGAGTCATGTTGAGATAAGGATCGGCGAACGATCGGGCCAGACCGAAGTCAGCCAGCTTAACCTCGCCGTCCGATGCGATCAACAGGTTATTGGGCTTGATGTCTCGATGAAGCACAAAATTTTCATGGCAGAACCACACGCCTCGGGCTAACATGCCCATCCAGGCCTTGACATCGGCCACTCCGTACTGGATGTCTCCATCCTTGATGAGCATCTCCAAGTCCCCCCGGGGAAGAAACTCCAGCACCAGGCTCAGATTTTGGTCTTTGGAAGAGAAGACATCATGAAGGGCGATGATGTTGGGGTGGGACAGTTCTTGCAGGTATTTGACTTCTCGAATTGCATCCATAGTCAGCCCATCTTTATATTCGGCATTGACCTTGACTTTTTTGATGGCAACGAAGGATGATGGGTCGTCCCGGAGGTGCCCCAGGAATACCACGGCATATGTACCTTCTCCAAGCTTCTTATCTGTTTTTTTTGTACAACTTTGTTAGTATCAACTGCCCCTAGGATCCTCCTGGTACAAAGTAATTGCTCAATCTACCTTTGATGTATTTGTGCCGGACATCGTCATTGAGCTGTTCGGTGAGCTCTTGGTCTGTGTTGGATACAGACTTTGAGGCAAGCAATCCTCCCGCAGAATCGTGAGCTGCAGTTGCTCTCAGCCTGAGAGTATTGGGAGATGCGACGGCCACGGAGGGGGAGCGAGAGGCGAATGGTGAGGCCGCCATAATTGACACGCGAGGCCGTAATTAGGCAAGGAAATATGAGGAAGAAGGAAAGGGTTGGTACAGCGATTAAGCTGTATGAGTCACAAGTCAGGTATTCATCTTCATGAAGTATTCATATCACATTCAAGACAAAGCTTTAGTTACAAGGGTGAGGTGCTCTTTCAAAGCGTTGAATGCTCTCGGAGTATCATTGATCCCGCGACCGCCCGAAATTTCCAAGCTCAGGAACAAACAGTTCAAGTCGCACCCGCAATTCAATTGGTCCATCACCTTTCCTACAACATCCCTCTCTTGTCAATTCCAGGAACAAATAGCTTTGTGGCCACCGGGCCCCCTTTTGGCCACCATGACAATGCGCACCCAACAACTCCGCAACCTTCCCTTGCGGCTCTTTCAGACAGTCAGCCTCTCGAAGCAATGTTTCCGATCACTCCATGGAAAGACGGCACGGTCTGTGCCGTCACCGACCCCATTTGTCCCTGATGTCCAGACTTTCCTTACGTTGATCGGCCGGGAAATGTCGAAGCATGCGAGCAAGATCCCCTCCTGGGACCAACTTTTCAGCTTCAACTCTAATCAACTCCGAGAACTCGGCATTGAGCCCGCCCGCCAGCGACGATACCTGATTCGGAAGCGTGAAAAGTTCCGCAATGGCGTTTATGGCCCGGGAGGTGATTTGAAACAAGTTGCGAACGGTGTCGCCCAATTGCGAGTGGTGGAAATCCCCGATGAAACCAAACAGCCCTCGGCAGACTCAGAAGCTGCTCAGCGGGTCTCATCTTCTGCTACTCTGACGCCTGGCATGAAGAAGGCCATCGTGAACATGTTGCCAGGTGCCACCGAATACAAGCACAGTTCGACCGCCCAACTGCCGAAGTTCGCCCACATGAAAATCCACAGAGGCTCTAAGATCATGGGCCCTTTCCTCCAACCGCTAAAGGGAAGCCACGGAAGTGCTGCGACTATCACAGTTCAGGAAGGCATGTGGGAAGACAAGCGGGGGCAGAAGGTGGATGGTGGTGAGCGACGCCGCGTGGAGGTGCGGGCCAAGAGGCGACTCGAGGAAAGAAGAAAAGCGTAAAGCGGCGGAGGAAGTATAGCGTTTCTTGCATATCTCTTGAGCCCTGATGGTCCTGTGTTTCTAGTGTTTCTATCCGTACTGTACTATATATATATATCATATCCTATCACCCAAGGACTCTTGGATCACCATTTACCATCTTCGGCGTGACGTTGGCTGAGTGGGTAAGAGTAGTATGTTTGGACCCCGTTAGTCTACCAAAAGTGCATATTACCGGCACCAATCCTCTTGAACCCATATTTGATTAAATAGATATAGTAACAGTATCAACACACAACGGCAGTGGTGACTCAAGCCACGAGCGGGAAAATGGGACAAGTAAAAGAGTAATGTACAAGGGCAAGAGTCATTGAAAGGCGTCGAGGCAAGGCGAAAACCCGTGCATGGTATGACGGCTTTCTGTCCACCCAGACCTCTGCGACATCAAAATAGGTCATAAGATGTAAAGATGTAATCGGGTTCCAGATTCATGCTGCTCTTTTATCTTGGGCTTCTATTCATCTCTTTACTTTGAAAGAGTTTGCTGGCCCATAGCTCCATCTATTCTTTGGTTCCGCGCTTCTCAAATCGCACAAATGACTTGCCCAGAGGCTTGGAGAACAGAGACTAATGGCCGAGTTAGCACAGATGTAGATGAGCAGGTGATGTAGTAACTTACCGAGTAATCGGTATCCGGAATGCCGACACGGTCAGCAGGATTGGAAAATCTGAATTGGCGCACCAGTGCGGCCAAGATAGCGCCCAATTGCACGTATGCAAATTGTTCACCAATGCAGCGGTGCCGGCCGGCGCCGAATGGGAGGTAAGGGCTGTTAGTACCCTTGCTAACCATACCATAACCGTAATCAATCTGCTCCTCTTCCTCGTCCTTGGGAGCGGTGTCCTCATCCCAACGGTGGGGATTCCAATTCAGCGGCTGCGGGAAGCACTCCTCCGATCTCGCGGTGACACCAGGGGAAGAGAGGACGTTGTGGGTGGTGGGGATCACATAGGGCGTGCCCTCCACAGGCATGGGGTTCTTGACAGCACGAATGATAGAGTGAATAGGGGCGTGAATGCGAAGGGTTTCCTTAATGACCTTGGAGTGAAGATCCAACTTCTGGAGGCTCTCGTATGTGAGAGGAGGCAAATCCTCACCGAGAATTCGGAGTTGTTCTTGGTAAAGTTCATCCATGATCTCAGGGCAAGTCGCCATACGCAGAACGATCCAGGCAGCGGTAGAAGAGGAGGAGTGTTGTCCAGCCATCAGGAGTGCAATCATCATATGTGCCACCTCTTCGTCAGGAACCGGGACACCGTTCTTGTAGACACAAGACATGAGGTTCCAGACCATGTCCTCCTCCTTCTTCTCGCCACCGGCCTCTCGGCGCTCACGAATGATCTCCATGTAGGTCTCGGTCATCTTCTTCTGAGCCGCATCACGTTTGCGATTGTGGGGAAGCGGGGCCCAGGGCAGCATAAAGTTGATCGGCGCAAAACCCATGTCGAGATCGTGGTACATGTCGGCAAACGTAGAGTCAAAGCGGTCACGCACTTCCTTACCCTGGAGGGATCGCGATGCGGTATAGATAGTGATTTCGGAGATGATCTTGGAGACGTCGAAAGTACCCTTATTCTCTTTAAATGCAGGGCATTTCTCAACGAACATATCGACCTCTTTGGTGATCAGAGGAACGTAGGACCGAAGGGCATCGGAGGTCAGACCGAATTTTACAAACTTTTTTTTTTTTTTAAAGAACAATGGTCAGTTTCCACAAGACCTGCAATTGGTTTCATCACTCGTCACGGATTTTCTCCTTACCTTCTTCTGCTCCATGAGCTTGGAGTTGGGGCAGTCATAGACAACATTGCGGCCAAAGACAGGGGTCGTCAGTGGCGAATAAACCTCTTCGGCGCAAACATCGCGCAGCTTGCCATTCATGATAAACTCATTACCCTTTGTGCCCAGGTAGACGGTAGTCTTCTTGCCGAGAAGAACGAAAGTGAAAATGTCACCGTACTATTGTGGGACAAGCCCAATGGTTGTTAGTTAGGAACCGGTCCTTAGTCCCAGATCGGGGTGAAGAACGCACCTTTGCGCGATTGGTGTTGAAGAACTTGTAAGGCTCCATTCCATAACTGATGGTGCTTCCCACAAAAGGAAACCAGTGGAAGACCACTGGGGGCTCATGGGGGTTTTTGAAAAGTAATTGGCGCAAGACATTGACCACGACAGACAGTGCGATGAAGGACAAGCTGCCGACCACAGCTAGGGTATAGATGGACTGGCTGGAGCAATGCTCACAGAACGTATCGAGAAAACTAGCAAAGAGACCCATGGCGACGGAAGTCAGAAGAGTGAACGATTGCACCCTTCTAAATCATGAAGTGGGAAGGTTGAGAAGGGGGGGGGGGGGAAAGGGAAGCAAAATAATAATCTCCGCTATCATTCGATGAGGCCACGCCAGGGGACCCGCTTCTTGCCCCTGGTTCCCTTCTATCCAATCTACGGATTCTCTTATTCAAATGGCTTGTATTTTCTTTTCTTTTTGATTCGTGGAAGCCTGTTTTCTTTATGAGAATATAGATTGATTAGTGTACGAATGAAAGCCATGGGGATGTAAAATCACGCCTTAGGCTGTATCAGGGGAAATTCCTAGGCTCTCATCACGCCACGTCGGTGTAGGCAACATCCGTACCTGACGATTGCATGATATAGAGAATATGCGATAACAATAACATGGAGTACTTTTGTAGGACTTCTAACTCCGGATTGAATTTTTACCACGTAGACTGTACATTAAGTTAATATCCTGTGTTCTCTCTCCCCGAAGCCACACGCAATGTCCCATTCGATCCAGTAAAACAAAGGCACAACACCATAGAGTCTTAAGAGACGCAATAAGCTCATAAATAACAGATAGGAACAGAGAACAACACGGGCAAACAAGTCTGATTTGTATCAATTCCTTGGTTCGTCGTACAAAGTGGGATCACCACGCTCGCCGAGATGCACAAATCCTTTGGGGCTGCCTTGATTGCCGGGAGACGGTTCACGGGCATTGGCCTTGGCTGGTCGATTATGGACGCGTTGGTCAGCGTTGTTCTTGTGAAAGACTTTAACTGGAGCTTCACTGCCTTCCACATGCTCGCTAAAATGGACGTCGTTGACACTGCTCAGCAAAGTCCGCTCCCGCTTGATCTTGCGCTTAGAGAAATCCAGGTTGCCCAAGGCGCCGGTCAGTCCATCAGTGCTGTCAGTGACGCTAGGATATTTCTCTGTCATCCAGGGGTGCTCCAAACACTCGTCCACTGTGATTCGCTTCTCTACGTCCACGACAAGCATCCGGTCAATCAGATCCAAGGCAGGATCGCCCACAGAGTCCCAGTAGGGTGAGGGATAATCGAACTTGCCCATTTTGATCTGCTGCGCCAGGGTGAGGGGATTATCCCGGGTGTATAATTCATCCGAAAAGGGGGGGGAAAGCCACAAAGGCAAATATAAAGGACCACCCCCAGGGACCAGACGTCGACAGCTTTCGTGTACCGTCGCCGACGAGTATCCTGCAAAATCTCTGGTGCAACATCTGCAAAATGGAGAGATCAGTATCATGCCGATCTCTTGTATACTAGGATCGATTAACTTACAACTGGGTGTGCCACACCTGTTGGAAATAGAAGATTAGCCCTTGTAGACGCGTAAGGCAATGATAGCGCTAGCCCTGTACTCACAATGTGGTGGTGAACGAATCTTCTCCGATGATCTTTGCGAGCCCAAAGTCACCTAGTTTCACCGTCATCTTCTTGTCAGCCAGCAATATGTTCTCAGGCTTGATGTCCCGGTGCACAATCCCTCGTTCGTGCTGGAATGACCCCATCAGATTAGCTACTCATGCGTTTGCCTTCCGTAGCAGGGTTAATTTACCAGGTACTTTAGCCCTTCAAAGAGCTGACGGAATAGATGGCGGGTTTCTGACTCGCTGAGCTTTTGCTTGGTCACGATCAAGTTAAACAGTTCACCCTCCGGGGCCAACTCCAGAATCAGATAAGCTCCATCATTCTCATCAAAAGTGTCCTTCAGGCAGAGGAGATTGGGATGGTTGACACTCTTCAGGAGCGCAACCTCCTGCTGGAGGGCATCTGCCTGTGATTTCTGTGAATCACCGGGACGCTTTTCAAAGACCTTGGCTGCAAATTGTTTCCCTGTGGAGCCTTCCACACAAAGATAGACTGTCGCAAAGTGACCTTTACCGAGCTGTCTGTGAATCTGGTATTGTTGGCGAAAGCGATTTGTGTCCCTAGTGCGTGGATAGCGGAAGACAAAGCGGGCCTCATTCAAAATGGAAACCTCATCCCCGTCTTCAAGCTCACGATGCTTATTTCGTCCAACAATAGCATCATTCACGAAAGTTCCATTACTGGAAAGATCTTCTAAGATGGCAACTACATCGCCTTTCCGTTTCTCCTCAAATAGGAGGAAGTGCCGATTTGATATCGTAGGGCTATCGATCTTCAGATCTAAAAATGGAGTTAGTTGATGGCATTCACCCCAAGAAGCAAAGGATTCACCAACCACACTCCGGGTGACGGCCAATTAGGTAACCACCAGGTGCCCGACCTTTGCCTTGCTTGCTGGCATGGGATTTTTTCCCAGATTTGTCTTTGGCCGCCTCAACTCGGTTTTCGCAGCCATCTCGCCTCTTCAAGACGAAGGCACCGCTCACTTTGTCATCCAGGGAAATCAGGTACCCCCAGACTCCCTCGGCATCTTCATCCTCCACTTCATCTGCAAATGCTCTCGGGGGATAGACAAACTGCGAGAGCGCCTGTGTGTCCCCCGGTGGGGATGACAACGCCTGAGAGATGTCTGGATTGGGTGACGAAGGTGGACGCGTTCGACTTGGGCTTTCCGGCGGAGTGGCCGTCACATCGTTGCGGATGTCCGTGGCGGTCGAATAACCATGGGTCAGCGGAGTTGGCAGATAGTCGTGGTCCACTGGTGTCTCCTGAGGTTGATGCTGACTTGATATCCGTTGGGACCGACGCGGTTTTTTCAGGTCTTGTGAATCGGCATCCACGCTGAGCTAACAGTGCCCCGAGACTGTCAGCAAGTCACCACACTCCGAGGGAAGACCACTCACTCTGCCCCGCTTATGCGCGCTTTTTTCTCGAGGTGCCATAACTTTACTTTTGACACACCAGACCTCCGACACTCTATCCACAGACCAATGAAATGTGTTGGTGAGACAGGATTACTGCGACATAAAAGGTAGGAGCACCGTCGGGAATATAGTCGTACCCCGGGCTGTTGTTTGGTATGCCGTTCTTTCCTGTCTTGCCTTTCTTTTTCGTCTCTCTTCCTTTTGCCCTTTCCCTTGTCGCTGTCCCCAAATCAATGTGGTAGAATAATCAATGGGAGAAAATGAGCGAAGTTGGAAGGACGGTTGAGAAGGGAGAGAGCTCTTTGGTCCCAAGTTAGCTTTGGAGTTTCAGAGGCTCTGGGGCAGAGCCTCCTCCGCCCCCATCAAAAACAGGAAGAGCAAACACTGTCTAGAATCAAAATGTGATATAATTATTAATCTGTGGTTTTAAATAAGAAAATAATGCTATCTTGGTCGTGTATGTTATACATCTGTTAGGCAGTTCTCCATTGTTGTTAGGAGACGTTCATTAACATTCCTGTGTTTAACTATGTTTAACCTAGGTTCGCGTCCAAACACGTGCCCTTTCTCCCTGGTTCCCCATACTAACTGATCTGTTCCATCCATCTCGACTCCTGCTACTCCACAAGGTCCTGGGGATTTAAGAAGAAAGCAATTATGGACGGGTAAGTTAGGTCCCAATCTCATCCGGTACAGCTGCTAATGTACCCTCAGCCTATCGGTCGGCGTCAGACGCTCGGCGTTCGAGAAGCTTGCGGAGTTGGCTGTCAAGTCGCCAGCTCAGGATGCATCGGGCCTTGACCGTCTCGCTCAGCAGGCGAGACCAGCTCGTCCGATTGATGGAACACTCAATGGTATACTCAGGAACCAGGCTCCCACGTCTCGAGTCCCTATGGTGAGAGCTTGACCCTTCCCCTCCCCTCGTGGGTGACGTAAACTGACCGCGACAGGGAATCCGTGAACTCGATGTCCTGCTGGCCCTTTGCAAAGCTGCCTTGTCCGTCAATGAGCTTGACCACGCTCAGAGGTTAGTTACTCAATTATCACAGTATTTGCCAAAGTCGCCCAGCCAGCTGTTTCGCCCGTCGCCGTTTCTCCAGAGTATCAAGCCGTCACCGTGGGAGACGCTCTCGCACAGCTTGGCATCGGCACTGTTGTCCATGGGTCTGAAGTTCACGATCTTGCGGAAGGAAGCAGTCGCAGGTCTCACGGGGTATTTAAACAACTGTGCCGAGGTCATTAGTTCAGTGACCCCGTTCCATTACTCTACTTCCGAAGCCGGAGGACGAGGTGTGGTGCATGAATCGATCGCCATTTTGTCCGTCGCGGTATCGCTTGTAGGATTCCTCGAGGCCTCGGCAAAGCACACCGTATTTTGGACAGCAAGAGAGAAACTTCAGATCATCGATCATCTGCGAGCCATGCTCTCCGAATCGTTTCTGATTGCAGTGGAAACGGCCTCCTCTACTATTCGCAATGCCACTGGGTCTGATAGCATTTTCAAGGACTGGAGAAAGTATACCAGACGATACTCCGCACACGGGCGGCCTTTGGGCGCCATGTTGCTCCAGGAAGGCTTCATGCGCTTTGTGAAATCCTGTGCGGCATCGCTCATCGGGTCGCAGAATTTGTCCGACGATCAACTCTTGGATGAGTATATGGCTGGGGTGGGTATTGCCAAGAGCTATGATGAGTCTGATATTGCTTTGATCGAACGTATTACGGACCTCATCAGCGAGGAAATCCACCTTCTGGAGGATGGCTCGGATTACCTCCAAGTAGGCTCCCCGTCTCAGCAGAGGCTAGCCTTCGCTGTAAAAGGGGATGCTCTAGTCGGCTTTCTGAACTGCGTTGTGCTTGGCGAGGATGCTGCTAATAATGACGTCTTGTTATCCTGGCTTGAGGAATCTCTAATCGACGCCCAGCAAATGGCATGTGCGGAACTGGCCATGACATCGCTGAAGTGCATGGCAATTCTCGCTAGAATGTCCCCAAATGGCGCCTCGATTGCAAGGAGGTGTCTGTTAAGGTTTTTGACCCAGGGGGGTGCATCTATTGGTTCTGTGGTCGCCGTGGCTGCTCGGTGTCTCGCCCAGGTTCTAAGCATTCTCTCCGAAGACGCCGTCATCACTACTCTCTATTCATTAGGCAATGCCCTGAGTCCCAGCCCTAATGCCGAGCAGTCGGCACAGGAGCAGTTCACGGGGGATGCTACTGGTACTGCAAACAACCTGGCCTCCTATGCCCAGCCAAGCAGCGGGAGCCAAGCATCGATACCAATTGTTGCGGAAGATGACGCCTTGGTCTATCGAAATGTTGTTCATGCTATCGTGATTATTGCCACCAGTTGCGATGATGACAAAATCAGTGCTCTAGCGCAATCTATGCTCCTACAGAAAGTTGGCAAGATAAATGTTGCTGTGGACGCCTACATCATTCAAGAGACGGCCGTTCTCGCTTTGAGCAGTGGCAAAGCCGAGTTCCAGCTTTTGTTGAAATTCTACGCCCGCATCTACCTGGACGGAGCCCACAAAGGACTGCAGATAATATCTGATGCGGTTCAGTGCGCGATGGCATACCTCTCTGTGTCCTTGGACCAGCACTCCGCACTCCATGCACTTTATCTGACCCATTTATTGGAGAGCATTGTCAACAAGGGAGATGTTCCTGATCTCGATGCCGAACGTCACGCAGAGGTTGTTTTCGCTGCCAGCGATATCACCCCTCTATTGAAACCTCTAGCTCTTCTAGTTTCGTCCGTAAAGCGCTCTCCAGAGACTCCGGATCCCGTGCTAGACTATGATGATGCCACCTTGTCTTTGTTCCGTGATGCCTGGTTCAATATCGCCATTCACGGCATTACGCTCAATTCCAGTGTCTTCCACGAACATCACAATGAACTTCGTTTGCTAGCAAGTCATTCTCCACCTCTTGTGGCGGAGGATCGGATGGAGTTACTCGAGAGCGACGTCGAACTCAATACCGTGCTAAGGAGAGGCACCGGCCCCCAGCGAGTATTGGAGCAAAAGCGAACTTTGATTTCAGAGCTGGCTGGCCGCGAAAACGACGTGAAACGCTTGGATTACCCCCGAGCCGTCTTCCTAAACGCCGTATTGTTAGTCGAAAGTCTCCGTGCATCCTCAGGGGATTGCACTAAGATCCTCCGGTACTTCCGTGATCCTTCTCTAGCCACGCCCGAAATGGTTGTCTGCATGAATTCCGTCGCCGAGAAAACCGTGACTTGTTATCTTTCACGTACCTTGTCGGAAGAATATGACGACTTTTCGGCGCCGTACCTTTCAAAGCAGTTGGCCGCCTACCTCGTAGCCTGCTGCCACCGCATCGAGCGTGTGCAGAGCATTGCCACGATATGTACGGATAAGATCATCAGTCAATGTCCCTCTGCGCTCTGCGAGAAGCATTCTCTTTTCGCTTTGCTTGAGATCCTGACTGTGATGTGGACATCTTGCCTGCAAGGAGAACTAGATGAGTTTGAGTGGAAGCCAACTCTGGTCTCACCTATGGGAATTGTTAAGGTTGGTTTGCCTGATAACTATGCGCTCAGAAAAGTGACATTGGACCGATTCCTTGTCCGAGCTCGAACATGGGTGACTGCGGTCTTGAATATTGCGCCACTTGATATCAAGGGCCTACTTCAGACATACCTTTCGGAGTATGATGATGATGGCGGCTATGGCCATATTGCCTTAGGTCGTTCCTTTGCTATTGAAATGGGCTCCCTGATACCGCAGAGTGATCCACGACTAGGATCCATTGAGGGTTACAATGCACGTGATGTCAACATCGCTTCGGACTTCATGGCTCTTTACACGACTCGTCAGAAATACCGTCGCCCCGAGGCGCCTTCATCGATTGTTCCAGACAACGGATTCCATCTTGGCGATAGTCCGAGAATTGAAGCAATCACTGAATCTGAGTCCGCTGGTGATATCGACCACTCCTTATCTGCTCTCTTTGAACGCAGTATGAATGGAGAGGAAATCCCCTTAATTGAGGTCAGGGATGTTCTGCGGCAAGCGGCGGGTCTAATTTGCAGCAGCAGCAAGCCTCGCCTATCAGTCGTTCACTACCTGGTGGCCTTGCCATTTCAAATCTTCACTAAGGAAATAATCAAATTGGGTGTATCTCTGTGGCTTGGTGTCATCCACGAGAACCCTAATATCGAGCCACGCATCCTAGCAGAGGTGGTGGAAGCCTGGGAAAGAAGTATTAACCGCCGAAAGGGATTGTTTGATACATCCTTTGAATATGCCGATCCGCTACATACCCAGATAGAATTGCTGCCAACAGACAAAGCATTGATGCTCCAGAAGCAAGAAGCCGCGCAGAACACACTTTCGCCACATTTGCGCGTTCTGCAGTTTTTCGAAAGTCATTTCAACGCCATCCGCCTCGGCAATCTGCAGGACCAGCAGTTGTTCGGCCGCTTGATTAGCAGTACGGTTGTTGGTCTTTCAAAGACCCAGTGTCATCCTCTGGCTCGAGAGATCCATTTCCGCATCGTCCTCTTCGGTTTGAGCGTCTTGAAACACTTTAGCCCGCGGAACCCCGCTGCATCTTGGAAGCTTAAAGATCAAATCCTGTCTGCCGCGCTGAGCTGGTTTAGACATCCACCCAGATGGTCCTTTGGCGGTAACCGACTACAGATCAAAGCCGAAGACAAAATCCTTGGCGATGTTGTCTCTACTTTGCGAAGCGTTGCAGACATAGCTAGCCAGTCCCATGGGGCATACAAGTCTCTTCAAGCCAAGCAGGAGTTGACACAGATTCTCATCGAGAATGAAAGGTCGCGTCTTCGCGTTTGGCTGTTTCCCTTGGAGCCTGAGCGGAAACATCACATGCCATCGCTTGGAGGCAAGCACACTACAGACGTATGTTCTGGAGTATCTTATCAACCCATTTGATCTCTGATCCGTGACTAATAGCCATATCACAGGGTATTACATCTTTCCTTCGACTTGCTTGGACGGAGAGTCCGGGCCTGGCCATTCAGCTTGCTACCCGGTTCCCATCGGCGAAAATGCAAAGCGATGTCCGGTGGTTGATCTTGAACTTCCCCGAGAAAGCCATCCCGGAGGCAAGTGCTTTAGAGATCATGTTCGAGTCTTCTCTGCAATCTGATGTCAACTTCCAGCTTAAGGTTAGAGTTCCTATCTCGCCCTGTTCATGCCCAATGGCTAATTCTGTTACAGTACCTACTGTTCTGGGCGCCGGTTAATCCAACAGAGGCCTTGACTTACTTCTTGCCCGCTTACGGCAACCACCCCTTCATCCTTCAGTACGCCATGCGGGCTCTGGAAAGTCATTCGATGGATGTGCGTTTCTACTTTGTACCGCAGCTGGTCCAAGCTCTGCGATACGACGCCTTAGGCTATGTCGAGCGCTATATTCTAGAGACGGCAAAATTGTCACAGCTGTTTGCTCACCAGGTGATTTGGAATATGAAAGCCAACTCTTACAAGGATGAGGATTCCCAGGTGGTAAGTGCAATGTCTATTGCATCTCGGTTTGTGATCATTATACTGACTCCGTGATTCCATAGCCGGATCCCCTGAAGCCGACATTGGATCGGTTCATTGAGTCTTTGATCTCAAGCTTCTCTGACGAAGAGCGCATCTTCTATGAACGAGAATTCTCGTTCTTTAATGAGATCACGGGTATCTCTGGTACTCTTCGGCCATATATTAAGAAGAGTAAACCCGAGAAAAAGGAGAAGATTGAGGAGGAGCTCCGTAAGATCAAGGTTGAAGTGGGAGTGTATCTCCCCAGTAACCCTGATGGTGTGGTGGTGGGTATTGATCGAAAATCCGGCAAGCCCTTACAGAGTCACGCAAAGGCGCCCTACATGGCAACCTTCCGGATTCAAAAGACCCGGCCACGGCTGGAAGCTAGTAAAGGAGCTCGTGCCCACAGCGGCGAGTCTCGTCAAGTGGCTAAGCGGTCTTCATACGCTGAACAGGAGACTTATGAGGTTTGGCAGTCGGCGATATTCAAAGTCGGCGATGACTGTCGTCAAGACATGCTCGCTTTGCAGATGATTGCAGCCTTCCGTAGCATCTTCTCCAGTGTCGGGCTCGATGTTTGGGTCTTCCCCTACCGGGTCACCTCCACAGCTCCTGGTTGTGGCGTGATCGACGTGTTGCCCAATTCGATTTCTCGGGATATGCTTGGGCGTGAAGCCGTGAATGGGTTGTATGACTACTTTGTTTCCAAGTATGGAGGTGAAGACTCCATCAAGTTCCAAGAGGCACGCACCAACTTTGTCAAGAGTATGGCGGCTTACTCCGTGATCTCCTATCTGCTCCAATTCAAGGACCGACATAACGGCAACATCATGATTGATGACGCTGGACACATCATCCACATCGACTTTGGTTTCTGCTTTGACATTGCCCCCGGTGGTGTGCGTTTCGAGCGGGCACCATTCAAATTGACTTCTGAAATGGTCGCGGTAATCAGTGGGACTCACGACCCAGCCCATCATCCTAGTGGCAATCCCGGGCTCGGTCTGCCCGGGACGCATTCGTTCAATCCAACTGCCACTCAGCCTTACCGCTGGTTTGAGTCGATGGTTGTCAAGGCCTTCCTAGCCTCGCGCCCATATTGCACCAAGCTTTCGCACATTGTATCCTTGATGCTGGATAGCGGTCTGCCGTGCTTCAAGCCCGAGACCCTCAAGAACTTCCGTGATCGATTTGTCTTAGATAAGAGTGAAAGAGACGCAGCAGAGTACATGCGGGACTTGGTGAGGAAGTCATACATGAGTCGCTCTACCAAGGGATACGATCAGTTCCAACTGATGACCAATGGCATCCCCTACTGATTGCACTCCTGTCTTTCACGTCTTGTGGATTTGATTGCTTTTGAAGTTATTCACATTTCTTTCTGATTCTACTGGATCGGCTACTCATATTATGTTTTTACTTGATCGCGGAAAGGGGATTGGTCTCCAATTTGGATTTTCGCTTACGTAGTTTGTATACTTCAATCTTGAAATTCTTTTTACTTCGCTTCCTCAATTCTTCGCCGCTTCCAGAACCCATTGCCTCTCGTCTAAGCCAGTAGAAATGGGTTTATGAAACATGGAGCACTCCAGGATTATGTTTATTTGGTTGATTGACGTCACGACTTCGTGCCCGCCACCGTTCACCACATGTTCCAACCACGTCAGAGAGGAAATGACGAACTGGGCTTCGGGTGGCACAGGAGCTAAACGCTGGAGATTCGCAATTACTGGTGGGATTTCATTTGAAGGATATAGAATGGTTTGACAAGGTTGTATGTGTAGTAGTACTAGTGGTATCCCAGTTGTATAGACACCAACTTTCCCTAGCAAGCACGCTCGCAAACCCTCCGATTGTTACCTATAAGATCGTGGGCTCCACTCATGACGGGCTCTTCTTAGGATGGCTCGGACGTGGCAACTTAGAATCATGAGAGCCACCTTGACCAAATATGTAGCCTTAAATACCTAGGCGGTGCCTAGCTTAAGCAAGCCCTGCTTTTCTGCTGCACAGACCCAACCTCGAATCCGGTTCATGTTCCTCACATTTCAATCTCAAGCTCACCTTTTGTTCTTCCAATGAAGATTCCTTTTTTCAAGAAGCAGGGGGAAGGGGACACTTCCCCACCTTCTACAGATATATCCACGGAGGTCGACCACGAGAAACGGAGAAGTAGTTCGTTTGACGAGTCCCGTGTGCCATGGGTAACATGGCGATCATTGACCTTGGGAGCATTTGTCTCCATTGGTGGTGTCATTTTTGGATATGACACCGGTCAGATTTCTGGGTTTCTGGAGATGAAGAATTACAAACATCGCTATGGCCAGCAGAAGAGTGATGGGACTTTCTATTTCAGCAATGTCCGGTCTGGGTTGATCGTGTCTCTGGTGAGATTCTTGAATTTGGATCCTCTTTCATTCTTCTCTGACCATACAATATAGTTGTCAATTGGAACCCTCATTGGAGCTCTCATAGCTGGCCCTTTGGCGGATCGAATTGGCCGTAAATGGTCAATATTTGCATGGTGTATTATCTTGCATGTCGGTCTGATCATCCAGATCTCTTCACCTTATGGAAAATGGTATCAGATGATGATGGGACGATTCGTCACTGGCTTCGGTGTAGGATCATTATCGTTGCTAGTCCCCATGTATCAGGGTGAAATTGCACCAAGACATATTCGAGGTGCTATGGTCTGGTAAGCTAAATCCTTCTAAAATTAAAATCCCAGGAGGCTGTTGCAACTGACCGCGATTCTAGTTCGTACCAATTGTTTGTCACATTGGGTATTTTTGTTGCGTACTGCATCAATTTTGGCACAGAGAGCATGGATAGCACAGCGTCTTGGCGAATTCCATTGGGCATTACTTTCCTCTGGGGTCTGCTGTTGGGACTTGGCATACTTTTGTTCCCCGAGAGTCCACGATATGATTACCGGCATGGGCGTGTGGCCGTCGCAAAGACCACAATGTCCAAGCTATATGGCGTGCCTGAGAACCACCGAGTCATAGTCCACGAAATTCTTGAAATTCAGGGTCAGCTGGAGACTGAAAAGGGAACGAGAGGGGGGTTGTATGATTGGATTGAGATGATGCAGGCCCCACGGATGCCATATCGTATCGCTCTCGGCATGGGGCTTCAGGCTTTGCAGCAACTGACCGGTGCCAATTACTTCTTTTACTATGTAAGTGCGATGTCTTTTGAACCGAAGCTTGGCGCTAGGAGACTGACCATAATCACCCAGGGAACGGTTATCTTCAACGGAGCTGGAATTAGCAACACCTATGTCACGCAGATGATCTTGGGTGGTGTCAATTTTGGTACCACGTTTGGAGGTCTATATGTCATCGAGCACTTTGGCCGGCGCAAGTCACTGATCACTGGTGGCATCTGGATGTTCGTCTGTTTCATGGTGTTTGCATCAGTGGGGCACTTCTCCCTTGACGTGCAAACTCCAGAAAACACTCCAGGTGCCGGCAAAGCGATGGTGGTTTTTGCGTGTCTGTTTATCACTGGGTTTGCCATGACTTGGGGCCCGATGGTGTGGGCTATTGTGGCAGAGCTATACCCATCGCGGTATCGAGCCAAGGCGATGGCACTGGCCACAGCTTCAAACTGGATGTGGAACTTCTTAATTGGGTTCTTCACTCCATTCATCACGGGGGACATCGACTTTGCCTATGGATATGTATTTGCTGGGTGCCTCTTCTTCGCAGTCATAGTTGTGTACTTCTTCGTCATTGAGGGTAAGGACAAGACTTTGGAGGAGATGGACATGATGTATGTGATGCGGGTACCACCTTGGAAGAGCAGCAAGTGGACGCCACCGGCACCAGAGCATCAAATCACGACGAACCAGCTCATGGACCGACGAGTGGCAGAACAGTATGATCTCGAAGAAGACGCCGAGGCCAACAAGAAGCAAGCTGAGACGCCGGGCCATTTGCATGCAGAGGATCCTTCTGGTGCAGGTGCCGGAGTAGCAGGTCCCTCTGCAGCTTAAAGATACATATGAAAGGCTGTGAACTATCAAGCTGTGGGGTAATTAGATGGAGAAGGGTAAATGTAGTAAGGACGAGGGGCAGATGATGTCCATGTAAGAACTTTGGTCATGTCATAGGTGCCGTATGGTAGGTACATACGCGGAATTGAACGATACAGTTACGAATAGATATAAGTATATATATATATCAATACAGTATATGTCAATAGATGGCTTAAATTTGCATTCGTTCATATCATATCAATTTGGGCCGCATATGTCATTCTCAGTACCAGTTCGAGATCGTGAAGAAGAAAACAGAAATAAGAAACCCGAATGCACCCTCACGCCCAAAACATATCAACGTGGGAACAAATATGATCTTGGTGTCCGACCTGTAAAAAAAAAAAAGAAAGAAAAAAACCCCTTGCCGTCCGCTATCCAGCACCAGAGGAACATGGTCGAGTTTTTGATATCAACTCCATGCGACGAAACTAAAAACACATATGTGAAGGGTAAAACTAAAAGATTCACCATGAAAAACGAGAACAGAAAGAATATTGTAAACATCTGCGAGCCTAGTCCATAAAGTCACCGCGCAAGATCTTCTCCTGGAAGAAGTCGGGCTTCTTCTGCTTCGGCTGCTTGGGGATTTCCCGAATGGGCTGCTCCATGGAGGCAATGGAGGCTGCACGCTGATGGTGCGACTGACGGGCCGACTGGGGGGAGGCGGGGCCACCGAGGGAAGGGGCTCGCTCAGCACGTGAGCGGAGGGCCTCGGACCAGTTAAAGCCTTCGCCTACTCGGCGAGACACGTTAGATCTCTCATCCTGGGGAGAAGTGGCGGTACTTGCAGGAGAGCGGGCTGTAGGCCGCGCTGTCGGTAAAGAAGGGGGTATTCTACCATTGCCTATACTGCCGGACCGGGCATCCCTTAGAGCCTGAGCTCCAAAGGACACTCGCCGGGCAAATGGGGAGCTTGGGGAGCCCCCCTCTGCATCCTCTGCGACGGCATCCTCATTAGGAGCAGAGCCCCAGGAGCTGGACAGGCTACCACGACGGAGGGACATATTGCCGAAAGCGGACGTTTGGGTCGGCGAACCAGACAATCCCAGCGTGGTGATTGACAGCCGTCGCTGGCCCTGGCCCGTCTGTGCGTTGGTCTCCTTGGCAGGTTGATTGTTCTTCGAGAAGAGGTCGGTAAAGGGGAGGCCGGATGCAACGGAACCACGTCTGGGGCGCGAGTCAGAGGCAGGGACGTTGATCGGAGAGGTGGAACGGTCGTTGGACATGATTTAAAAAGGCGTTCAGAAATGAGAAGGGTGGAAACTGGACGGACTGGCCGCCCTTCTCATTCAGGTGAGCTGAGGATGAAGAAAGTCGAAACTGCTAAAAGGCAATCTCAACCCAAGCAGTGGTGAAGATGGGAAGCTAAAAGACAGAGATGACTTTGAGGGGGATTATTCAGTGGAATGGAGAGAATGTGGAAAGATGGAAATACAAAAGAGGGGAGTGTGTGGCACCACATGAAGAATGACAAAGAGGGGAGATAAACTAACTGATTATCTGGGGTAGCGCCACCTATAGTCGTATTCCGAGTGGAGCGGATTCGCCTGATGATGTCGAACATGTCCTGTTCTGGTCGTTGATTCGCTATTGAGCTTACCGTGGGCCGTTTTGGGCCAAGCTTAGTTCCTTTTTGGGATGTGTGATTGGCGGATTGGGTCAATATGCCCCGCTTCTCATCTTCTCAGCTAGGTAGATCTTAAATTATGCTTCATAAACGGATTAGGCTACGGTCCGAAACTGAAACCGTCCAAAACATGGGGTATCTTTTTTTCTATACCTATAGACCAATCAAAGATAGTGATACAATATCAAAGAAGAAATAAGGAGAAAGAGGGATTCATTTCCCCCGGGTCAAAAAGAATGAAGACACTGGAATGTCTATACAAAAATGAAGACAAGAAAAGAAAAAACGATAGGAAGCTTAAAAAAAAAAACGTACATTATGTATTACTCGTTTCCCGTAAGTTGTTTTTCCATTACACAGTCTCTCATTTCCACAAATATACCTATAGGTTGACGAGTAGATGTATACTGGGAGAGAAGGATGGAGGACACGACAAGGGGAGCATTCCCTGTCCACTATTGCCCCCCCCCCCCACTCCCTTTTTTTGGACCTTTGCCTCAAATCACAAAAGCACATCCCCCCTGGAACGTAGGGCATGTATGATCCTCAGGTTTGGTGGAACAGCTGAAGCAGTTTTCGGCCGACCGTCGGTTCGATTTCGGTCCCGTCACGGGCAATCTTAACCTCACGGTTGGCATTCCACGGATTGCGGAGCCCACGAGTCCGGTGGAATGGCACTCGTCCAGTAGAGAGCCATTGGATGCGGAAGGGCTTGCCAAAGGTCTGGCCATCTGTCTCGAGCTCCTCCATCGGAGCCTCGCTCTTCTCACTCCGGGCATCGTCCTGTTCATCCTCCAGTGATTCCACCTCCCAGAAAATCGTACCTCGGGCCGAGTCATCAATGATCCGACCCTTTGGAGCCGTAGAGGTGGCCAAGGTCGGCGTTACCTCCAATTCCTCCGTATTGCTCGGGGCAGGTTCCGGTCGAGCAGGCATCTCCAACGCCAGTTCTTCGTCGTCACTGATCGGGGAAAGCATGCGAGCATATCCAAAGTACTCACCAGATTTGTTGGCCGAGAAAATCAGGTATACGTGCTCCGTGGTCTGCAAAATATAGAATCCGAGGTCAGACATGGGCAAACTTGGGGCTGCAGAAATTGACAAGAACTACTCACCTTGAAGGCTTGATTGAGATTGGTTTCATTGTGACTCTGGGTGGCCCAGATACCACTTTGTTTGCTCAATTCGAGATCCTCCACGGTCAAACTCTTCACAATAAAATACCGATCCGATGAACGGGACCCATCTTCCAGGGGCGGAATAGGGCGGAACTCGGTGGCACCCAGAGCATCCTCATCTGGGGTGTCGGTATTCTCCTCGGATCGCCGAGTGGCCTGGCCCGTAGACCCCGACCCGGGGACCGTGAAGCCTTTACGAAGTCGACAGACAAGACGAACCCCTTGAAAGCGAGAGTCGTGAAATCTCCCCAAAGCGGCGGCACAGGCGATTGCTGATTTGTAGTTCACAAATGCACAGTTACTCTTGGAGATAAGAAACACACTCTCGATGTCGCTGGTCGCATCCTGGGAGAAGTGATCCTTGAGATCTATCACGTTGGCTCCGGGTGGGAGATTTCCGACCCAAAGAGCATTGCCAGACTGTTTGGGCTTGCGGGGTGGCCCCCGGGGGTACTGGAGGTCGACACGGAGTTGGTGAGAGAAACTGGATCTGCGAAGCACACAACGCATCAGCAATCCAAGGTCGCTGCCAATGTTCAGCGGCTGAACATACCGGCAAGTAATGGAGCCTGTGCTAGCCTGGAAGGATTCGAACCGTCTACGATGGTCTTCGAAACATCATAATCCAATTCAGAGAGTCGTCTGTCTTCCTTCGGGGTGTTGGTAGGTAATGGTCCTCGAGGGCCCTGGCGAGTTTGGGGTCGTGGCTGTGTTGGGCCGGTTACGGGAGGTGTGCTATGTCCATATGGTGCTGCATAAGGGTGAGCGTAATAACCACTCCCATATATAGGGGCCTGTCCAGTGCCCATGGGTTGCAACGATGGGGTCGCGACATATGACGGGTAGTGACCGGCACCGTGTGGTGCCGTTCCTGGGTGTTGACCTAGGCCATATGGCGGGTAAGCCGGATTGAAGGGAATGCCATATGGTACTCCTCCTGGAGTCTGTCCAGGATACGGGCTCATTGACTGCATTGGATAAATCATGCCTTGGGCGGGGGCGGGAGGGAACTGATTCGTAAGATGTGGTTCAAACGGCGACGGTTGCGACTGGGGATTTGGAAGTGAAAAAGCCATATGATTCATACTCATGGATGAGGGCTCATATCTCCCATGTCCCATATAGCCAGGGCTGGAATATTGGTTGGCCTGCACTGGTCTCAGGGGTGGACCGGTACTCTCGGTACCTATAAGATCGAACAATATCAGCGCTTCCATTCGCAGAAATCTTTGCAAAGGGTCGAGGGAGAATTTACCAGATCCTGGGGTTGGCTTCGAGGCATCTGGCTCTTGCGCCAGGGTCCCTTCTGCCCCCCGAGATGAGTTGACCTTGCCTGAAGGAACATCGCCCATGGGGCCCGGTGGTGAACTGGGTCGAATGGGATGGAGAAAAAGAAAGACCCTCTAAGAACAGAATATATTAAGCCGGGGAACATTAGATCCAACATTGTATCCAACTAACCTCTCGGACGCCCAGAATTCCCCAGAGTGTGAGACCACTTGGGTCTACGGTACAACACTAAATAGTATGCGCAGTACAACTCACAGCAATAATAAACAGTCGATATTTCTGCTCAATGTGTGTGTAGAGGTTAATAACCAACCACCATGACAAAAAGGGGAGTTGTGAGAAAAGCCAGCAACGACACAAGACAATGCTCAAGCTCAAAACATCAGAAGGAAGAAGATAATAGAAAGGAGAGTAATAAAGCAAGGTCAATGACAGAGAACAAAGATGGGTATAATGATGGAATGAGGGGGGCGTAAGGCAGTGTGCAGGAAGTGTATTGCCGCGCTTAAGCAGGGCTAGACAGCCCCGACTTCCCGGGAAGGTCATTGGGCTGTGTGGCTCATCTTTCACGGGAAAGGGAAAAAAAAATGATTGGGAAGAAAGGATATAAACAAGTACAGGATATCGAATCATATGGGAGCAAAGGGGGCAGAGAGAGTGTTTGGGGTCGGTACAAGGTCCAGAGTCCAGATGTAAATCCCCCTTCAAGCGTGAAAGCATAGACGCTTTTCTATCAATATTCTTTCCAAATGGTCCTTGAGAGAGGAAAGTATTGTAGAGGGACATCACACATACGGCTAGACCGAGATGGAAGTCAAAGGAATTGGGGAACCAAGTCCGCCAATAGCGTGATTCGCTCGTACTTGTAGGGCTGGGGAAACATTTCGCACAGAATTGACGCTTGGTTGGGGAATTGACATGCGAACGTACCTTGTGGGATTTAGTCTGAAATGAACCCCAATAGGAAAAAAAAAAACTTAATCCACGGGAACCAGCTTCAACGGGAGAGTTCGTACAGATCTCTATACGGTCAACAGGCTCACGAATTAACCCCGAAGCGAACTAGAATGCCCAATGCAGGAAAGCCGAGATGAGGGGAATCAAGTGTGGCTTAAGTGAAGTAGACTCTCGCACACTAAAGTAGGATCCGGCAAAAGGCGCACGGTGTCTGGCAAAACCCAGATATACTAGATATCTTGTGGAGACGAGAAAAGGCAGAGACGTTTTTTCTTTTTTTTTTTAAAAAAAAGAGAAGAAAAAAAAAAGACAAAAAAGAAAAAGAAAGATAACGTCCGGCTGACGAACGCCCAACGCCTTCGAGGGTTCTTTGTGGATTCAAAACAGTGGCGGATGGGGGGAGGTGGAAAGAGGCTTGGACGTCCAAACACACTTGGCTGTGGCTGACGGGATCAGGAGATGTTGCGTCAAGCACAAAGATTACAAAGGGTGATTCTTCATCCCAGATTTCTACCGATTGGGAATGATCGGAGCAGGGAAGCTCGAGCGGGTCGAGGGGTATACCTGGGCCGGTGGGCCCTGTGGTGAGGATTTCTTGTGGCGGCCCCTCTCTGTTGAGCATACCAAGTCAGGCCTTTAGATTGGGCTGGAATCCTTTTCAAGATGGGGTACGCTGCCGCCCAGACGACGATCTTTCGCGCTGTAGATGCCCCTGCAGTGACAAATGCTTGTCATCCAGTGGAGCTTGAAAAAGGGCCAATTTTCAAATTCTGAGGACTCGGAAGTATCAAGGGAAATCGAGGCTGAGGGCCCATGGATCTGAAGCTGGCAAATGCATCGGGTAATCATGCCCACATGGCGCGCATGAATTTGTCAGTGGCTTCTTCCGAAGAGCTCGTGCCAGACCGGACACGACGGATGTATTTTACGATGCCATTGGACCACATTCCGTGACTTCCATCGGTACTGTACTTGGAAGATATTTCCATCGGCGGATTTACATGTACTGTGTAGCCGCATACATTGTGGTAGTGACGCAGGTCTGCTTTGCCACTGTCAGGGGTGGGTTAATGTGGGTTGGAAGGGGGGAAGGGGACAAAAAGGTGGGGAGGAAGAGCGAGAGCGAACTGCTGCAATCCCCCCAAAAAAACTACAAGAACAAAGAAGAAAAATACAGATTGTAATACCTGTCAAAAAAAAGTCCTATCCGCGACGGATAGGAGCATTCCACCTTCTGGAAAAATTACACAGGACCGCGTACACAGACCCAGCAGGCCCTCGGCCTATCATGGACGAAAGGAAGAACGGCTTGTGTATCCCGACGGGCGGCGCCGAGGCCGTAAGGGGAAAGCGTGGATGAAATGGAGTGCGAAATTTGTACACTCCCACTAGGCTCGATCATGATCCCACCAATCGTGGAGAAGCTATGGACCCAGCCAAACCCCGTGAAAGGTCCAGAAATGTGGCGCTCACACGGATGATACCGGTTTGGGTAGCAGGAGACGTGTACAGGTCCAGACTCCTCTATTCGACGCAAAAGCCCAGGCTAGAATCCCTCCTGTACATGGTGGCTTTTCAAGGGTTTGCCGCCATGCATAAGTGCAACGTTTGGGCTTCCGGAGGTGACCCAGGGCACCAGGTCGATCAGACCACTCTGTCGGTAACGGGAAATCCGCTGCAATGGTGTATGTATCTTGACCTGGAAATTTGATGGCAGGTTAGTGAGAGGGTCTTGGAGACGGAGTGGGTCACGCATCTCCCCACTCAACCGGGTTTCGGGGAAAATAGAAAAAGATAATAGATAAAGAAAAGGGTTCCATTGATCGAGAGAATTAAAAGGCAACCTTGGAAACTAATATGGAGATGATTGAATTACAGAAAAGGGAATTGGAAATTGTCAGTACAGTCTGAAGTGAAGTGAGAAGGTGAGGAAGTGAGAAGATCCACTTGCTTGACATTGATCGGCATCTCATGCCAGCCAATCATAGTCAGCCATTGCCGACCACACCGCATCCAAGGTTCATCTTTCACAGTGACATCGCTACAAAGATGTGTTTTACTACGTGTTCTATGGCAATTACAATTGTTACAGAGCCCATTTCATGACTAACCTTCTTGTACACTACGTGGACTCCCTTTGGACTTCGGAGTATACAAATATCTACAGGAACGCTGTATAACCTCCGCAGATCACCCAATTGACCCAAATCTCTTGGAATCAGATCAATTCACTAGATTCTACTAGGTCCACCATTCTATACCGTACACTTTTACGAGATGATACATATATACCGATGGTTTTCTGTTTTGTGTCCTCTGACCCGGAAATCAGGTGATCGCAAGTATAAACATACATGTACGCCACACAAGCCACTTATCTACAAAGAGCCATGGAAACATGATTGATTTTTGATGTCTCGCCACTCGACGCAACGACGTGAAAACAAAGATCGGTATGGCAGGTTCATTATGGAATACGCGTTAAACATATTGGATTGTCTGACCGAACGACCAGAAGTAGAAATTCCTGGCGCATGCCCGCGAAGCCCTCAACTCGGCGTGCACTGAAGGAGTGGGAAAGAATTCCCACAAAACTTGGAAGAGGGGAACAAGGGCCCTTTTGAAACATCCACATACTCTCCATGCTGTGCAATTCAATCCACAATGGATAATTCGGAGAAGGGGGTCTCTTTCCGTATACAGAGTGAATAGGGCCATTTACGAGTGGCCGGTCCAAGAACCTCCAAGCAAGATCGTCACGGTACGCACCTCAGGCCGCCACATGGGGGATAATGACGTCATAAGCTTATGTACATCATTTCTCCACGTTCCTAGCAGCGTCCAATCAGCACTCTGTATATTCTGACTCATCAGACATCAGAAAATGCTCAAAGAATCTGATCTCCGAATGAGAATCACTTGGTGGGTCCACTTTCGACCCATTGAACGCCGCTGATGTATTCGAACATAGCGATCGATGGTTTTCCATCAAGGGCGCAATCGGCACACAGTGTACTAAAAGCTCCTCGTGGAAGATAGTGCTCCGAGAATTCAACGTTCCAAGTTCAACATACTGTACGCACGTCCATTCCACATCCTCACATGCATCCCCACTTAGTCTTGGGGTCCGAGAGGGGATCCCAATTAGAACTCGGTGATCTGATGGGGATCAGCCTGGGGCTGGCGCAACATTGAGGCGGAGGCGATGGTCTCATATCCTTGTGACGGAGATCCGCAATTCCATTCCTACAAGAGGGAAGGGGCGGGCAAAAGCACAGGTCCATTGGGCTGAGAACAACGGGTCTAACACGGCTCAATGGTTGATCTATCACGCATGGTGCTTTGGCAGAGTGGCAGTGAACGCCAGGTGGACTTGCTTCTTTCCTAATATAGGAATGAGCTGCTTGCTCGGTGGGATCTGCAAGGGCTGATGAGAGAAAACCTGCTCGACTCTGTCAAAAGGCCTTAATTCATTGTTCTCTACTGGCCTCGCTGGCCGTGATAACCGTTACTTCCGGAGATTTCAATCGAATATGATCCACATATGATTTGGAATTTCCCAAGGATCCTGTTTTACAGTACATACTGTGCAGTATATGCTCATCTCACTGCATGTCTTGGCCGTTTTACAAACGCCACTGACCCAAGGCTATACTCGATGAAGACAAGCATCGTCCGTTGCCGGGCCCGATGGAATGAGTCAAGAGGAGCAGATTGCCACTTCCAGGCAGCGAGATATTCCTAGTGTGTTTTCGGGCACTCCATGGAAGCCCATCGACATGTCTTGTGTAATGAGACATAGGGAAGGAATTAATTCATATGCAAACTCGTGCTGAATTGCCCCATATGGTTTGGTGACTACGATAAGAAGACATACAAAGAAATGAGCTATTCTACTAAATATGCATAGTATGACTGTTTTAGCTTTCATCAAACCGAACATTGTACATCGTATAGATATTCGAATCATCATCCACCAATTATATGCCTTTTAACCAATCTAAAGAAGACGTAGTTATCCAATATTTCCGAAGCAGCTATACAAGGTCATAGTACACTATTGAGGTGATCTATACCATGAATATTGATGCAAGTCATTGTGACCAAAAGGAGCGAAGGATTATGATTCATTCTCAGAAGGGAACTACTCCCTAGGTATGTACAGCCGTGAAACAAAAGTAAACCCTTATCATCCACCAAGCCAATCGTCAGATTACACTTGGATTGGCACCAAGACGCCAGTTGGAAAGAAAGTCGAGGGCACGGAGAAGAAAGGCATCGCTGGGGTATTGATACATAACGAAGAGCCCCCTCATGATTGTAAGTCCTTGTCTCCCCAAATAGAGAGGGTGGTGTGAAGACACAGAATAATCCTCCATGAGAATCCACAGCCCTTGGAAGGGGCGGGGGAGCCAAAAACACAAACCATGATGAAGACAGCCAACAACCGAACCGAATAAGAATGAAAGAAACCACCCAGCCGTTCAGAGCAGAAAGGATGGAAAGGTGACCACCAGAGATTTCAAAGACAAAAAACACAAGGACGAAAAAAAAAAAAGAATAGAATACCCAATTCATACACAGAAGAGTCATCAGAGGGCAAAAGGTTCATGTGAGTCTCATTACGATGGATATAAATAGGAATTATTGGAAGCGGCCCCGGGATACCGAGGTCATTATCGGTCAATCCCGAGGGATGCTACCTTCCCTGCGAATCGTGCGCCGGCGCTTCCTCGCTTGGACAACTTGTCTTTCTCCTTCGTATCGGAGTTAGGCACTTGGGACCCAGATGAAGCCGAACTGTCCCTGCTGGAGCCCCGAATGGTGGGCAGGGACCCAAGAGTGTCACTAGCGGTAGTCTTTGCGGCAGGACTGGGGGCGCTGAATGCAGAATTCCGCGCAGTGCGCTGACTGAGATACAGCTGTGCAGCGGGGGATAGAGGGATGGAGGGAGGTTGTGGGGGGATCTCCGCGCCGTTCTGGACCAGCAGTTCGGCAACGGGGAAAGGGATTGCTTTGGCGTTGGAACGAGCGGTCAGGCTAGTAGGTGTGGATCCAGGTGAAGCAGGGTCAGCGGCAGCAAGGGCCAAGAAGACAGCGTGTGTATTGCGGGACCGATCTGGGACATTGACATTGGCGCGTAGTGCCATCCCATATAGGACACCTTGAATGTCATTCGTCTTGATGGAGGCAAGGAGTGTTTCGTTAGGAGTCGCAAACCGGGATCGGGAAGATGGCAATTGCTCCACATAAGCTCGATCAACATATTTGGCCGTGATGAACTTGAGACGCTGCTCCCTTGTGGACGCTGCGCTTGGTTTGAGCGACTGGTCCAGTGTTGCCTCCCAGATCATGTTGCTAACCCGATTGCCGACCTGTAAGAGAATCTCAACAATGTCGTTTGAAAAGGAATGAACATCAAGAGTCAAGGATCGGATCTTGGAGATGTGGGTCCCCAAAGATCGGTGGATACCACTGCACTCAATGCACAGCACAATGCCGAGGTTGATTGACACCCATTCGACCTTGGAGGAAGACCCACAATCGGCGCACCAATTGTTCCCCTCGTCAGCATCGCGCACGGTCTGTAGTAGCCGTGAGGGGTTCTCCTCATAGTTGTTACTGTCGTTGCGAACATAGCTGGGGCGTGCTCCAACCGTTGTACGGCGCGTCACACCAGCAGCCGAGCTGCTTGAATAGGAGTGATGACCAGATACGGATGAGCTTTTACCCGTTAACACAGACCCAATATCACGACCGGTAGATGACTCGCTCTTAGACGAAACAGGGGGTGCCAGCGGCATTCCTCTACCCTCCACTGCACTTTGCAGTGCATTGTTGATAGAGCGAATCCAATTCGCCATGTCATCCTCTGAAGTAGCCTGATAGACTCGCTTGAACTGTGGTGTTATAACTTCAAAGCAGAATCGTCGCTCAGCATTGCGAGCTTCGCGAACAGATGCCATTCGAAGATCGATAGGCTCCATGTGGAGATCTAGTTTTTGCTTCCAGTTGCTGTACTCTGAGAGTTTCCCTTGGTCTAATACAATCCAGAATCTAAGGTTGAGTGGATGATTAGCTTGGGTACGGATCATAGCCCGTTCACGAGGTGTCACCTACTTATGCCAAGCCTGCTTGTTGATACCTTTGGGGTCCATATGGGACCCAGGACGGGAAAGAGCCCACAACAACCCTTCTTTTCGTTGCTGTCCAGCAGCACGATCAGTCCCGAGCGATTCCCGCTCTTCAAGATCCCGAATGCCCTTGAAACGATTTTGACCCGAAGCGCCGGTAGGACCTGCGCTAGTTGTAGGTGCAGAGCTACCACCAGCGGTTGAGCTGACTGACCCTGCGTTGGCTTGGGATGAGACGGACGAGCTGTTGCTGATGACGCCACGCAGCTGGGAGCTTGTGCTATCGGCTCGGCCCAACTCAGTCTCCGTAGAAGCAGTTCCGTTGGCAGTTCCAGGAAATATAGTTGAGACACTCGTGCCACCGGCCACGGCATCAGGTTCAAGGTATGGATTACTGTTCTTTTCGAGGGCCCTGCGCTTCTCCTCACGCTCGGTTCGCTTGAATTGGAACTCCTTGTCGGCCTGATTAACTTCGTAGATAAGTGCATCCAGTTGGGGGACCATTTCTTCAATCCTTTTTGCCGCTGCCAAGAAATTCTTGGCTTGGAAGTCCGCATACTTAGTGAGGTGTGAGAGCACCTCTTGTTCCTTGCGGCCACCGTGAAGATCCTGCATGAAAGAGGAATAATCAAAGCGCTTCAGCTCAAAGTTTCGCCGTTTGGCCTGGTATTTCGAGTCACTTTCGGCTCGCTTCTTCTCCTTGAGTGAGTCCTGCCGCTGGCCCAAATATCGGCTAACATAGGCGTAATAGTCCCGACTCTCCTCATCAAAGTCCTTTTTCTTTGACTCTGCTTGCTTGATATCATTATGATAAACCTTAATAAGGGGTTCAATGACAAGCTTTTGTAGCTGAAGCGTATTCAGCTGCTCGTAAGTCAGAATCTGACGGGCAATCCTCTCGAAATAGTGATCCAACGCAGGCTGAATAACGTTGCCATTAGAAGTTGACGTCTCCCCTAAGGAGCCCAAAAACGCTTCCATGGCATCATTGCAGGATGCCTGGGCCTGCTGGGCCGCTTCGGCCTTTTTAAGCACCTTCTTTGTTTTCGCGCGCATATTACCCGTTTTCTGTTCCAGCGCTTTCATGGTCGCTCGGAATAGTGGCCCATCTTCCACAACACTCATGTCATCTCCGGGTCGAGAATGTGGCAGATCAACTTTCACGGGAGGTGGGGGTGGGGGTTGTGTCGGGGCAGGGGGTGCCCCGTCTACGGTCTCGGGCGGAGTGATGGAAGGAATATTATGATGAGTGATCTCCGTGTCACTGAAATGAGAAGCCGTGGATTGGGTAGAGGGGACGCGGCTGCGAGGAGGGACCGGTAGCTCAAGGTTGGGCGACGATATCCGCGGACTTGGGAGCAGCCGCACCGAGTTGTGCACCCAGAAGGAAAAGTGAGCAAGGGTATTCAGGCGATTAGTCCTCTGATCATAGTCCAGCAAACTGCAGCTGTTTCGCCAGCCGCCCCCTTTGTCTTCTGGTCCCTTGGGAGGCTTCCATGTCCAGGACCACTCAAATGACACCGATGGGGTGCCATCCGTAGAAAAGTCTCCGATGAGTTGTACGTTGGAGTTATTTTGTAGGTTGGGATTTGCGTGAAACTCCCGGGTGATGAGGTTATCGAGTTCTTTCGAGTTTGACGCATGGGCAAAAGTAAGTCCATTAAGAATGGTGTCGCTCACTTCAGGAAGTGAAGTCGAGACGCCGTTGACAGTGGACCCGGTAACGTTGCCCGTTGGTGTTTGACGAAGAATAAAGGTGAAGTTGAAGATGAGTTCATCGTCGTTTGCGAGGCGCAATAAGAAAGTGGGAGTGGGAGCAGTAGAGGGGACGTCGGGATCCTGTATTTTGACAGAACATTAGCCTGCTTTTCTCAGCGCATATCTGGTCGGAGTTCATGTGATAGTACCTGGATATATTCGATCGGAGTATCATCACCTGCATCCCGCTTGGCTACATATCTCACTGCCGGGAATGCGTTGGGGGATAGGGTCAACAGGCGGCGCCTGGAGTTGCTTATGGTGACCGAAGCGATCGAGACTAGAACAAAGATTTTGTCAGCATCGCGATCTCCAGAGTCTTCTTTCATGAGGAGCAGGGCTTCTTGTACATCGATTCTGGTCCTTGAAGAACAAATTCCCCGCCTCATCGAGACGGCTGGCGACATTGCCCATGATGGCGCAGGCACAGAAATCAGGTCACGGCGCGAGAAGGGATCTGGGCAAGCACCGAGCCAATCGGCCATCGACAAGGTGCGCTGCAGTCGGATGGCCCGTAGAAGGAAGAAGTGAAGTAGAGTGAGAAATCCGTCATTCAGTTCATGAAGTGGTCTGAGAAGAAGAGGGGGGGGGGCGGTGGAGTCGAAGCTTGGGATCGGGCTGATCGCGTTCGAAGGAGGGGGTGGATATCGGGGAATCGAACCAAACAGTGGAGTTTGTTTCGGAGTTTTTGTGATTTCCTTCTCCCCCTTTTTGGTCTGTACTTCTGTTTCCAATCTTGAGAAATCTAGCAGATATGTGTTTAATGATCGGTACTTTTTTGCCTCTTTCATCAGGTGGATACTCTTCGCCCCTGGACAATGTAAGAAGCACGGGAGAGAGGGGCCGTGACTGTGGGTGGTTTCAGCCCCAATATAAGAAAGACTAATAAAAGCACATTGAACTATGCATATGCCTATTTGGTTCCACCTATTGGTCTGATCTTTACTTCCCACTGGTCTATCATATTTTAAGATTGTGATCGTAAAGACATAGAGTGCCTAGTACTATAACATAACAAGATTACTCTGTGCTGCATTGCCTCTTAAGGTCAGTTGAATAATGGGGAAGTCTATAAGAAGACATATAACAAGCTGTCCGGGGTTCTAAATGACATTCTAGTGGCAAGTCTATTAAGACGAAGAGGGTTTTATCGCATTAACAGCTAAACGATCTAGGCAACTCAGAATAAATGGATCATGGGGCATACACAGCCCTGGAGGCATGTGCGTGCGCCTGTTAACCTTGAAAGTCAGTACCTGGAATGTTTATACCGTATCATTAATCATCAGATGAAACCTTGAGATTAACTTGGAATCAAAGACACTGCATTATGAGTAAAATAATCGCGCATTAATGTACATCACGCCTAGTACGCGCATCATCCAATCGTGAACATCATTACGCTCGGTTCCGGCCCGAGACGATTCAAAACGGAGCAAAAAGAAAACAACTGGGAGAAATCAAGGGATGTTAGGATCAAGCCAAGACAAAGAATCGTAAGCATAGCTCAGGCAGCCGCTTTGGCTTCAGATGGGGTGGTGGCGGAGCGCACTTCACCAGTCGAGGCAGCCCGCTCACGACTGGAGTAACGGTGCTTCGGACGATTAGCATGCCCATCGGCTTCGACCCATTTCATCATTTGACCTTTGACATCACGCATCTCATGCACCTTCCGGTGCATGCCCCCTCGTCGAGGAACCTCGCCGCTGCGTTCATCCAGCTTCTCCTCGTCCGAACTAGAGATGGAAAGGTCTGAAACACTACTCTGTTGGAGGTATGTGACGAGTTGACCTTGGGATTTTTTGACTTCTCGTTGTTCGTTCTTCATCTGGCCCATTCGCTCAGCATCCCCTTGACAGTCAAGAGTGCTAACATTCAGACCCGGAAAGTTGGACGCGATGAACTCCTTCAGAAGGGGTAACTTTTCAGAATTGGGCCGGTAGGTTCCACTGTCATTATCAATGAAGAGTTCGTAGTCCGATGGGTCTGTTGAATTTTGCAGCAACTCCTGGGGCATCTCATCCTCCTCCACTGGGAAGTCGTTCTCAGCTGTCTCTGTGCGGGACGAAGAAGACTGCCGTTGATGACGATGAACAATCCGTCGCACAAAGAATTCTCCCGAGTACGCAATGTATATCGAAACATCACTATGCATCGTATGTTTGCTCAGAAGGTCGATTCCAAACTCTTTGCCTGTCTCCGTGAATCGAAATTTCCCGTCCAAGGTGATCACGTAGGTGAAGATCCGCCCGTTTTGACCCCAACTGGTGAATTCCAAGAACTTCTGCGTAAATTCGCGACACGGTTCGGCAAATGTGCCATCAAGAGTGCTGCGGTCAAAATTATAGATACGCTGATGTTGATGATGCAGAGCTTTATGTAGGATTCGGCCCCGTAGACTTTGCGCTTGGAACATGCCTGCCACAAATGGCCTGAATTCAACATAGCGATGATACAATTCCGCGGGAACCGGACCGCGAAGCTGCATCTGAATGGCTTGGAAGCTATCGAGGAATTGTTAACCCGGATCAACCATAATTGAATATCCATGAAGAGTGACATACTTATATCGACTGATGGGCTTGCCATTCCCATCAAGAGCCTTGACTTGATCCTTTGTCCCTGTCAGTCTTCCAAAGAGAGGTGAGAAGTGCTTGAACCAATAATTTGGGCCGAGAGTATACATCTGGCCACCGTCGGTCCCCGGGGTTCGACCCAGACACTCGATGCTCATAATCAAGAACGACTCCTTATGGTGACCAGTGGCAAACGCGGAGACATTGGTGAACACATAGACTCGCTTGCTGCCAAAGCGCTTTTTCACCTTGAAAGGCTGCTCTTTGAATCCTTTCCAACCTTCCAGCGCGGGTACATCAATGAACGCGATTCCCAATTTATCATCATGGTCCGCCGGATCCTCGTCCATCAGATAAGCCTTGAGCAAACCACCCGAGGCCGGAACATTTGCGACAATCCATTCGCTGTTCCATATGGGATTCATGTTTTTGCGCACGGTCGGCGATCGGAAGCTCATTACAGGATCTTGCTTATGACGCCGAGGTAAATCCACCTGTAGTTGCGCATACACGTACGGGTCGGAGGAAAAACTGCCAAAGTCCGCGATGGGGAGATCCTCCCCGCGATGAAAGGTGAACTTGACGGTATAGCCCGGCGGCGCATGAGGAATCGGAGTCGCATCGTATCCTCCAGCTGGTTTGGAGTGATCGTCCATAGTAAGCCGAGACTGTAGCTTGTCGGCTTTTTCGACCAGCTTAGGAGCGTACTTATCCACAGGATGCGAGGCCATGGCTGCGAGGAAAGCTGAATGATTTTAATACAGAGTGAAACGCAAGTGGGGGAGGTGGCATCATCCGAGAATGATAATCTTAGGATATGATAAAACAATAAGAATAGGGACTGGGGGGTTAGGTGGGGGGAAGGACCACGTTGATTGATTCCAAGGAAGTTCGGTGGAGAACAAAAGAGAAAAAAGCCAAGAGCCAAGATTCAGCCTTACCAGGCAACAGCCAAACTATATATACCCGAGATACAGATCGACGATGATCTCATAGTTTTAATATTCCATAGATAGGAATGAAATCAGTTTCTTATAGATTCTGATATAGAATGCTTGATTGAGTAAAAGTTGTCATACAGTCTTGCTCTCTCTAAGTATGCATTTGGTCAACATTAATCAACATACAGAAAATTGAAGCAAAAAGAACATAAATATATCGTAGAAATGCCAAAGGTAGCAAAAAAAGCAAGAGGTTCGTGAGGTCATATCGTGAAGGTGGGGGACATGCGCGTTGACTCCTTCGGTGACGTCGGGCCAATCTCCTTTCGATGGTGGCGTCTTGGAGACATCCTACGAACCTCGAAAGAGGAATTGCATATCTTCAGGGGTAAGTTTCTCAAGAGCCTGATCTTGATCCTTATTGATAGTGCCTCGAATGAGGTTGGCCTTTTTCTCCTGTAATTGAACGATTCGGGACTCGACCGAGTCTTCGATACTGAGCCGAGTGATCACACAGGGTCGTTGCTGACCAATGCGATGGCTGCGATCGGCGCTTTGCCATTCTGCTGCAGGGTTCCACCATCTGTACATAATGTGAGTAAAAGATCGACACATTACCCTCTCCAAACGGGGATGAACCAGGGAAACTTACGGATCGACAATGAACACTCGGGATGCTTCGGTCAAATTAAGGGCCACACCACCGGCTTTCAGAGAAACCAGAAATACTTCCACGTCAGCGTTGTTCATGAAGTGCTCGATAGATTTCTGTCGCTGCGCGGGGGTCATGGTTCCATCCAGCATGACTGTGTTAAATCCAGCATGACGTAGACGCCACTCCACAAGCTGTAGCATTGAAGTAAACTGCGAAAAGATGATCGACTTGGGGGTATGACTCTTGTTTCGCTGTTGGTAAAGCTCATAGACAAGGGTTTCAATCTTGGTGGAGGAGGTCCAATCTTCCATGAGAATGCGGTTTATGATCGAGTTTTTCTTAACGGACTCTTCAGCCTGTTCGATGGTAGGTTGCTCAAGATCGATTGAAAGGGCAATATGGCATTGCGGACAATCCACTGTCGTGCTCTCGTCAAAGGATTGGATGTAATCCTTGACGCACTTGCGACAAAACTCGTGTCGACAGCGAGATCGAATAGCGTCTTCAGCAGGCTCATCACAGACTCGGCAGACAAGGATGTTGAACCCAGGCTGAACATGCTTCTTGAGAATGAGATCTGGGTGATTTGCCACCTGCCGCATCTGCATAATCAAACCAAAGATATTCGCATAATTGTTCAGCATGACACCTTGACTGACATAAGTATCAAACTTTCGAGTCGAATTGGTCATGATGCTGCGCGAAAAATCATGTTCGATCTCACCGAAAAATTCATTATGAATGATAATGCTATCACACGGTCTTCGTTTAGCTTTGCCAACCAAAAGTTTATGGGGTGTTACTTACCGCTTCGGCGGGAGTTCCATTGACGACGTATGCTCCTGCTTCATCCGGCGCAGCATTATATGGTCCGTGATAAGACGAAGCTTCGTCAATCCCGATTTTCGCTCTTCCTGGGTTCTTCCCTCCGTGACTAGATATCTTAATAAGTATTTGCCGATGGAGAGGATGGAGGATGTCTTACTTGGATTGAGAATTTCCTTGTTGAAAATCGAAATATGGTTGAAACCCCTAGAGAACTTCGTCAGTAATGATAGATGTACTGGCTCTCTCGTTTGGTACATACGTGTGGTTGCATTCCGTACAACGGCCCTGTTTGTTTGCAGTCCACTGAAGCTGCTGACAATTGCATTGCTTACAAAAATAGCATGCAAATGGGCGGACCTGAAGGAAACGAAGCAGGGAGAAAAATTCGCCGATTCGATTCTGTACCGGAGTACCAGACAAACACCATTTGTAAGTAGCTTGCAGGGCAAAACAGGCCTTGGCAACACCCGTCGTACGTTGCTACATAGCAATGTTAGGTTGAACACAAAAAGCAAGGGAAAGCGACGAGAGGAATTTACCTTAATGCTATGAGCTTCGTCGAGGACAAGCCGGTGATAATGAATGGAATGGATGACACCTTTTGAATTGTGAGCAGGTGCGTACTATGATAACATTGGGAAAACTTACTGTCTTCTTTCACGACTCCACCAGTACGAGCCCAGCCCTTTTCTTGTTTTCGAAACATGGATTCCAGACTCGAGTCTTGGTAGTGTATCAGCCAAAGTATAATCCATTGAGGTGCAAAACAAGAGATGAACGTACAAGAGATCATGATCACGTCGTATTTTCGAAGATCAGTTGGGGTGAGCTTTCTAACCTTCGAGTCAGAGCCATGGTAAACGAGGACTTTCAATTTGCCATCGGTGTATTCCTAGTAAGATGGTGAGCCGAGGAATAAAACAGCAAATTGAGCACATTTTTCGAACCTTCATTTCAGATACCCACTGCATCAAAGCGACTGGGGGAACGAGGACGAGAGTCGGATCAGGCTGAGGATAATCCGACATAATCAAAGAAACAGCCTGGATTGTTTTCCCCATTCCCATCTCATCACCCAAGAGACCTCCACGGTACGCAGTCTTTTCCTGTTCCATCATCCAGTTCAAGCCCTCAAGCTGGAATGGTTTCAGCTTGCGAGTGATAGACTCTGGTTGCTTCGCTTGCTTCGGAGCAATGATAGGTTGGGCCTTCAGGTCATCCCACATGGAACTGATGGTAGGGTGCTGCTTCTCCAACTTCTTCCGATCTGTTTGTTTCTAAAACAAGGTCAATGAAATGATTCTTGAAACAAACTTGAATCATCTGGCTTACGCGGCGAATTTTCCTTTGCTCCTCCCAAGTCGGTGGGAGCTCCTCACCATCCTCGTCATAATCTGCGTAAAAACTAGGAGCGGGTGGGATCAAATTTGGGGCCCGCCTTGCCGTAGTATGAGTATTATCGAACTCCTCATACTCCTCATCCATTTCACTGTCACTATCTATTGATTGACACCAATTCGTAAGATCCTCAGCATCGCTCAAGCGATCAAGGGGAGATTCGGACAGATCTGAGTCATCTGACAGACTTTCCAGGTCAGAATACTCATCCAAGTTAATACCTTTGGCGCTGATGTTTGCACGGTTAGCCCTTGTATCGATCTTCCGTTTTTTCGGGCGCGGCTGGTCGTATTCCCCTACTTGAAGGGCGAGAGCCAGCGCCGCGTCCAAGTCGGAGCGGTCCATAGCTTCAGGCGAAGTCTCATCGACCGATCTTTTGACTCCTCGTTGAGTTGCTCGGGACATTCTACTCGCGCGCAGTTGCTGTGCGCGAGCTGATGCATTGACACGTGCCCGGGGCTTATTGGAATCCGTTTCTGCCGCAGCACTCACGCTAGTGGCGGGCGTGTTGAAGCCTGTCACTCCGTCGGCTGACAGAATCCCCAGAGAGCTCCGGGACGAGGCCATTGGGGATTCATCCTTTTTAGTAGGGATTACCACTTTCACACTTCCTGATACAAATTGATTCGCCGCTAGATCGGGTAGGTCAAGGGTATCGGAGCCTTCATCTTCGGAATCTTTGATGACACTAGTCATCGCTGATTTGGAACGAGAGGACCTGCGCGCCTGTAGCGGCTCCAGTTGACGAACTGGCGATGAACCTTTCAGTGATGCAGCACTGAGAAATCCGTCCTCAGAATCCGGGATGATGCTTCTGCGGGTTCTCATTGCGCAGGGTGACTGTGTTGACGTGCGTGAAGGGTGTCAAGTGTCGAGTGAGCGGAGCGAAATCGACGAGGATTTATTTACGACCGATCTATACCGGTCGAACAGAGAGTATTTAGTAGATGTATGACTCGATAGGTGATATAGTACGTACTTCGGTGCGTGCTTGATTTGGGGGCCTGGACCGTACCGCGAAATGGAAGTCCACGGAATCGCGTGTGAGATGTGATGCTTGACCTAGCGAGAACCGGAGGACTGAAAGAATCAGGATTCCAAGTAATCAGGTTTTGAGAAGAGCCCTTCCAGAAGGGGAAGAGAGGTGCAGAGGGAGAAAGGGGGGAGGCAAGATGGGTGATCGGAATTGATCGATCGTGCCTGAACCAGGAAAACTTTTCATTTGGTCGGATCACTTGAACTTTTTTTTGCCATTTCCAAACTTCCTATCCGAAGTCGAATTTGGAACCATTTGACTCATCATTCAATTCATCACTTGTTTGTTCCTTCATTTCGTGCTTTCGGGACTTCGTCTCGTATACTTATCGTGCTTCGATAAGAGCGCGTTAAGTGCAACGCGAAACTGCCGCGAACCCTGTGACTTGCAGCGATTTCCTCCATTTTGCCACCGAACTGTTTGGATTGACCACCTTCGCAATGTACGTTCTTCGGCCTTCATACCGCTATCCTGCAATTACTGACCCTAGCGCAGGACTGGTAGACGGCAAAGAGGCAATGCCGGGATCCGGGGCCCGTATGACTTCATTCTTCAAGTTTGGCGTGATGCATTACTAACACCACTTTGGTAGACAATCCGCTCTGACAGACTTCCTTGCTGTACGTTCAAATCAACATTCTAATGACCATCTCCTTTTTATGGGAATTTGCCACTGACGGATTCGTGCGAATAGTCTAATAATATCTCCGCCGCGCAAATTCGAGATGAATATGACCGCCGGGCTGCAGAGGCTGCGCGTCAGGCTGCCGAAGAAGAAGAACAAGCAGCGGACGCAGATTACCAGGACGAAGCTCCGCCAGAGCCACAACCAGAGTCCCCCGAAGAGAAGTCCCGAAAGCGCAAACGACAGCAAGCCATCGAGAAAATAAAGAAGAGCAAAGAATTCGCCCGTCGAAAAGCTCGACGAACTGGGGAGCCCGACGATGATGATGATATTCTGGCCGATGAAATGATGAACGAGAAGCAACGACCGATCCCAGGTCAGTTGGCGAATTGTGAGATCTGTGGGAAGCGCTTCACAGTCACGCCCTACAGCAAAGCGGGCCCGGATGGTGGTCTTTTATGTGCCGATTGCTCTAAAAAGCAGACCGATGGGGGTAAGAAAGGATCAGCCAAGAAGCGGAACTCAGGACTCGGCCGCCGTCAAAACCAAAGCAAGCTTCTAGATGGATTCGCTATCCCCGGTGCTCGGAGCTTGTTAGAGACGTGCATCAAAGTAGGTTTCGAGCGAACTGTTGATGACAGGGCTTCAGATCACTGACCCGGTCCTGCAGAAAGTTGCTGATAATATTGATGACGTGGACGAATTCGGAGACCTCCCTCCACTCGTGATGCATCGACTTAGCCAAATCTTGTCTCGAAATCGCGCCGTGACGCGGAAGACTTTAGACCTTTTCTTGCGGCCTGAGCACAAAGAATTGAATATATATGACTGCGCTAGTAAGTTATCTATACGGAAAATCTGCTTTTGCATGGCTTTATTGACGCTTTAATCTCGATGCAGAGTTACAAACCGATGACTTCCATAAGATTCTAGCTACTATGCCGGCTTTGACCCGACTGAATCTTCGATTCGTTACCGCCATGAAAGATGAAGTTTTCGAATACATGATGGCTCGTGATATGAAGATTCAGGATCTGCATTTGAATTCGCCAAATCTTGTAAGCGACGATTGCTGGCGACAGTTGTTTACTAAATTTGGCCCCCAGCTGCAAAGCCTCAAGCTGTGGAACCTCGATTCTGCTTTTGATGACGAAACGGCTGAAGTTATGAGCAAAACCTGTACCCTTCTCCGGCGATTGAAGTTGAAGTATCTCGATAAGATCGGCGACAAGACGTTGAGAGCCATATCGACCATGAAGACTCTCCAACATCTGTCGCTTCATCTCACACAGGAAACGAATCCCGAGCCTCTGCTTCAGGTCATTTCCCAATTAGGACCTAATCTTTACTCCCTTTCCCTGGAAAGCTTCCAGCTTGCAGACGACAGGCTGGTCCAACACGTTCATGAAAATTGCCGAGAACTGTTTAAACTTCGAATCACCGACAATGCCGTCATTACCGACAAGGCCATGGCTGAGCTTTTCCGTGGCTGGTCTAATCCAGCTTTGAAGTTTGTGGACTTCAGCGGTCTCCGCGACGTGGATATGTCCAACCCCGCTGGCCCTCCTGAGGCCGTAGGTCTTGCGTCCGATGGATTCGTCGCCTTGATGGAGCACTCGGGCGCAAAAATTGAAAAGTTGAAAGTTACTTCATGCCGTCATATATCGCACGCTGCATACGAGAAGGTTTTCGCCGAAAGCAAACGATACCCCGCGCTGAAGTCGCTTGACATCGCTTTCAATGCGCCTGTGGATGACTATATCATGCAATGCATTTTCCGGTGCTGCCCAGCTCTTACGAAAATAGTGGTCTTCGGCTGCCTTAAAATTCGAGACGTACGGGTGCCCAAGGGTGTGGCTGTTATTGGCACGTTAGGTGCAAAACTGACCGTCGATGGAATTGCTCAGAAAGAGATTGTCTAATCGTCTGAAAGGTCGATTCATCTCAGGAATTACATGGGCTTACAGCTTCTAATCAGTCACAAATCAGCCCAAGAAAGATCAGACTGCAAGGACATGGATTAATAACCGCTTCTTGCTTTTGAATATATTTTCCACAGTAGTATCAGCTTAATTTGAATCATTATTCATCGGAGCACACATAAGCACTATCAAAAACGCCACCTCATAATACATTATATAACACTCACACTATTTCCATGCCTTTAATAGGCCATACGCTTGCCGATCTCACTCTCCCAGCCACGCGATTTTTCAAAGCCATTTGACGCCGTCTGGTAATCAATCATAGCCTGCCGAACCTCTTCTTGGCTGTTGAGCACAAACGGACCATACTGGACCACCTTCTGGTCGAGTGGTTGACCAGAGACAATGAGGAAGCGAGCTTCCTCGTCTGCATTGTCAGGGACAGAGGCTTCAATGAAGTCACCAGCCTGCTCAAATACGACATTGTGGAACTCCTTTACAACCTGGGTGGAATCATTGGAGCCAAAAATGGTACTACCAGACAAAGTGTAAACAAAGGTGTTCCAACCCTGGGGGAGGGTTTGAGAGAGCCGGCCACCAGGGCGGATAGTAACATCCAAGATCCAGACCGGGGTATAGGCCAGATCACGGACGGAGTCAACACCATGAGATTGGCCAGAAATGACCTTGATTGTGACGCGGCCATCATCGGCGCTAGCGATTGGGATCTCGGTAGAACGCAAATCACGGTATCGAGGCTCACACATCTTCAGTTTCTTCGGCAAGTCGACCCACAGCTGCATGCCGACGTTGGGGCTTCCGTCGGGGTTCTCGTGGGGCATTTCGGCGTGCATGATGCCACGGCCGGCGGTCATGAACTGCAGATCCCCGGGACCGATGGTGCCCTTATTTCCAGCAAAGTCCTCGTGGTCAACACCACCAGACAGCAGATAGGTGATAGTTTCTTGGCCGCGGTGGGGGTGGTCTGGGAAGCCGGCGCCCTTGCCAATGGTGAAATGATCGAGCATGAGGAAGGGGCTGAAGTTTCGCAGTTTGGGAGTGCCGATGGAGCGGCGGACGCGCGCACCTGCGCCCTCTGCTTGCTCAATGGCAAGAAAAACTTGACGGATTGCACGAGCGGCAGACATGTTGGTGACTGGCAGGACGATGGGAGCGGACGATCCTAGGTCGGAGGGAGGGTTTGAGCTGCTGGTTTTTGCGAAGAAGTGCGACAGGTTTGCTGGTGTTTTCTGAGTCAGGTAGGCGAGAACAGAGTCCTGCTGGTATGCAAAGAAAGCTGCGGTGATGCCAATTAGAAGAGAAAGGATGAACCTCATGGGTATGATAGAGGCCTTTTATAAGTCTCTGTAGAAATCGAAGTTTCGAGCAGTGTGCAGATTTGCAGAACTATAAATGCTAAAGTCAGCGTTAGTCAATGGTTCATAAAGCAGCTTGACGATGCTTTGCAAGACATCAGTCAGCGATTTGACAATCTACGGATCCTGTCCCGCAAGGCGCATTACCAAGACACCCGTCAGCACGCGCTAGCCGTTTTGGGTTAGACTCACAGTATCATTGACACCCGAATTACCAGGCAATATTTTCCCGAATCACTGCAGCTGGACAGCACGTGGGTAACAGCTATTAATCTAAACTCAAGTAGAACGATCGAATTTATATGACATAACTCAGGCATAGATATGTTGATTACCAGCTGACTCAAGCATTGTTAGGCAAATCTCAGTCCAACGATCAATATCATGTGGAGGTATATTGGTAACACATTAGAGAGTTTTTTTTAAGAGAGAATAAAGAAGTTCGAAATAAAGCACCATATACTATCATGACGATCATGACGCCCGTCTGGCTTGGAAGATACGTATTTGCATACATGTATTGCAACGATGATCATGGAAGGATTGATTATCAAAGTGGGAACCAGATGCGGTATCAGATAAGGCCACGGAGCAGCTCCCGCTCTCCGCTACTCCCCAAACGCGAATGCCAACTACGTGCTCATCCCTCTTTTGAATGCCAGCGATCTTGACATCCCTTCTCAATTCCGCATGGCATCGAATTTCTTTCATCTACTAACAAACAAGCCTGATTTACCTTAGCAGGGGCGAACGGAGCCAACTTGCTCTTTTACGCAACACCTCAGATTCATAGAAACATGCGACATTCATTGAGGTTGGCCCCATGCCTTGTGTTGGCTTGTGCTGCATCAGGTGCATGGGCGCGCAAGCGATCATTCAACATATACGATGATATCTTGGCCTATCCACAGGTATGCCGAAGCTAAATCTCGTCACCCATCCTTTTGGAAGCTAACCTGATGCTTGCCTATAGTTCCAAGTGCAATACCCCGAAGAATATATCCTCTATTCTCAAGCCGAAGAACTACTCCGGATACAGCTCGATTCAGAGCGTGATGAACCACCCCATGCCCAGAAAGACCCTCAAATCTACACAGGCAAGGATCATGCCGATGACGATGCCACCCGAGACGGCGAAAAGCTGAAATCACCGACGTTTACATATGAAGAAATGATTCTGGATGATCGACGACTCCTCTGCCAAATACCACAGGTGGAGAAAGATAAGGTGAACTCAACAGCCGGCCAAAAACCTAGCGAGGCAGACGAGCAAAAGGAGCTGGCACGCGCAACAGACCGAGGTCTTGAGCTTCTACGGGAGATGGAAGGCAAATGCATGTACTATTTCTCGGGCTGGTGGTCATACTCTTTTTGTTACCAACAGCAGATCAAGCAGTTTCATGCTCTGCCTGCCAGTCGGGGGGCTCCTTCTTACCCACCTGCGGAGGATCCTCATTCGCATTCCTTTATTTTGGGGCAATTCCCTGCCGACAAGCCAGACAAAGAACAGGACAGTTCGGAGCAACGGACGGCGCCCAAAACTGATATTGCAGAGCTACACACCAAAGGTGGCTCGCGGTACCTCGTACAACACCTACAGGGTGGCACCAAATGCGATCTTACAGGCCGTGAGCGCCGGGTGGAGGTGCAATTCCACTGTCACCCGCAGTCAACGGATCAAATTGGCTGGATCAAGGAGCTCACTACCTGCTCATACCTAATGGTTATCTACACCCCCCGCCTTTGCGATGATGTTGCCTTCATGTCACCACAGCAGGACGAAGTCCACAATATTGAATGTCGTGAGATCCTCATGCCCGAGGATGTCCCTCAGTGGGAGGACGCGAAACAGTGGTATTTAGCCCAGCGATTGGTTGAAGAAGCCACAGCCCAGTCAGAGGTTCAGATTGTGGGTGGAATTGTAGTTGGCGGTCGCCAGCTTGTTGGCATGGACGGCAAGCAGCTTGAAAAAGGCCGCGTGGCTTCAGCTGGCGAGACGCATGTTGAGGTGGTAGCAAAGCGAGAGAATGGCGAGGTGAAGCAAATTTCCAAGCAAGCGTTGAAGAAATACGACCTCGACCTGGAAAAACTCGATGACATCAAACAACAACTTGAGGAGATCTCCGAGGGCAGTGACTGGGTCCTCGAGGCTGTGGAGGTTAACGGGGCTATCACTTTCAAGGGCCGATTGGAAGGGAACGAGCAAGAGGCCGATCCAGACTCTGAGCATGAACAGCAGAGCAAAAAGGTCCAAACTACCCCAGCGAAGGATGCCACATCCCAAAAGCGCTCGCAAGAATCGAAATCTGGAGATGAAAGCGAACACGGTCAACCGATCAAGTCTGAGGAGCCTGGAAATTCAGCAGGCAGCGAGGAAACATTCAAGGACGAACTGTGAGAAGTAGTCTATGTATAGTTGGATTCATTTTTGCGTTTAACATTTTCAATATCATTAGCAGTCAATACCCGCGATAAATTGCACCATTTGTCACCATCAGTGGGGATATCATCCACTTGGTCGAAATAAAAACATTGCATCAGGAACAGCCGGTTAGTTTCATGCCTAAAGACGTCAGATGCCCCATATGCCGGGTCCCGAGTGGGGGTCTTACATATTAGGGAGGCCTCGGGCTCGAGAGTTTAAGGGGGATTGTAGGTCTGAAGCAATTGAAATAAACAATATATGCAGGGATAGGATTCACAGTTAGAAAAGTAAATCTTGCATGGAATGTATAAATAGAGAGGGGCAAGTGGTTCCATGTTAGGACGTTGACCTACGTAAGGAACGTGACTGTGAACTCCTAGCGATCGCCTAGGCCCACCTTTCCCTCCCTCCCTGATCCAACCTCTCAACCCTCCTCACACTTCCCCGAGACTCCATTATTTTCCCGCGTGGCCCTGTCGGATCTCTATTTCTGGCCGAATTGACTTCCTTGCGCGCACTGGGACTCCTGCCAAGGCTGACCTAGAAACCGCCAGCGTCATCGCCCGACCTCCCCGAATCGCCAGACAACACCCCGAAGCCACAATTTCAGCCGGCACCATTCTCTACATACTGCCGCTTGTGGCACCTGGACGTTTCGTCGCTGTTAGATTCTGTCGGGTCGACCTGCAAACCTCTTGTCAACATGGGTTTCCTCGGCGTCTACACGGCTTTGTATGATTACCACCCCCAGGGAGAGGGTGAACTCCAAATCCAAGAGGGCGACCTGCTCTACGTTCTGGATAAGAACTCAGATGATGGCTGGTGGAAGGCAAAGAAGAAAGCCGAGCAAGAAGACGAAGATGAGCCGGAGGGTCTAGTCCCAAATAACTATGTGGAAGAGGTAAGTACCCGTCAACTGCAAGCTACGGCGAACCTATTCGTGGAGTGTGGCTAGCGTGATTGGCACCTCTAGCGGATGAAGGAATTAGTTGATGATGCTTACATCGATCCAACGATTAGGCGCAACCGGTACACCAAGCCAAGGGTCTCTTTGACTACACCCGGCAAACGGACGAGGAGGTATCTTTCTCGGAAGATGCAGAACTAGTGGTGTATGATATCTCAGATCCTGATTGGACGTTAGTCGGAGTGAACGGGGATTTTGGATTTGCGCCAGCCAACTACATCGAAATTGCCGACGATATCGCTGCAACTACTGTTGCTGCTCCACCACCTCCGCCTCAAGCCGAGCCCGAAGCGCCATCCCTTCCCCGACGGCCCACACAGCCTGCACAAGAAGATTATGAAGAAGCGTCGCCTTCCCCCTCTCCTATCGACACAGTACAAAACCCGGCTGCCGCGGCAATTGCGGACATTATACATAAACAACATGCCCCTGTCAGCGCATACACAGAGCCTTCGCGAGAGGCGTCACCCCCGCCACCTCAGCTCCCATCTCGGCCCTCGCATGATCAGGATGTAGGCGATGATGAATCACCTCCACCGATTTTGCCCCGACGACCTCCATCGGAACAGATCACCCCGCTAATGAACTCATATTCACCTGAACCGTCTTCAGCTCCCCCGCGGCCCAAGGCCACAGCTCCCCCAATGGGTCGTGAAAAAACTCACATTAAAGAGTCACCTCCCTATAACCGGGCTGGTGAGCTGACGCCGAGGTCACCTTCCGGCTACCACATCTACAATATCAACGAGATGGTGGAGGTTATGGGCAAGCGGAAGAAGATGCCCACGACATTAGGTATCAACATGGTTACAGGAATCATCTTTATTTCTCCCGAGGGAGATGACCGCCAACAGGAGTGGACTGCTGAGAAACTCACACATTATTCAATCGAAGGCAAGCATGTATTCGTTGATCTTGTGCGGCCTAGCAAGAGCGTCGACTTCCATGCTGGAGCCAAGGATACTGCTCAGGAGATTGTTGCAGCACTTGGTGAGATAGCGGGAGCTTATCGCGCTGAAGGGTTACGAGAGGTGCTCGCTGCTGGAAAGGGTGGCGGTGGCCAGAAGACGGGTCTGATCCTGTATGATTTCAAGGCGCAAGGCTCCGACGAAGTAACGGTAGAAGTGGATGATGAAGTCATCGTCCTTGATGACACCAAGTCCGAGGAGTGGTGGATGGTAAGACGGCTCGCGAATGGCAAGGAGGGGGTGGTTCCTAGCAGCTACGTTGAGATCACCGGTTTTGTGCCCATCCTACCAGGCGGGATCGAGCCGGGTTTGTCAACGGTGGAAAAGAATCGATTGGAGGAGTCTAGGTTGGCCAAAGCCTCAGTTGGGAAGTCCAGGAAAGATTCAATGGATTCTTCCAAGCGTGACAGCAAATCCAAATCCAAACCCGATCCCAGCAAGGTGAGAAGGTGGACGGATCGCACAAAGGCCTTCACCGTAGATGCGCAGTTCATCGGGCTACAGGATGGCAAGATTCATCTTCACAAGGTCAACGGCATCAAGATCGCGGTGCCTGTTGCGAAAATGTCCGTTGAGGATTTGGAGTATGTGGAAGCTGCAGCCAATGTCTCTCTGGATGAAGACAAGCCACTTTCCAGTATTCGAAACCGTGCCTCTTCTGACGCCAAGAAGACCGGTAACGCGGGTGCGTCTGTGCAGCGCCCTGAGTACGATTGGTTCGATTTTTTCTTAAAGTCTGGCGTTGGACCTCACCAATGTGAACGATACGCGCAGAACTTCATCAAAGACTCGATGGATGAGTCTATCCTCCCCGACATTTCGCCCGAGACTCTTCGTTCTCTGGGGCTGAAAGAAGGTGATATCCTGCGAGTGATGCGTCATCTAGACACCACACTCGGTCGCACCGGTAGCAAATCCAAGGCCCGGAATGTGAGTTTCGGTGGTGAAGAAGTTATCGGCAACGGCGAGGATGGCCAAGGTGGACTTTTCGCTGGACCCGGTGGTACTTTACGCAACAACACCCGTAAGGGAAGACCGACACCAGCTGTCCAGGCTGGTGATGTTGTGGATCCCAAGGCCTTCGAGCAACTGAATGGCTCAAAGCCGAAGGAAGAGCGAACTGCGACTCCTCCAGCGCCCGAGGAAGAGAAGCCGGCTGCGCGTGGATTCGATGATGATGCTTGGGAGGTCAAGCAACCCAAGCAGCGTACTGGATCTGCCGCTACGTCAAGCCCACCACCTATCGCATCACCTACAGCTCCTCAACCTCCTGTTCAGACGCAAGTCACAGGAGCTATGGCCGACTTAACCTTACTCCAGACCCCTCTACAGCCTACTCCAGCGCAGCCCGCACCTGCGCCAGTATCAAGCATTCCGGCTTTGCAGCCACAGCAAACTGCGGTACAGTCACCCCCGGTGCAACAACCCCAGCATACAGGTGCCACGCCTGGATTTTTCAACCAAATAGCACAGATGGGACAGCAGGCCAGGCAGCGCCCCCAGGCTCCTCAGAACTTGAATCAAAATTCACTTCTTCCCCCTCCTCCGCAGCGCCCGCTATCTGCGCCGCAGAACTTCTCGCAGCAGCAAGGCTCTTTTGGACCTCCTCCGCTGCAACCTCAATTGACCGGAGTTCCCTTGGCTGGCCCTCCAGTTGCACCTCCTGGTCAAAGTTTGTCTGAATTGAACCAACAGCGCTTCCAGCCTCAAATGCAGCCGCAAGCTACCGGGTTCATGGGGGAGAACCAGTTCCAGAATGGCGTCATGATACCCCAGCCGACTGGCTTCACTCCCCAGTCGCAATTTGGTATTCAGCAACAGCAACAAATGAATGGTCATCCAGTACCAAACCAACCAGGGTTCCAGGGAATGGTTCCCCAGGCTACCGGCTTCGGATATGCGCAGCCTCAGCAGCCGATGCAAACTGGCATCAACTCTATGCTTCCCCCGGCATTGCAGCCTCAGCAAACCGGTATGAATGGATACGGCAACCCATCTTACAACCAGCCTCCTCCTCCCGTGCCACCAATTCCCCAGCAACCCACTGCCACCCCACTGTCACCTCAAAAGACTGGACCCCCGCCCTCTGTCAGATTTGGTGTCAAACCAGATGCCCCTAAGAAACTTGCCCCTCAGCCAACGGGACTCCGGGCGAACCTCTCCCAAGCTAGTAAGTGCACTCAGTATTTTCGGTCTAAAGAAGCAAATACTAACTTGCATAATCTTATCAGCGCCCCACAACCCTTTTGGTTTCTAATTTTGTCCATGCATATGGGCACTCTTTGCTGGCATTATATAACCCCTTCTATTGTGGCAATCGGCACCCCCTCCCCTGTCTGTTACAGAAGTCTTCATTTCTGCTAGATTTGCTGGAGCCGGAGCTTTACATCCCTCAGCTTTGTCAGTTTCGAAAGTGTATTTTTGACATTGACATAGCGTACATATCATGGCTTTCCCGCCCGCTTGGTCTAGTACTGCAGCGTGTAAATGCCATGAAGCTTGGTTCTATCGCAAACTCACGCACTTAGCGAGCTATTGTTGATCCTCATGTTTCCCTTTCTCAAGTCCTTTGGCATCGTCATATCTCATGCTTCCTTTCCCCTCGTCATATAATTTCGCCGATTGATGGTAATGCTTATTGTCTTTGAACGTCTCCATTCCCTTTTTCATCTCCTTTTGTTGCTCGAACGGCCCTCGCGGTTTTCCTTTCTTCTCTATGACTTGCTGTTTTACGCAAAGAATCCATGTGTTCAGTAGCACCTTGACGGCTTTCCTTTCTTGTCTTCAATTGCGACTGGGCAATGTATGGTACACAAAGGATGCTATGCTAGATATCGTATGCATATAAGCGAATCATGAATTTCTTCAAATGAAGAGGGCAGAGAATTATGGATGTTGGTTGAGTATTACGTGAAGTATGAACTATGAGGTGGTGTAGAGGCAAGAAGCCTTGAACTGTAATCGAATTTGGGTATATAATACTAGACGGATCAACCTAGTCTAATAGCTTGATAGAGAGATAGAGAGATTTGTCCAGAGACGTCCAGAAAGAAAGTGTGAAAGTCATGGGATCATGTGTCATCGCTCCAAAAGATAGCCTAGGCGCCAATAAACCTGTTGCAAAGAGCAACGTTCAGAAAATAAAGTAAGAAGGGGGGGGGGGGAACCAAAGGAATCAAGACTCCTCCCAGAGACCGAACACTGGAAGGTCTTCGGCCATATACAACAGACCATTATCAGGGAACATCACATCGGACAGTGGTGATGGGCCACCGGACGCCGGGGGTTGTGCAGTTGGAATGGTACCTCCCGGAGAGCAACCAACGGGAATGCCCGAGGTGGTCAGCGCAGATATGGCAGCGTCGTAAGATAGTGCGGCTGCTCCATCCGGGCCATTGTAAAGTGTATCCCAAACGTCGCCACCGAGCTGCTGGGAAGTGAGCCCTGATGGTGGTTGTGGGGTGGGGAAAGAAGTTGGTGTTCTACCAGCGAGTTTGCTAGGTGAAATTGGAGAAGGCACAGCGGGGGACTGCTGGCTCTCAGGGCGATTCAGCGGAACATCGTGAGCGGACCCCGATGTAAGAGATGGGGAGTTGGCACCGCCGACCTGACCGAATAGTTGATCGACTTGCCTGCTTCGGTGGTCCATCCATTGACGGTTGCGTCGCTGGATATACTCGCCAACGGCAGCGCGAAGATACTTTATAATGTGGCTGAAGCGGCACGCATGAGGATCATGCGGGACAAAGAGTCCAAGGAAGCGTTCTGCCTTGATCATGCCCTCTTCAAGAGGCAACAGATTGTCGTAGTCGGCAAAGAATGCGGCACCGAGTACAACGGCTGAGTTGAAAACAGAGTTGATTAAGAATGGGAGACGGCGTGGTAACGATGCGAACCGGCTCAGGTCATCCACCACATCTAATCCTCGAAGCGCAGAGTAAACACATGCATCTGCAAACAAGGCAATGCGAGAGCTGCCGGTCCTGCCATCTGATGTAGACGGATCGGCTTTATTTTTGACATATTGAGCCACGCGATAGACGAGGAATGGTCGCGTGAGGAGGATGATGGACCAATAATACGAACCGAATACATGAGCTGCGGCCAGACTGTCTTGCATGGTTTTGTTATCGAGCCGTTCTGTTTGATCTTTCAGGAACTTGGGCAGAGTTCGGACCCAAGCACGGTGCTGATTTGAGATGGATTCGGCAACATTGATCGATATAACTTGTTTCATATAAACGTCCGTGAGAATTCGCTCAAAAATTCGGCATAGCGAGGTCACCGCAAGTGAAAGCTGCTTATCCGCAGTCAAATTGCCTTGTTGCTCTCCGGCTGCAAGAGCGTCTTCGCGGATATCGTAATCATAATCCGATGTTGCAGGAGGGCGCCCTAATGAGGCACTGAGGAACAGATCCATCATGCGGAGACTTTTCCACACCCGTTCTCTCGCTCGTCGCTCACGCCCACAAAAAAGCGCGTTTGCATCTTTTCTATGAATCCCAACGGCGTAAGCGGCTCGCAGAGCAATTCCCAGATTCATGAAAGCGCCATTTCGCCTGCATGCACCCAGCATGTACATCGACACCAGAATATAGGACTGAATAGTATGAATGCTCGGCGTCTCCTGGAACGCCGAAAATGCCAATTGGCGGCCACTGCTAAAATATTGCTCTGCTAGGGTCTGGTTTGTATCGGAGACTTGAGCTCCAATGGCAAGCACGAGGTAGAAGATGGAGCTGACGGTATCTTCGTCACCAGAGGGGTTTTCTACCCAACTGGCCAGCCGAGGGTGAAACTCTTCGAGGTCCACCAGATCTAATAATGGACTTGTCGCAAGAACATATTGCCGGGCAAGCCTATGTGCTTCATCATTGCTGGGCGGAGGGATGAGCGGACCCGGGAGGGTACTTGGGTTATTCTGGAAGGCTTCCAGCATCGAGTGTCGCGAGTTGTCCTCGGTGAATTCACACCGACCAATAGATGAGGATACCACGCGGCGAACACTTTGCAAAAATGATAGACTTGCCGAGTCTCCAATGTACATGAACTTTCCCTGTCCATCGCGAAGAAGCCGCGCGACCTTAGGCACGGGAGCCGTGCCGTCTTTTTCATCTCGGGCCTGTTGCTCCAAACTCATGCCCCTATCCTCCAAGGAATTCAACAGGCGATCCATGGCAGTTTCGCGCTGTGGTGAGGGGACTATTCGTTCACTGAGTAACATGGTCGAATCTTTGGGGTCGGGCTTGAGAAGACGCGCGGGGCGATCCGAAAAGTGGCACTCGGCCTGCTTGTGTCGTTGCACACAGATTGTGCATGGTTGCTCGCCGTTGCATTTCTGCTTTCGCCGCTTACAGCTGTCGCATGCCCGGCGACACCGTAGCCGGGCCCCTGGTGTTGTGCTGGCGCGAGGCATCCCGGTCACACCTTCGTGGCTTATCCGGCTAGTGGGTGGTTGGACAGTGGAAGATGGTCGTGATCATTGAAGCGCGACAGTTGTTTACATCTGATTTCGCAACCTTTGAGATAAGAAGACAATATGTTCACGGCATGGTGGACGATTTATTGAGGCACAGGTCGTCGAAATTGGGGGCTGATTCACTTTCCCCGGACTCTGATTATGGCATTACTAAGCCGCATCATCAGCTTGAAAGCTTGGAACTATAACGACAAACCTTAGTGATATTAGCTTAAACGTAGATGCAGAATAGCCTTTCGCACAGGCAGCATAGCTAAACAGGAATATTCTTCTGGCAAGGTAGTAATCTCCGGGGCTCCCAATTAAATCGGTAAACCCTACAGGATGGGTGGGATCGGGGCGTGAACTACAAAGCGCAACGGATCAATGACTCGATTTGGAAGGCCTTTCACTTTGATAAATTTTACATGAAACCCCTCATATTGATTTTAAAGTAACACAAGTATTTGATCATTCTGGACGAAACGAAACCACTTTGCCCCAAGTGTCCGCAGTCCCCCAGATACCAGCCCGTAGACATTCCAGCTGCACAATCTGGCTGTGATCGACAAATAGGTTAACGTCGATGCCAAACTCCCGAATATACCAATTAAACACTTTTGAATCAGCAGCTTCGAACATCACCCGCTCAGGTGGCAAGGATTTCATGATCTGTGAGACTACATCAGTCCGCCATGTGTCTACGTTCTCGGTGATGCCCTCCGACTCAATCATCAAACGCTCCACCCCCGCCTCGAGAAACTTGTGGCCCATATTCACGAGCTTGCCGGGATCGGATGTAGCCACACTGAAGCCAGGAGTATCGCCACCAGCTCCGAATTGTATTCCTAGCTCTGGTTTGGGCTTTAGGTTATATGAGTGGACTTTGTCGACGAGACGAAGCCAGTCATCCCCTGGGATGGACAGGAATCCAGCAGACAGTTCGATGACATCAAATCTATGTGTCTGTTAGTCCGATGGTAGTTCACGTATGATTCTCTTCCGCTTACCCAACGTCCTTGCATTTCTTAAGATATCGATCGAATACCGTGTCCGCATCGGGGTGGGTGAGGAGGTGTTCCGCCCAACCGCCCTGTGAGAACACCGACTTATGTCAGATATATCAGTGATTGTATGTTGTATTCTGAACATACTGTTGAGACATAGACACCATGATCATGGGCCATATCAATCAATTCGCGCAAAGGCTTCTCCTCGTACAGCGAAAAAGACCCTGAGACGACCTCAGTATTTGTGAATGACAGGTTCATAGATGCTAGATGACTAACCTCCGGCAAACTTCAGTCCATCGACATGCTGTCCCATGCTATTGCTTGAATTAGTATGGCGGAGACCAATAAGTACCAGAGGATGATGTTACGTTTCCAATACGTCTGCCAGATAGCGCTTCCCCATCGCCTATACCAAAGTCAGCACAATACAAACAGAGCTGATGGATGCATTCTACCGAGTAGTATGGCCCCCGTATCTCCGTCACTCCTTTTGATCTAGGCTTTGCAGGTCTGGGGTTAGATCTCGCGAAGCCAAACCCATGCTGCTTATCTTGTAGAAGAGTCACCCCGCGTGCCGGTTGCGTCGTCGACAGATATTTGGACTGGGTACTAGTCAAACTTGCGATTTGGGGTGCATGACTCAGCAGCTTTCCAGAACTCGCTTTCGAAGTTAGTCCTAGCATAATTCTTATTATATGACGAGGTAGCTTCGAGATCAGGATTCAGGTATCAATGTGAAGATCGAATGTCCAATTCATTAGTTTGTAGTAATGACACCAAGCTTCTGAGTAATTTATCATACTCAAGTTGTCAAGCTATGGATATATGTGCAAGGGTTGACGTCAAATGTACCTCAGAGAGGACATTGTCGCCGACTGGATCAGAATGACATTTGGTAAAGAGAAATTTTAGATTTCTAGGATCAAACTCCCGGTAGCCCTAAGTTGTTCATAGTCACATCCATACCTCGGTTCCAATGAGAAATGTGTTTGCAGTACGGGAGCAGCGACCATCGGCTTTTAAGAACTCCGATTACCTTAGAGATTGGATCCACTTGTGACCAACCACATGTAGGAGGATTTACCTCGGCGTAACTGCGTAATTGTGCATGAATTGGACGCTGACGTATGTGACCCGTTCCAGCTAAGTGTACAGCTTTCGAATCGAATCAACGAGAACCAAGTCCCCTCCAAGTTCCATAAATCCCCCCGGATCAGCCTTGTCGATCGTTCCGCTGACAAAGATTCAAACCCCGAACCCACTATGTGAGAAGTAAACAAAAAAAAAAACTAAAAAAATACGAGCGGATTTCGGATGCGCCGGAGAAGTCGGGAAGCTTGGCGAGCTCACATCAGCCACTGAATTCACCGCTAGCTTCCGCTAACTCACGCTAGCCCTGAATCGGCGGGATTGGCGCACAGGGCTGAGGGTTTCCTGATTCTCAATTTTGGTTGAAGCTCCCATGGTATGGCACCATTATCTATCGTTCTTTTGTTTTTTTTTTTTTTTTTGGTTTTTTTCTTTTGATTTTGTTTTCTCTTATTTCCGACTCGTATTAATATAGAATCATTGGAAACCATGCAGGAGGTAGTCCGTTGCATACAAAAACGAAACCGGCATGGCACGCGACACTAGATGGTGATCAGGCACAAGTCTATACGGAAACTTGGTTAGCTCGGCATCCGATGACTCCGAGTATCCGTTCCTCCCTTCTTAAAACTGGTTTAATTATGCAAAATTTAGGTAAACATCGGCGAAACTTAGCTGGGATTTAGACTGGATCCCCTCCCATCCCATTTTTAAGGGTCTGGATTTAATCCCTGAACCCGTATATTCCTTCTTTCTGTCCCTCTTTCTCCCTATACTCTTATACTCTGATACCCTAATACCCTAATACCCTCCGGTTGCCCAACGAACTTCCACCATGGGCGCTGGCGCATTCCTAGAACCGCTGGTGGTCATCGTACTACTCTTTGGAGGCACCTGGATCAATCGGCGGACAAATCTCTCCATCTCTCGTCACATCCGCCGCAAATCTGCCGAATATGTACGATCTGACTCCCCCGATTTCCTCGAGTCTGGATATACCAGCCCAACTCCCAAGGATGGACTGTTGAGCCCGCGCTCCGATTCCCCGTCCCTGCAACTGTCCGACGACCGATGGCGGACACGACAGATCGGCATCTTCCGTCTCTCCTGCCGTGTGACATCCCCAAACACTGCTGTTTTCCATGATCGACTACTTAGCCGACTACTGCAGAAGCTACCCTTTCTAGCTGAGTGTTGGTATTGGGCCTTGGTATACTGGGTAAGTGGAGCTGATCTACAACCTTAATGGGAAATCCACTTACACCAAGACTAGACATATCAACTCGGTCGAGCCTTCACCGCCGTCACTCTTCAAGAAGGCACTGTCGATGTTGCCCGCCACCACGCGTTGCAGCTAATTCGATTGGAGAAGAAATTAGGCATCTTCTGGGAACTTGGAATCCAAAATTACTTCCTCCGCCATCCCATGGCCATGACGTATATCAATTGGATTTACTCTTTCATTCATATTCCTGGTACAATCGCCTTCCTGGTGGTGCTCTACTACTACACCATCACCCGAAACCGTGTCGATGAGTCCCAGCCAGGCAAGCCTAGAGGCACAGTGAGTGGATCCCCAGCGGGTCCGCTTCTCTACCAAGCCCGACGACGGACAATGGCGGTATGCAATTTGTTGGCATTCGTCATTTTTACCCTGTGGCCATGTATGCCGCCGCGATTGCTCAGTGACCCGTCTGCAGAGGGCAAGGAGGCAGAGCTGGGCCGCACCTATGGCTTTATTGATACTGTTCATGGTGCCGAGGGAGCGGGAAGTGTATGGACTGAGAACCGCTTTTGCAACCAATATGGTGAGTTGACTTTGGACCCTGTGGAGCTTCATGTACTAACTTTGAGGTAGCGGCCATGCCATCCTTGCATTTCGGATATTCCCTTATGATTGGACTCACTATTATGACCATTCCCCTTCCTTCGCATCATCAACGAACCCTTCCCCTTCGGTTTACTCGGGGCATTGGATTCCAGGTCCCCTCATGGCAACGCGTTGTCTGCCTGGTAATTGGGTTCTTGTACCCTTTCACCATTCTAGTGGCCATCATAGCCACTGCCAATCATTTCATTCTGGATGCCGTTGCAGGTGCTTTGGTCTGCGGTCTGGGATGGCGGTTCAACGGAGGGTTGTTGAATCTGTTGCCCTTAGAAGACTACTTCCTCTGGCTTGTACGGATTCACAAGCCTGAGCCATCGGAGATGAAGACAATTGAGACATTAACTGATTGGTCCAGCGATGAGGGTGAATCGAGACATGTGCTGCCTTCCTCATGAAGGATATACCAGCGTGATTACCCCGTTTTGCTGCGGCTAGATTGGACAGTGATACCCCTTTCCATGATATCACCGATGAACCTCCGGTTCTCGGTGTGATTTTGGATTTTGTTGTGTACATGGCATTGACACTATTGTTATATTCCTAATTCTCACCAAGTTGGTGACTTTCGTTCTCCCAGAATGTCCCCGTGAATAGTTTCGTATAGGATGATCGCATTGAATATAATGACTAATGACCCTTAAAACTAAGCCATACATGTCTTTATCCTTTGTAGAATAAAGTGTGGCGAACTCTATTTCAGCCCGAACCCAAACTATGATTGCCCTAGGAACCAAAAAGTACGTGGATATATTACCCATCCTGGGTAGAATGAGTTAATTGGGCATTCAAGTATACTTTACATCAATAAAGGGTGCTACGCATTAAAGGAAAACGTACTCGGTCCCTTGTTCTAGTCACTCGTACTGAGCCAAACTGCCTCAACATCAACGAAATCAACCTATTTTTCCTCTTCAAATACTCCGCAGTCGAGTGCCCAGGCAAATGAAACCCACATGACTCTCTCTCTCTAGTTGACGTCCATGGGCTTCCTATCATTTATATTATCCGAGCACTGTCTCAATGTGGTATTAACACTGGTGCCTGGGGGTCTATTGTACGTGGTGATTATAGCTGACAGCTTACCTAGTTACATGACAAGATCAGTGACAAGGTCTCAAGGGCGACTATGCAAGCATATGATATGAAGCAATCGACACCTTAAGTGCTGGTATTAAGCACTGCAATTCATATTCTATACTACCTTATCGAAGCCTTGTCCTTCTGGAAAAGTATCACACGACCATAATGCTCCCAATTAGGAGCGCGTCAAATGGACAAATATTGTGATTCTCCTCAGTTACTATGAGTGCAATGGCGCTCGTCACACAGAGGACGTGAATCTTCTCTGCACCACAACAAACCCAGCTAGTGGTTTCTGAAATCCATCATCAACATCTTGCAGCCCAATAATAGCAGCAACAGTAACCCCCCTCCCCCGAGCCTGGGGATTCGTTGGTTGTGTGCTGTGGTGAAGCTGGGAGTTGTGGCGTCATTGGTGGTTTTCTCCCGTTCGACCCCAACGCGTCTCTTCCCGCGCTGCGCGATTGTTCCTTCTCCACATCACCCACCTCCTCTCTTCGAGCCATTCCCCTCTTCCCCCATTTTCTCCTCGCCTTGGACTCTTGATCAGCCACTTACTTCCTGCGATCATGGCCGAAGAGAATTCTATCACTCAACCCGAGGCGGAGCAGCCCGAGCGCTCTCCCGCCGAGCCCACCGACAAGGAGTCGGAGAATGCCACTACCTCGGATACCAAGCCTACTGGTAAGTTTGAGTCGCGTTCCTGTGCTCCAATTCTCTAAAAAGCTTCTGCCCGAAGCTGTTGACGGTCGGAGTGATTTGGTGTGATGTGTGTTTGTGCGACCAAGGTCCGCTGATCCGTCCGTTTCCCTCAGAGAATGCGAATGCCTCCGACGAGAAGGCGACTGAAGGCCAGACCGACAAGGCCGATGCCTCTGACGATGCGCCCAAGCCCCAGGAAGAGGCCGAGTCTGCCTCGGCCGATGCGGAGTCTGCCCCCAAGACCAACGGAACTCCCGCGTCTACCAATAAGTCGTCCAAGGACCGACGCCGCTCCAGTGGTGTTGGCGAGAAGAAGCTTAACCGCAAGAAGTCCCAGAGCCGTATCACTCATCTCGATGCGAAGCCTGGCGACTACTACCTGGCGCGCCTTCGCAGCTATGCGCCTTGGCCTGCCATCATTTGTGACGAGGAGATGCTTCCCCAGTCTCTCCTGGACAGCCGCCCCATCACTGCCAAGCAGGCCGATGGAAGCTACCGCGCCGACTATGCCGATGATGGTCGACGCGCCCATGAGCGCTCTTTCCCCGTCATGTTCTTCGGGACCAACGAATTGTAAGCTGTCGCGTCGGGAGCCTTGCCTACCAGGCTCCCTTTTCTGCGCTGCAAGGATGATTACTGACTTTGTTGACAGTGCCTGGATCCCAAACACCAACTTGAAACCCCTCGACCCCGCCGAATGCAAGGAAGTCTCCGAGAAGAACAAGGCCAAGCAGTTGCTTGGCGCGTACAAGGTTGCCGCCGAAGGCCACGACCTGAAGCATTTCAAGGAACTACTTTCGGATCACCAGGCTGCCATTCAGCAGGAGATTGAGGAGGAAGAGCGCGAGGAGGAAGAGAAGGCCAAGGCTAAGGCTGAGAAGGCCACTAAGAAGAATAAGCGCAAGAGCAAGGGCGCTGAGACTGATGTGGAGATGGAAGATGCGGACGAGGCCAAGCCCTCGAAGGCCACCAAGAAGCGTAAGAAGGACGAGACTGAGGTTGAGGAAGACAAGGTGAGTTTCTTTGGGATGCGCTTGCGATGGGCTGTTCGTGCACAGCTAATGCCTATTGTTCCACAGCCGGCCAAGACCCCTAAGACTGCAACCAAGCTCAAGTTGAGCACCCCAAAGGCTCCCAAGACGCCTGCCGAAGAGAAGAAGAAGACCCCCGCTCCCAAGACCAAGAAGGCTGCCCCCAAGAAGGGCAAGGCAGCTGCCAGCGATGAGGAGCCCGTTGAGGCCAAGGAGCCCGAGAAACAGATTGATCCCGAGGAGCTCAAGAAGAAGAAAGAGAAGGAGGGTACGATTCGCTCCCTTTCCTAATAATCAACCAAATTACCATTCGATACTGATTACTTTCTAGTCCTGTTTTTGCGCCACAAGCTTCAGAAAGGATTCATCTCTCGCGACAGCCCCCCTCAGGAGAACGAGATGGACGCCATGGCCACTTATTACGATAAGCTGGAGAAGCATGCCGACCTGGAAGTTGCGATCATTCGCTCGACTAAGATCAACAAGGTTCTCAAGATGATTGTCAAACTCAACACCATTCCCCGTGATGAAGAGTTCAACTTCCGCTCCCGTGCCATGAGCCTGCTGTCTAGCTGGAAGAATGTGCTGGATGGTGATCTCCCAACTTCGACAGACAAAGAGGATAAGCCCGCTTCGAATGGTGCCTCCAAGGACGACGAAGCTCTTGAGACCCCTGCTGAAGAGGAGAAGGAAGAGAAGGCCGATGATACCCCCATGCCTGATGCTGAGTCCGACAAGGCGGAACCTCAGCCGGAAGCCTCCAAGGAGGAATCCGAAGAGAAGCCCGAGGAGCAGCCCGAGGAGAAGCCCGAGGAGAAAGCGGAATAAACTTGCTCCAGGTCATTGTCTTAATTTCATTGTTTTGTCATTTCTCATGGACAGGTTTGGGTGCTTGTGTTTTTTCTAACGGTGTCTTCGTGTACTGTGTTTTACCTTGATGATCCACCCGTTCGCCATGTAGCATTCAGAATCTGGGGGGGTTAGTCTAGGAACGTTTTTCTTTATTTCTTTATCAGTCAAGGAACCAAAAATGTGCTTATTTGACTTGTTTTTCCCCTTTATTCTACTTTCTTTGTACATGCAGATTCCGTACGCATCGGAGTTCAGCTCACTTTGTGTACTTGGGATCTGAACTTCTGATGTGCAAGGTTTCAGTTTCAGTTTGAGATGAGTTTAATGTGGAATGGAAGGTGTTGCTTGCTAGTGAATTGTGTAGTTGATTGTAGCTATCGTTGTCAAGCTTGATGTTCTATAACTTGTTAGCCTGACAGTATAAGATCCTCGACATAAGCTGATCTGACATAAGCACTAGGACCATCTGAGCAGACTTGTTATAGTACTTTCTCGAACCCATGCCAACATCAGATTCACATCTATCTACCCCAAGCATGGCGTCACAAGATCAGCAAGATCAGCAAATGGTGTTTCAAGCACGCCAGCGACATCTACAATTCCTGGCAATCAAGAGGCAACAGCAGCCTCAATCCCAACCAATGGGACAACCAATGGCCCCACAATACCTTCCAATTGTCGAGCCAAGCGATCTGGGCGGGATAGGCGCAAAGCCAAGTTATATCGTCTCCTTCGAATCTGCTTGTCTCACGGGATCAGTGTCTACCATCCAATCAGTCACCACCTCCAAGAAGCTCACTCCAGGTACGCTTCACAGAGGTCTACAATATACTCTACATGCCGGCCATGTAGAAGCTACAAGTCTTCTTCTCCAACTAGGCGCACCAATTACACCTGAAACTCCTGATAGCATTCTCTTCGCGCCGATGAATCAACAAGTACCCCTCTTCGATCTCCTAGGGCACCACGGTTGGGACCCCAATACTGCAGATCTAAATGGCGCTCTCCTACTCCCTCGAGTCGCAGATAACACCCATTTGCTTAAATGGTTTCTAGCCCACGGGGCAAATCCCAATCTAGACCCACGGTATGGCCTCAAAGTCCTCGAAGCTGCCGCGGCGGGGGGGACCGTGGAAGCAGTACAATTATTGCTCGATGCCGGCGCCCATACGAGCAATGGGGCACCATTGTACTATGCAGCGGGTGCCTGTCCACCAGGAGCGAATCCGCACATGGGAACTGTCCGTCCTAGTGCTGATTTCGATAACAATCGAATTCCAGTTATGGAGCTACTTGTCGAGCGTGGAGCGGACGTAAATGAGAAGCTTGAGACCCGACATATGGTCGCGGGCTATCCCCTCGTGCATGCAGTCATGGCTGGGGCTGTCGGACGGGTTAAATGGCTTTTGGAGCATGGGGCGGATGTGAGATTGAAAGGGGCATTTGGTAGTGCTGTTGACTATGCGAATACTATGGGGAGTGATGAGATGAAGAGGATTTTTAGGGATGTAGTGGACAATGACAAATCTCATTGAGAATAATCGAGCTATAGTTGATGCCAAGTCTATTAATATATGGAATCCATTTGCGGGTCAAGTCTATCAATCAAAAGTACTTTAAAGACCCAACCAAAAGTGAAAGAAAAAGGTATGTACGTATGTAGTACTCATAGCCACCTAATAAACCAACCCCGAGGCGCCCCCGAATGCAGAAAAATGGGAATATGTACTGATAAACCGCAGGACTATTATAACCTATTGTTGAAGCGCCTAACCAAGAACATCAGGGAAAATTGGATCTCACTCAGAACCCTTGCCAACGATGCTCTCATCAATAGCCACAAGAACAAGGGCACAAATATCATCGACCTTGCCGCCACGGTAATAGTCGCCAGGGTAATATCGTTGAGCCTCCTTGGCGAAAGGACCGTCGCGACGGAAATCGACACTGGCAACCTTGGCCTCATTAGCGATAGAGGCTGCCAGCAATGATTGAAGAGTGAGTGTGGTTTCCGGGGGAGGTGATGATTCCTTCTCCTCCTTGGAGCCATGCTGAGCCTTCGATGGTCCTGAAGACGGAGGCAATGCAGAGGCAAGGCCACCCGGTACTGTGAGCTCTCGAAGTTTATCCGAAACAGCAACCCCATAGTCCGCAGTAGCCGTCCAAGCTCCCGTCAGAATCATACGGCTTGATACAAGCTTGAGAATATCCTGGTTGTTGAGGTTGTCGAAGACGCCATCGGTAGCGAGAATCAGCACATCACCATGCTGTACTTGAACATTGGTGACAGAGGCATCGCGAGGGAAATCTTCAAGATAGGCCCCGCCGAATATCGAGGCCTGCGCACGCATTTTCGGTGGAATAAGGCTGAGTTGGTAGGGCGTGTTAAAGCCGTGTGTTTGGGGAGTTGAGTAGTGGTGAACGGCAGCAAGACGAAGCAAGACCGAGCCTGAATCACCCAAGTTTGCCAATTCAACACGGCCATCGGGGAGTGCAACACCTACGGAGGCGGTACTACCGCCGGCTTTGATGGTTGGGTCAGCGACCACTTGGTCATATCCCGACTGCAGAAGTTGCTTAGGTCGCAACTTATTAGCCGGTTGGTCCCAAGACAAGGCTGTGTTGGCCATATGACTACATATCCCATGCGAAAAGTCCGCCGGGTCAACACGAGACTCGGTCCAGCCACCAACACCGTCAGCGACAGCAAAGGCTACAGCCTCCGCCTCATCCGCTGGTTGGCCTGCTCGGCGGCTGCCGATGCGGCTCACAAAGAAAGCATCCTCCCCGCTATCCGGACGGCTTCGTCGCCCTGTAGACACTCCTATCGCATCTGACACGGTGGGGTCAAAATTATAAGCATTTTTGAGAGGATGAAAGCGACGTCCTTTGCCTGACGACGATACGGCAACCCGATAGGAGATACGGGACGGAGGATCGGAACGGCGGTTGGGAGTCGAGTGAAAGGATTTTCGGAATTCTCGATTCAAGGCATGGTATGAGACGGCTGACCATGTAGGTCGAGTTCGAATTGAGGAAAAGAAAATGGATTGGGGTGCGTTGGACTGGGCGGAGATTGAGCTAAGCCCGTCACGCACAAGGGTTTGGAGGCTGCAGGTGGAACTGCAGACTCGACACGAAAGACTTGGCGAGACCATTGCAGGAAGATCTCAACCCGCCCACGGATTCAGTCACAGGGACATTTATTACCTTGGAAAGAGAAGAGCGCAAAGGAGAATCTGGTATTAAAAATCATGGCGGATAAGACCGAACCCGCTTTGATCTTATCGTGACCGCCTACGATCAGATATGCTATAGTGGTTTTTGGTACTTATGTTAAGTTATGAATATAATGCAATACTATACTTGTGGCTTCAATTAGCGTCATTTTCACCTCGTCAAAGGAAACCACTGCTTATATCTGAATATCTATGTCGAGTGACCTACCTCCAAGGTTTTAGCCCAATTTGCGTTCCACCGCTCTTGTCCATATTACGAATGGGGCCACGATATATATGTCTGGTGTAGTAGAACAACATTGTACCTATCAGATCAATACTGTATCTGACTATGTATAACCACAAGACACTGGACTATCCGATAGACATTTATGATCAAAACACCATCTGAAAATCATTTCTAGTGTATGGTGGAGTTTGCTGTAGCTATAGCTGACATAGTGTTTGGTGCTTTGGCGGAGACGAAACGGATAAATCTCTATCGGCTTATCAGTTCTGCCACCCGCAACTTCCACCTTTCACGCTCTCCAACTGTCGCCCTTTGTTCTCTTCTCTCTTCTCTCTGATCTATTCGAGAAGCAGAAGCTTCTGTGTCGCCAGGATGATACACCCATCTCGGCAAGCATACGTGGAGGAGGCAGAGGTAAGCAAGCTTCACCTGCTATTCAAGCTGTTCAAGCTCCTGTGCCATCCACGAGTTTTTGCTCAACCCCGGGAATTGGAGGTTTCCTTATGGCGCATATGCTCGAGCGTGTATTATGAATCAAGCTGACCCTGTGGAATATTTAGGACACGGATATGGGAATCGACCTCGCCAACATTCGTGAGTGATGATCCGCAATTCTCTTTCATTAACTCTGCTAATCACGCAAACAGCTACTGATCAAGATTATGATATTCCTGCTTCTGGCGCGGGCATTCCCGCTGAGAGGGCATCCGCAATCTACTCCCAGTTCGAGCGCAAGCGAAGAGCGGCCGCGATGGCCGTACCGACGGACGACACTCGGGTGCGCGCACGGTTACGAGAGCTCGGTGAACCTATTACACATTTCGGCGAAGGACCTGCGGACCGGAGAGACCGACTACGTGAATTGTTAACCGACCTGTCGGAGCAACAAGGTGGAGAAGGCGACATTGAAATGCAAGAGCCTGAGGAGGAGGGCGAACAACAAGAAGAATTCTATACAGAGGGCACGAACGAGCTTCTAGAGGCCCGCAAGAACATCGCCCAATTTTCCTTGCCGAGAGCAAAGGCTCGTGTAGCGCGACTCAAGGACGAGTCAACAATTCCCCTTCGAACGCACGTGAAGTATCGCAAAGAGGTCAAAGAACAATTAAGAGCGTTTGACCTGTACGGGTCTCAGATCGCGGGTGACCGGCCTATCAGTATTTGTCGCTTTGCACCAGATGGCCAAACCGTTGCGGCTGGAAACTGGAGCGGAGGAATCAAGCTGCTCACAGTTCCCAATCTGGAGGAGAAGGCAAATCTCAAGGGACACACTGACAGAGTTGGTGGATTGTCATGGTTCCCAGGTGCTACTCTACCCGAATCCAACGTCTCACCTTCTTCGGTAAACTTGATCTCTGGAGGAGGAGAAGGAGACATTAATTTGTGGTCACTCGACCAAGAAAAACCCCTGGCAACATTGTCCGGTCACTCTGGCCGTGTTTGCCGAACAGAATTCCACCCATCAGGGCGATATGCAGCGTCGGCATCCTTCGATACTACCTGGCGCTTATGGGATGTGGAAACTACAACAGAGCTTCTTTTGCAAGAAGGTCATTCCCGGGAGGTCTATGCTGTGGCTTTTAACAGCGATGGATCTCTACTCGCGAGCGGTGGATTGGACAGTATTGGCCGCATTTGGGATGTTCGGATAGGACAGACGGTCATGATCCTTGAAGGTCACATCCGGGAGATCTACGGGTTGGACTGGGGTGTGGATGGGTATCGAGTGCTATCGGGGGCTGCAGATGGATGGGTCAAATGCTGGGATCTGCGACAAGTACGCAGTACGGGTGGAATTGGTGCACACAAGAGTGTTGTATCTGACCTTCGATGGTATAAGGGGACCGAGCCCACGAATCATTTAAATGGCCAAATGGAGGTCGATGGAGCCACATCGAAAGAGGGTGAGACCAATGCGATCCAACCTAAGAAGGCTGGCACATTCTTCGTGTCCAGTGGCTTCGATAAGAATGTGAATGTCTTCAGCGCCGATGACTGGTCACTCGTCAAGACATTGAGCGGACATGCAGGCAACGTTCTCAGCACAGATATCAGCAATGACGCTAAGTGGATTGCTAGCTCTGGTCATGACCGTACCGTGAAGCTCTGGGGTACCGAATGAGTTGGACTTGGTCCTAAAGTATTAACTGCTTTCACACCTTTTCCACGATATGATAGATCTAGCTTCCTACCTGCATAGGGTATATCTGCGATGTACCCTCTTAATCTCAAATTTATGACAAATTAGAATCCAATGTATAAAATCACGTGTGAAATGCGGGGATGACGTAAGGCCTACTTTCCCGCAATCTTCTCCGAACTTTTGACTCGCGACTTGCATTCTACAATTAATTCAGAATGGCGATGCGGTCGACAAGTCTGGCCAGGCAAATATGCCGCCCAGCGACAGCCCAGTCCTTGACAAGTACAACGCGGACGGGCTTGGACAGCAGAAGCCGACGCGATGCATGCACCGTTCGCCAGCTCGCGCAAACTCGCGCAATCATTCCAACACAGTCCGCATTGACCGGATCACCTGTATTTTCCCGCCGCTATGCATCCACCAAGTCCTCTACACAGACATTTGGGACCGGTGAAACAGGTATCACGGGCGCACCTGATATCACTAATCACTACACTATCTTCCCTCGCACACTTTCCGCCGGCCCGCCACCCGCCTCATCCTTCGATATCTCCGTTGGCGATCTCCGCCGTGAGTTCCTCCAACTACAAAACGCTGTGCACCCCGACAAATACCCATCCGGCGATGTGAAGCAGCACGCCGAAGCGATCTCGGCCCGCATCAACGAAGCCTACCGCACTCTTGTAGACCCACTTCAGCGGGCACAATATCTTCTTCGCGAGTGGCACGGCATCGACGTTCTTGCCGAAGATGGAGCATCGAAACACGCACTGGACCCCGAGACCTTGATGGAGGTTATGGAGGTGCAAGAGACGATCGAGGAGGTGGGCGCATCACCAGAGGCCGAGGAGGAGATCGATGCGCTGAAGAAGGAAAACGATCAGCGCATTGAGGCTTGCGTTAAGTCCCTGGGCAGTGCTATTGACCGGAACGATATTGAGACTGCGAGAAAGGAGTGCGTTCGATTGCGATTTTGGTACAGCGTGGGTGAGGGACTGCGGGAGTGGGAGCCTGGTAGGACGGAGATTCGTCTTGTGCATGGAAATTGATTTTAGACGACATACTTGTATCATACCCCGTTGGTCAAACCTGGAAATATGCACCTATATAGACTTGAGACATCAACTCCATTCTGACGATGTTTTCATACTACAGAATTGAGTAATCGATTGTAGGGTTGGACCATAGTAGAGGGATATGATCTCTGTTCTAAACTCTGATCCTCAAGGTTCTTTATTTCAGTGTTTAATAGTACTTGTTCGCGGATGCAATAATCGACGGGCCATACTTCATGGACGCCCAACCCAGAATGCCCAACGTCGTCAAAGCCGTGACCCCAAATCTCAATGCAGCAGCTTTGACATGAGGTTCTATAAAGTTCTTCACCATAGCTTGAAATTTCTCCGGCTCGTTTCGACCAGGATAGGGTTCCTTAGGAACAGGCAGCTCAAGAAAAGGACAAATAGCTTCCCAGTCCAGATTTTCTTTCTCGATATTGATAAGACACAGGCGATCAGCAGGAATCGTCGCCTTTACCCGTTTGATGCTGTAGTAGACACATTAGTCCGATTCGCATTCACCCCACTAGGCCTGACTTACTAATCGCTATAGTATCTGCGCAAAATTCTTTCATTATCCTCGTCCCCAACCTTCGTACCAGAGGCAAGTGCATTATAGACCAAGGTATTCATAGTAAGAAAGTGGTACAGCGTCGAGCTGAAGTACTTGAGGATATTGAACGGAAAGGTATATGCCATATTCACGACATGTGCAGTTGAGTTGTTGACAGATTTCGCCCATTTCTCCGGGCTGCGCTCCGTGAGAATGAATTTTACATCTGGATCAGTCGCGTAGGCTTCGATCACGTCCATTCCGACGTAACTAGGGATCTCAATGAGGCACTAAAGCAATCAGATGGGACCAATATGGGGGATAAAGCTCACTCACGTCATAGTTTGCTAGCCACTTTTCACAATCTGCTAGATCGTATCGTTTGATTCCCGAGAGTTGGTTGTAATAAGCGGTGATGGCTTCTTTGAAGATCTTGAGATGAGCTAGTTCACTGACGGCGACACATTCATAGATGTGGTATGTTTTGAAGCCAAGAATTTGCATTGCCCAGTACAGACCCAGTGTTCCGGACCTGCACCGATTTAGTTGCAACTCAAACAAGAGGGCAAGGTTGGCAGCTTACCGACTCGGACTAGCGACGATGACTTTGACCTTTCGCCTCTCAGTGGGCATTGGCAGTCGGTCTATCTCTCGAGACATATTGAAGCTTGTATGAGGAAGAGTGTATTAGAGAAAATCATAATACCCTACCAGGGAAACTGTCTATTTATTTTGAACTGGATTGAATCCTCGTATACAGGGATTGGGGGGGGCCTAACTAATACAGTTCAGCCCCATTTGCCGAACTAAGCACTAGACACTCTGACCCATCGGTTGACATATACCCATCCAATGAAGATCAACAAAACGAGCACCTTTGATGCACCCAAGCGCAAAGTTATCGTATTGATACCCAGAAATAGGGGGCTCTGCTCCAATTGTAGCCAGCCTAGCTGTGAGTTCCAGAATGAGTTATCAGCTCGGTCATCGTTGATTTGACAGGGGTCCGTGTAAAAGTCTGAAGTTTCAGTGTATTCAGCCTCAAACCAGTTGATCCGGCCTATGCTTAGACCGCATCTCCAACTTCCAAGCTACCAAAATCGAGAAAACCATGATCCAGTGAAGAAGGTTCAGAAAGATAAAATTGGCGACAAAGGTGCGGGATGACTACTTGTGTAGGGCGTAGGGAGCTATGATCTGGTCTCATAGATGCCAAGTGTTCAGCTGAGCATAGACCGCTAATGCCTAGTCATCGTGATCAGAGGGAAAGAGAGAGAGCGATGAGCAGATGTCATATACCTTAACAGCAGCTCTCTTATAGACTCTCATAATAGACGAGAATTGAGCTCCATGACAGCCCCAATCAAAAAAGAACAAGCTTCTAGTACATAACGTCATTACGTTGGCCAAATCAACATGGCTTGAGCTGATTCAGTCGCAACTCGGCTTGAGTGTTGTAGATAGAATAAAGTATTGCATGGAGTTTACAGAGGTCTCAACTTGGTTATACATGAAGTAGATGCGATGCAAGGTGCATTTAAGCTCATGTCGGGCTTACCTTATTCGATCTAAATTGATTCACCATCCATTCCCACAATGACGAATTTCACATGACGGTGAACACTGACTTCGCTATCGCATATTCGTTATCGTAAGATGAAAGAAAGACCAAGAAAGACCAAAAAATGAACAAAAGTACGAGATTCCTGCCAATAAAAGCGGAGTCACCATATCAAGGCACATCTCAGAAACCCGACCACCCACTTACCAGCCCCCCAGACCGCCACGAGAAAACCGACAGACAAGCAAGGCGAATTAAAAAAAAAAAGTGAAGCTGTGAGCAAGCAGATCAAGGCCCGATGGACAAATCAACATTGAAGGCCCGCAGTTGGGTTCTTCTGAAGGCTGGGATTGGGCACGAACGGCGAACGTCGCCCATCCCGATGCATCCACTCTGGACAAATCAAATGCCTCCAATTCACGAGAGTTTGTCCCGACACAGAAAAAATGGCAGAATGGGTGCAGTATGCATTGATAAAGCTGCAGGCATCGGGATTCACAAACCTCTAGGTGGTTTTCCTGCATGGATTGGGAGCATACTGCGCCGAGTTGAGTAGTTTTCCGAGCTCCATATCGCTTTCAAGGCGATAGGTACCTAATCCACTCTTAGCTTCATAATCAAAGTCGGTCTGCTGGCATGTTGGCGTATACTATTTTGGACGTTGGACCCCCCCACACCCATCAGGGTCGTCCACGTAGCAGACTAAGGGAACTACAATGGGTCGCTTAGGGCGCGTGAGCTTCCTTGTGATTTGGCCCAAAGCTTGGAATGCATATTTAACTCTGTAGTGATTCCCAAGCTTGTAATCCCTGCACCAAAGCTCTTTTCTTTTGGAGCCAATCACAAAGTATTAGCTCATCATGGAATTTCCGGACGACCAAAGGTAGGCCATGGCATGAATATAAGATGGAAGAATTGGACTAACAGCGCGATCAATGGATAGTACCAGCGAGTCTTCCGTCTGGACCTTCTTTCTCGGCCCGGGACGTGTCAAGCAGACGATCCATTCGGATCTAGCTCGTCATGTATCGCCAGAATTGGAGAAATTCGTGAAGGAGAAGTCCGTCGTGAAGGATTCAAAGCTCGGGTCCGGCTCCGTTGTGACATTGGAGGAATTCGATGCCGAAACCTTTGCTGCATTCTGGGCATATACATACCGAGGCGACTACAAAGCCCCGAAACCACCAGTCCACCGAGAGGAGAAGACAAGACGAGAGAGTGCCCTCAGTCCTACAGGAACATGGCGAGGCATGTATCGCTCGGAGTCAATGTCATCTGGTGTGCCACCACCTGCTCCATCACCACCGGGATCTGTCTCATCTGCCAGCCGATCAGTAAGACGACAGATCGAACCCAAGCCTCAGCTTCAGCTTCAAACCCAGCCCCAACCTCAATATCAACCTCAGCCGCAACTCCAGCTTCAGCCTCAACCGCAGGTTCAGCCCGAGCCCGAGCCCGAACCCGAACACCAATCCAAAGCCAGCCCTGTTGCTGGTGAGGAGCCATTGGCGGAGACCCAAATGGAGGATATACCGGTGGAGGATACACCTGTAATGCCTGAAGATGCCTCCTACGAGGTTGTCGAGCCAGTGGAAGCTGAGGCTCAGCCCGACGTTGAGGCAGACGCAGCACCAGCAGCCAAGACAGACCCTTGGGATTCTCCAAAAGACACCAAAAACAAGAAAGGAAAGAAAGGCAAAAAGGGAAAGAAGAAGGACCAAGAGTTCACCGAGGAGGCACCTGTCAACTTCACACCGCCATCGACACCACCTCCTGAATTCCCAGCAGATCTAGATGACGCACAATTGGGTGTGCCCGAGCAGACTGCCGAGACGAACCCGGTTGACTGGTATGATGAACCCTCGGCGCCAGCAGAGCCGGAACCAGCATATGATGCCCCTACCCCTGCCGAGCCCGAGCCGGAGCTTGAAACAGTGGTCGAAGCAGAAAAGCCGACAGAAGAATGGGAGCAAGCAGAAGAACACGCTCCCGAAGAAGCCCCCCAAGAGCCATGGGAAGTTGATGTGGAAGACCAAAATCAAGCCCCTACCAAGCCATCTATCGACATGTCCTTCGCCAAACAATCCCAAGCCGACTCATCCCCCCGCACACCAGGCCTAAGTCTCTGGGGTGAATTCGCCGCCCTCCAATACAATGACGAACAAACCCCAACCCAAACACCCACTACATCCGAAACCGAAGTTCCCTACCTAACCTTCCACGCCAAGGTATACGTCTTCGCCACCCGATTCCTCATTCCCTCCCTAGCGCAACTCTGTCTCCGCAAGCTCCACCGCGCTCTCCTAAGTCTAGCCCTCGAAGATGCAGATGCCATGACTCCCATTCTTGATTCCCAACCTCTTGGCGACTTGGCCACACTCCAAGCTCCAATGGTCCTTGATCTGCTTCGTTACACATACACCCACACAGATCGGCTAGAGCCGATTTCTGAAACAGTTGCGACACAAATTCGGGAGAACGAGCTGCGCCGCTTGGTCGTTCATTATGCGGCTTGTAAGTTGAAGTCATTGGCTAGGTATCATTCGCCTGGTGATAGTGAGGCTGTTACACCGGCTGTTCGTCCGATGGAAGCTAAGAATGAGCGGAGTGAGAATGCACTGCCGCGGAATCTTCGGGTATTGCTGGATACGACGCCGGAGCTGGCCTCTGATGTTGTTTATCGGATGATGTGAATGGGGTGTGATTGGAGGGATCTATTTTAGACTGAATATTGGAGCTGCAGATGATCAATATTGAGCGATTTTATTCGAAAAATTTACTATAGAGGCAAACAGTCCATATTAATCATTGGGAACTTTGCTCGTACTTATGATAAGCGTAGAAGCGTATCTGTGAATTCAGTTGAAACATCACAATACTGTTCTACAGTAATTGTGGATTTGTGGATTTGTCGGGTGAGGCCTTAATCCCCCGCCAGTCAGTCGAGTCAACCGTGGTACTCAAGTTCTACATAGAACTTGGCGCAATACTAGAACCTTCAAAACACCAGTGATACATTTGATCCATCGCTGAGTGATGAATATCTCCTATTGCCTATAATGCATACCCAGGAGATGTCTTGCAAACTTGATACCCCTTGGACTGAATCCTCCTTCCAACGCACATGTCTTTTGTGAAGGTGTCAGGAAACTAGGCTTTTCTTGATATCTTCTAACTAGGATTCGTCCAGTTTTGCTTCTCATAAGGGCGCGCTTTATCGGCCTAAGTACGAACTTGACTCACATGGAACCTCCCCTATAGGGGAACTCATGGGCATTTATCGCAGCCACCAGACTAGCGAGCATTCTATGCATTGTTGGGCTTAAGCGCCGACTCAAGTGCTCTGAGGCCAGATTATGAGCTCTCGTGGGATAAAGTGTTCGAACAGGTCTTCAAACATACATTCCCGAAATGTTTCATTGGAAAAAAGCCTGAGACAGACGCGGGAATTGTCAAAGGCAAAAGATGGATTTTGGGTTCCATTCTGTCGCTGAAGACGTTCCTCGAAATGGCGAGCAAAAGGTCAATTTCCTCTTCAATGATACCGCCCAGCCACTTCTCTTACAATGCCGAGCGGGCAGTTCCAGTCTCCGAAGAAGTGGTCAAAGCAGCAGCAGAGAATGGAACATTTGGACCCAAAGTCATGGAGACTCCCTTGTGGTCTTGTGGTCTCGAGGAGATAGCCGGAAATGATGGGAACCCAGCGACTCTCCTTATGCCCCCCGCACGGTAGAGCTTCCTTCGAAAGACTGCAATTATATTTCATGTTGCCAGTTAAGAGGGGCATTGTTTTGGAATTATGGCTAAAAATTTGTTCAACCAATAGCAAATGATAATGCTCCTATTAATGTGCCATTGTAGATTTGAGAGGTCAAACGATCTACATGCAACAACTCTAGGCATCCTTGGCACAGTGATGTCGCCAATTCTAAGCGCCCATTTCTAAGCATGGAAGCCAGTAGTAATCCGTACTGCGCCCACGTAGAGGAAGTCTTGGCAAATTACCGGAGTCAATAGTGCTAGTTGGCGGAGGCTGTGATGATAAGGAAGATGTTCAGGGGGAAACTTAGGTCTGGATCAATCACGAGATCCACTCTGACCTGGCACTGCACTGCAGTTGCAACGTACTTCCGCTCGAGCCCCTTCTCCCTGTCAATAGGCCTGCATCGCCATTGATTTTTGCGTTCGCCTATTCTTCACTGCCACAAAAAGCTTGGCAGCGGACCGTCTAAAGATGCGACGTCGATCATGGTCGTCTTGGCCCTTGGCTCTTGGCTCTTGGCCATATTGAAACACAACAAGTTCGGGAGGATACCAAGGCCGCGAAGTCTATCGGACAGTCCCGGGTCCTCAAAAATCGGCCCGATGATTTCATACCCATAATCTAGGTAACCTCAGGACCTTGGCGTGAGTGGTGATACAGTGCAACGGCAGATGTTCAATTAGACGTGGCGACTCAGGGGCTCAGAGCAGACTGACGAAGCAAACTTTACGATCAGAGTTCTTGGCTATTGGTGAACCTTTTTCCACCAAGGCATCGCAATTTCTTTATACAATAGCTTTAACCCTAGTGCTCAGCCCGCGGTGGATCGTTTACCCCCTTTCCCCCTACTAATTGTATACCCCGTAGGCATAGATGTTGGTGATGAAATATGCCAAGATCAGACCTGGTCGATCTATTCTTGACTTCTTGGTTTGTCGCGGCCTCGATGGGCCCTGATAACTATGTTGACGCTGGTAGGTCAATATTCAAGAGGGACCCCTGTACTATACATCTCTGGCTGTGCAAGTTTCTTGGTGTTTTCTTGGCTTGTCAACTCAAGTTGTGAGCTTTGGGCATGAATCGATATTCATTCTCCGCATTGTTTGCCCCCGGACTCCAGAGGGTTTGGTTTAAATCCATTGAGTTCCTCGCGCTTTCTATAGATCAATCTCAACTTCAATTACATACACAGCGAGCATTGTCTCTTCATTGCATTTCAACTGTTATACTCATTTTCCATAACACATCTAAATCCATTGCTATTACTCTTGCAACATGTCCCACCCCGGTTTCTTAGGGGCAGATTCCTACGAGCTTCCTCCTCACTCCTCCCACTCCGACACCCCTATCCTCGATGGAGAAAAGTCCGACAAGCCAGTTCAATTATCATACCGTCAACGACTCCGTCATTTCACATGGGCTTGGTACACATTGACCATGAGCACGGGTGGTCTGGCTCTTTTGATTGCAAGCCAACCCAACCGGTTCAAAGGCCTAACCGAAATCGGCCTGGCAATCTATATAATCAACTTGCTCATGTTCGCCTTAGTCTGTTCATCTATGGCGGCACGATTCATCATCCACGGTGGACTAGTGCAATCCATCACACACGATCGAGAAGGATTATTCTTCCCAACCTTCTGGCTCTCCGTCGCAACAATGATTTGTGGTTTAGAGAAGTACTTTGGAGATGACCCGGCGCAAGCCTTCTCAACCACCCTTGAGGTCCTGTTCTGGATGTACTGCGTGTGCACCTTTGCCGTGGCCATCTTCCAATACTCCTACCTCTTTTCCTCGGTCACATACCGTCTACAAACTATGATGCCCTCATGGATCCTGCCAGCCTTCCCAATCATGCTCAGCGGCACTATTGCATCCGTCATCGCAGAGCGACAGCCCGCCCGATCTTCCATTCCAGTGGTCACAGCCGGCATGACTTTTCAAGGTCTCGGATTCTGTATCAGCTTCATGATGTACTCCCATTACATTGGACGACTGATGGAGTCTGGTCTCCCGAACCGCGAGCACAGACCGGGTATGTTCATCTGTGTTGGCCCACCAGCCTTCACTGCCTTGGCACTCATCGGCATGGCCCGTGGTCTCCCGGAGACCTTCAATGTAATGGGCAGTGAAGATACTGCTGCAGATGGGCGGATGATTGAGATCTTGGCCCTGGCTGCCGGTGCTTTTCTTTGGGCTCTTAGCCTGTGGTTCTTTTGCATTGCGTTGATTGCGGTCCTTCGGTCCCCACCCACCGCATTCCATCTTAGTTGGTGGGCTATGGTTTTCCCGAATACTGGATTCACTATTGCTACCATCACCTTGGGTACCTCGTTCGAGAGTGCTGCGATCAAGGGTGTTGGATCGGCTTTATCGATTTGTGTTATTTCCATGTGGTTGTTCGTTTTAGTCAACCACGTACTAGCGGTGATTCGACAGGATATTATGTACCCTGGAAAGGATGAAGATGTTTCGGAATAGTTTGAGCTATATATACGGGTCTGGGTTTTTTTGCATATTTGGTGTTGGTGTTGGTGCATTTGATGGGATTTTGATCAGTTTTGCGAAAAATATACTAGATACTAGATTGCATTCACCATAGACAAAAGATTGATAACATTTTGTCCTTATTGTATGGGTGAAATAACTACACTTTGTCGCATTTCAACTTGTTTCCTGATCTTCCACTCTTCCCTTACCACAAACTGGGACGAGTATTTTCGTCTCCCTCTTTAAACTTGTTCCTTTTTCCTTCTTTCAACCTCCATCTCCACAACTTGTCCTCTTCTCCCTCTTCTCCTTCTTCTCCCTCTTCTCCTTCTTCTCCTTCAATCAGCTCCTTGTCTCTATAACTTTTTTATTCCGACCAAGCTATGTTTGTTGACTCTTGATCGCAGGTAAGATCTTGAGAAGCCTCTATTTCTAAGTTCCTCATCCCTTCACACCTTTCGCTTGGTGCTCATATAGGTTTGAACTAGTTGTCTTTTATCCTTGATGTGACGAAATGAACGTATGATAGAAATCCTCTTTTTCTGGTACAGTATATACACAAACTCCAATCCAACAGGGAGCGCCAATATGCGATGCAAAACAAAATAGGAGGGTTGACTTTTGGAGGTGAACAATAAGAGACATCGGGTATCATGATATTCCGGTTCAAAAAGAGCATGGACAATGGTGTGGACAACACGACGGTGGCAGATCACCCTTTCTGGGCCTTTCCAACTTGTTGTTCAAAGCCGAATCATCACAAATCCATGTGAGCACAAAACGGCGCGTTCCAAGCCATGTCGGGGCCATGTGATATGGAATGACCCCAAATCATCAGGTGTGAGCAGTCATCTGTAGATGTGTCCTTCCGGCAGAGACTGGCGAGAGAGTCTATGGTGCGTCAAGTGCAATAAGACTGGCAAACGGGGGTTGGAGAACATCGATCATCGTCTAAGCAACCTTTCTGCCGACATTGCCGATACCACGACCAACCACACTGATGATCACATCCCCAGAGTCATTCTCATCCGAAGCATCACGGATACCCCAGCCAGGAGCACCGAACTTGGTCAAGTCCCGGGCAAGCTGGATCAGGTTGGGGTCAGCGATCACCTCCCGGCCCACCTGCAAGCGACCGACATCCTCTGAGCCCATGGTCATGAGGGTCAACAAGGTCGGAGCCGCAGCCGGGGCAACACAACCGCCCTTGGAGATGGTCTCTAGCAGCTGGTATGCGCACTGCTTACCGATATCCTCTGGAGGCTGGCCACCGGAAGGTGGCGAGGCCACATCCGCTGAGTAGAGACATCCGGTAGAAGACTCCGCCACCAGCGACAAACCGAATCCAAGACCAATCTTCTTCTTTGCGTTAGGGTTGCTCCTGTCCGGGGCAGGGATTAGAGGCGCAGACGAAACGTCGGAGAAGATGTAGGTATCGGGGCTAAGAGGGTTGAGAATTCCACGGGCGGTTTCAATCATGCGAGCGTTGTTGGAGCCCGACACACCGACGGAGTAGACGACACCACGGATGCGCTTGATGCGACCCGGGTTCATCAGGTGCAACGTCTTCGGGAGACGAATCTGATGACCGAACACAAATTGCACCTCACCACCACCACCGCGACCATTGGGACCCGGGTTCGAGCGTTTTAAGATGCGGAGTTCCACGTTGTTGAACATGCCGAACTGGTTGTAGAGCGGGAGGATGGCTGTGCGGACGCTGTCGACAGACATATCGCCGGTAGGGGTCGAGGATGTGATAACACCGGGACCGGAGAAAAGAACCTTCATGGGCGCTTTAGAGAAGGGGGCCAAAAGGCAGAGAGGGATCAGGTAGTAGCTGAGGCCGCGGTTGCAGTTCGAAGGCAATTCGTGTCTGATCAAGCCTCCACTGGCACCGCTACCCGGCGCAGTACCGGTGATCAGACCGGGCTTGTACACAACAATTGTACCTGTGTACGAAATTTCCATTTGGGAGCCATTGGTGACGGCCTCCAAGAGGCGCAGGAAAGAGATCTCATGGGGAGCGAGACCGGGGTTGGTTGGCGAGTTCGAACGAATTTGTGAGATGTGAACTGTGCGGCCGGTGAGTGTGGAAAGAACGAGACGATAGATGAGGTTATGGTGTGAAGTAAACTTCAACGGGGGTTGTTGGGTCGCCATGATGTGCTGTCTTAACCTGGTCAAGCGTCGAGACCCATTGAAGCTTCAAACGAAAAAAGAAAAATTTGGCGGAGTCACATTAATCCGATCCGGCGCATCGGCTTATGTCCGAGTTGTTATCACCGATCAGATAATGAATCTAATGAACATCAGACCCTGACATGCGACTCTATTACTAGATCGAAGATTGACTCCGCACAACTTTCATCTTCGTCAATTCATTACACCCGTTCCCGTCGGCATAGTTACCACGATGTTGCCTCCGGCTCTCAACATCCCCAAATGGTAAGAGTCATTTTGAGCTCCCCCTCATATTGCTGATGAATCATAGCGGGGTGCCATGAATCTCCACAAGAATTCAAGCTACACTCCGATCTCACAACCAACTCCGTACAGTGACTAACAGCTCTACTAACCAGGCTCGAAGAAAACTCCCATCTCCTACAACCACCAGTCAATAATTACTGTGTCTACCACCCCTCAACCCCGGCAACAGCCGGCTACACTGTGATGATCGTCGGCGGACCCAACGCGCGAACAGACTACCACATCAACACAACTCCCGAATTTTTCTACCAATACAGAGGATCCATGCTCCTCAAGACAGTTGACCCGTCAACCAATCCGCCCACGTTCCAGGATATTCCGATCCACGAAGGATCGATCTTCCTGTTGCCGGCAAACACACCGCACAGCCCGGTCCGATTTAAGGACACGGTCGGTGTAGTGATGGAGCAGCCACGACCAGATGGAGCAGTGGACATTATGCGATGGTATTGCCGGAAGTGTAGCGAGATCGTATGGGAGAAAAGGTTTGTATGCACGGATCTAGGGACGCAGGTTAAGGCTGTCGTGGAGGAATTTGGAGCAGACGAGGAAAAAAGACGGTGCAAGGGTTGTGGAGAAATGGCGGCGGTAAGATATCAGGAAGGGGAGGTGGTGCAGCCTTGAATAAGGGACGCAACCTGAATAAAGGGGAGTTGAATCCCTGTCTATGTGGAGTAAGGAGTGGTTCTGGTGGGGTTGCATCTCGTATAGAAGTGAAGTAAAACTGTATTATGAGTGATGCATTCAACATTATGACTATGAAAATATGTGATATTTGATAGTGCCATCTAGCCTAGGTGCATATGCGAGAAGCGCCCTTGCTCGAGAAATACGAGAGAAACAGTGATTGAGGTATGATGGATTAGATTTTATATTAGCCTCCAGCTCAAGTCCAGAGTATGACATAGACAAAGACCCAAACTGGGTCTACATCAACAAACTTGATAGCCATGGACACCAGGGGTGATGATAACAATGTGAAAGGGGAAGTTGAGAAAAGGGAAAGACTGACAAGGGTCAGACAAAGAAGGTGTATATCAACAAGCACCACGAAAGTGGCCAAGGTATGAAACGGTAGGGAATAATACAGAGTTTGAAACGAAAGAAAAGGCACCGACAGTCATCAACCACAGCGGACCGGATCTCGTGTGATGGGGAGTAGAAAAAGAATGTAAAAGGGGGTAGTTATAGAAAGAGGAAATCATGTACTAGAAGAAGAGTCAAGATGCAACCGAGAATCACCTAGTGTCGGTGTCCAAAAAACCTCCAACACAACAACTCATACTTTTTGCATCACCGGGACATTATTCATCAAAAGGACAGTCGATGCTCTCATGGCCATCGCGCTCACAAAGAGCACACCACTTGGACTCGTCAATGACCCCAGAGGATTTTCCAGCAACAGGGGCCATAGAATTGCCCAGACCACCAATGCCCTTCAATCCCTCAAGGACAACGTCTCGGCCAGTCTTGGGAGAGGGAGTCTTATCGTGAATTTCACTGTCATCGGTTTGGCTCACATCAGTGTGGTCATCAGACTTTCCAGCGTGATCGTTCGATGCCTCCGTGGCCTTAGTCTTGGTATTGTTGCCAGCTCCGAACATGCTGGTGCAATTCAGAATGTCATGGCCACCCGTTTCGCAGATCTCACACCACAAAGTATCGTCATCGGAAGAGCGCTCTGACTCGGGCATGGGCTCAAGCCGTGATTGCGACGAATTGGACATGCCGCGGTTGTGCTGGCGAGGCTCTGATGGAGCATCATGCCAGTCGGTTGGGACAACAGTACGATCCGAGAGACGGTGATCATGATTGATATTGTTGTTCACAGTAATGTTACCCTGGGAGCCAGACGGCTTGTGCTGCTTGGGCGGAGAGAGGGTCACAGTAGAGCTTCGATTGCGACCTCCTTCGTTGGAGCTCACCTGGAGCTCCTGCAGCTGCCGTTCTAGCTCCTCGATGCGAGTGTCTTTGCGTTCAGTATTACCCTCGGTTTCCTGGAGCCGTTGCTCCAGTTGGGCAATGCGCTCGTTCTGCTCGTTCTGAGCATCCGTGCCATCATTGTGACTGGCATTGGGATTTCCGCGGCTCAGAGAATGGATGATAGCCTTTAGGCCTCGAATCTCGTCGTCTTTCTGCTCGATCTCATTTGAGTGACGGGGCCCATCGGACGCGGCATGCGCATCCTTCAGCGCTGCCACCGAGTGATCACGCTCTTTCTTCAACTCCAACTTGGTCCTCTCGACCTCCCCACGAAGGAACTCAACCTCAGCTCTTGCTTCAGCTTCGCCTCGCCTGGCGTCTTCCAGACCTTCTTCCAGCTCTGAGACGAGCTCTTCCAGCTGCTTCAATTGTTGAGCCACAATCTCCACATCTTCCCCGCGATCCTGGAGCTCCTTGTTCTGTTGCAGCAATTCATCCAGACGCTGCTCGTAGACACGCTCAGTCTCGGAGGCAGCTATTTCCAATGTATCAAGAGTACTACGGAAATCAGCCCGGTGGCCATCGAATTCAGCGGTCAATTGGTTGATCCGATCGTTCCTTTCCCGAAGCTGGGCACGGACCGACATGGCATCCGATCCTTCCAGTTCCTCCATGGTCCTTTGGAAATCGCCGAGAATCTTTGTCTGCTCATCCAATTGCTTGTCCCGATCTGATAGTTGCTTTTCCAAAATTTTAATTTGATCCTTCAATTCCTGGGTTTCCGCTGAGGATGGACGCTGGAAGTCAGATGGTCTACCATATGACGAGGCATCATCATCGACGCTGATCCTTGACGGTGGCCGATCAGATAGTCGTGACGGGGCCTTGGTAGGACTCCGTTGGTAACCATTGGAGGCTGATGTTCTCGACGCGGCGGATGGGGTGCGTAAGCCACCCAAACTCAGCTTCGGGGGAGGAACACGTGGAGATTCGGGTCGAGGAAGAGAGGGACGACGGATCCGAGGACGAGGTGTAGAAAGGCTCGGACCAACTGACTTGCTGAAGTTGACAGGCGGGGCACGCCCCGGAGTTGTAGGCACCGCGAAGTTGTTTGACGTGGCTCGTCGAGTGACGTACTTGCTGTTGTTCATGGGGACAAAGATTCCCGACCCTGGAACTGAAGTCGCAAAGTATTTTCGTCCTTCCACGTCTCCATTGTTCTTTCCGCGAGCCGCATGCTCATTGCTCAACTCGATGCCCGCGAATCGACCCGGCTTGCCCGCCACGGACCCCAGGTATTTTACCGTGCCAAACATGCCCCCAGGCACGTTGACGACGTCGCCGATTTGGACATCGTCATGAATCGCCATGGTAAAAGGCGGTATGCAGAGACTTGTCGAAAGTTGTTGTTATGTCGAGGGGTAGGTAGAGAAGAAGTTGTTTGTTTTGTCAGGAGAAACCACTTTAAAGCCCAATCTTGATCATAGTTGAGACTCGACCAGACATGCAAGTTCAAGTGAGATGAGAGAACAAAAGGAACTCGTTTATGTACAGAAAGAAAGCCGAATCATATACATAGAGTTGTAAGAAAGGGGGAGGGAGAGTCAACAAATAAAACCATGGATGCGCATGTGCTCCACTCGGCGTAATCCAATCCATTCCCCGATCTCTCAACCTCTTCCTTCTAACACTCCCTTACCTCCTCAAGCTGCATCCTCTCCTTTTCGGTTGCCTTGATTTGTATTTCTCAACTTTCGGTAGATTACGGAAACATACTCGTGATCATCTCTATCTTCAGTTTTCCTGCAATCCCCACGCGCCACGATCCCGATCTCCCAAAGCGGAGGTACTAGCAATCATGGCGCAGTACTTCTTCGATCTCCTCTACAACTTCACAGATTGCATGTGCTGTTTCCCCAGCTCACCGCAACTGAAGATCAACAACCGGAGCTTCAAGCTCCTGCGACTCTTGGGTGAGGTATGTTAAGCAGCTAAAAGCACCTCCGCGAAGCTCAAAGGTGACGCGAAGAAGTGAACGTGGCCCGAAAGCTAACTGATCCACCTTCAATTAAACAGGGCGGTTTCTCCTACGTATATCTCGTCCAAGATAAAGCTACCTCCGAATTGTTCGCCCTCAAGAAAATCCGCTGTCCTTTTGGTCAAGAATCCGTGTCGCAAGCCCTGAAGGAAGTCGAAGCATACAATCTGTTCACCTCGGACACCAACATCATCCACGCCATCGATCACTCCGTTTCTACGGAATCTGGCTCCAAATTCCGATCGGATGGTGGTGATGCGGGCTCCAAAACTGTCTACATTCTACTCCCATACTACCAACGTGGTAACCTCCAGGATGCCATCAACGCTAATCTGGTCAACCACACCCGCTTCCCGGAGAAGCGATTGATGGTTTTGATGCTCGGAGTTGCCAATGCGATGCGATCGATGCACCAGTACCGTGTTCAGAGTGGTGCGACATCTACGCGCAAGGCGAAGGCTGTTCGAAGCGAAGGCGAGGAGGCGGATGCAGACAGAACCATGAAGATGAAGCCACAACGGCGAGCGAGCCACCGTGTACAACAAGACCAGGAAGACGAGGAGAACGAACCGTTGATGGATGATGAGGTGACGCGCAGTCAGGAAGGTGTCCAGGATGGCGCTCTACGTCCGTATGCGCATCGCGACATTAAGCCCGGTGGGTCTCATTTTAACCGATTTCCGGTCATTTCTCCCCTGCTAATGTTTCCATAGGTAACATCATGATCGATGACGATGGTCAGTCACCCATCCTGATGGATCTTGGTTCTTTGGCACCCAGCCCGATTGCTATCACATCCCGATCTCTGGCCTTGGCGGTGCAAGATACGGCTGCCGAACATAGCACCATGCCATACCGTGCCCCCGAGCTATTTGACGTCAAGACCGGATCGATCATCGACACAAAGGTCGACATCTGGTCTCTTGGCTGCACTCTGTATGCATGCCTTGTCGGCAAGAGCCCATTCGAGGCTCGCAGCGAGGAAACCGGTGGCAGTCTGAGTATGTGTGTCCTCGGTGGTGACTGGCGCTTCCCCGACGAAAAGTCCAATGCCACCAAGGGCAAAGGAAAGGCTGGGGTCGACGGTGACAACTCATCCAAGAGCAGCGGAAGCAGCACGATTAGCGCTCCTGTTAAGGACATTGTTCGCAAGTGTCTGGAAGTGGAAGCCTCGGAACGTCCCGACATTGACGAGTTGATTGAACTCATCAAGAACGTCATCAATGAGTTGCCGGATGATGACGGTGCTGGTGCATCTCATTGAACCGGATGCTTGAATTTCCGTCTTTTCCCGTTCAATTCCCCCATTCTCAGTACTCGGCAGGCTCCGCTGGACATCTTGTGCACGATCTGAATTTCCCTTGGCGATTTGTACAGTATAGCTGAGATTTGGGTATATCTCTGGCAGAATTAATTTGGTGAAACATGTGTTTAGATCTGTATATTCCATAAGTGTGAAATATGCATTCCATATCAATGCTCCATAGAGATTCTATAGCCTAATCTGTAGACATGGGTGATCTCGGAAGTCCCCCTGAATAACCGGAATATGACAAATGGTGGCTGAACTATGGCGTTTCTTCCTTTCAATGCTTATAGGTTGATCCAGATACGAGCTACTGGCGGACTATTTCCCGCTAAGCGGGGATATGGCTATAGTCTGGAACTATGAATCCCAGGAATTGGAGAACTTCGATGATCATCAAAGAGTAGCAGTGGCACTATTTATATTGATGGCATTCTGTAGATTATTTATGGATCGATAGTATTAAGCAACTTGACCCCAAACTCAATTGCTCGGGGGTACATGTCACATACCTATTACCATAACTTTTTAATACTTGGTCCATATAAATGGCAGCTATAGTTGGAAATAAGCCTAATTGGCCAAGACGTTATCTTATCTTAAAGATAAGCATCATAAGCATACATCGAGGTCCATTCATTCATACTTCTTTACTATCCTAGAAATCCACTTACTCCAAAGATAGGTTTCCTTTTAGAGCAAGTAACCTACTTCCTGCCAAGATTGTCTTTGTTTATATTCCGCCAAAACGGCAAAGATCCGCTGAATAACACCCAAAGTGCGGGGAAGGTTCAATCGGCTCCAATTCTGACGCCGCAGCTTATCGCCACAAAAGAGTCATATCTCCAGCGGAACTCTTCCGACCTGCATTTGCCTTGTCAAACTACACTTTATCTGACTTGCCGATTCCCCTCGCATCGGCAACCCCGCCGACGTCTTATCATGCTGTGATCGGCTCTCAAATAGTGCTTTGATCGCCCATCCTTTCGGTCTTGCATCCCTTGCTAGAACATATACACCATGGCACCGGTAATAGACAACTCGGCCATCCCAGGCACAGTGACGTTAGTCGATGTGCAGCATGTGCTACACACCCAGCATCTAGAGAGTGGAGACAGGGACATTGTGCTGATCCCCACCCCCTCTGCTCATCCAGATGACCCACTGAACTGGAGCCCACGGAGGAAGTTGATGTCGACAGTCTCCGTTAGCGTGTAAGTCGAAGAGGAAACAATGGACCCGACACTTAGCTGACCAGTTCTCTGTTCAGCTACACATTATTCGCCGGTATCGCTTGCTCGGTAGTTTATTCAGTCCTCACGCAACTGTCCGAAGAGACCGGCCTATCAGTCGATACCCTGAATGAAGGAACCGGATATTTGTTCTTGTTAGCAGGATGGGGCTTGCTATTCTGGCAGCCCTTTGCAATGCAATATGGAAAGCGATTGACATATATACTGTCATTGGCGGGGATTTTGGTAAGTCGCATCGGGTGGATACCAAAGATGATGTACTGATAAGCTGCAGGGTACAACCATGTGGGGGTAGGATATCTCCACACTAAATACTCCGTACTTGAGATGGTATATTGACTCATCTAATCTAGACCCTACGCCAAAACCTATGGCCAGTGGATCGCTCGCTGCGTTCTTCAAGGCTTTTTCACTGCTCCCATTGAAGCTCTTCCAGAAATCACAGTCACCGATGTGGTAAGTTAACTAAGAATCTGAAATCAACCGTCATTGATCAACGATAGTATTTTACACACGAGCGAGGAACATACATGGGTTTATATGCCTTCTTCTTGGCTGGCAGTAATTACTTCGCCCCCGTCATCTGCGGTTTCATTGCCCAGTACCAGGGATGGCAATGGGTCTTCTACTGGCCTAGCATCTTTTGTGGATGCGCCATGATTTTCCTGTTTTTCTTCATGGAGGAGACGAACTATGTTCGCGAAGATAGCCTTCAAGATGCCACCGTCGCCAATGTGCGGGTGGGCTCTTCCCACAGCTCCCACAGCTCGGATCCCGAAAAGGCCCCCGTTGATCAATCTGTCCCGGCTACAGAGACGGAAAATGGTGCAGTCTATTCCAAGAAGACTTACTGGCAACAGTTGTCTCTTTTGGGTCCCAAACAGAAGCATAATACTATGTTCCGACGACTTTGGCAGAGTTTGTACTTCTTGTCATGGCCGGTTATTTTCTATGCTGGGTATGTTGGTACCTGTGGACCCGCGGAAGATGTGATGCTAATGCTGAACTAGATTTTCCTATGGATCATACCTGGTATTGTTTAATATTCTTAATGACACGGCATCTATAATCTTGGGTGGAGCTCCTTACAATTTTGGGTAGGTCCGTTTTGAATATCTTACGAAAGCTAGCTAACAAGTGTCAGATCCTCTATGGTCGGTCTTAGCTACTTGGCGTGCTGTCTTGGCGTAGCAATCGGGTGAGTCCCATATCAAATCATAATAAGGACCATCTCATTGACATCGTTTAGATCGATCTTCACTGGACGGTTCAGCGATTGGCTGACCATCAAACTTGCCCGTCGCAACAACGGAGTCATGGAAGCAGAACACCGCCTATGGCCCTTTATTGCGTGTCTACTCCTTGTGCCAGGATCTCTTCTGCTCTGGGGAGTTGGTGCCGCTCACGACGTACACTGGTTCGGTCTTATCGTGGCCATGTGCCTGCTTGCATTTACCAACACCTGTGGTATCACTCTCAGTGTAAACTACATGGTTGACAGCTATCGCGAGTTGAGTGGAGTGGCGATGGCTACTATCATTTTAGTGCGAAACACCATGTCCTTTGCCATCGGTTACGGGTAAGTCAAGGTCTGGCAATTCTAGTGAAGGCAGTAACTAACGTTTCATAGTATCACACCCTGGATTGATGACCTCGGGTACCAGAACTGCTTTGTGTCCGCTGCCTTTGTAGGCATGGCATGCGCAGCTGTATTCCTGGTAATGATCAAGTATGGAAAGAATTTCCGGATCCGCAGCCGCGAGCGATACTGGAAGATTGTACAGGAAAACTTCGACAAGGGAATGGGACACTGAGGACATCCACTTGATATTACCATTTATCAAAGTCCTTCGGGCATCTTTCGGGCACTATATAGCATAATGATCTATACAACTTCAGCCAGTTGAATTCTCCCCTCATCATCATAAACAATCTCCCTCATCTTAACAGATCTCAAATGATCCACCCCGTTCGACAACTCACAATCGTGATAAAACAAATACCACTTCCCTTGAAACTCAACAATAGAATGATGTGTCGTCCACCCAAGCACCGGTTCCAAAATCCGTCCCTGATAAGTAAAAGGTCCGAAAGGCGAAGACCCTGTTGCATACACCAGGTAATGTGAATCTCCAGTTGAATAGGAGAAATAGTAAGTCCCGTTATACTTATGCATCCACGCAGCCTCAAAGAACCGTCGATCATGATCATCTGCCTGAATCAACTCCCCAGTTTCCGGAGCCAAAATCTGCAGTTCGCGTGGTGGTGCAATGAACGATAGCATATCATCTGATAGCTGCGCTACACGCGGACCAAGAGCCACAACACCTTCACCAGAAGGCTCCTGAGGGCCGGATTTCGAAGCGTCGAAGACCAATCCGTTCATAGCATCATCACCACCACCAGCGTCATTCTTGCTCCAGCATTGCAACTGACCACCCCACAAACCACCAAAATACAAATATCCCTCCCCGTCCTCATCAACGAAAGAAGCAGGATCAATGCTATAGCTGCCCGCAATGAAATTATCCTCCGGCACAAAGGGACCTTCAGGCTGAGCCGAAACAGCCACACCAATCCGAAAGATCCCCTCCTTGTCACGGGCAGGGAAATACAAGTAAAATTTCCCATTTTTTGTTGCGGCATCTGGTGCCCACATCTGCTTCGATACCCATTTGACATCATTGGCCGAGAGCACGATACCATGGTCTGTTACCGGGCCTGTTGGTGAGTCCATGGAGAAGACGTGGTAGTCATTCATATCGTACTGGTCACCATTGTCGTTGAATTGGATATCTGTTTCCCGGTCGTGGGAGGGATAGATGTAGAGTTTGTTGTCGAAGACGTGGGCGGATGGGTCTGCGGTGTAGAGGTGTGTGATGAGGGGTTTAGGAGACATTCTGGATATGTGTAAGTACCTGATTAGGTAGGTACTCCCAACGTTAGGTATAGAGAGGAGCTTTGTCTGGATCTAGAATTGAGTGAGGCTTGAGTGGTTATATAGCCACATTTCTATTGCTTTTAACCGTCGCGGCTAAACAATCGCGGGGAAAGTTCCGTTTGGCAATTTTAGGAGATTGAAATCCATGGAACAGAAGAGAACTTCCATTAGTATTAATGAGTGAATAATTAGGGATAAAGGATAAAGGGTAAATGTCGAGTGATACTATTTGAAGTATTTTACCCTGAAAACAAGCGCCGGCAATGTTTCATTATCAAGACAAAGATAGTCGCTAAGACACCACCCCCAGTCTACAGAGTACAAATCTAAGCAAAAAAACCAAAGCTGCCTGATGCCAACTAAACTCACTTCCACCCAAAGGAGTGGTACTGCTCAGCTTGCGCTTGTGCCAGAGCCGCCTGCCACTCTCTTTCCATAAGTAACATCATCTCCCATACACTCTCGTCTTCCATACCTTGGGTAATAGTATCTGTTACAGACTCATCAGATGTGATCGGTGCTGTTGTCCCAAAATCAATCTGGAATGGCTCCACGAATGGCGGTGGAGAATCACAGCCGCGCAGCCCGATAAAGCGTCCAAAACGGCGGCGCTTGGTCTCAAGATCAACATCCTCAGCCTCGGTACCGACCCATGGCTGTTGGATTGGAGCTGGGTACATGAATGTTTCTGGTACGGGAGGAGAGATTTGATGAAAGTCTTGTGCAAGTTTATCGAGTTGACAGTTTGTGAGTAGGTGGTATGAAAGCATAGTCTGAGGAAAATCTGGAGGTATTTGGGCAGTTTTGCAGCTGACAAGAGGATGCAAATTCTGCCCGAGGTACTGGAGGACAGCAAGAAAGTCTGGATGATATAAAGACCGAGGAGCATGAATATGTGTTTCTTCTGTAAGCTTGGAGCCAGGGACAGGCCAGCTGTTTTGTCGAGATGGTGAGATCGGAGTCGCAGGCATGATGAGCATAAACCGTGAATAGCTTCAAGGGAAAGATAATGAGCCAGTATAATTATATAAATGGTGTAGAGTGAAGTGGATAGACAGAAGTGAATAGAGTGGAGTGAACAGAATAAAGTGAATCGAGTAGAGTAAATTCGCTAGATAACCGAAGCAGTGCTAATCAAGAAAACACCCCGAGCATTCAAGTCAATCGAAGCGCACTTAAGTAGTTGCGGCATTCGTTGATCTTGATAATGGCCATTATGTAGACAATGAGATGAAACGCCCCGGAATAGCGCTTTGTAGCCTCAAACCATCACAAAGCGAAGCACGCCCTTTGTGGCCACTCGACATAATTCCTCAAAGAAACTGATCTCGTGTCTTTGTTCTAGATCTGAAGAAACCTGAAAGAGGGAGCCAGTGCCACAGAATTATCACAGATCAACGTCAGAGTGTTTCATGCACATTAATAGGTGCGTAGCCAGTACGCTAAGCGATTAGAGGGCCAGAGTGTTCATGGCTGACAGGTCTGGTTCGTCCGAAACTGCAGGCAGACCAGTGTACTTGTTGATCCAGTTCAACACAGTCTTGTGCCACATGAGAGAATTCTCGGGATTCAGGACCCAGTGATTTTCATCAGGGAACGTCAAGAAGGCACTGTCGATACCGCGCATCTGCAACACATTAAACGCGGCCAGGCCTTCGGCGATCGTCAGCCGATAATCCAGCTCGTTGTGGATAATAAGGTGTGGCGTCTGCCAGTTCGCAGTGAAGCGCGATGGATCCCACTTGGCCCAATTCTCCGGCTTTTTCCAGATCGGGCCTTGAAGGTCATGAAGGGGGAAATATTGTTCTTCGCTAGCCAGCTGCGATGTCATGCTAAAAACACCATCATGAGTAACCAGTGCTTTGAACTTACGACCCAGAGGATGGCCTTGGATCCAGTTCATCATGTATCCACCGTATGAGGCACCCAGGGCGACAGCCCGTGTGGTGTCAACATATGCGAGGTTCTGCTCAATGTATTCAAAGCCCTTTACTAGATCTTCATAGGGCCGGCCTCCCCATTGGCCAGTAATTCCATCCGTAAAAGGCTGGCCATACCCAGTGCTACCTGTTGGATTAGGTGTAATCACAACATACCCTTGCTCTGCGAAGACGGCAGGATTCCAGCGAGTACTCCATTGGTCATTCCATGCTCCCTGGGGACCACCGTGGATCAGATAGGCCAGAGGGTACTTCTCGCCCGGCTTGAAGTCGGAAGGCTTCACGACCCAAGCATGTACTGGGTGATTCTCTGCTCCATGGAACCAAATCTCATCCACCTGGGTTGGCGAAAGGCCAAATGACGACCCTCCACGGCCGCTTGACGACACAACTTGGATTGCTTCAGGGCTTGCCGGGTCGATTATGGACCATACGCTGTTATCAACCAGACTGCTGCTAGATATAAGTAGGCTGGAAGAGCCTGCAGCCGCAGGAAAAACATCATTCACGTATCCCGACCGGGTGAGTCTCTTCAACGCATCAGGCTTGGCCTTTCGGATATCCTGCAAAGGAAGCTGATAGAGGACTCCACGTCCAATTTCCTCAGTCTGAACGAGTAGCGATTTGTCATCATGGGCAAACGAGATAGCAGAAGGACTCAGGTCCCAAAGCCCCTTGCCATCATTTGACTCGAACACTTCGATCATGTCTCCATTCCATGGGTTCGGAACATACAAAATGCGATTCTTGTCAGATTCGTACCCATCCTTCTGCATAGCCAGCAAAGCAATGGAACTACCGTCCGAAGACAAAACGGGCGAGGACATTGCTCCCTGCAAACCAGTAACTTTGCAAGTCTTGATATCAGAAACGCTCATGCTAGTCCAGGAAAACATTGGCGCATAGTAACAAGAGCAGGCGGTATGTGTTGCAGGGTTCAGGCCAGGATCCTTGCCAATGAAGACAATGGCAGATGGGCTAATGTCAAAGTCGCTGGTTCCCCCAAACGGTGGAATTGGAGACTCAACGCCTGTCAGTCCAGACACCGAAATCAGGTTCGTGAGGCCGGACACCGAGTACTTCCCAGCCAGCCTGCGGGCGGGCGATAAGGGAGTTTGCTCCAGGATTCCATAAAAGATCGAGTTCTTCTGGGGTTCAACATAGGAGTCCCAGTGTCGGACGAAAAGAGAAGTATACAGGCGACCCGTTGTGTGGGACTTTTTCGCATCCTGGGGGTTATACAGGGAACCGTCCTGGTTGGCCTTGCCGCTGACAGCGAAGCCGATCTTGCCGGGCTCGATGACGGTGACCTTCAGATCCGAGACTGGACCCGGAACAGTGCCCGCAGTGTATGTGTTATCAACCTGGCGAGCATCGCCGACGATGAAGCTGGTGTTCCCATTGGTCTTAGTCTTCAGCCAAACCAGCTGATCATCAGCACCCAGCCACTGGGGATTGCTGGCACCGGGGTCGTTGGTGATAAGGGCAGATCGACCACTTTGAATTTCAATGACTCGTATCTCGTTGGTCTTGGAATGTGACTCGAAGGAATAAGAGGTCTGGGTGTAGACCGCGAGAGTGCCGGCTGCGTTGGGAACAGCCGAGGATCGCCTCGGCGCGCCAAGGAGGACCCTGAGGGTGGTCAATTCATTTGTGACATGAAATAAAAGATGTTTCGCGTGCGATATTTTGAAAATTGAGATTGTTTGAGACTCAAGAATAACTCACTCGGGTGTAAACTTCATGGAGCGGATGGCCATCACCTTGGTGGTATGGTGAGGAGCTGCGATAAGATAGGTAGATCGTAGCTATCAAGACAGCTTTCCAATGGACTGGAGCTCCCAAAGCTAACTTAGAATGGTAATAAGGAAGAGTGCTTAGATTTCAAGGATACTATGTGAAAGTGCAGGAAAGTGCAGGAAAGTAAGTATATTATGGAAAGAGATTGTGTTACGGTGAGATAAAAGGGAAGGTGTACTCCTTAGACAAGGGGTTGGGGTTGCAACGTGACTATTTGCGGGGTCACGCCACTGATCTACGGGATTGGCGCACTTCATCCGTTGATCGATGATCGATCTACTAGTACTCTGCTCTAGTGGACTATTGACTGAATAAAATAACACCTTTTATTTCCGATAAAGCTCCCAAGAACACATTGTGAGCAACTATTAATACAAATCCCAATAACACAGATTGTCCATTTACTCGTCTTCCTCTTCGCTCTCATCCTCGTCCATTCCTTCAGCTGCAGTGACGGTGAATGTGGGGGCCTGATCCACACCAACGTAACTGTCGCTCATTAGGTAGAGAGTGAGCTCATGCTCACCAGGCGTGGGCACAACATATTCTAGGCGCAACTCCAATTTGCGACCAATAGTGACTCGCTTGATGGCCAGCAAGTTCTTTGTTTTCTCATCACCGACCACAAGCCACCAGTTCTCCATCTTCTGACTGGGATAGAAGGGGGCGTGAACGACGGTATCAACTTCATCATCCTCATCCACCTCCCGTTCAATCTTGACCTTGAGGTAGGCGGGGTCGCCGGATGTGATGTTCTCGGGATCTTCAACCTCAAAGTCCAGCTCGATATTGGGGTACTTGTCGTTGGTGAAAGCTGCCGCTTGCGCCAATTGCTTGTTGGTCAAACCCAGGCGCTTAACAAGAGCTGTATAGTCCTTGTTCTCCGAGGGGTCCATGGCATCCATAAACTCAAAGATATCATTGATACTGTGTAGAAAATCTATATTAGTAGCTGTTCGGTAGTCAAACATAGGGGAGACATGGACATACTTGAATTCCTTGGCAGCATCAATAACTTCGGGCGAGAAGTGGGGAATCTGCTTAAGGGGACTATCACGGTCCCACATAGCCTGGACTAGCATCTGCGACAACTCCATAGCGTTCATGGCGTTAAGGTGGCCCTCGGAAGAAAGCACATCCACACAGGCACTGAGCAAGTTGAGGACCTTGCGGATGATATCCTCCTGATCCTTGGCGAGATCAATTGGCAGTTGCATGCGGGAGAAGTGAGCCTGAAGCAGAACAAATGCCTTGAAGTGGGGCGAGTCGAACGCAGCCTCAGACATCTTGACCGGGCAACGGTCGTAGACTCGGCGGAGGATATGCTCCTCATGACGACGCATCTGGATGGACTCGAATTCGGTGGCGGAAGTAACAATCTCCAGAATACCCTTAAGCTTTGTGCGAGCCGAAAGGGACAACAAGAAGGTTTGCATGGTAATGAAGGAAATATTGTAGTAAGCGCTGATCATGGCGGCGTTGAGGGGAGAGACACTGTCATCTTCCTCGTCCAAGTCAATGATCTTGGCCTCAGACAGCTCCTTCAACGTGTTCTCAACAAGCTCAGACAGGAACGTACTGAGTCCCTCGTGACTCACATCCCCGAGACCGTAGAAACTGGGGTTGGCCAGCAGGCGACGGTAGAAATATGTGTAGGTCATCCAATCCACTGCATCCTGAGTAGAAGCAATTGTTTTGGTACTGGCCTCGGTGACAAAGGCATCGTGAAGATACATTTGCAAGTGACTCTCCACCGGCAGGGCCTCGCTCAGGAACTTCTTATAGTACTCACGCTTAACAGCAGGCACCATGAGAACACCACGACCAATCTTGTCTTGACCCGGCCGGGAAGCCTTGCCAAACATCTGAAGAATCTCGCTGATGGGGTAATCAATGTAACGATGTTCGCGGCCATCAAAGAACTGAGTGTTCATGACGATTACCAGATGAGCAGTCACCTCCAATTCCCAGCAGCATTCGCGAGAAGCGAGGAGCACCTGGATGGCACCGATGCTGAACAGGTGCGAGACAATACGCTTGTCATTGGTGCTTAATGCCTCATGGTAATATCCGATTCCGTGAGACAGCGAGGCGGCAAGCGTCTGCTCTTGGATTCGGCTGAGAAGGGGCGCCAGCTCTTCGACATCCGCATTCAGGAACCGGTCTTCGTTGTCATCCATACCACAAGCCGCCAAAAGATCCACGGCTGTGGACCGGGTCTGCTTTCGGCTGGGCACAAAAATCAAAGCGGGCTTGTCGGGCGACAGTTGCAAAATAGATTGATAAGCTGGTCGGGACATCGCAAGCATCAGAGAGGGGAAATGAGGAATGGTAAAGGATTGGATGTGAAGCTCCAGAGGAATTGGTCGAGCATTGGGGCTGAAGTTGAAGATGGTATGCTTATTAGCACCAATCCACTCTCCAATGTCACGAGCGTTGGCAAGCGGCACACTTAATCCGACAATGCGCATTGCATTCTCGGTCTGGAGAGCAACGTAATGCATACGAGACACGACTACTTCGTAAACATAGCCACCGTAGCCACCCAGCATGTGAAGCTCATCAGCAATGAACAACTGTACCGTTTGGACGTTCTTGCGTCTCTGCCATTGCCGGGATAGCACGTCCCATTGGACAGGTGTGGCGAGAACAAGGTCGGCGCTTTCAAGAAGCTTCAAGTCCGCAGTGGTCTCCCCAGTAAGCTTAACGAGGGTTTTACCGCCTCCAAGGCCGCTGAGTCGCTTCTGCCAGTCGGCGAGGCGCGAATCGACAAGCTCTTGGAAGGGAGCAATGTAGACTGCGCGGCCGGTGTTTTCAGTTGACCAGTGGCGAAGGAGAGCCAACTCGGCACAGACCGTCTTACCACTGCCTGTTGGTGCACCAATAAAGACATTGTCATCCGAATCAAAGACAGATTTGAAGACCTGGGTTTGAATCTTGTTGAAGTGCTCCCAGTTGGGATAGAGCTTCTGGTACTCCTCACGCTTCAAAGCCTTGACAGGTGCGCGCTGCATATCCAATAAGGCAGTGTGAGGAGGGAATCGTTCCGGAAGGACTAGCTTTTGGAAAGATACGGCAATCTTTGTCTCAGAGTGCATCCAGCGATCGGAGACCAACGAGATGAAGTAGTTGGGGGGCATCGGCTCCGAGATGGGAACAGTAAATTCAACGAGATGCTCATTCATCTCGGCCTGAGCAAACTCACGGCGCAGGAGGAAGCGATCATGGAACAAGATCTCCTCACCATCGCAATCCTCCACCAAGATCCAGAAGTCTTGAGCATTGCCATGAATGGCATCATCCCAGACAAAGTTGGGAGTGAGGGTCAATTCGACACGAAGTAAAGAACGGGTGATTGGCTGAACCTGAGCCTGAACTTCAAGTCGCGGGAACTTGGAGACAAGATCACAAACGACACGTCCAGCCTTGGGCATACCAAGAAGCTCACCCATGCGAGGCGGATCCAAGTCAAAATAACTGGACCAAGGCACGTCGATCCGCTCGGCTTTCTGCAGAATGTCCCTAGGGCAGGAAGGGAATTGGCGCAAAGGGGACATTGTGGGCCACATTCGCTTCTCAGCCATCTTACAGAGGTCAAGCGCAGTCTTTGCGACAGATGTCCATCCCTTTTTCAAGCAGATTTCGAAAATGGCTCGGATGATACGACCGGCAGATTGTGTGACGTAGACCATGTCAGCCATCAGGGCCAGACCGTCCAGCTTCAGCCGAGAGATATAGGCCTGCAGCAGGACGTTGATCTTCGCGTGAGGCTCATCAATTGTCTCCTTAACAGGCACCGGTACTCGGCCCAAAAGCTTGCCCAGCTCCAGTTTCTCGTCTTGGCGAACAGGGATGTACTTAAATTCATCACTTAGGGCAAAAATGCGGAACAGCTCGATGGTAGTAATGGATGGCTGAAGATGCTGAGAGTAAGTGAGCATGGAATTGTGGCCAATGTAGTAGTGCGAAGAGATCCGACCCAGCTCAGTTGCCTGGAGTCGTCCTGTCTTCTTCTCATACTTGACAAGTCCAGCTTTTTCAAGAACAGCAGCAGCGGAGTGAATAAGATCAACCCGCTTCTGTTCCAAAGCATCGTCATTCTCGTAGTCCGTACCCACGCTGTACAATCCCGGTGAACGAAGCATCCGAACGTAAAGGTAGGTGTAGCCTAACCATTCCACACCTTCATCTCGAGTGCGAACATTACCCAAGACGATTTCAGCGTTGAGATTGTCAGCAAGCTTGCTCATGAGTTGAGATTCAATTGGCAATTGCATGTTCATGAGAGAAAGGTAGTATTGGATCTCGGATTGAGAAGTGATGATAATACCCTCTCCAAACGTATCGTATTGAGGTCTACCAGCACGTCCGAGCATCTGAAGAACATCCTGTGGACTCAACTCGACCCAGCTACCCTTCTCAGGAGAGTAAACTTGGGTTCCCTTGATAATAACAGTGTGCGCAGGAAGGTTGACACCCCAAGCCAGAGTGGCAGTACACACAAGAACCTGAATGCTACCATCGGCAAAAAGTGCCTGGACAGAATCACGATCTGCAAGACTCAGACCAGCGTGGTGAATACCCAGACCATAAGGCATAAGATCCTTGAGGGAAGCATCATCAACAGACTCGGCCTCCTCGGAGAGAATGGCACGGCTAGCAGCATCACTGCGAAGGATTTGTCCAATTGTTTCCATCTCAATGGCCTTGTCTCTGATATACTTGGCTGTCTTCGCGGTTTCCTTTCTTGAGTGAACGAAGATAAGCATCTGGTTTCGCTTTTGACCAACTTGCTCCAGAACCTTGTTGTAGCAAATGTCATTCATCGTCTTGAGCTGCTTAATGGCCTTCTTATCCGTAACACCGATGAACTCCTGCTTCAGGGGACAAGGACGGTATGAGCCGTCAAAATGGAAGATTCCCTTCTCAGGGTCGGCGCGCAGGAAGTTCCCGACATCACGGTAATTGGGAAGGGTAGCACTGAGACCAACAATTCGGACAGGGTCACCAGTCTGCTCCACACGGCGAATCGTGCGACTGACAATGCTCTCAAGAACGGGACCACGGTCATCGTGGAGAAGGTGAATCTCGTCAATGACAATAAGACGGACCAGATTAGTGTAGCTAGTTTCGGATGCCTTTCTGGTGATAACGTCGTACTTTTCGGGAGTGGTGACAATTACCTGAGTATCGGCAATTTGCTGCTTGGTGAGTTGACGATCACCAGTGAGCTCGGACACCCGGATACCGTATGGCTCAAGACGTTTTCCAAGGTTTCCAACCTGCTCTTGAACCAGAGCTTTGAGGGGGGAGATATAGATGATCTTGAAATCATCCAGCATAATCTCTCCAGTTTCCGCATTGCGATGCTTGCCAATTTCCCGCAGGATAGTCAGCATAGCAACGTTGGTTTTTCCAGAACCCGTGGGGGCACAGACGAGAAGGTTTCCGTCATCGTGGAATGCTGAAGGGTAACACTTGGTCTGTACACGATTCAACTCCTTGGAGCTTCCAAATCCAACGCGAGCCCAGTCAGGCAACTCGGTGGTCGGGATATTCTTCTCCCCAGCTTCCCGCTTGGCTTTGGGCGGCGGAACATGAATCTCCTCGTAGCCCTTGAAGGTGCGCTTTGTTGAGCCTTGAGGAAGTTTAACATTAGGATTGGTCATGAGGTGATTGCCCTGGTGGAAAACCAGGTTCTCAAGATTGATGAGCTTCTTGGGCTGCAGGCCGCCGACCAAACCACCGTCAGTTGCTGGCTTCTGCTCTTCTGCCGGCGCTGAGGGAACGTCGACATCCATCAGATCCAGCTTCATCTTCTTCTCTGGGCGATCAGCGAGATCATCACGTGCAGACTTTCCGCGAATTTCATCCAGAATACCACGGTGACCAGCCTCGACCATTTGGCTTTCAACGAGGTTGCGGGCATCAGCATCTTCGGCAACCTGTCTCCAACGAGTAGCCCAAACGACCTTATCACGGTTTGTCACCAGCTTGGCGACAACCTCGGCATGCTCGTAGTCGAAAAGCTCCATCAAGTCGTTTTCAACGTCACGAAGAGCTCGTTCAGATCCATCCTCTGCCTGACCACCAAGAAAATCCAGCGCTTGTTGAGTCTTTTCTTGTTGAATATGGGCGTCTGAATACAACGCACCGATTTGTCGTTGTAGCCAGTAGGCGTCGATCTCGCGAGCGGAAACATTCAGTCCAGCTTTATCACCAGCCTTATTATCACTGTCAAGGCCACCATCAATAACCATTTCGTCGCCGTCATCCAGGTCTTGAGCTGATTGATCTATGTCGGCTTGTTCTTGGTCGTCGGCTTCGTCCTCGTCGCTGTCTTCGTCTCGGATTTCGTCAACTGTGCCTATGCGATCTTCGTCTTCGTCTTCTTCGTCAAAGACAACGGCAACGCCCTGGCGTTCGTCGAGTTCGGCGTCCGCATCGTCAAAGCCGCCATCCATATCCTCGTCCTCGTCTTGTGCCTCGTAATCTGTAATTTTCTTACCAAGGTTCACAAGCTCGTTGAACTCTTTCGGGTTCATGGAACTACCCATGAGATCGTCAATTTCCTTCTTCTTATCGAAATCCTTCAGATCTTCATCCTTGAGGTATTCCAAAACAGCATCGGCGGCACTTCGAACGACTTCATGGGGCACGTCGCCAAGGTGGCTTCCAGTAATTGTGAGAATAAGGTCGTAGGTTGCTCGAGTCGCAGGTGTCCGAGGGCGGTATTTCAAGCCTTCAATGAGAGCATCGGCAGCTGAGAGAATACCTTGGCCTCGTAATTGTGCCGGCTGGCCGCGTCCGCGCTTTTTCTGCTCCCGGGACAACACGTCTTCACCTTCGTGAATCGCACCACGTTCGATTTCGGTCGGACCGGCCTTCTTTTTCGACTTTGGCGCATCGTCGCGTGCTATGCGTGAGCCCATCTCTCGGATTCCAATACGGCCTGCAAGAGACTCGGGGTCTCCGGTAGCCTCATCGGTGGATCGGCTGATGAAACGACGGTCCGCCTGGAGAACCAGGTTGGACATCGCCGAGTACTTATACTGAGAGATATTTTGGTCCGCCATCTTGATGGTGTAGGAAGTGTGTCGTTAAGGAGATTAGGGAAGAAAAGAGAAATGAGTAAGTCGCGCGACTTAAAACGGCTTTAATGCGCCGATCTAAAAGGCGTCCACGCCGCACGTCAAAAAGGAGGAATTGAGAAAATTCAAACGGTCTCACAAACCTGGCTCATCCTCCGGCCGCAAGTGAGAAGACTTGAATAGAGGGAGAAATGGAGGCCAAGGTTTTGTGTTAGGTTCAAAGCCAAGGAGAGGCAGCTCGGGAAGATTTCGGTGGCGAAGGCGGAAGAGAGGGGAGCTTCTTGGTTCTGCCGCTCTCCAGATGATGATCTCTCTACATGCGTCGTAACAATGCGCATGAATGGGCCTGCAATCTTCCGGTTGACTCAATCGACATCTTGCTCAGTGGTAGGCGCAGTACACATTCCTCGTGTGCCAAGCTACAAATGCCAGATTTGTCGAACAATATGCCACCATGCGCGTCGCGCTGTACTACACCCACGCGTATCTATCAGCGCGACGCAATCAGCAATTCGAAGAGGTGCCAAAACCCAAGCTACCGTCAAGCTGCAAGACCTCCCGCAGGGCGTGATCAAGTTGGACACGTATTATGATGGGGTTGATGATGCTCCCCGGTACCCGACTGTGGTTCAAGGACACCGCAATAATATGCAGAAATTCAAGAACTGTGTCATCCTGACCAGAGTCGGGGGCTTCTACGAGGTATATACAGTCGGCATGCAGGAACAATAACATCGCTAACAATCTTGGATAGCTTTATTTTGAACAAGCCGAAGAGTTTGCACCATTGCTTAGTTTGAAGCTCGCGTCCAAGAGAACCAGCGCCGGGCCAGTTCCCATGGCTGGATTTCCCTTTTTCCAATTAGACCGTTTTCTCAAAATTCTTGTCCAGGACCTTAACAAATATGTCGCTATCAGCGAGGAGTTTGCTCATAAGACGGAAGACAAAGTTCGATCTGGAGGCTTATTATTTGATCGAAAAGTGGCCAGGATCGTCACTCCAGGCACCTTGATCGATGAAAAGTTCATCGATCCTTCCGAAAACAATTTCCTGTTGGCCATATATCTAGATATTCCTCCTTTGGAAGCCCAATCAAAACAACATGTTGACCCTGAGTCCTCTCAACATGTATTGTCTTTCATGCCTCAACGTGTAGGGTTGTCGTGGTTAGACCTTTCAACAGGAGACTTCTTCACCCAACTTACAACGGCACAAACGCTTCCATCTGCGATAGCCAGGATCGGAGCTCGTGAAATCCTAGTTGACCAGAATGTCCAAGATCTTATCGGGCAGGAGTTGCAGCAGCTCGTTGGACATGAGCATCGTCTTGTTACGTTTTTTCGATATCCCGAAACATTTGCGCCAATGTCAGAATGGAGTACAATGCTCGAGTCTCCGATCCCGGAAGATACGCATGCAAAATTTACCCCAGAAGAGGTGGCTGCAGGGTATAGTCTGCTTGAATACATTCGGGTGCAACTGCAAGGATCGAATCTCAAACTTCAGCCTCCACGTCGGAGACATCTGGATGAGTCAATGAGTATTGACCGCAATAGCCTGAGAGGACTTGAAATGCTAGAGACTGCGCGGGATGGTTTTGGGAAGGGAAGTTTACTTCACGCGGTGCGCAGGACTTCTACCAAAAGTGGTGCCCGTCTTCTGCGCGATCGACTCAGTAGGTTTCGAAGGTCTACCTAACCTACCCATTGCTAACATTTATTAAAAAGCTTCTCCATCCACATCACTTACAGCTATCAATGAGCGACTTGATCTGGTCTCAATTTTTATCGAGAGCGAGGATCTTCGTGATAGCGTAATTCAATTGCTAAAGCGCAGCTATGACTCTCAACGATTAGTTCAGAAATTCGCAATGGGCAAGGGAGACCCGGATGATTTGATCTGTCTCTCACGGGCCATCGAAGCCTCAAAGGGAGTGAAACAAGTCCTTTCTGACTATGAACGGCTTTTGCCGCCCGGGACTGCATCGGATGCCAAAACCAGTCTCGCATCAATGATTTCACGCCTTTATCTTGAGGGACCTACTGCTCTTGCCGATAAGATCCTAGCCGCCATCGATGAAGAGGGCCTTCTCCAACAGCAGCGTATTCAGGACAGCACCGCCGCCGAAGCAGCCAGCTTGGCACAGGAGGTTACTATAAATGAAGGCACGTCGGATGACCTAGAGTCATTGCCAAAGAAAGTCAAATCCAAAAAAAGTGACAAGGCGGCAGTCGAGCCGGAAGCTGGATTGATCGAGACATGGATCATGAGACGTGACGCGAGTGAGGGACTGAATGCTCTGCATACAGAGCTAGAGAGTTTGTTGGATAATAAAGTCGCATTGATCAAGCGACTTCGTGATTATGTAGGGTCTTCATCCCTGAATTTGAAGTGGACTCCTGGTCTAGGTCATATCTGCCACGTTAAAGGGGCCAAAATTTCACAGGCATCTCTTGAAGAGTTGGGAGTGACCCGAAATGTCTCGTCAACCAAGTCTACCCGGTCGTTTTACCTTCCTGCATGGACAGAACTAGGAAACAAATTGGACCGTGTCACAGTACGGATTCGACAAGAGGAACAGGCAATCTTTGAGCGTCTACGTCGTGAAGTGATCCTGAACCTTGTTAAAATCCGGCGCAATGCAGCTGTCATGGATGAGTTGGATGTTGCTTGTTCCTTTGCCACGCTTGCTCAGGAACAGCAAATGGTCCGGCCTATTCTCAACGAAGGGACCTCTCACAAGATCGTGGGAGGAAGGCATCCGACAGTCAAACTCGGCTTGGAGGAGAAGGGCAGGACCTTCGTGAGCAATGACTGCTTCCTTGGTGACCAGGAACGAATCTGGCTCATAACTGGTCCAAACATGGCAGGAAAAAGTACCTTTCTGCGCCAGAATGCTTTAATTACCATCCTCGCACAGGTTGGTTCATATGTGCCTGCAGCATACGCCGAAGTGGGTATCGTGGACCAAATTTTTAGTCGCATTGGGGCAGCGGATGATCTCTTCCGTGATCAATCGACATTTATGGTAGAAATGCTCGAAACTGCTACTATTTTGAAGCAGGCTACCCCACGGTCCTTTGTGATTATGGATGAAGTGGGCCGAGGCACCACCCCCGAGGACGGAACGGCTGTCAGTTTTGCTTGTCTTCACCATTTGCATTACCATAATCAGTGTCGTACGCTCTTCGCTACCCACTTTCACGGCTTGGCGGACATGACACAGAAGTTTGAATACCTGGAGAGGTACTGCACTGATGTCAAAGAGACTAAATCCGGCTCATTTTCTTTTGTTCATCGTCTTCGCAAAGGTGTTAACCGCGAGTCGCACGCATTAAAAGTTGCCCAACTTGCTGGCCTTCCTCGTGAGACCATTGAGTTGGCGACCATTGTGCGCCAGGAATTGAGGAACGAGATCCATCCATCCCGGCCTAATTGAGATCAATCTCTCTTGCAGAGATAGATGGAGTTGCAATAAGTTCTGATGTATTATGACAACGCTTGTTTTTTTCTTTCTCTCACATCTTGTCTTTGATACACACGTTCTCAAAGACAGCTTCAGTCATGTAAATTAGCTTGTGCGATACCCCTGGGCGTTTGTATGTACTTCCAAGCCTCCATCCAGCTCCACGACATCTGAGATGATAAAACTTATACTGTCCTGCAAAAAATTAAGAATGATAATTCCAACGGTAACTTAGAAAGTCGGGACCTTGGGAGATGAATGGCTGGCAGAATTACTTGGTTCAAAGTACGTACGGTACTATATTCCTGGGCAGGTAAGGACCCAGGCCTCGACCAAAGATGTGTGCCTATCACGGGAACACACTTAATGTTTGACTAGGAGTATTCGTTTATGGACTAGTGTACGAAACAGTGAAGAGGGTGGAATTGGTATCGATGAATTTGGAGAGGTGGGTTGCAAATAATTTTGGTGTGACGTTAGAGAAAGATGGAGAAGCAAATAAAGATATGTAATTCGCTCAAGGCATATGGATATAGAACAAATAGATAATGTACAACTTCGCAATGATGTCGATTATTGTTGTCGAGGAGTACTGGCAAAGAGATTCCTCGAAGGATCTCTAAAGCTCCTGCTACGAAGCTCATTTGTGGAATGTAACCACAAATGCATCCACAAATGCCCAGATTAAGGTAACCACTCAAGTCCCTTCGGGCTCCTTCAGTTTCCATGCAAATGGTAGAGAAAAGACATCTTGTTATTGGGACATGGAGCCCCCTCAATTCGACCGAAAAAACTAGCATCGGTGGCTAGTGTCGGTCAAGAAATTTGCATAGATGAACTCATATTGAGATAACTAGCATGGTTTCGTGATGCTGGTAGTGTGCTAGTAGTGTAGCCGCAAAGAGAGGGGGACCCGTCGCTGCTTGGGAGGGGTAGCCGATGCGCATTTCCATTCACCAGCACGGGTTGTGTTCGATAAACAGAAAATTGGAGTGAAGAAAATCAGCTTGCATCTGGTCCTCGTGACTCCAGGCGAACCTTCTTCGCTCGTCGTTTCATTTCTCGTTTCGATAAGGGCTTCTCAGCTTCTTCGGTAACAGCCTCGGAGCCGATAGATGCCTTTCTCTTCAGATTATCAGCGCATTTATCCTGCTGAGCCGTTGTATTCGACTTCTCAGTGCTTTTTTGGTTTGATGCGGTGTTCTCTGGATTGGCTTTCTCCCCGCCGTGGACAATGTCAACGATACCGCGCCAGCTGCTTCGCTTCAGCTTAGCTAGCGCAGTGACCTTCCGCGCCTCTTCGCAGATCGCCTCCTTGCCGCGTTCTTGTGACAGACCCCACACGCATGTTAAATTAATCACATCCCACGGAGCTCGCAGGTTCAAAGCCCTCCGAGCCTCACTTGACACGATAATACCACGGCCGCGTGTGGCCCGAATTAAGGCCATGGCATTCCCAATAAGATTTCGGCGAGCATCCACACCACTCCCCGTGACTCCTGGACCATAGGAGATCTCCAGACGAACGCCACGTGACACCGCAGCGGACAGCATCTTAAATTTGAAGTGGTATGGGAGACGCACGGAGAGATCAAGTGAGATCACATCACATTCCAAGTTGGTGCAGGCATTGAGGAGAGCCTTTTCGTTTGTAGGTCGAAGTGCGACCAAATCGTATATTTGAGTCAAATTGCTCAGACGCTGGTTTTGGGCGGGGTCTGAGAGGGTCAAGTTCAGGCGGGTCAATAGCTGGAGGGATTTAGGCGGATTCGGAGGAAGAAGTGGCGGCGTGAGGCTGGGGGGAAGCTTCCCAGTGATTGTTTGAGACAAGGCGACGGTAGTGTACCCAACTTGAGAGTCAGGTCAGTATCTCATGTGGTCCAAGAAGTATCCATGTGGTAATTAGGGCTGGCAGAGTGACTTACGTTCAGCTAGGAAATTCAGGGTGTGGGGCACCTCTGGGTCATCCGGGCTGTATGGGACATTGAGATCATAAAACATGATGTCTCTGGTCCTTGCAATATAAAGAGGCAGCGGTAGCCAGGTTTCATGGAGATCTTGCAGCAAAGAAATCCAGGTCACGAAATTGTCCGAAACAGGCAACTGAAAATCAGCCCGGCGGAAGGTTCCTCCGAAACACACAGCCTAACTGCTTTCAGACTGCTCTCCACACAGCAATCCCGTGACAAGGCGGAACAGGAGATCTCGCTCCCATAATAATATCTCCCCCTCCATTTCTCGTTGCTTTCAGGACCGATCGATCGAACGGCTACGTTCGGGCTGGTCAGTTGCTGGGCCTTCTATTTCTCTACTTCCCGCATTTCCTTACATCGCGACCCTTCTCTCCCTCGTCGCCCGGTCGCGGCCCCCGCCTAAAACCCCGCCGTATCAGATTTCGATTGTGGGCGGACTCGGAAGCCATCAGCGATTATCATGGCGCGCGTTTACGCCGATGTCAACGAGCACATGCCTCGGTCCTACTGGGACTATGATAGTGTCAATATTTCCTGGGGGGTGCTGGAGAACTACGAAATTGTTCGCAAGATAGGTACGATGAATCTGATTGGAGCCATCCCATCCCCGGAGAATGGTGGCATCACCTGCGCCCATGCCGGGGATGTGGGGTCCTTCTGATCGACCTCCTGCTGACCCCATCTATTCTAGGCCGAGGAAAATACTCCGAGGTATTCGAGGGCATCAATGTTGTCAACTATCAGAAGTGTGTCATCAAGGTTCTCAAGCCCGTCAAGAAGAAGAAGATCAAGCGAGAGATCAAGATTCTTCAGAACCTCGCTGGAGGCCCCAACGTCGTAGCGTTGCTGGATGTAGTGCGCGATAACCAGAGCAAGACTCCTAGTCTGGTCTTTGAAGCCGTCAACAACACCGATTTCCGGACACTGTACCCCCGCTTTACGGATTATGACGTGCGCTTCTACGTTAATGAGCTGCTCAAAGCACTTGATTTCTGCCACAGCAAGGGTATCATGCACCGAGATGTGAAGCCTCACAATGTCATGATTGACCACGAGAAGCGCAAGGTTCGCTATTGATATCGTATCATTCAATATCTTTTTATTCTGACTCTTTTCTAGCTGCGTTTGATTGATTGGGGTTTGGCAGAGTTCTACCACAAGGGCACTGAGTACAATGTCCGTGTGGCCTCCCGGTATTTCAAGGGCCCTGAGCTGCTGGTCGACTTCCAAGAGTACGACTACTCTCTGGACATGTGGTCACTCGGTGCGATGTTTGCCTCGATGATCTTCCGCAAGGAGCCTTTCTTCCACGGCAACAGCAACTCGGACCAATTGGTGAAGATTGCCAAGGTTCTTGGAACCGAGGAGCTCTTTGAGTACTTGGACAAGTACGATATCGAGCTTGACCCTCAGTACGACGAGATCCTCTCGCGTTTCCCCCGGAAGCCCTGGCACTCGTTTGTCACCGCTGAAAACCAGCGTTTCGTCAGCGACGAGGCCATCGACTTCCTCGATAAGCTCCTGCGCTATGATCATGCGGTATGTAACGTTAGATCTCAACATGAATATTATTTGCTAACATTCGCTACTAGGAACGCCTGACTGCCCAAGAAGCTATGGCACACCCGTACTTCGAGCCCGTCCGCGCCGCTGCCCGCAACAATGCATCCCAATCCTGAACTTCTTCGGTGCTATGATGATGGCCTACTTATGCACTCCCTCCTGTTTTCCTATTTCCCTCACTCCATATCGCCGTTACGCTGCCATCAGAATAAGCACCCTGACCTTATGGACCTCTCCTTTTATCTGAGTTTGAACCATACCGCTACGTCGGTGCACGATCGAGAAAAGGAAAGGAGAACGATGACGCAGTCACCTGGCTATGTCTTTCGCTAGGCCTTTCCCCCCTCCCAAGTGAAGAGTGGCTGCAATGGGTGACCAAACTCCCGAATGGAGACGACGTTGATGACAAGACATGACCTCTAATCTTCTTGGGCCCATCAAGCCTACATAGCCTCGGTTCTACTGGCGTATTAGTGAGCGCAATAAATCAGTTGACGTCTTAGAGCGGGAATGGCTTCTCTTCATACTGCCTTATTGTATAGCGCATTTCCTTGTCCCCATTTCTCTTCTTTCCCTCGCCGTTGGTCCGGTGTTTTGGTTTCATTCATGCTGTTTAATCATTCCCTCGTATTTAACCCTTGATTTTGCACCTGCAATCCGTTTTTCCCTTAATGCACAGTTCTCCTGGAGTGATGGGGTTGGGAGGTATCTATGTTGCTGACCGCGTTCACGAGGGATTTGAAGAGATAAATGCATTTCCACTTTCGAAACCACGAACCTTCTACGAAGAAGCACCTAGATTAGGAAATATCTCCCTAAAAGCATCAAAAAGATAAAGTATAGACTGTAAAAAGCTTCAGCTGTATAGATCAGATCGCCCGTTGGCACCAGCGCCATCACGTGAGATCGCGCTCCTATTTTCCAATCTCCAAAGAAAACAAGAACGCGATGCATTAAAAGGATTATGCGACAACGGAGAAATTCTTTCACTAATTGAATCAATGTTGGATGTATATGTTTCTCCCATACTCATTGAGTCATAGTCCTGCACGTCTCGGGGTCTCCACCGATCCTCAGTTGAGCCCCGCCTTCTCATTCGTTGCCTCTGCGTGGGAAATTTAATTTGCCCGCATTTCGCACAACCACCCCTCCTTCTTGTCCGCAACTCCCTCAAGATACTTATCAGGCGATTCGTGGCGCGATCGGCGCCTTGGAGATTCCCTCCGCAATATCGATCATTTTCCAGGATGGCTCAGAACTCTGCCCAAATCCCCAGTACGTCCTCCCCACCACTCGAAACGTGACTCATCCCGTTGTGGTTGCATCACTAACACTCGTTGATAGCTGGGGAGTCCAATGCCCCCGTCGCTCAGCAAGCTCAGGCTGAGGGCGCTCAGGATGCCTCCGGCGCTCCTAAGGTGAAGACCGAGAAGGAGCGTATGTCAACCCCGCCGGCCCTTCGATCGATTTCCTTTACCCTCCGATAATTCCACATACCATGACGATACAAGACATTTGGCTGACATTGTGATGCTTCTTTAGTCGAGCGCGAGCGCAAGAAGGCCGAAAAGGCGAAGAAGTTTGCCGAGAAGCAGGCCAAGGCCGCTAGCAAGCCCGCTGCTGCTCCCAAGGCCGACAAGAAGGTCGCCAAGGTTGAGAAGGAGAAGACCGCAGATGCCTACGATCCCAAGGTTATTGAGACCGGCCGCCTTGACTGGTGGGAAGAGCAAGACCTCTTTAAGCCCGAATGGGGTCCCGATGGCAATGTCAAGCCTGAGGGCTCCTTCGTCATCCCCATTCCTCCCCCGAACGTTACCGGCTCTCTGCACATGGGTCATGCCCTGACCAACGCCCTGCAAGACACCATGATCCGCTGGCAGCGCATGAAGGGTAAGACCACACTGTGGCTTCCTGGAATGGACCACGCTGGTATCTCCACTCAGAGCGTTGTCGAGAAGATGCTTTGGAAGAAAGAGAAGAAGACTCGTCATGACTTGGGACGTGAGGCTATGACTAATTTGATTTGGGACTGGAAGGACCAATACCATGCCAACATTAAGAACGCCCTGCGCAGAGTTGGTGGTTCATTTGATTGGTCTCGTGAGGCCTTCACTATGGACCCCAACCTGTCCGCTGCTGTGACTGAGACCTTTGTTCGTCTCCACGAGGAGGGTATCATTTACCGTGCTAACCGTCTGGTCAACTGGTGTGTGGCTTTGAATACCTCGCTTTCTAACCTCGAGGTGGAGAATAAGGATCTTGAGGGCCGAACTCTTCTGGACGTGCCTGGTTACGATAAGAAGGTCGAGTTTGGTGTTCTTACTCACTTCTGCTATGAGATTGATGGCAGCACAGAGCGCATCGAAATTGCTACTACTCGTCCCGAGACCATGGTCGGTGATACTGGTATTGCTGTCCACCCTACTGACAAGCGTTACGGACACTTGATCGGCAAGAATGCCCGCCATCCCTTCATTGACCGTCTTATGCCTATCGTCGCCGATGAGGGTGTCGATCCCGAATTTGGTACTGGTGCCGTGAAGATTACCCCCGCTCACGATTTCAACGATTTCAACCGTGGCAAGCAGCACAACCTTGAATTCATCTCTGTCATGAACGACGATGGTACCTTCAACAAGAACGGTGGACCTTTCGCTGGCATGAAGCGTTTCGATGCTCGTTACGCCGTCATCAATGCCCTGAAGGAGAAGGGCCTGTACGTTAAGTGGGAGCACAACCCCATGAAGGTGCCTCGTTGCGCCAAGTCGAACGATGTCATCGAGCCTATTCTTAAGCCGCAATGGTGGATGGCCATGGAGAGCCTTGCCGGGCCTGCTATCAAGGCTGTGGAGAATGGTGACATTATCATCCGCCCCGAGAGTGCCGAGAAGAGCTACTTCCGCTGGATGCGCAACTTGAACGACTGGTGTCTGTCCCGTCAGCTTTGGTGGGGTCACCAGGCCCCCGCCTACTTCGTCAAGATCGAGGGCGAGCAGGGTGATGACAGTGATGGTAACCTCTGGGTGACTGGTCGCACCGAGGAGGATGCCCGCCAGAAGGCCGAGGCCAAGTTCCCTGGAAAGAAGTTCGAGCTGGTGCGTGACCCCGATGTTCTGGACACCTGGTTCTCGTCTGGTCTGTGGCCCTTCTCGACTCTGGGATGGCCTCGCAAGACTCACGACTTTGAGCAATTATACCCCACCTCGGTTCTGGAAACCGGCTGGGATATTCTGTTCTTCTGGGTCGCACGTATGATCATGCTCGGTATCAAGATGACTGGCCAGATTCCCTTCAAGGAGGTGTACTGCCACTCTTTGATCCGTGACTCCGAGGGCCGCAAGATGTCCAAGTCTCTGGGTAATGTCATTGATCCTCTGGATGTCATGGAGGGTATTGAGCTGCAGACCCTTCACGACAAGCTGTTGCTCGGTAACATGCCCGACAAGGAGATTGCCACTGCTACCAAGTACCAGAAGAAGGCCTTCCCCAAGGGTATTCCCGAGTGTGGTGCTGATGCCCTGCGCTTTGCCCTTGTCTCCTACACTACTGGTGGTATGTGATCCCGTCCCATTCGCTATAATATTCGGCTACTAACATTATCTCTCTAGGTGGCGATATTGCTTTCGATGTCCAGGTTATTCACGGATACCGTCGCTTCTGTAACAAGATATACCAGGCTACTAAATTCGTCCTTGGCAAGCTGGGCGACGACTTCAAGCCCCAGGCTAAGGTCACCAAGACTGGCCACGAGTCTCTGTCCGAGCGCTGGATTCTGCACAAGTTCAACTTGGCTGCTAAGGAGGTGAACGAGGTCCTGGAGAACCGTGAGTTCTCCAGTGCTGCCAACATCATTTACCAGTACTGGTACAGCCAGCTCTGCGATGTGTTCATCGAGAACTCCAAGTACCTGTTGGCCGCCGATGCTTCGCCCGAGACCCAGGAGTCCGCTAAGCAGACCCTTTATACCGCACTGGAAGGTGCTCTGACTCTGATCCACCCTATCATGCCCTTCGTGACCGAGCACTTGTGGCAGCGTCTTCCCCGCCGCCCTGAAGACAAGACCATCTCCATCATGCGGGCTAAATACCCCGAGTATCAGGCCGAGTTTGAGGATCCGGCTGCCGAGGCTGCCTACGAGCTCATCCTGAACAGCTCCAAGGCTATCCGCTCGATCCTGGCCCAGTACGACGTCAAGACCAAGGGCGATGTCATCATCCAGACCTACGACGCCACTAGCCAGCAGACCGTCTCGGAGCAGATCACCACCATCAAGTCTTTGGGTGGTAAGACTCTGGGTGAGTTATCCCACCTCGGCCCCGACAACAAGACCCCACCGGCTGGGTGTGTCGTGGCTGCCGTTGGCGCCGAGGCTGCTGTCTACTTGCGTGTGTCCAAGGAGGTTGCTCTGGAGCAGGAGGAGAAGGCCAAGGCTGCTCTCGAGAGAGCCCGTGAGACCGTGCGCCGATCCCAGACCATCATGAGCGCTCCCACCTGGAAGGACAAGGTCAAGGTTGAGGTCCGCGAGCAGGAGGAGAAGCGACTGCGTGATGCAGAGAGCGAGGCTGCTCACTTGGAGGAGCAGATCAAGGAGTTCGAGAAGCTTCGTCTTGAGTAAATCGCTTAATTGGTCTATAGAGTAAAAAGTATAACCTGTGAATGAATATCCGTTTCTTTTATTTCAGTATTATCTTCGTCAATACTGAGTTATTAATGTTGTGTAAATAGTAGTGTAGTAGTAGTGTGCCTTGATATCAATTCTTGTGGTGGATCCTTATCGATAAGAATGCCAAGCCTTTCCCCCAAAACTTTTCTGCGTTTTTTACTCCGAGTCCTCTTCAAGAAACCACAGCCCACCATCATGTCGCTGCGTGAAATGTACGTTTGCGAAAGTCATCCAATCATTACCTCGTCACTAACACGGCTCTTTTAGTAAAGCAAAGAACCCGCGCACTGCGCGTATTCTCAAGGCGCGCGAGCCTCAACTCATTGAGAATCCGAAAAAGACCCTACTGCTGCACGGTACCAAATGTCCCCAGGCACTTGAAACCGTCCTGAAGACATTCAACTCCCTGACCAAGCCCAACTCCGTGCTTTTCCACAAGAAGAATGCCAATGTTCACCCCTTCGAGAACACCGAGAGCCTCGAGTTCATGGCCAACAAGAACGAGTGCGGATTGGTAGTCTACGGAAGCAGCAACAAGAAGCGACCTAACTGTCTTACACTTGCCCGAATTTTCAGCTCACAACTATTGGACATGTGTGAGCTGCTTCTGCTACCGGCCGCTGAAGCTGGTGATATCCCCCCCATCAATGAGCTTGTCATGCACGTCGGCTCAGGACTGCGCCCAATGATGCTCTTCGCCGGAAGCCCCTGGGAAGACCCGACCTCCACATCTCACGTTATGCTTAAGAGCTTTTTCCTGGATATGTTCAAGGGCGAGGAGACCGACCGTATCGACGTCGAGGGTTTGCAGTACGTTTTGATGGTTGCCGCTGAGGAGGCCCGCGACGGTCTGTCCCCCGTTGTTCACCTGCGGTGGTACAAGGTTGTTACCAAGCGCAGTGGTCACAAGCTGCCCCGTGTGGAGCTTGAGGAGATTGGTCCCAAGTTCGATTTCAAGATTGGACGCATGCGTCCTGCTCCTGCTGATGTCATGAAGGAGGCCATGAAGCAAGGCAAGCGACCCAACGAGGAGGCGAGAACCAAGAAGAACATCGTCACAGATGCTGTTGGTGACAAGATTGGTCGTGTGCACTTGGCCAAGCAAGATCTGGGCGGTCTCCAGACCCGTAAGATGAAGGGTCTGAAGCGCCGGGCCGGCATGGAGTCGGACGAGGATGATGACGAGGAGCTGGAGATGATGGACGTGGATGATATTTTGGATGAGGAGGAGAGCCACAAGCGGGCTCGTACAGACTAGACCTGATCTACTTGCATGTTGTAACTTCTTGTCAAGGCGTTCTCTTTGGGCCGGTTTAGGGTTTGTGCTTTTTCGACTGCAAATCTGCAGGATATCATGTACCGTCATGGAAAAGTATGTTCTATATTTGACTGTGACCACCAATACAGCCACCATTTATTCTTCCCTAAAAATCTATACAAATCTCCAAAGTTCATAATCCACGTGAAGTGCGTCAATAAAACGTGTGGTCCACGTGACCATGACGTCGGCCGCTCGGCATCGTCTCACATGCCGAGGCCCTTTCCCTCGCGCTGGTCCGACTCAAGTGCCGTCCCCCTCCATACCCTCCTTTATCCTTCCCCTAATGACCTTCAACAACCTCCGGACTTGTCGCAGTGGTGAAAACACCAAGTAGTCTTCTTCGTCTACGTTTGACCTCCAGAGGTCCCGCGACGCCATGGATACACTCTTAGTGAGCACCTGTCCGCCTGAAGCACATGCAGATGTACAATGCTAATAGATGGTACTATTAGACCCAACTGGACGCCCTCGTCCTCAAGCCCGAGCTTGCACCGTTCTTATCTCTGATTAAAGGTGCCCGCAATGGTATCGTCTACGGATCAAAAGTGCGGTTTCCGCATGCGCTGGTGTATGTGACCCCGAAGCTCTTGAACTGAGTAGATAGTACGGGGAGACAAACCGAGACTGACATTTGGATCTTCGCTTAGTATGATCTTTCTGTTCCGATCAGGAACGTAAGTACAACCGCTTTCCTCGTCATTTTCCGGCGTGCAAGTTTCCCATCGGCTAACGGAATTTGACCTATAGATTCCGAGAAAAGGTTAAGCTTGTGCTGAAGGCAACACGACAACATGCACGGAATCTTTCCACCTTTGCAATCATATATAAATTGTCGATGATCGTTCTCCGCAACATAAATCCCTCGGGCCCGGCAAAAGAGGGCCGATACGATAGCTTCTTTGCGGGCTTGCTAGGAGGATATGCGGTCTTCGGGCGACAGCCAGGAAGCGTCAGCCAGCAGGTATGAAAAAGAACCCCGTGCAGTATTGGGTTGAATGAAATTCTCGTTATGGGAAGCTAACTCCTCTCAAGATTGTCATATACATCTTCGCTCGCGTGATGCTGGCCCTCGGCAAACTCGCCGTCGAACCCAACATGCACCCCCTCTCCCCTCTCTTCACCCCCGAAGCCCGGGCCAAGATTTACGATCACGCCTGGCCCGCATTCGCCAGTTGCAGCTGGGCCCTTGTCATGTATATCTTCCGATGGTACCCTGAGACCCTGGCGTCTAGCTTGCGGAGTAGCATGGTCTACATGTATGTCCCCCCCTTCGCCTTATTTTTCCTCATCATCTGTCATTTTTGCACCATGCTAATTTATATGACCGTACAGCTATGAGGATTCGGACCATTGGGATTCCTTGCGAAACCTGCTCCTTCATAACAAATGAGCTATCAACGAAGCAGCACGGCGATTGACTACTGGCTGATCGCGGACATTGCTCCGAAGATCATACCTTTCATTCGAACATCCTTATCATTATTATCATCCAACTGGTTTTGGATAGCGAACGGCGCATAGAATGGAGTTTTGTTTAATTTTGAATACAAGATGGTGTGCGTTCTTCCCAGGTTGCTCTCATCTCAAATCATGCTGTATTATGAGACATGGGCCTGTACTTTCTGCGTGATTGTCATTCTATGAACAGGCTAGCGGTAAATCTTGAATGCTACATATTGACAAATAATCCTGCTGCCTCTAAATTGTACTCCCAGTGCTCAAATAGTACGTAGAAGTATATAGAATGAAAACGCGTTACTAGAATGAAGCAACAGACTAAGTCAAACCACTCAAACAAACGCACTAGTCGGCCTAAGCCCCAATCCACTCTTCTCATAAGCCATATCGATCATCTTCATTTGATTCAACGAATCATCCCCAGAAACCCAATACCGCGTCTTCCGACCCTTGACACGATTCACAAACTCCTCAAGCTGATACCGATAAGACATCCACCAAGTCTCACCAGGTGAATCCCTAAACTCCCCACCGGCATCCTTATATCTATACGCCTTGTGCGACTCAGACTCAACCCACGCTTTCACTACCATCCCCTCAACCTTCTCACGAATAACGTAAGAGTCCTCCACATCAATTCGGTGCCAAACAAAAGCATGCATAAACCCATGCAACGTGACCTTACGAGTCCGCACCTTCTCCTGCGTCTCAGGGATTGTCTTATCCACCACAACAACTTCTTTCATAGTAACCCTTGCCTCAGAAGGTTTCCAAAAGATCGATCCTCGCATGGTAGTCATCGCTTCACCAACACCACCGTTCGGAAAAGCGAATTTTGCAGCAAATCGGTAATCACATCGATCGTGGACACCATCACCGAAAATACTAGTCTGGCATTCCAGACACTCCGTCGGTTCTGCACCGAAGATCATCCGAAGTATACTGAAGTTGTATGTACCCATCATCATCATACTACCACCGGAAAGATCGTAGTTGAATTCAATCCCCCCTTTATCGGTGATGAACACCGGAACCATCGAGTCCGTATGGACATGCACGACGGCGGCGGGATCAATGAATGACAGGAAAAAATGCACGGCCGGATGAAAGCGGTTATGGAAGGCTTCGAGTAGAACGGGTGCATTGGGCAGCGATAGCTCCGGGAGATTGAAGAGGATGTTGGCTTCTGACGAGTTGGAGGTTGACGGTTTTTCTAGAAGGACATGTTTTCCTGCACGAATGGACTTGACAGACCATTCGAAATGAAGACTGTTAGGCAGAGGGATGAAGATTGCGTCGATGTTCGGATCATCTAGCATGTCTTGGTAAAGGTGTTGTTAAATATAACTCATCATGTTGGACTCGATAGTTTTTCCAGGTGATATTAACGATACCTTGATATGAGTCTTTTACTTCAGGGACACCATGCTTCTTCGCAAATTGCTGGGCGCGAGTTCTATCTCTTGCTGAGATGGCTTGCACAATGACTTCTGGGTGGGATTGCGCAGGGGTGATTAGGGCTAGGGGTCTGCACTTGATTAATAAGACGCTTGATTGTGACTTAGGACTCGTACGCAATTTTTGCAGCTCCCAGAATACCAATGCGGATTGCGTCGCTCCGTTTCTCCACTACTGGTGGACTGAAGGCCATGTAAATGCGGATTATTGTCGATGCCATTGTTGTATATCCGGTATGGCAAACAGGGCTAAGGAAAGTAGATGAAGTTGCAACTTTAGAAGGCACAGTATGATCAAGGATTTGGTTTGAAAGTTGAAGATTATCTACATGGTTTTCTATCTGTTTATATGCAAAGGAACCATGCTGGTGATTTACTTGGACCGGGACAATACTGAGGTTCTCGGGGCAAGAATTCGTCCGACGGAGAGGACATAAGTACTTCTGGAATCAATGTGATTGGCGATTTAATCCCGAAGGATTCGTAACGGAAGACAATATTCCTCTTAAGTCCGAGCACAGGGATCATCTTTGGACACAAATTAACATTCAGGAATAGCCTATTGAAATTATCGATGACGATTCCCCCATGGTTCGATATCAGTAATATCATATCCAGGGATATCAAACTCGCACTCCACAACGGGCCGATTCAGGTTCGATGGGTCCGACAACCACACAATAGCGTACATAAATTCCGACATCGCTTTATAAACCTCACTAGATCGGAGTTGAGCATCATCCCAGGTTGCGTCAAGATTCAGAACATTATCATCAATCAAAGAGGGAAACCACACAATCCCTAGATCAGTACGACCAAGGATCTCGAGAGCTCGCACGCGCGGCTCGATATTTCCTGCCTGCTCAAGTGGTCGCACAGGAGGAAGCCAATCGAAGATCTGACGTGGTAGGCAGCTTAGGAAAGTTTTGGCGTCGGCAGAACCATCGCTGAGCTGGCCTTTTCCTTCGCCATCCACGATAACATCTGACACGGCGAGACGTTCATGAATAGATGCCACAGGTGCGTGCGAGTACATGTCAATTAAGAGTTGATCCTCCTGTAGACGATCCAGGAACTGGTGCACTGTCTCTCCGGGAGCAACCCGGATGCGATTAATAGTCTCGTTCATAGTGGGGCCGTCAATAGTCAACGGATTGGAGTTAGGCTCGCTCTCGGCGTCTATGAACGGCCATGAGCGACCCGATTCAACGCTGGCAAAGACGGCCTCGTCGCAGTTCATGGTATGCAAGTTGAACAGAGCACATGCCGCTTTGGCGATGATAGGTGGTGCTATGGAGAATTCCTCTCGTAGTTTCCGCATGTTTGGCACGGGGGTTGATCTATTCATTCCGCAAGTCCCGATTGCTTCATCGCCGTCGAGCAAGACTCGCTCCCCAGGTCTGCCCATTTCACCATTCTCATGTTTCCAGTCCCAGTCGTTACCCTTCATCCACATGGGAGCTCTTTGCACAGGCCATAAGTTTTGGCTGCTGGAGCTAATACCCCGTAATCTTTGAACATGGAAATCGACACCCTCTTCTGCCGAAGGCCCATGACGATTGAGATAGAATGCACCGGTAAATTCTTGGTATGGGCAGAAGCTGAGAGGAGATGTTTGACCACTCAAAAGATACTCCAAATCGAGGTACCACCGTTTGAGAATTAATCCGTCAAAGATAGCATGATGGAAATGGAATACGATTCCAACATCGGAAGAATCTCGAATGGGGAAAAGAGTAGCCTTGGTCATGGGCCCTGTGGGACAAACATAGTCCCATTCTCGATCATTCATTCTGTAAGTCGTAAGATCTTCAGCGCGGTCAATCATTTCGCCATCCAAGAGCTGATTATGGAACCACGCATCTGTAGGCGACATGATCAAGTGGAAATCGACTTCCGATCCATCGGTGCCAACAGTCGAACGGAGGAGAGGATGACGCCCGAGCCATGTTCGAAGGACGCGTCGCAAATCAGGAATATTAGTCGAGTTAACCACGAGGGAATGCCGATGATTGTAAGAATTCAGTCGCGCTCCTCGGGACATTACGGTCATGCTGTCAGTCATAGGAAGAACATCTTCAACATCGCTCCACTGTACGCCCATGGCGGTCAGTTGCGCTGTTGTATGCTCTTTGATAGATGCCAACCGGTTTTGACCAGCCTGGGAGTGTTGCAGGATGGGAAGAAGGGTTTCCTCTGAATGGCCTTGGGCCTTGATGATATTATTGGTGACGTTCATCTCCGGTCTTCCTCTCAGAATTTCCGCTTGGCAATTGATCGTCTTTGCATCGAAAACCTCCCTGACGGTGAGTTTCTTTCGCATCTTATCAGCAACCAGCGAGCAGAACTGAATCAGCATCATGCTATCCGCAAAGGTATGCACAGAAACATCGTATTGGATGGAAGTTTCACTTCGGCCGGACAAAGTGGCCCAGAAGACCGCCAGTTGGGATTCGACGGTGCCGTTACCGGAACTCAGCTCAGCCGGCTTGGAGTTCTTCATATAATTCAAAGTCCACTGTCGGACTATGGCTTTTTGGATCTTTCCCGAAGCAGTGGTGGGAAATGATTCTTGACCAAGATCGCTTTGGAGGTGCAGGAGCATGGAGGGCGCAAATCCAGCACCGAGTTCCGAAACAATAGTTGCATGCAGCTCCTCGAGGGAAGCCTTGGTTGTTGTGAAGTTCTGTACGATGGCAACTGGGACCTCTCCGGCTAAATCATCAGGAATTCCTACCACTTGAGCCTTTTTTGAACAGTCAGTAGATATAAAGCTGGGATCTATGTGCATGGAGGCTTACCGAAATCCCTCTCTTTTCTTGTAACCAATTCTCAATTTTTGCAGGCGAGATGTTCTCACCACCACGAATGATAATATCCTTGTATCTTCCCATCATGTAGATATTACCCAGATCATCCATATATGCCTGGTCTCCACTGGCCAGGAAATTGACACCATCTTCTTGATAAGCCGACTCATCATCAAGACCAAGATAGCCACCAAACACGGGGAGGCCTCCTTGGTGAAGTTCGCCAATCTCTCCGCGTCGTAGAATTTGACGAGTACCCGGAGCGCAAATGCGAATACAAGAGCCCGAAGCGACAGTTCCAATAGAAACTTCCCCAGTAATTGATGGACGAGCTTTGCCCGCTTCCATCACATTGAGAAGCGTAATGACACCTTCAGTCATCCCGAATCCTGGGATAACTCTCTTGGGTCCCAGCGACTTGCTCATCTCCAGAGCCTCTGGGAAGATCGGCGCACCGCCTAGAATGACCGAGTCCAGGGACTTGAATTGCGTTGATGCGGGTTTCACATTCACAATCGCCTTGAGCATCAATGGCACACAAGGAAGAACCACGTTCTGACCTTGTTCAACCGCCACTATACTGCTGTTTGGATCGAAAGTGGGGCTGGGGAAAACAATACTTCCTCCCACCAGCCAGACTGCCATGGTCATAGCCACACTGAAGACATGGAAGCTCGGTAAATGCTGGCAAACAGTGTGACTCGAGTTGAGCTCTAGTCTCTTTGCGAACCCAAGACCAGCTGAGGCTATGTTGACAGAGGTTTGTGGACAGGCTTTGGGAGATCCGCTTGTACCACTGGTGAAGAAGACGATAGCAGGATCATTCGGACTGCCCAAGGATTTTGGTACAAAATCACTCATTGGTGACTGCAGCAAATCTTCTAGAGCCTCCCATCCAGAAGGAAGGGCCATATCTTCGGGCTGACCAGTAATACAGCGAACGACAGGATTCACATTGTGGTGTGAAAGAGCGTCCGCGGCAATGGATGCTAAGGTCTTGTTGGAGGCAACAATTGCACTTGCTGGAGTCTTTGCCAACAGAAATCTGGCATCTTCTTGACGAGAGAAGGCTCGGGGATCTAGAGCGACGAACTGACAACCCAAATGAGCAGTGGCCCAGAAGAAAAGTGCCCATTCGAACTCGTTGAGAAGAATTGCCACAACATAGCTGCCGGATCTGACCCCCTTTGAAGAGAGGAGGCTTGCAAGCTTGAGACTTTCCTTGTTCAACTGATCGAAAGTCCAGGATGGGCTATCAGCAGATGTGGGTGTTTGCTGCCGAAGACACTTTAATGCGGTGTGACCTGGGTACTTCTCAGCCACTTCAAGCAAAAGAGCGCTGAGGTTCTTGGTGGGCGCTTTTTGAGTAAGGTCCCATGTTTCGGCCAACTGTGGCAGTGGCTCTGAGATCGAACCCATGACAATGGATGGTTTGACTCGGAGATTTATGCGTGACAACTGAGATCATGACGGACATTTATATATTTACCTTCATTCCTTACACATAGAGGTAGTCCACCTAGCATCAAAGTAGTACCCCTTTTTCTTTCTCTTTGCTAATTTTCTTCAGATCATCAGGGCTGGAAACGCCACTAAGTAAATAAACTATGGAGTAAAATACCTCTGTAAGCTGTATTGTACAGCGCATGAAGCCCACAGGATCCTCTTTCACGACGGAGAAGAAAATCCCCAAATCATCATTGGGTCAGACATGTAAGGTTAGATGCGCTAGCGGATTTTTACTTCATAGTGGATGATCGTGTACCCACTCTCGTGGATCTCTACTTTCAGCTCGAATCCACTTCAGGCTTTGAGGATAATAATCATAGCGGGTCAGTTAAATCCAAAAGAAAGAGACATGGCATTTCGGCTAGTCCTTCGTTGTTAAACCCCGAATTACTCCTAATTTCAATTCCATTCTCCTAAAATCTTCCACAAACTTTGGACTGGACCATTGATAATGGCGCACGAAGATCCCGAGAAAGACACCATAGCCGTCTCCGAGTGCATCAGACAGGGCACAGACAGCTCAAAGTCAGGGGACGATGATGGCCTCAACTTAGTCCGTCATGCCACTTGGGATGATGATGAAGACCCTGCCAACCCTCAAAACTGGCCTTCCTCCAAAAAGAACTCTGTGGTCTTCACGGTGTCCTTCCTTGCCAGCATATCACCCCTGGCTTCCACGATGACGGCCCCAGCCCTGCCCGCAATCGCAAAGGATCTCAATATTAGCTCCACACCTGAGCTTCAATTCACATTATCGATCTACGTTTTGGGTTACGCTATTGGCCCACTCTTCTTAGCACCATTGTCCGAGATATACGGGCGAGTCTGGGTCTCTCAGCTCAGCAATCTATGGTTTATGATCTTCAACCTACTCTGTGGATTCGCAACATCAACTCCACAGCTACTCGCCTTCCGCTTTCTAGCGGGATTGGGTAGTTCCACCACGCTGAGTGTTGGAGCTGGTGTATTGGGTGATTGTTACCACCCAGGGAACATGGGATCTGCTGCAGCCCTCTACAGCGTGCTGCCAATCATAGGGCCTGTCGTTGGACCCATTGTTGGAGGCTTCGTGACTCAAAACACAACATGGCGATGGATTTTCTGGGCGATCTCCATTTGGGATGCGGTGATCCAGATCATCGCTTGCTTCGTTCTTCAGGAGACATACAAGCCGATCATTCTAAGACAAAAAAACAAGCAACTGCAGAAAGCAAGCGGGTCTGAGCACGATGTGTCTCAGGATCCACCTTCCATTCATGTCTTGTTGCGACGATTCGTTGGTCGCCCCTTGCATCTTCTGGGAACTCAATCACTAGTCCAAGCTCTAGCTCTATACTTGGGATTCTTGAATGGGGTTTGTTACATCGTCGAAACGACATTTCCCACTCTTTGGACGAAGCGATATGGCCAACTTGCATCCATAGGAAGCTTACACTACATTGCCCTCGGCATTGGGGCCATAGTAGGAGCGCAAGTATGCTCCTCCGCCAACGACCACATCTACCGAGCACTATCAGCTCGCAATGGAGGGAAAGGGTCTCCTGATTTCCGTCTTCCAACAATGCTCTTGGGAGCCATTCTCGCTCCGATCGGCTTGTTCTGGTACGGGTGGTCTGCTGAAAAGAGGCTCCACTGGATTATGCCCGATATTGGCGGTGCTATATACTATGCTGGGTTTATGATGGGTCTAATTAATGTGCATATGTACGTGATAGATACCTATGGGGACAACTCAGCATCTGCTATGGCAGCTGTTTCGTTGGTGCAGTCTCTGTTTGGTGCTATATTCCCCCTTTTCGGAGCGAATCTTTATACAGCTCTTGGGTATGGATGGGGCAATAGCGTGATGGGATTTATAAGTATTGGTCTTGGGCTTCCTGCTCTTGCCTTATTATGGGTATTTGGGGCTCGTTTGAGGAAGGAAAATCAATAGATCGAAGACACTAGAGCTTCGCAATAGACTACAAGAAATGAAAAGTACCCTTGCCCAAATTAAGACATTATTTACCAAAGCTTGACAAATCTGTGTCTTTCGAGTCAAGTCAGGCACGGGTGGACCACCTCGATCCCTTGGTCGCGTGCCCCTAGAACCCTGATGAAGTTTATCGGAATCAAAGCTCCACTATGAAGCAGAGAGCAGGGATTATTACTCCGAAACGGACAGAAGATCTTAAATTATACTTTATTAGGAATCACTAGCGGGCCCACATGAGCTATGCAGATCACGATAGTTTACCTCGAACCCGATCCACCTTTGATCGACTATCATCTTTTACAACACACATTGACAATAAAGCTCTGGTGGCGGAGATCAGCACGGCTGAATACGAGAACCGCGATCACGAACTGATCGGGCATATATCTATCAAGGTGACTATTATTCAAGTAAAATAACCCCTTAACTCAATTTAGCGGAGCAACACGCATATGAGCCTAGAGCTTGTTTACACATATCCTCCTTCTTATTCAGACCTACGTTCTTGGAAAACAGAAACAGAAGGACTGACAACATGGATTCGAAAGATTCAAAGTTCCGGATTTTGATGCTTCATGGTAAGAACAACAATGGTACACGATTTTGAAAACCACCCTTACTAAACAGTGCAAAACTCTAGGCTTCGCCACAAGCTCAATAGAATTCCACGCAAAATCAAGTCGCATAACAAAGCGTATCACCGACTTGTTGACTCCTGAGATTTTACATGAATTTCCAGACGGCATCGAGTTCCTCTACCCCGACGGACCCTATGTTGTCGAGCCCCCATCAGGGTTCGGCGAGAACGACAACACCGACCATGCATCATCCCACGCAGATATCCCATTCCGAGCGTGGTGGTATGGTCTAGACACTGTGAACAGATACCGAGGCATCGAGTTCTCACTTTCCTGCGTGGCGAAATACATCCATGGAAGACCCATTCATGCTATCGTCGGATTCTCGCAAGGTGCATCGTTAGCAGGTATGGTCTGTTCCATGCTTGAGAGTAAGAACAATCTGGACAAGATCGCCGCTATCCGGTCTCAGAATTTGCCTGTCGATGAGTATCTACGTCTACCCGGTCAGGAGAGTTTGAGATTCTTGATTGGGCTGGGGGGATACTGTGGGACATTAAAGTACTATGGGAGCTTGTATCGGTGGCCGATACAGACTCCTAGCTGTCACACGATTGCCGAGTTCGATGCCATGGTGGATCATTGTCTTACGCTACAATATGCTCATCAGTTCTGCTCTTTTGAGCTTGTCCATTATTATGGATATCATTATACGCCCAGGGATCGTGCGAGTGTGGGATCTATTGCTCGGTTCGCCCTGAGAAACTGTTATGCGGAACCCGCTGCATCTCAGTTTCCGCCTGTTGCTGCTTCATCGAGTCAATCTTCAAGCGACGGAGATAGTTCGATCGTGATGAAGGCTGATCGATCTGCAGGAGCATACCCAGTCTTGAGACGGTCGAGAAATATACGGCTTGGCCCGCGCAGAGCATACCGACAGGCTAGCTATAGCAGTCCAAAACTGCAGTCGATGGTATTAGCTATATGACGTTACTTTTTAAATCAAAATATGCTTTCAATTGAACTGAATCTGCGATACAAAGGAAAACCAATCGGTCAGTCACGAATCAGCGCGGCGTTGAGATCCAGAGCTAAGGCTCCATTTCCCCTTCGAAAGATCTTCCTTCCGAATCAAAATTAGATAAATAACAAGGCTAGCCGCTCTAAGCTCAGCCCTTGGGCGATAATAGATCGGACTCGCTCTCGCTCCCTTAAGTGGGACGTGGCGGAAACTAGTGATTAGGGGCGGTGAGGCAGAACCTGGATCCACAACCTGGGCAGCATGTCACGTTTGCAAATTCGTATGTAATTGTTATCTACAGACTCGAACTGGCAAAGAATCGACTAGGTAAAAGGGGAGCTATTAAGGAGCAAAATCATTGGGCGTTTGAAAGCTACAAGTCAGTAAGCTGTTATTTGGTGGCATGGCTAGTTCTAAGGTTATTGCACGCTATTTGTGCGACATCAAGTCATGTAGAGTTAACTTGTCAAGAGAAATTAACATATTTTAGTTCCATTGGCCGATATTCGGCATGTATAAGAGAAATAAAAGTAAGAATAACACAAATGGGTATGAGAAAGCAAACATGAAAAAGATTCGCTCAGATACAGTCATAAGACAATCCCCAATCTAAGAGTCATTATCAGTCCGGATAAAAGTAGAGTAGAAAGTAACAGATAAGACGAATATCGAGATAGAAAACAAACTTGGTTTGTATCTACTGGGCATTGTTCCCATCGATATCCACCAAAACCTTCAAATTGCCATCCATCCAGTCGACCGTGTCAGCAGATAGAAGAGCAAAGGTCCAGTCTTTGTCGTTGTCAACTGGAATGAGACCATCCGGAAGCCAGACCTTGACCTTCCAGGCTGCGGTTGCAGCATTTCGGGCTTGCTGGGCAGCGGAGTCATCATTTTCCTGGCCCTGCAAGAAAGGTAGGCCCGGGATTTGGCCCAGGTAGCGGCGAAGGATAGCCTGTTTGGCAGAGTCCACGGTGGGCAACTGATCAGCTGGGAGATCAATTCGTGGGAGAATTCGTTTTCCTTGCTGGATGACGTTGATGCAAAGATAAGTCTGGTTGTTGGGGGCAGAGGAAGTAAGATTGTTTGCATTTTGGATGGGAGCAGGTGGTTGCTGGTGGAACTTGGCGTCTGGGATTGGGCCATGGTTGTGAACTGCTGAAGGAGTCTGTCTAGAGACCCTCTCGCCGATGATTCGCGAGACGTCACGGGTGATACTACTGGCACTATTGAGAGGGTTAGTGACACGTCATATGTTATGTGCAGAAGGGAACGTACAAGTCATCACGCGCGGAAGTGTTTCTTCCTCCTCCGATGCGCCAATTCAGGTTTGCCGCAGAGTCTGAGTGAATGATGCGATGCACGTTGGCATCTTCGCAAGGGCTCGGGCACGCTTCACCGTCGTCGTGGATGACACGGTAGTGACTGTCAACAGCCGCCACAAGGCCACGGAATTCGGGTTGCTGAAGACCGGACAGAGAGAAGAGGTTATCCAGCTCAAATTGTTGATTATACATATCGTATGACTTGGCAAAGTCGTGGTAGTCAAACGTGTATCCGTCCAAGAAAAGGTCAGTCAGACCAAGATCCATGACGTTGGGAGGATCGAGGGAGTCGTGGTGAATTTGGACAGATGGAGCAGTTGGCATCGTTTGTTCCATATCGCCTTGGCGATGATCCTGATTCTGCAATTGAAGTGATTGCTCAGGAGAAAAGCGCGGACCGTTCATGTCTTGGAAGCTTTCATTTGTCTGACGACGGCGACGATCATCTGTACCCCCACCTTTGCGAGTTTCAATCGCATATTGTCGCTGTCGTTCGTTGGTCACCATTCTTCGCAACAGAGGGATGACAAGGGAAATGATTTTTTGCTGATCACGAGGCCAGATGTAAGTTCGTGGGCCCATGCCTTCGTTTACAACATTCTCTCCAAAGAACCGATCACCATTGCCCTCAGCCTCAAGGAAGTGTCGAACACAGTTCCACAGGCGCAGCTTGACCATTTCGGTATCTCCTTTACCTCGCTGGCCCACACAATCCCGTCGCTCTGGGTGATCATCATTAAGCATGTATCCCTTCGCCGCGGCTTGGAGATGAAGGAAATTCTCCGGCGACAACTCAAGCGACGCAAACAACTTCGACATTGGAGGACGAGTGTACTTCTTGTTACTGGATGGTTGACGAAATAGCGCGGCAGCAGAGTGTACACCAACCGCACGAGCTTCATTCAAGGACTGCGGCGGAACAGACCGAATGTCCATATTGTCACCAGCGTACCCATGTGAGCCTTGCTGGGATGTTTGCGCATGCTGTTGATTTCCGGAAAGACCGGCTCCAGCCAGCGCGGGGTCGAGGTTATCATCATTTCGCTTTCGCTTTTTCGACACTGTGCGAGAAAGACCCGGGCTTTGAGAATGGTCATTGGGAACTCTCAGATGCCTCCCGCTTCCCATACCCGTACCGAAGTTTGCATCACCAAATCCGTCTTCGGCAAGATGCATGTCTGCGCCATAGCTATCCAACTGTTGATGGCTGACTGCGGTGGCAGCAGCAGCAGCCCAGTGCGAAAGGTCCGGGTCTTGATCTGCCGCAGCAGTGGCAGCTTCCACTAAGCCCGCAAGCTGATTATCACTCGCCGAATAACCATTGTTTGGATCAAGGTGAACATTCGAATTTGATTGAGAGTTGTGGTCGCCGAGCGAAGGAGGATGTTGGTTCGAATTTGAGGACATGTTGAAGTATGGCGCAATGCGCAATATAGTGTGGTTGGATTGTTGGTCACTTATGAGAAAATCCGGTGTATCCGAGAACGCGTCGTTTTTGACTTCTGATACTTCCGGTACAAACACTTGATCAGACTGTTTGCTTTCTTGTCAGAATACTCTCAATTGGTAGAGCGATTTTGATATGGTGGAATCGCAGTAGCTTTATCGGACGAAAGCTCGGTCGCGACTGCAAAAGATCGCGGGTCTCACAGCGAAGGGCCAGGAGGCTTCCTCACAACTGCTGCACCCCAGATAGGGGTGAGAAGTGCGTGGAGGGTTGATCGAGGCAACGGTGCCTAGCAGCGGTTCGATTTTGGAGCTATGAAGCTTTATTTGATAAGAGCGCGACAAAGGGTGTTTGCGTGGTTTGAAGAAACGACAGACAGTGCAAACCTTGCAGTGGGTTCTTGTGCTTAGGTAAGCGCTCCCGAATTCATCCACTCAATGAACGAGATCCCCGCGGAGCTTGGAACTTCATTTCGTGAATTGACACCGGGCACCATATCTCTAAGGCTGGGATCAAGGTACGCATGGCTGAATAGGTGCTCACCTAGGCTCTTACATTATCTTGCTTTGTACAGTGAAGGCTAGTGAGGCTAGTTCTAGCAAGAATGTCTGGTGCAGTCTTCCTTAGTCTCCGATTCACAAGCTATGTGGCCCTGAGGTCAGAAGCAGTACAAGAAGCAGTACAAGAAATTCCTAGTGGACATTTACTAGTCTATAATATAAGCTAGACTGTGTTGAAACGAGGCATGGTGAAGTGCTTGGGGCACCACAGATATATCCGAGGACTACGCCTAGCTGATCTGCGCATAAGGGGGTTTGAAGAACAATAAAGAATTGTGCAACAATTCATAGAGCTGGGATAAGCAAGTCAAGAGAAAGAAAGAGATGAGCAAATCCATTAGTCAATGGCTGTTCTAGAAAGGGTTACACTGCGCGATCTCAGTGTAACTGTGGAGCGTGGTTCTGAGGTCAAAATGCAGTAAAGTCAACATTGGCAGATCGATAAAGATCTGCAGAAATTTAAACCGTAGTACAGCATCCCGATCTCTACAGCACAGTCAGCAAATCTGCAAGGCGATAAAGAAGTTATAGGCTTAGAAATAACGATAGGGGCATGGCGTAAGCCTTCCGCAATGCAAGAACCTACAATAGCGATTGATCAGTCAGAAAATAGGTGAAGAAATCGCGCATTGCAGACTTCATTGCGTCTGAAATTTAATATAGACTTATCATAACTGCAAGTCAGCTCGCCACTGGAGGGAATTTGCATAGAGCTGGCATGAGTAAAATGATCGGCGTGGAAACGAAGATAATTAGGAGCAGCAAACATCATATATCAATTTTTGCTGCTATCAGTTCCGTCTTGCAATTGAACCTTGAGGATCAGATGTTCCTAGATGAACATCTGGTTTGAGTGTGGGTTTCTACAGATCACTTTTGGCCCCACTCCACTACGGCCCGGAGTGGCAATTGTTGAGAATGTCTAAATGTAAAGGTGGTTTTGTGATATATCAACCCTCTTCGTACTCGGCCAAACCCCGCATCGGGACGGAACCCGAGGAAATCCCCCGAATAAACCTTTGGACCCTTGCTTCAGTCTATCGAACGTTGATGTAGACTTTCCCTTGCAAACTTCTCTCCTGGTTTAATTTGCTGTGGGTAGGACATATTGAAATTGCTTTTTTTCTTGTGACGAATGGTAAAGGAATTGTTGAAGGATCATTAGAGACAAGCCATACAATTCAATACGTTTGGCTCTAGAAGTGGGTATAGCGATATGTTCGATTCTGGTGCATCGAGGCAATCTGATATGTCCAACCACAACAACCATAAGGTATGATATATCGGGAAAAGCTTTCTCATCCCAGATTGTGAGACAGCTAACTGCTGTCAATGCACCCCGAACCATGATTTCCAGACATGACAAGCAGTTGATCGGCAATGTTGATCCACCCCTTGAGATCAAACACAGCACTATCAATTTTCACGGCTTTTATTGACGTCAAAACATCATCTTGGCAGAGATATGCCCTAAACCCCATGCATAAGCCGCTGCATGATTGGTGGCGAGACCGCTCTGACACCTCGGCGATGTGTCTGTACGCAGTATAGTTTGATGGATATGACATATCTCGGTGGATCGAAGTGGAGGGGGGCGGGCAGCCCTACCCTTGACCAAAATCCACTTTGCTATAATAACGGCCATTGCCACGCTATGATTCCAAATCATCAAAGTTTCTCTTTGTTCCTTCCGTCGCTTCCTTCAAGCCTCGCGAACCTACACAGCGCCTGTCAGCACGATGTCTTCTAACCAGACTTCTTCGTGGGTGGAGGGTGATTTTGAACACCCCAACGAGGCTTTGCAACGATCTGTCAAGATCTCACTCGTATTCTCTTTCTTGATGCCCACAGTTGCGGTTGCCTTGCGCATTTGGGCTAGAAAGTTGAGTGGCTGTAGACTGTTTTTGGATGATTACTTGATTCTTATTGCTCTGGTATGACCCTAGTCGGTGGGGCCGTTACACGTTAGCGGGAGGGCTAACCAGACTTCGCCAGCTATTCAAATATGGATGCTCCATTGGAGTTACGATGCGTGAGTGATTTGGAATTACCCGTGTTTCAGAGTTGTGCTAATCGAAAGAATAGTTCTGTACAACGGACTGGGATCCCACATGTCCATGGTTCCGGAAAAGAACCTCATCGTTTACTTCAAGGTATGGTCTTTTTACATCCAGTATACGAGTTCAATTGTTAATGTAGTCAGATCGGATGGTCGAACCCCTTCCTATACACAACATGCGTTGCTTTCATCAAGCTGTCGATCCTGGCGCTGTACAAGCGGCTGTTTGCAGTCAAGCACATGATTGTGGCGGTCAATGTGATGGCGTCGGTCGTTGTACTCTGGGCTGTTAGTATCATGGTTGCAGCGACACTGAACTGCATCCCTATCAACAGTTTCTGGGACAGATCAATTGACGGAAGATGCATAAACACCGCCAACTTCAACTACGGCATGCAGATTCCCAACATCATTTCTGACTTGATTATTCTCATCATGCCCATCAAAGTTGTGATCGGACTGCCAATCCCCAAAACTCAAAAGATCCTCCTGTCTGGTGTCTTCCTCGTTGGTGGCTTGTAAGTTTCATCCACAATCCTTCGGAAGAATCCTCTAACAAAGCCTCAGAACTTTAATTTTCGACATCGTCCGGCTGTGGGTCATGATCGAACTAACCAAGGCTGGCCCTGACATTACTTGTAAGTTTTTAAACCATTGCCTCTTGCCGACAGCCCCCTTACGTGTCTACAGACTACCAAGCCCCAACCGCCATGTGGACCTGTCTCGAGGCGGCCGTCGCTATCGTCGGAGCCTGTCTCCCTAACTTCAGACCACTTTTCAAATTCGGTAGCGGATTCTGGACCCAGCTCCGATCTTCCCGTGCCTCCAGCAAGGCCCATCTTAACTCGGCTACCATGAATAACACTAGCTCCACCAATAGCATTTCCAAGCCAGCCTTGATTTCCCACGTGTCTGACGAGGGTACCCAAGGTATCGAAGTGCATCGGTACAGCAAGTACATGGACTGCGAAAAATAACTTTTGCATTGCGGAGCCTTGCTTACAATGATGTAATATGCGTTGAATGAAATATCAAGGCGGAATGTCTGATATGAGGTGGACTTCGGGAGTGAGTCACGGATGCACATCTAGTAGCTAGTTTCGTTCTTTTATATCATGTTCTACATATTTACTATTTAATACCCCAATGTTTCGATAGTCTTCACCGAATGATAGCCAACTCCCCCAACTTGATCCTTGGATCAAGCTTTCAATATTGACGTGAACTTGTCGATATTCAATGGTGCTCGAGGAATGTTAAATTGTAAGCCATTGAAAACCTAAAAGAAGTATGGAAAAGTCATTTTCAATCATCTTAGGCATTCAGATCTACTGTAAACGTCTGGTCTCCTGATAAGAGCTAAGCCTTTTCAGGACTAGTGCATTGCCGTGTCATAAGCGTTGCAGCTTTTGTGGGGATCTAGACCTAATGCAGTAATCTCATGGTACGTGTGCAATTATCAAGGATAGTGGTCTAAGGTTTGAAAACATCTGGACATCGATCCGACCTTTTCAGAAATCCCACGATTACAGGGGCCCATTTCTAAGTTGGGGGAGCTCACCCGTCCTGGTTGTTGAGATCCGATCGGGACCCAAGAGTTCTACATCGAGGCTGCGTAGATCTATTCTGGAACTGAAAAGCGTGACATATTAACGAAGGCGAATCATATTTTCGATTATAATTCTCCTCAGAATATGACAATTCCCAAAATCCCAAATTTGTTCCTTTTGCCGTCACAATCAGGCTTTACACAAATCCACAACATTAAAACGTATTTCCAGGAAAAAGGTACTCAGGTACGAGATATGCTGCATGAAGTAGTCCATTAATCCGACGTCACGTATATCTTGAAATCATATACTCAACTCATCTTGACTCACTTTCACTGCTTATTTATCTAAAAACCTGTTCTGTTCATACATTCTCTTGTTGAGTGCCGATCTGATAACCTATCAGATCTCTACCATTTTGAATAAAGCAGCTCTCAACCGATCACAGCCACCGCTTGATGTACAACCTGAATCACCTCTTCGGGCTTGCTCAAGAAAGGACAGTGACCAGCTTCTATAGTCTCTGTGGCGACCCTGGAGGTACCACTTGCGTTTAATGCATCTTGCACCATGCTTTCCTGGAGCGGTAACATAATTGCCAGGTCCTGAGCGCAATAGACATATGTCATGGGTAGGGCTTTCCAAGGAGCGCCATTAACTGGACATGATGTTGCAAGCCAGTTATGGGTCACATTGCTGCTGGTCAGCTCTTTTGCCTTTCCGATGTCGATATCGTTATAGAAAGACTCGGGAGCATTTTTCGCAGCCACGGTGCCATCTTCGTTGATGCTGATATCCACCTTGCACTGAAAACCATATTTGGTGATCACATCTGACAGTGAACTTCCCGGCTGGACTAGCCATGCAGTCAGATAGATAAGGTACGCGACCCCTTTGCCACTGTTGCGCGCGTAGAAATCCTGGGTTATCGCTTCCGACGCAACAATGCCACCATATGAATGAGCCAGGACTACGACCTTATGCCCGGAGTTGATGAGTTCTTGAGCAGCTGCTCGTACAGCCATTACATCCTGTTCGAGAAGAGCGGTGGGTGGCCTTGTATCACCACAGGTAGGCAAACGTGGGCAGCGCACGATGAACCCTGCTTGGGTCAGACGGTGACAAAAGTCTTCCCAGGCCGAGGGGATAAAATAAGCCCCATGTACAATCAAAACTGCAATAGGGTTTGGGTTTGCCATAGCAAGGAAGCTTCAAAGTAGCTGTAGCTCTCGTAGGTTCATCCGTCTTTAATATGTCACAAACCAGTAATATCCGAGATCGGAAAGATAGACCTTAGTACCAGTGCGATAAAGAGGGGCATATAGCAAGAGTTAAAACGAAGTTGAGAATGCTGGTCCTAGTGGTAGCAGGACGTAGGACTTAGATTCCGGGGCTCGAGTGCAATGACGTATACGCCTCGGTCGAAGGAGGCTCTAAGATTATTCATTGCGGGGTCCTAGGTGACAATTATCATTTCACGGTTGGTTAATCATCTATGCTAAAGGCTGGGCATTATGTTAGGGCGCGCTCTGTTCGCAACTGCCAAAAGACGCGTAGCTAATTGGTGGTCGCAGGCAAGTGTAGCTTTCCGCCCCCACGATAAGCAAGATGAAGAGGGGGTGAACTGTGAACCACTGGCAGTAGTCCTTCTTTTGCTCAAAAATATTTCATCTATCTGCCAAGTCTCTTTGCCAAGGCACATAAATAAAAACCCTTTATACTCCATCCACTATGGACATAGTACACGGCAAGGAGCTACACTATAAGGAGCTTAGTCTCAAGCATCGAGGTAGCGGCCTAGCATTCAAAGATCTCTTCCTCGGTGAGGAGAATACTCCTGAGAACTATCTTTTCACCATCGGGCGCCAAAGCGCTTTCTCCTCGCCCATTCACAAGCATACCTTCGATCAGTTCCGGTACGCATACCGTGGTGACGTATCTATTGCACCAGATCTTCTTCTTCGCGAGGGAGAGTTGTGCTACCACCCAGAGGGCGTTCTTTATGGGCCACAGCTCGATAAAGGGGGCGAGCGCGATGTGTTAGTTCTACAATTCGGGGGCGCCAGTGGCCAAGGATACCTCAGCTTTGCACAGATTACAGAAGGTCAAGAAAAGTTGAAAGAGAGCGGCCGATTTGAAAATGGCAAATTTCACCCTGCAGATGGAGGGGAGCCAATGGATGGGTATGAGGCTCTTTGGCAGAGCTACTCAGGTCGCCCACTCGAGTATCCTGCTGCAAGATATCACTCGGTGATTGTTGCAAAGCCAGATAACTACTCTTGGGTGCCTTTGGTTGCAACAAGCAACGTTTTCACGCGAACGCTTGGTGTCTTTACAGAGCGGCAGACCAAGGCCGATATGATCAAGATCGGAGCTAACGGAAGGATTGAGATACCCGGTGAAAATGCTATCCAGCTGCTATTTGTGCTAAAGGGTCAAGGTAAAGCCAATGAGACCTCATTGGAGGCGGAATCTGCCGTTCGATTATTGCCCGGAACTGGCGTTCTTCTCTCTGCGGAGCATGGTATGGAATTGCTTCGTTTTGTTCTTCCTATGCTCCATGGTAAAGGTTGGCCAATGATTAGTACCTACTAGACTCATTGAATCTTTTGACGGGGAATATATTCCAAGGTTACCCTCATCAAGATTAAATACTTTTCAACTTGGAAAGATACAAAATAAACAGACCTCGGGACCTCGAGCCAATAATTTTTGGTTGTTTGTTAGGCACGGATATATATTTTCCATGACAAAGCCGTAGCCGGGAGTATGAAGTCAGTTTCGAGAAGATAACCTTTCTATAACTTGGACTCTTGAAGCCTAATCTCTTCAAACAAAACTGAAATTGGAACAGCTAACCTAAATAACCCGAGGATATCACAATACCAAGGTTATAAGAAGCATATATACGTAATGTCTACTCATTTTTGTTTTCCCTTTCCGTTTTAGTGCTCACCCCTTGCCGCTTTTTGCTCACTGAGTAAAACTGAGCACGCCCCTGAGCACTCCGCCCCGCTCACTGTATGCAGAAGTTGGTATATAGATTGGAAAAGAATAAACCTGAGTTTGCCGGCAGAGTGTTTATGAAGTTTCCGGCTCACCAAAAGGTGCCAGATATACAGTAACTGATAGAATCATCTATATTAATTCAAGTTTTGGAGTATGTACTGTATTTCGAAAATAGTCTTGCAGTTCTAAAGTAAATCCAATCTTATCGTTTGAATTCTTAAGCCAGCTGCCATGGTTCTGTATCTCTTAGGCATAAAATTTCCCTGCTTCGATGGTTCTCTATCCATCTTATATTGCATACACAACTTACCCAGCATATTTCACCAAAAACAAAATAACATCTTCATGCAGCAAAGGATGGAAGAGCAACAGAACGCAAACACTCAACACAAAGGCCATAGTGGCTTCCATAGCCAGAACACTAGCGAGCGATTTGAAAAATTTGACTCGAGCCGAAGAAGGAAAACTCCGCCATGCTTCAAAGATACCTCCGTACCTCTCTGCCTTTTCCCTTGAAGCCGTTTGCACAGGTAGCGCGGAAGCCGCAACTCGGATAAAAACGGCATAAGACGGCACGACGGCGGCAAAGTACAGAGTTGCGATTAACCCAATAACAGCTCCCCCTTTCAAGCCGACATGTGTGTCGTATTCCCCAAGCTCAAGAAAGAATAGACGACCGGCATGGATAGGGAGGTAAAAGCAAACACTCGAGCATACGCTATATAGAAGGGCAGCCGGAAAGGTCCTCCACCATAAAGATAAGCTGAAAACACAGCGAAGAGTCGTAGGTCGTTCTTCCTTAGCTCTCAAGTGCTGAGAAATGATAAAGTGCACGTTAGCTACCTTCAGCGTTGAAAGTAGCATGTCCGTCACCACATTCAAGAGAAAACATATCTTGAGATTAGTACCGGTGAATGGCAACGCGGAGAGAAGCGCAAATTTCCCCACGCGATGAAGAATAAATATGGGAAAGCCGTGGAGGTTTTGCCATGATCGGAGGGTAGTTGCTCCCATGTCATGCTCTATGGCGATAAGTGTTGGAATGATATTGCCATCGATATTCATAAACTAGAACTGATTAGACCCGGGATTTATTAAGCCATTTGCCTAAATCAGTGTGACCTACGAAGAGACTAGCCATAAACATGCTGGTCAGGATCAAAAACAATGGCTTGTCCAATTGGACCTTTTCCAAAGCCACACCCTCATATGGCAACGTGCCAATATGAGGATCTAGTGACATCGCAAAGGTAGTTGGGAAAGTGTAGGAGCTGAGTGTTTTGCGAGGTAGGCTCACTTGGGGGTAATGACTCAGACGAAAATATTCATGTCGGGGAAAGACAACAACTTCACTAATTACCAAAATTACGGCTGCCTGAATGGCTGATATTAGCGGCTACCCTAGCAAGCGAGAAGCACCGAGTCAATTGATGTGGATTGCGGTGAGGAGCTTATCTGGATGCTTGATAGGTTAAGCCCAGAAGAGTGGAGTCAGAGTAGACAAATATCCGACTTCAAGCATTTGACGCGCGTCCAGTTCAATGGGCCTCACATGTCCTGGTGTTGTCTGATATTCGCTACTCATAGATTAGGGCCGACGCGGTGCTCGATGGACTGACTAGTATTCGACAGTTCCTGAGAAACTGTTTGATCGTTAAAAGATCCTCAGAGGAACGCAATGCTCAATCCACGAGTTCATCAGAATACTGGGGGTCATGATCAATTTAAATTCCATAAAGCGTCGAAACAAGTTAGTAATGAGGATGCGAATACTAGCGAGAACTAGCTCGACATGAACGAGATTGAACTTCCAGCTCGCACTCTCTTCCTCAATGAGTCAAAATCTCTTAGCTCAGAAACAGAGGTGAAGATTGCCGGCAAGCACTCTGATTGGGTTGCCAATGTTTCGCCATATGTATATGGTCTTGTGGCTATGAAAATCACGAAGATGCGCTGTGGAGTGGACGATAGCTTCGTGTGTACCGGCTTTTGGGGCATTGCCCACACTGCGGCTGGCTCTTATATCGGACCTAGTATCAAAGCTATGTGCAAATCTTCATATGAATCACTTATGAAGGCTTGTGATAAGAAGGGCGGTTTCGAGAAGGTCGAAGTCACTCAGACAGGGAAGAGTTTGAGGTCTATTATGATTAATATATCACGTGATTGTAATGAGCGTGGTCACTGAGTCTAAACCCGTCCTCACGTTTACTTAGTGAGCCTGAGCCTGAGCGCCCTCATAAAAGCGGCGGCAGCCCAGTCAGGAAGGCCCCACGGCAGACATGATCTTGTCTATATAGGTGCATATTCTCTATACGAGCGGGTCTAGTCCTTGAGTGGCGACGCCTATCAGGAACCGCCCATTTGTTATCTCACGTGACTGAAAACTTGCGGACCCGACGCATCCTAGAAATTATTTGCCAATCTTCAACTTTTTCAATCCAGCTTAGAATGTGCTGTCATGATGCAGCAAAGCTCCAAGATTCACGGTCACACTGCTGAGGAGAGCGTCCCCCTCCGGACCTCCCAAACAGCCCCCAAAAAGTCCCATGATCCTTGGACACATCTCATAGCCGGCGCGTAAGTGGTCCGAGATCTGTCCGCAAGTCATCGCCCCTTAACAAATTCTCACAGGAGCGGAGGTGTCGCGACCGCAATTGTCACATCACCCCTTGATGTCCTCCGAACACGTCTCCAATCGGATTTCTACCAACCTATCTCCCGAACCCCCGGTTCTACCGTCATTCCTCCCAAAGCAAACCACAAAACCCTCCGCATCATCGGCAACATCTACAAAGCTGAGGGCTGGCGCGCATTCTTCCGCGGCCTTGGACCTAGTCTTGCAGGTGTGGTCCCAGCCACCGCTATCAAATTCTATGTCTACGGAAACTGCAAGCGCATCGGCGCTCAGGTCTTCGGTTTAGGCGAAGATTCTACCCTTATTCACGCTCAAGCCGCCATCTCCGCTGGTATTGCTACTGCAACTGCCACCAACCCCATCTGGCTAGTGAAGACAAGATTGCAACTTGATCGAGCCCAAACAGCTACCGGAGCTCGCCGGTACCGCAACAGTCTCGACTGCGTGCAGCAGGTTCTTCGTCAGGAAGGTGTCCGCGGCTTGTACAAGGGACTGAGCGCCAGTTACCTGGGCTCCGTCGAGACGGCATTGCACCTGGTCCTTTATGAGCGTTTGAAGACTATGATGGCCCAGTCGCTCGGGTCACCAGATGGCAAGGACACGGCCGCGCAGAAGGAAATCACTAGCTGGATTAGTACGACCGGAGCTGCAGGCTCAGCCAAATTTGCCGCTGCTTTGATCGCATACCCGCACGAGGTATGAACATACCCTAACAAATATTGTCATTTGTATCCACTAACATTTCCCAGGTTATCCGAACACGACTCCGTCAGGCACCGCTCGAGAACGGCGTCCCCAAGTACACTGGCCTAGTGCAGTGCTTCGGACTGATTGCCAAGGAAGAAGGAATGGCCGGCCTTTACGGTGGTCTGATGCCGCACATGGTGCGCTCGATTCCCTCCGCCATCATCACACTCGGAGTCTACGAATTCGTCCTGAGATTTGTGGGCACCTCATAAAAAATGATCTGATTCGTGTCTGTGGTCGCTAAGCGCCACACTGTATAATATCATCCCTGGTTTTTGCTACTTGCTAGACGGGGCAGCCCGTGATTTTAATCTGCATGTATTCTATTGGGCGTTGGGGGATTTTTTTGGGATTGTGAATAGAATCTCCTGTCTTGGGAATTGTACTATATGAACTAGCTTTCATTATCAAAATATATTGAACATGAATGTATACTATCTACACTCGTAGGTATCGATGAAGTAGATTGGCTAGAACATTTCGATTTGTGCAGTACTAAGAGCTGGTCCATAATAGAAACAAATCTAACACAGTGGAGCATTGAAATGATTCAAGTATCATTTGGAGAAATCCGAATGAACTCATCATGATGAAGAGGAAAAGACTAAGAGCTGGGTATGATATTTTGCTCAAAAACGCCATGCAACGCTGATCTGAATAGGAGTGCGATCAGGGGAGTGAGAACAAGAGCCGAAAAACAGGAACAAGGGGCTAGAAAAGTACAAAGGTTAGGTTAGGTTGTCAACAGTGAAATATTTGCAGTTCCATCTATTTTCAAGACTCGTCGCCCTCTGCTTCCTCTACTGTGGCGGCCCGGGATTTGCCCTTGGATGCAGACTCGGATTCAGATTCGGCTGTGTTTTCCTTCTCTGACGTCTTATCTGTCTCCGTCTCTGTAGAGCTGCCACATGTGGCTGCTGTAGAAGAAGCTGCGTCGGTAATGTGATCTCGTTGCACATCGGTCCACTCTTGAGATAGTGAGTCGGCGGGGAGATTCTCTGCCGAGATACTTGGTGTGCCCCAGCTAGGCAGCGGTTGAGTTGTTTCAGCTGCCGCGGTACTATTTTCAGCTGGGGTCGCAGCAGCAGGTTCAACACCGGCATTCTGACCATCATTGGTCGCAGGAACCGTTCGGGTGGGGGATGGGAATGCTCTGTTGAAGAGTGGATGATCTCGCAAAGAAGGATCGGTCATGTGCGGTATAGGGACCCCCGGTGGAAAAGGCGGGATTCTGGGCACTGAACTGGCTCGGAAGGGGCTCGCAACGTTAGGATTGGTGGGCTGAAGCGGAACAAGAGTCCAGCCAGCTGGAAGATTCAACCCTTCTGGTAGACGAGCATCTCCGGCACTCAATGGCACCGTGCCTGGGCTTGACGCAAATTGTTGTCGAGTTGTGATGCTGGAAGTACCCGGAAGTGGCGATGGTGTACTGGTAGAAGTAGTGGTTTGGTTAAGGCGAAGTCGGTCCAGCTCCATTTGAAGGGAGCGCACATGGCGAAGTTGATCTGTCGCAGCGCGCAAAGCAAACACCTCCTGGGCAATTTGCTGTTCAATTTGCTGCAATTGAGCATTGATATTGGTCAAAGTTGAAGGGCTTTCAGCAGGTTGGTTTTGAGTAACCCCTGGAGGGGCCGGTGCAGGTCCTCGACCGAATCCGAAGCCAAGTCCGACCTGGCGCGCTCCTTGTGCGTTGGCATTGGCAGCAACCTGTGGGGCCGCGTTGCCTTGGTTAATCTGATTTTGCAAGTTATGTAAAAGATCGCCTCGCACAGCGCCAAATCCAATTCGGAAGGGACCAAACTGGAAGACACGAGCTCTGGGCAGTCCCTCTCCATGACCCGGCTGACCAGGTGCTTGGTTTCCAGCACCATTCTGTTGGCCACCATTACCAGCATTGCCACCTGTGCCTTGCGCACCCGCTCCAACTACTGGGCGCCGGCAAGTTGGGCAATTTTGTTGACGTTCCAACCAGCTCCGGAGGCACGCAAAGTGTAGGATATGGCCACAAGGCAACTTCTTGGGGCGCAAGCGATCAGGTACAGGGCGTGCGTTGGCCGCCGGGGCATCATCAGCAGCCGGGGCAGGATTTGCAGGAACCATATCCTCTCGACAAATGATGCAGACTTCCTCTCTTCCAACCTCTTCTGCCGTGGCATCCGGGTATCTCTCATTCATGTCTCTGGTGGCATTGCGGTATCGGAGGAAGTCCATAATTCGACGACCAAACGATCGGATGGTAACAACGACATCGCGCAAAATGTGAATAGGCAAGCCGTAGAAGGTGAGGAGGATCGCGAAGAAGATCAAGTAGACCAGAAGCTTCACAAAGTCGGTCAAGAGATCGAGGTAGAAGACCCAGCGACCTTTCTCTTCCCAGCCGGCGACATCGATCTCCAGCTCATTTATGTCGTTCTCATCAGGCAGATCGGTAGGAGGAGCGGTCTCTCCAGCCCGCGCATTGGCTCGAATAGCTTCTAAACGAGCTTCCCGAATCTCTGCTCGACGTTCCTCCATCTTCGCTTTCATCTGCTGGTGAGTAATGTAGATCTCCGTCAGCGCAATGCCATACCGAGCGGTGGTTGAAGTGGACAGGATAGTCAAAATCGCAAATTCGAAACCAAACATGACCATCATGTCCGGCCGAGCTTGGTGGTATACGGTATCGATGCAGTATCGAAGCATGAAGGCATTGAAAAGAACCGACAACACCAACGAAAAGGCCAATCGCATATGGAAGAGTCGCGGGTTCGCGGGGGGTTGCTGCTCCAAATATTCCACCCGGCCTTCACCAATCCAGCCCCAGACCTTTCCGACCAACAGAGAAACGAACATGACCAAGAACCAGCCTCCGAGTTCGCCCCGGAAGATGGTCATGGCCAAACATGTCTCCGTAATGGCAAACCAAGCCCGTTCGTATAGCTGTTCGGTTTCGATGGGACGCAAAGGACCGTAAAGGAGTCGCTGTAGCCAAAAGAGGACAAAGGCAGTAATGAGAAGGCATAGATTCGTAAGGATCTAGAGAACCGCATCCAGCGCATGGTTAGTCTGGCTTCAAGACGCGGGGAAGCAGATAGGTCTCGTGAGTCGAGTCCCCAGCCAGGGACTGATCGGACAATCAGACTTACCATGAGATTGGCGCTACTTTGTGAGAGATAAACACAAGCTGAGTAGAAGTTTGATCTCTGATGTAGAGCTTTCAAGAACACACCGGTGGCTAGGACCACGGAGGCCTGGAGGAGTCAGCGCGTGCCACTAGAAATATAAGAGGATCACTCACCCCAGCATACGCGGCCAGTCTCATGACGAACAACTGAGACTCGGGTTGATGATCATTAGAGAATCAAGTGGGAGAAGAATTCGGGGTTATCGACGCAGGAGTATACTGGGATCTGGACAGCTTTCCAGAATGCCGCCTCCGCATCTTACGTCAGCCGAGCTATTCCGCACGTGCCTCTAACTGACCATTGAAATGAATATCAATCATGCCAAAGATCCATTAATTTCATTATCTTAACGGGTTGAATTGATGAAAGTCTCGCGATTGTTTTGAAAGTAGGTATTGGATATTCATGACTGCTATCATGATCTTACAAGGACAAATGGGATGTAATGCACTGTCTACACCCTCCGAGGACAACGGGAGAATTGAATTGAAGGCTCAATACGTTCATAGTAATTGCCTATACAGCTACTGTAGTAGGCTATGAGGTACATACCTAGCTAGGTATACATGTGATTGAGCCTGGTCATGTTCAAGCTTTGATGTGTTTACTAAAGTAGTATTTAACTATTCAATGCGTCGAAGATAATGCCCATTATTTGAGGGATAATCCATCGATAGTCTCTTCCAGTGTGGCTACAGTCAAGTCATACGGTCCTAACAAAATCGATAATCGATGATACGAGGAAACATTGTATGATGCAGTTCTTCACGGCGTGATAAGTTACCGCGATAGGTGGGGCCGGAGCAGTAGCATCCCGAGTGGCACACTTAAGTCCATAACAAATGCATCTTGTCCCATATTCTAGCAAGGGACCACCAAGAATATTCCTAAGTGAGAGGAAAATGATTGGAAACACCGGATTCCAATCAGCTTTTACTCTGACTTTTAGGTCTAAGTGACCGACAGTATGACTCGTCATTCATTTTCATCTACTTCATCGTGATCCCCGTATCCTGTTTATCTGATCGCACGTGACACCCCACCCCCAGGCGACACAAGCTGGGATTACTCGCCGATCATTCTTGATTTCTCCTTCTCCAGATTCCTCTCAAGGCAATGCGCTGTCACTGGTGATGGCTTCAAGTCCGGCATTGTTCACAGCCTCAAGGGGGCAGACCCTCACGTACCTGCTCGCGGTTTGCCCCTTCTCTATCGCGTTCCTGGTCTTCATCAATTCCTCTGTTTCCTTCGTGGTGACGGATCTGATCGGACTCCATGAAGGAGAAGGAGATGCAGTGGGGACTTTGGGATTTGCCGATGAATTGCTTGCGCTTGCTGCCTGTCCTCTTTGGGGCGTGCTCTCGGATCGGATCGGCGTACGTCATGTAAGTGTTTTCTTGTTATCTATACAGAGCTCTTGGCCCTTGGAAGCTCAAATTGCTGATTACACAGGTTTGCACTATTGGCTACGCTATAATTGCTTTAGCATTGGTTCTCTTCGTACAATCTAAGAATGTCTATCCACAGCTTCTTCTCGGTCGGCTGCTGTTCAGCCTCGGTGGCTCGGCCGTATCAACCATGGTCACTGCAGTCTTGCCCACCGTGACGGGCAAGGCCTTCCGAAACGAGGCATACCGGGCTTCCGTCTCATCTGAACTAACTATCACACCTGAGCGGCTGCGTGGTCTTCAAAATGGCAACTCCGAATCTGGCCGTGCTTCGCCTTCGGCTCGACTATCAGGTTTTGTTGGACTATTCGCGGGCTGTGGAGCTCTTGTCTCTCTTGCAGTCTTCCTTCCTCTTCCAGCTCGATTCGAAAAGGTGGGACTGTCACCAACCGAATCTATTCAACGCAGTTATTACCTTGTGGCTGTTGTAGCTCTCATCATCAGCGTGGTCAGTTTTATTGGCCTTCGTCACCTGCCCGGAGAAGAAAGCAAAGGATGGTCCGCTTTGTGGAACTGCCGTACACAACGCGATGGCCAACCCGCTACTCTCCCGTACTGGAAGCAATTGACCACAGCGATGCTTCTGGGGTTCCGAAACCGCAGCATTGGGCTAGGCTACGTGGGCGGATTCGTTGCTCGGGCATCCTCCGTGGGCATCTCCCTGTTCATTCCTCTGGCGGTGAATCACTACTTCCGAGTCTCGGGCCTGTGCAACGAACAAGATCCCGTACATGGATCCGGGCTGGGAGAGATCAAACGCGCGTGCCCACGCGCATACATCCTTGCATCGATCCTGACGGGTGTTTCTCAACTGGTAGCCCTGTGTGCGGCGCCAGCCTTTGGATTCTTGACCGATAAATCGCGACGATACAATGTCCCACTCTTGGTGGCGGCCTTCCTTGGCGTAATTGGGTACACTTGGTTTGCGCAGATGCCCAACCCGCAATTCAAGGGTCCCGATGGCAATCCGGTGGTCTTCCTCGTGATGGGACTTATCGGCCTTAGCCAGATTGGAGCTATTGTGTGTAGTCTCGCTGTACTCAGCAATGGCATTCTGCGGGTCAGCTTGGACGAGAACACGATGCGCAAGATCTATGACGATCAGACTGAGACGGACGATGACGATCAATGTGAATCCGGCGAGGGCCGGCCCCTTATCGCGGGGTCAATAAATCGGCGACTGGAGCATCTGTCTCACCTGAAAGGTTCCATCGCGGGAGTGTATTCGCTGTATGGTGGGGCCGGAATTCTGCTTCTCACCAAATTGGGAGGAAAATTATTCGACGAAGTCTCATCCGGTGCCCCATTCTACATCATGGCGGCCTTCAATGGAATCTTGCTAGTGGTTGGAATTCTAGCTGGGATTCTCAACCAGGTTGTGCCGGTCATGGAGGTGTCAGTGTAGGTCATAACCATTTTATTCCACTCAATTCAAATTGCTGTATCTGTATCCGCCTTGTGTGCCCGTGTGCCTGATCTCCTAAATTACTGAATTACGATGCATCTGGGTCTCGAACTTAGGGTTATGAATTGCAATTAAAAAAATTTGTCCTATGGCGACGATCGCATGATTTCTCCATGAACGGGAACGTGGGCGCGTAAATTGCGATGATCTCAAAGGCGGCACTAATGTACGCGACCCGCTTCGCGGCGCTTCCCCCACAGACGAAAAGGGGTCTAAGGGTCTGAGAGAGGGAGAAAGGAATGCGAAGGGCTAGAAATGTGGTAGTTGTCATTATTATCTAGTTCACGTTGAACGAATCAATTTCTATGCTCCATAAGATCACCTATGCTGCAGAATTAAATCATTGGGTATAAATGAGGAGCGACAAACAACCTTCCTGATCAAGCGCATGATCAACTCGGACCAACAACCCATTCTGCGTCTAATCCTACTATAGTTTAGTGGCGTTGATAAATGGAGCACGAACCCCCAATCTACCCTAATTTCCCATTCGAACCCCTGGCCTAACACCGGTTCCTGACACGGGTTCCTGAACCAAACTAGCTCTAGTTTTTCTTGTTGTAGTCCTTGGCAGCCTATCATATCGCATGTCTGTTTTTTGGCCCCGTAGCAGTCCCGAATGCGCCCCTGCAGATTTAGTCCCTCTTGGTCCCTTTTAGTCCCTTTATGAGCGTATCGCCCCGGGCTCCGCCGTGTCTTTCGCATCTTCCATTTCCACTACATCCTGGGTCTGACCCTGCCGTTCTTTTTCTCCACAGTCTCTCGTTAATCACTCTTTAATTCTCGAAGACCTACACATTCTTTTAATCTAATCCATTCACTCTTTCACAATGCGTTTCTACACTGTCGCTCTCTTGACTGGCGCTACGGCTGCCGCTGCGGGCAACACCGCGAACCTTTTGCTGCCTGGTTTCCAGGGCCATGACCTGCAGGCTGGTATTATGGGCAAGGTAAGGAATCAAAATCGCATGTTATATGATGTTGGATATACTTCTGTGTTGTTTGCGATCGCGCCGCTATAGATGGGGGGCAACAACAACAAACACAAGATCAACATCAACAAACCACTAAAACTAAACTAACATCTAATCAGGACGGCGATGCGACCACTTACTTGATCACCTGCCCTACCAGCGTGGCTGCCTCCGCCTGCGGTATCCCCGGCAATGGCATGACCGCCATCTCGGCCCCCAGCTCAGCCCAACTGATCAACACCAACGGCGCAAAGTAAGCACCACAACCAACCAAAAATCAAATCAATACTAACATTAGCAGCACCGCTTCCCTCTCCTGCAATGTCGCTGGCTCCACCTACGCCTCCTGCTACGCGCAAGAAGGCACTGTGACAGTCCAGCAAACTCTCGCCGCTAGCAACATCAACTGGATGGCCGTGACTGTGACTGGTGACTGCTACACCAGCACCCCCACACCAACTCCTACTCCCACGCCTACTTCGACCCCAACTCCCACCCACTCTTCGACTTCGACTTCGACTTCAACTGTCACTCCGTCTTCGACTTCCACCCCCGTCTTCACCCCCAAGAAGTCGCCTACCAAGTCTTCTTCCCGTGTCGCTAGCTCTACTCCTCTCATCACCGGTGCCCCCACCGCCTCGGCTATTACTGCTCCTGCTGCTGCTTCTGGTACCCCCGTCCCATCTACTACCCCTGTTACCGGTGGCGCTGCCTCCGTTGCCCGTAACGGATGGGTTCTTGGTGGTGCCCTGGCACTTGCCTACGCTCTCGTCTAAACGAGATAATTTTCTTAAACTTCTTTTCTCTGGCTCTTTGAGATTGGATTGAGTTCTAGTTCTGGTCCTTGGAACGAACTTGATCCTTGTGAATAATCTTCGGGGTTGGTAACGTTGCTTCTATTTGATGGAATCATGTACCTGTGGACATACATACTTTATATGTACATCTAATTCTTTTTTATAATGATTGATACCTTTTGATACGATGCAATTATTCTGGCTTTCGGTTGTATTTAGAACTTAATTTGAATATTGCACAAAAATACTTGGCTTTCGTTTGATATACTTTGGCAGGATTGAAAAGTACTAGTTTACCAATGCGTGGTTACCTTAAGGCTGAGCAGCACGAGCCTCCATATAAATGAAACATTTGAACATCCCCACAGTTCCCACCGTGTGGCTTTTGAGACAATATCGTCTCAGATCAGACCCACTCTACTGGTATATTGTTTCGTTTCGTTTCGTGTAACATTTGAAACGATATGTTCCAATTACTATCCAATAATGGCACTGGGCATAATATGGATTTCAAATACCTGGAGTCACTAGTCGATTCTGAAATCTTCATAGAAATCTAATACCATTTGTAATCATTATCCAGTCTGCATTGAAGGTAGAATTAGTCTTAAGAGCCCAGAAGAACAGAACAACAAACCCAACGCCAAATCAATATGACCTGCCAGCTTTGCTAGATAAAAGAACCAGTTACAAATCAATAACAAAAGACGCAAAGGCACGACATATTATCTAATCAATATGATAAGCTGGGGAAAGTTTCTGACGAAGCACATAAAGCCTAAGCTACTCAGGCTTGCCCTTGCTCTTTTCTGAGAATCGAGGCTGCAGTGTCACCATAAGCCTAGGCTTATCCCACAGGAAGTAAACCTTCTGATCCATCCAATTGGCGCTTTCGGGACACAGCGTGAGATCAAAGTGGTACAGCAGTTTGCAGAGGATAAGACGTATTTCGCAGTATGCCAAGCTGTTCAAGATCAGTTCCCTTCTTTAAGGAAACAGTGTCATAGTATGGAAGGGCATGCACTTACTTCTTTCCGAGACAGTTCCGTGGTCCAAGACTAAAGGGCTGAAGAACATCCCTCTTATCTTGTTCGAAGCGCGCGTTCTGGCCGAGCCAGCGTTCCGGAAGGAAGTTGTGTGGGAATGCAAAGTTTGATGCGGAGTGGTAGGATGCGTAGTGGTGGCATGCGACTTTTATCTTTTGGATGTTAGATTCGTTATCAATGGCTTTGGTGAGTGAGAGCGTACCCCTTCTGGAATATACTGGCCGTCGATTGTGGATCCTCCTGCTGGAACGGTGCGGGCTAGACTTGTCACGAAAGGCGGGTACATCCGTAGAGATTCCTCGATGACAGCGGCCAAGTATGTTAGACTTGCAGCACCGCGGAAAGTAATGTCTGTTTGCTTTTCGAAAGAGGATCGAATCTCAGCGTTGAGTTGGCGCATGGCAAGTGGATGGGTGCACAAGTAGAAAATGCACCCCGACAGCAAGGTGGCGGACGTTTCGCTGCCAGCGATGATGAGACTGAATGCGTGAGCTCAGTACATACACTAGCATCAATGATAGGACTCCGACATACATGAAAGCATTCGAGTGAATTTCAGCCCTACTCATAATCTTCCCCCCATCCGAGTACTGCCCTTTAGCCTCACTGAGTCCATTCTGCAAAATAGCCGACATGAAATCAGGACGAGAGGTATCTGCCTCCAAGCGAAGATCCACTTTCTTCGCACCAAGGTCGAAATGTTCTTTACCCTTGCGCGTTACCTCGCTCGGAATCAGGGCAGCGAGCATGACCTTCAAAACAGGGAACTGCTGCGCCGTACCAATAATAGCAAGAGCCTTGATAGAGCTAAAGATCAACTGGATCCACGGGTGTAGCTGGCTATCCTTGAGACAACCGAAGGATTCACCAAACATCAGATCACCGGTAATATCAAAAGTAGTAAAGTTCATCCAGTTCTTGATATCAATTGGGACATTTCTGCCTTTGTCGACCTCTTCTTGCAACTTGGTGATCATAGTATCCACATATGCCGTAATCAAACCCTCCTGATCTCTGAGAGCGCGCTCAGAGAACGCATGAGCTAGCAGTCGTCGTTGACGCGCATGTACACCATGGTCTATCGCACAGACGAGATGATCGACCCCATTCGCCGGCGGAATGTAGTGGCTCCGATCTTTCGGAAAGCATCCACCAGGCCTTGCGCCATAGATATCTCGAAAAGCCTGAGGAGTATTAAAAGCCAGCTCATCAGGGCTAATGCGTACAACGGGACCATAACGGTCATGTAGGGCGGTGACATCTAGATGATTATGTCCACGCAAAACGGAGATCTGCAGTGGAATGCGGGAAATGGCCCAGGACCGTGGACCTGGGAAGCGACGTAGCGGTGAGAAGTAGAGATCATATAAGATAGACTTGGCAAGCCAGAAAAGGACCTAGTAATTTGGACCAGGTTGTCAGTGTCATGTCAGCTGAGCCCGAGGGAATGGGACGTTCAAGGAAGCAGAGATGGCTTAGTATAGAATGAAATCAAACTGATAACAGGATTGGACGGGAGATGTATTCTGTAGGGTCTTGCAGAACTGTGAGAGTGATACGGGATGCAACTCACAAGACATCCTGCGGACAGGACCCAGAATAGGATACTGTATGTTGCCCTTGTTGAGATCATCGTGGACAGCGGTTGAGATAAGTGGATAAACCTCAGAGTCTTGATTCCCAAGCCCATGTTATTTACTCTTTTCGGGTGACATGCAGTCGTTTGAAGGTCTCTCAGTAGGATCTCAGTAGGATGGGGTCTCCTTGTAAAACAGTTGAATCAAGTATGTCGAAGTTGCACCAGAGTCAGAAAGTAGGGAAGTTCTTGGAAAGAGGGGAACGGGCCCCCGAACAAAGAACTGGCGCTAGACTGTCATCCATCGCCATGTTTGCTCTTTCTTTGCTTAGATTCATCACACTCTCACCCGTGGTCAATGGTAGAGAGAACGATAGTCGAACTGTAGAAGAGATGGAGAAAGACACAACACCTGGATATTCCTAAATTAACCATAATTAATCTACACTTCCGAATAAGCATCCTCAGCCCAGTTTTCGACCCAGCTAAGCAGCATGATAGCCATGTTCCGGCTTGCGACCGTAAACGATGTGTAGATTGCAATAGGTGTGAACATAGGGATTATTCAGATCTCTACGCACACCTGCCAGGAAGACTTGGGTTTGTATATTCGACCACCCCAGGACACGCGTGAACAAAGCCAGCGAGTAGGATTCCACTGCCATCAACAGGGAGCACAGATTATACCGGCCGATTTGCTTCTGTATGGGATCGCTGGGCCACATACTAGAAGGGACCTATAAATATACATGTTAGTATGTAATAATACAGCCAGATATTGCATATGTCAACCGGAAGGGTATACGCCAAGACCCGAAAGACAAACGGAGAGTCCTGAATAAAACAAATGTTCCGGGTAGGGAAAGGGTCGTACCTTGTACACCTCATCTTTAACATCTTCAAAACCGGCCTCCACCAGCCGCTGTCGGTGTCCTTCGGCGATATTCATGGGCCGGTGAAACGCCTCACTAGCCTCATGCAGGCGGCCGAGGAACTCGCACAGCATCGGCGCTAGACGCATAGAGTCATCATCCGACCTCAGCGTAACCTCAAATTCTTGCAGCTCAACCCATCCACCTGGTCGTAAATGCCCGTAGGCCTGTCGCAGCAGCCGAGGCCAGTCGGCAATGGCACCGCCCAGATCCCGGGCGTGAATAAAGTCGAAGGGTCTACTGGTACTGAACAGCCATGGGGACTCGGCGTCATCGACTAGGAAGCGGAGGTTGGGCGGAACCCAGGATGGCTGGATCGGGCTGAGATCGGTGCCCATGACCTCGGCGCTGGGATGGCTGTCGGCGAAATCAATGGCCCAGATGCCTGTACCAGTTCCTATGTCAAGGGCGCGCTGGAGGCTTCTGCCCAGTGGAGCACGGTAGAGAGCCCCGTTTAGAACGAGGTTGCGAACGTGATGGAGGAGATCCTGGCGGTCTTGTTCTTGATCGTCGTTTGGTAAAACGTAATGGCCTTCGCGGTAAGAGTGGTATCGTCGGCCATTCTCGTATGTATAGTCTTTCACGTCCGAGAGTAGTGAAGCAGTATGGCTGGACGTGTCGGTGTGATATTCATCATCGAACACAGAGTTTGTCTCGTCACTTGTGGATTCTCCACCAGAGGTATTTCCAGGATCATCTTCTTCTGTCTGGGGTATAGTAGGCACATATGGCGAAAGTGGTATACTGGAGTCACTCGCTTTGTCCAGGGTGAAAGTAGATGGGGCAGAGACTTGCTCTGTGGGCACTGATAGCACACTGGTCTCATCTGCAGCATGATCTGCATCTGGAAGCGGAGAGCTTGCAGTCGTAGAAGAACCTGTTTGAAGAATCGAAGAACTCGGCCTTGCATCACTTCCGCTGTCAATGTTCTCTTCAGGTATAGATGCAAGCTGAGGCGACATCGCCAATATATGACCTGGTTCGCCTTCGCTCATCTCACAAGAGCCAGATGCTGGATCTTGAGACTGAGGAAGAGCTGTGATACCAGCCTCATGGCATGTGTGGGTCTGGAATGTCGAACCTGAAACAAGAGATGTGCCTAACGCTGGAGGCTCCGTACCGCTGGCCCACTCCAGTTCTGGAGACGGCAGCGGCTCAAGAAAAAATGGTGATGGGGATGAGAGCACTTCCTCGGTCTCAGGAACAGACTTGACAGACTGAGGCTCCGCGTCTGCAAACTCCCGAGACGATTCCATGAAGTCATTTTCGGCAGATGCAACACTCACAGGCGACTTACAAAAAGGGGAAGAGGGTGGAGCCATATCCAGGTCCATGTCAAAGGAGCTGTCAGAAAATTCGATGGGATCTTCAGATCCCATAGGATCGAGGGGCACCGAAAAAGCCGATGAGCGAGCATATTCGCGGACAGCAAACCGAGTCATTCTGTCTTACAATTATGTTCCTCTTGTTAAACAATCAGATAGCGAATGAGCCTGATGTCGTACAACGCGAGGGAGATCCAGTTCACTCCGGCAGGTCTCTTAAGGAGAGGGTAGACTCAGCCAGCCAGTCTGGGTAAAGAATAATTAAGACGGAATCGGGGGAATGGCCCGAATGTAGGACAGAAATAAGAAAAGCCCCGACCTTGTATCCCATGACGGTGGTAGCGATCAGCCATTCTTGCTTTGCGAATACCGAGAGAGTGGTTAATCCGAGAGAAGTAAGATTATTGAGCTGGTTTGCCTGCATCGATCCGCCGTTGGCCCTAGTCCAGTTCGTCGTGGAAATCGTACCTGCATTTTTTAAATTATCAAATCTACCACTTGATTGCCTCCATAAACGTCAATATGAGCACGATATGAGGCTGGTAGAAAATATCAGACATACAGGGATGTAAGAGGGGTGCATAAGCTGAGAAATGTGGCGATGTTGGATTTCTTTGTTTCTAGCCCAAACCACTCCTCAACCACTCTGTTGGGTCTTGCGATCCCTGCAAAGCGACAAGAAACCAGCAAACCTTTTTCTAAGCGAATCGCCTAGAATTATTGAATTAAAATGGAATAAATCATTGAGCCATTGCATTGTATTGCTTGACCGAGAGGTCCTCAGACGACCTATTGCCCTAGTAGGTACAAGTCTCGGTATTGTGGGTATTATCTCGTTTCTCATTTACGTGCCGATCTCCCATGAACGCTGCTAATATTCACAGTGCGATATGAGCTTATCTTGTGTCATTGCAATTAACCGGAGCCAGGGGGAGGAAATCGGGGATCATTCGAGTCAGGCCGCCAGCCCCGCTCTGCAGGAGGGGGCGCCGGAACTTGTAATCCAGCGTTAACGACAGCAGCCGCCATCATGCGCCAATGAAGTTCTTCGTTGAAAGCTTTCACCTGTTCCAAGGCCTCCGTCTGCATTTCGGCTCGCAGGTCGTGCTGGTTTCGGACCAGCAAGCCATGCTCAAGATCGATACGGACATCGAGAACATCATCCTGAATGAGCCGGATGAGTTCCTGCAAGAAGGGAGACTCGAGTCCGATGCGCTGGCCCACTTCATTGGGAGCAAAAGTGGCCGCCATGGAGTCAAGGGTAGCCTTGCTGAAAGGGACAAGATACTGATGAATAGCCTTGACGCGGATCTGAGTGTAAATTGCGGAGACGTGGGGCTGGAGATGAATATCAAGAAGGTAGTCGGCGCGATAAGCTTCTAAGATTTCAATGCACGGGCGGAATTTAGAGTTGCAGAAGAAAGTGATGGCACGGCGGATGTGGGGTTCAAGTTCAAGGAAAGGACGGAAGGAGGTGTTATCCAGCACCCGAAGCTGCAATTCGGTGCGGTCCATGGAGGCCAGAGCACAGAGACCGCCATAAACGGCGACATCGTTGGGACTAATCACATCCTGATACGTATCACCCAGGCTGGCGGATACGGAGAGGAAGGAGTTCGCAGCCTCGAGATATGAGCCTTGGCTCATTTGAGCCAAACCCAGTGCGACGGACATTTTAGGCTGGTTCTGGGCCAGATCCTCGGGTTTGGATTGAGCATTGCGTAGCCGGTGCACGTAAGACTGCGCAGTGAGCCAGTCACCACGTTCAATGGAGACGCCGATGAGCTTAAAGAGCATAGAGCTAACGTGGCTGGGGGTTGTGCAATGTTCACGCATGCGAGTGTATGCCTTTGATGCAGCAATTAAATCACCAGTCTCATAGTAGTGGTTGCCTAGGTCCTCATTGCCCATCTGTGGCAGTCAGTGAGCGGATTCACTTAGCGACGATAACCTGTACATACCCGAATGCTTTCCTTAATCAAATTGTTCTTGTATCCACGAAGCTCGTGTTCCAACCGATCCGTCTGAGATCTCACGCCTTTTTGAATTTCTTGTACCCACGCGGAGTCCAGTGAAGCACCCTCTTCATCTGGAGCGACCTCCACCAGGGCGCGGACTGCTTTTTCATACAGCGCAATATCTTTGCCAGATTTAGCTTCAGCAACAGCCTGTTTTAAAGCATCGACCGCGAGCACGGTGGAGGTAGTGCCGATGAGATATAGACGATGGAAGCGGGTCCGGCCTTATTTCAAAGTTAGAGTCTGAATCAACCACCTTCATATAGACTACTGACCAGTGTAATTGTCAATGTATGGCTCAAGATCGAGTTTGGGAGGCTCTGTTAGAATCCACATGTCAGCAATTGCACCCAGCTCTTATCGGGCATTGCGGTCTGCCCCGCGGCAAGCTCCACGCACCATCAACTCTGATCCGAGACGCAGTTGTCTCCCCACCCGCAGCACCAGCTAAGGTGTCGTTTATTCCATATCCAACTGAGGAGCTTATAGGTGCCGGGGCAAAGGCATCAGGCAGAGTGGTGTCCATGTTGGCTGCGGTGTCACTGAGACACCCGCTGGCCCACGCGAGTTATTGACGGTTCTGGAATATGAGGGAGCGGAAGGATGGAAGATCAGAATATGAGTTGGAAGAGACCGGTATGAAGCTTATTCGGAAAGCCGAAAGGATAAAGAAGATTGCTGTATGTGTTATCGAAGAGGCTCAGCTTGATCATGTCTAGGTGAAGGTGTGAGCTGTTGACCGGTTTATTGCAGGCAGTACATCACCGCCCAATACACCGCCTATGGGGCTCATAGTTGCCAACGTAATCCAATTTGGTAGCCTATGTTCAATTGCTGAGCGACGGAAAAATCTATCAGGATCTTGGATAACTCAAAAATTTAAATTGACATCCTTCAAAGGACTTCACCATGCTTTCTTTGCTAATGCTTGTACCAAAGTGTGGACACTTGAACCTCGGGAGTCCGCAGAGCCTCGGGACCGTGAGTAATCACGAAATCATCGGAATTGGCTTTCATTCCTTGGAAGACTGGCCTACAGCCTTGCTTAGAACCTCTGTGCCGAAGGCCGACAGCTCCGGAGCTCTGAATTTATTGATTACAAGTGATTACGAGACTTCGGCTTAGGGGAAAATTATACCAAAGAACTACATATAAACCCCACGTCTACCCCGGGTTTCTCCAATATATCATCCAACCCAGTTATTACCAACAGAAACAAAATGACCAACCAACAACCAGTTGCTCTCGTTGTGGGCGCATCTCGCGGGATCGGCCGCCAAGTAGCCATCGACCTATCAAAGAATGGCTACGCAGGTGCGACCGCATCCTAATTACGAGCTGAACCTCGAGCTAACAATGAAACCTAGTGATGCTGGCAGCTAAAACAACCTCAGATGCTGCCAAGACTACACCATTCCCTCCTGATCCCAACTCTTCGCAGTCAACTATCAATACAGTAGAACGCGAGATCTTGGAGGCAGGAGGCCGTGCCGGAGCTATTGCAGTGGACGTGCGTGATGCGGCACAAATCCAACATGCAGTCGATGAGACCGTTCGAATCTTTGGAAAATTAGATGTATTAGTGTATAACTCTGGGGCCATCTGGTGGTCTTCTGTGGAAAACACACCGCTCAAGCGATTCCGACTGATGCAGCAAATTAACCCAGAAGGTCTCTATGCCACTGTGCAGGCTACACTGCCGCATTTCGAGAAGAATGGCTGGAAAGGTCGGATTGTGGTCGTTTCGCCCCCGATTTACTCGAGGTTCTTCAGGGGAAAGACTGCTTATGCGATGGGTATGTTGAATTTTCTTATCGCGCAGGAAAGACATTCAGCTAAAACTCGTGTCAGGCAAGGTTGGAATGAGTGTTTTAGTCAAAGGTCTTGCCATGGACTTTGTACGACAGGATCGGACAGAGATGGCTATTACAAGCATCTGGCCAGCGTCGGTATGTTAAGGCTCTACACCATGTGTTGAAGTGAGTCTAACTGGCATATACAGTCGATTGAGTCAGCTGCTACTGAGCATAATAAATCCTTTGACGAATCACACAAGAAAGATCTCAGAAAACCAGTAAGTCAGTCAAGCCTTTATACAAAAATTTGACTTACCAGTACCAGGCCATTTTCTCTGATGCCATCTTGAAGATGCTACGTGCCCCAGTCACTACTGTGAACGGGCTTTTGGACACCGACGAGGATTTCCTTCGGAAGTGCGGAGTCACCGACTTTTCGAAATACTCGGTTATACCAGGCTCTACACCTCGTCGCATCATGCCAGCTGAGTTCCCAGTCTTGGAGGTCGCAGAGCAGGACGACGAAGGGCAGAGAATGGACAGCACCAAACTACGAGCAAAGATGTAAGCGGCAGGTCAATTGGATAAAAGTCATTCGTGGATAGATATCAATAGCTGTCTCAGATTAATGCAAATATTGGACTTGAACAATCCATCAAAAACAAACGCTCGATGCAAATGCAGGTCGAAAAGAAGCGCAGTGAATACGGGCAAGCAATCATTTTAGCTGCATGAAAGTACCGCTCAAAGCCCCATATTCAATCGACCCATATGACTTGGTCAACCTCCATAGAACTTGCTCACATTAAAGCAGCAAAACCCACAACGAACCCGCCCACCAACATACAAAGCCCATACACATTCCCTATATCCCCAGCCAGAAGTCGAGTCGCATCACCCGTTGCAGTGGAAGTACCAAGCGCAACTGACGTGGTCGTGTTCGCCGCAACCTTCGCAGAGGGAGTAGCAGAAGGTTTAGTAGTCACATTGACACGGACGGGATTTTGAGCACCACAGGGGTGATCAGAGCGACAAGCGCTCTGACATGTAGAATCAGCACACTTGGAAACACACTGATTATTGGCTTCAGTGCAGATAAAGTACGGCATGGTCTGGGAGTATTGCGAGGCGTTCGGAGAGAGGCCGTTACTGCATTCACACACATAGTAGAGGGTTTTCTAAATCAAGAAACGATTAGGATTATCCTTTTTTCGCGGGGTCAAGCATTCAAGATGGTAGACTCACAGGTGAGCAGCTGTTGATCAGAGCTCCAGTTGTGTTGGGCATCTGTAGGCAGAGAATAGGGCATGATGATATTTGGGCATTGCACCAGCTTTCTATGACTGTATGTTAGGATTTGTGGAGTCTCATGACTTTGGCCCTTCAAGCTGCGACTTACCGCGATCAGATAAGTCTACCGAGTCCGGATTAATTGTAGGTGTGTATTGGCCACGCGCCATGGTGGCAGCCGAGGCTAGAACTACCAGGAGAGTTGACAACATTGTAGAGAGATGTTAATGTGAAATTTGCCAAAAGAAAAGGCGAACGCGGACTGGAAGGTAGATAATAAAGTATTAGCAGCAATTTTTGTGTATTCTCGATCAGCGGCAAATCCTGAAAACGTCAAAATAGCCGTGTGATTGTATGGAATGAAGGGGCGAAGTGCTGACCACAATGTTCTAGAACTTAGGTCTATTAGCCCCCTTGAAGTCTTTAAGATTTGCCTGCCTAGGAAGATGTGAAAAACAGAACTTAGTGTGAAGAAGCAAGAAATGACTGTAAAATAAGGGACTGGTAAACAAAAGAGAGACAGAGATAAAGAGGGCGGAACAGGCAGAAATAAAGCATTCAGAGGAGGGGGAAGCAATCGGAAAACATTTTACGCGCCCTTGATAGGAAGGATATCTAATGCATATCCAGGCATATCCAGGGAACAAGGTGACCTATCTAGTTCAAGGATGCTCTCCTGGCTGTACACAATGGCAGTACTGCGTTTTCTTGTCAGCTGCAGGGGATCATAACCAAGCATAGCAGCTGTCCCTTATAGCCTAGATTTAAAAGCGGAATGTACCCACCCGAGACATCTTCAAAGCGATTGGTCACCTGTCAAGGGAGCTTTAAATCTGACCAGATTAGGGAAGATGTCGATCCGGGGAGATAAATATGCGGCTACAGGCTATGCTGATCACGCGCATATTTTTATAAATGAACAGATTCATTCCCCTCCACATTCAACTTGTGCCACTAAGATTGAAGAGCTGATAAGTGCAAATGCCATTAGCATTAGAACTAGTTCTTACTGCAACAATGGCGAAAGTATGGACTACAAGGGATGATGTCTCAGTCGCGTAGCCCAAATGATTGCCCCGCGTATCGGGGTTTTTTTTTTTTTTTTGGGTAGCGTTCCACAAGGTTGACAGGGATGGAATAACTATCATGCCTGTAACAGCTTGCTTACTAGCACACTAAAGCAAGCGGTTACAATCTTCATTTCTTTCTAATCCGCTTTTTGCTGCTATCTTTGACACGGCGCTTTTAATACGAGAAGAATTTTCCAAAGGATTATCAGAAGATAGACATCTACAAGACAAAAGCAAGAGCGCAAGCGAAGAATGGCCTCTATAAATCCAATTTAATCAAGCTGGGCCCCCATTTGTATCCCACTGCCACCAGAGACCCGATGCCTTATCGAGTCCATCATGGCGGTTGAACTTCACCAAGTTTGCTTGTTATCAGCTTCCAAAAAGTGCAGGTCAACCAGCACTGTCACTATACTAGCGCTTCTGGCCCCTCACCGTAGGTTCAACAATTTGGCCAACTCGTGAAGTCTGTTAACTTTCTTCTGCCGTTCAGGAGAATCAAGATCACTTAAAGAATGAAGGCCGCCTTTATGTGCTAGCTGTACCTTCATATGTTGTCGACTTTCGACTGCCTGTAAATCACTGAATTAGCTTTCAAAGTTCATCGAGTGTCGGGTTACGGCCTGAACTTGCCTCTTCAATTGTCTCTTGCACTATGTATCGGACAACACAAACCTTTTTGTCCTGGCCAAGACGTAGCACGCGGCCGATAGCTTGATTTTCAATTGACGGGTTCCACTGTGGTTCGAGAATGTGGACCCGACTTGCCACTGAGAGATTGTTCAAACTAGTTGCCCAATAAGCGTGGATTCCAATCGCAATGTTGCGAGGAGTGCGTATTAGGGAAGTCTTACCCTACCGAGCCCGTACCTTGTGTTATCAAGAGGACGCGTTTTGACGAGTCTTCCTGAAATTGCTGAAGGATCTTCTTGCGCTGTAGTGCATGAATAGCTCCATCTACCCGGCAATAAGCGATGGCTTCTTCATCAAACATGCGGCCCACGAGGTCGAGACTGCGTCTCCAGAAGGAAAAGACGATGCTGGCAGGCATATTAGCAGTGTAAGTGATTTCAATGGTAAATGATCGAACCTCTTCTCTTCACCATAATGCTCTTTAATATCAGCAAGCAACGCCATAAGCTTCGACGGGTATGGGGCTTGACTATTGCAGGGTGTTTCCACAAAGCTATCAGTAGAAATACTCTGCTCTTGGCATTGAGCGGTGTTGGCGACTTCGTGACCAGAGTCAAGGATATCACATGGGGAGCTTCTATGATCTGCCGATAACGAATTTCGAGACATGCAGTCGTGACATATTAGACTATCCAGGAGATGACTTTTGTTCGCCGTGCAGCTTGGCGCCGATGAAGTCACGTCCTTGTTGCACTCCATGCAGGCTGTCCCTCCACTTTGCAGCTTTAAGCTGGATATTTCGTCTGCTTGGGAGGTTCTCACGAAATTCTCAAGAGTTAACGTTGAGTTAATGCCAGTGTTGCAAAAAATTCGCAGAAGGAGAATGGCGGTTAATATGATTCTAGGCTCCCCTCTCCCCCTTTGGAAACTGACAGCTGCTTTGATGCGGTCCTTGCAAGCATTTTCCAAAGCCTTATAGGTTTGCCTTTCGGACTGTGACAAGGCCGGGCGGTGTACCCGGAAAGAAACTCCTAACTCGGATAATATAGACGTATTCCTCCTCAGGCACATCGACCCCAGGAGCATGCGAAGATTGTCATAATTTGGTTTTGAGGCGAAGACCCCTGTGAGGCTGGGTCCAGTAACAAATCTGCGGAATATTGACGAATTATCAAGAATTGGGATGCGGAGAAATTTCACCAGTGATTCAAGGTCATCCAATGAATTTTGAACCGGTGTTCCACTCATACACCAGCGTATTACGGCTGAAATGTTCATTATGGCCTTAAAGGTCTTCGTGGAAGAGTTCCGGATGACGTGAGCTGTTGATGTCAACTATCATGCAAGCAGATCTATCACACTTCAAGTGGATATGGCTGACCTTCGTCTAGCACTAGACGATGCCAGCGGAAATGATTGAGAGCACCGCCTCCACGATTGAAGTCAGTCATTACAGTGCCGTATGTTGTGAGCAGTATATGATAGGGCGGGGATGATGATGTGTTCAGGCTTCTGCTTGGTCCATGGTATTTATAATACGTCAATGTGCCGGAGACAACATGCCTTATGAGTATGTCAGTAACGGAAACAGCCAGCTTGTCGGTGTATAAATATGTACTTCTCGAGCTCTTCAACCCAGCCGTCCAGAATCACTCAAACTAATTAGCACTTTCCAAGGCCCATGATGCAAAGTCCTACTTACAGGGAGACGGTACAATGACAAGCGTTGATTTCGCTGGAATCTTGCCGGCCGCTTTCGTCATATCGGCGTTCTGTGACATATCATTTGCATAACTTTCAGCATCTGAAACACTGGACGCAATAGCAGCGACCATAGTCAAAGTCTTTCCTAACCCCATATCATCAGCAAGAATACCACCCAGCATGTCTGTAGCAACGTGGCTCTTTGCGCCTGTGATTTTATGGCGGTAGCTAGCTTTCAATAAGCACTGCTTTTAGATTCACGCACGTTGGGAACGACCCACCAGGAGCGATCACGGGTAGAACTATCGTGTCTCCATAGGCCTCCAGGCTTCATGGTGGAGGGGTTTTCTCTATGCATGATGAAGTCGACTCCTTCCAATTGGTGGCTACAGTGGTCGACCATTAGTTAATGTTTCATCATGCGATCCATTTATTTGCTGACCTCAATAATGTTGTTTGAATCCGTTTGTCAGTCTGCGCCTTCTTTAGGTAGCCCTGCTTGGGAAGATCATTTATGACAGAGAACATATCAGTCACCTCATGGCCGGTGGATCCGGTGCTATTGGTTTTTCCCGTCTCGCAGTCAACAATTTTAGCTGAAATTGGTGGTAACAGGGTCCCATTTGGAAGTGAACTCCCCGGCAAGTTCAGGTAATGCGGGTTTTCATATGTAGTATCGTACAAAAAAAGATAAGGATGCTGCAGAAACAGACGGTAGCGTGACAATTCCTGGCCTGCAACAACCGCATCTATATGGGTCCCAAACACATATATGTGTATTAGACAGCAAGAACTCGTGGATTTGGAGTTTGCAGACCCCGAATGTGTCGATATTGTTTGGTTGAACTCTTTGCGGGAGACGAATCCCTTATATTCGATGCTTTTCGCTGAAGATGAAAGACATCTCAGGGCAAGATGGGTCTTCTTGTTCATCATGGCGACGGATTGACCGTCTTTGGATTGCAGCTCACAGCGATCCTCGTCCATGACGAATTTCAGACATAAAAACACCTCATCATCTTGTTCAATTTTGTCGAACGTGGCGGATGACACAGTCCGTATGCGGTTGAATTGGATTGGAATGTCCTTCAACTGATTATACCCGATGTCAAATATTGGCCATATGAGAATGCCAGGGCGTAAGAATTATCGCAATCATACCATTCCGAAACATATCTTCTCATGCTGATGAGAGTCGAGTATTCTTGATTTTGCTGCAGTGCTTGTCAGTTTTCGGAACTACAGCTGCCACATGCGAGACTACACATGAGGAGGGTATTTTTGGACCAACAAGTGGTTCTCTTCTCAAAAAGTCGGACGCTGACAACAAAATAACGTTCTATTCTCACCGACGTTCTCTGGACCATCTACGGACATCTTATTCCATGACCAGCTCGGGCTTAGAGCCTTGTTAACGAGGAGACTGTCACCAAGAGATGGAGCTACGGAGTAAGAGGAAGACCAGGATGTCGCGATCGAGTAACCACCTCGCTTGTTCTCTGTGTCTCGATGCTGTGGATCTTCCCCATGTTCATCGAATCGCCGTTTGTGAGTCATGAAGTCACAGATGTAACAGAAATATCAAGATCCCGAGGATTTGGTTTATCGCTTCGTAGCCCAAGTCTGAGGTGTTATGTTGATGAGACACCAGGCGGTGTCGCCACGGCATCTTACAAAGTCTAGCACGTGAAATCACGTGCAATATGCCTGCCTCTTGTTCAGATTCTCAGTCCAACGGCGGTGCAAAGTTGCCACGTCACACCATATTGAACTTTTGAGGTAAGATTTTATTGGCCAGAGGGTATTGAGGCTCTCTGCGTGGCATGTGCAATGGTGCCCGATGGGTAGCAAGTTGGCCCGAAGCAGATGCATGTCATCAGCGCATCCACACCGCCTCCAGGGTGCAATACCGTGAAACAGAGACCAAAACTGCCGCCGAAAGTGGTGTCACTAGTGTGGATGTGCTGAAGGACATGCATGTACAACTATTATCCAGTACCCTACTACCCAAACCTGTCACGTGCCAGCCAAACCAAGGATTATTTGGTGCGACTAATGAAGGCCACGAGAATTAGAAAGGAAAAAGGAAAAGTTTCAAGATTGTAAAGGTTCCCGATAAAGTACTTGCCATAATTTGCCTCATTTTTGTGCTTCCCAGCCTCCTCCCACAGCCATCATAGACCGTCATATTGCGCCTAAAGGACCTGGCCGACCAGGCGAGATTGTAAAAGTCATACAGCTTTGTCAGAGCTTGGGGATCAGGTGACCAGCTTATGTGGATAGACTGGCGCTTATCCCTCTGGCTCTCTTCTTCATCTCTCTATCCCATCACAATACACAAATTGTTCTGTCTGTTCGTTCCTTCGATTCTCTTCCTTTCAAGTAGCCTACGCGCTGACAAGGTTTATTATCGTCAGGATGATCAGGTTAAATCAACTATTTAAAGCTGCTTCAGTCTAGAAATTCAACGGTTTTGTTGACAATACCATATTCTTCGAGGAAACAGTACATTCCACACCTCGGCAGCGAACATTTAGGATGGGAAGGAAAGAGAATGGAAAGTGCTGGATAAGCTGTCTGCCTTCATACCCCTCGGTCTCCGCCAATCAGATCGATCAAAATTGACCCATTATATCTAAACACTATCTCCCAGCGTCACGGTGCCCGACTCGCATACTGAACTCGTTAAATATAACCAATACTAGATCTTATTACTGGGCAGCTCTGTAATCCTGGCAAGTGTGATAATCCCACAGGCTGAACTTTGATGATGCTGCTCCGAAGTCATAATTCATGACATTGCCTTATCCGTTGACGGAGACTCGTCAAGTCCACAAAGGTGTAAGAAGTCTTTGAAGGATGGGAGGAGCTTGCCAGTAGCCAGTAGCGCCTCGGAGTTCAAGCCAGATTGATTGGTGAAAATGTTTGTTTCGTTAGCCTCGTTTTGCTCTGTACCTTCTTGCAGCCTCTGCAGCATCAATGGTTGAATACATTTGCGGCCGATATTGCTCTTGAGATGATTGGCAAGAATGTCGGCCCGAGCAAATGAAGCCTCGCAGCCCCATGTAGACCCGTCCTGGAGACTACCTTGGCATTTATATTTTTTGTTCTGATGTATTTGCTCGTGACGAAGGCGTTCGAACTTGCGCGCGAAGGTTTTACCACAAACCGTACACTCTTCAGGTCTTTGCCCAGTGTGGGATCTCAAATGAGTGTTCAAGTTATGGCGTCTGGTGAACGCCTTCGGACACTGGTCACAATGAAACTTGGCTTCATTGTTTGTTGGCTTGTCTGACGCCTGCCGCTTGGGTGGATCTGGGAACTCTGTATCGTGGAACATGTCGATACCGTGGTACTCAAGGATATGTCCTTTCAACTCATTATTCGTTGTGCAACCAAAGGATGCCATATGACAGCCAGTTACAAAACAAAGAAATGGACGTTCATGCTTCGAAACATGAAGCTGTCGTTGATTCGGGCTGCTGAATCCATGGTGGTAGAAAGTGCAGTTTACACGGGGGCATTTGAACCAATTCGAGCCGTAATACTGCTTCATGCCCCGCTTCGCAGAGTCAGACAATGGTTCGGACCACATACTTTCAAGAATAGTTCTAGTCTTCTCCGTGATTTGCCATAGATCCAATGCGTCATCTGCAGTCGGACCATGGCCACAAGTGTCAGTCTGCTTTCGATACCAAGCAACAGCTTGTGATATTTCAGGAAGAGACACGGATTTCTGCATGGGAGCCAGAGTGCCTTCAACCTTTTGAGAAATTTGCAACGGCTTTGCTGATGACGACCAGTGTGACTCAACAAATGTCTCCAAGGTCTCTTGGAGTTGTTTTAGTCTGTCTCCTGACTCAGTCTCTGGAATCCCACACTGCAGGTGCATAGCCCAACAGGCTGAAGCGTAGTCGTAAAATGCATGTGATCCGTTTCGAACATCAACAGCAATTTCATCGTCGTTCCGGCGTAGATCAAACTGAGGAAAGGCAAGATAGGCAAGGCACAGCATTGAAAGGGAGTAGTTTATATCATCAGCCTGAACAATCTTTGCCTCCACGAGGTATCTGGCGTATAATTGGTGAGTATTCACTTTGGTATGATGATGCTTGAAACATACTCTCGAGCGGTGCCATGAACGAGCTCAACAGTGTCATCTGCTCGCACTTCGACAAGCGCTGCAAAAAGCCCTTTCGGCGAATCCAGTAGTTGCTTGTCATAGTCAACAAGCTGTTGTTCAATGTCAATACAAATGGCTCCCTGGATCTCCCGCCAACGTAGTGGTCTTTTAGCGCAAACAATCCATCCAAGAATCTGTCGCATGTGCGTAGCAAGATTGTTACCTCTCGAGTCGAATATACGCTGGACAATCCGTGAAAATCTGTGCAATGTCATGTTATTATTCGGATGTGAAAGTCCAGTCAAGTCACGTACACAGTATCCAGCTTGACTGGGAACCTTTCTGGCCTGAGCTCTGTAACCAGCGAAGCCCGATGTGGTTGATCTTCCAGGTACTTGGCCATCAGTTCTGCAAAGATGAACATGCCTTAACACGCGTTGTCAGAGATGTACTATCACTAGCTAAATTGTGGACACATACCTTGTGCTCTTGCTAAAAGGATATTCGCAATGTGGTGCTCTTTTGATCGCAATTCTCCAAATTTGGCCTCAATCTGCTCATGCCACACAGAAACACAGTGGCTAAGGTCTCCTTTGTTCTCAAGGGCAGTGACCTTAATAGAGGGAATTTTAGGTGCTGCAATGTCTTGGCTCACGAAAAGGCACCTTGGAGAGTCCATACACTCTGAGACTAGATCTTCTATCAGGTTCTGAAACCAGGTAACAATCTCCTTTCCATCACGCCGCCCACATTCATCAAGACCATCGATAATAAGGTACGTTTTAGTACAACTATCCAGAGCTGTTCGTAGCATTTCTTTAGCAGTAGTATTTGAAGTTAGTATCGTATCTTTGCTCAATGAGGCTTGCTCATAGAAATATGGCAATAGGTGAGGGTTCTGAGCAAGAATCTGCGCCAATAATGATCTTGCAAGACCGTTGAACGCGTTTCGTGTTTTATCGCCGTACTTGCAGAAGAAAAATGCGACAGTTGAGTCGTTGACTGATTGGACTGCATCCACGACCACTGATGCAAGAATTGTTTTGCCTTCTCAAACTGTCAGCTGCTGTGACACCATGACAAAATGTTGGTGGTTTGAAATGAGTACCTGCCCCCGGTATTCCACTCAGCCAAAGTAATGGCGATAGACAGAAGTCAGGGTTAAACCAATCTTGGAAACTTTCGTGGTCTAGAAGCCATCGACCTGAATTCGGACAAATTGATCTTGTGACTCGGTGACGGTCCTGCTCCTCATCACAAGGATAGGCAGACAGCCACTGCCGTACCATTGCTTGGTATTGATCGTCGCGAGCGATCTTTTCTCTCACAGAGGAGCTCAATGCACTCTGTCTGTGATTCTGGATCTCTTCGAACTCTGCAAATGTCACAGGGTTCTCGACTACTCGCCTGTTCCGTCGCAGGTTCTGTTTAATGCAATCAATCACCGGTTGTTTGCTCCTCCAGGAAGCTCTGAATAGTTTTTTCCAGCCTGTACTTCGTGTCAACTCATAATCGTCATCGAAAATTATTACCAATAACTCACGTCGTTGCTTGAAGAGGCGGATTGCTTCACAATGAAAATCCAAGATGTCGTCATATATCAGAGTTAAGATCTCCCTCAGAAATGGACTTGTCGTAAATAGCCGGCGGGAGATTAAGAGGTGAGGCATCAAATCTCCGATCTCTTGATATGCATCCAGAATTGAATGGTATGCGTCTGGTAGCGTTGAGGCTACCTATGACCCAAAGAAGAATTAACGTATGTTCCGTCACAGTATTAGTCTAACATCACTTACTTTAAGCACATATTTTACTGGGCCCTTTGGTATTCAGTCAATATAGAAGTTGCCTAAACAAAGATGAGTAGAAGAACTCACCCAGATGAAGTATTCAAAGTCCGGAAAAACCACGAAGTCCCCAGCGACCGTAGCATACTGCATTACAGAGGTCAGAAAAGAGCTCAGTCTCTTCATATTTTGCATGCCTCCGTTGCTCTGCTTCTGCTCCCCTTGCATATTCCGGAGAAACTCTTGGAGTTCGTCAAGGCTTGTCGTCTTGAAATCGGCTTCTTCAATTTCCGTGATGCCTGCAGCTCTTTTAAACTTCACTATCGAAGCTATGTTTAACCATTTAGCTTCTGAATTTCTTTATGCCTAAATCAGTAATATTTACGTAACCTACCCTTGTATATGTCTCTCATGGTATCCAGACATGCCGGTGTTGTTGACGTGGATGTACTGCCTGAAAGTTGATTGCAGCCTGTTGGGCGGCCATGAAAACAGTCTTCATCCTCAGTGGATGAGAGGATTTTTGACAATTTCGAGATGACAACGTCGGAGAGAGGCGATCCTCTAGTGAATTTCACCATATCGGAGTGCGTTGCATTTATTGGGAATGTAACAGACGGATTCGACTGTGTAAATCTGCAAGTTGCTGATTCCCGATTTACTAAAATAGCTGGCCACCCATTTCGATCTATCGTGCCGTCTGGAAGCCGCTGTAACAAATGAGTTTTGCTTCCATAATATGATTCTGGCATACTCTAACATACTCTGATAGTGGGGGACTGTAACGTTTCATACGCCCAAAAGCACTGTATTGTATCCGTGATGCAGCTATCCTCGAAAGCCTTGTGGAGTTGATTGAGATAGTTAGATCCACGAGCAAGGTCGTCCACTAGGTTCTGGTTAGGATTATTGCCAACAACTGTATGGAAATGCTGGTGTTCCATCCCTAGGTTTGGAGTGCCGAAGAAGACGGCGCCTTTGATGTTGCTAAGAAGTCTTTTGTATGCATTGTCCGAAGCGAGTCGAACTAAAGCCTCCTTAAGTATGAGTCCACCAAGGCTGTGCGTAAGAAAGGCTGTAGGTTTTGCAGATGAGCTATTCCAACCATACGTCTCAAGTTGATTGACTAACGCTACTGCAAGGTCCGGGATAAGTTGAAATGATTGACTGTCGTGCAGTTTCGTGTCATAACCGTAAATGAGAGCTCTGGCACCTGGTAAAGCATCTGGCAGCTCATCACGGATCCACATGAAGGTCCTGTTACCTCCCTTTGATTGCCAGGACCCGAAAGGGTGACTGGCTAAGCCAGAAATTGCGATACAACTGCTCAAAATCAGATATGAATAACCGACAGGGAACATACCACTACTCAAACGTATGTTTCGAACACTCATAATCATTAAGGGGTGTAATGCCCATGAAATGAGTATCCAAGATTAAATCACCAACGGCGTCAAGCGGCTTAGCTAGAATTAACCACTGATTGCTGGAGCAAACCGAGTTGATGAGAGACGGTACGCTACTGAACATCAAAGTCGCCACTTTGAAGCGAGAGGGCTCTCGGACATGTAGTGCAGTTGCTACAGAAAAAACCTGAATGCAATCTGCAGGGGTGTCACCAAGCCTATCACTCAGAAGACGTGCAACATCGTCCCGAGTTGTAGCTGTAGAGGGCAATCCGCTCAGTCGAAAGACTGTCCTGGGCCAATCACGACGGCTGACGGCCATTGAGCTATATCATGCCACAAAGAAAACACCCACACGTCAGTGCCAAGTAGATATTGAGCGTAATGAGAATGAGAGTTCTGAATGTCCTTGGGATTTGGGTACCGCTTCGTAACCCCAAGCTTTTGAGGTCTCGCACCATTGAGACGCAAGGCGGTGTGCCAGGACTCTTCTAAGATTAGGCACGTGGACATCACGTGTGAAATAGCTGCCTTTTGTTTAGATTGTCAATCTAACGGCGGTGCAAGAATCGGTGGCATGCATCACTCTATTGGCTAATTCGCAAGGTAGACCAGACCCACTAGGCAAGGCGTTGCGCGCAAATAGTGGGTCGCCCACTCTCAGTACTTTTGTGCATTGACACGTCGTGAGGATCACCCTCTGAGAGGCTGCACTGCGCACTGACCCTCTCAGCTGAACAGCAGTACAATTTTACTGGATCGCACAGTTACCCTTCGGACACTTGGGCTCTTGGCACTTATCATAGCCACCACATGTCAGGTGCAATATTGGGCAGGATATTGACAAGGCAGATTTGATCCCTTGAGTGACAGGTCCCTGCCATCTGATTCGTTGAGCTTGATGATTTGATTTTCTAAGTTTTCAATACACAGCTATAATCGCCAACACAACACCGGGCTACAATAATCGTCCCTCCGTTATGGCTACACTTATAGCTCAAGTTGATCTAGTCTAGTGGTGAATTTAATGATCAAAATTAGCCAAAAGAAAGGTCAGTACGGAATCGATGGGGTAACCTACGGGCAGATAGTGGCAAAGTATTTTGCTATGTGATCATAAGTGCCATTTATGTGAATGTAGACTCCCATGCCTGCAATAGGCTGACATAGATACATGTACGGAGTACATACAGTATCTGGCCACATAAATTACGAGCTTTTCATCACGCGCTATAATTTATTACTATAGTAACCGTAAAATAGACTATCATTAACGGTATAAAACCTAGTCATCGAGATCGTGGTTGGCCATAGAGGGTATTTGGTTATTTCTAAACGGCCCAATTAGCCATGCAGGAGAGCTTTGTCTTCGTAAGGTATGTGGCCAGATACTGTAGATCTAGGATCTCACGCCTGGAAAATACGAAGTTGCTTCAGCTAAGGTCGGAACGCTCGGACCCCTCAGACTTATTGGAAATAAAGCCCGGGCCTGTGAAGTCTAACAATTTCACCCGGATTTCTTCAATCAAGGGACAAAGGGAAAAGCCATTGATGCTGATGATATACTGGGCGCTGTCGAAATTTTTATCTGACGACATTTCGAAGAAGCATCGAGGACAGATTATAGCTCCAGAAGTTTTGATTCATTTGAGTTGTCATTCTCTTAATAATGCAGCTCTCCAGAAGCGAGGAAACTCCTGCAGAAGAGATGGTACGTTCATCCTTCCTGTCAGAGAGAAAGATTAGCCGTTCTCAAAGGAAGCCTAGAGACCAGTGAAATTGCCCTTTAGAAAAGAACATGAACTCCAACATGTCATGCCATTGTTCTCACCCCACCACGCAAGGACTGGTTTCAACCCACAACGGTCGGTCTGGGAGATTCTGGAAATGGACCTGCGCACACCTTCTATCGACATTATCTACTCCCATCTTTGGCTAGCGGGTCTTCCGAAAGCTGCCCGTCCACTCCACCGCCAAACCCTTCTGGGTCGCACTATTGCTATTACCGAAGACCCAAATGAGCATCTTATCTCGCACGCTGAGCGCATCTTCATCAAGCCCCTACCAGATTATTTATTGTGCCACGAGTTTTGGGCAACTAAGGGCCGCCTCTTAGCCCAAGACAAATCACTGTACAAATGTGCATGCGGATTCCTCTTATCATATTGCTGGCTTATCTGTAGCAAATACGATCTTGCTATCGCGCATGATTCGAATTTACTTCCTTCTTCCATAACCTGGGAGATGTGGGTCGATTTTGTCACAGACATGCTGTCCAACATTAATCTCGAATCTCTCGATTCTGTCTCGTCGCGTTACCACTATGGCGAACTACGACTGTCCCGTTTAAATCTCATTTACCGCTTTTCTCCTCTTACGTTCTCGGTTCATAACCTTATTCATGGCTTCATGTCAGCACCATTGGGTTCCAAGGAATACCTACTTCGAACCTTTGCTTGGTTACTCTCGTTATTTTGGTTTGTGACCATTGTTACAAGTGCAATGCAGGTAGGCATAGGCACGACTTTATTGGGAGAAAGTAAGCTCTTTCAGGGTGTGTCGGTAGTATTTGTTGTGGCAAGCCTAATGGGGGTAGCGGCGCTGGCTACACTTATAGGTTTGTTTTGGGGGGCTTTGGCCCTTTATCACATCCTGTGGGCGAAGAGTAATTTGATAGCTGTGCAAAAACTCAGGGAAAAAGGGAGAAATGGGAAGTGTTCAAGTGTATAGTACGAAATTCTTGGATCACTTAAAGTTTATGGCTTCATGTGAACTTATAATAACCCTACAAGTATGATATGCTCAACACATTTTTTCTATCTGTTCATTCCTCCTTTCCTTCTTAGTAGCACATTAAGTGTGCTTCTTCTTCTTTCTCCTTGTCTAAAAAACCCGCTGTAGGATCAGACTGCTCGACCCTTGGCCTTACTGACTATATATGTGTGCACATTTTCATCGCCACTACACCCTCGACTCAAACTGGTATGGTCTTTTACTGTGCTTTTTTCTATCTCGTAAAGAGCAGCGATTGAAGTGGTGCGATTGCATCGGCGGAGAGTATCTCGCTTGCATCCTTGTATTCTTGGAACCTGGCCGTGGGAACAAGTTGTGCGGATTTGTATCAAGCCGATTGTGTATGTGTTGGAACCGAGCCTACTCTGATGCCCAAAGTTTCGGACACTGTGGTTAAGAGGACTGCATTGGCCGTGGATGGTGCATCGATGATAACGTCAGCACCGAAGAGGGAGTTGTTTCCATTTTGGTAGACGCATTTATCCGAATTAGATCTCATTCGTATATTCCCACTTGATCTGTATGAAGACGTAATCTATCGCCATGTACTATTTTTCAATTTAAAAATACTGTTTTGCACCATGTATGCCCACCAGCAGGCGCTGAAGTTTAGCGGGGGTGCAAGCGGAAGAAACCGATCCATGTTTAAACCAAGTATAAGTATCGGCTGGCCGGCTCGTCAAACAGTCACCTGTCCTTCCCTCTTCAAATCCTCAACATGTCTAGAATCCCACCATTCGACTCCAACTCGTTTTTTTCGAAGCCAGACACAAGTCACGCCAGCAAGGCGGCTGAGCATCAGGAAACCACAGATGCATGGGTCCATAACACTAAGCCACCCCTTTTCTGGGAATTTATCTCCGCGCACCCAATATCCCTCAAATTGGAAAACATGAAAGCCGCGCTTAGCGCCGGCGCTGATCCAAATGAGATGGACCACGAGCGTGATCCACGCCGCAGTCTCGGTCGGCCTCTTCATTGCGCTATGGGGGACTGGGGCGACCCTGTCCATGTGAAAGAAAACATCCCAGCAATCAAGCTACTGCTCGAACATGGTGCTGATCCCCGCCTGCCGGGTCCAGAGGTCAAGCCTGCATCTTTAGGGCTGCAATCGCCCTTGGAATATGCAAGGCGACTAGCGATGCGCGAGTGGCGGGGGAAGGGCGAACTCTTGGATTGCGGGTATTATGCAGAAGCTTATCGCGTTATGAAAGAGGCTGCTGATGATCTAGATTGTAAGTGAGTGCTGGTGACTTTAATGTCTGCTTCTGTTGCTGATATTCTGTCAAAGGGCGCGATGCACCGACGAAAGGAGGGGTTGTGGACTCGGTACTCGGTATCTTTGGCGTTCGGTAGATGCTTTGTCCTAAGAGAAAGAGCGACGTGTTTCAAGTTCCGAAAACATCACACCATGCATCTTTAGTTAATCATTTTAGGGAACTTTTGCTTCTAGCATTAAAATCTTGTAACAGGGCCGCTAGTTGCCTGACTGATAGCCAGGTGTTTTGTGCCTATGATAACCCTCACTTAACCTGAATAACCAGATCAACCTCAACATAACCCCAAGGTTATCTTTGATGGTGCCTTAGAAATATTCAGTCCTAGCAGCATATTGTTGGTAAAGTCAAAGGCCGTCATACTTTCATACTATAAAATCGAGAGATAGAAAGAGCCGATAGATTCAAATTCTACTCCAAAGGCTTCATGATTGGCGTATCTCTACAGAGACTGCAATCAAGACCTGAAAATAAAGGCCCATTGCGTTAGAGTGCTTTAAGCATGCAATAAAGATAACTGCGATTTCAGAGCTTCATGATATAGTGTCAAAAGCTAAATTCCGCCGGTCTAAATGATGTCAATCGACCAGTTTCCAACGAAGGGATAAGGCTTTCATTAGGTCAGTGTGGTGATATGGTTGAGATCTTTGCAAACCGGGTAAGAGAGGTGATAAAGGGGTGAGGGCCCTCATCTAGGGGGCAATTGCAGACATCGGTCGCTTTTCCGCAACGAACTCATAATTGAATATAACCCCACGGAAGCATAGAAGAGCGGTTTGCAGTAAGCGGGAAAAGTATGGAATCTGGAGTTTTTGACTGTGTATTAAAGAAATATAACGGGCTAGTAGTACCCGCGAATCCTACTATTTACGCGTTAGTACGCACGTGACTAAACAAACACCAAATACAGCAAGCCCCTCATATCATTGAGCTCAATAAAAACAGTTTGTGTCCTTAGCTAGTTCAATTTAAGCTCGAAGTTTATGCGCGGAAAAGGCATCTAGAACGCGGGATCCGAAAACGGTATCCGAAAGCGGCACCGCCTCGAGGATGAGAAGTAGACAAAATCAGGTGAAATGTTAAGTGACATAATAATAAATATTAAGCAAAGCTAGACAATGGTGTTTGTAAAATCACGGCAGTTAATATATTATTTCCTTTCGATGTTCTTGACTATATGGAATGATTCTCGTTCGTTTGTAGCGAGGACCGCCTTTAGCCCTTCCGCTGCCGGTGCCCGTGACTGGGATCAATCCCGGCTAGGTTTCTATGAAGCACTTTCTGCGAAAAGTCTCCTCAAAGGAGATTCGAAACCGGTACAGTATTCGGATCCTCATACTTGTTTCTCATAACTTACCAAAACCAGCTTTAAAACTAATGTACCTAAGTCGTAGATTTGTGAGTTGCCGGATGCGGCCTCAACACATGTGCGCTGGGCACACTCTCTTCCACTATTCGACAACCTGAACTTCAAATTGACTCACTGGAATCTTCGCGCCTCAATATTTTCTTCCCTCTCTCTGCATAGTGGTCATGCAATAATTTGCATGATCTTGCTTGTGGTTGCCCAAAGGCCAAAAGCGACTCATTCTACCTATTGCCAGGGCAATTACGAAATCTTTCGATTTGCAAGTCACACATCCCAAGCAACAGGTCAATTTGCGCATGATGTTAGTTTTGAAGATGCAGTTCCCCAAGGTAGATAACTAACCATCATTATTAGGATATCTATCACGCATTTTAGACCGCTGCGCGCGTTATTTATTGTAGTCGGCCTGCTACTATGCATAGTGAGTCAAACGTTTTCCTCAGCTTAAGACAATTCGGATGCTAATAATGTTTGTTCAGGTAATATTGAGTCCTGCCGAGCGTCGTTCCTCATGGCGACAATCCATTATCTACCCAGGTGGCATTGATGGAATGGAAAGACAACAAACCAAGACATCCATTGAATCATCCACCTATCAAGCAACAGCAGAGAAAATCCACAGGATCCTGCCTGGTTGGCATTCATCTACGAAACCGAAAAAGATTGTCATGGTGACTGGAAGCACTGGCACAGATCGCATGTTAGGAATACCGCACATCAAGGACATGATCTATGAGAACCGGAAAACATATGCTGAAATCCACGGACTCGAGTTCATGTGGGCGAACATGACGAGTTACAATTTACCCGACGGTTCTCCGATCTACTGGAACAAGATTCCCATCTTGAAAGAAGCGTTCGTGCGCTTTCCCGATGCCGAGTGGATTTGGTGGATGGACATGGACATTATTATCATGAACACGTCACTCAGCATCTACGATCATGTCCTTTCACCGAAAGGAATGGCACGTAATGTTCTCCTCAACGAATCCATCCATACTGCTGGCGGTGGCGATCTTGGCCAGAGTACCCCATCGACATACAAACACGAAGATATCAACTTCGTCATCTCCAAAGATGCTTGGGGTATGGTCGTTGGGAACTTTCTTATGCGCCGCGGCACATGGAGCGATTGGTTGCTGGATTTGTGGATCGAGCCCCTGTACATTGCTCAAGGCTGGACATTTCCTGAGAATGATGCATGGACGCACATGTGGAAGCACCACAAAATAGTCCAGGAACACTCGGTCTGCATGAATCAGCGTTCTATGAATGCGTACCCGGATTACAATCTTCTTGGGGAACATTGGACACAAGGTGACCATATAGTTCATTTTGCGGGCTGTGGTGATCACCCAATTTGTGAAACAGAATGGAATAAGTATTGGGACATGCGTGAGAAACCTGAAGTGCCTGCCTCTGTTCAGAGCAAGCTGCGAGATGGTACTGCTGAAATCGAGGATGTCCAGGGAGGAGTGGGACTTCCGGGTGATTTCTGATCCTCGGAGACGTGAGATAATTATGCGTGGGTAGACTTGGGTTATATAAAGGCGTATCTAATATATAAGGACGATAATGCCATGAAAACGTGTATGGACTTTCCTTTTGAGTGAGAATTTCACACTTCAGCTTATTCAACCTTGGAGATTTATGCTGTATGATTACTGGGGCACAAAGTGCATGTTTGGTGATCCTGGAATGTTGACGCGGCTGGGCAACTCTGACGTCATCTAGGCATCCAAGTGTGGCATAAATTAGTTTAAATGTGAGAAATGTTAATTCATATTGACAAATCAGGCCATAGGAGTTTATTGATATACACTGATTACATTTCATTGATCTTCTGCTCTGTGATTATGTAAAATGTGGACGCAGTAAACATTACCGCAACCGGTAACTACAGAAAGATGATGGACGAATTAAGATTGGATGCTTTCGGAAAACAACTCAAGACCGGAGGGTCTTGTTGGTCTATTCAAAAACCTAACATGGAGCGCACCTGCTTTAGAACTCAGTCTCCTCATGATCTGTCTACCTAGCCGCATAGTCCAAGATGTCTCCTAAGAAGAGATCTGATAACTGGATCGATGTGAGTATCCCTGTTTAAGCCTTATATGAGTGACTAACAGAGAACCAGGGTCTTCGTGGAATTGCAGCGCTTATAGTCGTGACCTATCACCTTTGCTCCGCCTTTGCGAACTGGTTGAATTCACCAGCACTTACGGAGAATGGCGTAGTATACCTTTTCCAGCAACCCTTTTTGCGACTGATAGTTGCCGGCCGGTTTTCAGTCTCTCTATTTTTCCTCATCACCGGATATGTGAACTCTGTCCAATCAATTAAACATATTCGCAATGGAGAGCAAAGTGGTGTCCTCGCAAAACTCTCTACGAATACGATTATTCGGGCCGCAAGACTCATCGTACCAACAAATATGGCGCTTTTGGGGATATGGCTTGTCTGTCAGCTGAATGGCTTTCGATTCGCATGCTCGGTTGACGCGCCCTGGATTAGGGTGGTTGCTAGCGCCGCACCGCCAGGTCCCACCTTTCATGATGCGATTATAGGCCTATTTCGGAACTGGGTGATGTTTTGGCAAAACGGTGTATCGCCCTATGATCCTACATATTGGACAATCCCTTTCTTCTTGAAAGCGTCTATGCTGGTCTACCTGACTCTATTGGCAACTACATTCACCACTCGGAGATTTACTAAATTGCTTCTTATTTCTCTTTACTGTTATGCCTGGTTGGGCGGCGAAGGTGAGTTTCCCTAATAATATACATTGAACTACATCTAATGATAACAGCTCTCATGGAGATGCCTACCTACGCTGGAATATTCCTAGCTGTGTTGAACGCTGATTACGGTTCCCAAGCCACCTCGATTGTACCCGCACCGATCTCGGCCATGATGATTCTGAGTGGTCTTTTCTTCGCTTCATATCCCGATGAAAACTCATCATGGGCGTCATGGAGCCGTGCCCTAGACTTAATGGGTCAATATATTGTCCCCACTGGCGGCGACGTCAATCGATATATCAACTCTCTCGGAACAACCCTTTTCGTCTATGGCATGTTCTTCTCTCGTGATGGCCGTCGAATCCTCGCGCACCCGTTCATGAACTTCCTTGGCCGTATCTCATTTCCTATATACCTCCTTCATGATACACTTATCCGCACCGTTTTATCGTGGGTGATATATGGAAAGTGTCTTTTTGAGAAGGCGCCCGTGGACAAAGAAGGGAAACCTATGTATTATCAGAGGGGTGGATTCACGACATTTGCCGTTGCTATACCATTGTTCTACATCACGCTGGTATATGTCGCTTACCTGTGGACACTACATGTGGACCCTGTATGCGAGAGACTGATATCCTGGCTGCGCAAGAAAGCATTTGGTGAGAATGATAGCGAAAAGGATGGGCTTGAGGCTGTCGGGGAAGGCATACTAGGTGGATATTTGAAATCTTGATAGCCCGGGCTTGTATATAGGCTTAGGAGTTCGCAAAAGGAATGAAAGAGGATGATGGGAGAACCTGATCTTTTCAAAGACTGCCTAGGTATAGCATGGCATGAAATTTGGAGAATGTAAATAGTATATAGTAGGACGCAACAAGATTAATTTTAGAGAGAGGAAGACACTGGGAAACCTCTTTTAGAGCCCCTTATACTAGCTTCTAGTAGCGGATAATAGATATACAAATAAGTATCGCTCATGGTATCTTATGTATGTCATGTAATCAGAAACCGTAATGCGGAAATCTCGCCGGCCAGAATGAGCGGCAACGTAGCCCCTCCGGCGTACGAGCCCGCTGCATGGGATCTGAACCACTCAATTATCTCAGTGGGAAGTCCGTTTGAAGTATTTCCAAAACAGCCTGAATGTCGGCATCGTGGGAAAAGAATCGCTTCAAGTAGATACGAATAGCTTGGCCCTCTAGTAGTAGCCGCCGCGACATCCACCAAATCCCCAATTGATACAACTTCGCATACCAAAGAGCCAGGGCCAACAGCATACGAGGATCCTTTTCTTCTAGCAGTCCCTTGACCTCCGAGGAAATGCCACTAACAAATGAGACAAATCTCAGAATGGTCACGTATACGGGACAATTCACAAAAACCACTTGGGCAACCTGCACGCCGACAGTGTAGTGTGGGTCTATGCTATCATCCTGTGGACTGTCATGATTGGCGAGATTGAAGAGACGAATGAAAGCCGGCGGGATATCATTCAAAATAGTATTGTTGTTGTTATAGGGGGTTGTGAGCATTACGGGGGCGCGCATGGAAGCCAAGGCCATAGAGACGGGATCTGGGCGGTATGATTGGGTGACTTTCCATATCTGCTCTTTGCCACTGTTCATACGTAACCAGTTTAAATCTGACGATGATGTGGGCTTGAGTGGCCACGCTTCCTGTGAAGTCCTAGCTTCGATATGACAGAAAGATATAGTCCAGAGGATAGCTGCCGTACTAAGCAAAGCAACTCGTGAGGCAGATGTCTCCTCTCCATGGAATTGCCGTAATTTCGACAGCCGATCGTTGAACAACACTGTGGCTCGATGCCAGTGATAATATTCTGCCAGTACGAGGTGTGGGTAATATTGCAGATTGTCCGTCATCGATAAATGCCGGTCATGCATCAGGGTCAGGGTGGTTATCACGTGCATCAAGAATGGGTGCTGGTAGAACATGCATTTTAGCAGCGGCTCAACTCAACTGCCACAGGAAACGTAAGTTTACCGATGATGCCAACATAGTCACCTCATTCTGATAGATTTCCAGCCGCTTGCCGATGCTAACAGTGGGCGCAGTCCGAACTTGAAACTTGGCAAGAATTTGGTCGCTCGGCTGCGTCCAGTACGATGGCTCGAGAGGCAAAACGGGAGTCATGATGTTTTCCATCGGAGGCCGGAGAGTAGAGACTGTCCGATCATAGCTGCAAGTTACACCGTAGGCGATGCACCGTTCGCACGCTGGTGTCTTCTCGTCACACTGGGGCGAAGTCAGGGCTCGGAAACAAGGAAATCACTTAGATGGCGTACTTTGACACTGCGAAGCTTGCAATTGGTACAGCCTCGTCGAGACTTTCTATGGGGCTGGATTTTACGACGTTTTTCCATATTCGATTACCGCGAAAATGGCGTGATGTGTCCTGGAAGCTCTCGAGACGTGATAAGAACGCATGCTTACAGTTCACGCTAACCTTGACTCGGATTCACTGGCCCCACTTTCCCGGTTTATCCTTTGCGCTAACCCCCATTCGGATTCAATGCTTACCCTTAATCCCGAATGCCGCTTAGATTTGATGATAAAAAGCTCCAGCTCTGGGTATAAATACTAATCATAACTTTGAGTCTACGGCTTTTCATCTCTTACATATTCTAGTTATCACCCCATAGAGGCGCCATGGACGTCAACACTTCCGCCTCCTCAAAGACGCGCATTATGTTCCAGAACCACGCCGCATGGCTCACGGGTAACAAAGTTCACCCCCTCCAGGTGAAGCCAGCACCTTACACTAGTCCGCTCGAGGGCCAAATTGTCATCCGAAATTACTCCACTGCCGTCAACATCGTCGACGGGAGACTGCAGGATCTCGGAACATCTATGATGTACAAATGGATCGGATATCCTTGCATCTTAGGATCCGATGTGGCAGGAGAAGTAGTCGAGGTTGGTCCGCAAGTGACACGTTTCAAAGTCGGAGACCGCGTCGTCGGCCATGCTGTCGGCAAAGATGAAAAGCGCAACAACAGTGCCGAAGGAGCCTTCCAACTCTATGTCGTGCTTCTGGACCATATGTCATCACCCATTCCGGACCACATGTCGTATGAAAACGCCTGTGTGCTTCCATTGGGTACTTCCACGGCTGCTTGTGGTCTGTTTGTACCAGAACAGCTTGGACTTCAGCTACCTTCCGTCAATTCCAAGCCGAAGGGCGAAACCGTACTGATTTGGGGAGGCTCTACTAGTGTGGGGAGCAGTGCTATCCAACTTGCTGTGCGCGCAGGCTACGAAGTCTTTACAACGTCATCTCCACACAATTTCAATTACGTGAGGAAGCTCGGCGCCGCAAAAGTCTTCAATTACAAGAGCAAGACAGTCGTGGATGACATGGTGACCGCCCTCAAGGGGAAACAAGTGGCCGGTGCAATTTCCATGGCCCATGAAGGAACTAAGCGATGCATGGATATACTGGCTCGTTGCGATGGGAAAAGATTCGTTTCCCTAGCCGCTTATCCGGTTCCTGACAAGCTCTCGGCGCATTTTCCAATCTTGCAAACCATGCTCTTGTACATTACTGGAAATTTGGTCTATTGGTTCAAGTCCAAGACTATGGGCGTTGACTACAACTTGATTTTCGCAACATCTTTGGTTGAGAATGGAGTCGGCAAGGCTATCTATGGAGACTATCTACCTCAGGCTCTGGAAGATGGCAAATTATTGGCATCGCCAGAGCCAGTTGTAGTAGGAAATGGACTGGAAAGTATTCAAGCCGCCTTAAATTATCATAAGACTAAGGTATCTGCCAAAAAGGTCGTTGTGTCTTTGAAAGACTGAGGGGGCACTGAAGAGACACGATGGTGTCAAATGCTTGTCTATTGCGAGCCTTGTTTGCCAATACTTCTTACGTTTATGTTACTGTTCTAGAAATTAGTGGGGATTAATGTCGAGATCAACGTTTAATTTATTGTTCATTCACTGTAGATTGTCTTCTCCGAACTATTGGTTCCCGAAATCAGGAAGACGATGGAAGCTACGACGCAATTGAAATTTGTATTATTCAGGTGTGATCGCCATCCCTATATTGTATATCTAGCATGTGGCACCAAACCCTGAATAAAGCAAGGCAGCTTCTGGAACACAATGGACAGCACCATCTTAGCGGAAAGGTGGGTCCTTTGCCGCCCCAACGTTCAGCCCCTTCACACCTCCGTTTTGCATTAATACCCTATTTAACACTTTAAGAAACTCTATTAAATGGGGTATGCCCATACAATCTATATAAACGATCCCGAGGTGAGTATAACATCCATATTACTCTTGTAGCTAAATAAAAACAACATACATTGCCCATGATCCGGGACTGTAGCTTACATAACCTCCCCGCAGACCTCAACGCCAACCTCCTCGATAGACTTTCACCCGTAAAACACTCCTATCCGCTTGGACTCGGTCCGTTTCAAGGTCAGTGCATCTCGTATTACACTACCTGCGATAATCAACCACCGCGTAATATCGTTCATTCACCATACCTAAACCCCTCAAACCCTCAAACCCCCGATCACTCTTCAAGCTTCCCCCTTACTCTCCCCGCATGGGGGGGTCCGACCACTATGCACACCCCACACGTGCTAGTTTATACAATGAAACATAAATCGCAAACTTATACAACCCGCTAACAAGGCACTGGACTGCAGCAGCAACAGACCTACGTGACTCGCGAATATCTAATGGATGGAGTCAGCTCCTGAGGAGGCCCGACCGGCGGACTCCCGCCCTTCTCCGCACGATGATATCACCCCCAGCACTACGGAACAACATGACTCCAATCACAGCTCCCACCCCAGCCCACACGCTGATGATCCGATAGATGGCCCCACAGATGACACGAGATCTCCGTCGCAGACATCAGGACACTCAAGAGCCGTTTCTGGTGTCGTCCCTCCATACTGGCAACGGCATGACCGCACTATCTCCCGCGCATCACAGACCTCACTTGCCCGGTCAGCGATGATCACGTTGGAGGATCATACGGCTGATCCGGAATGCGAAACGAGTAGAGGCTTGTGGGCGCAAAGTGTCTTGATTGAGGATCATGTTGTTGTGCAGGGGAAGACGGGGGTGGGAGCTTATGTTGTATGGAATTGCAGGATCCAGACATTGGATGTGAGTTTGAAGGCCAGAGTACGGATGACTTTGTCGTATGCTAATTCGTTTCTGACAGGGAGGTCCAATGGTTGTTCGTATGAGGTATTCTGAGTTTGACGATCTGCGACAACGGCTTGTTTCTTCTTTCCCGCATGCGAAGAGTGCTCTACCTGCTCTTCCTCCGAAGAGCGTATTTTGTATGTCTACTGAATGTCTTTCCCAGGAGAGTTGCGGCTAATGATGATAGACAAATTCCGGCCCAGTTTTCTAGAACAGCGGCGAGTTGGCCTGGAATATTTCCTCAAGTAAGTCCTCCAGAATGCCCCTTTTGATCCTGACTAATCACTTCCAGTTGTGTGCTTTTGAATCCCGAGTTCTCAAGCTCACCTGTCGTCAAAGACTTCCTCTTTGGTCGACTTTCTTAGTTATCTAATACCTCGGTTCATGGATAAGTCCGTGTATAGTATGTCATGATTTAGAGCGTACTGTCTTTACGTTGGAGTTTGGAGCCAGAACTCCTTGCATAGGAACATTGCGGAAATGAATACAGAATTTTCCAACCCCGGTTTCTTCGTGTTCCTTCCTGACTAGATTGAGCATGTGGTGGAGGTTGGCATGGCAAAAAGCAAGACAGATTTGTTTGGCTTTGGAAAAAACACTGGAGACAAGAAAAGCTTGGAAGCTCAATCAGTTGGAGTGTGAAAATGCGATCTGACAAAAGAAAGGTAAAAGACAAAGAACGTTAGGTCTGGACAACCGAAGCCTTGGACCCATCGTACAACAAACAATAACACCCGTGATATGATACAACAATTCAATGCCCGATATGATACAGCAATAGTGAAACCGCGAACAAGTTCTGTGGTCTGAATGAACCTCGAGATAGCTTTGACAGAGAGTGCTTATAAATTTGAATGAAACAGGGTCACCCATTCACAGCCACAGAAGGTTGCTGATCAATAGCATCAATCGGGGCCTCCGAGGAAGAGGACGACGGCTTTGGGAATTTTGACTTGCGATCGATCAGCATGGTCCGTAGATCAGTCCAAATCATCTTTCGCAAGCTAATATTAGCCATGTGCATCATGGCGAGCAAATGTCTTGGCCCTGGCACACCATCCGGAAAAACCAGATACAATGCGGAATCCTGCGTGGAATCAGGCCGAAACTTATCATGGTAGGCCTTCTTGCCATGAATCGGAAGACGCAGGAAAGTGTGGCCGTATAAGTCTCGTGTCAGACCATCCAGTGGCCTTCGCATGCCGCGTACATCCTCAGGTAGTAAGGTCTGGGCAGGCTCAAAGCCAAAGCCCAGATAAGAGACATCGGCACGGTTAAGCAGGGCCATGGCGGCGACGATGAGCAAATCACTAATTCCTTTTGGACTGCCCGGAGCAGCAATGCATGGGTCGACATGATAGCCACTGCAGCCCAGACGTCGCAGGGCAGCAAAGCCATTAACTCGTCCGTCCGATCCACGACTATATACGAATGTCATGAGATTGGGCAGCGCAAAGGGGTCGTATACTGTGATAAATGCCTGCGGGCCGTTGGAGTCGTTGCGCTCGGCGCGCCAAGCATCATAAAGGGCGACAAGGTCTGATTGGAGCTGGGCATCTGTGCCATGGATCGCTGGAACATACAGACCTAAGCTCACGCCTCCCTTTTGGGGATTGAGCAACTGTCGGTTTTGTACGGCTATTCGTTTCCCGCTTCGTTCGAGAAGTACATCGTTGGTCTGGGGATTTAGTACACGCTCAGTGCCGAAGCGGATGGTGGTCCATTTCTCTGGTTGGGCTTCGACGTAATCTCGAACGAAGGATTCACTCGCTCCCATAAAGGCTATTCCCCAATGATGGCGGGCTCGATATACTGCGAACTCGGCGAGCAGATTCCTGATTGCGACTGGATTTGGGTCGCAAAGAGGGTCTCCACCTACAATCACCACCCGGTTTTGAACCTTAAACGACAATGCTGCCGTCCGGGCACTGTTCACGAAGAACCGGTAGCTATGGTCCAACATACCCATGTGAGCTACCCGACCATATTGTGCTGTCAATCGTTGGATGGCAGTCATCGTAGAGAAATCTTCCAAACAGAAAATGTCTCCCTGGTCACGGTTCTTGTTGGCCCGGGGCGGCTCACTTTTGGATTCGGTACGGCTGATCCCGGTAGACGATGCAGAGATTGAGATGTCCAGGGCATGATCACGCGTATCAGGGTCATCCAGACTTGTTGCAGGTGTACTTTCGACGTGACTTTCAACTGCAGTCAATGCGCGACTGCTGCTGACCGAGCTGGCGTCGGAAATCGGTGCTGCATGGAGGCTGGTGCGCAAATGGTCGACGACGGATACATTGGGGGTCTCCAACCGATGGTCCAGACTAGGAATATAGAATTGGTCGACTAACGCGTCACCCAGCTCGTCGAGAAGGACTGATTTCTTGGGTTTTGTACCGCTATCCAGGCTCTTGGCTTTGCGAACACGTCGAGGTCGTTTCTTCTTCTCAGGGGTGGAGGATATGGGGGCGATAGATTGCATGGAATCAGACATGGTGATAATGATGGGTGGTACAGGTCTGTCAGGGAATGAAGATTGTGAGAGCATTGTATCAATGACAAGGATGCGAGTTTGAGGAGAGTGAAGAGGAAAAAGGGACAGATTTGACAGAAAAATGAAGAAATTGAAATGGAATACGCAAAGGAAGAAGTTAAAATTGGAAAGCACAGCCCTAGACTTTTACAGGGCATGACACCTCCAGCGTCGAACCTTCCGTCTCTACGTTTGCATGTCCTACAGTACTATGGATCCCCCCATGTCTAGACCCAAAACCATTCACTTTTGTTCCATGGAGGCAGACCTAACTTACTCAGCCTTGTGTTTTATTTTTGTCCATTGCAACCATATAATGTAGCTTCGGGAATAAACAAATGACCCAATCGCGATGCGTGCCAAAGGGTAGAATATAAAAGAAAACCCTGACGGCAGGGCTGAAGTGGGGCGACCCAAAATATACGAGAAGGCAGCCATTATTTCTGCAGAGGAATCTATGGGAATATCCCTCATACCCCTATTACAGGTGATACATTAGGTAATACATGGAATATCGGAATAAAGTCAAAATGCTGGTGCCTGAGATACGCGAAGAAAGAAAATGACGCCATTAGTACGCCTAGATTGGGATTAACGTTTTGGTCAAGCATCAAAGTGGGGCGCTTGGCACTTCTCAGGGCCTTTTCCTGTTTCGAGATTCCGAGATTCCGCAGTCAAGAGCCCTGAAAATCATTGAGGCTGTGGCTGACCGGTTATATCCGCCGATGGTCCGGTCCTTACACTAGCGTGAAGGCTACACAGTAAGACGATGCTGACTTTTAGTTGCTGCCTAGTATAGACAATAACATCGGGTTCCCCGGGTTCCGAGGTCCACATAGTTCTTAAGTTGCACTCACCATGGTTGACACAAGCTACCAGACTTCGGGGTCAAAGTATACCGAGGGTATAACCTTAAGCATAAGTCTAAACACATATACAATCGCTCAGTTAAGCTACCGTTACCATCAAACGAGAAGAATATCATATTTGAATTTTTGGTTATACATATGACCCCATTCCGAGTGGACGGACTTTCCTGTACAATATGTAGGGAAGCAGTTGCCTATGAACTACTATTCTTGGACATCAGATGAGCTCTCAAATAATGACCGAGCCTGCTAGCGCGTGACCGGGCGCTTGTCTAAATTTGAAAGGGGTTTGATTTGAGTCCGCGGGTCCACTTTAGGAATGATTTGCGATATACATAGCAAAGTTTGGCAAGCTTTATTTTGGACAAATTCCCCATCTTAGAAAAAATGTAAATTTAGCTTAGACATGCTCACTTCTGAATGCATCTGAGCCCTGGAGAATTCCTGCGGTTTGTTGCAAGCTTCAGCCACACCCAAACGTGCAACTCTCGATACCAAGTAACTTGGCTATTCATACCGATCGCAAGGCATCCGCCACAGCCACAGCAACCGCCTCTTGCGGCGCAGTCCAGGCAAAAGACGCGATGTAGGCACAACATTGAATTTGACCGTTGAAAATTAGACCTCTCGAAAAGCCTTCTGTCGGAGGGTGATCTGGCCTTACCATGAGATGTATTGATATGTATTAACCAGATACATGATTGATTCATATCATCTGTGCCGTTCGATCTGATATAACGTATCATCTATCATTGTCTGACTTGCAAAGCAACTTCTAGTCAGTTCCTGAAGCCTTGTTATTGGCCCATGTATTTCACTGACCAATGGACAGGTCCTATTTTCGCTCAAACAAAAGCATCATGAAGCTGCTTCCCATCATTGCCAAGCTTTTCACCGCGTCCGCTACTGCAAAATGCACCCTTGGTCAAGACTGCCGCACCAATAAAGGTTGTGATGAGAATTGTGTAGGAGGCAAATGGAGCGTCGTGATTGAGGCAGGTGACACAAGGATGGTCTGCGATCCTAGCACTCTTGATTCTACTCGTTACGTTACAGCAGCTTGCCTCGGTGAAAACGGTTCAGACAAGTTCGCCAAAAATGGAAAGTCAGTTTGCGACATCATGGCAGGAGTATTTTGTAGTGGCTATTGCTCTTTGAAAACCTCAGCATCAAAGGGAGAGGATCTGACCACCCGCTTCCAGGAGCTGTGCACCAAAAAGAAGACTCGGATGGACATGTATATGATGCCATTGTCAATTTATATTCCACAAAGGAACAGGCCGTGAATCGTGACGGCGACTGTGATGTTTCTGTCTTCTTCTAGTCTGCAGCAGTCAACTGAGGGTTGGTGGCGGCTTTGGAAGAACTATTCTTCTTATTGTGACCAAGAAAGAAAGATTCTTACAACCTGTTGGCTCCATCCTATCTCTTCTGATTTCCTTTTTCGGTTCCTTTGCATGATTTGTCTCTGAAAAGCTTCTATGAATAATTCGAAAACAGGATTATGGAGACATGGAAAGGTATTTGAAAATATTTCAATGATTTAAAATAAGCTATGTCCAAACTGTATTAGCGCATTTTTTTACAGGCTTGCAGAAGGATTCTTGAGACGTAAAGTGGTAAGACTGATTTTAGGTTATAGTGATTTAGTACATCTCGCGGTCGGAGATAGGAGATACCGGGACTGTGGAGCTACATGCCGCAGAGCGCGTTTCCAGCCTTGGAAGGTCCAAGATCACATTTAGCTACGGGACTAGAAACCGAGATCCAGGACGTTGGAAGACTACTACGTACCTGCATCGGTTATCTACATCGTGCCATGGAGGTAAGGACTTGATTAGGAAATAATCAGCAGCGTAGATTGGAGGTAGAAGCATGGGCATAACAAACACACTGATTGGCTAATTAAGCTTCGGGCCAAGGCCGCGTTGTGGAGCCTTGGCAGGCGTGATTGGCCAGTTCTGCGGTTAGTCTCCGCAAACCGCCAGGGACATCCATAATAAGCTCCGCCATCTTTCGACCGACGAATCTGCGAAGTGCTAATTCAGTTTGACGAAGTTACGCCGCGTCCCGGATGTCATAAGCGAGCCAGCATTCCCCACCAATTGCCCGGTTTTTGTAAGCGGGGCTTGCACAATTCTCCGCAACCTATAATCATCCATCGCTGAGACATGTGAAGAGATTCTCCATCTGTCATTTGCCTTGCAAGAAGAACGAGCTAACGAGATCTCGACGGGTCGCCCGGCTAGACGCGACCTCGTGGCATGCGGACGTTGCCCGGCATGAAGGTATAAAATGCGATTGATTCGTCCACAAAGGAAATGATTCTCGTACTCCAGCCCAGTCCCTTCTCTACCTTGCAGGTCCATCTCAATCATGAAGGCCAACACTGTCGTCCCTCTTCTCAGCCTTTCGGGTGCTGCCCTTGGCGCTGCTGTCGCCCCCCGTAGCACCTCCGAGCCCTGGGGCTACAAGTCCGGCTCCAAGGAGTCCATTGCCAACCTGAAGGACAAGATTGAGAATGTTGTTTGGATCTTGCTGGAGAACCGCGGATTCGACAACATCCTCGGTGGTGTTCACAAGGATGGCCTGGACAACGTTGTCAACAATGGTCCTTTCTGGAACCCCCAGCTGGTCAATGAGACCAACAGCAAGAAGTGGTACAGCCAGTACAAGGACTACGACTCCGTTATCCACGACCCTGACCACTCCTTGACTGGTGTTAACTTCGAGATGTACGGCACCTACACTCCCGACAATGAGGCCATTGCCAACGGCACCTTGAAGCCTAGCCTGAAGGGCTTCGTCGAGCGCCAGATGGGTTATTACCCGGCCATCTCCGCTTTGCGTGCCACCGAGGAGGTCATGGGTTACTACTCTGAGGACGAGATCCCCACTCTTGTGGATCTTGTTGATGAGTTTACCACCTTCAACTACTGGCACTCGTGTGTGCCCGGTGTAAGTGATTTCCAAAATTTAGCCCAAGTCTACAAAAACTGACCAGCCCTTCAGCCCACCAACCCCAACCGTCTCTGTGCCGTCTCCGGTACCGCCGACGGTCACGGTGAGAACGATGAGAGCTTCCTTGTCTCTGGTGTTGATACCAGCAGCATCTTCGAGGTCGCCACCGAGAAGGGTATCTCGTGGCGCAACTACGACGGCACCAACGGCGCCTTCCTGCCCGATTCCCTGTTCTTCAACTGGACTGCCCAGAATGCTGAGAGCAACGTCAAGCCCCTGGAGAACTTCTACCAGGATGCCTACCTGGGCCTGCTCCCCCAGCTTTCTTACGTCAACCCCTCCTGTTGTGGCGCCAACACCAACTCCATGCACCCCTCCGGCAACGTCTCGTTCGGTCAGGTCCTCGTGAAGCAGGTCTACGATGCCGTCCGCGCCGGTCCCCAGTGGGACAAGACTCTCATCCTGCTCACCTTCGATGAGACGGGTGGATTCTTCGACCACATTGCTCCCCCTCTTGCCGTCCGCCCCGACAACAAGACTTACACCGAGACTGCCAATAACGGCGAGAGCTACACTTTCAACTTCGACCGTCTTGGTGGACGTATGCCCACCTGGTTGATCTCTCCCTACGCCCCCAAGGGCCACGTTGAGAACTACGGTACCAACCCCGTTACCGGCAAGTCCGAGTCTTACAGTGCTACCTCCGTCCTGAAGACCCTCGGATACCTGTGGGATCTGGAGGACTTCACTCCTCGTGTCGCCCAATCGCCTGCCTTTGACCACCTGATTGGTCCTAAGGCTCGTTCCTCTGCTCCCTCCACTCTGACCAACCCCCACACCTTTGCCCAGGCTGTCTAAGCTTGTGCTTCAGGTGATGAAGGGTGACAGGATGGAAATATGATACATAATTGCTTTATATGATCTCAGATGATGTACGTTATTTGATGAAATTAATTGTGCTTAACGCAAATAATGAAGAGGCTATACACATTTGACGTTATGCGATGCCACTGATAAGAGTATCAAGTACCAGAGAATCGAGTTACTTATGTAGGAAAACATAGAGAACTGAATTTCAACAAGTCATTGATACTCAAATCTACCGACCAGAAAAGCCTTTAACTCACGTACTTTGTCACAAAAGTGGGGCTAAGCCTAACCTCCGAGGCCAAGGTATCCACAAACGTGATAGTAATTGCGATCATCAGCATCCATCAAGCGAGAAGTACTTCTAAATGCTAAGCACCTTAGAAATGGCAACACCATCCTATTCGAAAAGTCAGCATCGCATAGAACCAAAGCCGAGTAAAACATACCATCCGCCCACTATGGCCCTGAAAGGGATGAATTTCCGTCTCATAGACATGACTCGGAACACCCTCCACATTTGCCAAATCAACGCCCACGTCATTAATCCCCTTCTCCTTGATAACCTTAGCCAGATCCAGGTTCTTGAAGTCATCCGAGAACTCATGTGCCTTGAGAGTCTCCTCCTTCTCAGCCTTCGTAGCCTTGAGCCAATCAACATAAGCAATGCCCCGTCCAGCTTCAGGCGATATATTATCCGCAACAATCACGGACTCTTTATTCAGCAGACCCAGTCTCTCAACAAACCACAGATCATACAGGTATCGGTCTTTCCAATGATCCAAGAACAATATCTCAATCTGCTCAATTGAACCATTCTGCACAAGCTGCGCAAGTGCTTCGTGACTGGGCGCAACAATAACAGTAATAATATCCTGCAACCCAGCAAGCTCGATAAGCATCTTTGCGACAGATGCATTGATAGGGTTGATTTCCAGCGAATAGTATTTCTTGCCTCCTGCTTGGCGAAGAGCTTCGCCGAATCTGATGGCAGAGTAACCGACGTACCCACCCATCTCGACCATGGTGGATGGTTTCCTTTCTTGGATTATCTTGTCGATCGTGACGCCCTTTCTGGGGCCGATATTGATCAGACGTTTCTCCTCGGTGTTGAACTTGTCGATTGCATCGAGGACCTTTGAGGGGTTATTTGCGAGTTCATGGAAGTTGGGGAGAGCCCAGATGTATGTTAGGAGGTCGGGTTCGCGGCCTGCCTATAAGAATTATCATTAGGATATCGCCCTATGGTATGTACGGTGGTCAGGTGAGTTACTTACTTCGACACGGGGACGTGGCTCAGTAGAGCCCATTTTGAATTGATAAGAAAAAGAATATGCGAATTTCAAAAGCCGATGGACAATTGCTTGAATAGATCAAGTTGGAACGATCTTGGTCTTTATACACCCCTCTCTCGGAGATGGAGATACGCGATCTCGGGGATAAACCCCGAATTCGATCCACTTGGGTTATTAGCGCCGAGCTCGTGGAACGGAGTCAAGAGTCCCGGGACCGTTGACGTCGATCATGTCATTAATCTGCTATTTGATGTGATTGACCAAACATTATACCAATAGAATGCAAGGGTTATACCGAGCTGCACCCATGCCTGCTCTCCAGCTTGCCAGTCGATAAATGCCTCATATAACAGAAAGATACTAAGAACGCATACAACGAGACTCGAAAGCGATGATAAAATATGTCTAAAATATAGAGCACAACAAGAGATATATTCATGATTCCAAAACATTCTGCACCACCCGCACCACATTCTCCAACATCTCCTCTCTACCCACACCGGAATCAACCACAACCACATCTCCTTCATCACAAGGTATCTCAAACAACTCAAGCTGCGAATCAACCATAGCAGACTTCATGTAATGCCCCTCCGCCTCCCGCTCAAGAACTCGATCCTTAAGGACAGATTTATCCCCAACATGGAGCAAAACAAAAGTAATGGCAACAGGTAAACCCAACAACTGCGATAACCGCCTTAACTCATCCCTGTAAATAGTCCTCAAAGCCGAGCATGTCACCACAACAGCAGGTGCAGATGTACTGAGCAATCGATCCATTACCGCTCCCCGACTGTGGGCCAACCAATCCCATCGATCGGAATCTTGCAGAGGGATATCCCTATCCATTTTCAGGCGGGCCAGAGGCGAGTGGAGAGTATCACCTTCAATGGATGGGATACCGAGCTTCTGGGCTAGGGCTGTAGCAGCGGTTGTTTTGCCGCATCCTGCTGGACCGATAAGGAAGATTATGTCCCGGGCTACAGCTGGGGTAGAAGACGGGGTCCAGGCATGGTTGAAGTACTGGACAAATCTAGTGACGAGGATTTTATCCAGCCCGCTTGCCTTAGACAAAGATGGAGATGATTCTTGTGCGTTCTTTGTATCGTATAGCAGGACACGGCTGGCCGCATCGGTGTCGTACTTTGAGGCGAAAAACTCCAGGAGGCGGATGGCTGGGTTGGTTTCAGGATTTTGGTCTGATTCACGAAGACGCTGAAGCCATGCCTTTGGTGGAAGTGCTTCGAATCCTAGTCCTGCTTCTCGCAGTAATGGGAGAAGTTGCGTGGACCAGTGGCTCAGGTTTGGATTGGTGACATTCAAGACGTTCGCTGCAGCCGGGCTCAGGCTTAGATCAATGATACTAGAAGCCATGATGTCGACTGGCGTCCAGGATAGCACATCGTCTAGCTTCGGTAGCGCTTTGATCGTTTTCGCAGATTGGAGAATCATCGGAATGGCCTCAGTAGTATTCCAGATGCCATTCACCGTATCTGCGATGATTTGACCTGCGCGCAGAACCCGTGCTGTCATGCCCGTTTGTGACGCGGCCCTGTTGACGATATGTTCTGTGACAAGTTTCGACTGGGCATATCCCATACTTTGGGCATAGCTCAATGATTCGGGTAGCGCCTCTGGAGCCCAGTTACCCGGTGTCCGAGCCACAGTACTTACGGAGGAACAGAATGCAAAGGAGGCAGGACGGGGTCCTTCAGCACTCAGGCACAGATCCAGAAGGTTACGAGTTGCTGCAATGCAACTGTGTTCAAAGCTCTCCAGAGCCCAATTGAAATTGACAGACCAGGCACAGTGAATGACTGCTGTAACTGATTTTTTGATCTGGGAAAAAGTTTCCTCCTCGAGACCAAATTTGTCCGAGTTGGACAGGTCCGCGGGTAAAGCGATAATCTTTCGTCCGGCGGCAGGAGGTAGGCTGAAAGCCAGTCCACGGGTGCGCAAACTTTGAGAAACGCGCTTGCGAGCAGCGGCAGGAGTTTTGGCACGGACTAGGCAGTAGACCTTGTGGACACTCTCAGATTGGGCTAGTTGAGCTGCAATATGCGCACCCAGCGATCCAGTAGCGCCAGTGAGCACGATGTACTCTCCATCGAGATCGCGCGGAATAGGCGTGTGGATCTTGAAGTTGGAGCTGTATCTCTCAATCAAGTCTTGCATTCTCTGCTCGACAGGGGTCTGCTCTTTTGACCCCTGACCCTTGCGCAAACTCTGGATTGCCTCAGACATTGCCCATATCGAGGGGTTCTCGAAGACAAAGTTCTGTCCTAGCTTATGACCTCCAAGATCAAGACTTTTCAGAATGGCACCCCGAAGTCGCATGGATTGTAGACTGTCGACGCCCAGACTAAAGACATCAGTCGTCTCTTCCAGGGTAGAAGGATCAATAGATGGGGCGATGTCCAGGAGTGTGCTTCGGAGAAAGCTGGCAAGGGCGCAACCTTCCAAAACCAAGCTACCCGCCATGTCTGGGGCATCGTAGATCTCATTGATGCGCTCCGCAAATTGCTGGTAAAACGCAGATCGGATGACAGTTCCTTTGTCCGTCTTGCGGTATTCAGTGTCTCTCGGGAGAACATTAATCATATCTCGAGAAATATATGCATAAGCAGGAGACTCGGTATTGCATTTTTCGATTTCCGGAAAGATAGCATCAACCAACTCCGCATCGTTCGAGAAAGGAGACTTCTCCGATGGAATAACGAACAGACCAAGGCGAGGCTTACCACTTCCAAACGCGATCGCTTCGGCAACATTGTGATTCTTTCGAGCAACACCCTCGATCGTCAATGGATTAGCCTTTTCACCATTTTCAAGAACCAAAGTATCATCCAGTCGAGCATAGTACCGCCAAGCATTAGGGGTCGTGGGATGCTTCTCGAAAAGATCCTTGGTCGCATAGGAATCATCCGGTCGGTTACTAGCCACCTTAGAGGGCCAACCTTCCAAAACACAAAGCTCATAGACTCCATCCATATCTGGTTGCTCTTCCCACCTTAGATATGGCAGCAAGGATGGACCGGGGCGAACGTAATCCCAATCAAGGTCAGACCTCTCCCGGAAAGAAGTCATCAGCTGCCCAGTCTCAGTGGTTCCATAGTGCGAGATAAGACGAACGCCATTCTGGACCAAAAGGTCACCGATTGGCTTCGGACAGGAGGAGCCCCCGAACATGACAAGCTCAAGTGGGGCCATGCACTTCAAGCCCTCCTCTGACTCCGATAAGAGCTTCAAGGCATATGGTACTGCGTAGAGAACCTGGATATCAGGATGCTCCTTCAGCGTCGTAAGTAGTGATGTAGCAGTGAGTGGCAGGCTGGCGTTATACATATAGATCAATTTCTGGGAATGGATTGCACGGAAAAGACAGCTGATACCATGTGCATGAAAGAGAGGTAGGGTAATAAAGCCCTTAAGCCCGAAGTTATTGGCATAATTTTTCAGGGCCCCGGCGTGTGTCTGGTAGATTGGCTTCGGCAGACCTGTCGAGCCGCTGGAATGGATAACCCAAGTGATGTGCTTGTTTTCAGTTGGACCGTGCAGGTTTGCGATTGGAAGGGCAGCAGAAGATGCAACTGTGGCTGGGTCCAAGGGAGTCATGACTGGAACTTGGGTGGCACCTGTGCGTTTGGAGACAGTCTCCCCCACAGCCTGGAAACTCGGATATGTGATGATGAAGGTTGATTTTGTAGTTTCGACCAGACTGACGTAGGCGTCTTCGGCAATACGTGTTGAAAGAAGGAGAACAGTGTGTCCCAAGCGCGAGATTGCGAGTAGTGTGATCAGGTATTCAAAATCAGAAGGGCCTAGTAAACCGACTACCTGAACCGAGTCGGTTGATGAGAGTCTCTGTGGAATCTCTTTAGAGTAATGGATTGCGGCTGCCTCAACATGTTGGTTTAACTGTGAAGTGTTAGTTTGATCCACAGTGGTTCTGAGAAATACCAACCTCGTACGGCGTGTGGTAGATATAGTTGGTCGCAGATGAAGGGTATGCGACTATGGGCTCATTGGCAGTCTTGCCCACTCCCCTGGCCCGCAGAAGGCCATCGATTGTATAGATTTCATCTGGTTGAACAGGCGCGGTTGTGGTTGTTCTGACTGCCGAGTCAGTCATCGACGAAGGCGATGTGGTTGGTAATGGCAACAGGGTCGGAGAAAGGATTGAAGTAGCCATGGTCATGAAATGCTGGTAGAGCTGCCGAAGAAGAAAGATAGACTAAAAATTCTTAAACTTTTTGCATGAGGTTCTGAGATGGTGATAAATCCTCATCTCGTTGCTTCTTGGATGATTATAATCAACTGATGCTTCAATCCACCAGCCATAAAATCCGAAGAGCATATCCGATTGTGGAGAACGTAGACTGCGATCTATTCACCCCGCACAGGATCATTTCCGTAGTTTCACTTATTGTCCTAGATCCGCCAAGGATTCTGGCAGACATATCCGTGCTTTGTGGTTTTCCGCTGCAAACCCCACACTGCGGCGGATATGTTGCGGAAATACAAATCAAGTTTGCGCCAGGCTCACTTGGTAATTCATGTTAGTGAGGGTTCATTCAGTCATGAAAAATACTATAACAGTGATGCTGAGTTTTACGCTATTTATAGGGCCCAAAAGCTCACGAAGGGATTATTCCGATCATCATAGATGGAACATTTCCACTAGTGGAGGATAGTTTCGAGGGGGAAGCATGTTCGGGAAAGGTACTAGTTGGTGCCAAAGAGTAGATAGATTAGGTCTCTACAGATAAAGAAAATAGGAGATGTGAGATCAGTGAAAGTGTCTTTAATATATGCGCATTACTCTATTATGTAGCTTGTAATCATCGAAGTCAGGATTTGATAAATCTTAATTTCATCTTGAGCTATCCCTCTAAACAGTGAACTTCAGCTTATTAACCGGACCAGCAGCAACCGCCGCCTTGCGCACCGCTTCCTCCCCAGCCTCTTCAAAAATATCATAACCCCAGATGGCCGGGAAATTGAATCTCTTGTGTCGCTCCAGACCAGTCAACTGCGCAAAAGCCTTATCCGAAAGGGTCTGCACCTTGAGATTGGCCTCAATACGAGAAGGTGTGACGCTCTTGGATAAAACGACAGTACCGCGCTGCACACCCCAGCTAGCGAGCAGAGGGCCCGGATCCATTCTGGTTTCCTTAGCGACTTGGGCCACCAGCGGGTCATCAACTGTTCTGGGCTCTCCAGTCTGATTATTACCGAGAGGGGAGTAGGCTTCCACGATAATTCCTTTGCTCTGACAGAACTTCAGTAGATCATGTTGCTGGAGGTATGGGTGGGCTTCGATTTGGTTGGCAGCGGGCACGACGGAAACTTGACCCAGCAGCTCTTCCAGTCGGCGGATGTTGAAGTTGGAGACACCAATTGCCTTGACCTTTCCGGTCTTCAAAAGCTTCTCCATCTCCTTGTAGGTTGTGATGTAGTCGACTTCTGCAAGTTCGAAAATTCCGTCTTCGTTCAATGGGAACCATTTATCGCCGGCTTTGAAGGCACTGTTGATTTGTTAGCAGCAGATGAAAAATCGGGCTTTATAAAACATACACAGGCCAATGCATGAGGTAGAGATCCAAGTAGTCAACCCCAAGGTCCTTCAATGTCTTGTTCAATGCCGGCTCGACATCTTCGGGCGCATGACTCGTGTTCCACAGCTTGCCAGTGATGAATATTTCCTCCCGTGGGACGCCAGACTTCTTGATGCCATTTCCAACCTCCATCTCATTGCGGTAAATGGCAGCGCAATCAATATGACGGTAACCCTGCTTTAGTGCAACTTCAACTGCATTCTCAACCTCCAGAGGCTTTGCTTGCCAAGTGCCGAAACCCACAGCGGGGATTTTTGCGCCGGTGTTGAGGGTAAAGTGTGTTGTGATAGCCATTTTGTGATGTTCAAACCGGAATCAACGAGATTGAGAATGTAAATTGAGAAACTTGAGAATCTCGTTGACCTTTGAAGTCTTTGGAAAAGGACAGGGACCCCACCTTCCGTGGGTATACTTGAACGAGTCGGAAAAAGGTCGGTGAATGAAGAACAATAGTCGGAGAATTCTCCAATTCAAACGAGAGCGATATCCGAAACCTTCCACATGCATTTCATTTTTCATGAGCCAATTTTTGCAAGTAAAGCCCATGACGTTTGTCAGTGGGCCGTAAAGCCTTGTTTACCCCGGGTTTCGGAAATATGCATTTATCCGACGGTGGGGCTAGGGCGGAAAACAACCCGCTCGCAACGAATCTCTCTTCACCTACCCCGAGGTCAGACAAGAGATTAGTCTCACATGCCGCAATTGATGGCTGGTGTAACAGAGGAAGAACGAATGAATCGTCGAAGGGTGTTATCTCGAGTAGCCCAGAACAGAAGCAAGGTGACTAGGGCATGTGACTCCTGCAAAGCCCGAAAGAAAGCCTGCACCGGAGATATCCCATGTCGGTTTTGTGTGCGGATCGGTGTGACATGTACATATAATGTTCCATATCACCGAGGATCCGCCGCACGCCCGCCCCCATCAGCTCGGCAAGCGGAGACGGCGACAGGTTTCCGTCCACCTGCGAGCCAACCTTTACCCATCGGGCCTAGTCCCGCGTTGACGAACTCAAGCCGTGATGATCCCATCGATGTGGGTGGCCAGTATCGCGGCCCTACTTCAGCCCACTCGTTTCTGGATAGAGCTGTCAGAGACTTTCATCACCAGGAACACGGTCAACCTCCATTTCCTCCAACACCTGAAGATGCCTATGCCTCCATCTTTTCATTTGGTGACCGCCGAGCTCCACAAATTCCCCCTCTCAGATCCAATGGCCTACCCGAAATGTTGTGGACCAATTAGTGCGGCGGTATTTCGACTTTGCATCGCCGACCTATCGGATATTGCACCAGGGAACCGTGGAAAACTGGGTCAACTTCATGTTTAGCCAAGAGTCAGCAACTACGCCGGGGCCAGCAACAGCGGAAGTTTCATTGGTATGTAGGGCAATAATCCTGCTACAATGTGCAATTGCATCGTTATCGGCGACTCCCTCTCCTGCAAATACACAACAGCAAACGGATCAATCGGACTGGCAAAAATGTGAGGAATATTACCAGCTAGCGGAACAGATACTATCTAAAGAGACGGGCATGCCTTCTCTGGAATCGGCGCAAGCAAGATTCCTAACCGTGTTATATCTTCTTGGCACCTCACGGATGAATCAAGCCTGGTTCAACTTTGGTCAAACGGTGCAGTTATTGATGACGATTGGAGTACACCGGAAGCAGGCTCGCTTAGATTCTACCACGATTGAAATAACTCTTCAATGCTCTAAGCGCTTGCTTTGGTGTTGCTTTACGCTAGATCAATACCTCAGCCTCATACTGGGTCGACCACGACTTCTTCGGGAAGAAGATATTGATCAAGAATACCCGTCGCTCATCAATGACGAGAACATCGGGTCAACGCAGTCTGGCTCATCCCGGGCTAGGAATTGTTTGATGGATGCCCCAGTTTGTCATGCGAAGCTATCACGTATCCTGGGCAAAGCTGCTCAAGAGCTATACTCGATTCAATCCACTGAAAAGACCCGTGATATGGACAGCATGATAACCCTCTTGGAGCAAATCAAAGAATGGCAGTCCGCGCTTCCACCATTACTCGGTGACTCAGTCTGTCCCAGTAGCCTCATCTCGATATTTCAAAGGCAGTTGACAGTCATTAGACTCGCTCATTATCACGCTATTATGTTCGTGACACGCCCACTACTTCTTTTTGACCTTTCTGAGGAGCCAGAAAATCCGGTCCTTAAAAGAAGTCTTCTACATTGCATCACCACCGCGCAAAAAACACTTGATTTGATTCTGGAGCTCGTCCAAGAACATCAATTGTTGCCAACTTTTTGGTATACACAGTACATCGCTTTCAACGCTTTATCGATCGCTTACATTTACCTCATCAACTCTAAGAAAGGACGCATTCCACCTGATTGGGCTACGGAAAGTGACACTAATGAATCGGCAACTCAAGCACTGGCTCAAACCTCATTATATGAATTGGCCGAAAAGACGCAGTACTACCTTGGGCGAGCCACTGAGATGAATTCCCTTGCCTGGCGGTACACAGTTGTGCTAGATGCCCTAAAATCCGAATGTCACAGGCACATTATCGGGCTGATCAATGTCGCAAAGAGCCATCCAACTTCCATTCGGCCTAGCCGAGGCCCAGAGTCGAACCCGCGGTCTCGAGCAGGCTCATCGGCCGAAGCGTCGCCCGAGATTGGAATCACAGCCGAGCAGTCACCATTGGACTGGGAATGTTCCCAGCAGCTCTTGGGAAACCCATTAAATGCAGATCTTCAAGAATCAGCAGCGCTCTATGGGATTGAAACTCTTTTTCCCCACAATGGGGCCTACAGAGCAACCATTTCTGGATTTTTGGCCCCAATTGGATCGCCTTCCTACATGTAAGACAATTACTCTTTCTTCATTGGATCATGCATGTAACACATACTGACCCTTCAACAGCACTTACGAATTATCACAACATTTAATGCATCTGCGGGGCTGTATCAATTGGTAGAACAAAGTCCCTTCTCTGCACAGCTCATGCCTTACAAGGCTAGCGTCTAGTACCCAGTACTGTGTAGTCTGCTCCCTGTATATCATCTGTTCTTTTGTAACACCTTTGTGACCCGAGCGAACCAACTGAAATTTTCTTTCAAAAAATATATTCTCCTTTCCAATGGAACTAAATATGGAGGTCCTGGGTGCCACAGAGGATTAGCTACCTTGCAAAGAGCCTTAAAATAAAGAAACTCAAGATACATAGAATGAAACACTTGTATTCACGGCTTACTGTGGAGAGATGAATACGTAATTGACCTTTTTCACTTCCATAGATATAATCTCGTATCAGACCTTGTGGGCATTTGAAAAAAGAGCAGACACATATAGATGCATGCTTCCATTTCCCATAGCTTGCGAGTCATGCCAACGTTCATAGTCTCAGTAAAAGTCCTACCAAAGATATTTGTACCGAATCTGGCCATCCATATCTTCCCGTTCAGTTGCCCTTTGATTCAATTTCCTTTAACCACAAACCCAAAACAGCTGCGAGAATGATAGGAAGACAGAATGATACCACCCATCCGATATTGAGGCGCACTTGAGGTAGGGAAAAAGTACGATCCATAGATATTCGACGAGTTTCCGAACAGATTAACCATAGCGTAGACAATAGCTCGCTTTGTTCGGGTACGTGGTACAGTGCTCGCAATCCAAGCCTGCACAACATTGAAAGCCGAGTAAGAACCCGCGCACATCAGAAACATACCAATATATCGAGGCGCAGTAGCGGTTGTTGAGATTACCATTATATTTCCCACGATATCGATAATGAGAGGCCAGATAATCAAGACGGCGCGCTTATCTGTATATTGAGCAATGAAGGAATTGCCCAGCGAAGAACAAAAGCCAAACACATATACGGGCGCTGTAATCAACAGGGTGACAATATTGTTGAAGCCAAGAGTCTTGACAATAGACTGTAGGAGGCTGATTAGATATGTGAATCAACATGATCCAAGTATAGAGAGCTCACCGGGAAAAAGTATGTCCACGTTTGAGATGTAAGCTGACAGATCTGAATGGCGATAAGCATCCACGCCTTCGGATCAGTAACTGCATCAACAAGGGCCTCTTTTATAGGACCATTTTCATCGATCTCATCATTCGCAGCTTGAGCCAGCCGCCACTCGGCAAATCGCTGTTCCTGTTCTGAAAGCCATTTGCGCTGACCAGAACGAGGAAAATCTGGAAGAAGTAGAACGGCCAGAATTCCTGCAACCATCGTTCCAGCTCCTTCGATGATAAATAGCCACCTTCACTGTTGTTAACATATTGAATCAAGTAGGAAAGGAAGCTCCTTACCTCCATCCTGCCAAGCCTGCAGCACCATCTAAGCCACTCAAAATACCAGCAGCAAGGATTCCACCAAATCCATTGGCAATCGTGTTACCACAATACATCACCGCAACGCGGGGTGCGATCTCCTGTGGTTTATACCAAGAGCTTACCAAGAGACTGGGCAACCGTCAGTAGAGTGATAGCCAATATGAAGGGTTGAAGATCGTACAGAGCACCAGGGAAGAAAGGAGATTCCGCAAAGCCCAGCAAAACACGAACAATCATTATCCCGGTGAAATTATGGGTCGCTGCTGCGCACATGGATATTCCACCCCATATAAAGATCGCAGTGGGTATGTATCGTGATGGCTTGATACGTGTGAGAATAATATTACTTGGGACCTGGCCGAGCAGGTAGCCCACAAACTATGCAGAACTCTCAATTAGAATCAAAGAGTGAGACTCCAACATATGTGAATACTCACCATTATGGCAACAGCAGTTTGATACTGTGTATCAGTGAGACCCAAATCACTTTGCATACCCCCTAGCCTAGCATTGGCAATATTGGAACGATCAAGGATGTTGAAGATGAAAAGAAGACATAGCGATGATATGAGGTGTAGGTCGATTTTCCTAACCACTGTACACATTTGATGCGTGGTCAACTTCTGCTCATTTTTGATTTTTAGAAAACACTCACGCTTTTTCTCCAGTCTCTTAGTCTCCTCTGCTGTGAGTCCTTCAAATCCAGTTTCCGCCGGTATGGACTTCGGAGATACCTCCAAGTGACCGGTTTGAGTATCCTTTAGATTATCGACATCCATGATTAGGTTTGATAAGAGAATTATAAGCTCCCTGGGCAGTGCTGCCAAGGAGCTTGGAATATATAACTCAACTTCACTCAATTCCCCGCAAATAGCCAGCTTTGCTAGTGAACTGGTAATGTGGAGGCGGGGTTGTCGCCCCGGATTTCATTTCACCATATCCGCCTCCCGCAAAGGGGGCGGAAATGAGCGGATACCTCCAACTTCGCGAGCCCACATAACGAACACATGTGTCACATTTGGGTGGTTATCGTCAATCTGCATTGCTCCGTCATCGGAGCCAGTAAGTGCATGGAAGTCAGGCTCGTGATCCTAAGGGAGTGAGAGGTGTAATCTAATCAAATATGTACACGGTTGAATTTATATATAACTAAGGGATGCAGGAATGTAAAAGGCTTCGGCATTTTTCCCTATAAAACTAACACATCAATATTCATCGACCCACCTTCTACGCTATTCATAAAACATAAATTGGGACCGTGTTATTATGAGGTGAATTTCCAAGGTCATTTATCAATGACTGTACTCTTACGACCGAGTTAGCCCTCTGTATCAACATTGCAAGTGTTAGAAGCGAGAAAAGGAGGGGCGAAAAAGAAACTGAAACCGTATGGAACATGCTATGGAGAGAGATCTGGAAGGAAGAGAAATACTGTTTGGCAGTGAAGCGCTGGAATTGGTCCAGGGATCATGTGACTCTGACAGCTAATAATGGCGTCCCATAACAACTTTATCTTGCTCAAATGGTTGATCTGGTTTCCCAACTTCTTTCGTGAGATCCAGGGGAGTTCGACTCTATTGTATGCCGTTTTGATATATATGAACGAAGACAAGAAACATCAGACCAATGGAAGAGATATTGGAGAATGAATAATGGGTGATCCTTTATTTGTATATGACCCGAGTATAGTGCTCTGGGAGCTGATAATTCTTTCAAGGGTCGATTTTAACCGCCCAATTGTGGATGTCTATTTAAACACAAGGTACGAAGCCGGGATTGGATCTGCGACCAACTAGATTGGTACGCGCCCGGGTATCGGGATGCGGGGCAGGAATGCACCCTTAACGACCACCAAATAAATGGTGCTACCCACTAGACTCTCTCTGACGATGTTCAGATTTCCTATATCTCTTCAGCAACGATATCTATATAGACTGACTCCAAAGCTCTGATTATAGTTCCTGATAGTAACCACAGGCATAAACGCTTGTATTGACAACTCCGCACCTTGCGGGGGTTGTGCGGCGGGGCAGTTCCAGCAGCTACTAAGCGCCGTCAAATGCACTCACAACCAGCCGAGCAAATAATCAGTCAGGATTGAAGATTACATGGAAAATTTGGTCGGGCTGTTTTCTTCGTTATAAGAGGACCCGCACAAGCTTCCTAAAAATAACCTGGTGAAGATCACCGCATCTTCATGGCCGAGATTTGGGCATACATGCTTGTATGTATGCAAGCAAGCGCCCACGGCTGACGCCCCCCCCCTGTATGCGCCGCTAACGAGATCATATGAACTGACCCCGGCTTGTTATCTAGAATTCTATTGTCTGGATGTAATTATATATGACGGCCATGTCTGTTTCGTCTGTCCACGGGTGATTAAATTCGAACTCCCTAGTGAACGAAGACGAAACGTATAAAGTCATCTCTCTATCTTTCCGTCGGCAGTCTCATGCGCCCCCCTATGTATTATGCCCTCTTATAGAGCCCTCGACAGCCCGAACTCCTATGCAATCGCGTGGATCGCTGCTCTTCCGATCGACCGAGCTGCTGCAGGAGCGATGCTCGATGAAGAACATGCAGCTCCAATAGGCTTCAATCGACACCCAACAGACGCGAACGTTTATATGTGGGGCCGCGTGGGAGACCATAACATCGTCATTGTCTCCCTGACTTCTGGAGTGTACGGAACCACCTCGGCTGCGACCACAGCGTCGAGCCTGCTTGCCTCTTTACCATCAATTAATATTGGTCTTTTGGTGGGAATAGGCGGCGGCATCGCTCGACCGGAAGAGGACCACGATATTCGGCTAGGTGACGTTGTCGTGAGCCAGCCCAGTAGGGCCACGGGGGGAGTCTGCCAATACGACCTAATGAAAGCAGAGGCTGGTGACATGCCTGATCGCAGTAGTTTTCTCGGACGGCCTCCGACAGTTCTCCTCAATGCGCTTGCAAGCATCCAGGCCGATCACGAGCGAAAGGACTCAAAGGTTCCCTGCTTCCTTCAGGAAATGCTGGAGAGGAACCCGAAGATGGGCAAGAGGTCCAAGCAAAATCCCGGCTATCTTCATCAGGGCTTCAAAAATGACCGCCTGTTCAAAGCTTCATGTGGCCATACCCCTGGCCCGGACTGTCGGGGCTGCGACACGGCTGATGAGATCCAACGCGACCTTAGAGACACTACCGACCCTGAAATCCACTATGGGACCATCGCATCCGGCAACACACTCGTTAGAGATGCCATTCTGCGCGATCGCATTGTTTCCGATATTGGAGAGGATTGCGTCTGCTTTGAGATGGAAGCGGCCGGCTTGATGAACCGCTTTCCTTGTCTTGTGATCCGAGGGATCTGTAACTACGCCGATGCTCACAAAAATGATCGGTGGAAACGATACGCCTCGGCGACCGCCGCTGCCTATGCCAAGGAGTTTCTGGCGTACATACCACCCGTAGAGGTCCAAGAGACCAAGAGGGCACTGGAAGAGCTTTACTTGGGTCAGTCCCTTTTTTTTTTATCCATTGCCTAGACCACTAATTGCACGACACCGAATCATATTTGAACTAACATATGTTCTAACTATGAGTAGTCAAGGAACAGGTTGATGGCTTGCAGCAGACAATGATAGTAACACAAGCTACAATTGAGTCCATCAAGTCTGATCTTCGTGATGACAATACCAGGCTCAGGCTTTGTCCTCCAGCTCCCTCTACAAACACAAGCCACGCTAGAATGCTCCGCCATGGAGAGACAGGCGCTTGGCTCCTAGAAGGCCCCGTCTGCCAGTCATAGAAGTCGAGATCGCGTCGAAATTTATGGCTACAGGGGCTCGCGGGATGTAGAAAGACGACTTTCAGTAAGGGTGTGCTTAGTCACCTCGCGAAGAGAAAGATGTTTCGATCTTCACTTTCTTCTTTGTCAATAGCGACACCACAAAGCGGGACCTTGGATAACCTGCTGCGGTTATGCGGTCACTTGCCTTTCGACTTCAAGATGGAGAGGCTACCTCTCGCATTTATCGTGATGCTCTATTCCAAGCACATCAATATTACGGCGACCACCCACGACAAAGGCGCTCTGTAAGACCATCTCCAAGGTGCCTGAAGTCTCGAAAAGGGTATTCATTGTATCAGACGCATTGGAAAAATCGAAGGCAAGCATTGCTATATATCTATGGATTGAGCAAGTGATGTCCAATGCAGAGTTGGTCCATGTTCAGTTATTCTATAAAAGTCGACCCTAAATTTAGTTTCTGCACCGCATGCACCGTTTGATAGGACAGTGGAACTGCCTACCAATTGACAAGCAGCTCTCACCCCCGACATCCGATCATGGGTCGCAGAACAAATTTTCCAACGCCCTACTTTTATCGAAAAGCCGTTGTCCCAGAATCTTCTCGAGGGCATCCGGTGAAAGATTGGCGACGGGGCCCATGGGATGTGACGTAGTTGGTGCACGGAGCTTCTTGGATCGGAGCACACCTCTACGCTTGATATCGTGAGCAACCTTGGTGTGCTTTATATCATTTGATCAGAAGCTAATTGGGTGATGATCGAAGTAGGCCAGACAAGACGGAGCAAGCCTTCCAGCGCGCAATTGCTGGCTAAAAGAAAGTGCTCGAGGGCGGACCATGAATCCACCCGCGGAGCAGTCCATAAACTCAAGCTGCTATACGAGAACAGGCGGAGTGAGACGTGATAACTGTATTAGCAAATACTAGTATCTCTCTGTGGTAATGGGAAAGTGATGATGGTAAACATTCCACATTTGAAGGGCATGACTTGAAGGCCAAAATTTAAAGAGTATATCTGAACAGCGGCGACTGATCTCCCATCTGCATCAATTGCTCATCGCTATACTTCTCCCGAATATCAATCTCACTCAACGTATTCTTTCGCTTGTTCCCCCACATAAAAGATACTTCAAGAGCCAAAGCCGCCAATAGTGCCGTGCCACCAAAAGCCAGGGACAGTCCAAAGCCTGTGGGATAAGTAGGATCCTCCCGGTCGAGGTACATGTAACTTCCAATGATCCCACCTATATTGCCAACACAGATATTGAAAGCACTTCCAATGGCTCGGCGGTTTGAAGGTGCGAGATTGTTCATCGTCCAGGATGTTGTGGCTGGGTGAGTGGGATAGATACCCATACAGGTAAGAATAATGGCAAAGAAGCCGGGTCCGAGATTCTCTTTTAGATGTCCGCCAAGTCCGATGATTATCGAGTAACCGATAACGATCAGTAGGAGCGGAGCAACTACAAATGGCATGCGCCAGTAAAATCGATCGGATAAGGTCGAGAAAAAAACGGCAGAAATCGCGCCTGCAACATAGGGAGGTACTGTCATGAGCTGTGCAGCTGTGCCACTGAAGCCCATTCCCTTTGTGATAGTGGGCAGAGTAAATTTGGTTCCTAGAGAATGTCAACAATCACCAGAAAAAAAGATATCGGTCTCTGTGATTTTCACTAACCATAGGAGCAAGCAGACTGGCATAGTAGAATGTAAGCCAGCAAATACATTCTCCAGTTCGCAAGCACAGCTCGGATGTCATTCCACGATGTCCTGCTTCTCTCCTCCTTGAATTGACCTCCATCCTTGATGAAGTGCTGCAGCTCCAAGGACCGAATTTCCTCTGGATTTAACCACCGACCTGACAACCGAGGCGAGTCAATCAGAAGAAAGAAACATAGCACACCAAGAACAATAGTGGCTAATCCCTCGAGCAGGAAGATCCACCGCCATCCTTCATACCCGCCCACGCCGTCCATTTTCGCAATACCTGCCGCCAAGAGACCCGAGAACGCGCCTGACAGGGCACTTGCACAGTAGAAGATGGAGATTCGAGTCGCAAGATCTCTTGGCATGTACCAGAAGGAGCAGAGGTAGACCGCACCGGGGAAGAATCCAGCTCTGTGCAGTGTTATTACGAGCGAACAAAGTCAATGAAGAACATCAAACATACTCAAATATCCCCAGCAAGATGCGGACCGCGACCAGACCACCAAAGTTCTGCACAACACCCGTCAAGGTCATGATAATTCCCCAACAAATGATGAGAGTGCCCAGATAAAAAGATGGCCGTGCGCAGCGTTTTAAAAGAATGTTACTTGGCATCTCTTTTCTTGGTTAGCATGAGATCAACCACTGCGGCACTGTGCACCATACCAAGCAAAACGTAAGGAATGAAGAAAAGACTGAGTGCGATGTTGTATTGAATGCCACTCAGTCCGAGATCCGAGGTCAGGCCTGCGATTTTTGCATTTCCGATGTTGGCTCGATCCAGGTGGGAGACCAAGTACAGCACTGACAGCATGGGGACGAGACGGTAATCAACCTGGCGTGAAAAAGCATGCTCAGTATACTACACGAGGCCTTGGTTTCAGGGGGCTTCAAATACCTTGCGCAAAACAGCTTTCCTTTGATCCTGTGAAAAGTTGTCAAGAAAAGTGGCATCTTCCTGAGTTAGGCCAAGAACTCGAATACCATCAACGGTAGTCACATTCGAGGTGTCTTCAACATGATCAGTATGCTGCTGCTTCTCATCGACCAAGTCATCATTATCAGATCGATTTGGCTGGAAAGATGTCATTCTGCTCCATAGATTGCAATGTGGTCTGGGAATATCCAAGAAACATAAATCACTTTCTGGGGACAACTCTATATAAGAAAAGCCTCATGAGGGTTTGTCCAAGCCTTCAATGGCTCGAGCACCCTTCCAAGCCGCCAACAAATCCCCATTCATGGCCGAGAATGCCATATCCCCTCCCTCTGAAGTCTTGGCAGAGTCAACTGCTGGATGGATACGAGAGGGCCAAGGATTTCCCCACAGCCAAGACACCCCAGACCTCTCCACAGCTTCGCTGGCGGGGGTCAGTCCAGCTGATCTGGGGTGCGTGTGTTGCTGCGGAGACAAAGCTTGAACTCGGTATCTTAGATGTGCAATTCCGCCGCCGTGCTTGTCTTTATCCGCCGTAAATCCGCCTGTTTTCCGGTGCTTATCCGTTCGGTCATGATCCGTTTCATTGAAATCATTATCCGGTCGGAATTTTATCTCGGCTTTTTTATCGTTCATTGATAGAGGTTTTACTGCTAAAATATGGTGGAGGTGACTTATCGACCACTCTTTGTAACATTAGGTAGTAACCATGAACTCAGATCTCAAGCGGCATTGCTGTGTCATGCTCCTCTCTAGCCCGCTGTACAGTCTGAGAGTATTTCTTGCCCGCAATGATCCACCATACAAGCTCTATAATCAGGAACCCTCCAACAACGACACAGGTATAATTCATATTCGAGACTAGACTTGTTAGCAAAAGAAGGGATCCGAGGCCCTTGAGCCAATCTCGATTTCGACCATAGCACTCACCAGTTGCAGGCATTTCAAAAGGGAAAGAGAAGAAAACAATGGCAAACACCAACCACAGGACAGAAATTATGTTCACCGTCATTCCAGTAAATTGGCCCATCGAGAATGGTCCACGGTGCATCGTTCGCCGGCGAAGCAATACATTTGTGAGGATCGGGACGACATAGGCGAGATTGTTGATCGTGCTAGTATATCGTCAGTACAGGATTCCAATAACGTCCGTTGCTAAGCATACACTGCCGAACTCATCATTGAATTGAATGCAGTACTGGAACCCAGATAGATACAGCCCAACAAAGCAATAATTACTCCTACACATAGTTGAGCGTTGAAAGGAGATCCAAGCCTAGGATTAACACGAGCCCAGCTGGACATAATCAGTAAGTGCGATGCGTATTGAGTTTGAAAACGTACATATGGGAAAGCGGGAGACCACTGTCGCGAGAGAAGGCCCAAAATACACGTCCAGTGCCTAAAATTGTTAGAAACTGAAATTTGATCCATTCGGGTTCGGTTCTCACTAAGTTGGGAACCGATCACACACGGTCCAAGTGCAACCCAGACCATGAAGACCAGGCCGAATGCTCCTCCTTTTGTTGAAGTTGCTTGGTGGAAGATCTCAGCTAGTGGCAAGCCTGTCCGTGTATCTGCCAGTGTGTCATAGTTCTGAACCGAGAACATCAAGCTGAGCAAATAGGATACTCCGGTGACGAAAGCAATCGAGAGCGTGATTGCTATTGTATGTAAGTATTCACTTTCATTTCTTTAGGGACTGGCAACCTTACCAAGGCCAAGAGGGGCGTTTCTTCCAGGCTGCCGGTTGTAAGCATATACAACAATAATTCATTATCAATCCATTGACTCACATTGGGCATTTCCTCAGTGATATGCTGTAGTATGATTAGCATCAGGGAAATTATCATAGTATAAGATGAACATACCGAAATTCCATCTAGCCCACCCAGCGCGTATAATGGGTTCACCAACCCTGTTATAAAGCACATCACATTATTATCCCATCCGGTCTTGTTCATCCAAGTTGCAAAAACAAATTTGCTATCGTTGTGCGCCGGTGCTGCAGCAGCTACGGTGACCATAGTAATCAGCCATGCCAACTGCAAATAAAGCACTGACGAAAGTTAGAATGGCAACTTTGTGTAGGTCAACACTTCAACCTACGAGAGAACTTGTTGATTGCTGGAATAAAGCGATTCCCAAACATGACGATCCCTGAGGTAAATACGTTTAGGATTTGATATGCGACAAAGGTCATCCAAGGCTTCACGACCAAATCATCATGGTCCAGCGCAATCAAAGCCATGACTGTCGAGGCATAGATAAGATTGGTTGACGCGGTAGTAAAAATCCCTATGCAGTATTAGCATCTTCCCAATCGTTGTAAGTTTTCGTTCTCACATCCAAAGACTGTGCACCATCCCGTCGCAAAGCTCAAAAGACTGTTATATCTTTTTGGGGCGATGGCCGCAATCCAGTGGTACATTCCTCCTTCGGTCGGATATGCGGAGACGAACTCTGCCAGAGAGGCGCCAACGAATGACTGCAGAATGAAAACAAGAATAAAGCCGTAAATCACTAAGATCATCAGCGCTGAAAATCTTTTGCGAGGGCAATCTGTTGGGGGCTTACGGGCGCCAGGGCCACCAGAGTTCAGAGCCGTGATCAGACCTAACCCAAGACCTGAATGGAAGTTAGAAGACCTGCCCAATACTTTCGTGAATAGCAGAATTGGACATACCTGTCCATGAGATAGTACGGTTGGCTGCTAGACCAATCAAACTCCACACAGAAAAGTGTCGCTTCAACTCTTGTTTATGCCCTTGTTTTCGTCAGGTATCGCGCTTGATGTGGCCGCGCATGCACACTTACCCATCTGGGCCAGACGCAATTCGTCTTCATCGTAGACCTTGATAGTATCCACACTTTGGGCCGTTTCTGGCTTCAAAACCTTGGATGTGATTTCGGGTGGACCCATTTTAGAGATCTAGGGGCGTTGTTGACAGAGTCAAGTGAATGCGAAGACGAGACCTCCTAATAACCGATCATAATAATTTGCGCGCACATGCCATATCTCTTTTCTTGAACATGCAGCTCTTATCGCTTCCCGGTGATTTTCAAGTATTTCGCCGGTTTCGCCGGACTGATAGCCGGTGAGGGGGAGAGCGGGGACAGATCATAGCGCGGTGTCGATCTTGGCAGTCAATTCTACCGGTGAACAGCATTGAGTTCTGAGTGTAAAGGTTGCGTTAACTTTATATTGGCTTTTCAGGGATGCGAATCGCACCTTTTCAGTATAATTCTCACTTTTTTAAAGTCCACCACAGTTGCCTACGATTTAATCTTTTTCATGTACAATTTCCATGACTACTGATTTCAGAACATGAGATTATACCAACATGGGACGGTTTTGTTCAACAAGGTGATATGAGGGGAGAGAACCTTGCAGTTGCAGATTGTATGGACTAGAGGGAAAAAGAGAAGAAAGCACCATGAGTGAATTATGTACACTTATGTACAGAGTCTCAATGGCTGCTACCTCGGGCTATCGGTTTCTAAGGCCAAACAAGTGCCTCCGTGCGATATCTCTAATACTTCTCAGCGATTTGTACAGATCATAATTGTGTTTAGTATATATGACTATGATCATACTGTGGCCGAGGTGTACTATTTCCTTTCATGCTATTTTTGCTCACAGCCAATCCCAATCGACAGCTGATTTGACGTTGGATAAATAGATCAAAATGGTATAAGCTTGATAAAGCCGCTCAGTTTCAGCAAATCTCAAATACAAAATGTCCGTATCGTATCACGTCGCAGTCATCCTCGATGTAATCAAGATAGTGGTGACTCGCAACAGCAGCCTTTGGCTTCAATTTTTGGACATTGGTTCGGCTCCAGGGTGCACTCCGAGCGCAGACCTTGATATTTGAGCCCGGAAATTGGGTTTTCATCTCACGTTCCATCTCACTAGCATCGAGATTTAACTTCTTGCTCGGTTCTCCAGGGGTAAGAGAGATCAATGACGTCGTTAGATTGGCCATCAAAGTCATATTTTGCGCAGAGGCACTACGTTCACTAGCTGAGCTTGATCCGAGACTTGCGGATTGCCCTTTCGCAAGTCTCTCAAACTTGTCTTTATATGAACGGACTTGCTTAAGCAGATTGTCAGCCCATTCCTGCTGCGGATTTGGTTCAACTGTTGGAGAGTTGAAAAGCACTGTGAAAGACTCAGCATCCTCCTCATGCGCTTCACCTTCGCTGGTCGCGTCGTCGTCTTCGTCTTCATGGAAGCGACTCTTGGCAGTATACAGTTCTGGTATAATATCTTTCAAGTCGCAGAGGCTGCTGAGCCGCGCCGTACCAATGCGACGGAACACGCCTTTCTCGTTTGTTGATTCCAGAAGTAGAGAATTAGACGTAGCCTCTGGGAGTCGCTCATTCCAGCGCGTGAAAATCACAGGGAGAAGGAAGGTTTCCCCCACTGGCATCTTGAGCGCCGATCCACTCCAAAATTGCACAAGCGCTTCTTTTCGTATTGCACCCTTTGGCCAAGCGCTGAGATCAAGCTTGATGGGAATTAAACGGCCGCGTATGCGAAGGTGATCACGTCTCACCTGACCGAAAGGCATGTTATCATTCTTCATCACGCCTTCGACGTCGACAGATAGGACCTTGATGAGATCCATAGCTCCCTTCGTCTCGAGGATGGGATCTAGCCGTCCTCTATGTGCCATAAAGCCAGGATATGATGCCCATGACCAGGATGGTGCCACGTACTTCCCATTAGTCTCAAGAGCTGCCGCATGGATGGGATTCCACAGCAACTGCCGCGGAATTTGGGTCAGCCAGAGTCCAGCGGCGTAACTAATACCCGTCCTGGTGGACAGAACTTTCGCCAAACCAGCGATGGCAACCAAACTGTCCTCGGTATATGTCAGCTGCGAGGAGCTATAGCCATTGAGAATCACAGACCAGTATGTGATGAGCGGGTGCGTTGGCTGCCAGTTGTCCCCGCTGTAACACATGCGCTTTGTATGTTCGAGAAGACTTGAGTTATGAGCTAAACTTTCTTTCCGAAGATGAGTTTCATCACGGCCACGCAACGCTTTGAAGGTCGACCAGATATAATTCAGCCCCAATTCTCTCTCTTTTGGCCCCTCGAGTAACTTTGGTGCGTACACATCCCAGGTCTTCAAATCTAGTCTCGTCCCCCTGGCCGAAGGTTGTTTATTGTCAATTTTAACGGCTGGAGCTTCTTCTAGCGACTGAGACATTGTGCACTCCCAGAGGAGCTGCTGCTTGCTAAAATGCACGGTCCTTGGGGCCAACAAACGTTCTTGAAGCACCCATCCCCGTCTACAGAGCTTTGTCTTTGCAATCAGCTCCGTCCATTTCTGATAGCTGTTAGAGCCAACATCAAAGAAGACTTGGGCTGCGCAGCCATCTTTGTGAGGCCGCAGCTTCCCAGATTGCCAGCTTATAAACGTAGTCAGCTGGATGCTATCTTGTCTCCATAGCCCGTCCCTTGTCCTAAGGTCAGCATACAGCGTTGTGCCAACGAGAGACACATGCCTTGCACTGAGCGCGAAGTTTCTTCCTCGAATATCAAAAGCGCCGTTGCTGTTACCAAGACAGCTGTCAAGGTCGAGCTCAGTATGAGTGATTTCAAGCGGCGGCTGTCTAGGTGACGCGACCAGTAGAGACCTGCCTTCCAATCTGAGGATGGGGAGTCTTTGCTCTTGCGGTACCGTGACCCCATCAGGAACCGTCACATAGATCGGGACTCGAAGCGGCGTGACAACACATGGGTTCCTTGTTGTGAAAAGCCCGCCATATGGATCCGTGGACTTGGTAGCTGCAATATTCAGATAAGAATATTGGTATACACCCCCCATAACAGCAGACTGGTCCAACCAATCTTCGTGAGAGTCCTGAATGATGCATAAAGAGTCGATCCATAGGTATCGAATTCCCAGGCGTCGAGTCAACTGAATCGCATCTTGGAATGTCTGAGGAAGATCCATTATAGTAATGCTCTGCAAGAACCTTTCGTAATTCCTTGTGGTCAGAGATGGAATCTCCGAAGTGGCGCCTCCCCAGCAATGGCTAAGAGTTACATATTTAGTATCATGCTCAAGCCCACCAGAAAGACAGAGATTGACATCTGGCGCATCAAAAACATTGCCGACGTCCAGAATACGAGAAAACCGGTCATTCGTATGAGAGACTCCCTCTCGGCGACAGCCAGGGTGATTTTTATCACAATCCTCAATCCAATACGCAATCGCTTTCATCGATGATGTATTGACATTATTCTCTGCTTCTATGACTGGTAAGTCACGTAAAGGAGTTTGTTCTTGAAGAAGTCAGTGGCCAAATACAACTTTTTGTGTGATCCGTCTTACCAGATGAGAGAAACAAATACTCAGTGCACGTTTCACTTAATTTTTTTCCTGCTTGCTTCGCATCAAAGATGGCTGAGCATGCAACGACTCTCCGACTAGGAGCACTATAAGCAAAGCGGTAATGCACAGAGAAAGAGTCTGGTTCGATGTCCGGGAGTAGTTGGCGCTCAGTCAGAATACGACTTGGCCTTCTTGAGTTGAGGGCATCGACAAGTCTATGACAGAAGCCACATTTCGCCTCCAACGACGCTTTAAGAGACGCAAAATTGGCATGTACGGCCTTTAGGTGGTACCTGTCCCGGCGGGCATGGATGTAGATTCCGTGGCCGACTGTTGCGTGCCTGAAAACTGTAGCACACTGATCACAAAGCATAATTAGATGCTTATTAAATTAGTAGCAGCGATTTCAGGGACCGTTGACGAGTAGCATGGTCCCTCCGTCCTAAGCCACCAAACGTGCTAAAAGTCAACAAGTGCGGGGTTGGAGTGTTCAAAGACCCACAATCTGCTACATCAATGCACGAACGTGGCCGTGCATGCTTCCCCGTGGGAGCCTTGACCCTATCTAGACGCACAGCCTCCAAGGGCCTTGAAGTAGCTAATCAAAGTGAAAAACAAAAATAAAACACCCCCTATATATATATACAGCAGTTGCTACGTTGGTGCTCACCTAGCGCTCATAATACAGGCCGAGGCTGGTTTGGATGCCGCCTTGACTCTCAGATTTAGATTAGGAGATACCACACTGCATTGCGGGATTCCAAATCGCTGCTAACTTGACCAGCAGTTCAAATGATGCTGCGGATGAGAAGATTTGTCGGCGCTTTGTTCACGGCTCCAATGACCTTTTCGGGAGTCACATTATCGCTCTTGCATGTCTGCCTCGTCATTTTTGGCAAATTTTCTTTTACTTACAAAATTATCGCGTTTCTTTGAGGACTGGCGAAGAGATCTGATTGTAATATTCAGTCTGCCTGCATTGAGGATCTTTTGCCACAGGCTAGATCTGTACGCTGTAGTGTGACGTCCAGAATCGGCACCACAGTTTGTACGATCTGAAATGCAATACGAACTTCCGTCACGAAGAGAGTCTTTTTCGTGGTGTGGGAAATATGTAGTTCGGTAGTAACGTCATATCGAGGTCATCCGAGCTAAACGCTAAGCTCCGAACATAACTAACCTCAACCTCCCAATAATTGTAGCTGACTTCCTAACTCCGAATGAAATCTTCTTTAATCGGCATTTTTCAGCTGTATATCTCATGTGAAATATCATACTCTGTCTCCCTCAATATGCCGGTAAACGATTATGGCGTGTGGAAAGCAAATGCTGTTCACTACGTTATCGAACACCGCGAGGATAAGTCAAAAAATCCACACTTATTACTATACATCGATGATCGAGGCGATACCACCAACCATGCGTATTACCACTCTCGCCACAGATCGCACAAACCCAGCCAAAGGAACAAAGAAATACCCGGCCTCGTACGAGCAGTGATCAACATCAGGTCTGGAGAGAAGGAGGAATCTCGACTCGCCTATTGGATAGACCACAACTATAATGATCACCCCATTATCAACAGTCTGGCCGATCTCCCGTTAGGCTTCCATCCTCTAGCCGACGCAAAACAAAGTCCTGTCGGCCTTCGAACAGACTACATCCGAAGCAACCTGTTCAAAATCAACACCGGTCAAATCCTAGCCCACGACGACCCAAATCCGGAGAATGATATAGCTGATGCCATTGAACCTGAAATCGAAAAAGCGATCGATGAGCACGCCGACCTTTACCTCTTCGGCGCACGGTTCATCGATTTCAAGGGAATCCACAATCTGCACATGAACCAAGGCAATATCGATGAATGGAAGCATGATGACGGTGTGTTCCAAGATGGAGCCATATTGATTCATTACCCAAGCTCCAATCGTTGGCTGGCTTTGTTTATCGGGTTCGCGTCACAGGCTGTGCACACGGATGACTCCTCGGGACATGCCATAGCGTCCGGGGTGTGGAGTAACTATCTCAGCCATATAGGAACACACGTCAACCTGATGAATTCCGTGACAATCGACGAAGCCTCGGTCAACTCTATTGGCAGCCAACCCAGACGCAGATCGGTTACTCTTACAAATGTGACAAACCACAAAAAACCTGTGTCTTCTTGGAAGATCATGAACTCCACTGGAGAATTTCAGACACTGCCGGCCGATGCATTTTTAGATGCTATGGCAAGTCATTCTTTCGACATTCCGGATGTTCCCCTTTCGGATCATGGCGATACTATCACATTGATGAATGAGCAAGGATTGAAAGTTGATGGAGTGAGTTATCGACCTCAACATGAACGTATTGAAGGGCAATCGGTTATGTTTGCCCATTGAAATCTCGAGGTTGATATGGGAAATTTTGATTCGTTGTGCGCTTGGCTTTATGACAAGTAACATTAAGTGCCACTTAGTACATTTATCTTGAACAAAACGGAAAAACCAAAATATAATTTTATGAAATCCATAGGTACATTGAAACAGAATACGAGCTTCTCCGTAACTCTGGCCCGGTTCCTACATATTCCACGATTCTAGGATCTTTGCAAAGGTTCACGAGTGAAATAAGAATCGATAGAACCATATAATCAGGGTGCAACCTCAGAGCTATGCAAGGGCTCAACATGCCAAGTCACACATCCCGTCCAAGGCAGGTTGTACTAGGCAGCAATCAACCCAGTCTTTGAGCTTGGCCCCAGTGCTCCGTTAGGGTCTAATGGTTCGGCTACATCCCGAGAAGGTTGCAGATCGCGATGATCTTAGCAACAGCCTGAGTCACTTGTGGGTGTTGTTTCACGTGCTTTGCTTCATACGGTGAAGCCTTAACGGCGGGCCACGTGAAACGGTATTAGACCCATGTTATGCTAACTCGATAAGGTAAATGTAGAGTTTTCATGCATGATGGTGTTGAATGTGTAGGTAATGGGCAGCATACTATCCTCGAAGGTCATGTGAGAGTTTATAGAAGGTAGAACCGATTTGATTCATCACTTGCGTTGTTGATTGTTTAGTATGAGGGATTAGCAAATGAGGGGTGAGGCTCGTACAACCAGCCATGAGCTCGTCCCTCGAGTTACAAGGTTTCCCCATATGAATCTGCATCAAGGTTACAGCCGAGGCAACAAACCAAAGTCAATGCGCCCTGTGCGTTATTAACGGTTCATAGCCTAATCGCGTCACCCATGTACTCTATAACTGATCAAGTTTAGGGTTCAGCCTCATGAGGACCCTGAACCTAAACAGATCGGGCGCACATATGAGTAACAACAGTCTCGTGATATGCCCGTTCCGCGTTTTGGGGCCAATGCAAAGTAACGCCCGGTTACAAGACAGGGACTCAAAGAGTCAAAATTTAGGGGCGGAAAGGCGGCTGATGCCGCGGGAAGCAAACAACCTTTGGATTTCCCCGAAACAATTCAGTGTGGGTTTACTTGGGCATATTCCTGGAGCCTAAGCATAATTTTGAGCTCATCTAATGTTCCAGTATGAAACAGACATTCCAGAAAGTCCGTGTTTCCCTAGCGTCCGGAAAATCGGATGCTGGTAAGCTGAGAAGTTATTTTTATGAGTCTCCACTCGCTCCACAACTCCAATTCCGCCCCAAGGTGGAAATTTGCAAATTTGAACTCCGTTCTTTTGCTGAGCTCAAGAGAGAGAAGGGAGAGCTGTAAATATAATTAGACTAGTAGGTTTAAAGCTGCTATGATCATGAAAACTGCTAAGCCACCGCTTGAACCGTACAAGAAACTTTTTTTGGCGAGTCTCATCTCAGACTTGGTGCCGGAGTTAGCCGTGATTCGGTCAAGGCGAAGGGTCGTGTGACCCACTCGGAAGAAAAAGAAAAGAAAAAGCCAAGCATTCTCATTCTGAGCCGCAATCCTTTTGGGGTAGTTGGGCTCGTGCCTGAAATTGGAAGGGAACTATTGACGATAGGTCACACTAGAGCTGCAGGAGTCACACTTACCCCTGAAACTGTACAATGAAAGGAAAAATGAGACTATACTAAACTCCAGTTAGTACGGTCCTTGCCCGGAAGGCTCGGTCATACAGTATGACAGTTCAGGGGTGTGTGCGTTGGCATCCAGAATCGCATTGACCTACAGAACACTCTGTACTTTCTGAACTTTGTACCCTGCATATGTTGTACGAAGACATCATTGACTTCATTGGACCCTTATCCAATTGTTGCACTTAAATGCCAAGACCATCGAATTCCAAACGGTGCATCATGAAAATTCTACCATAGCCACATTAGGGTCCGTAGGGAAAATAGTGAGACCTTGTGGAGAAGCAACGGAACGGAGACAGCACACCTCCGAGCCATGGGAGCCGGCACTGCATTTGATAGCCAATGAACTCTAGCCCTTTGCCATTAGGTAACGGAAATTATATTACAGATGGACCCTGAGCCTCGTTTGGGAAAAACACCGCATGACCAACAAGGCTTGGATGAAACCCTCGCTGGGTCTGACGCTCCACAAGCAAGTCCCATCCTGCTTGGTTCGGGGCGGAGCATAGCGATTGGTGCCTTTCCCCATATTCTATCAATGCCATTAAATCTATTTATTACTTTGGATCGCCCTGGAGGATCCAAGATTCGATTTTAAATCTTTTGCGATCCCGTTGTGAATCGACACCCATGTTCGCCATATCCAATGCTTTAATGCTTCTATAAAAACATTTCCGTCCCTTCCGACCCAGAGACCCCGGTATCCACAATAATCTCAAGATGTTCGCGAGCCGGGCTTCCGGTTGCCTCAGCTTCATCTGTTGCGCACTTCCTGCCCGCGCTCTACAGAGTACTTTGAATTGGGATATCGCGCGGAAGTTCTGGTTTACATTCCTTTTCTTGACGGTCATTTGTGCGAAATTACTCCATATATACGCTCATTGGGACTCAGTACCACTGAACAAGTTGATTCTGTGGGGCTCTACATTCTTTCTACAAGACTTTTTCTTCCTGCTTGCTGGATATGCGTTGACGCAAAATTTCAAATGGAGAATTACGCGCATTCTAGCGGGATTGGTGGTAGTATGCACTAGGTAAGTGTATTTGTCGATAAATAGATCGACGCACATGGCTAACCGCAAACTTCCGTAGTCTCATACTTTCCGTAATGGCGGCTGCGAACACATCCTTCTTTGTCCTTACGGGCGCGGAAATTCATTGGCGCCAAGCAGGTTCCTTTAACGCCGATCCCGCCGCTGTCAACACCCTGCTCACTGGTTTGACGGGGCTCGGTATTGTCGAAGCATTGCTTTTGGTTGCGTCCATCTTCATTTCTCCATATCCGTATAACGGGATGGAAGCTTTAGTCGGTGTCTGGGGTCGTATCGCCGTGGCAGTGTGGAGACCTACATCGGAGGCAGCCAAGCCGAAGGTGGAGGCTTTGTTGATTCGGTACCAGCCGGTGATAGAGCGTGTTCTGAGTCGAACCGCTCGCGGCAGAGAGATCTTCGCAAACATGAAGATCTATGAGCCGGTTGCACTGAGCGATTATGACGAAGAGGATAAATTTGTCTCCAACTCGGCTCCGCTACTCGACGAACCAGCACAGGATGCCCAGTCCATTAATATGGAACAATGGGGCCATGCGCGGGCGTTCAAGACAGCAATCAAGACGGCGCTTATCATTGTGGTCACCCTCTTCATTCTCATTTTGCGATGCTTCCGTCCAGCAAATGAATCATATGGGTTCCTCTCTCAGACCATTTTCCTATCTCCATTCAGTGGCGTCGACTCGCAAACCAAACTGGCGGGTATCACCGAGGAGCGCGAATTGCTTGGCAAGCTGACTGCTTTGACTACGCCCCCGAAGTTCGACTGGTTCCCAGAGGGTAACTGGCCTGGCTTTAGAGACTGGGAACTTTCTGCCGACGGAGAGTTCGAGCACAAGCATTATAATTCGACTGAGGATCCCATTCACATCTCCAACTTGGACCTGGATGTGCTCGAGCCTCTTCGTGCGGTCCTCAAAAGCAAGGACTTCAAGATCAAACATGTGCTTGTCTTCAAGATGGAAAGCACTCGATTCGATGTATTCCCGCTGCGAAAGGGCACATATATGCACGACCGCATTTTGGACTCGTACGAGGATAGGAGGATCCCGCAAGATGTCCAGAAGCGCCTGGATAATCTTACTGAAACTGCCGAGCGTCTCACAGGTACAGAGTCTGGTTTTCGCGAGAACGGAACGGTGAAACCGTACGGTGGTATCTATGCTACCAACTCATACACTGCCGGAACCTTCACATTGAAGAGTATCGAAGGAACGACTTGCGGCCTTTCGCCATTAGTCATGGATTTCAACCACGAATACGAGCACCACATTTACCAACCCTGCATGCCGCATATCCTTGACGTCCTCAGTGCCAGCACAAACGACAGCACCAGTGCCGACTTCACCAACTGGCCATGGCGACCACGATTCATGCAGTCGATTACCGATTCGTACGATCACCAGGACCGTCTCACACCTGCTCTGGGATTCAAGCCCGAGAACATTTTGACTGTCGAGTCGATTGATAAGGAACACGTTAACGATACGTCATTCCACGGCGAAAAGTTCAATTTCTGGGGATACCCTGATCATGACCTGGCCAGTTATTTCCGGGATGCTATCACCCACGCGGAGGAGAATCATGAGCGACTTTTCATTGAGCACCTGACTGGGTTGACTCACCACCCGTGGGATACACCCGGCAAGAACTATTCGGAGCTTATCAGCTCTTCTTGGGGCGGAAACAACGAGGATGTTAACAAATATCTCAACACGATCGGTATCAACGATAAATGGTTCGGTACCGTGCTGGATATCCTCGAGGAGACCGGTGTTGCGAATGAGACCCTCGTTATCATGACAGGCGACCAGTAAGTTTTTACTTCCAGTTCTTGCAATTTCAATTCTAACCTTCTCAGTGGTCTCTCCCTTCTTGAGGATAACAGCATCACTCCCTACGATAACCCGCACGTCGCCAACTTCCACGTCCCACTTGTTATCGTGAGTCCATCATCACCATATACACCCGTACTATACTAACAAACCAAGTCTCACCCCCACCTCCCCCCAATCCAAATTAACTCCTCAACGACTTCGATTCAAATCCTCCCCACAATCCTTGATCTCCTCCAACAATCTGAATCAGTCTCCCAAAAGAGCGACAAGGCCATAAAATCTCTCCTCCCCCTTTACGAAGGCCAATCCCTAATCCGCCCCATCATCGCCTCAAACGACCAAACCCGAAACTGGCAGTTCACAGTCATGAACACCGGCGGCTCAATGGTCGCCATGCGCTCCGCCTCGGAACCATACAGACTCATCGTCCCGCTTGTGCCAGAGGTGGAGTGGCGATTCACTGAAATCGAGTCCGATCCACATGAGAAGAAACCGATGAAGTCATTTGATTTGGAGTCTCTCAAATCTGGTGTGGCGATGCGGCATGGATCTGATGCAGTTCAGTGGCTTAATGAGGCCGCAAGGGCTGCGCAGTGGTGGGTTAGTGATAATTGGAGGCGGTATGAATATTCGCCGTGATTGGTTACTTGGCATTGACACTTGCATTTGGCACTTGCGTTCTGCACATACTCGCCGACTTGGTTGCTTTTTTACCGTTTGCTGTTTGCTTTTTGCGTTTTGCATTATGTATATCCCAGGTGTCAGTATTTACGACTCCGATCAGCATGGCGCATGGTATATCCGGTATTATTTTTATAGTTTGGTACTGCATTGGGTGGATTGATTCAAGACCATTTATGTACATGTTGCATATTTACTAAAGGCAAAGTTGGGATTTATGTTTCAATTACGTTTTAATTTCGATTAAACCATCATAGGCCGACCTGCATAACACGAATCAATGCCACTTGGCTGACACTTAAGCACGAACAAAATCAGCGAGGGTGGTGGCCCCACTGAAAACCTTGACACATCACATCACACAACAGATACATGACGATCAACGGGGAGCGGGAGAACGGCGCTCTGCGGCCTGGAACCTTGTCCGCCGAATGCGAATGCAAGGTAGTGCCCGTGCTCGATCGCAGATCATTGATCGGCTACCATGGTTCAAAGCTCTGGCCCCTCTTCCCAACTTCACTTTCTTCATCTTTTCCCACACGTCACAATGGGGAATTCAGACCAAAAACCGTGGCTGTTTAATCTTCGGTCATCCGAAACTTTTCTCGTGTTGACCGTGTCGATTGCGATTTTCACTGTAGGTTTTTTCCGGTTGCTCTGATAGGTGCGGTCGCTGACATTCCTTACCTCAGGATTCTTTTATCTATGGCGTGGTTCGTCAATCTCATCCAATTTGAGCTTCCGATGCTCCGTTCCGATCTTGGAATGCTCCTAGTATGTCGTGTTACTGACTTTGCAGATCGTTCCTATTATTCCGGTTGCGCTTGTTGAGCGAGTAGGCGCTCGTCCGGAAGATGGTAGCTCATCCCGCTCTTACTATGTGACCTGTCACGCTAACGGCTCGAAGCACAATACCTTGTTTCAATATTGCTAGCTGTGTACGGCGGTACACTTCTCGCTGGATCGCGTGAGTCCAATCAATTCATCCCATATTTGAATTCCAAGCTAAAGGATATAGCGCTGTTTGGGTATTTCGCCGATAAGTGTTCGTCGAGAAGACTCCCTTTTGTCCTCGGACTTATCGCTTTGGGAACGTCTACAGCGCTTTTTGCTTTTGCGCGCACGTTCCCGATTCTGGTTATTGCGCGCAGCTTGCAGGGATTCTCCGCTGCTGCAGTCTGGGTCGTTGGCCTTGCCATCGTGTCTGACAATGTGCCACCGGAGCGGGTTGGCGCGGCGCTGGGAATGACTACCATCGGGTTGACATGGGGATTTCTCCTAGGTCCTATGGTCAGTGGGTATATTCATGATACGTTCGGGTATTATGGATGTTATGCGATTCCAGTGGGATTGATTGTGGTAGATGTTGTGTTGCGATTTGCGATGATTGAACTGCCAAGTATGGTTCGCCCCGTGTATGCTTGTGTAGCTGTTTCTGACGTTTATCGCAGAGGTCAACCGTCGTAAATCCGAACCCGAACAGCAGTCTGAGTCCGATTCAGCTTATGAAGACAACATTTACGATACTTTCAATGCCAATGATGTTCGCAGTCAGGGTCGATTTTCTCGTCGGGAGCGTGAGAGAGAGGACGCTCCTCTCTTGGGTCCTTCGTCGCAGTCTGTTCAGCACCCTGGAAAGGATAACGAGCAAAATGCAACTATCCTTAGTCTTTTACGCACACCACGATTGCCACTTTCTCTGCTGGCGACAACCTCCATGGCAATTACCCTCTCGGCCCTAGAGACTGTATGTACATGGTTCTCATTCTTCATGTCGAGACTAACATGTCCTAGTCATTGCCATTGTTCACCATGGAAACTTTCGCCTGGACCCCCAAGGGAGCCGGCTTGATCTTTCTCGCCTTGACCGTGCCAAGTTTTGCGGGAGTGCAGCTTGGCAAGCTGGTTGATTCAATAGGAGTACGAATCCTTGGTGTCATTAGTTTCGCGGCCTGCTGCTGCGCCTGGATTTTGATGCGACTCGTTACCGAGAACTCGCCAGGCCATATAGCCCTGTTAGTTGTCCTTCTGCTCATCCTTGGTCTAACAATCGTCACCATCGAGATCATTTCGATGATGGAGGTATCGCAAGTCATCACAGATTACGAAGCTGAGTTCCCTGGGGCGTTCGGCGAAAAGAGTCCTATTGCACAGGCCTACGCGCTGTTCAATATGTCATTCGCAGCAGGCCAGCTTGTGGGTCCAATCATGGCTGGTCCGATTCGTGTCAATGGTGGCTGGGGAACTATGACCCTGGTTCTTGGACTTCTGGCTGGCGTGACTGCTATTCCTTTCGGCCTTTTCAGCGGTTCACCACGTAAGACGGTAGAAAGTGAGTCTACCGGTGCTGTTTAGCGGCAACGATTGAAGTACGTGGAACGATATAGGTTAAACAAAAGTAACTTGCATGGGATTTATGAAGCGTCATTTTTGTTTATCGTCGCATCGGATTGGCGCGCACTGGAGTGATGAATATACAAAACATATCGAGGTGCTTTAGTGGACCATGTTCGCGATAGGAAAGATGCAGTGGGCAAGACTGATAAAATGAGTTTTTAGACTCTTCGTGAAAAAGCCTGGTCTGGTAGGTATAGCGTAGATAAGTGGTTCCTGAGCATGTCTTGAAAAGATCCGCGCATTCTTGATGCAGGCATCGTGAAAAACGACGGCCAGGATTGATGTCATGATTGAAAGACTGTACAAAGTATTTGACGCAATAATGACCAACTCCTTGCCCCAAGCCTCACATAATTCTATCTGGAGTATATATACTCATGCAAAAAAATAAATCCAACCGAGACAGGCGATGATCTGCAAAGAGAGATTGGAAGCACCCCACTGACGACCGATCACGGCCCCACTAAAGTAAATCAACAGCGGCGTGTAGTGGATTGCAAGCCCACGCCATGATAAGGTGGATCACGTTTAGTCTGCACACTGCGAATAGCATCCGACCCAATCACCCTCTTACCAACTAAATGACGAATATATTCCATAGTCCACTCCTGACACCGCTTGTTACTAACCTAGCAAATCACATAAATCAGTGCCGAGCTTCCTTGAGAGACTGTATCAACTTACATCATTCACAGGCGCCAGAAAGTTCTCACTGATACCAGGAGTTGGTACCTCCGTAGCAGCGACCTCTATAACCCCGTTCGGCGTGCAGTCACTCCCCTTCGGACCAGGTTCCGGATCAACAATATTGACAGGATCAACCTCCCCAATAGGAAAAACAGTATATTTCTCACTCGAATCGGCAGGAGAGTAATTTCGTTTGAACTCAAGGTAATAGCCCGCCATCGGGGCTCCGACAGCTTGAATCAGGGTTCCATGCTCGCTATCTCGCTCGGAGGGGACAAAAACGGCAAAGTGTGCTCGTTGAGCTTCGCTATTGCGAGACGATATCAGGTAAATTGTTCTAGAGGCCATTGTGGTATATGTCCTGGAAAATGGGAGGAAGAGATGTTAAATATTGAACTGACGTCAGGTGAACAGGAACTGGGATGTTGAATGCGGGGTAAGCGAACCAGTACTGGGTTGGCCTTGGCCTAAGGCTGCTAGTTGTAAGGTTGTCTTTTCTTGGCCATGATTATCTGGGAATCGTTTGAGCGTGCTTTCCTCAGTTGTAGCGAAAAGAGAGGCTGAAGGTGAGATAAGAGCGCTTGGAGCTCTTATCGATCTGGGGAGGCTGTCAACCCGATCGGGTTAGAGTGCAAACGGTGGCCCCCGCATTTGGCCTTATGTTCCAGGCTTCTAGAATATGGTCAAGCTTAAGAACTCTCTACAAGCCAAATTATGCATGTTTATACGAACAGCCCTAAATCTTAAACCAATGTTTCATTCAAATGTACTCATATTTCCTTTGCCTCGACGCAGGTTCCAACAGCCAAAAGTTGACCCTTCCAAAATATCTTTGTATCCCAAATTTCAACTCTCAAGCAATGTCCTTCTTCATAAAAACAGTCTTAGTATCCCAGAGCTTTCCATTTCTATCCACAATCCTGTAATAGTTCTGTACTGTTCGGATGACCTGGTATCCTCGTCGTGCATACCAGTCCTGATTAGGGTCCTTCGAGATATTAGCCGTCTCCACGAATCTATAGACTATAACTTACCTTTGGCAGACTTCCATAAGTGAATAAAGCAAATTCTTCTCGCAATTGATCATTTCGCTCAACGGTATCAAGCATCAAGGTTCGGGCATTCAACGGCTCTCTAGCTGCCATCTTCTCCGCCTCATCCATGGCGGCCCGGCCAATACCTTGGCCCTGCACAGAGTGACTGACGTAAAAGGTCTTGATCCAAAAGACCCCGCTTGATGGAATATCCAAATTAAGGTGATTCGCCTCTGGGTTCAAAGAATCAATTGATATATGTCCAATGGGAATGAATGCTTGATGTGATGCCCGTCGGGGAACGGCATTGATAGATTGAGCCGTGTCGCTCAATTTGTCACTTGTCTGTATTATGAATGTTAATATCACGTCCGGAGAGTTTGATTCAAAGTGACTTTCCTTAGAACGAAGATGTATCTTCATTCCTTCGGTTGTTTGTGAGTCATCGGAGAGAAGCACCTTGTTTATGATTAGCAACGGTGTCCCATACATCAAAACACTAGTGTAGCATGGAATAGAGCTTCCAGTCCTCAGTTGACTCACAATCCAGTAAATGCACTTGTGGCCTTTCGCTTGCAATTCCCTCCATTCTTTCTCTACTTTTTCCTGGTGCCAGGAACATTCCTCTCGCTGCTTCGAAAGGACTGCCCGATGAGCAGCAGACTCGTAGTCCCAAGGGATCAAGATGACTTTTGCTTCTGAGGTCATGCTGCTGGAGCAGAGGGTGTTGTAGAAGTAGAAGGTAAGAATGGATTTATAATCAAGGAGTGGATAAGGTGCCGAGTTGACGCTAACACTGACACGGAACTTTAACCCTTCGTGTTCAACCAATAAACCTCACCAAGACTGGAATAATGACAAAGAAAATTCAAAAGGCCTTGCTCAAGGCTTCTGAGGTTCAATTTTCAAAAGGGTAAGTACTGGGAAAAAGGGTAAGTCCCAGTACTGACCATCATCTTAAAGTGGGGACGGTAAGCACTAAAATGATCAAAGTCATGTACATGTGATAAAACATTTTCTAGTCCTGATATTCTATTACTCACTTTCAAAATTCTAATGATGTTCATAATGCCCAAAATCGCTTTATACCACCTTTTATATTGATAAAATATTCATGCACCTGACATGACAGACGCAAATCTCTAAATGTGGAGAACGCGGGGTATTCTCCGTGAAATCACGGCAAAATCACGGCAACCCTTTCGGCACGTTGATCAATTCTTTGGTAACATTTTAATCAATAATAAGCCGGAAGTGCTTTCCCATGGAACAATGAAACATTTGGCTGGACTCTGGATCCCTTCTGAATGGCTGCCGATACCGACCCAGTTCGGGTTGAAAGACCCCGAACTACCCCACATCGGCTTTTCCGGTCTTCGTAGTTTACTCAGTCAGAGTCAACTTTTTTTCTGACAGCTCAAGGTAGACCTCTGTCAATTCACAATTTGCCATCATGTTGGGCTTTGTTCGCTGTGGAATCCACGGCTTTGATGAAGTGCTAGGGATTGACAGCGATGAGATTCGCTTCTTCTGGATACTGGAAACAGATGATCACCACGCCGCACAAACTGCCTACCGCGTGGTGCTAAGTACCAACTCTGCAGCTGTTGAAGATGACAATCTGGATGCTTCCCAACTTGAATGGGACTCAGGACGCGTCGAAAGTGCTGAGCAAAGAAACGTTATTTGCAAGCCAGAGCATGGCTTTAAATCAACTTGCAGTTACTACTGGCGGGTGACTATGTGGAATCAGAACAACGAAGCTCACCACAGCCCTGTTCAGCACTTTTTCACCGGCTACCCACGTGCACGACTTTTGCCTCCATATAGCATGAACCAGACATACATGCCGCATACAAGCCTCATTTTTCGAACATGGTTTGAGGATGAGGCGAATCGGTGGAAGGCTGTTTGGATTGGTGATGGAGGTGATAAGCCAATTTATCTCCGGAAGTCCTTCGAGCTACCACAAGCACCGACGCGCGCTATTCTGTTTGCTTCCGGCTTAGGCCATTTCAACATGACAATGAACGGTCAGCCGACTTCGAACCACCGATTGGATCCTGGATGGACCAATTATCACCGACGTGTTCAGTTCACCTCTTACGATGTTACTGACCGTATCCAAGCGGGAGAAAACGTCCTTGGAGCCCATGTTGGTAACGGATTCTACGCTGGTGATAAGGGAGGAGATGACCGATTCTTTTGGCCAATGTACGAAGACAACACGTATGTGAGATATGGAAACGAGCTCTGCTTCTTCTGTGAGCTTCATCTTTTCTATGAGGACGGTACACATGAGACTCTTATCTCTGATCCGACTTGGTCTGTGCGAAAGAGTGCTACGACCTTGGCCAACATCTATGCTTCGGAGAATCATGATCGTCGTCTTTACCCAATTGGCTGGGACTCCCCTGGCTTTGATGTTAGCGATTGGAAGCCGGCTAAGCCACTGACCGGGCCTCGGGGTCACATCTATTACCAAACTCAACCGCCTGTTGTGCTGCATGAGACATTTGAGCCAGTCAAAACATACAGCCCTCGCCCAGGGACTGTTTGCTATGACCTGGGCCAAAATGCCTCCACCATGGTCCAAGCCATTATCGAAGGGTCCGCTGGATCTGAGATCATCGTTCGGTATTCCGAAACCGTGAATGATGAAGGCACAGTCTTGATGCCAGATCCCCTTTTCAAGGAGTTCGAGACCGGTGTTTTCTCCAGAATATGTTTGGCAGGTACGGGTGAACCAGAGATGTGGGAGCCAGACTTCAGTTTCACAAGCGCTAGGTACATCCAAGTCGAAGGTGTCTCTCTCACACCGGGCGAGGGTCTCCCTGTTGTTCATTCTGTTGTCGGTCGTCATATCTCTTCCGCCGCAAGGAAGCTTGGTACAATGAAGACAGACAAAGAGGATGCCAATGCTCTTCTCAACGCTCTCCACTGGAGCTTCAGCAGTAATCTCTTCAGCTACCATACCGACTGTCCGCAGATTGAGAAGTTCGGGTGGTTGGAGGTGACTCATTTACTCGCGCCAGCTACGCAGTATACCCGTGACATGGAATCACTGTACACCAAGATCCTTGATGATATTCTCGACGCGCAAGAACCAAGTGGTCTTGTGCCCACTATGGCTCCAGAGATCCGATACATGTGTGGTCCTCTTCACGACACTATTACTTGGGGTTGTGCTTTGTGTCTTCTTCCAGACATCCTACGACGATACTATAGATCTACACATGTCATCGCCAAGGTATACCCAGCTGCCGTACGATACATGGAGTATATGCGGACTAAAGAGCGCAAGGGAGGACTGATTGAGCACGGCCTCGGAGACTGGGGCCGCGATATTGCCTTTGGAAACCATCAAGCCAATATTGAGACTGCCATCTACTTCCAATGTCTGCAATGCGTTGAAATGATGGCTCGCGAGCTTGGAAAACTTGAAGAGGCAGAGAAGTTCAAGCAATGGGCCCAGCGTATTTACGATGTTTACAATAAACATTTGCTTGTTACCGATGATTCATCGCACCCCTATGCATACTACACTTCCCTGGACAACTTCCCTCATCGAGACCGCACAGCCATCGCCCAGGCGATGGCTCTTCAGATCGGCCTGGTGCCAGAAGAGCACAAAAAGGGTGTGATGGCCGCATTCCTAGACGATGTGTCAGACGGCAAAATCCGCGCTGGTGAAATTGGACTTCGCTATCTCTTCAACACACTATCCGATGCCAAACGACCGGACCTGGTGCTCCAAATGGCTCGACAAGAGGAGCATCCCTCATACATGCGCTTCCTGCGCCGAGGCGAGACAACGCTTCTGGAATTCTGGCAAGATGAATGCCGGAGTAAATGCCATGATATGCTGGGTACGATCTACGAGTGGTTTTATACTTCCGTGCTTGGTTTGAAGGTGATTGAAGATGGATACCGGTTATTCGAGATTGATCCGCCTTACGGGGCAGAATTCGGCCATGTGAACGGCACGGTTGATTGCCCATACGGATTGATCGATATTGACTTCCGTCAGGAGAAGCATAATGTGGTTCTGAAGGTCCTTGTTCCTTTTGGAACTAATGCTCGGGTGAAGCTTCCTGGTGCTTTGAAGTCCTACGAGGTTGAACGTGATGGATCATCTATTCAAATAGATGGGGAGCCTCATTTGACCATTGGACACGGGTCGTACACTGTTAGAGTTCAGTTGTAAGAAATATTAGACACTATCATGGTTAATATTGCAGGAGTTTAGATAAACTGATTGAATAGAATGATGTTTTTATTCAAGTACTTCCTACCATTACCGTTCTTCATTCAGAATATCACATTATACTAGTCCTGACCACACATTAAAAAAATTAACAAAGTAACCATATCACATCTATCATGCTTTATCGCCAACCATGGAGTCTCCCTCGCAAGACCACCGTTTAAATTGTCTGCATGGTATATTTGCCTCAAACATAGCATCAATCTCCAATGCTGAGCGGCCTTTCATCTCCGGTACGATAAGCCACGTCACGGCGCAAGCCATAAAGCACAACCCGGCATATACGAAGCCGGTCTTTCCTTTCAGGTCACCTTCATCTGTGTTGTAGACATAGGGAAGAATCAAGTTGAAGACAACATTGGACAACATGTAGCACAGAACACCGACACCTTGTGTCTTTGCACGGAGACGTAGTGAAGAGGCCTCGCCAGAGACTGCGAACGATGCTGGCCAAGCGCCCATGCCACAGACAATGACGACTGCCATCATGCATGCAGCAGTGTACCTAGTAAGAGATGGTCAGTAATTTTCTTACAAACGGTCGAGGAAATGACTTACCAAACAACGACATTTCCAGACCAGCAGCCCGCGATTCCCATACTCAGCCAAATGATGGTGGTCACTGCCAAAGTGCCAAGCATCAAGCGACGACGTCCAAAGCGGCTCATCAACCAGATACCAACAGCATTGGCAAGAAGACCCAGAACAATGCCGACGAGAAGGACGATTAGACTGAGACTCGACGACATACCGACAACCTGCATGAAATAACTGGCGCCCGACAAAAGAGGAACACCAAACAAGCTAGGCACCGTGAAGGAAAACGCAACGATCATCGTCCGTCGCAGGTTGATACCCTTGAAGCAGTCAAGGTAAGACAACTCAGCCGAAAGCTGCTCCTCATGAATGATTGACATGCGCATCTGCTCCAACAACGGCTCAACTTCGATACGATCCGTATGCAACGACTTCATCGAGGCCAGTGCCTTCTCATACTGCTCCTTCTTCAACAAATAGGAAGGACTCTCAGGCATGAAGATAGCAACCACAAACGGCATAACAGTAGTAATCCACTGCGTTCCAAACGGAATCAAGAAAGCAGAAGAAGTCGCTATATGATCACAACCAAAGATAACTGCTGCGCCGATGAGCTCACCAAGCAGCATGAAGGTCGGACTCAAAGCCATAGCTGAGCCACGAAGGGTAACAGGAACAGTCTCAGACAGATAGGTCTGAGCGCCAGCCATCGCACCACCAACACCGACACCCTGGATCGCACGGCCAACGAGGAAAGTACCCCGTCTAGACGCCATCTCAGCAGGAAGATTCGAGCAAAACGCGATGGCAATACCAATAGCGCAGATGACGCAGCTGAAGGCCAACGACCAGCGTCTTCCTACCCTATCTTGGAACCAACCTGCGGCTGCAGCTCCGAACATCGAGCCGATAGGGGCTATGGCACTCCAGACTGATAGCCATGACGAGGGGATGATGTAGGCATCACCGTAGAGTTCGCCGAATTCATATTTGAAGTATGGGACTGCGGTGATTGTGCCGAGGATGACGGTGTCGTAGCCTGTCAGGAGGAAGGCGAGGGCTAATCCTAGGGCGTAGGCCGAGATTTTGGGATATTTGCGGATTTCAGAGAAAAGATTTGTTGGTTGTTCGTCTTGAATAGAGATTGCTGAAGTCATGACATCTTGCTTCGTGGTATCAGAGGTATAATTCTCAGGTTGCGAGGACATGATGGTAAATAGTAGCCAAGTAGTCGACTTGGTTTCTCCAGATTTTCGTTGAGATCGGTCTAGTATATGTACCCATTCCTTATCAAGGTATCAATCACACGCTATGTTGGGGTAAAAGACGCGTGGAAGATTCCCCAATCAGGTCTTTAGCTGGGGAAAATATCGCCACTAATCCCTTAAGTTCGTCTAGAAAGATTGCCAACCCTTCGCTAAGAACGCGGAGAGATATTGATGTTCTATAGACTAGATGCCGAGGCGGCCAATCAGGATGCAGCTCTTGCCGACATAACCAATCAAAACGCGATATGGGCGAACCTTCCCTCGACTCTAATCTTTGAATGTCTCCACCTCTCAACGCATGGTCATTCGGTCTTCTTTTCAGCACAGTTCGCATAATTTGGCGAGGTTTTTATAGAGACTGCACGGTTGCTGATTTTGCCGAGGTCGAAAACTGGGCCTGTTCAGAATCAATGGGACCGATTTAGAATAAATAGTGGCGGAGTCGCGCGGATAAATATATGTTCAATTGTTTCTACGGTACCTACCTGAGTAGGTACTTGTCTTTTCTTGTGGTACAATCTTGTAAACATCAACATGGACATCGCCCGTATCATCAAGCCGTGGCAGCGTCAACCGCACAAGGCATTCGTCTTCACGAATGCCACGATTATTGACCCGGTCGAGGGTGCACTGATTCCCAATGCAACCGTCCGAGTCGCCGACGGCAAGATCGTATCAATCGACACAAGCGAGACAGCCACAGAAGGAATCCCAGAGGAGGACATCATCGATCTCAGTGGGAAATACCTCTGCCCCGGTCTGATCGATTGCCATGTCCACGTCGCCGTAGTCCCCGGCGAGGCAGATCTCCGCGCCTACAAAGATATGACCGAGAAAGTCAGTTTGCTGCGTCAGCCACACGTCCTGAAGACTATGATTGAGCGCGGATTCACCTCTATCCGTGATTGCGGTGGTGCTAGTCTGGCTGTGAAGGAGGCTGTTGAGGATGGAGTCATTCCTGGTCCTCGTCTTTTCATTGCTGGGTTTGCCCTTTCGCAGACTGGTGGGCACGGAGATATGCGGGGACCGCATTCGGAGGAGTTGTGCTGTGGTGGTACTATCTCGGGTATTAGTCGCATTGTTGATGGGCCGGCTGAGTGCTATAAGTATGCTCGTGAGGAGCTTCGACAGGGAGCTGATTTCATCAAGATCATGGGTGGTGGTGGTGTGGTTAGTAGTCAAATTCGTGATGGCTTGATTTGCATATCTAACCGTTTCATCTATATAGGCAAGCCCTACGGATCGCATTGACCACATTCAATTCTCTGATGAGGAGATCAAGGCCATTGTTACTGTTGCCAATAATGCTGGTACCTACGTGACAAGTCATAGCTACACACCACAGGCAATCCAACAGGCGATCAATTTGGGTGTCCGTGGAATCGAGCACGGTAACCTGATTGATCTAGAGACTGCTAAACTGATGGCGGAGAAGGGCACCTTCCTGACGCCCACTCTTATTGCCCATGTCATGTCCAAGCAGATGAACTTCCTCCCGGCCGAAAGTGCTGCGAAGAACGACGAGGTCCTGGAGAAGGGCTTACGCGCTATGAAGATGGCTGTTGACGTTGGAGTCACCGTCTGCTTCGGCACTGACCTTCTGGGACCGATGCACTTCGCCCAGAGCAAGGAATTCTCCGTTCGCAGCAAGGTTCTCACTCCTATTCAGATCCTGCGCAGTGCTACCATAAATGCTGCTCGTCTGATCATGCAGGAGGATCGATTGGGCCAGATTAAGGAGGGATTTACAGCCGATATGTTAATCCTTAATGCCAATCCTTTGGAGGATATCACGGTCCTGGATCGGGCTGAGCAGAGCATTATGGGTGTTATCAAGGATGGACGTGTTCTGAAGTCCCGCTGGGAGAAGTTGACCGCCGAAGCATGAGATTAGTCAGTTCAAAATAATAATAGTCAAAATTTGATTTGCATAAGTACATATGTGCAGGCAAGACGCCGCAAATGCGACCATTGGTCATGTCATGACATGCCACAATAAGACATCAAGGCAGTATGGTGTTCTAATTACAACAGATATAGGGCGTATAGACAAAATGCGATGCGTGACGGGTTCGTCATGGCGACATGCAAGGCAGGCTTCCTCCGGAGGCGGGCCTAATTTTTCATTAATTGAAAATGCAAGGACAATGCATCAGCTCTTCACAAAATTCAATGGCTCTTGAAGGCATCATCTTCAGTATTCCGGGAGGCACCAAGGCCAGCTTCACCAAAGTCGCGGTACACTCTGTCACGAGCGACGGATCGATCCTTACGGATGGTGAGACAGTTGATGCCGAGGAAAGTGGTGATGCGGTTGATAACCAGGACGGCCCAGTGCATGTAAATCACGAAGGCAAACACCAGGTACAATCGGAGGTACCAGACCTCAACCCATGCGCTGACCATTGGGAGACCAAGGCGGGGCAGGTTAGCCAGAATGGCACCACCGATCAGAGGAGCCTGGAGTACGGTCCAGTATGGGAAGGGCTGACGCAGCAGGTGAGCCAGGATGATCATGGTAGTCATGCGACCAAAGACGAAGGAGATAACCCAGCAGTAAAGGACAAGGTGGTTATCAGTCAGAAGATGCGAGTATGGCGAAAACAACCAGGCGACGTTGCAGAAAGTGAACAGAATCATAGGCACCCACTCCTTGATCAGAGGAGTGAAGGGCAGACCCTGCTTCTTACGCGCCTCATACACGTTCATAACACAGCCTGGGAGGTGGCCCAAGAGGAAGCCACCAACAAGGATCGGCACCCAGAGATCCTTCACGGAGTTGGTACCGAAGATCTGCGGGATATTGATGAAATCGGTGATCGGCTGCGCCCAGATGCCCGGACCCCAAATACCGGAAGCAATCATGATGCTGATGGCAATGAGCAGACCCTCAGTCGGACCATTGAAGTAGCCGAGGTACAGGGTGTGGGTGTGGAAAGTTTCCCAGGTGGAGAAGTACATCGCCAGGCAAGGGACAAGTGCAGTGTAGGCACCAAGCTGGGAAGCACCGAATCCCATGGCAGCAGTCTCCAACAAGCTGGCTAGGGTACAGTTCAAGGAGTCAATACCGTGACTAGGGTTCGTCAGCAACTATCCATGGCTAAGTCAGAGATGGTACGAACTCAAATAGTTCTCCCAGCCCGCTGGAAGTTCCCGTTCTCCGAGCCTGTTTACCATCCACGTTATCCAGCGTAGAGTACCTGTTAGGTGTCAGTTGAGATCAAACGGCTTTAGTGTAACCAATACTGACATCCACATGCCGAGGGCGAAACTGAAGTATAGCCACGAAGGGGCCTATGCAATAAGTTAGTGACCGCTCATACACCACAATTCCGTTCATCCATACCGGTCCCAGAAGATCAGGCATAAAGAACACGATCAAAAAGACATTGGCCACAATCCACACGAACCCGAGCAGGGTAACCATGTTGGGTGCCATCCACATGGGGAGAAGCTCAACGAAGGCATTCCACTGGAACAATGATCAGTGATGTGCCCTTAAATCCACGTTGCAGATGCCATGTTTGGAGTTCATACGTAGTGTCTGAGGATGTAGTTCGAGATAGGGGACTTGTCGACACTGGAGTACTTGTAGGACTTGAGAGGAAGCAGCGCATCGTCGGAAAGAGAATCTTGGGTCTCTGTACGAAATAATACATGTTAACAGTCAACTCCTGGATCAATTCAATTTGATTGAACTAACCTTGGACCATTCGCTGAATGACGTTCATCTTGAAAGGGAGCCTTGAAGCGATCCGCGACGCGTGGCACGTTCAGGCAGCGGAAAAACTTGGACTATATACCACACACTTTTTGACCGAAAGACAATGCTGTAGGGACAAAAGTAAAAACTTGAAGAAATACTCCTTTATCAAAGCACCAAATGGAGCTGGCGGACCCAAAAATAGCCAAGGGAAATAAGGGTCTCAAGGAATGTCTCACTCAGGGATTTTCGGCCTAAGATCACGTGCGGCACTCCGCATCGCCGGAACGCGCGCCTGAGCGCTCCACTTCAGCAAGGTTGTCTCGGCGTTTTGTTGTCTAGCTCTCGGTTTCGACATCAGTCCGTGGAGGCTTGTCCATCTTGTCAACATTGAATCGCCCTTCTATTCACTGTCCCGAAAACGTACCGACCGCGTACCCACGTCCCCTTCAGTCACGCGCAACTGGCGTTTCTTCACTCCGTCCTTCACTCCGACCTTCACAATTCACCACTTGCCACTCATTACTTGTGATGCTCTTTTGTTAAGGTCAACTGGGCATGACGGTTGATGGTCATCACAGCGCCCGACGCGCTTTTTACCACTGAGGATATCTCGCGATGCCGGGCGTCGTCGAAATGCACGCCGGCGGCGCTCCAGCACCAGGACTGGAATTTAGTGTCGCACACCAAAAGGTCGAGCTCGAAATTGATTTCATCAACAAAAGTCTGAAGGGAAATACGGAGATCACCATTCATCCGCAACGGAAGGACTTGAGGGACATTTATTTAAACTTTCGCCAGGGCGAGATTAAGCGCATAAATGTGAATGGGAAATCTGTTGCGACCTGGGACTATGCCGATCCTTGTGAACACATCCAGCTGTATGGAGCGCAATACCACCAGCGATTAACGCCGAAGCTCGATTCCCTCCTCAAAAGCCCACGCGAACCCGAGTTAAAAATAGCCATCCCGAAAGGCGTGAGAATTGAGGAGCTAGATCCATATTCGGCAGAGGCGCAGGAACAGATTGCACTCCAGGGCGCTGGTGATGATGTTGATGGACCAACGAGCGGCCGGGGTGCAGAGGCGATTCTTCCACGTTTCAAAGCTTTGACTTTGAACATTGAATTCGTGGCGGACCGGGTACGCGATGGACTGCAATTTGTTGGAGTCGATACCGGAGATCGTCGTTACCCACATGCCTACACTACGAATTCGCTAGAGACGGGGGTTGGGTGCCCTCTGTTCCCCTGTGTGGATGATTCGGCCTCGCGTTGCACTTGGGACATTTCGATTTCATGCCCTTCCACGCTGGGAGACCTCTTTGATCGCAAGAGCCGTGATGCTTCCGGCTCCCGCTCAAAATCCCAGACTCGGCAGATCTCTGCAGATGACGAGGGGCTTGACATGTCTGTGGTATGCTCTGGTGAGCTGACAGATGATATTGTCGACCCAAAGGATCCCAGTCGAAAGACAGTCTCATTCGGATGTTACGCTCCGCTATCTGCTCGTCAACTTGGATTCGCAGTCGGCCCCTTTGAATACGTCAACTTGGCAGACTTCCGTGAAAGTGATCAGGACGAACAGCTCGGCCAGAATGCCATCCCTCTCCACGCGTTCTGTCTACCCGGCAGAGGTGATGAGGTTCAAAACACCAGCTTCCCCATGGCACAGGCCATTGACTTTTTCTCTTTGTCATATGGTTCGTATCCTTTCTCCAGCTACAAAATCTGTTTTGTCGATGACGTTGCCTCGGACACATTGCCCACGGCCTGCCTGTCAATATGCAGCAGCCACCTTCTCTTCCCAGCAGAGATCATTGATCCAATGTATGATTCCACTCGGGCATTGGTTCATGCTTTAGCGTGTCAATGGACTGGAATCAATATTATCCCCAATGAACCTGCGGATACCTGGGTTACGGTTGGAGTTGCTTGGTACATCACCGATACATTCATGAAGAAGCTTTGTGGCAATAATGAATATAGATTTCGTCTCAAGCAAATGTCCGACCGGATCTGCGAGTTGGACTATGAACGTCCTTCGATCTACGACATGGGAAATTTCCTCAAGATTGACCCATCCGAGTCCCAGTTCATTGCCCTGAAGGCACCCCTGGTTCTTTTCATCCTCGATCGACGTTTGACTAAGGCCAGTGGCAAAGCCACCATGTCTCGTATCATCTCTCGACTGTTCCTCAATTCGCGCATGGGTGACATACCCAACGGAGCCGTAACATCGTCTCTGTTTCAAAAGACATGTGAGCGACTTGGTCATGCGAAGCTTGATGTTTTCTTCCAACAGTGGGTTTATGGTGCCGGATGTCCCCGCTTCCAGGCCACACAGCGCTTTAATAAAAAGAAACTCGTGGTTGAGATGATGATCAGGCAAGTCCAAGGTGATCAACCAGCAGCACGCGACCTTGATAAGAACGCCTTCCTGCGAGATGTCAAGGAGGAAATCCGTCACGTTTGGGCGGGTGCTCTTCAACCTGTGTTTACAGGGTCTATGACGCTCCGCATTCACGAAGCCGATGGAACTCCATATGAACATATTGTGGAGATCAAGGAGGGCGTCACCAAGTTCGACATTCCATACAACACAAAGTACAAGCGACTGAAGCGGAATAAAAAGCAGCGCGAACGCGCTGTCGCGAATGGCGACCCAGAGGCTCAGGAAGAAGTTCTTCTCTACTGTCTCGGAGACGTTCTCCAGACAGAAGAAGAAACTCAAGAATGGCGTTTGGCAGACTGGACCAAGGAGGACGAGGAGCGTATGGGCCAGGAGTCCTACGAATGGATTCGTATGGATGCAGACTTTGAATGGATCTGCAGGTTGTCCCTAGGTATGCCCGGTTACATGTACTTGTCACAGCTCCAGCAAGACCGAGACGTTGTTGCTCAATTGGAGTCCCTCCAGTACATGGCTGCGCAGCGTGAGCATCCTTTGATCTCCACCATCTTCGCTCGCACCCTAATGGATAGTCGCTACTTTTATGGAATTCGACTGACTGCTGTACGAGCATTGGTCAAGCACGCCAAGGACGAAGTAGATTGGATTGGGCTTTTCCATCTTGAGAGGGCTTTCCAGGAGTTGTTCTGTCTTCCCGGATCCCCCATGACTAAATCTAATGATTTCTCCGACATGGCCGCTTATCTTCTTCAAAAAGAGATACCAGCGGCAATCTCAAAGGTGCGCGACAACAGCGGTAAGACCCCTTTGCGGGTCAAGCGCTTTCTCTTTGACAAGCTGAAATTCAATGACAACTCCAACAATGCGTACTCCGACAACTATTATGTGGCGTCGCTGATGAACTCCCTCTGTCATGCCCTGCAAGGCCGCAATGAATCTCGACAAGAGGATGAGTTGGCCCATTTTGACATGGAGCGTGTCCTCGAAGCCCAGGCTGAAGAACAGATAGAGAAGGATTCTGTTGCCGAGTTCGATCGGTACCGAAGAATGGATGAGTGGTCAGGCTCTTATCAAAATTTGTATGCACGATCTGCGTTGCAGTGTCAAATGCAGATGATGCAGGCCAAAATCCAGGAGACAGACCTGATGCGTTTCGTGCCCTATACACGCGCTGGGACTTTTGATCTCCTTCGTGTGCAAGCTTTTGATTGTCTTGTTGAACTTGATATTTCTCAAATCCCAGACCTCCTTCGCTGGCTCATTTTCACCATGACCAGCGACTCGTCTGCCTATGTCCGTCATCATTGTCAGCGGTTGTTTGGTCGGGCATTAGCTATGATTGCATTTGGCCGCGCTCCGCAGCCCGAAAATACCCAAAATGATGGCTTGATTATCGAACAAGAGTCCTCTACTGAGGTCCGACAAGCAGACTTGGCGCGCCGTCAAACTGTTCCCGGTGCAATTGAGGCTCTTAAAAGGGAACTCTATCACGATGCGTCACTGAAGGAATACCTCTGGGCGGCGTGCAATGCCCTGCCTATCGGATTGCACGAGATGTCTGAAATCGCAGATATCTGCAACGTCATGTTTGAACCCGTGACGTCCAAAAAGGCCGTCCTTAAATACCCTCGCTTCTGGAATGTTCAGAACTTGGGCAACGGCAAGGTGCGATTCTTCCGTTCAAAGAATATTCGTACCACATTGGGACCCTCGAAGGACGCCGTCAAGCGGAAGCGTGAGGAACCAGGTATGCCGCCGCCTGCTCCTCGGATCACGTTCAAGCAGGCCAAGACGACTTCCACACCCAGCACCCCGTCCTCTACGAGCCTTCCAAAGATCCACATTCCCAACCCATCCCCCGCTCCAGCAGCAGTCAGAACCCCTGGCTCTGCCACGCCATCAACGCCATCTACCGGTGGCCCACTGAAGCTCAAACTCAAATTTGGGCAAAAATCAAAATAAACCATGATACCTGCATTCGAATACCATGTACTTTACTACAATACGATTTCCTTTTATCCTATCATTAGGCGAAGAAGCATGGTTCTAGGCGCGAACAAGGCGATGCATTGCTTCCATAATACCAAATCTTTTTATGCCATCGCACATCTCACCGTACATAGCTGCCGCATAGACTTGCTTAGACTAGAGCGAAGCACGCGTCCTTGGTATCTTGTAATTCCCGTCAAACCCACGGTGGTATTTATTCAGGTTATCAGGAAGCTTCCACAGCAATCGCAGAAGCAGAAACAGAAAAATAAGGTTTTGATGGTCCCCAGACGAGCAACCGACCCATAAACTCCCTGTACCATTATGATCATCCCCAGCCACGGTCAAAGCCGCGCGCTTGTGTCCTCGAAGAAAATGTCATTTATTGTGTGTGGTGTGCTTATTTGTCGTTTATCCGTTCAAGGGCCTCAATCATGACGACCGAGTTACCGCGGATGACCTATCGTCGTTAGTCCAGTTTTGAGCAGAAATAGAGAGCCAGAAGACGTACAATCATGCCAATGGCGACCTTCTCACCACCATCTTTCTCCTCGAAGGCCTCATCGAGGACAATGTTCATGAACACCTAAAGAAATGAATGAGTGATGATTCCTTTGAGGCGGTGGACGTCTGCCAGGTCCTTGGGTCTTGACAAGCTGGGAAATCGCATGACCCAGGGACCGAACAGATCAATCCAGCGCAATATATTCATAAGGAGGGAATCGAACGTACATCGTAGCCGCGGAGGATACCGATCACTTTGCGGTTGCCGTTCAACTGGCAGAAGACCCGCTTCTCCATGTACTGCGCAGAAATTGTCAGCGGGCAAAACGCGAGATAAAGGAAGTGCGGAGGAGTCAGCACACACCTTTTTCAATTCCGGCTGAGCTTGAGGCATCTTGGGCAAGCTGGTAACTGGATTACTGGTTTGGCAAGAATCGAGTGGAACCTATCGCGCGGTGCTGTGGTATCGGTGTCCGGGTTTAGGTTGTTCCAGAGCCCGGATAGGCGATAAGAAGAATAGCTCTTGAGCTCGCCGCACCGTTCTTCCACTTCTAGTCCACGCGCATTATGAGTTCAACTTTTGCAAACAGGAGGAAACCACGGAAGATTGGTGGGGATGATGAGGAGGAAGACGGGGGGTCTGCCCCAGGTGCGTCATATTAATCACTCTCTATCCTAGAAACTGTCTAACCATCAAGCTGCATACAGAGCCCGTCGTCAAACGGCCAACAAAAGCGAAGCCAAAATCGAAACTGCGCATGTCTTTTAACGCTGGTGGAACTTCAATGGCCGATGAAGAAGACGAACCCAGCGAAGTGGTTATTCCAAAACGACTTGGCCTAGGCCGCAAGGCTGTGGAGCGCAGTGCCGCTCAGCGCAACCAACTTCCTTTAGGCGATGCCGAGAAGCTCTCCGAACGCTTTGGTCATGATCAAGACCGACCGAGCTACAGCAGTGACTATCTCAAAGAGCTCCGCGACTCAACTCCCTCTACGCCAAAACTCACCGATGACGAGAAAGACAAGACAGTGGATGTGGCCGCCAAGTTTGGCGAGCTTATGACAGTTTCTGGTCAATCGGCCATCCCGAGCGCAGCCGAGATTCGGGAAAAGAAAGCTAGAAGAGCACGCTTGGCCATGGAACATACCGCCAACTCCACAGAGGAGGACTTTATGTCCCTTGATGCTGGTGCTGTAAGCGACGATGACTGGGACGCGATAGCGCGGGGTGAAAAGGTGGCAGAGAAGGAGAAGGATACACGACTCGTTCGGGACGATGAGGATTTCGCGGAGGGTTTCGAGGAATATGTGGAGGATGGAAAGATTTCACTGGGGAAGAAAGCAGAGCGTGAGCAAAAGCGCAAACAGCGTGAAGCCATGCGTGAACTTATCGACGATGCTGAGGGGCTTTCTGATGAGGAAGATTCCGATGTGGAAGAAAAGGCTGCCTATGAAGCCACCCAGACGAAGGCCGCCATCGGACAGAAGTCGGACATTGAGCGGCCTCGGACACCTCCCAAGATGACTTCTCTTCCTCGGTTAGCTAGCAGTTTTGACCGACTGCGTACTTCCTTGGCAGCAATGGAAAATGCTAAGACTCAGATGATCAGTCGGATGGAGGACTTGCGAAAAGAGAAGGCCGACATTGCGATTCGCGAGGTGGAAATCCAGGGCATGATAAAAGAGGCTGGAGACATTTATGAACGATTGAAGAAGGAAGCCGGTATCGCAATCACAAATGGAGATGCATCGGCTGGTGCTTTGGAGAAGTCGCGAGGTCTGGAAAGTATCGGCGCGCCATTACCAGCTTCAGATTCCAGCTCCGATGAATCATGAGTCTCGCCTTCCTCATTCGTGCCTTCCTTTATGATGCCAATTTTGCCAAAATCATTGTTATGCTTAGATTCGGAGTTGATTTTTTTGATACCCAAGTTCCAATATTCAAGGTCCTTTTCTACAATATATCTTACCATGCCTCCCGCTCAGTCGTTTTTCATATTTCGACAGCTTCCCCGTAGAACAGCTTTAACTGCTGAAGATCATCCGTCAGCAGAGCCTCCAACCAGATTTGTACCCTTTTCTAATGCTATACAGTGCCCACAACAACACCCCATTGTCGTGGATCGTTAACCCGATCAATAAAACCGGAGCGGAGCCTCGTCTCTATCGCCGCTCCGACACAACGTCCATCGAACTATTCTTTGACTTGTTTTTCGTGGCCAATCTGTCCACTTTCACAGCAACACATGAGATCAACAATCTGAATGGTATGCCCTCGAGGCTGTATCGGGGGTTTCAGGTGCTAACACTATCCAGCGTTGGGGTCCTATGTGGGATTCCTCGGAGTTATTTGGTTCACATGGCTACAAGTCACCTTGTTCGATATACGGTTTGCGCAGGATTCGGTCTTCGAAAGGACTTGCAAAGCCCTTCAACTTGCAGTGATGATCGGTTTTGCATCCGCCGGAACTCGTTTTACGACCCGCGTTCGCGACGAAAATTTATGGGCGTTTCAATCGTTGAGCTTGATTCTGGCAGGGAGTCGAATATTGTTGGCGACCCAATACACCATCACTCTTGCATTCATGTACCAACCCATGAAAGCCAGTGCGAAGGGCGTTGCATATACGGCTATGATGTTTTGGGCAGCCACAATATGCTACCTCGCAGTAGGCCTTCAAGCCCCCTTGTCCTGTCTCCACTAACATTTTAGATGTTTTTCGCTTTCAGCCAAGGTCATCAGGTCCCTTCTCGAATCTGGACCGTTTGGTTCGCCCTGTTTGGAGTTGAGATGTGGACGGTGATGGTGGTCTCTTGCGGTTTTCCTGAAATTGGCTTTCAGGACACCTACCTCAATGTCCGGATGGGCCTTCTCACGCTCATCATCATTGGCGAGGGGGTTATTGCGGTCACTCGGATTGTCAACAAGACGGTGCGGCCAGGGGGATGGACCAAATGGTCGTTTGTTCATATCTTGGGAGTGACAACCAACGTCGTATGCCCCCTATCCTCATGAGTCTGAATTGTTTATTGCGAAAAGCTAATAGTAGCTTGCAGTACCTACTATGGCAGGTTTACTTTGACCTGTCCCCGGGGCGTCGACTTGGTAGAGTCGCTCAACAGATCTGGGCGCAACTCCATTTCCCCTTTCATGTGGCACTGATTTTACTGCTGGAGGGCTCTCAAATACTGGCCTTGACTTTGGATGTGACGTTAAAGTTAAAGTATCTGGGACAGACGTTTCTCTTTGTGTGTGAAGAAAATCGTCCAAGCCAACAAAAGGCGATTGCACTGATCAGAAGCACCATCACGGACATGGAGATTCCATTTAGCCGGGGAGCAACACAAGAATGGGCGGCAATCTCGAGTCTTTTGGATGACCTTTCCAATCAACCTCTTTGTCCTGAGGTCGGGACATTCAGTGCGCATCATAATGTGGACATCTTCAATGATCTGATGGGCAATGTTACTGCAGCCCTGTTCTCCAGCATGGATATCACCCCACCAGTAAAGGTGGACATTGGCCTGCTTGACAGCCATCAACTGCTGCAAATGTACATGAAATTGTTAGCATTTGTGTATATATACTTCTTTGCTGGAGCCAGTTTGACGATGGGCTTTTTCAGCGTATTCACCATCCTTTCTCGTCGGCACAAGCGCTTGCTGTACCTCGGTCTTTCCATGGCAGTGAGAGCTCTACTTGCAATTTTTCTGGCGGGTCTAGTCTCATTCGCCAGCTACTTCCCGTTGGCCTATTCCTTCATGACCTCGCCGATCATCCTGTATGCCTTTACACTGCCGCTTCTTACTGGTCAGTTTTCTGTCCCATCATAGTCTGCGGAAACTAATTCCCAGCAGTTCTTTTGGTTGACCGACTTTTGGACGGTCTGGCATCTCGGAGAGACGCAGCCAGCCGACGGAAGCGGGAAAACACCATGGAGCTAAAGCGTTCCACCCTTACTGGCATCGCAGAAGATCAGAGCTCTGTCATGGGTCGTGAACGACATGCCCCATTGTCAATTGGTGGAGAGGAGGCTCATTCTCGGTCATCTGAGCCATAGTCTATGCTAATGACACACGCGTGCGGCTCTTTGAGCTTGAACGGGGAGAGGCATGAAGTCTAGCCAGGCAGCAGTGCGTATGTTCTGCATGGATACCCATTGACTGGGTTTATAACGTCTCAGTCAGCACCACACTTTTGCTTTAATGAGAATTTGCTCGTCTTGCCAAGTTGGAGACTTTATTTTATCTGGTCAGTTGTTTTTCTGTTTCTCTCAAGCGTTCAGTCCACGCGTAATCAATCGTAAGATATTTGCCACTCGCTGTTATTCCCGAAACCTCTAGTACCTGTTGAAATAATCAGAGACATCTGACACCAGCGAGGAGGTCATGAGTAACTAACGCAATATCCGCGACAGCGCATACTTAAATGTATGGCGTGACCGTTATGGGATGGTCTGCAGCAAGCCATCAACATCCATGATCCACCTCAATCGATGGGGGTCTGGCCGTTGGGATGGCAGGGTTGTCTCGCGAAATAACCTTCTAGTTTGTCTATTCTCCCGTGTTGACGTCCCAAAGGGCTATCTACCTAGACTATCCCCTGCAATGCTCTATCTTGCTATTATAATTGAACTTGGAGTATACGGTGCTGAAGTGCTTAGGCAGCTATAAGAATTAACTCTATTCGCCTTATATTATCCGCAAAGAAACAAATCGATCTATACCACCCGTGTACATCTCCCCAGATTGATCTACGAACCAAGATAATATAGACTGACAAAGAGAAACTCCCCATATGACGCACATGCAGTCCATCGCCCGGCGACGATTCAATCCGCCAACCCGAGCCAACCTCCAAAAGCTCGATAACTAACAGCTTGAGTGGATCTAGCGGCGTAAAACCAACAAATGCCGTACAGATACAGATACATGTAAGATTATGACAAGCAGATGGGAGCGGATGGTCATCCGAGTGGATGTAATATCCGAGGCATTGCACCTCTGACTGGAATAACCATTGCTCGTTCGCATTTCCTGCAGACCAGTTCACTATCTTGCCGGCTTCAACGCCACCCAGCCCATCCCATCGTAAAAAGCTTCTTTGAAACGGGGCTGAGGGATGTGTTGAACTGGGGAGAGTGGAGCGGGGTGGGGTTAGGTCTGAGCTTATAATATTTATTCTTTCGTTTCTCTTGCTCATTCTCATCTTCGGAAACTATTGAGTCTGAGTCTATAAATAAGCGTAATATGTAGCTTGCTATAGTAAGTGCACTAGTAAAGTCCAACGCTCCACACTAACTATAACCCTGCTGTCGATCAGGCAGTAATGCAAATGTCCTCGGCAGATCGCATCCTAAGTAGACACATCACTCCACACTCCCCGGGACCCCTAAAAATGAAAATAGACGTAGACCACCAACTGTTCATACTTGCTTTTTGGGCAACTGTTGGACCAACCTAAGACTCTGATTGGAGCGGATGATTCACCACTGCCACCTAGCCCTGTGTAGCTACCCGTCCAGGATGGAACATTTGTAAATTGACTATGCCAAGAGCGCGGATGGGGTAGGAGCTAGCTTAATAAGAATATGTGGATATTGTATTTTACGGGGGTCGGAAAGCTTGGGTTGATCTGGTTCAGGGCTGTTTTTCTTTCCTAACTGTGGGCTGGGGTTGCTTTGGTTCTGGACGAGATATAGACTGCTGATATAGGATTCGACACACTGAGCCCGGGAAATAGATTTAACATTAGAGTTTATGCAAGGAATATCAGGATAAGTGTGATCAAAGATTGTAACTACTTTGCATTCTGAATAATAAACCTAAGACGCCATCCTAACGGCGACTATGTCTCACATTATTTCTGCCCAAGTCGAGTCTCCGCGAGACATACAAAGAAAGATCTGAAACGGCGGCAAGTGGATCGCGGTAACTTAAAGTCCCGATTTCTGGTCGGACTAGGGTTAACGGTCATTCCGGGAACAACCCATGGGGTGTTCCGTCATCACTCCTTAATATTCATAATAGGCGACTATCAGGGATGAAAGCTTTAATGAGAGCATATCAGATGGATATAAAGGCGTCTGCTAATGATCATAGGACACCATCTCATAGTCTCAATTTCTTTCCATGAAGCTTAACGCCTCACCGAGTTTCATTACTATCCTCCGCTTTCCGTTGATCTAAGACCGCATTGCATTCAACGGTTTACCCGCAATCAAGATCACACCGATCAGCCATTGCGGTACACCTGTCTCGAATAATAGTAGTAGCCCTGGAGAATCAACAGGTATATCTATCTATACATAGATCGGCATGCCATTTCATCCGAGCATACTATATAACTCAGGTAAGAAACCCCAAGTGAAACCTCTCCATCAGAGCCTGATATCAGCCGTGCAGTTGCCACCCGTCAAATCATTGCAAAGACACAAAGTCTACGGTAATCTACACACAGCGACAACCCGTGTACAACCATAATTGTTGCAGCGGTGAATCCAAAGTGACGGGATCTACTTGTGCATTCTATTCACTATGGTAGAAGTACAAGTTAGTCCGGGGTGCGCGAGGCCATGGGAGTCCCAGGAAATTAACAACAATCCACGATTTATCACTCAGGGCTGTTCTTTCAATGCGATGAAATTTCTTCCTCTTGACCACCTTGCGAACTACTGGGACTCTGTTGACGCAGACTCTCAATCTACTGATCAACAACACTCACCTCCTTTGAAAAGACTTCGGACTTCATCTGATTCTGGAAACATGTTTCATGTCCTGCCAATGAACCGTCCCAATTCCAAGGATTTCCTCTGCTATCCCCCGAAACCTCATTCTTTGCATCATCCTACGTTGCTGTCAAGTGCAATTGTCTCTCCCGCTATGGAGACTACTTGTTCTAGTGATGGGAGTTCCTATGATGAGATGCCATTCGGGTACTTCAATCAGCCGAGTCACTCTTTCACAACAGCCTCATATACAGGGACGGTCAATGAAGTTCCAATGTCTGATTTTGACTGGACTGCGAAGAATTTGTCTTTCGTTTCCGAGACTGAAGATACGCCCTCACTCTCGTCACCCTATGAGTTCATAGATATGCCAAAGGACGAACCGCCTACCTGGGGCAACATGCCCTACGGGACCCAGATGCCCTTCATCCCTATCTCCAATGACAAGAGTGTCGGGTTTCAACCTTTCAATTCGCAATTCCAAGAATGTTCTACCTCATGGACTTCATGGCCGACCAACGCAGAGAACTGCATACAGCCATTCGCAGAACATATGGATCAATCTTCAAACTACGCCGAGTTTCCAACAGACTGGCGATCACAGATCGATCACCCCATGGTCCAAGACTATAAGGTCTTCCAGACCATCCCTAATACACCAGACCAGCAACACATCTTCCACCAGGAATGCACACAAACCAGCACATACACTCTGTCTCATACCACAACAACAACCTCACTTCAAGACCAAGAACCCAGAACAAGCTTCAACTACATTACCCCCCAACCCGAAATAGCAACCATCATCCAACAACCATCCCACCACCTCGCCACAGGTGCCAATGACCATCAACAACACCCACACCACCCAATGCAAGCAGCAATCCAACACACACCAGAATCCCTATCCCAGCCCGACTCCCCAATCCAAGCACAAGTTGAGAGCCGAACTCCAAACCACTTAAAGGCAACCCTCCACTACTCAGACTCCCGAAACGCCTTTCTAATAGACTGCAAGCGCCGTGGCCTCTCCTACAAGGAAATCAAGCGCATGGGCGGGTTCAAAGAAGCCGAATCAACACTCCGGGGTCGGTTCCGGACATTAACGAAGTCGAAGGAACAGCGTGTTAGGAAACCTAAGTGGGTGGGACAGGATGTAAGTAGAACCCACTCAAACAAGACATTGGCAGGAATGGCTGATGCTAATCCTGATGATCATAGGTAAACCTCCTCATCGAAGCAGTCTCAATCTTTACAGATAAAGACCACTATGATTACGAAGGTGACGATGTACAACCGGACTTTCCTGCTGGTGTGGTGAGCCAGGCTCAGGCCCAGAATCACGATGGCAGTCAGAACCAGGCTCTTGCGCCGAAAGTCTCGTGGAAGAAAGTAGCTCAATTTATTTGGGCTAATGGGGGCAGTTATCAGTTTGGCAATGCGACTTGCAAGAAGAAATGGTGTGAGATTTATGGGGTCAATATGTGATTTAATCTATTCCACTTGGGTCTGGTTGGGTGATCATGGTCGTGGATTCGTGCGTTGTTCTCGTGGGTTTATGGAGGTTATGGTCATGGTACTATTACTGAGTAGGGATGGATGGTGGTTTGCTGAGATTTCTTACCTTTTCTTGTTTAGGATTTAGTATTATTAGTATTTCTGTCAGCTGGTCTGAATTCATTTTTTATCTACTTCAAGTTTCTACTACTCGCTGAAGTTGATTTAGCGGATCAACCATCAACATGAACTCAAGTGCTACTACAAGGCACATTCCATGAAATTGAGTTCACGTAAATCTTGAGATTTATATTGTCACTATAAACAAAAATGAGAAGTATAAACAACATGCATATGCACATATCAGCCCTCATGGACTAATCACAATAAAGATCCTCCACGATAATCAACCCTTGGGAATCCCACATCCCTCAAAGCTTGATTCAAGTTCTCCGGATGATGTCTCAAAGCATCCCATTCCGCCTCGGCCTTGACCATCAACGTACCCGCAAGGATAGTTCCGTTCAAGGAAATGACCCCCGGATCGACCGTATCATTCGCCGCGGCCGGATCGATGGGTACGGTAGCGGTTTCTACTTTCCGTGGCGCGATCATCATTGTTGATAGCGTCATGGCGAGGTTGTAGCTTATAGCGGCTGGACCGTGAGATGGGAGATCATGGGCCTGCGCTGGATCTCGGCCTTCTGTTGCGGCTACGGCGGCGCGGTAGAGAGTGATATAGATTGAGTGGAGGGTTTCTGGGGATGGGTTCGGAGGGAGGGGGAGCGCCAAGTGGGCGAATGGGAGGTGAGGCATGTATTGGAATGTTGAGTTGGAGGTTGGCGATGAACCGGGTTGTGTCTTGGGTTGTTGGGCGGCTAGGAGTTCGATGAGGGGGTGCCATCCCTCTGCGCCAGGTGATCGCATTGCTTCGACGGGAAGGAATTGAAGGTGACGGTGCGGTTGGCTTGCACCGCTGTCCTCGCCAGAGTTAAAGAAGGCGTAGAGGCGGGGTTTCTCTGAGCTGTTGCTGCTGCTACAGCTATTATCAAGGCCCCATGTACGTAGACATTCATATGTAGCTTCCAGATCCACCTTCTCCAGCAAGTCGGTCTGAGCCCGCCATTCCTTCGTCGCGAGGATAAAGTGGTGCGGGATAACGGGGAACTTATTGAGCACGAGGGCGTGGGAAGGGTTCTCGGGCGGGAAGTGGGCGAGCAGAAGCTCCGGAGAGGGGTTCTCGAAGGGATCGGGTTTGGGACGTTTCGGACCAGGTTCCGGTTTGTAATTTGATGGTTTCTTTGCAAGAGCAGGGCAATAGCGTAATTGATACTGGAATTGAGTTGTTAGCGTGATCTAGCCTATGACGATATGCGGTACTTTACTCACCGGAATCCCCGCAGCCGTGACAATTGACAAGTGTGTATGCGAGAACACTAGATGATTCCCTTCTTTGGCAGCTTTAAAGCGCCGGGCGACCAGCGCCGAAAGGCTTTCCGAGAGACCGAGTTGCATGGTGGTGTGTAGAGGATATGAGACAGAACGTGGGGATAGACGTGGGGAGATCGCGGAAGGCGGTACGTACCGCACCCCGGATGTACGAACTGTGCAAGTTACTTAGAATAAATCTACAGGAATAAAATAATATGTAGTGGTGAGATATTCATGCATTGTCATATCCATTAAATCAAATATTTTCCGAGCCAAACACCATCCGATAGTCACCCGAGCCAGCAGGATCGGTATAGGTGCAACCAAAAGGCTTCCTAGAAATAAAAAGACATAGTAAAATCGTACCAACATCGAGCCGAGGTATCAATATCCGTAACACATCCGACGGTAATACGCCGCTCGCTGCAATACGGAAACAAGACAAAAGAGAACAACAAGGTTCATGGAAGCGCTCAAAAAGATCAAAAGTATTTAGCACACATTCAAGCCATGAGGTCATTGATCGACAGATCATCCTCAGGCTGGAATAGATCGGGGAGAAGTCTTGCTGGCTGACCCATTAGATGAGTAGATGGGCCATTGATCCAAGGACCACGCTCCTCTTCGCTGGCGCTGAGTACACCCTCAGCACGCTTCAGAGTCTCCACGTCCAGATCAGTGACATAGGCATCACGGTTGGTACCGTCACCTGCGCCGGCTAGAAGTGGTAAACGGACCTCGAACTCGTTGTTTAGCATCATCTCGTCCTTCCACAGGCGGCGCTGCCCGCTGAAGACACAGAGAACACGCTTCTTGGTCTTCATGCTGCTATTGGGGCATCCCCAGGACTGGGGGTAATTTCCCCGGTTGTTGCGACGGCGAGTCACCACAGGTCGGGGACCCTTCCCAGATGCAGTAGAGGAAGTGTTCTTGGTAATAGCATTGCCATTACCGATGATAGCCCGAGAGCCCTTGGGTTTGGAATTCCGACCAGTGCGGAAGTTCAAGAGGTCATAAGAGTCGTTATCGTCGTGGGAATCATCATCATCGTATTGCTCAACGGAACCAGTTGTATCCTGTAACCGATGCTTTTCCATCGTCTTCTTCACCTCCTCGTCGGCAGCAACGTCAGCCAGATGTTGCTGGTTGATTGCCTCCGATGGCTCCTCCTGCTGCACAACGCGCAGGACACAGTCATCCAGATGCTCGTAGAAGTCCTGGGGGTTGCTGAATGTCGACGAGCAAGTCGAACACTTGCCAGTGGCATCGCTCGGGTAGTTTGTACCCTTCTTCGCAGAGGCACCCGGGCTGCGCTTGCGGCAGTTAGGTGGAGTCTGCTCCACGCCATGGACGGAGGTCAAGTGGCGCTTGAAGACGTCAGCGCGGTTGAAGCTCTTCTCAGCTGAAGAGCCAGTTCCGGGACAGAAACCGCAGACCATAGTGCCCTTGTAGTGGGTCAAGGTGTGACGGTTCTTGTCGTATTTGCGGGCAAAGCCTTTAATGTGGTACTCGCAGTTCATGATGGGGCACTTCTCTGGCCGCTCGGACTGGTGGGTAAGCAGGTGAGCCTTCAAGTCCTTGAAGACACGGCCGCACTCTGCGAAAGGGCATTGGCCCTTCTCCTTGACATCATCGCCTTCGATGCTGCTCAAAGCGGGGCTCTGTCGGGAGCGACGGGAATGGGTGGAAGAAATTGAAGAGCGTCGGTCATATACGGACGGAGGCCCGGAGTGGAAACCAGAATTCATCATCAGGGGGGAAGGCTGAGGAATTGGGTGGAGACCGGGCGAATGTTGCTCCACATTGTCGCTGTATGGGACGGGTGATGTGGCTGGGGAGCAAGGGAGGAAATTAGTGGGAACGGCAGCGTAAGCGTTTTGCTCGGGATATGAGATGCTAGGCATGAGGTTGTGGCTAGGCATATTCTGATGAATGAGAGATGGATCTGAAATTCAATTAGTACCAATTCTAGATTTGCGCATGGTTTCGGAACCTACCAACAAAAGGATCTGGGATTTTCTCCCGATATAACCCATCCATGTCACCTGGATTCCCCATGTAGTCATTGGGGAAGATATCAGACATCACAGCCGCCGGCAACCCGAGTCCATGGTTGGTGTTAAGCCAGTTCTCTTGGAACACCTGTGTGGGTCCAGAGTATGGGGATCCAATTGCAGAGGAGGGTGCGCTGGCAATGGACGGCCCTGATGCTGCGGACCCTGTGGGAATTTGTGGTTCTGTGGCATATGATGTTGTGATGGAGGGAGGTGTGGCGGGCATCGAGGGGAAATTGGAGTGTTTGTGCATTTCGGCTTCGGAATAGAGAGCTGGGGTATCGAAGTATGAATGGGGAATTCGAGAGAAGTCGATGTTCTGCGCATATTGCTGCATGTCCATAGAGTATTGGAGCATTTCCATGTTGGGATCCATCATGGGTTGGAAGTATTGTTTAGGTCTGGCGGCTTCGAGGGCGAGCATCTTGGATTGGAGAGGATTCGGGAATAGAACAAAATCCGAGTGCTCCGCAAAGGACATGCCTCACTTTAGGCGATTGAAGGCGCAGAACTATTTTCCTTTTATTAGCTGCGTTCTATATTCCCCGGGTCGTCGAACATACCAAGGGATAAGGTTCGGATTGCGGCCCGTCAACCCAACGTGCGAACCTCGGAAAGATATAGAAGGCAACGTGCGGAATTGACACCCGGGTAAGAGGGCACAGTATGCAAGGGATTGAAGCGATAATAATGGTCGCATTCAGGTCGCAAGGTGTGAAGAGGGGAAGGAGAAGCAAAGCCTTATATACAATCTGGAATCAAGCAGAGGAAGACAAGGTTCGGGACCAGCGTGAAGAGAAGCGAATGGGAAGCAGTAGGAAGGGGGGAAGAGGAGTATTATAGGAGCATTGTTGGCTACAATTAGTTTATAGTTGCAGAGTCTAGTTTCGAAAAAGAAAAAAAAAGAAATCCCAAAAATTAAAATCAAAAAATCAAATTGTTAAAATGTAAAGAAAAAAGTAAATAAAAAATGAATTGATTGAAAATCAGAAAATCCAAAATAAGAAAAACAATTATCCAGTGAGATCATAAATGACAATACCATACAGACCCTCGAACATGGGGGCTATGCTTAGCGCCCAGGACCCCATGATAAAATTGGTTCGTGAGCTGCATGGGAATTCGTAATAAATCCAGTTAAGCATGGGGTATTCTCTTTCCTTTTCCTAGGATCGTATCTCCATCGTCATTTTCCGATATGACGGGATACTCAGCCTCCCTGTCAGGCGTCCAGTCTTTTGTATCTTGTACCTTTCTCCTACTGACAGCCCTACCCACACCGACTCCATTCCTAAATTTCATTCTGCCCTACAAGGTTCAATTTCCCGTCCCCCACGGGCCCTGCGGGCCTTCTCGGTGACATCCTGCAGTGATGTCAATAGTGCGGACGGGAATGTTTTCCGAGACGCGATAGATCGATTTTGGCGGTGAATCAATATCACAATGGAGCCATTATGGAGAATGGAGATGTTCGGCACCATAAATTTGTGCAAAAGATCGGCTAGATTAAAATCCTTTCAAGGGATAGATTGTCAATAGCCTTATGGGCCATGCTGTCAAGTCGATCGTTGCACGGGAAGGGCGCCCCATATTACCCTAGATTATTATTCCTAATTTCCAGACACATCGGTAGGTCCGTGAGTTTTCTTCCGAGCTCTTGAATCGAGATTTGTCATGTCCGACGGATTACCCTATAGAGTAAGGTGATTCGAGCATCACCCTTGCTATGTAGATGTTATGTAGATCTTTATACGTAACTTACTAGTGGATGCCCAGGCCTGGCCCTAAGGTATACCGATAGATTGGGTCCGCCAACCGTGCAGGGAAGAATAAAGAGAAAAAAGGGGGAACAGAGAGAGAGAGAGCGAGAGAGAGCGCGAGAGCCCGAAAGGAGTGGATCCCCGGACCTACCCACAGAGCACGATCTCTGTATGTAAATGGTATTTTTCCATAGGTTCGGGTTGCCGATCTTTGACGGGCCCATCTTTCCCCACATGTACCGCCCTTTTGGCAGACGTGCATGGCGCGTTGTGGGGCTTGATTGGATGATAGCAAATGAAATGTGAAATGAGCCCCCGAACCGCTCGTCCCAATCGAGGGCACAGATGGCTTCCGACGGCAGACAGGCGGGCCTCGGTGGGTTCGCAAGTGACTCGTCTTGGGGCCACGCTAGCCGACTTGGTTTTGGTCGTCGACGATCATTCATCAATGTTACTCTGCTGTGCTGGCTTCTGAGTGGAAGAGCCGCATGGTTCATTACAATTTGGCCTGATCTAAGTGCAAGGTTTGCCTAGTAGTAGTGCCCAGTTCTACTGGGATTATTTCCCCATTTCCCCCCTCCCCAGAGATTGCTTTTTTTCTTCTCCCTCATCAAATGGCTCGGGTCCACCGATATTAAGATGGAAAGATGACAGCTGGAATTTGTTCGATTTGGGTCTGGAAAACATCATCAGTGGGTCAGATAAGGGGAAGCGAAAAAGAATAATTTAGTCCGGCGTTCCCGCCGACTATTGGAATGCTTTAGGCCCTTAATTCCTAAGTGGGTTTGACAGCAAACTATTAGATGGGTTCAGCCAAGCCACAAGAGCAAAAGTAAATTGTACAAGTTGAGCTTAGCCGACCAAAACCGTGGGCCTTCGCGCCATACCGCAGCCCTAGCGGCAGGGACGGAGTGGCCGTAAACAAAGCAAAAACCAAATACGAAGCGCACTAAAGCCACAACCCTGTCATGAGCCACAGTCGGTCTTCTCCTAGCTTTCCCCGGCATATCCAATCACGGGCCACCGCAAGGGTCCCCAGTGGGCCAGTGCATCTTCCGTCTCCCCAAGTGAGGCGCAGCATGACCATCTCTGTCGGCGATCCCGGCGCCAACACTAACTAGCATAAACCACATGGGAAATGAGATCATTCCTTTCACAATCATGGAAGCTCGTATCGATCCTGATCCACGTTTACCCAACTCTGGGGACATGCAGTGTGCCCAGACAATCACCGTCACCGTTACTTACGGTCGGGGCCTCGCCCTACGAGGTGCAGCAACTCTAACTACATACGCACCTCCCATTCGTTATCTCGGATAAATACGAACGGCCATGTCAGAGATGATCGCCAGGTAGTACCCAGAGCCGGAAGGTTACGTTAGGCCGGAGCCCGTTGAGAAGTAGATGCCACTGCCAGCGTGTTGGAAATGTCCCACCCTGAAACGCAGGGCTGAACGGTAAAGCCAGTCAGCACTGAGAACAAGGATGTGACCCCTAAACTGCGTGTGATGGAGCCATCTCCAGAGATCCAATCCAATCCCGTCCACTCCCAGGTTCTTCTCCCGCCCCCAAACAGTGAAACTAATCCGAAAGAGGACTTTCATGAGAATTGGAAAAGGATGATTAGACGTGGCCCATCTACCCGATACCAAGCCGTCACCGTGGACCCGGGAGTGTCAGTGTCAGACCATGCCACATGGAGGCTAGAATCATATGTTGACTCTTGCACCGGCGACCCCGAAGCCACATTTCCAAGGCCTGAACCAATTTTTGGGGTTATGATGGGGAAGCTCGGGTCAACTTGAGGTCCATGGGAAGAGCTTCATACTTGATTATCTATCAATCCGACGATTTGGAATTCCCAACAATCCTCTATCTTATGAATTAATCTTAAATTTAATAATTAAGGTCATACTCACAATTTGTTTAAGTTCTGTTTACTTTTCTTTTCTTCTCTGCAAGGGCCAAAACAATCATCAATCCAATGATTCCTTCCACGGTCGCGCCAAACCCCACCTCCACCAACGCCCATCGCCCATCGCCCAAGTGCATCTCCCAACTCAATCAACCACATGGAAGGTTCTCCTTCCAGACCATCAGTTCCTGCATCAATCTAAGAATATCTTGGGGCCGGCGTCTACTCGCATAAACATAGGAATTTACAGTACTATACCGTAGATCAATCCTAAATTTATCGGTCGCGAAAAGCCAAACAGCAAAAGGTTCGACTCTTTCTGGGTCAACCTCCGAATACCAAGCTGCGACTAACAAGACTCTAAGCCCTATCCATATAGTGTGAATTCTTATTGGACAGTATTCCCTGTCTCCCATGTGGCGGGGCCAAAACAAGGCATGGGGTTTCTAAAAACAGAAACGGACGTTCGTGCGGGAAGTAAGCGATCGCCCCGTGTCTGGGGATCCCGGTTTCGTCTCATCTCAGTTACATGCGGTAACACTGCTATTTGTGGGAGGTGTTTGTGAATATTGTGTTATGCTCGTTATTTCTCGTGTTGTACAAAATGTGACCATTTACAGTATAACCTCCAGATGAACTTATTGGTCGGAACCATGGCATGTAATATATATCTAATCTTGGGTCTTGGCTCTTCCCTGCATGTATAGTGCTTGTTTTCTAGAATTCTCACCTTTCTATATTTACTGCACCTCTGACTGCTTTGGGATACACTGCGTATGCACCTTCGAAACTGTCTCCTGCGTCTGTTTCAGGATTCAATATGCCATGTGGTGCACTCACCAGGGATGCAAGGGGGTCGCATGCCTTGTAAGCACAATTTACTTTCGAGATAGGAATTATAGTTTCCTTCGGCCGAATCACTCTCATATATCCGGTACCGTGTCTCGTGGCATCGGGTTTACTAGATCTGACAGGTGTGGAAGCAGTATAAGGGTAGGTCAGCATATAGATTAATAAGTCACGAAATAGATTAAAAGTAATCAAATGATGGAATTGGTCAGATTTTAGGACGCCTTTTCAGAGCCTCCCTCTGACAAATGCACGTCAACCTTTTTTCGAGTCGTGTGGCACCATGTTTAAGTACTCAAGTAGTATGAATAGAGTGGCGGTTTCAAAAAGCGAGCCTAATCAATCTCCACCTTCAGTACCTTTGTACCTAAGCTTCCTTCGTACTTCGCACCGAGTACTACTAAAGTAAACATAAGTGGACCATGTGAATTCATTAATCACTTTATATCTTACCATCCCAATAATAAGCCCCAACAAACCTATGTCCTACTACTATATCCACCCCCTATCCGAACTGACACTCCGCTCCACTCTCTGCCCAGCTTGGCCCCATCGGAGATACCCCGATGACATTCCCGCAGCCCACAAGCAAAGACCATGGTGATCATTCAAGTCTAGACTTTGTTATGGTACGTGCATGCACCGGATGGGACACACTCTTCCGGTCAATCTAGATGCCATCGAACAAATGACAATTTTCCCCGTTATCAGTGGGCTCTACTTATTCCCTTTTAGGTTTCCCTGGAAAGACCAAGGCCAAGATTAAGGCACCGGGAAGGAATTACGGGAGTTCAGTAATGTAGACCCTGTCAGCCAGGAGAGGCAACTGATTCGCCGAATACACGATAAGCGGCTCCCCTGGCGCATTTCACGGTCGCTTTTGCTACCTGATCTAACCGTTTAAGTCTGCGATAGGCGAAATTCTATCCCCCATGTCTTACTTTCTTATAGGCGGCATTTTTGTTACCGGGTGAAAAAAGGTGTGACAAGAAATCAATTAGATGACTTGGCCGTCAAAGCTTGCACTAGTTTAGCGTTGCCTAGCTTCAGGCTGTCAGGGGCAGAATTGCTGGATTCGTCTGTGCCTTGCGCCTTCTGTGTACATACCGTACAGGCCATTGTGCCCGGGTGGATTGATTAATTATCGGGCAATGTCCTCCGCCGAACCGAAACCAATTCTGAAAATGCCACCCCTGTCTCCTACCGCATTGATCTCTGGCGTGATACCCACCTGATCATAACCCCCCTGCATGAATGTACACCCCTTGGTCGCTATGAACTACTTGGTGTGGATAATCCACGTCAATTGAACCAGGGTTTAGTACTGAGTCATTAGCGGGATGCCGTGGATCACGGTCCGATCCTTCAGTCCACGGGTACCATGTGTCCGAAAAGTGTATTGGGCCAAGGTTCCAAGTGGAGTATCCCTTTGTCTCAAACCTGAAATGAAGTTGCACGATTCAATAGTGCGGATCCTAGATCCTCGTACCTCGTCACGAAGCCTAGATCAAGGCATGGGATAGGGATAGGGAGAGTTCAGGGAGTAGATCTGTCTAGGCGTATTGTACAGAGTAAAGTGCATGGATAATTACGTGTATTTACCGTATTGATCCCCGGCGACTTTTGCCTCCTTTACCCCGTGTTCTGTCTGCACCTAGGTGCGTTGTGGCTTTGGCTAATGCATTGGCAGGCTGAATCCTTCGAAGGCTCGAACGCATGTTTGCTTTTCTATCATCGGTTACAGGTGTTGAGTCGCCCGGGTGTCAGAATGAACCCTAACCACGAGCGGCCCGCCCAATCAGGAGTACAGTGTCGCACACTATTGATGCAAGATAAGGTGTCGAGGAGGGGAAGTAGTGCATATCTCTTTCCTAGAACCGAAGCAGGAGCAGTGATCGGCAGAGAATCGGCACATCGATTCATCCATCTCCTTCCTGAACGAACTCCTGACTCGCTTGCATTCCTCATACATGTACGGAATACTAGCTTCTTTTCGTATAGCTTCGTTTAGTGTCCAGATGGGGTTATTGTTGATAAGAGTTAATCTATTCTGGCCCTGTCATGACATCAGACATTCTAGTTGATCGACGTAACGTGATCGGCCCCCGGGTTGCAAGGTACTAGGATTGCCACGCACTACCCCTCCCCCTTTTCATTGTTTACTTCTCGATGTGTAACCACAAAGAGGAAAGCCGTGGACGTGTTACACGTCTGGTGGCACGAGTTCGAGATTTCTCAAACCCTATCGAAGGTACAATATCGACGTGGTTCCAAATGCATGATTACCGATGGTCCCCGAAGATTCACTGAACATCTAGACCCGGAGGTGTCATAGCGCCAAAACATACCCATGAAGCTTGGATCCCAATCAAAGTTCCTGAATCCAGAGTGTGGCTTATGCATCCATGCAACCAAGCAAGACAAGGGAACCCAAAACAAGAAAAAGACAATTGACACGAACAAGATCTGCATCTGCGGTAAATCATCCACTAGCGAGTCTGACTGCTGTCACATTCTTATATTAATATGAACAAAGGGGGACCTGATATCCATCACATTCACATTGGGCGATGAATAACCTAAACTGCAGCGGGAATCTCGGGAAGCAGATTGCATAAGCGCCAGATGATCGACAGAGAACTCGACACCTCTCTTTATCCACATTAACACAATTGGATCTATCGCTTCCGCATTCCGTTTCCTACCACGGGCTCGGAGGAATATCCCTCGTCCCCGTGCAGCACGGAAAAAAAAAACCAAAGATTAACACATGATCGCAAAAGTGCGACGGACCCACCATCTCCATATCCGATCCGAAATCGAAAGAAAAACTTTGTTATTCGGACGTGTGGGGTGTCATCTCCACCTAACCACCCGTGTCCACAAGGTCAACATACAGTAATACGCAGTCAAAGGAACAGGAGAAACTGCGTCTCCACAAATCCCAAATTCCAAAATCTCAAACACACTAACCTATAAACACACCGTATCGTCGTGTCCGAGATGGCATCGCAAATCATCTCCCCGATCCGACCAGACCCACACACTGAGGCGGTGTCACGATCCACATGAAATTCCTTCGCCTTGCCTTACGTAGCTTGACAGAAACAGAGACGTCATAGCGTTCGGTCACGGCATGCTTTATCCGAATTCGGATTTGATGGTGGGGTTTGACTCGGGGAATCCGATGCGCTGGGTTTTGGGATTTGAATTTACGAGTGAACTGACCTGTACTGTGCCGTGTTCCTTTTTCCGCTTAAGGTGGCTTGGAGCTATGGTCCCCGCGGGAATGGAATTGAATGATGCAATTGCGGGTGGACTCAAGGTGTGACGAGGTTTTCAATTATCCAAGTCACGTCGATCGAATGAGATTAACAGGATTGGAACACGTATGTCAATTCCAAGATTCTGTCGCGGGGTCAATGCTAAGTGGTTCTTGTTTTGTCTGCTTTGAGTTCTATAGTTTGGTGATCAGATGCGTCGCCTGCAGGTGGCTCAGGTTCAGTTCAAGTTTCTGCAGGGTCTGATCATTGCCCTACCGGGTATTTGGGGGATCTGGAGGATCATGTCAATCAATCTTTAGATCCAGTAAAATTGAACTCGATCGTATGTCAATTGATGTTTCGGGTGATTTGCGATCGGCGATCTGATTAAGTGCTTATCGTGTCAATTCAGTATCTAAATTTGTTGACTCGGGTTGGAGCTGTCCTTGATTCAAATGGACATGTGCATGAGTGGTCTCCTACGAATTACTGAGAGTAAGGGGTGCCTTGTTCGTCCAGGTCTGCTGGTATGTCAGATTATGTTTGCTTCAGGGTTCAATGTTGGTGTTCGCCCAGGTGGTGTTTGGTCACGTCAAACTTGAGATTGGATCCATAGAGCTTGAACCATGGAACAACCTCGGGAAACAAAAGTCTGATCTAGAGCCCTTCCAAGGTTATTGACATATCCTTCCCTTCAAGATGTTAAAAATGGTATCCAAATTGTAATTTGAATTATTGATTTTCCAAATCTGCACAAAACCCAGACGCTTCAAGTGTGGCTGTGAACATCTTCAAATCAAAATATATCTCGAACTAAAATCAAATTGACATCCGATTTTCATAATTCCAAGGTCAATTCGAGGTCTCGTGGACATAATCAGACCTCGATCCAGTCCTGGCTAGTCCGGGGATCAGACACGCTTTGGTCTAACTTCCAGGGGTAGGTGCCGTGTAACCAGAATCACGGTAAAGTGCCAGGTTCCGTGGTTGATAAATATCACAAAGCATATACAGCCCGAAGTTTAGTTGACAGGACAGAAACGGTTGAAGGTATAAATTGAGTATCCCGGTTAATCGCGCATAAACAAATAAAGCTCGGAAAATAGAGCTCATGACATCTCCCTAAGCCAGTTGCGGATATAATAAGCGGGCAAAGGCGTCCATAGTGGGAATATAAAGGCGAGACGGCAACACGAATCAACGGGAGATAAATGAACCTTTCAAACTTAGAAATAACTATCGAAGGCCGTATCCATTAATAAATGGAACTTAAGTGTCATACGAGCTAAAGTCCAGAGCCACTAATTTTGAAACCCACAAAGCAATTTGACCACCTGGGCATATTTTAGGTGCCGTACTAGGCCACAATACAGTAACTCTCGCCCTTTGCCCAAGTCAACACTACTCATGTACAGTACGAATTCCAACCTCAAACGCAGTAGCCTATTACCTAGAGTCCAAATGTCATGCGTATACTTACAAACTCAAAGCTACGTTCCACAAACCTTCCCTGCCACCTCGTGTCCCACACAAAGCAAGATGGGATCCCGATCCACCGGAAAACAGAATCTAGTGGTACCCGATCATTACCGATGGATTTCCCTGCATGTGTACGACCGGGGATGCCGAGATGAAACAACCTTACACTGCGCCTGGTTCGTTTTTGATTTGAGGGAATATCATGTCAAACAGTCGATATTTGGTAAGTTTTTCCAGATTTAGATGCTTGTATGCCGCATTTGGTGGAATGGTGTGGAGGACCAACAAACATCCTTTAGCCAAGTAAAGCCTGGAGAATTTCTTGCGATATCTATTCGATGGTGTCGAACGAGATTGACGAATGATATCGGATATCGCAGCTACATACCATTTTGGGATGGACATACGTTGGGTTTGGAATGCTTGTGTTACTGAACAGGCGGATTGTAAATGCAGGTCCTGGTTTTGATGTCAGAACATTTGTTTCTTATGGATCAATGACCAGATACTAGGAACCCTGGAAAGGGGAGTCCACCACGAATACCTCCACCAACCAATATTAAGATTGTACCAACCTAAACTCTTGCGCTTGTATATATGTACAATCACTTGGAATCGAGTCCAACTATATATTCCCGGGAGGCCCATCGTAGCACAGTATGTAATAGAGCAGGAGAGCCAACCGGAAAGCCCGACCAAGGTAAGGTCTGTCTGCTTCAGATCGTTGCACAATATCGTGTGGCCGTAAGTTAAACAGACTGGACTGGCCGGACTGATTCTGAAACGCGAGGGGTCTGTGAGATTTTGCGCCTCGTGATCTTTCGTGGGACCTCGCTGATTTCAAGTTGACTGTACTTCAATGGGAAATCAAGAGGATTAAGGATGATGGTACTCAACTATCGACAGTGCCATGGTACCAGGACTATGGGTTCGCTACTATGATCCGTTTTGTGGTTCAGGAAAGGAATTAGCCTTGAATATAGAATCAAGTCACTGCCTAGAATCACCAATTCTATTGGGTATCCCAAGAGGTAAGTATATAGCTATGTACAGACAAGGGTCGTGATTGGATCATGGTTCCAATATCAGTCCAATTAGGTAATGACACTCTGGTTGTAGTAAAGGTCACAGGCGTGAGGGTGTTGCAGACAGTACTTGGGCATCAAAGCAGTAGCCATAACGCCATTTGCAACCAGGTACTCCCGGAAGTTCAGAAGACGCTGGGTAAGGAGGGTGGTTCGCTTGTTGCCATGGGCGTCACGGTTACCGGACCACACGAGCTCAGCCAAAGCAGCAGCGCGGGGCCACATCTGGCTCGAGATAGTCACATCGTCGATCTGCTCAGACCAGAGAGGAGCCTCGGCGCCCAGAACGTGTTTGGCCTGGGTTTTGGTGAGGTTCGTGAGGAAGTCGTAGTCGTAGATTCGCTGCCAGGTCTTGTATGGGGCACACCAGGAACCGCCGTTACCACCGTAGTTGAAGTTGACGCTGCCGTCTGGGTTGGACATCACATCGTAGCGGGGGTCGTTGCCTAGGGCGCCACCGTGACCGCAGTCCAGGTACAGGAAGTCAGAGGACGAGACAACGATATCGTAGCCGCGGGCAGTCAGGTTCTGGATGTTGGTTAGGCCGTTGTTCCAAGTTTGCAACACGATGTCCTTGGGAACGTCGTGTGCGGCCTCGGTGGACAGAGCAATGTCCTCCCACATCATGATGCGGCGATGGGAACCAACGGCCCGGAAGATGGGCACGGCATGGTCAACCCAGTACTGGGCCAAGTCATTGTAGGTACGCGAAGAATCCTCCAAGAACCACTCGGTGATATAGGTGCTGAAGTTGTAGCATCCAGGCTGAAGCTCGTCGGCACCGGTGTGGAACCAGTTGTCCGAAAAGATTCCAGACAGCTCGTTGTACACATTGCGCACCGCCTCGTAGGTCTTGTTGTAGATGATATCCAGCTGGCCGGGATTAGGCTCGACGGCAGTGTGGTATGTATAATCATCGTTTGACCACCACGAGTGGGCGCAGGCCACAATCTTCGGGTCGATCTGCTGCCAGCCAGAAGAGGAGTGACCGGGCATATCAACCTCGGGAATGACACGCACACCGCGGGAGCGAGCATAGGCGATCACGTTAAGCATATCCTCTCTGGAGTATGTCTCACGGGGAGAGTACGCGTCCTTGGTCATCTCAGGGTACGACTTCATGTGCATGGGCCAGGATTGAGAGTCGTCCAAGTGCCAGTGGAGCACATTGAGCTTGGACAGAGACATGCCATCGATCTGCTCCAAAATCTTGGGCAAAGAGATGAAGTTACGGCCAGTGTCAATCATGATACCACGGTAGGGATACAGAGGCGCATCCTGGATGCGAACCGGCTCCTCAATCATCAGACCACCCTTGCCATCTGAGATGATAATCTGCTGCAACGTGGTGAACGCGTGCAGCGCACCCCAGACCGTCTGCGCGTGGATCTTGACACTACCAGCAGACTCCGTCACCTCCAAAGTATAAGACTCGTCGACTCCATGCTGAAGATCGGCGTCACCATCAACCAGAGTCAGCTGAACGGATTTGATTGGTTTGGTACTGCGCTTGGTCAATCCTGCACCGGTCGGGAAAGGCTGGAACGAGGAAATAGAAGCTTCGGTGGCGGCGGGCACCCATTGAAGGCTGGTGATGGCGGCCCAGGCGCGTTCCCAAGCTTTGTTGACAATGTCGTGGGTGTGCCCGTGGGCATCGGTGGTACGCAGCGAGAGCTCCTGAACGGAAATTGGAGCGGACGAGCCCCAGGTGATGTTGCGGGGCGCGGGAAGTGGGTTCACCTTCACGGCCGACACGGTCGCGACCAGAGCGCTCAATGCGCCGACAACCATGGAGAACTTCATGATGATGTGGTTGGAAGCAAAAAGACAAGAATGATAGGTGACGGGGTTTATTTATGTTTGAGAACCAGCCGCATGCCGATCGACGCTGATCACTCCCTGGTATGTGCGTGCAGTAAAACAAATGAAGATAGTCAGGGCTTAACGACCTACTGTACAATCAAGCTATAGATCCACAATCCCTTGAATGTTCCATCAAAGGTTACATCTATTTCGCATTGACTAGACCTGTTTTGTTGGTAAACAGTCAAGTGCGACCTCCGCATGCTACATCGGGGTTGTTTCTCCACTTAGCCCCTGGCAATCTATCAGTTCATGTCGATATGATAACTAGCACTGCCCAGTCCTCAATCTTGATCTGATCGCGGTAAATTTATGGAAGTTTGGGCTCATTAAAAGATGGCCCAAGCGACAAAGAATGACACAGTCGCATTCAGGAGGCATTCTGCCTTATCTACTGTGTGGAAGGGTATACTTTCAATGCACTTGATAACAGCGGGGTAAAGGTATCATGATTCAATTAATTACACGGACTCAAGCCTCCAGCGACTTCTCCGTCTCCATTCCCTCTCGGAACTCCTCATGAATGGCCGCAATGGCCTTCTGGGACGGCACAACGCAAGGACGACGGGGCAGTCCACCATATCCACGGTAAGATTGCAAAGCACTCTTTACAGCAACGAATCCACCATGGATGGCACCCCAATCAGCCCGCGCAACAATAGCTTGCAATTTTTGCGCCTCCTCAACCTTTCCGCTGCGGTACAGCTCCATCACGCGCACACTTGACCGAGGGATGAGGTTCGCAACTCCTCCGATGATACCGTCACCACCAGCGATAAGAGTCTGAAGAGTGAAATCAGCCGATCCACCAAAAGTCAAAAACTCCGGCTTGGAAGAGGCAGCAACACGAGTCAGTTTGCCCGTGTTACCACAGGTAAGCTTGCACCCGATGATATTGGGGTGCTGGGACAACGCAAGAATGTCATCCGAGGACAGGTCCAGCCCCGAAGAGGCGCCGGGAAAGTTATAAATGAGGACAGGGACTGGCGACGCATCGGCCACAGCCACGAAATGTGCGTGAAGAGCCTCGTTGCTCACAAGGGCTTTGTAGTAGCTAGGAGGAAGGACCAGCACGGCGTCGGCGCCAGCCTCGCCGGAGTCTTTGCAAAGCTGGATAGTCTCGCGGGTGGATGCGGCACCACAACCAGCAATTACAGGCATCGATGAATAGCCTGCAGCATCCACGGCGCGACGGGTCACGGCTGTAATGGCCTTGCGCTCTTCACGATCCAAGTGCACTGCCTCGCCATTACTGCCCTGGGTAACCAAGCCAGTAACGCCACTGCGGGCTAGGTATGCGGCGTGTTTCTCAGTGGTCGCCAGGTCTACCTCTTCATCTGGCTTGAAGAATGCCACTGTGGGCACATAGACTCCCTTGGTGAGGGGGTTTCGCTTAATTGTACCGTTGGCTGTCATGATGTGTGGTAATCTGTTCAAAAATCAGCATTCGGGTTCAGGCCACGAAGGAAAGGTATGACCGACATTCACGTAGAAAAGATGATCTGGAGCCATGGAGGGGGCCATGGACCAACTAAATAATGTCTGGGGATTCGTGATCTTCAACCCCCACGTCCCCCACTACATGTTTAACCGTTCATGCTTCTCTGTTTGTCATCCATGACTGCGGAGAGAGAGTCACTCTTCCCCCACGCCTTATGCGGGGTTAGAGCTCATTTTGATTGGACTCGGATACTCCGAAATTAGTTCGATTCGGAAGAGTTTCCGGTGAAGAACGTGACATTTGCATGATCAGAACACGGAAAAGTTTGAGGAGCTTGGAGATGTATCATTGGCATGGAAGAACGCTTCCCCATGTCCCACAACGTCGATTGAGGGGATCCCCCACTTTCAAGGTTCATGACGACGTGGGGGTCGGGTACTGAGACTGGAATTTGAATATTGGCCATTAAGGCAAGTTGTTGCCGAATAAACAAGAACTTTTGAATATGACAGAGAATTACTTATCTAGAGACCTCCCTCCAGGGCTATGCCCAGATGCACAAAGATTGAAGTTTGCACCAGAAGCTGCCTTGGTTGTGCATGTATATATCTCGCTGATACCTACATATCGATATTCACATGCGACTTCAATATATGAAAATATTTTTATTATAGACCTGATTGCTTACTAGACGTAGAAACTGACATATTCCGACGTAAAAACATCCATACTCATGTGTTTCACTCCGTCGCGACCTGTATAGAGATCAGTCGCTGCCAAGAACCTCTTCCTCGCATCACGCTCTTGACCACCGCGATCCGACTTCATTCCGACAATATCCCCGACCTCACAGAACCGAAAGGCCCAAGCGGCCTTCAAGAGGACCCTTCGACCAGCCATAGGTGTCCACACTATGACTGAAGATTGACACCCCTCCCAACCCTCAGTCATGGCCCTCCTGTCGCGGCCGTCTCTCCGCTCTGTGCGACGGAACCCCGATCACTCGGGGAACGACGGTCGCCCTCCGCCGATGAAGAAGCAGCGAACTCTGGAGGAATATGGCTTGCGCCGCCGTAGGAGCTCTCCAGACTGCCTCGACACCACAACCCAGGAGGCTCTCCCGGTCGGCAAAGTTCGATCCGCAAATCCTCCCTTGAGCGCCACGCGCCCGCGCACGGCGACGAGACGCGCTCGCGGACACTCCTCTGCCTCGGTGGACTCCATCGCATCCAACAGTCAATTGAAAACACCCGGCCATTCTCGTGTGAATGGCAATGGCTCTGTCGGGTCGCCTCGAGTTCCCGACCGGAATACCCCCTCTACGATTTACCATCTACGCGATGACCGCGAGTCTCCAGACCCATTGGATACAATCTCTCCAGCACCGACCAGCACCACTAGCAGACCCCGATCCAGGGCATCTGCCCACGCGTCCGAACCTGAGACCAAGTCCCTGAAGTCCCCCGCGACCACTCGCAGCACGCGTCACAATGACCCCGTCAAGACTGAGCCGATGAACATAGTCAAGGAAGAGAAAGAATTGGAGGCACAGCCGGATATTACAAGCCCAGTGGCTGCGACCCGATCGCATCAAAAACGGAGGAGTGACCTTGACCTTCTTGAGAATGACCCTGTGCCTGTGACGACAGGATCAGAGAGGCGATCCTTGCGCTCAGCAGATACAGGTTCTCGTAAGAGCGAGCTCGCTCAATACTTCTACAACTATGAGCAGATCATCAGTCTTGACCCATCAAAACCTGGTAGGATCAATCCCCGTCTGGAGATGATCGTTGGCTGACACCCACGAAGTAGACACACTTGCGGCCAATACAATTGTCACATTAATAGATGACCTCTCCGAGCCATTACCATATCCTTCTACCCCAGACCCCACGCCTTTTGGGAATCCGCTACAGAAGCTCTACAATTGTGAGGTGATCAAACTTCCAATTCCCAAGTCAAAATCACCCGAGGATGACCCCCTCGGCGAAGAATTATACTTCCGTGCGCATCGCCGATTTGAACGCCAGGAGAAGCAACTGCGCAACATCGAGCGAGATCGTGCGCAGCACGAAAAGCAGCAAGTAGACCGTCTACTTGAAGAACTACGCGGCCAAGATTGGTTGCGTGTAATGGGATTACCCGGCGTCCACGAGAGCGAGAAGAAGCTCTACGAGCCCAAACGCCAGATTCTCATCCAAGAACTAGTCGCCCTGGTGAACAAGTTCCAAGTCTGGAAAGACGAGGAAAGGCGACGAAAGCTAGCCAAAGAAAAACCACTCCCTTCTGCAGACGCGGAAGTTGAATCCCGACGTTCACGGAAGCGATCCCGTCCAGCTGAAGAAGCTGAGGAAAGTTCACTTTCACCTGGAATTCCACCAAGTACTCCTGACCCTAATGATGTGGACGCCTGGGCCGCACGTCAGTTACATCAGGAAGCCCGCTCAGCTTCGGATTCGGTGGCCAAAAGCCGAAAATCGAGCAAGCCCAAGTCGGGGGCTGCAGATGAGGATGGTGGAAACCATCCGACTGATAAAAGCTCAACCAAGAGACCAAAAGCCCACGATCCTACATTCTCTTCTCCACCCGCTGACCCTGTACCTTTCTTCCTTCCTCCGCCTGATGACAAACCCTTTACCTCTTTCTTCTCCGATCCTGAAGAACGCGAAGCTGCCCTTTCTGCAATACCGGAGGGCCGTGAGGAACGCACGAATCCCATCTTAGCATTTGGTCAACCTATCCCCAAAGTAGCTGAAGGGGAATTCCAGCCACCAGAGGAACTTCTAACAGAAGAAGCCATCCAAGCTTCACGGCGACAGCGACGCTTGCTGAAACGGCGGAGTCATGGGTGAGCCCATGAGTGGCTATGGACGGGTTTGTCTTTGTGTTTACACAATTGCCCATGTATGATTTCTGTATGATAACATTGCGGCGTTGGCATGGTTTGTTTGATTTGGTTGGGTCTAAGGCGTTGGCATGGGAAAAGGACCTATCAACTTGTACAGTGGAATGGAATATGGCTTCACTAGTGCGCATATTGTACCGTAGTCAACCAAGTGTGCGAAGTTGCTCAAAACACCGATTGTATTGAAGTGACACGATACAATCCGCAGCCTATCCCAACGTTTCCTCATAAAAACGACGATCTACAGACCCATAGGCACTGAACGTAAAACACCAACCCCTAGTCCACCTGTTAGCAAGACCGCCGATCCCATCCTCAGCCTCAGATGGATCGTCCATGTTAGGCTCGGCAAAATAATTAGGCTTTGCCATCAATTTATACATCGCCTCTCGCTCTTTTCCATCCGGTACATGGTATGAGTCACCGGCACGCAGACTGACTTTCTGGACACGCTCAGCTCTGCGCTTGCGCACATCTTCAAATACACCGAGTGCGTGTTTCAATCCCGCTTGACCTGTTTTAGTTTCACGGGGATGGCCTAAGGCTACCGAGAGGGACACGGCGTCTTCGACAGCCAGACTAACCCCCATAGACATGTAGAAAGCTATCGCGTGCGCTGCGTCACCGACGAGCGTGAAGCGTCCGGAAGGATGGACCCAGTTAGGGAGGGGCGGGACAGCGTAAACAGGGTAGTTTACTATCTTGGGAATTGCTAGATTGAGGAGTTCTCGGACGCTGGATTTCATCAATAGTCGTTCTTGATACTGAGTGGAAAGAAAAAGCTCACGGCAAATCAAAGCCTTTGAAGAGGTTATCAACGAATTCTTTGTGTTCCTCATAGGTAAGAGTTTTCATGTCGATGTCATCACGGTGCGAAAGAACGATATTCAGCATAGACGCATCTTTGATCCAATACGTCATGCATGATTTGTCGGGTGCAATCCAGAAATTCGAGTTATAGGTGTCAAGATCGACTAGACCGGCTGTTAGAGGATTGGCTTTGATCTTTGATGTTTCCGCCATCATTCTAAGCGCAGCCCATCCTGTAGGTTGAGTGCCCGGATCTTCTGATCCGAGAAGCTGGGAACGAGCGAACGAGTTAATGCCTAGGCCATCATTAGTAGAGTCCAGAAACACAACAAGGAAGTAAATACCATCGGCACCAACGACGAGGTCTGCACTTAGCATCTCACCACCTTTCAACTCGACGCTTCCATTCTCAAAATCATATTTAGTGACCGTGGCATCAAGCCGAATCTTCGCTCCAGCTTGGACAGCATGTCGATGCAGGACAGTATGCAACGAAGCCCTGTGAATTACAATATAAGGCGCACAAAACTCATCTTCAAAGGTCGTCATGTCCAGCGCACCGATTAGAGCGCTATCTTTCCAGTTTTTGAAAAGTATTTTCTCGGGCGTGATACATTCTGCCAGTAAGTCTTCCTTTAGGCCCCACGAGAAGAGATATTTGATTGCTTGTGGGGTCATTTGGACGCCGGCCCCTAGCTCTGCTAGTTGGGGTGCCGATTCAAGGACTAGGACTTCGTGGTTTGATTTGGACAGGGCTAGAGCGACTGAGAGGCCTGCTATCCCGGCGCCCACGATTATTATTTGCATGTTGGCGGGGCAAATAGGTGAGACCCTTAGTGCGTGGGAGTGAATTGGAGAATTGATGGAGGTTTTAAGGCTCAATTGTGTGGGATTTTGAGGGATTAAATATGGGTGATGTTGATACTCGGCGGGGTTGAAGATTCCGATCTTTGGGAACTACTAATGTGGGGATGATCGTCGCCGATCATGAAAGGTTAACCCCACGCAAAGGAGTGACAGAGGTGAGTAAGTACCAGGATGGAATTGGCCATTTTATAAAGCTTAGTATTAAACCTACATTTACAGATCCTGTGTGCCTTCGAGGATCAAAAACTGTACAAGTGAGGCGGCATCTTGGGCATCACCAGAAACTAAGGTTAAGCTTGAAGGCCTTCCTTACACAAGGACAGCGAAGGTTCGCGATATCCGTAAATACTATACTGTATATTGCAAGCCGTGAAGACATAATACATGCTCAGATATAGACACCAAGATGCTGTGGTGCTTCATCTTTAATGTGGTTGCCTATAGGCGCACTATAAATTCTGTCTTCTCCGTGAATTACTTCTTCTCTTCTCATCACCGCCACTTGCCTTATAAAAAAGAAAAAGGAGAAGAAAAAAGGAAACCCGACAGCAATACCGATGAGGATCGCGTCTGGTGAATCCAAAAGAAGAGTTATATGTCTGTTTCGCTCACTACTAAGGCATGTCCCTTCTACTCCAGAACGATCACAAGAAACTGCATCGAGACTTTAATTTACCGGGAAATCGAGAATTATCTCCTTATGGGTCATCCACCCCCTTGAAGCACGCGAACTGTCACTTGAGACTCAGTGACCAGCTTGATGTGAGCTTCCGAACTCAAAGCCGATAAAAGAGCCAAACATGACCTTTCTAGGTAGGCATTCCACCCTTGAAGGCGGGAACAACAAGTTATCACCAATGAGTAACAATCATCGCAGTTCGACAGAAGTGCAAATGGCTTATGAAATTTGAATGATCACATCAAAGTCAGGACTCGAGCGGAAGCAGGCCCCTGAAACATCAGATGGCCTTTGAGTACAGCCCTTTGCCAGGCAGCGGTGTGTTTTGGGATGTTTCGAACGGAAGCCATGATAAGGCAATTATGTGTGGGCAAGTTCCCAGAACTCTCACAAGATGGAGTGATCCGGGGGTGGGATTCACCCTCCTCAGCGATTTGAGGAATCGATGATATGGTCTAACCCTGCAAAAGAGCCTTGTATCGAAGGGAACGTCATTGTAAGTCACTATCATCTATGTCTGTCTGTCTATAATTGCTAAATAACCGAACTTTTTAGATGCTGGATGGGATTTGAGGATCGGCACCCTTTCACGTGAGCCCTGGACGGATGCTCGGTACTCCATCTGACGACGCGTCAAGATTAAACGAGACGACCAACGCCAATTATATGAATGAAATGGAAAAGAAGCCAGAAAATGGTACTGGTAGAGGGGTGTATCTTGGGGAATGATCCTTGCACCCTCTGCTTTTAAACCCCGTCAGGAGTGGTACCGAAGCACAAACAAGGAAAGAATGAGAGCATTCGCGTGAAGCTTTACTGGGGGCCCAATATCATACCCAACGCAGGGAAGTCGTTGAAGAAGAGAGTGCGCAAAGGGGCTACACGCTATCTACAAGGCTGATATGAGCGTGTGGCGTGCTGTTCGCCAGAATTAGGAGCTCACAATGACTTTCCAGAATTAGGAGCCCCGAGTGACAGTTGAGAGTGGAAACAGGGATCAATGAAATGTCTATTCCCCAACCTCTCGGAAAGACATTCTTGATGCAACGCTTCGGCCCTAAACCTCAATGACAAGGCTTTGGGCATTGTATTCGGCTCTCTTCGATTTGTTCTGCATGGCAATCTATCGCTCTCGGGTCAGGATGTATGAAAAGCAGTCAATGCTGCGAAATGCAAGCATCGGACCGTCAACGACGCTAGTAAGCAACGCGAATGTCATTCCGAAAACGTTCTCTGTTATTGAGCTAGATATCCTTTCTCATGTTCATTTCTGGGGATTCCATATTTTATCGTAACGCCAGAAGCGGTATGAAAAGCGAAACCATCTAACGGTCACGCAAGTGCTTTGGGGCAGCACAGAAAATCTACGCCGCCAAAAACGCAAATCGAAAGAAAGACCAGGAATAGATTGCGTCGATCGAAGGGTGTGCATCTTCGGTGGAGCAGACATCTGTGTGGCTTACCTTGTCATTGAGGAGCGAATCGGGTCGTGAGACAGAAGAATGGAATCAAGCTCCAACAGAGAAGCGGAGGCAGCAGCTGAAATGACTCAAACCATTCCACGAGCTCGAAAGAGTTGAACGAAAATACCAAACTGAACAATCCGATGGATGATTATGCTTCCACGCAGTTACAGCTCACAAAGCCGCGAGCGATTCCATTTCAGGCGATCGAGACGCCAACATACAAAATGAAAAACTCATGGGGAGCAGATTTACGTGCATAAACATTTCGGGACAGGATCGCTGAGCATGCGGTGAAGCTGCAGCAAAGCATGTATGCTCCGACCCAAGAAAACCTGCAGTGCAAGGAGGAATTGACCCAGCACAAAAGTGGCATCGCAGGAGCGGTATTCTGTTTACCAGCTTGTATAAAGCAATGAGCCCGCCTTTTAAAGTTCCAGTGCGTGATGGATCCAGTATAACTTTTGATGCAGCCAGTAGCGGAATGTCAGCACATTGGCTATCGGGCGGAGATCAGTGCTGAGCGGAAACAATTTTCATTGGCCAGGAAGCCAAGCGGGTTGTAAAAGCCAATCGAAAGTATTGACGTAGTGGGCCGCTTCTAGCGGAGGATCTGCTCACTAAGCATCGCCACACCGTGATTTGCTCAGCCAGAGCTCAGTTGGCTTAATACGGCGAGCTTTGTAATATGATCACTTCAATGTTTGGCTTTGACCAGAACCACTTATGACCACGATTTACCTGATCGGGTATCGGCGACCTTTCTCTCCATTCAAAAGCCAGCAGAGTATTTGTCTAAACTCTATACAGTTTGGGTTTCTCGCTACTTGGCCAAGGCTTCCTTAAATTCGCTCCAACTGAAGGCAATTATTTGCGAGTGACATCATGTACTGTCTATGGTCTAGAAAATTATAAAGTTGTCTCTTCAGACATTTTCGGTCAGGCTTTCTAGATTTATTGCTCTCTGCTCTTCATGTACAACATCATTATTTTGTATATTCGTGCCATCAATATTTGATCATGTCACTTACCAGTACTGTATGCTCCGACGCCGAAGCATACGCGCTACCGCGCGGTGGAGACGAGAATACGAGGTCAATGTTCACGCTTGTACATGTGCAATGCTCTGATTCTAACCAGAGATAGACTTAAAAACCAACATCCACTTTTTGAAGACTATGCAGGCGGCTTGATCGACGCATCCATATCGAAATCTAACATTCGCAGAGTTGCCGATATAGCAACAGGTTCAGGGTAGACATCCCCATGTCACTATATGTCCCTGTATTGAAACTTACTTTCGCAGGATCTGGCTAGCAGATGTGGCGAAGTTGCTCAACAACCCTACCAATGTTTATTACGGGTTCGATATTGTGGCATCGCAGTTTCCAGAAAACCCAGGTCCCGAGCTAGGGCGATTTACGATGGTGGAACATGATATGACGAAGCCGTTCCCGAAGCAATACCATGGCCAATTCGACTTTGTCAACGTAAGACTTGTTGTGCAAGCGCTGAAGGAAGCGGAGGTGAAGACAGCAGTATCGAACATCGCGGCATTACTTCGTGTGGCTCCATTCCCCTGATTTTGAAGACTATTGCTAATGACTTGCTAGGACCGGGTGGCCACCTACAGTGGCAAGACCTTGAGTGGACAGACATTGCGCCTTATCCACCATATCCAGACTACGACGACGTCAAAAGTGTTTTCAAACATCATATGAAGGCCTATGGGCTAAGTGAATGGTACGAAACGATCCTCTGAAAAGTCATGTACTGTTAAACTGATTACGCTAGTCTTCCGGATTTGGTGGAAAAAAGTATGAAAGAAGTGGGGTTTATAGAGGTCAATGCTAAGAAGTCATGGCATGATGCGTCCTCTGAACGAGCTGCTGGGGCTACTGCAACTGTTAATGCAGCAATGCAAAGCATGCTACCAAAGGCCCTTGCAACAAGCCTTCGATCAGAGGGTTCAAATGTTGATGAGGCAACGTTTCAGCGGGTATTAACGCAGCTGAAGCAGAACCTTGAAAGTCTCGTATTGAGTGGGCATAATTTGAAGTTATCTGCCACAAAAGTCGTGGGAAGTAAGGAATAAGTATGCTAGCTTGTTTAATCAAGTCTTTGTTTTCAATACTTGACAGCTTGGCTAGGAGTTTTTAAACAAAGGATTAGTACCAAAGATTTTGAGCGCCCTCATAAAAGTGGCGACTGCTAGGAAAGGAACGCCTGGGGGTGGACATATGGTATGCAGAGGCCTAAGAATGTTATTGCATATAACCTAGTGGCTACAGTATCCTCAACGAGAGAATGTGGCGATACGACGGTGCAAAAATCTCTAACATTCCATAATAAGGTTTTGAATTCTGCAGGGCTGGCAAGCTTAAACGGCGCCGCAATAAGCTAGTCGCCACGTGGAAAACACCTTCAAGCAACCGAATTCCGATCTGCTACCAAAGGAACCAGCAATTTGGCCACGCCGGCATCGGCGCAGAACTTTTTTTTCTTCGTTTTCCCCAGTTTTTCCAAGCCTTTGTGACTCGGTTGCAGAGCCTTTTTCGATGGTTTCTATTACGTCTCGGCGCCGTGATTCGTCCCACCGGCCCGATGGCCGGTTTGACCCACTCGGCAGCCCGCTCCGATCCTGGATGCCCGAGACTTTATGCAAAAGAACTTTTGACTCAATTATATTTTTCCTTTCTTCCTTGTCTACACATCATACTCGCTAACGGAGTCTTCGTGCTTGGTTTGAGCTTTCTTGTTCACCTTGCATATAGATTCGCGCTTCTTATTTCTTCGCCTTATCACTTCGTCGACGCGTTAAAGCTACTTTGAGCTTGTTGGTGGTATATACCTCGCACAAACATTCGAAATGGGTGTATCGCAAGTCCCCGCTGTGCCCGGGGAGATGGAGTATGATGGTCATCAGAAGGATCTGGACTTCGATCAGGTTGGCCTCGAGAAGCAGGAGGCTACGCCAGCATACGAACAAGATGCCTTTGGCAACGAGGACTCAGCGGAGGTTAAATACAAGGTTATGAGGTGGTGGCAGTGTGGTCTTCTCATGGTTGCTGAGACTGTGTCTCTGGGTGTTCTCTCTTTGCCTGCTGCTGTTGCGACCATGGGCCTTGTTCCCTCTATCATTGTGCTCATTGGCTTGGGAGTGATTACCACCTACACTGGATATATTATGGGTCAGTTCAAGTTGCGGTTTCCTCAAATCACCACCATGGCCGACGCCGGTGAGATTATCGGAGGCAAATTTGGCCGCGAATTTGTCGGCGCTTGCTGGAGCATCTTCTTCATTTTCATCATGGCCAGTCACTTGTTGACCTTCACCGTCGCGATGAACACTATCACCGATCACGGCACCTGCACCATCGTGTTTGGAATCGTCGGCATGATCCTCTCCTTCGTCTGCTCTCTCCCTCGCACTCTAGAGAAGATGTCATGGCTGTCCCTCGTCTCCTTCGTCAGTATCCTGACAGCCGTTCTGATCACCATGATCGCGTTGGGAATTGAGAAGCCTGACCCCCGTGTCGTTGCCATTGCCAACACCAACCTTTACCACGGTTTCACCGCTGTGACCAACATCGTCTTCGCATTCTGTAGCCACGGTGCTTTCTTCGGTCTGATGGCTGAGCTGCGAAACCCCCCGCGACTTCACCAAGTCCCTTTGCCTGCTGCAGGGCATTGACGTGACCCTCTACCTGATCGCTGCCGTTGTTATCTACCGCTACGCCGGAGATGGAGTTACCTCGCCAGCCTTGGGATCGACCTCACTCGTAGTCTCCAAGGTCGCCTACGGTATCGCCTTGCCCACCATCGTCATCGCCGGTGTCATTAATGGCCACGTCGCATTCAAATACGTCTACATTCGCATTTTCCGCGGCACTGACCGCATGCACAAGCGTGACATGGTCGCCGTCAGCTCTTGGATTGGCATTGCCCTGGTCATGTGGGTTCTGGCCTGGATCATCGCATCCGCTATCCCGGTCTTCAGCGACTTGCTGAGCTTGATTGTAAGTTTACTTTAATTCGAACCTAACTGAGTCTTTACTAACCTACTTCTAGACTGCTCTCTTCGCCAGCTGGTTCTCTTTCGGTTTCCCCTCTATCATGTGGCTCTTCATGAACAAGGGCGTGTACTTCTCATCCCCACGGAAGATCACAATGACCCTGATCAACCTGATCATCGTCGGGATTGCCTGTGCGCTTTGCGGTATGGGTCTCTGGGTGTCTGGCAAGGCTATGCATGACAACCCCAGCAGCGCGAGCTTCTCTTGCGCGAATAATGCCTGAGAATCGTGACTGTATTATAATGGGATAACGGCGTTCTGGTTTTCATACACTTGCATGGCCCTTGCATGAGCATCTTGCTCCTGATTCATGGTTTAAACAAAAGCATTGCTTGAATTTTTCATCTTGCGATGCATTTGCATTAATGTGTATTATATTTGTATATAATATTTGCTACGATACATATAAAGCATCAAAATTACTACTGCTACTCACATCATTCTATGTTCACATATAACTTTCATCGTTCAACTATCGGCAGTAGTTAGAGGTGGAGTCAATCCGAGCCACTCACAGCACCCGAAAATGGTGCCTCGATTTCCTGGTGTCCGTTTGACACGGCCATTGAACCGCGTCATCCGCTCTGCCTCGCGAATTGATCGCCGTCGGTGTTTCGTCGGAATTGGCAAAAAGAAGTAAGGAAGAGATGAATAATAAGTAAAGAAAAGTGAAATGTAAGAATAGTTATTAGCTCCATATCTCTCCCTTGGATGCTGTAAGGCAACAAGTTTTCCCAGACGGGAAACGATCGCCACCGAAAGCCCCGCGTCACCTTGCGTTCATCGCGTTGTCGCACACGAGGCCATGTTTTGCTTTCCACGCAAGCATACCAAAATAGTGTGACAACCTGGCATGCAAGTCATGTGCAAAGCAGGGAGGATGAGTATGGCGTGAGGGCGCCCAGTCCCCAGATGATCGCCGAGATGGCCCGTGGGCGATCATCTGCGGGTGTGGACCTTGCAGAATGATTGTGGTAACGCAATGACCACATGAAACCCTTTGCAGTTTTTTCTAATAACTAGAACTTTCTTTTTTCTCTATTAGTGCTACGGAATCAAATGTGTCTTACTCTCGAGAATCACGCAGATCCTCACATTCCTCTCCAATCCTCCGCGGGCGCTGGCGCGGGTGTCTGTGCGTCCGGATGAAAATAGCATCAAAACGAGGACGCCGTTGAGTGGGCTGAATGATGACAGGCTACTCTGTAGACTATGAACATTCCTTGATTGGTACGTATCATTGAAAAGACATCATTGGGGATTGCGATGTACACCATTCACATCATAATCCCGGCCATTCCGTCATAATCTCCACTTTTCCACCCCACTACGGGTATCGCGGAGAAGGTACAGATAGGTGCCTAAGTACCGATATTCAAGCACCAAGTAGTACATCCAAAGCTCTCAAGGAGAATTACAAATTCACTGCAGGAACTAGTCACATCTGCATGGATCAAATCAGAAGCTCATGCTGAGTCAGAACCCGGAATGTCGGTGGTTAGAGTCATCCCTTGCCAATCCGGACTTCCGGGGTCAAGCTTTCATCCTAGTCGGAGACTGGCCTGGACCAAATTGCCTCGGTGTATAGCTCATCCAGTAGGTTGAGAATAGGTACCACAAATCTCAAGGGCGGAACTCAATCTGAGACCCCCTGGAACCTTGGAAGTCTGGTGTCACCATGGAAGCATTGACCTACGATGAAATGCAAGGGCTGCGAATAGTTCGGTTTTTTTCCAATATGTCGTACAACGGAATCTAGACCGAGTGTATCTGTATCCCAGCCTCGGTCGTGAATGTCATGGGTTCAAGTTTCAATAGAAATTGACGAGGCTTACGGCACCATTTCGCTAGTGCTTTAGCTTAAACGACAGTGCACGGGTCATCGCGCCTACATCAGGAACGAGGACCAATCTTTCAAAAGACATCTCCTTGATGATTGAATGGACAGGAACTCCGCGGGATTATTGATTGAACCCGCGTCATCGGTGTGGAAGACTGTGCCTTCGATGCAACTGTACATGACTAAGCATGTATATGTCTGACGCAGGTGCAAGGGTCGTCGGCTCCAATTTGGGCGGAAAAATCGGGCTTTTTCATCGGTCAGGCACAGGTAGATATCGACGATTAATCTGGTTCGAACTCTGCCCTGATAGACCAGAACTATGATATAATAATGGCAGTTGTTGAAGATCATTTTGCCTCCAGATGATATCATGGCGGTTGAAATCGTTTGGGTCTGGTACGAGAGGGTCCTAGACTAAACCTAACTGGGGTCTAAGTGGGGCTGGAAGTGTTTAGTTCGCACGATGAAATTTCTAGCGTGGAAACTAAACTCTCCTGACAGGCCCCGTCGATAGCATACGCAAGTCGTCACGTCAGACCCGCGCCTCGATGCTTCCGCGGCCCGATTCTTTCCTTTAAATATACTGTAGCCACTTTTTAATGCCAAATCCTCTCTGATCTCACATAACCCCTCTCTAGCGATCTACCGTGCATACTCTAGCCCCACGGGTTTATGGTCATCCTGTATACATATACCGCGTGATCACCACCCCATCCCTCCCATTTCTTCCTTTTTAACTCACTCCACACTTTGCAAACCCAAACACCAAACCAAATCCAGGGTCTTCAAGATCGAACAAATCCTCAGAATGGCGGTCGACTGCATCTCGATGGCCTCACTCCATCACCCCCACCATCCCTACAACCAAAGCTCAAACTCAAATATCTCCCGCTCCAAAAGCGTAGGAAGCTCAAGCGGAACAAGAGGCAGAAGCAGCAGCAGCAGCAACAACCCCTACGCTCGCTTCATGTCCCCAGCACCATCCGTCTACTCCCAAGCATCAGACTACTCAAGCACATCCGTGCCATCCGTCTGGTGGACCGGCTATCCGGAGCACCATCCGGTCGAGCCGAAGCGCCGCCGTGACAGCACTTCCTCCATTAATTCAATCAGTACAATCGGTGTACCCCGACGTAGTCGCTCAGGTCGCTACTCTCGGAACTCCACGCTCGTGAACCCAGATATCATTGACGAGCTGGATGACATCACTGTCTACTCTTACCACCACGAGGGACCTTATGATGCGGCTCGTCCGGAGCGGAATCGCGTTACCCAGCTTAGTCCGCTTGAGGCTGTGAAAGAGTCGAATGAGGAGGCTTTGCGCGCGACGCCGCGGGATAAGATTATTGATTCGATCCAGGGTCATCGGCCGTTGGATGGGACTGCTTTTTTCCCTCCCGGGACTACGGATCCGAATGGACAGTCTTATGAGTATGAGGAGGGCTCGAATATGATGAATGAGTATGGGAACTTTTTGCGTCTTCCTGGGAAGGTGAGTTTTTCCTTTTCTATTGTGCGCGAAGATTCAGTCGCTAACTGTTCTTCAGAAATTCACCGATGAGGACTTTAAGAATGATCCTTTCTACACCCAGCCTATCTCCAATCCTTTTACACAGCTGAAGAAGAAGCTCAGTCTCCGTCGGAAGAAGAACCGTCGCAGTATGATTTGATCGAGGGTCTTATGCTTTACCGTCGTCATGACTTATGACCTAACATGCTTACTACCTTACGACTTTGGGTTTCTTTTGGCTTTTAAACGGAGAACTAGATCATGATATTTTGTATGGGCTGTTTGGAGTAGGATATCCGGTTCGTTCTTTGTCTTTCCAATTACGGTCCTTTCGGTGTTTTACAGGCGTTTGGTACGGCAGTTTTGTATTTATGATTCTGGCCAGGGAATATGATTTCACTTTTAACTTTGACTTTCACACTCGTAAAGAGCATGTGATTCAGATAAACTTCCACAGCCAGGTACTAGGCCTATAGTCCATACTGGTACCTGGGAGCAGAGTACACAAGAAACTCCACCAACAGGACATCACTCATTAAATCGAGTAAAATACCGGTCGACTGAAAAATCCTAATGAGAGTAACATCTCTTTTGGTCATGATTTCCAGGAGCTCACGGCATCTCTCTCGGCATTTTCGGCCTCGTGCGCATTGCCACGAGAAAGCACATGAATGAATCAGCAGACCTCCACGCGGGGTTGATGTGGGGTACGGTTCAACCTCGGTGCACTAACGGTGCACTAACCGCAACAGGATGACTCTTCTGAACACGGATTTTCTGCCCGGTCACAACGCGGGGTATTTTTCGATCGGATTTTCTTCTTCACCACTAGTCTCGAGATGTAGGTAAGATTGATGTCGATCGAGATGGACCCGGGTGTTAGTTTCGGGATGTGGTGATCGGTCGGTAGCTAAGAATTAATGAAGTGTCAGCTATAAAGAATCACGATTTTACATTCAATCTCACCAATCAACTGATTAAAATCATCTACAAACAAAATGCATTATACCAAGTTCCTTAGATCTCTCCTAACCCTCCTCCCGCTCACCAAAGCCCACGCATCTCAACCACAGGCCCCATCCCTACAATTCCTGTACACAGCTTACGTCCTCTGTTCTCCCTCCATCTATGAAATGCAAACACCCTCGGGAATCCAAAAAGCAATCCCGATCATCGGCGGAAATTTCACTGGGCCCAGATTGAAAGGTAAAATCCTAGATCTGGGCGCAGACTGGGGATACACCGATCCACAGACGGGGATCTTCTCCGCGAATACGAGATACAACTTGCAGACGCATGATGGGGCGAATTTGTTTTTACAGACTTCGGGCGCGCAACAGTCCAATGGGGATTTACATTTGAGGATTGATATTGCGACTGGAGATAAGGATTATTATTGGTTGAATAATATTGTTGGTATGTTTTCTTTTCGGGTATAGCAGGTGTTGTACATTATCTGACGGATCTAGCGTTTGGGACTTTGAGGGGTGTCGCGCAGAACGATGAAGGGATATCGACTTTGCGGATTGAGGCTTGGCATGTAAGTCTCTTTCTCTGACCTTGTGGTGGTATAGTTTGCTGATGGACATAGATGGCGGATGAGTGGAACTCCACGACGTTCGTTAATGGGACTACATATCCGTAATGTATTGACGGCGTGAAAATATGGACGACTGGGTAGATCACAAACGACTGAAATTGCTCAGAGCTATCCATTCGTTGATTACTTATACCATAGATTTGCCTCTGTCGTCAAGTTGATCTCATCGTAGATGAAGCCGCCATTTGAATGTGAAATGCCTACTTTTCAAAGCACAGCCCTGCTGCCAAAATACCAGAATACATTCAAGTTGCAATACCTCAACATTGGAAATACTATCTTGATAATTTTACTGTATCAATAATTTAAAATGACCTCTACTCCAGGAAAAAAACCCCACACCCTCAAAAACATTGGACCAATGCACCCACCCCAGGTCGACCCATCAACACCAAAGCTCTGTGTAGCCAACAAAGTGAACATCAAAGTCTCTGATCCACAAGACCACTTTGCGCCAGCAATTATTCACGAGCCTCCGATCATATACGAAGTGCAAAGCTACAGCCAAGGTGACAAAAGGACCAGCGCTGTAGTCCTAGTATCAGGCGCTGGCGGAGGCGTTTCTGGACCAGGAGGTAAACAACACCCATCCGATACCAGCTACAGTAACAACCAGTATCGACTAACATGACATTAGGAATATATCCCTCCTTAGCAGATAAAATAGCTCTCCTCCTCTCAATCCCCTGCATCCGCCTGGACTACCGAATCCCAGCCGAAACGAAAACCTGCACAGCCGACATCCGCGCCGCATTCGACCATCTACACGAGAAATACGGGGCTCAAAAATTTCTAGTAGTTGGCTGGTCCTTCGGCGGAAGTCCATGTTTCACCGTCGCAGCAGAAGAACCCACCCGCGTCCTAGGCGTGGTAGCGATCGCATCCCAGGTCGCAGGAACAGAGGGAGTCAAGTCGCTAGCTCCACGCCCACTCTTGCTACTACATGGGGAAGAAGATACGGTTCTATCACCTTCGTGTTCTGAGACGCTTTTCCATCGATACGGGACTGGGGGCGATAGGCGGATGAGAATTTTTCCCGGTGATGATCATGGGCTTACGAAGAATGCGGTGCTTGTTGAGCGGAAGATTTTTGCGTTTGCGGCGTGGTGCCTTGGGTTAGAGGGGATTGTTGACGCGGAAGTTTTGGAGCAGGCCGGGATGGATTTGGTGCATGGGAGGGATGAGAGGGTTAGGGAGATGGAACGGGGACGGGATTTGGAGAATGGGGAGAAGTTGTTCTAGTGCTTCGCTGTATGGCAATTTCGAATGCAGGGGTGGTTTTCACGTCAAATCCAGTATCGGGAGAAGCAAGACAATCAGGAATTTACTGTTCATCGCAGTCAGATAGGGCTCCCACACTCCACCCGGGAAATTAATCGAATCTGTGATTAGATCCATAGTATTTGGATAGATGATTGGTCGGGATTTCTCGTGTTAAACGTGAAGATACTGCAGGGGATATGGTATTCGATATCGTCCAACCAACGGTGTGGAGAGTATCAACCGAGTGTCCATATTTTACGTGCTTACTTTGCTCAATGCTAAGGAGTTATATTCGTCCGAGGCCTCTCATGCAAGCTTTTCTCTTCTATCTCTGCAGAAATTTGAAGTTACACAGGTCGCACTGATCACATTGATCGTGTTTGTCTTGGCACTTTACGCCCTGCACACGCAAAAGGGGTCCATAGCCTCGTCCGAGGAAAAGCAAACGCAAAGATAAAGGGGTCACCTAGTCAAGAACGCTGGGATCGCTCGAATACGAGTGAGGCTCTTGAACGGGCAAAATGTAAATTAGAAGTTTGTTTGTTTATTCGGAATAAAAGGGTTATTCTAGGCAGACTAGCGGCCCAATACGACTCAGACCAGGCTGTTAATTAAAAAAGTGAAGTAATAAGGCTGGTGTGATGTGGATTCAGATCGTATTGTGGTGGATTGACCCTGTCGATCACTATTGATCAGTTCACCTGTCGGTAGACCGGTCTGAAAAGAGGTTACAAGTCAAATCCCACGTGCAGATAGAATGTGGCACTTGAAGTCGGAAAACCGTGACCTGCAGATACCCAGCCTTGTTTTACGCTCTTTCGTTTGGCTTTGTGATGAAGCCCCTCGAAAGATGCCAAGTCGCCAAGCTCCTGGAACACGAGAGGGATCACACTATGACCAGACAAGCGCTGGGTCTATTTAGACTCTTGGCGGCTATCGTTGATAGGCTTGAAATTTTAATTAGGCATTTAAGTTTGCAGCCCTTCGTATACAGATGGTTTCCAGGGTCTAATTATGGAAGTACCTGACGGCTTAAAGTGGCCCATCACCCATGTGCTCCTGTATGTTTTGGATGGCCAGGTACGCTCTTTAATTCTCCTGGCTTTCAAAGACAAACAAAAGCAAGTTCAAACAACCTCCTCGCCATGTCGAAAGATCCACAAAGAACCCGCTTCGTGAAATGGTGGCCGATTAGCTTCGCCATCGCCGCTGTCATTTTCTTCATTATCGGAGCAGCCCTCCTTGGCACATACTTCAACTCGTCCTATTCGTCATGCGATGACTACTATTCCTACTCCTACTATAGCAGCACTTACTGCTACGGCGGGAGCAATGGCGAGTTCTACGGTGGCATCGCTTGTATTGTGATTGGCGGTATTCTAAAACTCGTCGCTTGGATCCTCTTTATCGTTTGGTGTGTGAAGCGCAGTCGGATCCAGCAAAACAATATCACCTACGTCAACAACGCGCCGGCTGGAGCACCGCAACAATCTTATGCTGCGCCTCAGCCTATGTACCCTATGCAGCCAGGTGCTTCTTTCGCTCCAAAATCTCCCGCTTCGCCCGGTCCTGGTTATGCTGAGGCTGTTGGCACACCTCCGCCAAAGGAGGGTCTTGCAACGGCTACGGGTTACAGATATTGCAGTCAATGTGGAGTGGCTGCTCATGGGCGGTTCTGTTCGCAGTGTGGTACTCAGTGCTGAGTGGATATGAGCACGACGGAGGCATGAACATTTTCTTTTTCCGGTTCCACAATCTTCGATTGTTGGAAGAGTGACTTGAGAAATGAGATAAGACGCTGAACTCTTGGGCTTGTATCGTCGCGCCTAGTTCGTAGGTGCCCATGCCAACGAGCATTCCCTTCTTCACTAGGTATATGAATAATCGAATTCCCCTTGCCAAATGCTTACGTATTGAAGCACGCATATAGAAGCACATTTACAAGATAATAATTTGAGCCAGCCAGTCCTCTGCAATAGTAATAGCCTGTATACTCCGAGTGATAGTCTCCGACAAGCCGCCCAGATTGATCATGGAGAGCCGCAGTTCTTTGTGTCACAATATTAGCTAACTCCAAGGGGGCTATATCCACCGGATACCAAAGTTGGAATCAGAGAACTCTCATTATCAGCTGCGGCCTCCCCTGTTTGACGCACCAGCTAACCGGTCGACTGATGTTCGGGGGCCCTGCCCTGGGACCATATTTCTGCTGTCGCGGCAATGCCCTTGACCTCGAGTATGTTCGGGTCTCTCTGTGAGTGGGCAAATTCGACGGGGGCATTTACAATATGGAATTCCCCTCTCTGTGATTGGGCAAATTCGATGGGAGGGTTGACAATATGGTAATCTCCCCTCCAGCTGGCCTTCACTTCTATCTCAACAGCATCAGCCTCCGCGGGAAGAGGGGTGATCCGCGTGGCCTCCATCAAAGCGGTGGCTCCGAAAGTCTTTTGAAGGTTTTCATAGGCAACGATCGAGGAAGGAGTACTTAGCACGTCCTTTGTAGATCGAGCTAGTGGGGCCATGCACGAAGAAGTAGAGTCTTTGCTTGGTGAAACAGCAGACTGGCAGCTGCAGCTGCGCTGTGACTCACTGGGTCCATCTACTGGCAGCTCAAACTTCGGTGGCGGAGTGATATTTTTATGTCTTTTTGGGCTCCTTCGGCCCACAATATCAACAGGATCCAGCAAGGCACGGACCCAATTGTACATATTGTATTCCTTTGCGAGCTCTAACGCTGAGGTCACTGGTCAGATTATGAAAGCTACCCTGCACGACAAGAAGACCTACCAAACGTGGGACATATCCATATATTGCCAGCGACGTGGTTCGGGCTTGTGTGTCTCTGGGATATGAGATACCTTCGCTCATCCCTCTCCTCCCTGGCCTTGGCCCAGGGGAATGCAATCTTAAACATGCTCGTTGCACTGATAAAACCATCCTTGCTTCTCCGCTACTAGTAGATAACAGTTAGTGATCGAGTATGATATAGTTTCGTACGATAGGCTTGGATAATCCTTACAATTAGAAAGTACCTAGCCGAAGATTGACTTGAGGAATGGATCTCGGATCCATTTAGGTCCCCAGGGAGCGGAGACGTAAGGTAGGCATATTCAAAATAACCTAGATTCTCAGGCTTGGTCGCATTATTGGTACCGATTAGTTCCGGCTCAACGGAAAGGCAGGTCCTCATAAGGCAGCGACGCGTAACGAGATCTTCATCTACGAACACGAAAGGTAACAGGAGACAAGTTAGACAAGGCTTCGTGGGAATAAGATAATGGATCAGAGAGACCTTGTGCGAGACCGCGCGCGCCGCGAGGTGAAACTTACAGGCGGGAGCCACGTCGGCGAGGATCAGTGGGTTATTTTTCTTGGGTAGGGATCGCGACATGGTAGATAGGCGGGATAGAGGTTCTGCTTGGGTAGAAATGTGCGAGATACGGCTCAATTATGCCCCAACGGCAGGCACGGGGTGCTATAAAGGGAACACTAGGATAAATTAAAAGTACTAAAGGTGGTGCGGGGTGACGACCGTATTAATGATATAGATAATGTACGACAAGATACGGCCCCTTTTTGTTACCGCACTAAATGCCTGTCCCAGGACATTTCTAAAAATAGTAGCATTGTATTAACAGTTGCGGCTCTAGACCTTCTGATATTAAATCAGACTTGTGCTTATGCCATCTCATCTGTATGGATTCATCTAATTGTGAGTTTCAAATGACCTACAAGTATGTATATGTCTCTTCTTGGAAAATCTGTCTGAGGTCGATATTTTATCCAATAGATCATATTGGTGTACTTGGGTAATAAGACATATGAAAGAGGAGATTGTGGGGAACGCGAGTGGCCTCTGCGGCCGGACAATGTTCTGCTTGATGTAGACATTCCAGGGAACTGCAAGTCACGGAGACTGGGACTGACGGCATATTGCCTATTCAACGACTGCCATGTTTGCAGGGGTCTGCATAGAATCTTCTAGCCTGTAAAGTCAGGGGCAACGTAACCGTATATCTCATACTTGTATTCAGTATACATTTTCTGGTTATCCAGAAAACGGATTATTTACATGCTACCCATATCTGGATTAGCGTATCACATGATCAATGTTGGGAACAGTCTCTCTGTATTCGATAATGAAGACGAATGCGGCCGCTACTGTACCATTTTAGCCTTACTTTTGGCAGATTCTCTACTTATCCTACCTAACATATCCCTCTAGTGTACTTAGTATCTTATCACTAAGGATGATCTTAGTTTCTTCGTCTAAAACTACTGCTTCCCCCCCTAGATGATCATAAGTGTAGTCCTCTTCAGCAATTTGTCAAGTTACGCGACTCTCATCCCTGACCCTAACCTGATGCTCAAACTTGATTTTAGGCTTTCTCATCTGGTTAATCTAGGAACTGGGGTAGCGAGCTGACATGATAACGGATGCATGGAGCTTCTGATGTCTGGTTACGATCCCTTGAGTGGCTGAAAAGGTGTTTCAAGAAGGAAGATCAGACACTGCGCTTCGAAGTTGGTTGAATTTTACGGTCTAGATTGTTTGTTGTCTGGTTTGACATTGTTACAGGATATATCGAAATTCCAAGGTTATATTCACCACGTCAATCCCATAAAAACTTCTTCGCTTGGTTTCTTGACACACGACTAATCTATTTCTGATCTAGCCCGGCTTCCAGAACCAGGATCGTATTGAAAATATATCTCACCTGGTGCAGGACAAATAAATTACAGCAGATTCGGGATTTTGTCGAAGAGTAATTTGTCATTACCTAGATGGAGAATAGCGCTCGTCGGCCTCAAGTATATACGAAGCTATGCTTAACTGGGTGGTTCAGTCTACACTTGGCCTGGATCACTCGAACAGGAAGCTCCATCTGTAAGGATCTGTCTTTGACTAAATTGCATCTGCATTGGGCCTAGAGATAAATTATATGCAGTTTTTGGAAATACCAATTGTAGAAAAGTGGTGAAACTAATTTCGATCCTCCCTGTGAACATGAATTATCTTTCGGTATTCAGATGTTGGCTTTCGGAAATGGGCGACTACTCACTCGATGTGCTGTAGTCAGTTCATCGAATGCACATGATAGTTTTTCCACCATCCCATGTAACCCTGTTTCTGATCCTCATCTTGAAGGTTTCGTGTGATGTGTTGATGACTGTACCGTCCTCTCCTAAGAGGTGTGCAGAAGAAGCGAAAACAATCGCTTCGCCGGTTCGAAGGCGAGCGATTTGATGAAGGCCATCTTCAGCACACTCGCAGTGCTCTCCAGTGCTTCCGCTATCTATTGGTAGATGCCTCTTGATAGTAGTGTACCATTCAGGGCTCGTAAATCGGTGAATAATAGTCAATGAACAGAGGTCGATGAGTCTGGGTGAGATTGTCGGCTCCTGTGTAGAGATTATAATACGCACTCCCAAGTGTCGTTGCTGTCGAATAATGGTCAAGAAAGTATCCGTCAGAGCCTTCGCGGCAGGAGTATCAACCATGTACTGCTCGGCAACGACTCAACGTCAGCGATTACTCATCAGTGTAAAGTGATTGAATCGATTTACCTTGTGTGCTTCATCGGCGACGATCATCTTCCCGCGGGAAGGATGCGCGTTGAGGAACAGATCAATAGCGATACGGAAGAGAATGCACGCAGTACTTTGATCAACAAACGGGCACGACAGGTCTAGAATGGTAATACCGCCGTCAACAAAGTATTCACCTACACATTTTCCGTTGAGGTCAAGGTATGAGTCCAGTAAATCGAGTCTTTGATATAGAAAAGGCGTCTGTTGCCGGTCTAAATTGAGGGCATTCAGACGGACCCGAAAATTGGAGTAATCGAAACAGCCGCCGCTCTCCATGGCCATATCCCGAAGAACCCGAGTCACTTGTGACATATATAGGGGCATCCCGTTGCTTTGGGAGACAGACATGAGCGAAAGCATCATAGTGATATTAAGGTGTTTTGGTTGGAGCTTGAAAGGTCGAACCTCCACATTTGGGATTTGCGAGTACATCTTCTTGAGGTTGTGAAAGTTCGTCGGAGATACTAAGACGCGTACTGGGACTGCCTTTTCACGTGCATACTGGGGCAAAAATCTGGCTAAGAAGGCTGCTTCGCTGGGCTGTGAGCTCACTGTTGAGGTATACTCATCGAATTGCAGCACAAGTGTCGAGATAGGTATTTTGAGGGTTCCCAGTGCCGGTATTGCCATGGAGCAGTTTTCTAAGTGGTATCAAATTCCGGCGACTCATGCATTGAGATAGGGAACATACCGATGATGCAAGCAGTGGTGTGCGATTTGCCACTTCCTTGTACACCACAAATGAAGGCAGAGAACGGAACGTTTGTATTCAGCATGATTCTCAGATCTGGACTTTTGGTCCCTGCTGCGGCAATCCTTCCCAGTAGCGCACACTGAGAAGGTAGGCTGTACCCACGCTGCTCAAGCAAGGGAGAGACCAAAAGAGCATGCTCATTGAGTAGTCTATCCTTGCTTCTCTCCGTTTGGTCATCACTGGAGGTCAAAAACTGTTGCTGCAATTCCAAAGAGGGGAGAGGAGGGATGATATTAGAAGTATCCGTATCAATGTTTCCGGCGAGATGATCCTTGAACTCTAGCAGAATAATTAGCATCTCTCAAAAAGACATATCTAAGATACCACTACCTTCCAAGCGGATATTAATCAAGCAGTCGGCGTCACTCTGGGTGGCTAGATCTTCCATATCACCCTGCGTATTGTAATCTGCGATGATATGGACATCTTTTGTAGAACCTGATGCTATCGTCGGAGGTGGTCTCGTCTGGGGAATTGTTGACGATGGTGGATGTTGGCCCCGATCTTGGGGAATAGTCTGGTGCGACGAAATTGAAGTCGGCAATGAGAGATTTGAGACTTGGGTCACTATTGGGCTCCCGTTTGTATTGTCATCCCTCAAATCTGATTCAATTTGATCCGCATAGCTCAACCCACATTTAGCAAGTTAACAAAAGTTAACAGCGAGCAACTTACCTGGCTACAAATCCTTTGATGAAATCACTGTGTCTTGGGCACCTCCCCAAGTATCTTGCCTTGATCGCTTCTCGGTCGATTGGCTTGTTTTGTAGATGACGACTGAGAATAGCTTCACCGATCGCCTGCCTCAGGACAACCTCGCTCCACTTTTTAGACTTTCGTGTCATATCGGAAAATTGGTAATGAAATGAGAATTATTTCAAGAAAAAACGGCGGCAAGATAAATGATGATGGGCCATATGAGGGACATTGGGCACGGAGGGGCACACCTGGGCAGCAGTCACGGGATATATAATTGCTTTTGTGGAATGAAGGCGTTATGCACCTGGGCAGGGCCAAAGGAAGTTTCACGGTATGCTGGTTCTCTACACTCGGTGGTTATAAAGCACACAAGTGAAGGCGATGGAGGACAAGGCTGAGATTTGATGCTTGTTGTGATTAAGCTGCCTAATGTAGGATATTCCAGTGCTTGTAATTAAAGCTTTTGGAGGTCTGCAGCTTAGACAGGATTGACGCATGGGGCCTCTTGTTCTTAGCTATACGTACTTGATTTCCTCTGGCGTGTGGGGCTTCCTGTCTTAGCTGCCGCCGCTTTTATAAGGGCGCTCAAAGTCAGGCTCACTGAGACCAAACCCCAAAAAGCATATCGCCCCACAATACAATTGACTCTCGCTAGTGAATTACGTTATAAATTTACCGCACATATCTCTACCAATAGGACCATGCGATCCTTCAGTAGCGCAGTGCTGACTAGAAAACACGTGAGACGGGTTTCCCCGCCTGAACAACCCCTCAGTCGCAGATGAGACAGCACTGCTGGTTGGCTGAACAGAGAGACCTTAAGACCTTCTCATTGGATTGATGCAGCTCTGAGTGCATACGGTATCCTCCTACCACAACATAAAGCCCCTGATAATGGGTGAGGATTGTGCTCTATGCCTTTCGTCTGTATTCTCCTACTCCAGCAGCGAATATGGACCATCTGAACAGGCACGCTATGACCTGTTCCATCAACCATGCTCCGCTTGCTCTGTCGTAGAGTCTAGGGAAGGCTCCCTTTGTGGCTTCTGCCAACATCTACGATTGAGGCATCTGGTAAGATGCATGGATCCCAAAACTCGAATGGAACTTTTATTCTCTTTGCCTAAGGGGCTGGCAGAAGATGCTTTCGTGACTGAATGTCAGCTTTGTCGCTTGGTAAACCATATGATAATGGTGGGGCTTAGTGCTGCACAGTTATCTGAAGTGAGAAAAGCAAACTGCGATATCGTTCTCTATCCAGGATTGCCTCAGGACTCGCAACCGGAGGGATCCAGTGTATTCACCGCAGAAATTTGGGCCCATTATTCTGAAGGCGATGAGTTGGCAAGCACTTGGGTTGGCGATCTTCATATAGATGATATCAATAAGGGTGAGGCATTCCATCTTCCCTAGTATGCATCAGATCCTTACAAGAAAATCAAAGTTTCAACTGCATCTCCTGTTGGAGACACGATATCCTGGGGCCCGCTAATGGGCAGGATAAATGAATGCTACAAAACACATAGCGAATGTCAGCGGAAAGCCCAATACAATCTTCCGCCAGGTTTTCGGGTCATCGACGTAAATAGACGATGCCTTGTTGAAAAAAGCAGTTGCCGCTTTGTTGCATTAAGTTACGTATGGGGCGTGAATCCTCAGTCATCCCTGCTTGCAGCCTCCCGCGCCACAGTTGATGGCATGAAGAAAGATGGCGGTCTTCCTGCTCTCAAAATGCCCCGGACAATAGAGGACGCAATTGCAATTTGTGTTCGAATGGGTGAGAGGTATCTGTGGGCTGACAGGCTCTGCATTATACAGGATGACGCAGACGACAAGATGAGCCAAATAGAGGCTATGGGCGACATTTATTCATCCGCTCAGCTTGTGCTCGTGGCTGCCTATGGCGATAGCATGGAGTTTGGGATTCCGGGCATCAGCGCCCAAAGAAAGGCAGCTCAACATAGTGAAGATGTGCTTGATTTGCAAATCACAAATGTCATCCGAGATGCTGAAGATGATCCGCTTAACATGTGGGACACTCGCGCATGGACATACCAAGAGGCTGTTCTTTCAAATAGGCGGCTCTCTTTTACAGACACTCGAGCCTTCTTCGAGTGTGAACGATTGATTTGCCACGAGGATCAGTTCAACCTCGAAGATATTCGGAATGAGCTCTTCTCCACCAGGCTCACTATTTCTGAAGATGTTTCCCGTTTCCAATCCTTTACACGTCATCTGAAGCATTACACTTCCAGAAGTATTACATACCGATCCGACGCTCACAAAGCACTATATGGTATCTGCAGCTCATTATACAAAGGAACTGGCGCCTTCATAAGCGGGCTACCGGTGGTAGACTTTGACCGCGCGTTGTTATGGTTCCCTGACATTGGCGAAAATGTTATAGAACGTCACGAAGCTCAGGGGGAAATCTTACCAACGTGGTCTTGGTCATCAGTCATGGGCCTGTCCGATCCAGTTCTCTACCGAGCAGCGGATTTCTATGGAACATTAGCCCCTTGGTATCACATAAATGACCACATCGCATCTTCTGCTTCTATATCAGCCTTGAATGTGGACCCTGACTCGGAACTGCATGATGATTGGCAGGTTTATATGGCTATTGCCATTAAGGAAGGATGCGTGCGAAACGTGTCCCTCACTTTCTCCTTGGCAAATGACACCTTTCCGACCGTGCGTGAGCTAGTCAATTCCCGCTGGAAGGATTACCACTCATTCCGCAGGGAAGCTCTACCATTGGTCATCAAGGCGTCTGAATTACCACATGGCATTTCCACAGACCCAGCAAAGCACGGAATCATAGCAACAGAGGCCCAAACTGCTTTTCTCAGAGTAACTCCAAGACCATCCTCGTCCTTGGATATCATCAACGCAGAGGGAGATATAATTGGCGGATTCTGCGGAGACGCAGCAAAGCTGAGAGAACAAGCCATCACTCCGGGATTCAACTCGCACGCTGAGTTTGAATTCATCTCTCTCTCACTGTCCGGCGCCAAATCATACTCAGAGGACTCTAGTCTGAAGAACTATAGGGATGCTGATGGGAACTGGTTGAATAAGGCACCTATCGTGAACGTGTTGATGATTGCCAATAGTGGAGGTTTTTCACATCGTCGGGAGCTGGGCTGGATATATCTTATTGACTGGGCCAAGCTACGCCGAGAGTGGAGGACTATCGTGCTTGAGTGATATGAATGCAGCCAAGTAGGCAATACAGGTCCCTGAGAACACCCACCATGTCTTCAAGAAGGGCCTTATAAATACAGGAGATTCAAATAAGCACAGAGATTAAAATGGCTAGCAACATCCTCGTTTAGTAGCATGTATGACCTGAAGTCTCCTACCATGTTAAGCAAATTCCCAATCCTCCTTGATACCGATCAGGATCTACAGGTAGCGTATGCTGAATACATACGAGGAACAAGACCTCCACAGCTGGAATTATCATGCCAGTATTCGTATTCTATTTGCAAGGTTTGTTTCAATTTGACTGACTATATACAGGCCAGAGCAGTCTTTAGTAGAATACAGATATCTCACTGAGCAAGTAACATGGCCGCCACGGCTTCTCCAAAAGCGTACATAGGAGCCTGATAATGACCCGCCACTGGCACAGGAAGCACACTGGCATCGCAAACTCGGATATTGTTAACACCCTTAACTCGACACTGAGTATCCACCACCGTACCCATCGCAGCCGTGCCTCCATTTTGGAAGAAGCTACTTCCAACAATCTGCACCCGTCGGTCTAGGTCCGCATCACTGCATGCGCTAGTCAATTGCTTATGACCAGGTGGCGGGGTCTCGCCCTCGATAACTTCCCGTGCAACATCAGTTTCCATTACCCGCAGGGCGAGACGCATACCCGCGCGCATCGCGGCACGATCCGTCTCTGTGGTCAGGTATCCCGGATCCAGTACTGGGTCAGCCAAAGGATCGGTGTTGGCGAGCGTAATACTGCCTCGACTGGTTGGGAGAAGAAGAACCACGGGACTGCTGATGTGATTTCCGTCCATGGGCACGCGGAATTCGGAACCACCACCGGCAATTGGTGCGTAAGCTACAATCATCTCTACATTGCCTCGAGCTTCCTGAAGGTATGGATCTTTCGCGTCGATCTTGTCTGTCTCTGCGGCCTTGATGAGCTCTTCGCGCGGGGTAGGAATTGTTGCGACCCATTCCATTGGGTTGCCGTGCCGGAATTCGGGCTTGTTGAAGGCTGGAGAGCCAAGCGCATATCCCTTCTCGGGGTTCTTGAGTTTCCAGAAGAATGTTGCCGAGATCTTATCGTGGTAGTTCTCTCCAACAGGTAGATCTGCGATGGTTGGAATGTTGTGTTGCGCGAGGTGTGATTGGGGTCCAATGCCAGACAGCATTAGCAGCTGAGGTGTTTTGAGAGCACCACATGTGACTAGTACTTCCTTCGTTGCCGTGTACCGGGTCCCGTTAATCAGCGTGATACCTGTAGCTGTCTTTTGGTCATCGAAATCCACGCGCGCGATAACGGAATTCGTCAATACTGTTGCTTTGGAAAGGTCGTAGGCTTTGCTGGCCGGTTGTCGGAGAGCATCCTTCCAGTTCTCCGTGAATGGGCCAAAGCCAAAAGGATTGCCGCCATTGGTATCTGGATTGTATTCCAGACCAGCAGCAAGCATTGCCCCGCGAATCTGTTCTCGCAGCGGGTAGGTGCGAGCCGCAGCCGTTGTCGTGATTGGGCCATTGAACCCGTATTTCTCGGGACTGCCGGTCGGATCGTGGTGGGTCTGCGATGCCTTGAAATACTTAAGCATATTCGCGTAGTTCCACCGCTCGTCCCCGACTATCTTCGCCCAGGAGTCATAGTCAACTGAGTGACCCCGGGTCCATAAACCGTAATTAATGCCACTGGAACCCGACAGCAGTTTGCCCTCGTAATTCGGAACGGCGCGGTTGCCCAGTCCTGGCTGTTTGGTCGTCATCAGGTTATATTCCCATTCGGTGCCATGAAGATGCGGGGCTGCGACGGGGCTCATGATCTTGTCATTGTAGTCCTCGGGGCCGGCCTCAACGACCAGTACGCTGTGTCCGGCCTGGGAGAGGCGGCTTGCGAGAACGCATCCCACAGTGCCACCTCCACAGACAATGTATTCGTAGGTCTCGCTCATCGTGTCGATGTCAATCTCAGATAGCTAGAAGGCAGACTGATTTGCTGTGTTGAATGAGCGATATTGGCGACCTCGAAATGGGGCACAGTTGAATTAAATACCCTGATGGATTAGATATCATAATTAGCGAGGTCTTTTATGCATGGTTTAGAACCGGTTTGGTTCATGTTGATTCTCTTTCTTCGAAAATTGGCCCCCAAATTGAGGGGCGCGGTTGCACTTAGAATTGTCTTGACGATCCTAGTTAGCGTATGTATCTACAGGGATGAGAATTTGCTCCGATGGGCCCATTTCATCGGCCGGCATTTAGAAACATCGGTTGAAAAGGGAAGGTTTCTCATCTCCTCGAATTAGGTGGCATCTACGAAGTAGTGTGAGGGATAAAGCATTCCCGGTGTTAGCCTTTCCGCCCTCGTACTTTCTGCAGGCCGCATGAGATGCATATGGCCCCCAAGTTGATCAATCCCGGGCGGTAATTGATCGGCGTGGCTACGTGTACTAATGGAATCATGTTGCATTTACCATGCATGTTTTCTGATTGAGGCTTGAGTGGCGCTCGCGCGGGCTGTTCTCCCCGGGAGGGGGTTTTCGATCCGCACTGCAACAGGATTTTCCCCCTCTTACTGGTCGACGAAGAACTAGTGGATTTTTTAAACTTCATCCTTCTGATTCCTTTGTCTAATATTGGAAGCTGGTGTTGAAGTGCCCCTCTCCACTCCCCGAAATTCCTCAACGAACCTTGGATCTCGAGATTCACCATCCGCCAAAATGTCAAATTGTAACTGCTTCAAAGAAAAAGACAATAATAAGATATCTTGTAGACCATCTGAATGGCGTATGACCCCCGCCCCCAAAGTACATTTGTCACATTCGGCCCCCCTAGACCCCACTACCGTAATGGATTCAGTATTGGCCCCCAATCCCGTGCATGAAGATCAGACTTCTGCAGAAGAGGACTGGGCAGAATCTATGTTAATTCACAGTAGCTTCTGCAGGCTAGGTGTGCCGCTGCCCACGCGCTTTAACAAAAAAACTCTCTCGCTGAGCCCAACTTTCCCATCCATCATCCATCTTTCTGGAATTGATGTTATTATTTTACCGCAGCACAAAACTTCAGAGTGTCTTGGACTTGGCGCTTATCTGCTGAAGGACACCTACCGCTTGTGTGTATTCACACTTGGATAGACACGAGTATGGGCTCCACTTCGACTCCGGGGTATGATCCCAACGCGACTCGCGTACCTGTTATCATTGGAGTCTGTGTGACGATGATTGTTCTGGCTGTTCTGGCAACCGCACTTCGCATATGGGCGCGGGTCATGACAAAAGCCAAGTTGTGGTGGGATGATTGGCTCTGCATCGTGGGACTAGTACGCCTGCTTCTCCCACCCAGAACAACATGTTTGAAGCTAACATACATATGTCGCGCTCAGATATTCGCAATCATGCCGTCGATATTCGATTTTGTCCAGATCAATAATGGATTCGGACGACACATGACAACGGTGCCTGCTTACAAACTGGTCAGATACAGCCTGTTTCTCTACATCCTCATGCTGTTCTATAACCTGGGGTTGGCATTTTTCAAGCTTTCCTGCTTGGCGCTGTACATCCGCATGTTTGGAGTCCATCGATGGATTCGTCACATGAGTTATGCCATCGGTGCGATGGTCATTGCCTGGGTCTTAGCCAATGAATTCGTCTTAATCTTCCGATGCCACCCAGTCGACCTTGCCTGGAAAGGAACTGCAGAGGAGCAGGCAAAGTCATGCGTCACCGAGAAGGATATATTCATCGCACAGTCTGCTCCGACGATTTTCTTCGATTTGCTTATTCTCTTTATGCCCATTCGAGTGGTCTGGGCCCTGCAACTGCAATTTACCCAGAAGCTTGGTGTCATCGTTGTTTTTGGACTGGGATCGCTCGTTACCATTATTAGTATGGTCCGCCTTGCAGGCGCTGTTACTTCGACAGACATAGATTTGACCTGTAGGTTCTTTTGACTTTTCGAAAACCAAAGACATATATTGACCTTTGATGACAGATGGATACGTCGAGCTAGGCATGTGGTCTGCGGTCGAGCCCGTGACTGGCTTACTCTGCTGTTCTCTTATGACATATGGCCCATTTATCAAGAGGATCCGCCAGGTCAGCAGGACGTACATTCGGGGTAACACCAACGGCCACAGGTCGCAATCCTCTTCAACGTCATTGTCCATCCGAAACAAACTCACAGGTCATCATTCCGCTGAATACGATCAGTTTGACCTCGAATCAAGCCCATCCCGTTTGGGTAATGCGGCTCCAGTTGTTACCACGTCTGATAAATTTGATCAAACACATAATGGTGCAATAAATATCACGCACGAATTTCAAGTTCAACGAGACTCAAATGAAAACTAATCATCTCACGAGCCTTCAAGTGCTGGAGGCTGGGAAACAACGAGATGTTGGAGATTTTTACTATACCCTGTCGGAAGGATCTCAATGGTTGAATGCATGTATATATATCTATATCCTGAAATTCATGAGCTCCTGAGTGGGCCAATTTGGTCGGTTTACCCCAAGCGTGTTCTGCAGCACGTCATTTCAACATTCAAGATACTTGATGTGCTATTCTCATTTACACGTGTATGTGCTTGAAGACACTATGCGAGAGAATGGAAGCAGTTCAATATGGTACGTAGTGTATTATTGGGTAGCGACAAGGAGAATAGGATCTACGAGAGGTGAAGCCTAAGTGGTGGGATGGAAGGCACTAGTCCGAATAGGGACATCAACAGATATTTTTTTCTCACGTTGGAGCAATATCTACATTTAGGTGTGTGCTTCCAAGCCACCTTGCACGTATATGCATTCGTTCTGTGAACAAGCAGCTGGCCGTGATGACAGTGAGGATGAAATGGTCCGACGCGTGCTTGACTAGCTCAAAGTCGCATTGGTGGGTCCTTGGAACTTCCTAGCGGATTGGACCTCAACCAACAGGCCGCCACTCGTGCGCTGTTAATAGTGATAGAAAAATTGCTAAGGCGTTCCTCTCCCAGCGAATCAAAATGGCGGACCGAATCCGCTCACCCGGTCGGCCCCCACCACTAGTGTTTACATCTGCACCCGCCCCGATGATATGGAAGCGAACACGCAAGCTATTTGGATGCCGAATTTACGACTCTGCAAGTGTCATGTATGGATTTTGCATGGTGGGACCTTTTCTGACGAAGTTAAATAAATGTGGAGTCTTCATTATTGCATTTGGGGGCGGTAAATCACGATCGGACCGAGGCCTTTTTAGGGGCGTTACATTGACACTTTTAAACAATAGCCATTCATTGAGTGATACAGGCGGTAATTAAATTGGGAGAATCAGCCCCCATGCTACAAGATTATATGTAGGGGCAGGGTGGCGTGATCTACGCCCTCGGCTAATTATGTCAGGCTAGATTATCTTGATTATCTTCCCACGCATAAGGCAGGAGGAAGTGCGACCCAATCAGGGACTAAATTGGAGACATTGTGCCCACATAGCTCAAAGTTCAGGATTATGATCTTAGCTCCACACTAGGCATTGAGCGCGAAGGATTGCATGAAGATCTCTCGGTAAAACTTCGCCCCCAATTTCTTGCGACTTAGCGCCGTCTGATATGATTCCAACAAAATCATTGGATCTCCAAGATACTGGTAATGATAAAACTGGAAAAACACGAGACATTCAGGATATATCTCCGAGGGAACTACTAAGAGATAGCGGCTGAACCTCTTACCCCTCATCAGCCTTTTGCAGAATAACCTACGTTGATTGGGTCCGGGTATAGTAAACTTGGAAGCCCCAAGGGAACTTAGTACGGGATCCATAGCTTTTCCTTTGCGACATCCCTGCACCCATTCATTATCTTTACACTATCTCTAGATGCTGCCTCGCCCGTTTCTATTTTCTTGTTGTTTCATCACAAATAAATATTCCTAGGGCAACCATGGAAAAGCCAGCATTGGTCATATTTGGCCCTCAGACTTCTTGGCCGAGCTATTCATACGCAGAGCGCCTCAGGCGAGATCTCGTCGATGAACCATCACTCGCGCCTTTTGCGGATGCTATCAGGCAGCTCCCCGAGCTTTGGCCATCATTGGTTGAGATTGAGCATCGTCTAGGGCAGACAGAGGGAAAAAAGACTTTGGAACAGCTGCAGAACTGGATCGAGACAGGATCTCTCCCAAGGAGAAATGGCCAGGACGACATACTGCCCAATGGTTTTGCAACTCCGTTCACTGTCATTGCCCATGCTATTGACTACTGGCGATGTCTCACAAGTGTTGGCTCACAATGGCGTCCCTCAAATTTAGAAGCTGGTCCCGCTCTAGAGGGTATGTGTACTGGGTTCTTAACAGCAATCGCGGCAGCATCCTCGAAAGATTCGAACGAATTTCTTTCCATGGCGGCGGTCGCTGTTCGGTTGGCGGCATGCATTGGCACTTTAATCGATCTCAATGGAAGCAACTCAGATGGTACAGGAGAGGCAAGAGCATTAGTGGTCAGATGGAGTTCGCCCACTCAGGAGTCGTGCTTTTTGAGAATACTGGAACAGCAGCCGAATGTGAGTTGTACCATTCTCCAAGTGCCTTTTTCAAGGCCTCTCATCACAAAGAGATGGCGATGTGGAAGACGTAGGAGATAAAGGGGGAATGCCGGTCTCTGAGAGTGTGAGGTCATATGATCTGCGTGTAAATCAAGATAGACACTCCCAACTCTCTTCTTCCCTCCGCACTTCACTGATGCTCTCTGTGATTGGAGTCGAGCAGAATGCTCAATCTGTTCAGTCATGTGGATGTTAACTTAATTTTAGGCTTATGTTTCGGTGCTGAAAGACGAGACGAGCCGCACAATCACTGTGCCGGTGTCCGAAATATCAACTACCGCTGAAAAGCTGTTGATGAACGGTCTCATGGTACATGCTTTAGAGCTAAAAGGGAGATTCCACCATGCAAGCAATGACGATATTGCAAATAAAATCATTGAATTGAGCGAATCGAGAGCCGACTTGCAGTTTCCTGATGCTCAAGACCTTCTAACTCCCCTTCGACGGAATTCCGACGGGGGACGCCTTTATGAAGGCCCGCTACACATCACCGCCATCAAATCTTTGCTACTGGACCAGGTGGACTGGTCTTCCACAATTACCTCTGCATTGGAGCCAATTGCCGTGAAAGACATACCCCCAAGCGTATTGGTACTTGGATCGGTCAACGTTGTCCCCTATCACTTGAGTCAGAAGAAAGGGGTTCGTGTGTGCCTTTCTGATGACATGCTTTGTCCTTCTTCCAAAAGCACGAATGCTGTGAAGAGTACCGTTTCTGAGTCTCATGCGACCAACGCTGATGCGGAGTCTCTACTTGATACTATGGGGCGTGTCAATCATGACAACTCGATCGCCATAGTGGGTATGGCTTGTCGGTTTCCCGGCGCAGACACGGCGGAGGAATTCTGGGAACTGCTCGAGAATGGAAGATCAATGATTTCAGACTTGCCACAAAATAGGTTCTCGACCAAAGGCCTACGACGATCTGCAGACGAAACTGTGTTTCAGGGAAACTTTATTCGGGATGCTGAATGTTTTGACAATCAATTTTTCAAAATATCTAGTCGAGAGGCGGCTTCTATGGATCCACAACAGCGTCAGATCCTACAAGTCGCCTACCAGGCTTTGGAGTCATCTGGCTATTTCGATGGACACCGGGACCCTACCAATACCGAAATTGGATGCTATCTTGGTGTGGGATCTGTCGATTACGAAGCCAACATCTACTCCCATCAGCCCAATGCATATTCCGCTCTGGGGTCATTGAAAGCTTTCGTCAGCGGGAGAGTATCTCACTATTTTGGTTGGACCGGCCCGTCGATTACATACGACACGGCATGTTCATCATCTGTGGTAGCTTTACACTCTGCCTGCCAAGCACTTCTGAGGGGCGAATGCACAAGTGCTCTTTCCGGGGGTGTTAATGTGATAACAAGTCCAGCTCTCTACCAGAATCTCAATGCCGCGTCATTCCTAAGCTCAACTGGTGGGACTAAAGCGTTTGATGCAGCCGCTGATGGATATTGTCGCGGCGAAGGTTGCGGTCTTTTCGTTCTCAAGACACTAAAAAATGCAATTTCAGATGGGGACCAAGTACTTGGAGTTATTGCTGGCTCCGCCGTGAACCAGACACAGCGAGAGCATGGAACGCCGATAACAGCGCCAGTTTCTAAATCGCAGCAATCTCTCTACCGGAACGTTCTGAGACAGGCTGGGCTAGGGCCATCTGATGTGACATATATCGAGGCCCATGGAACAGGTACCCCAAGGGGCGACCCGATTGAATGCGAGAGTATCCGAAACGTTTTTGGAAGCAACAGTACAGGACGTCAGCAAACGCTCCATTTCGGATCCGTGAAAGGTAATATTGGTCATTTGGAAGCAGCCTCCGGTGCTGCAGCGCTTTTCAAATCAATTCTTATGCTTCAGAAGAAGAAGATCCCAAAACAAGTGAACTTCAACAAACTGAACCCCCAAATACCTTCATTGGAGTTTGAGAAACTAGCCATTCCCACTGAGACAATTTCGTGGGATGCTTCATATCGCGCTATTTGCGTCAGCAACTATGGCGCAGCTGGAAGTAACGGTGCCCTTGTTTTGCGCCAGGCTCCCGAAGCCCCAACAACAACCCGCGCAAGACTCACTCTAAATTATCCACCGCCCTGTCAATTGATATCTATCTCTGCTTATTCAGCTGCAAGTCTTCAGGCGTATCGCGAGCAGCTATTGCTGTACCTTGCTGATATAGATGAGGAAAGTCTTCCTGACGTTGCCTACCAGTTGGCCCGCAGTCGAAATCAGACACACCAATATAACCTGTCATTCCTCGCACGCTCTATCAGTGAACTGCGAACTTCGCTTGCGGCACCGAAAAACCTGGCAGCAACCTCTTCATCCTTGGCACCACCAAAACCCGTGATCCTTTGCTTTAGTGGCCAATTAAAGCCTAGTATTGGCATCAGCAAAGAGCTATACCGCTCGGTTTCACTGTTCCGCCACCATCTCGACCGCGTTGAGGCTGCCTGCCAAGCATTTGGAAAAACAATTTATCCTTTTATATTTATGACTGAAGACATCCAAGATCCCATTACACTTCATTGCTGCTTATTTGCCTCGCAATATGCCTGCGCCCAATCTTGGATTGACTCGGGAATCCAGGTTGCGACTGCCGTTGGCCACAGCTTTGGCCAGATTACCGCACTCTGCGTCTGCGGTGTACTATCCCTGAAGGATGCACTGGAATTTGTGATTGAGCGAGCGTTCCTTTTTGAGATTGATTGGAGTGCAGAAAAAGGCTCCATGCTTGCTCTAAAGGCAGATACTCAGATGGTGACACGTCTAGTAGCAGCAAGCCAAGTGGAGATAGCTTGCTACAATGGTCCGAGCGATTTCGTGGTTGCAGGATCTTTATCAGCCATTGAGGAGTTTCAATCCCAAGCCAAAGCTTGTGGGATTACCACCCGGCGCCTGGATTTAGCTCGTGCATTTCATTCGAGTCTTATGGACCCAGCTTTACCGCAGCTTCGCAAAGTCGCGGACAGGCTCACCTATAATCGGCCACAGATACCGATTGAGACTTGCACTCAAGGCCAAAGCTGGGACTCTTTTACCCCACAATTACTGGTCAATCATTCTCGCCAGCCAGTGTTTTTCCGTGATGCCGTTCAACGTATAGAGTCCCAATTTGGACCTTGTACCTGGATTGAGGCAGGTTCCTCTTCATTCATTACCACCTTGACATCAAGAAGTGTGAGCCAATTGAACACATTCATCCCTGTGGATATCGGTGGCCCCAGTCCCAGAGATTCTTTGGCCGATGCAACACTTAGGCTGCAAGCCCTTGGCTACAATGTCCAGTTCTGGCCGTATCACCGCAGCCAGCGAGATGAGTACAATATCGTCAACCTTCCTCCATACCAGTTTGCCAAGTCAAAGCATTGGCTAGAATTGAAAGAGTTCAGCTATGAAACTGAATCTAGGAACCCTGATGAACAAGATCAAAATTCCAAATTGCTTCAGTTCATCCAATTTAAGGATACGGAGAAAAGAGTTGCCGAGTTCAATGTCAATTCCAAATCTGATGATTTCCGGGCTTGTGTCAGCGGTCATGCGGTCCTCGGTCATTCCCTTTGCCCTGCATCTTTATACCTCGAGCTTGCTGCCCAAGCCGCAGTATATCTAAGCGAGCGCAAAGCTCCAGTCCTGCCACAGGTGGAGGACCTTCAAATACGTGCTCCTTTAGGATTGAATAAGTCTGCATCCATCAAACTTCTTCTATCACTCGAAGAACCAAGCAAGTGGAGATTTTCACTTTTCAGCACCATTGGAGTCGAAGATACCAGCCACGCTTGCGGAGTAATTCAAGTCATGGACAAATCAGACTCTTTGGTATCAGAATCCAGCCTCTATGAGCGTTTGGTTGGAGCAAATCGTTGCAACACGATGCTTCAAGATGCCTCTATTAAGTCAATCAACGGGCTTGTGTACAGCGTGTTCGGTGCAGTTGTGGATTACAAGGACTACTACCAGGGCGTCCAGCGGGTCTCTGCGACCGATTCCGAAGCATCTGGAGTTGTTAGTCTACCAAAATCCGCTGCCGGAATCATGCAGGATTCTGTATGTGACCCTCTAGCAGTCGATAATTTCCTACAAGTTTCGGGAATTCACATCAACTGCTTCCGTGACATTGGAAGACAAGAAGTGTATGTCTGTACATCAATTGGGAAGCTCAAAGTGTATGAGATTCTCGAGAATGCACGGTATCAATCTTGTCTTGTATATTCAAATACTAAGCAGGCTGGACCTAAAGTATTGGAGAGTGATATTTTCGCATTCGATGAGGCTACCGGATCTCTGAAAGTGGCTCTTTTTGGTGTCCGGTTCTCTAGAGTGCCTGTGAACTCTCTGACCAGAGCTCTGTCCACCCTTAACCACGAAAGGCCCGTTCAACAATGGAAGGCTTCCACTCCATCATCTGCACCTTTGCGCGACTTGGGCCTGGACACATCACCACCAAAAGAAGCTGACGACAGTACCCTTTTGCGGCTGCAGCAGCTTCTCAGCAGAGTTACAGACTTTCCTGTGACGGAAATTCTTCGAATGAACTCGTTGGAGGCAATGGGCGTCGACTCTTTAATGAGAACGGAAATTGTGGCCGAGATTCGACAGGAATTTGGCCTCCGAATATCAACACAGAAGCTAGCCAATGCTTCCACCATATTCGATCTGACCACTTTGATATCACCGTCGCAAACATGGCCTTCTTCAGTTCCTAGTACCCCCCTACATCTAAAAGCGATGCAGGTTTTCCGACGCGCGATGCAACATCCTCCGATCTAAAGAATATTCTTTCGGTGATAACCGATATCCCCGTCAACGAAATTGACGACCACGTAACTCTAGATGCCCTTGGAGTTGATTCTCTCATGAGGCAAGAGGTCCGTTCTGAGCTTCGAAAGGAATTGGGCCGTGTGGATATTCCTGAAAACCTTCAAGAATACTCTGTCGCCTCACTTGCCGCATATATCGCCGATCAGGATTGTGGTGGGGAAAAAGCCTTCTCAAGTCTTACTCCGCCAAGCAACGTTTCGTTTGGAAGCGATTGCGATGTCACGGACCTTGATCCTACTGCACAGTCTATGAAGCCAGAAAAGATTCCAATCATGGATGAGCGCTCAGCAGTTGTCAAAATAAATGGTGGAACGGAACTGTATAGGACACTGACACAAGAAGCTCTTTCTTCCTCCACTGCCGGAGGATTCGATTTTCATGAACTTACTGCCTCCTTCGCGGAAATTAAAAGCAGCTTCGATAAACTTGCTGGCGAATCCAAGTTCACCAACTTCTACGCCGAGGTGCATCCACGTCAAATGGAGCTTGCCACGGCCTACGTCGTTGAGGCTTTCGGGGGTCTGAATTGTCCTCTTGCTTCGATGCCTGCAGGGAAAAGCTTGTCGGTTATCCATGAGCCACGACATGAAAAGGTCATGAAGCAGCTATACAAATTGTTACAAGACGCAGGACTCATTTCACTGGACAGTCCTGGGAAATACCGGAGAACGGCTAAGCCGGTCAATGCCACCCCCTCCACAGATCTTCTCGAGGCTATCATACGAGACTTTCCACAACACCGATCGGAGCATCGTCTTCTGAGTATTACTGGCTCCAAGCTTGCTCCCTGTTTATCTGGTCAACTAGATGCTCTCGACTTGATTTTTGGAGATCGGGCAGCTAAAGACTTGGTTAGCGATGTTTACTCAAAAGCACCTGTGTTCGTAACTGGAACAAGTCTTCTCTGCAAGTTTTTGTTATCGGCCCTTGGAAAAAGAACCCAGCCTATCAAAATTCTCGAAATCGGAGCTGGCACTGGAGGAACCACGACTGATGTGGTTCACTGTCTAACCAGCAATAACATTCGTTTTGAGTATTGCTTCACCGATCTTTCACCATCCTTGATCGCAGCAGCCAGAAAAAAATTCAAATGGTGTCCGAATATGGACTTCATGATTTTGGATATTGAGAAGGAACCTTCACTTGAGAATGAGTACGACCTGATCATATCCACAAATTGTATCCATGCGACGAGGGATCTCACTGCGGCAACCAAAAATATCCACAAACTGCTCAGAGAAGGCGGAGTCCTCTGTCTTGTGGAGCTCACCCGAAATTTACCTTGGTTTGACTTGGTTTTCGGATTGCTTGAAGGATGGTGGCTATTCAACGACGGCCGGGAACACGCACTCGCTCATGAACTCTTTTGGGACGATAGCTTGAGGCGAGCAGGTTTCTCATACATTGATTGGACTGTGGGCGACACGAAGGAATCAGAGCAGCTCCGCTTGATAATCAGTGCCAAGATGACTCACCAGAATGACCTGGTAAATGGGGACACAGGGGGCAAGCAAAAAGTGGAGCAACTTGAAACCGCCGCTTCATCTCAAGAATTGTCAGTACATTTATCACCCGAGCGACTTGGGCAGCCCAAGCCCACGGGGTCAGTCGTGCTTCTAACTGGCGGCACAGGCAATCTTGGCGCTCACGTTCTACACCAGCTCATTAATCGAGCAGACGTCCGCCGGGTGATTTGCTTGAATCGATTGACAACAAAGAATGACCCAGTTAAACGACAGAGAAGCGCTCTCAGAGAGCGGGGTATTGAGCCTAACGAGCAACTGTGGGAGAAAACCGAAGTATTCGAAGCAAAATCAAGCAACACGGCCCTCGGTTTGCGAACCGAGCAATACCAGCTTCTGCAGGACCAAGTCACCCATATAGTCCACAATGCGTGGCCGATGAGCTTCAAGCGTTCTTTCCAGACATTTGAACCCCAATTTCGAACACTCCGCAACTTATTGGAACTCTGCCGCGAGTCCAAGTATGGTGCGAGACTCATGTTCATCTCCTCAATCGGAGTGATTGGCCGCCATCCCAATACGTATGCAGATAGGCCAGTTTTAGAGGACCCTATGAGAGACTCTCATGGCTCTCTCACATTCGGATATAGCCTTGCGAAGCATCACTGCGAGCAGATCATACAACAGGCTATTGAGCAGGATGCCAGCCTGCAAGCTTCCTATGTCCGAGTTGGACAGATGACAGGTTCTCAGAATTTCGGCTTGTGGAATACGGAGGAGCATTTCCCAGCGTTACTGAGGACATCTCAAACAATAGGCGCTCTGCCTCAGCTTCATGGAGTAAGTTTTCTGCGTTCTTGAATTTGATATTCGCGATCTGCGCTAACGATGAAACAGCTTGCCTCCTGGCTTCCACTCGATATAGCCGCTGCCACCGTCAGTGATCTAATCCTAGATCCCGCTCATCCACGAATGGTGTATCATATTGAAAATCCTGTTCGTCAGCCCTGGCATGAGCTATTAGGCTATCTCTCTACGCATCTGGGACTGCCCACCATTCCGTACAAGGAATGGCTAAGTCGAATGGAGACCACTGCAGACAGCGAGCAAGGGCCACCAAATCCGGCGAAGAAGTTAAAGGAATTCTTTGAAGAGGACTTTCTTCATATGTCCTGTGGGTCAGTCGTGATGAGTACATCCAGTACCACTTTTGTCTCTGCGGCTCTTCGATCGGCCACTCCCGTGAGTCCAGAGACCCTTCTTCTATACATTGAGCAGTGGAGGCGGGCTGGTTTCCTTGAGTGATCTGTGTTTTGATGCTTTTAGCTTCCTTTGATATCTGCATCGGAAAGAGGCTTGCTTATCAGCTGTCCCTTTCCGGGCGCAAGGGAGCAAGACTGAGTCATGATCTCACTGTTGGTTAATTGATGATCCTCAACCCTTGGATCTTCGTGGGTGAGCTGGTTAGAATAAGAACGTTAGTAGATGATTTTATGGGGGGGAGGGCTCTGATGGTCGCTAAATACCACTGGACCATGGCCCCATCCAACTATTCAAGCATTGGCTGATAGATTTGTCATGAATACACAATTCAATAACGATAGAGGACGGCAATATATCCGTTCATCGTAGAATGAGTCAGAGTAAGCACTAAAATGAATAGTCGTGACCATTCCAGCCCATAGATACTTGGGTAGCTTGGACCGCCGAATGATATTCAAATAGAAACCGCAATGTTCTTTCTGCCTACGTAAAATCGTGGCTTGCAGAATGGGGGCCAAGCCCACCGATTCCAAGCTCGGTCATAGTGTGTGTGTAAAGTTTGAGTGGAGAAAAATTGTCATGGTCTATTTTAGGCTCTTCAGCACCCTAAAGTTCCAAGGCTTTCCACTTTCGCCTTCAAAAACCGTCAGCATTTCCACTCCTACATCCATCCAAAGTTTTATACAACCCAGCCAATCCTTCTACATAGGATTGAGATAACAAGATGGCTTTTGTGTCTGACCCTGTTCCTTTCCACTCACAACCCATTTTTGATATCGCTTCGCCCGTCTCAACCCCCCGCTTCTTCGTCTTCTTTGGTCCCCACCATTGATATCTCCCCATATCTTCTAAACCCCACTAGCCAAGCGGCAGGTGATGTCTGCCAGGCTATTCGTGCGGCATGTTTACACACGGGCTTCTTCCAGATCATTGGCCATGGCGTTCCTACGTCTACCTTGACTGACGCCTTTGAGGCCTCGCGTCGTTTCTACGCGCTGCCACTGGAGCAGAAACAGAAGCTCGATATCACGAAGCAAATTGGCTTCCGTGGATATGACGGGATAGGCACTCAGTCGTATGGTCCGGATACCTTGCCTGATCTGAAAGAGGTACGTCCACGCACGAAATCACGGCTTCTATTCCATTCACCTACGCACTCGAAACTAATATTTGCTGCAGAGTTTCTTCATTGGTCGTGATGTCTCGCCATCGGATCCAAGATATGGCCGCATACTTACGGGCTCCAATGTCTGGCCTGAGTTTGACGTGCTCCCGGCAGCCGCCTTCAAAGAGCCCGTGGAAGCATACTTCTCAGCCCTGATGAATCTCACATTTAAGATCCTAGAGATACTCTCGCAAACTCTACCATACGGTGGAGGGATCTTCGACCAGTTTGTGCGTGATCCTGCTGCGCCTATGCGTTTGCTACACTACCCGCCCACCGTGAGACCAATTGACGCCGCCGCCGACGAAAAGCAGCTCGGTGCTTCAGCGCACACGGACTTCGGGGCCATTACTCTTCTTTTGCAAGATAGCATTGCTGGATTACAGGTGCGCGACCCTGAAACAGGTGACTGGGTAGACGTACCGCCGCGTGAAGATTCCTTCGTTGTCAACATCGGTGACATGATCACCCGTTGGACTGCGGGCGAGTATAAGAGCAGCGTTCATCGGGTTATCAATCGTTCCGGTGCGGATCGGTACTCTATTGCATTCTTCTTCGATGGAAATATTGACTGTCCGCTTGATCCTCTCGATGGGACAACACCTACTGGCGGGTCTGTTACAGTTGAGCAACACATGATTGAGTGTTTACGCTCATCGTATGCGAAGAAGTAGATGTTTCGCGGGGGCGTATAGCACCTATTCTATTTACAAGGAAGGCGTATTTGGCACATACATGATTTAGCCACCGCTTGTGATAATTAAACTAAAATTATGAACGAAAATAGTCTCTCATACCTCCCTTTTTTCAATCCTCGGCAGTCGTGTCTGTCCATAATTTCCCTGACTCTGAGATCCTAGAATCAGCAGCACGACGGACAGAAGCAAGGTTCCCAACAAGGGCATCTCTTTTTGGATTAGGACCTTGGTATTGATCATACATGTGCCACGTTCGAATTAGCGTGTGTAGAGACCTTGTCACGTCTGAGGTAGTGGGGCTTGTCGGTCTACACTAAGTAGCAATCCAAAAAGTCAGTCAAAACGCTAGAACTACCTAAAGTTTTTGATTCCTCCTTTCTAGAGCTCGATGCGCCATGATTACGGACTGAACTTGCTTTTTCTGGCCACATATTAAAGAGCTTGCCTTCGAATTAAGTACATTGCTTTCAAGGTTCAGGTTCGATCTCTTCCATATAAGCATCTAGCATTTGCGACGTGAATATGACGGGTCTATATTCAAAACTTCCAACTTCTTTATTTTCAAAAATTATTCTCCGATTGACACGAGAAAGGAGCTTGAGCTATACATATCTATCACAACAAAGCAATTGCCAGACCTCCAGGGCTATATCCATTACTGCATTCAAATACTTTCAGCTCAATCCCTTCAATTCCCCGTGCCAAGAAGGGGAAGCCCGGCGGAGGGGGTGGGTAAATAGAGTAGGATCACCCGGACCCCAATATTCTAAACGGAGAAATGATCAAAATAGAATGATTTGTCAATTTCTCTTAATGGAAGCAATGATATACTTGGCACGGGTGTGAAGCCGTCAATGGGGCACCCCTTTGGCTTCTTGGCATCTTGAGACCAGGGGGAGGCTGACGCGTCCCTCATGTACTGTTCTTCATGCGTGCATATGATAGCTGGACATTGTTAATATTCTGCATGTGATTGGATTGGGGTGCGGAGGACTGTTGCCAAAGCCAAGAAGAAGCATAATATCGCTTACTTGCTCCGGCGTTTCTTGGCAGCGTCAACAATATGAAATAATATCAAAGGCCGGCGTCAAACGTGTGGATGCTTTTCCCAATCAATATTATTGTCCTCTCTCTCCACGTATATCAGGCACCTCATGCACGCAGCAATGACATCAATCTCGTAACTTGCCGTTACTGCAGCAGAATGTAACCCCTCACAAAATATAAACAATGGAAGATGAAGTGCCGTGAATAGTCCGGTATAGGTAGTCTCTAAATGCTTGGCGCGCGGGGTCCTCTAACCTGGAGTTGACGAAGATCATGGAAACGCCCAACTGTGGCGTTTCGCCCAAACTTCTCTTCGGTCCTTTTTGGCTAATTTAGACCTATTCAGATAGGTAGGGGAACCTGGGAGATCAATAGTGTTCGAAATGCACACAATGTGTTCAAGGTGGGTGGAGCATCTAGAGCGCATGCATATTTCCTCTGCCACAAGATCGTCGGGAATTTATCCGTGGCTTGAGACTTTCTTGGAGAATTGCATCGCTCCTTGTCAAGGTCAAATGTCCGTCCCCTGTAAAATGATCAGAATTAGCTAGGGCGAGACGGGCGATTGAAGAGCCAAGAAAAGGCATACGCAATTTAGATCCGGCAGGGCCGTTGGAGGGCACCACGCTGTAGACTCTGGCAGTATCATTTGTGCCATTTTTCTCTCCTTGCGGAATTTGATCGACGTGCTTGTTTGAACGCGGAGCACAATGCTAGTTCAAAGCCACGAATGAGAGGAGACAGTGAAAACAGTCAATTGCAACAATGGAAGGTATAAAAGGCATAGTCTTGACATTGGATGTTTCTTATTCATAGCAACAAGATCGACTCTCAGCTTCCACTGTGAGAACAGTATATTTAGTCTTATTGTTCTTGGTGTTTCTTCAACATGCAATTGCAATCAATCATCGTCATGGCTACTGTCGGCCTTGCAACAGTAGCCCTGGCCCACCCCGGCCACAACGAGGTTGAACGTCGTGACTTGGGTGTTCAGCAGTTTAAGGCACGGGTCCGTCGAGACTTTGAAAATTGCGCGGCAAAGCGCGAGGCATCTGGTCTCAATGCCCGTGCGGAAGCTCGCCGCAAAGCCACCCTGGACAAGTATCGTCGCCAGCTGAAGTCGAAGAGGGACACCACAACTGTTCTGGATACCTCTCACCTGTACACAGGAACCGATATCACTGTGGATAGTGACGAGAGTGTGGTGTTCTCCGACAGCGGGACATGTGTGCTCAACCCTGAGGGTGAGGTCGGCCCCTTCTACGTGAAGGGTGAGTTGATCCGTGAGGATGTGCGCGATGACGAAGAGGGAGTTCCCGTAGTTCTGGAGGCCCAATTCTTGGATGTCAGTACCTGTGAGCCTATCGAGGGCGCTTATTGGGATATCTGGAACTGCAATTCGACTGGAGTATGTTTAGTCGGTCCGTGAATCTTCCAGTCTGCCCTAACCAGTCATATTAGGTCTACTCCGGGGTGGTTTCTAGTGGTAACGGCAACACCGCGGACACCGGCAATCTGGACAAGATCTTCCTTCGTGGAATCCAGGAAACCGACTCAGATGGTGTCGCCACGTTCGAGTCCATTTTCCCCGGTCACTATTCTGGCCGTGCGACTCACCACCACGTGGTCCTCCATCTGGATGCTACTGTCCTCTCCAATGGCACGTTGACCGGTGGTACAGTCCCCCACATCGGCCAGCTGTTCTGGGACCAGAGCTTGATTTCGATTGTTGAGGCCACTTCCCCGTACAGTACTAACACGATTGAGTTGACCACCAATGCCGAGGATCGTGTGTTTGCTGCTGAGACCGAGGATAGTACCTCAGACCCCGTGTTTGAATATGTCTACATTGGCGATGACGTTTCCGATGGAATTTTTGGCTGGGTCACTATTGCAGTTGACACCACAGCCGAGTATACCCCGACCTATAGCTTCGAGTACACATCCTCTGGTGGTGAGGCTGTTGGCAGTTCTTCGAGCTCTGGCTCTGGCTCTGGCTCTGGTGGCTCCGGTGGTGCTGGTGGCTCTGGAGGCGCTGGAGGTCACTAAAAGCTGGGTTGGAGAATACCCCCTATAACCTTGATTCAGTCAGCCTTTCCTGTGCACGTCCTGTCATTACCTTTGACGTTTCCTGAGCCATTGTGAATATTTAGTCAATGAGCGTTGTGATTCATGTCTGGCAAATTCTGTTTATTTGTTACAAGACACTGGCCACCTGTATATAAAATCTTACCTGCTAGTATATACATATATATGTTAGCTTAGGCAATATTGCTCACAAGTACTTTGTCACAAAGTTTATTTTTCGTGAGTTCAGGCGCCCATACTGTAGACAAAAATTGGGTTTGAAAAACTTGCCTACTAATCCTTGTGATCAAAAATCAGACATTAGAACACAGCGACGTGTGAGTTGACTTACAGTAGATCCAACACTCCCACGTGACTTCCATAATGTGGAGCCAGTGGTGGAATTCTGCCACCGCCCTTTGGCCCGCAATAAACAAGCTCGTGCCTCACTAACCTCATTGGGCTTAGCATAGTATTTGTAATCCAAGCAAATAATCAACGGCTTTCGAAAATGCCGAGTTTTATAGTCATCCCTCATCCTCCTGCGAGGTCTTAGGTGGCAGTCATATTCATTCGCATATGTTTTCATCAAATGCGAGATCCTTGTTCTTGAAATACCATAAGTATGCTGAATGTTCCTTAATCATATGACGAATCAACGGACGTGATTCACCGGCTCAAACTTTTGAATGACCCATACTTCTATGATCTGGGAAAAGAGATGCTATGTAGCCTGCTTGATGCCCGAGACATTTTCCACGGTTGCAACGTTACTAAATGGGCTCAGTGCCTGGGCTGTGTATTGGACTATTGTTATTAGTCCCAACATGTTTTGTTACTCCATCACGGTTTTTAGAGCTTGTCAATGTCCTCGCCTTTGATTACCTCCTACCGATCGCAATCTGGTATATGAAGGTAGCAAAGCTCATGTTTTAGTCGCATATCCATAATGATGTCAGTGATTTGCTGATTCAATATCCCGGTATGTAGGTGCTTTGCTCAACAATTTGATCCCTAGCTCCTTGCTTATAAATGTCATTTTCTAGGCGTGCTACCTGGTAAATGTCGTACAACAGGCCTATTCCAGTTCTTTGTGAAACAATTGTAATGGCGTAATTAGTTGTGATCTTCGCAACAGAACATACTCAACTGATCACCAGTCATACGACATGAAGCCATTCATTGATGGACTAAACTATTTATATAAGTTGGGGTCGCAGGCTGCAGCCAATCAGCTTACATCAGACCACCTCTTGGCGTCGATCGGACCGATGATAAAGGAATCCGCCACTGCGCGAAGGCCAGATTGTCCACTTCCTTTTTTAAGTTTATTTCTTTATAAGCCAACATTCCTTCCGTGGCATGAATCGGAGACTGTGATTACTATCTGATTTGCGCGATAAATCCGCGACTTGATTTTACAAACCATTGTGGAGGTTTTCGTTTTGCGCCACATTGCGTATACAGCGTTGCCGCATTCTCCGCGTCCTGCTTTCTTCATACAACTCTCTCACTGATGGTCCACAAGATGCGTTCCGCGGCAAAGCTGTTCTACACCGCTGTCTTCGCCTTGGCGACTGTCGCAGATGCTAGCCATGTCTCCAAAGAACTCGACACAGCGAAATGCGCTGTAAGTCCATCTCGAAAGGCCCGGAGGCAAAAAATCACACGCGTGGATTGATTAAGCTGACATTTTCCACGATTGTTGTAGTTTGATCCCTCGGCTATGGTTACAGACGCCTGCGTTTCGTACGGCACTATTAACAAACTCAACGACGATGTCTACTCCCTCCTCCAGTCTCTTACCACCGAAACCGATTTCTTCTCATATTACCGATTGAACCTGTTCAACACCGAATGCCCGTTTTGGTCTGATGCCAATAGCATGTGTGGCAACATTGCATGCTCTGTGAATACGATTGAGTCCGAGGAGGATATTCCGCTTACCTGGCGCGCGGAGGAGCTGAGCAAGCTGGAGGGGCCAAAAGCCAACCATCCGCCACGCAGGGTACAGGCGGAACGTCCGAAGGAGCGACCTCTCCAGGGTATGCTCGGAGAGGGTGTCGGTGAAAGCTGTGTGATGGAGTATGACGACGAATGTGATGACCGTGACTACTGTATACCCGAGGACGAAGGCTCGGCGGGCAAGGGCGACTACGTGAGCTTGGTGGACAACCCTGAACGATTCACCGGATACTCCGGACCTGGTGCACACCAGGTATGGGACGCCATCTACCGCGAAAACTGTTTCATGAAGTCCACCGAGGAGGCTCTGGAGGACCAGTCTCACAACGTTCCCCTCGGCGGACTCCAAGCAGCATCTGATTTCCGTAACGTGTTGCAGAAGGAGTCACAGCGCCTGGATGGCCAGGAGCTGGAGTTGGATAATGAGTGCTTGGAGAAGCGAGTCTTCCACCGTCTTATTAGCGGTATGCACGCTTCTATTTCCACCCACCTCTGCTGGGATTACTTGAACCAGACCACCGGCCAGTGGCAACCCAACATGCAGTGCTATAAGGAGCGATTGCACGACCACCCTGAGCGCGTCTCCAACATGTACTTCAACTACGCCTTGGTGTCACGCGCTGTGGCCAAGCTGCGCAAGCACCTGCAAAGCTACACTTTCTGTACCAGCGATCCCGTCCAGGATTTCGACACCAAGCAGCGAGTCAACGAGCTTGCGGAAATTCTGGCGCGTCCCCCTCGCATCTTTGATGAGGAGCTCATGTTTCAAGATCCCATTGCTCACGGCCTGAAAGATGACTTCCGAAACCGGTTCCGCAACGTTAGCCGCCTGATGGACTGCGTTGGCTGTGACAAATGCCGTCTATGGGGAAAGCTCCAGATCAACGGGTACGGAACCGCATTGAAGGTTCTCTTCGAGTACGACGAGACTAAGAACGGCGAGAACCCGCCTCTGCGCCGCACTGAGCTCGTCGCTCTGATCAACACCCTCGGCCGTATCTCTCACAGTCTTGCTGCCGCGCGTAGCTTCCACGAGGCCTATGAGGCCGGCCAGGAGCACGCATTCCCCCTCCACCACTATGCTCCTCTCGCCCCCAAGAATGCTGAAGTGACGCCGGACAAGAAGCAACCCAGACGTGTATTCCACGATGGTGCTGGTAACCTGTACTATGAGGAGAATGATGACAGTGAATGGTACCATGGAGGTCAGAAGATGGAGGGACGCAAGCCCTGGGAGTACCCGGTCCGCCCCGAGAAGGCCACTCCCTATGATGACTTGGTGACTGAGTGGACCGTTATTCGCGACACAACTTTGTATGTCATGAGGAGTTGGATTGAAATCCCTCGCACCTGGTATGTGATTCTTTTCTCGTCTAGAGTGATAACAAGAATACTGACTTGGCGAATAGTTATGGCATTTTGAGATCAGAAACTGAGCGACTCTGGGCTTTCTGGCTGGGTCTGCCTGTTCCTCCTCGTCAGTGGAGACTCAAGGCTCCCGGGTCAGACGATCCCATGCGTAACTCTGTCGATTATAAAGAGCTTTGATTCCGTGTTAGCATACGCATGTAAATAGCGACCTTTTTTTTATTTGGCGTTGAGAAGATCGGTCTAATTTGGGGTTTGGGGATAAATATTTGCATCAGTGGATTCACTGCTTTTATATTGGCTATAGATTCAGTCTCATTGTCTCAACTTGCTTAATGTTTGTTTGTGATAGATGAGTGACAAATGTACAAATTCCATGGCTTTGACTAAGTATACTTTCCCTCGGAAATGCATACCACTTCGGGTACTTTGATAAGCGTATTGGTACTTAGTCGATTTGCCACCACAGAGATTTCACCCCGCAGTACCAGGCTTGCGAAATGAAAATTCATCAATGAGAAGAATAGAAGAATAGAAAAGAGAAATTTGAATTAATCGACATACAAATTGTACATTGACATCTACGGTACACTCTGTGGCAACTTGGCGAACAGCCTAGGCGTATTCGGTAATCGCCGACATCCTCGGCTTCTCCACTCCCGGCCACATGCGCCCTGGAACTTTGCCTTTTCCCACTTCCTTTCCCCGTCATCGCGCTCCACCCCCAGTTTCATTTCCCCATCTTCTTGACCCGATGCGCTAGATTGCTCATCATGGCATCGGTGTCACCACCAAAACCGTGGGAAATGGCAGGTGCTGCCACTGGTGAGTTCTTTCCCCTTCCCCAGATCGCGGATCAAAAGCCGCAAAGCGGTGAACCGAGGCATATGGGAGGCGATCTCGATCGCGTTCCCATCGCAACTTCTTTAATGACTCAGTATTAATGATGTACAGGTAACGCATTGTCATCTGTGCCCACTGCTGGTAGTCCTGTTGCTTCCACTGCGATGACTACTACCAACCCCTCTGCGGGCAACCCCGCAACCGTCTCAACCGCACCCGATTTACCCTCCCGCCCCAGCACTCTCAACTCCGTTGTCAACAATAACGCCTCCAACTACTCTCCATATGGTGCGTCTCGCTTAGGCGCCAGCCCTTACGGTGGGCTTGGTGGCATGGGCTCATACTCCTCACCATACTCCCGCTTCGGCAGTATGGGCTCCATGTACGGAGGGGGCTATGGCGGCTATGGTGGTATGGGAGGCATGTACGGCGGCATGGGTGGTATGGGAGGCATGTATGGTGGCATGCCTGGGCAGGACCCGAATGATCCCAACAGCTTGACGAACTCTTTTAGTCAGAGCACCCAGGCCACGTTCCAGATGATTGAAAGCATCGTCGGAGCATTTGGAGGCTTTGCTCAGATGCTGGAAAGCACTTATATGGCTACTCACAGTTCATTCTTCGGTAAGATTCTTCTTTGAAATTCATGAACTTGCGAACGAAGAGAGCAGAGTCTAACTTTGTGGTAGCAATGATTTCGGTCGCAGAGCAACTCGGCACATTGCGAAACACCCTCGGCTCGGCGCTGGGGATTTTCACAATCATTCGGTGGTTCCGCACATTAATCGCCAAACTCACCGGCCGCCCTCCCCCAGCGGACGCTACTTCGCTGACTCCTGCGGCTTTCGCTGCGTTTATGGGCGGGCGATCTGCCCCCACTACTCTCCCTGATGGCTCACCCGCCCCTGTCAAGCCATCAAAGAAGCCGTTCTTCATGTTCCTCGTGGCTGTGTTCGGTCTTCCCTACCTCATGAGCAAGCTCATTAAGGCTCTCGCCCGGTCGCAGGAAGCAGAGGCCAAGCGCCGACAGCAACTTGTTGGCCCCAACGGCGAGCCAATGTCCGCCTCGCTCGATCCTACCAAGCTGGACTTCTGCCGTGTCCTATACGACTACTCACCCGAGACCCAGGAGAGCAACGGTATCGATTTGGCTGTGAAGAAGGGCGACATTGTTGCTGTTCTCAGCAAATCCGACCCCACAGGCAATGCCTCGGAATGGTGGCGATGCCGTGCTCGTGACGGACGTGTCGGCTACCTGCCTGGTCCATACCTGGAGACTATCCAGCGACGACCCTCCCAAGCAGCCATCACCTCTGGCAGTGAGATGGCCACCTCTCCCAACGCCGGTCGCACACAAAGCCTCTCGGCACTCTCCAAGCCCTCTGGCGACCAGCCACCCGAGCTAAAGGGCAAGATGGGCGATATCTCGCCCGAGAGCTTCCAGAAGAGCACCTTCTACTCGTGAGAATATAGACTTTGCCCGAGGTCCCGGGCCTGTTAGAGCGTTGACTGTGACGACCGCGATATCATTACGCTTCTGCTTCTACGGACCAGACAAAAGCAACCGACCATCTACGACTTTACATATTCCCCACAACACCCATGAGCAACGTCCTGGATCTATTTGGCCTGTATTTGATCCAAGCAGCCAATGGCTTCATCGATGATGTCTCATTCCTCACCGTAAATATTCATACACATCTTCTCTTCACCTTGCTTTTACGGGGTTCCTCTGGTCTTTTCAACCTATTTACCACTACATTGTTTCAATTTTCATTTTCATCTTTCGTGTCCGAAATGGGCCTGGTTTAGCGAGATTCCTAGGATTTTATGTATCTTACCGGCGAATTGCATTTTATGGAGGCTTTCCATGTTTCACATCTACTTCTGCTATATCCGGACAAATTGAGTATTTGCCATTAACATAAGGTCTCCCAAGCTCTTCGAATGTATAAATCATTCTAACCGCCCAGTGTATGGTAAGCAGTCAAGCCTCATCCTTGGTGTCAGTACTATGATCTTTAATTTGGCGCCACCTCAGTTTTGTACATTAATTCTAAGAAGATCTTATTTATCTTATTTACAACTACCATTCTACATGTTTGTTTGTAGGCATGTTGGTACGGATGGCTTTTGATTTTGAGGAACATGACACATTAGGCAGTGAATATGGCAAATAGTGTCACGACAAAACATGAATGTAAAGCAATAGGAACAGAATAATTCGGGGCCAGTGCTTCGTCACCCCCATCGCGTCATAGTGGCCTGATAGCTTGTACCTTCACACCGTAAAGAAAGAAAAAAGAATGGGTTGAGTCACGAAGATCAAGGTTGTTTGCCATGACAAGTCTTAACTGAATTTGACCTGACACTCAGCCTGATGGATTGTTATGTGGCAGCTGAGTGACGCCCTTCAGAGAAGACCCGGATCAAGACAGAATGTTGAGCTGAGCGAAAGTTGGATGGGTGGGTGGTCGGTGTTGTTGTATTGTTGTATTGTTGTTGTTGTTGTTGTGTCAAGGTCAAGTCTCAACTGAATTTGCCCTGACACTCAGCTTGTGGAGTTGTGGCTTGTGTTTTGCCGCTGAGTGACGCCTGTTCAGAAGAGAGTTGGACCAGGACAGAAGGTTGAAGTCGTGAGCGTTCGAAGGGTGATGGGCCGTTGTGTAATGATGCAAGTCTCAACTGAATTTGACCTGACACTCAGCTTGTGGATTTGTGGATTGTATTTTACAGCTGAGTGACGCCTGTTCCGAAGATACCTGGATCAAGACGAAGATGGAAGTTGAAATTGGGTGAAAGTTAGATCGATGTTGTTATTGTTGATGATATGTCAAGGCCAAGTCTTATCTGAATTTGCCCTGACACACAGCTTGGATATCGTGATGTTTGTGCTGTGTGACGCCTGTTCAGAGAAGACTTGGACCAGGAACAAAATTGAAGTTGTGAAGGTTGGATGGACCAATATATTGTTATGTTGATGATGAGCATCAAGGATGGATGAAGTCATTGATATGGGTGAGGCAAGATGTTGATCAACGATGTTGCGTGGTGATGAGAGTGTCAAGGAGGAGGGTCGTCTTGATGAATGACAGAGGAACATGTTGATCAAAGGTGGAAGAACATGTTGATCACGCATGTAAGAAGGAAGGTAAACAAAGATGTTGTGTGGTGACAAGAAGGTCAAGGACATGATATGTCGGAGAGGATTGAAGTGATGAATGCATGAGTGCATGAATTAAAGTTCAAAGATGGAAAGTGGAACTTGGAAAACTTGGAGGAAGAGTGATGGCAAAGGGAGGAGGAGAGAAGAAGAAAAGTTGAGGGTATTTATACTGGAGGAAGAGAGTGAGGGTGTCCAAGATCGCACTTTATATCCCAAGATCACACTTGATATACAGAATCGACCAATCATGCGAGTTTCATAGCAAAACGCAGGATCACCTTTTCAATCCCAACATTCACGTTTCGCTGATCTTGCATGTCCTTTGCGTGATTCTTTGATCCTCACACATTCAACCCAGGATAGACCTATCAGGATGAGGCATTTCAATTGTTGCAAGATCACCATAACCCATCAGACCTCACCAGGACCAAGGTACTTTTTTGCCGTTGGAGGTATTGCATCCTCACCCGTAATTGTGGCCTCAGCCCAGCAGATCTATTTTTTGGCTACACCACGTGCAAATATCGGAGACATGCCTACTTCATGGATTGATCCGTTGCTCCGGGTGTGCCCCATTGGGTTGATAGAACTCTATCGCATGCAGCTCAATTCACGAGCACCCTCAAAGTTTCTCGCTTCCTTATTCAACCCTCCTGCTCCATCCCTCTTATCAATGAACACAATTGTGGGGTTATGACCAAGAATGACACAAGATTTGCCTACCAAGTTGGAAAGCTTAGACGGTTCGCTTCAGGTATTTGTTTCCATTCATTTTGTAAAATGATACAAACATTACCAGTAGGTAAATTGCAACCTTCCAAGGTTGGACTTTGACCTTGGAAGCGGTTGTTCAGTTTCCAGCCATAGCGGAGTTGTATTCGCGACTAATTGATGGCTTGAATATTAGTAAATTTCAGACCAATTTATTTTTGCATGTGAAAGTGGTTGTAGAACTTTGATTGGGGTTGATGTTGGTACATTGTGGAATTCGTAGATAGAGTCGAGGACTGAAATTTTTGTTCTTGCCTCCGAGGCGTGTCTTACCCGTGAAAGTCATGTGCGATTTGCAGTATGTGGGATAGAGCCAGGGTGCATTTGGTTCGTTGGTAGGAAAACCAAGTTAAAGATGATCAACAAATATATATTTCAAGAGTCTATTGCCATAATATATATATTAGTAGAGGGTTGCACGGCCTCTGGAGGTATAGAACAGTCACCATCAAGCATGCTGCGCTGGCAAAATCACTACCGTGGACCTAACACTATGAACCCAACTAGAGAATAGAGCGGATAGGTATAATATAAACAGAACAGCGGAGATAGCACGAACGCAATGCACTGTAAAGGCAAAACCCCCTGAACTCAACCCCTGATCTAAGTCGTTCAAGTCAAGTTAAAATAAATAAGCCAGCAAGACCAGAACCAGGCCCCAACCTAAAAACGCCCCATGCTATGATATTTTCCTCAATCTCCTGTCTGATAAATGCTGCGTACTGGTTGAGAAGAGAAGAAATAAAAGTGAGAAAGGTCGAAAACGAAACACGCTTCAGATGATAGAAACAGAAAAATGGGAAGGGATCATGTACATAAGCGAAGAAAAGAAATCGCCAAAATGAAGAAGAAAATAAAATAGAAAAGACAAGGAGAACCTCATCTAGGACAGATCCAATGAAAAGACCAATTATTGTCCAAGACCCTCATGATGACCAGAGAGCTCCTGATTAGGATCCTGCTCCCTCGACCACTTAGACATAGAGCGATCCAACTCGTACTGCAGGCCCTCCAAACGATTTTGGAAGATATCCAACGGAGTCCAGCCCTGGAAATTAGAAACAACCTCACCCGGGGCATCAATATCATCCCGATGTGAGAGCTGTGGTTGAGCAGGGAGGGTGACGGGAGGTGCGGGCGCAGAAACAGGAATAGGAACAGACGATGAAGTCGAGGCCGGAATGGATATTGGTGGAATAGCTGTTACAGGCGTGTGGGCGGGATGAATAGGGTTCAAAGTGTGTCCCGTTGGTGGGTGGAGCATTGAATGGACGGATGGGTGGTGGGTCTGTGGACGGGCCAGTTCTGACGGGTGATATGGGCGGCGAGGGGGGTTGGAATGTGAGTGTGAATGCTGAGAGTGGGAGTGCGAATGCGAGTGATGCATGTTCAGTGCGTAAGAGTCGTCATCGCCGGCAATGACTAGGTCAGGCATTGTTGCCAAATTGTTTGGATCTAGATGAGGTAAGGTGATGTTGATATCGCTGGGGTTGGTTGAGGTGTTACCGTAGTTTAATGGGTAAGGAGGGGTTTCCCTGGTGGGGGATTGCACGTCTGGTGGTGAGATTGGAGTCGAGGATTCTTCCTCTCGTTCGGGGGTATAACAAGACATATCGGACGGGGTTTCTTTTGCTAGTAGCATAAGTATGGCCGTTCCCGAGATAGCATGAGGAGATAACATACTCGGTTCAGGACTCTGTAGTTCGGCATCTTTATCCCGATTCTTCACCCACTGCGTTCCATAGCGACGAACGAAACGAGTAAATTTCTTAGGGTCGACATCCTGCCCAGCTCTTCGAAAGGCGGTTTGTTTGCCACGGGCGGCGCGCTTTTGCTTTTTGCGAATCATGACTTGTACTTCGGCTGCTTTAATATTCTTTCGGACGTTCCAGGCAGCGAGTCGATCTTTGTATTGTTTTTCTCTGAAGGATGTAGTTAGGTGGGCTGTTATTGAACCGAAGATTTGTGGTTATAAGAAACAACAAAGAACAAAGTACATCAAAATGAAATCAAATTGGTGAGGGAGAAGAAGTAAAAAAAAGTGGTGTGATACGAGGCGACAAATTTATATTCCCTCTCCATGATGCGTTTCACATCCCGTAATTTAAGCTGATCACTGCGGTAGAGCTGTTCGATGGTTTCGCGGTATTCGAGCCAGTCATCGGATCGGCGGGGCCGGAAGAGCGTGTTAGGTGTCTGTGGCCCGGCCGTGGGCGATTGAGGGGGAAGCGTCGCTGGGGAGGGATAATGGTCCATCACGAGAGTTCCGTGCTCATTCCGTAGAGAAGTAGGGAGAGGGGAAAAGAGAGTAGTAGGGGATTGGAGGAAACGAAAGTCAATATAATATAAAAAAATATGCAAAAAAGAAAAAGAAAAAAACGAATATAGAATATCAGAAGAATGCGATCACCAGGCAACTTCTCAGATCAGGGCCGGGGCCAAGGAATCTCTTGACTACTCTTTGCGGCGCGCCGCAGCAGCGCGGACGCACGACCCCCTGCTTCCCCGGCCAAATCAGGTTGGTCGCTGCAGCTATGGCGTGGGCTCCATACTGGTGCAGTGACATGATCGTCAACGGCCAATAGGTGCGCCAATCATAGCTATAAGGAGATGGTCTCCGAGTGGAATTTGATTGAAAAGGATGAGAGTTTATAAGAAAGAATTTAAAATACAAATTTTCTCATCATTGACATCCAGATGATTAGATAGCTGAGAGGCAAAATCAAAAAGGAAAAAAAACAAAGAATTGTCTCTGTGGAGCTGGACATCGCGTACTTTTGACTCGGGGCTACTGTACAGCCTAACCGAACTATTACATGCAGTGCACTGGCCGCAAATTAGATGCATTTTCCGCTGCCTTTTCTATTTGGGTTGCGGCTTACTATTCTGGATTCCTATTTGTCCTTTGCCTCATCTACGTAATAAAGCTGAATCCTTTGTAGGCAATAATGATCATATAATCACTCATTTATTTTTTTCAAAGATTCGCTATTCGGTTCCTCAATTCCTCTCGCTCGTGGGCAAAGTATCCATACGTATCAATGGACCCGGGAGCGGCCCGAAACCTCCCTTGACAGCTCTTTGTTTTCAGCTTCGCTTCCCCGAAACTGACAATCCCAACACTATGGTTCTGTAACAGCCACCTTCCCTGTCAGTTTTTCTCATTGCTGACAGCATCATTCTAACTTTTTCATTCTCCTGAATTTACTGTCGTAATTTTCAATCTATTTTTTGCCAGGTTGACATCTACGTCCCTAGCTCTGTCGTCTATCCCTCGTGTATCGGACGCAAGGGTGGGGGCGAAGCCGTTAGAACATGCCTATGACCGTTGAGACAAGTGTCATCCCCAGAATGTCAAGTAATCAAGGGGGAAAGACATGCGACAGGTAGATCGGTCCAATAAAAAGAAATCAAAAAAAAAGAAAGGAAAAGAGATGCAAGCACTTTACAGTCCCCGTATATGTTCCCCGAGGTATTCGTACAGTACATTCTGCGCTTTGGTCCCTACCCTTTCCGGCCGAAACTCTGGTCATCCATCAGTCAGCTGCGAAAAATTACCAAAAAAAAACCCTCAAAATTTTGAAAATCCATTAATTCATAAATCATAGCTTATCATATTCTAGTCGATTTTAGATTGAAATTGTCTCTAAAAAAAAAAAGCCTCGACCCTAAGCTACCCAAGCTAAGCTAGGTGAGGTATATTCTGTAACACTCGCGTGTGGATGGGAATGATCCTCCGGGTGGATTCATGATAGGGTCAAAGTACCTCTGCACTAGCCCGAATCACAACGCCTAGAACGCACGGATGAGTTAGGTGGCAAGGCATCGCTGCAGTGATCGACGCGCTCAGTGCTCGGGGGATGGTCCTAGTTCCCGAACAAAGTGAAAGGTACGGGGACAGCTGGTCTTCGTACTTTGAGACTCCTTCTCCTTTTGGTGGCAAGAATGAAGCACAAGTACCAAATTACAGTATAGGGGGGACACAATCGGGCACCGTCCCTACTACGTGCATGCTCCGGGGACTAGGTCTCGAATGGGTATGGATCGGAGGGTTCTGGTGCTAAAATGCGGGGCCGCGGGGCCGCCGTCGTGTAGGTGGATATGGATGTGTTGTTGTCATTTGGCTTTTTGGATTTATTTTATTTTATTATATTTGGCCTTTTGCTTTCCTTCGCGCTCGAGCTCTCTCACTGTGAAACGGTGGACTCCTGAGATGGCAGAAAACGGCAAGAGCATTATTTCCCGCGTGGAGCAGGGTCCACATTGCGCGTCGAAATTAGCGGAGAATTGTACCGCGCCCATCACTATAGGCCCCACGGACCACCGTTCACCGGCTCGGATCGCCTGCAGGTACTAGGATGTAGCGCGTAGACCGGGTAAACGAGTGAATCACTCGCAAAAGAGAATAGCCCGGGAGCGTATCGGAAGGCCTGCCCCTTCCCCAGTCGAATCCAGGCCAGATAGGAATGGAACAGCTTTCCGGCCCACGAGTTCCCTCTTGTGGCCTAGGGGGCGGCTGTGTCCAACCAGCGGATGACAGGACACTGATGATTCCAGCCTTGTCGATCGATCGGGGAACCAATAAAACTCCAACGGCTGACGAGGTCTATGCTGTACTGGGGCACGTACCCACGTTTAACAAAAGTACCGTCGCCCAGGGGGGGGAACCGGGATTCGATGCATCGGGGATCGTGCATTCCCATGACAAGTCGCTTAGAAGGAAGGGGGTGAAAAATAAAAGTGAGGCTGCGTGAAATCTTTCACCGCATGATCCCTGTAATCTAAAGTTCCAGCCTCGTTCAGGGTCGGCTCTTGGCGGGACTGGGTCGAGTCTCAGCAGCTGCCACGGCTGCAGCCGCGACAGCGGAGTTGTTCGATCCTGCGCTGGCAACGTTGCTCGCATGCGCTAACAGGAACTTGCAGCACGTCAAAGTGTATTTGCAGGCGCGAGTCCAAGTCTCGTCATTCTGATTAAATCCGAGCTTAATGCTGGCATCCCCGATACGGTCGCGCTGGATTTCATAGGGCAGTCGAAGCCCGGGGGCGGTGGCGCTAGTCTGTCCACGACGAGGGGATGCTACTGCGGCGGGCGTCGATTCGACGAACTGCCCCAGCTGGCGGAGACATTCGAGGAACGCCACCATGCCAGCGTCAAAGCGTCGATGCAGCCAAGGGAGATTGAGAGGAAGATCCCCGGATGAAAACAGGTCTAGTTGGGTAATCTTGGGCGCAACTCGATCACTGGCAGATGGCCCGGTTGGGTGCACGGGATACTCAATCTTGTCGATCCGAGAGGTGGACCCCAGTGGTTTCAATCTATAGCCCTGGAATTGAAACCCGAGGCGCTCTGCGATCGTTGACAAGAGTAGGCAGGTCTGGCCCCAAGCGGCATTGATCTCGGGCCACTCAACCGAGGGGTTAGCCAGACGGCCTAGACGCAGGCCATTAATAGTCCCAAAATATCCATCATGACCGATGCAAAACGCGTCATTGTAAACATTTGTCCGTTGCAGTCGCTCTAGCTGCTGCGAGTCGTGGTCGTAACGCATATTGAGCGCATCGCGCTCGGTTTGAAACTCAGCCAGTGTCAAGGCAAAGGCGTTGCGGGCCCGCCAGAATGTTTCTTCGTCGGCATCTAGTTGCTGGGACTCTTCCTCAAGACCCGCAATCTCTTTGTCAAGTTCAGCCTTTTCTCGTTCCAAGTCTTCTAGCTCCGCAAAGGCCGCTTTCTCTGCTTCGAGGCTTTCTTTCAGCGATTTCTCAGCGGATGCTAGCTCGTCCGCGGTCGGCACGGAGGCGTTTAAGCTCCGAAGGAAAGAGATGTAGGCGTCGCGCTCTTTTGTAGCCCCGGTGAGACGTTTCTGTAGTCCTTCAACGAGCATCTCAGTACACTCGACACATATCGGATGGTCAATATCCGAGCGTGCTGACACAATCTCAAAGAGACGGGTGGCTCGTTCCACTTGGTTGGCAAAAGACCCTTCCTCCTGGGCATGATCCTGGGTCTGTCCAGTACTTTTGCGCTTGGGGCGAGTGGGTAGATTCTCGACAGCCGGGGGCACAAATTGCGACTCCGTAAGCATCACGAACGACATGTTGCCGCTATCTCCGCGAGGCAACCCTGGAGGGTTACTCTGACCCCCCGACCGAGGGCCAGGGATAGATCTCCTGTAAACTGGTGGCGTAGCATTTTTTGTGGTTCGATCGTAGAGTTCCCGTCGTTCGGAGGGGTAGGATGTTCGACTTGCGGATGATGCAGCGCCATGGTCCGATAGTGTTCTGCCTGTGGAGTCTGTTCGGAGCTTGGTTAGAATCAACACGTAGCTCCACAGCATAAAGGGGAAGCTTACTGACGAGTAGCTCAAACGCAGCTGGATTGAGCGACTCGAGTGAGCCATCCAACTTCAATGACGTCCGGCACTTCTGGCAATACATAGTGTGGGGGATCAGTTCATTTTTGGGAGATGGATGTGGGGAGGTTTAAGTTGGAAGCTGCGGGAACGTCATATTCTTTTGTCCGTTTGTTTTTGAACTTTCGCGCTCCGCATTCGCGCGCTTAATAGCATTCTTTCTTCTCGCTATCGATATATATCTATTCTCTACTGCTTCCTGACGCTGTATTCTCACGACCTCCACGGGTACTCCTACTTGACGCGGAAATTATGTTGCTTGAAGCTTGACTTCGCGCGTGAAACCCGACCGCGTTGACCCACGCGCTCCCCGGCAGCGCAGCGATTTACACAATGGGCGCCAATATAGCTGCATCGACGGACGATAATATGGAGCGCCCCGCGAAACGACAGCGCCTCTCTTTGCCATCGGGCTCCCCAGAAGAGGTGACTGAGGAGTGGGACCTCCAGGCAGCACGCGCCCAAAATGACATGCGGCTAAAATCGATTTTCGAAGGGATTTTCTCCAAATACGGCAAAGACTTTACGGATGTAGGCGATGAGATTGATTTACAAACTGGGAAGATTGTGGTCGATAATGGCCACCTATCGGGGATGCGCGAGGAGGTCGACATTGGAGACGAACGGGCACGAGCGTGGCTCTATGAGGATGATTTGTCAGAGGATGATGCAGAAGAGCATGACATAGATGAGCGCCAGGAACCTTCTATGCAGAGCCACTCGCAAGACGAAGTACCATGCAGTTCCGGTGCTGATGATCAGACCGCCAGTGCCTGGGCTTCAACAGCGCATCATCAACTTGCCGAGATAGACAACAAACCTGTTGTGCAATCATACAACGCTCCAGACCGATTCGAAAATGACCCGCCATTGGATCCTGTTTGGCAAGCCCCCGAATTGCCCGCTTTCTTCTCCACGCCCACGGCCGAAACAAGGCGGAAGGGGGGTCCGAAACTTCCACATCTCGAAAGGGAAGCATCTCCACCAGGGTCTGGCTCTTTATGGAGCGTGCCTCGACGAGGGCGTCCACGTACAGAAGTTAAACCCAAATCAACGCCGAACAAAAGCCGGCTCCGGGCGAAACGAAAGTATCATTCCAGTCCTGTGGCGCACGACTGGTCATTTGCAGCCACGCCAGATGGAGATGAATCAGACGACCCGCTTCAAGATTTTCAACCTTCGCCTTCTTTGAAGAGCGTGGCGAGGAATATACGCGGAAAACGGATGCAGGCTTCGGCTCGTACAGCTCGCCTACAATCGCCCGATGCACGACTCCCGCCTCGCCCATCCCCGCCTGGCCAATCGGCTACGGAAGCTAAAGATAACAATAAACTTCAGAACCACGCGAGAAATGCTGCAGAAAGCCATGTGGCATTCGACGCCTCCAATTTACACGATGATTTTGATGCACATTCCCAGTCCCACGTTTTTTCTTCTACCATGGCCTCGGAAAACCCCGTCAAATCAAAGCGAGGGATGACGCCCGACGACGCCAAGCTAGTGGTTCGCATGAGGCACATCCAAAAGAAAAAATGGAACGAGATTCACGACCTTTTACCTCATCGGAGTAGGTCTCAAATTTATCAATGGAATTTATCTCATTGGACAGATCGCCGCGCAAATCCCCCTCAGCTATCTGCTCCGTGGACCCAGTCCGAGCTTGAAACCTTGGAAAGTCTGAAAGATGAATCTGGTCTGACATGGCTGAATATTACAAATAGAATGCCACAGCGTACCAAAGCGGAAATTGAGTTTGAGATGCTCAGGCTTTGGGTTGGAGATGATGCATGGCATGGCCATGTGGCCAGAGTGCCCGAGCGGGAATCTGAGCAGAACCAGGAAGTCGGTAGGGTTGAGCAGGTACATGAGACAGAGCAGATTGTTCCTTCTGTCGAGGAAGTTGACTCCGAGGCTTCTGTGGAGACTTCCTCCGAACCTTCTGAGCCGGGTTCTTTTATGGAAAATGAGCATCCTCGGGTATTTGAGGATCTCGTTGATGACAATGATGACTTAATCGACAACATCAGTAACGCATCATCACCTTCCAAGCTGTCTGCCATCTACCTTGATAGTCCAACTGCAAGCCAGCGGGGATCTAGGACACCGAAGAGAGCGTCCCCAGCCAAGCAGTTAAAGTTCACAAATTGATACGATTTCTAGCTATATGGACTTCGTCAGAAATGTCATTAAATAAAGCTCTAATAATTAGCTATCAATCAATAGTACCTTTGATGAAATCTATTGAAAATGCTCATCCCGTGCATTCAAGACATCGGTAAGCTTAGTATCAACAGCTCCGCCAACATTGCCGGCCTTCTTCCAGAATCGAGACAGATGCCGTGAACCCGAGTCCGACAGCATAGTCACAATTCGATGACCAGGACCCAGCTTCTGAGCCGTCTTCACAGCTGCAAAGCAGTTGACAGCGCTGCTGCTCCCAACGAAGATCCCATCTTTCTCAACAAGCCACTTGGCCATTGCCAATGCCTGAGCATCAGTAACACGAACCGCATCATCAACAAGCTCCTTGCCAGCCTCGAAATTAGCAGTGACGCGGTTAATCCCAATTCCCTCAACAATGGTATCGACCTGACGTCGACGACGGGTCCCTTCTCGCTCCTTCACGTCAAACATCACTCCATACCGCACCCGGTTATACAGTCCGCTTCCCTGCGGATCCGCGAGTACAACTGTGATATTCGGTAGCAGGGGTTTCAGATACCGCGCCACACCAGAAATGGTCCCGCCTGTGCCAGCACCTGCTACAAAGGCATCAATCTTGCCATTGCACTGGATATAAATTTCCGGTCCACTGCCGCCAAAGTGAGCGCGCCAGTTTGCTTCGTTCTCAAACTGATCCGCGAAGAACCCGCGGCCACGGGCCATGCGATCTGATGGCTCGACCAGGTCACCCTCTGTATCAGGGATGGTCACTGTAGTTGAGGCCGTATGAGCGGTTGCTAGTGCTCTGGCACGGTTGACAAAGTTCTCTTTCTCAACAATTGGTGCTGGCGGCACGCGATCGACGATTGCACCTAGCTTCAACAGAAGATCTGATTTTTCAATTGCTTGGTCTGAGGGCATGCAGCTGGGTTCAAAGTTAGCTCCATTGAGCTGGATGGGTAGGATCAGATGGTATTACATGTGTGCAAGGTACCCCTTTGCTCGGGCTAGAGACGCCAGTGAGATACCAGTTGAACCTGATGTACCTTCATAGATAGTGTCGCCTGAATAGGGTGTCAAGATACCCTGTTCTTCTGCCTGTCATGGAATCAGTATTGCGATGTCAAATGATCATGGTTAAGCATACCAATTCAATCATACTTAAAGCAACCCGATCCTTTGAGCTTTGACCGGCGCCATTCAAGAACTGTGGACATAGTTAGAGCGAGTGTCTTTATATCGCGGAAGACTGCATACTTCTGCCTTGGCAAGGATCTCGCATCCCGTTGCGTCAGATAGAGATTTTATTCGAAAAAGAGGTGTGTTTCCAATACACCCTTGAATTCCCTCTACGATAGCAGGAGGGCCTGATCGAGCAACAGGAGCGTCTGATTGTGCTTCGGGGGATGCTGATTTTTCGCGGCGACGCGAGTCAAGTATGTCTTTGCATACGATAGTCAGACATACACCAGCAACGAATGCTGTGCCAATATACACAGCAGAGCGCTCTGACATTGTCGCTTTTTGACTGTTGCCTTCTTATCCTGAATACGAGGTTGATGGTTTTACCCAGTTGAGGTGTCGTGATAGAACGCTCGGACCACCTCGGCCAATTGTGGGTATTGAGTTGGAGGTTACAGTTGATCGGAGATGACGGCTATCAGATCAATGGCATTTTCATTCAATCATGAGCACATGTCAGAGTACTGAGATAAAGGAAAAGGAAGAATCAAACTTGAGATGGATTTGGAACACATGACGGCACGTGCCCTGCCGCTTAGTGTTGCAGTCATCGAGATATGAATGATGAGTGGAAAACTCTTTCCAATTTCTTCCTGTGAGCCTCGAGAAGAGTAGACAACATTGTCTGTGTATCAAGTGAATTAAATATATCTCCTTTTCCATTGAAGCTTGAAAAGTAGCATCGTCTTTCTTACTCGACACGTGCCTTGGTGCCTGAGGCGGAAACCGCGCATAACCAAATCGGATTGTGCTTTCTCCGCAAAACGAACCTCCGAAACGTCACGCATCATGGACTCCCCCGTCCTCAATCAGCTGCTTCGCCAGCTATTTAGGCATCCGGCCTGTCAATCCCTGCGACATTCGCCTATCTCATTACCGAGGGGACAGACTCGTTCATTCCTCACGCGGCGCACTCCCGCCGTGAAACGCAAGCCGCAAGATGGAGGCATGCTCTGGACAAAACGAGGGGATATCAACAAAAACATTGATGAGGAGTACCAAACATACCCGACCGTCACCGCAAAGGAGCTGCGCAATCGGCGAGAGCGGCCCCGGCAGGTGAAAATGTTGACGCGCGAGTTCATTGACGGTAGGTTTCGGAGCTCGCAAAACGTCTAGTGAAGGTCCAAAGCTGACATTGTATCTGCAGACAGTCTCTATAACCCTTATTATGGATATTTCTCGAAGCATGCAACTATTTTCACTCCTGGCGAGCCGTTCGACTTCAACAATATCGATGATGGACCAGCTTTCCACGCACTGGTGGGCGAGCGATACACGGAATTCGAAAATCGGCTTGATGAGATCAAGCCTGATATTGCGCGCCAGCTTTGGCATACCCCAACGGAGTTGTTTAAGCCGTATTATGGAGAGACAATCGCGCGGTATCTTGTTTCAAACTACAAGCTTACCCTATACCCCTACCACGACCTGATCATCTACGAGATGGGTGCCGGTAACGGTACAATGATGTTGAACATCCTGGATTTCATTCGTGATACCGACTATGAGGTCTACCAGCGCACCAAGTTCAAGATCATTGAGATTTCGCCCGCGCTAGCCGATCTCCAGTTCAAAAACTTGACCGACGCCCTCGATTCCCGTGGACACCGAGACCGCGTCGAGATTATCAACCGGTCGATCTTTGACTGGGATACGTATGTGCACTCACCATGCTTCTTCCTTGGTCTCGAGGTTTTCGACAACTTTGGTCATGACACTATTCGTTACGACTGCGCTACCGAGATGCCCCAGCAAGGCGGTGTGTTGATCGATGGCAACGGCGAGTTCCACGAGTTCTACAACACCCAGCTGGATCCTGTTGCAGCTCGCTTCCTGCGTGTGCGTCAAGCTGCCGCCCGGCGTCCTTTCCCCAGCCCTCTCGGCCCTCGCGTCCTCCGTGGTCTGCGGTCTACCCCGCCCTTCCGCAAGAGCCATTCTCTTCCTGAGTACATCCCAACACGACTCATGCAGTTCTTCGATGTGCTAAACCAGTACTTCCCTGCTCATCGTCTCGTGGCTAGTGATTTCAGTTCCTTGCCAGATGCGGTGCCTGGATTGAATGCTCCAGTTGTCCAGACACGCTACCAGAGACAGACGGTACCTGTGACAACACCATTTGTAAGTGCCATGACCTACTCACTACGAACCGTGCTAATAACGAATACAGGTCCACCAAGGGTATTTCGATATCTTCTTCCCCACTGACTTCAATGTTGTTGAAGACATGTATCGTGCTGTGACTGGAAAGTTGACTCAGGTTATGAGCCATGAAGACTTTATGAGCCGCTGGGCTTATATTGAAGACACTGAGACTCGAAACGGGGAGAACCCGCTGCTGAGCTGGTACAAGAATGCCAGTATGTTGATGACTGTGTAGATATACATAGTTCACTGTACAGTACTTGCATGGGAAATATCAAGACATACATAATATCCATATGCGTCAAAAAGTAGATTGCACTTTGGAGGGTACCTCGAGGTAGTAAAAAAGGCAACTGCTTCATGGACTTCCTGTTCGCCTCCATGTTTATTGATCATGCTATACTTCAAGCACAAACACCTTGAAAGGCCACCTGGGCACCAATAGTCATATTTGGTGAATTGTACATATGGAGTATATTCCTTGCTTAATAAATAACAAGCTTGATGCGTTTTCATGAGTATCGAAAAAAAGATCGTTATATGTAATGTTGCTAGGTCGTCATACTGTTCCATTAGGCTTTTCGCCGTCATGAGTCGATCAGGCCAGTTTGAATCACCTACAGAAAATGTGATAGACTATTGAGCAGGACCAATATCCCGAGATTGGCTTGAAAGTCCTGGGTATGATGGGTATGAGCGAGAGTTGAAAGGAGCAGTTAGTAAAGACAACTCATTGGCAAGGAAATGAGTGACGCAACACACTTTCCTCTTTCTTTCATGAATATCGGTACTTGAAAGAGAAGGGTATCTTGCATCAAGATTGACTTTCGCTGGAGTGAATATTCAATTAAAAAGATCAGATTTCCGGTGCTAACTCTTCGAGTGTTCACGTCGTGGGCATTTAAGAAATATGCCTTTTCCCAGCCGTCTTTGGAAATGAAGTTTTCTAGAGCGCGTCGTATGGCCCGATTCTAAATTACAGTATCAATTATGATGTTGCCCACTTAAGAATTGGCCAGCCATCTTGGTAATGCTTTTCAGGATGACAAAAGGAGCATGGCTGTCCATTCCGGGCTGAGCACTTAGCGGGATGAAGCAATTTCTCAGGCACTCTTGATATGGTCCTCTTTTTAATAAATTTTATGAGATACTCAGATCCCTTACGGCTCGTCTCGGCAACACTGAGCTCCTCGTCGTTGACGTTCAAGACCTGCTGAGAATCGGCTTCCGGAATCCTAAAACTCCAGAGGCAGGACCTACTTTGTCCGCCTCTCGAACGGCCCCCTAATTCTTTCATTGGTATATACGTATCAGCATGCTCTCCGTTGTCCGCACCATGTATGCTGTATGTGATAAATAGTGAATTGAAGTGGGATGGTTAAATGTGAAAGTGAAGGTCGGATAATTTGAACAGCCTCGATGAAGCACAAGACTAACCATGATTACCTCGAACGTCGCCCCGGCACCCGTTTAGTTTTCGAGGTGACCAATTCTTTTAATTATCATTTTTGAGTTTCTCTCCGTTACCGAAGAACGTGGAGAAATAGGAGGGGGTCATCATAATGCCTCATATCCACCATCCTTGAATCTTGTCTCCCCAAATTATTTCTTATGAAGTTTCTCTCATCAGAGTGGCAGGGTGGTGTCCAAAGCCATTCGCTTGCTGTGGGCATTACCCGACTCGAACCATTTGGACGCCTTCTCATAGATAGATATCTATGTTATTTTGTTTCCTGTGACCTGCTGAGCCGTTAAATTCGTGATAGATAGGTGGTACAACTGACCAATTCATGTCGAGCCTAAACCGCCCTGGCGATCAAGGGGATGAAGTGGGCATCTTGGTGTGCCATCATGGCAGAAACGGCCTTCAGGGGTGAACAAAGAAGGACCGATGCTCCCAATAATATGGTGAAGCTGGCTTTGGCAGTTCGGTCCTTGAAGGTAGAGAAGATCCTCTTCCCCCTCAGCAGCAGGGGCAGTCTATGATCAAGTTCTCTTATATCCAAGTCTGCTTCTCCAAAGGCGATGATGTGCTGTGGACGAGGAGAAAGAAGAAGAAGAAGAAGAAATAGAGAAAGGACCCTTTTATAGTCGTCTCGGACAGGCGTTTCCGGAAGTGAGTCTTGCGATGATTATCTGTTCAAGATGACGATCAAGGCATCTTTCGTGACCCTGAGGTCTGTAGGAGGTTGGAAAGGCGATCCTTCACGGTTTGCTCTTCATCACTTGACATAAAGAATGCACAGTAACATGTCTAAACAATCATTATCTGATCGCGGGCCGCAATCAGGTTATACCTAATGGAGTATAAGCACCCCTCATAACCAAATTCCCGAGGTCTCACATTGATAAGAAAGAGGGGAATCTGACTTACTTATTAGTGCTACACCCTATAACTTTCTCTTCCACTCTTCATACTCCTCTCTACAAATACGTTTACATTATCATCTAACAATCATCTCTGAACCATGTCAACGGCACAAATTCCTCACTGGAAACCTTTAGTCCTCGCAAAGCGCGCCGCCCAACAAGCTCTCATCCCAACAGAATGGCTCCTCCCAGAATCAATCTTATCTAACCCCCCTCTATCAAGCCTTGATGCAATCCGATCAAGCGGAATTCTCTCACCAGATGAACTAGCATGGACAGACAGAACCGATATCCAAGATCTAGTCTCGGCTATTAAATCCCGCCATGTGACAAGTTTGCAACTTACAACTGCTTTTTGTAAACGCGCCGCTATTGCACAGCAGCTGACCAAATGTCTGACGGAAATATGTTTTGAGAGAGCGCTCGAGCGGGCACGGGAGCTTGATGAGCATCTTGCGCGGACGGGTGAGGTTGTTGGACCTTTGCATGGGATTCCCGTGTCGATCAAAGATCGATTTGAAATTGAGGGACTTGATACTACAGTTGGTATGATATCGAAATTGTTACATACTTTCTATATCACATCTAACGTTCAAAATCTTTCCAGGTTGGATTGGGCTTATCGGTAAACCAGCAAAATCCTCGAGTGAGATTGTACAGCTACTTGAGTCGATGGGGGCAATCATGTATGTCAAAACGAATATTCCTCAATCACTAATGGTAAGGTCACCATTCTTAATTCCCAACAGAAAGAGATAACGCGGATCTTGAGCTGATTCCTTTCACTAGATGGCCGATTCCTACAACAATGTATTCGGACAATCTACCAACGCGTTCAACCGCAACCTCATCTCCGGCGGCAGCTCCGGCGGCGAGGGAGCTCTCGTCGGCTGCGGAGGCAGTATTTTAGGTATCGGCACAGACATCGGTGGATCAATTCGAGTGCCTTCTGCATTACAAGGACTCTATTCTATCTTCCCAACGACAGGACGAGTGCCATGGGATTGCTCATTGTAAGTCCATAACTCTTGTAATGGAATTTTGTTGACTAATATTTACAAGCCGACACCAGCATTACCTAGTCCCACCTGTCGCGGGCCCAATGGCATCTTCACTTGCAACGACGGAGTACTTCATGCAGAGTCTCCTAGCCTCGAAGCCATGGGATATTGATCCATCTGCCATTCCCATTCCGTGGAGGACGGAGCTTGCTACCCCACCTAAAGATCGGAAATTGAGAATCGGCGTTGTCATCGACGATGGGGTTGTGAAACCACAGCCACCTGTCACGCGGGCGATGAATGAGACTATTCAGGCATTGCGCGCAGCGGGACACGAAAGTACCAACTTCCTATCCACATGGCGAAAGCCGTTCAGTTGATGCTAACGTAAATCGATACCAGTAATTGAATGGGATACAACCCTCCACACCCCCGCAACTGAGATGTGGTACAAAGCCATCTTAGGCGAAGGCGGCTTCCACTGTCGCCAACTATGCAAACTAATCAACGAACCCCTGATAGAGGGTATGCTCGTCGGCGAAGAGAACGACATGCTAAACATCGACGAGCGCGAGAAAATCGAAGAAGAGAAATATGTCCTATCAACCGCCATGCTGAAACAATGGCTTGATACCCGTATCGATGCTCTGCTGATGCCTGCCATCCCGTGGGTCGGATATGAGCCTAAGACATGGGTGAAGAGTAAGCAGTGGATTGGGTATACTGGGGTGTGGAATCTGTTGAATTATGCTTCTGTTACTGTGCCGGTTGGCAAGGCGGATCGGGAGCTTGATCTTGTGGGTGGAGGGAAGGATGCTGAGTGGGAGGGATACTCTCCCAGAAATGAGTCTGATGCGTTTAATTATGAGCAGTGTGAGTTTTCTCTCTGGTTTGAATATGAGTTGTGGACTGTACTAATAGGCTTCCAGATGATATTGAGCTTGTGCATGGGATGCCTATTTGCGCACAGATTGTTGGTGGGAGATTTGGTGAAGAGAAGGCTATTGCTGTGGCGAAGGTGGTGGATGAGTTGATGAACCCGACTCCGTTCCATCCGTTTAGTTTATAAGAGTGAGTGGGTGATCTCAAGGTAGCTCACAGTAGTACACTGGTCATGAGATTCTCTATTCTGGAGGTCAATCATACATCATAGCTATCAATCACAAAAAATGCAGCCAGGCCCCGCCGGCGATTTCAATTCCAAGAATAAGCAAGAATAGAACAGAAAGGACCCATCATTCATATCCATCTGAGGGGGGAATAAAACTAAAATTCAAACTCCTTGCGGAAAACGTTCACGTCCATACCGGCGACAACCTGGTCAGCTAGATCCCGACGTCCCATCTGACTGAAGACACGGCGCAGCGTGTCATACAGGTTTGTGCTTTGGTTCTGGCTAATGTGAAGCATGCGCTCGAGGCGCTCATCATCCAGACCATCCAGTGCTCCGCCGCCGCCGATAATCTCGCGGGCACGCTCGCGGCCCTCTTGTTCGACTACGCGATGCATGGACAGAGCGCCGAGGAGGTGCTGTGCAGCTTCGGGGTAACAGCCGATGTTGATGCAAGACACACCGAGGTTGTAGCGGGCGCGCACGAAGTTAGCGTTGATGGTAAGGGCCTGTTCATAGGCTTCAATGGCTTCCTCGGAGCGACCGGAGTTGGCCAATGTGGCACCGAGACGGTTCCAGAGCAGGTGGAGCTGCTCACGCTGGTTGGTAGTGCCGGATTCAGTGGAGGCCAGAGCAGCAGAGAAGCAGTCGACCGCCTTTTCGTATTCCTCGGCACAGTAGAACAGTACACCCAGACCAACTTGAACGTCAGGGTCCATTTGAGCGCCAGATGGGGAGAGTTGAGCTGCTTGGATGAAAAGCTCTGTGACACGTTCGTGCAGGAGTTGACGGTCTGTGAAGCCGAGGTCTGCATCGCCGGATACCTCGTTCGGGTTGATGATCGACGGGTACTTGTTAGACAACCAGCGCTCCAGGGTCCGGTAGGCTGTCGAGTCATAACCTTCGTTGGTGTACGAAACAGCCAGGCCCATCAACGCATCCAAGTTACCGGGTTCAATCTTAAGTGCCTGCTCCAGAGCCCGGATTGCGGGCAGCTCTTTCTCATTCTGAGCCTGTGCCGAACCCAACATTGTCCAGGCCTTCACATGCTGTGGATCCTTCTGAACTGCAGCCTCAAACGCAAGTGCGGCCAGAGACAGGTTACCACCCTCTTGCATAATTTTCACGCCCTCCTCGAATGGGTTATTCACGGCCTGGTACACATTGTCTTCTTCGAACATGTAGTCACCGAGCTGAGGGTCGCGGAAGCGTGTGTTCAGGCTATCAAAGCCCTCCCAGTCGCCCAAATCGCCAACATGCACACTATCAGTAACCTCGAAATCGTCTTCTTGCGCCAATTTTCTGTTCGTCGCCGTCTCAGCCTGAACTCGCTCCCATACGGACTCAAAGGCATCATTGGTGGGCACTGACCTGTCCAGCTCATTCAATTCTGCCTCCATAGCCGCATTGGCCTCCTCGTCCGTCTGCTCCTGGTTACCCGCTGTCTCCATCTCGGCGAATTGTGCCTCCCAGTTCTGGTCGTCCAGCTCCACCATTCGTCCCTTGCCCTTATCTTGTGCGGTGCCTTCCATAGGCTGTTGCATCATCGGTCCGCCCATACCACCCATAGGCCGCATCATTCCCATACCGCCCATACCGCCATACATGCCACCCATAGCACCCATTGGTCGCTGGTATCCCGACATCATGGGCTGGTTAGCAGCAGTAGCGGGGCTAGAATTTTGCGGCATGCCCATCCGACTCTGTTGCTGGAATCGGGCAAACTCCGCGGGCGCAAATCCAGAGGCGTTGTTCATCTGTGCACCTGGGAACGCAGCCTCCATACGGGCCTGCTCACCGGTATCGAACTCGGCTGCCCACCCGGGTGATCCCGTGCGGGGTTGGGCAGTTTGAAAGTTATCCAGCTCCCGGCGCATGTGCTCCATCGCGAATGGTTGAGGCGAGGGTCCATTTAATTGTTGTCCGGATTGCTGCATGAAATCATTCATCTATCGAGCCCCGGTGGGGCGACATGTTAGTTGACTGGGTCATCGGAGAATATAACCGTCGGGAAACGACGACTATTTTGCACACGCACCTGGTCTTGTCCGCCCATCATACCGCGGGATCGCATGCCTTCTTGCATGCCTGGTCCCCGGCCAACCAGCCGATCGCGCTGTAGAGACTTGTCATCTTGGACATGCTTGGTGAACTGTGTGAGGGGGTTTCCCGCCGTGGAGCATTCCGCGCCACCGAGGAACGACATGCTGATGTGTGCGATAAAATTGGGGGGGATGGAAATGCAGATAGTAAAAAGAAGAACAAAAAAATCACCGGTACAATGAAAGTGCACACGGATACTCGAAGGAAAGTACGGAGAAGAAGCAATGCCCCGGACATTGGCGTGGGGTTGATCGCTCGGCGAAAGACGCTAAGACGCTTTCCGTCAGCCGAGGCTCCCGGTCACGTGTAATCCCAGCATAACTATAATGATTTGTAAGATGCGGGGGTGGTAACCTTCCTTGACATAGGGATCCAAACTGCATTATCATGATGCTATCATTCCAAGGTTAAGGACTAGTCCTTAACTCATAGGCTATATACAACTCCATTCAACACCAAGTGGGCACGCCGTAGTGGGTACACACTTGATTTATTAGGCAAGCACAACTTGGCTTCGTGTACATATTAGATATATACATTATGGTCAAGTTGAAATTCTTCAACATGCAAATTCAGTTCCGATATTTTAGTTCGGTTTAAAATGACTTTTCTATGATTATTTTGATGGCACTGCGCGTGAAGGCGCGTACCATTCTATTTCTTGCAGATAAATTGAACATCAGTCATAGAGAAAAAGGCATCAGATTGTGCAGACCATGTCCTCCATCCCAAAGGAAGTGTGGCTTTTTGGTCCTCGGAAATGAGACCTTCCTTAACTCCTGTGTCAAGCGAAGAGCCTTGTTCCAGACGCTGAGCCATCGTCTCACCCCACCACTTCACTTCTCCAGGGCTTGAATAGTAAACCACAGAGGCAGAGGTATCAATATCCGCAGATCTGAACCCTGATTTCTCAGCCCAGAACCGAGCCATTCCACCGTATGGCGAGGTTCGTTTCAAAGCAGTCAAATCTTCGATCAATTTCATGCCGTCCAACACACCGGGAATAGATGGATGGACAACAGCGCTCCTCCAATCACATTCTCTAGCACAAACTATGCCTCCAGTTTTGCAAACGCGTCTCATCTCCTTCAGACCTTCCACGGCTCCGATTTTTGAAGAATCGTTGGGAAGATGAATAAGAACCTGATGTGCGCAGACGATGTCAAACGTCTCGTCTTCATACGGAAGATTCAAGACATTGGCGACCTCAAAAGTCGCATTATCCACGTTCCGTTTCTGAACGAGCTCTTTAGCGGAATCGATTGCGGTTTCGCTGAGATCGATGCCGACAATAGTTCCCTGTGGAACGAAAGCAGCCAGATCCAGTGTGATGGAGCCAGGTCCACACCCAATATCGAGAATTTTCATGTTTGGCTTGATTTGCGGGACAAAATAGGCAGAGGTATTTGCTGCAGTACGAACGGAATACGTCTGCAGCATAGAAGCTGAGTAAGCTTCGCTTGCCATCGTGCTGAATAGGTAGCTTGGAAGGTGCACAAAAACTAGGAGGCCACGTCAGAAGAGTGGAAGTTTGAAACTTTTATCCTTGTTGGTTTTTGCTATTTATGTAGAAAACACGAAGGCGATAGCGGGCCGTTTCCGGCCCGTTCTTGGACACGACAGTGTACACCGTAAGGGCGGGGGCCTTGGCATTCCATGTTGTTTTAACATAACTTCCAGAGAAAAATTGAAAATGCAGCTACTTATGAGAAACATCCCATCACTGGGTCGGGTTGCCATATCTACTATTCGTACCTCATTGCATGATTGAATTTGATTAGATCGGTCAGAACATGTCCTCAGTTGCATGGCAATCGATCAACTTGCTATATCTAGCTAACTCAATATAAGATCTGATACGTGGAAAGACACTATTTTTCTTTTTTGCTATATCACGGTTCGATCAGAGCTTTGAAGTAGGTAAGGAGCCCTAGAACCATGCAGGAAGACTATATCATTAACGCCTTGGTGAGTTGGCAAGCTTGGGCGGTGGGCTGAAATTACGGGCTAAGCTGGGCCAGAGCCAGGTTTATTTGATGACAATTTACTTAAAAATGTTTCTAGACTACTATCAATTTCGAAAATTGTTCATCTTTATAGATTACTATCTTGATGGTGCTCTGGGCTTGGAGACATTAATATCTCCATAGAAGTACTGTTTTCGTGGAATTTTCGGCCTGGTATTACAGTATTCTAGAGCTATTATGTTACATGCATTATCACGTGACCACCGGCCATAAATAGCCACCCATAGTTTACAATATAAGCTTAGCTTCTTTTACACCTATCATATTATTTCTGTCAGTCCAAAGTGTCACGTCACTTAAATTCTTGCAGCGTCCTGGAGAACTTGATGACCTACTTTGGCCGGTTTCAGGTCTTGCTTTAGCCTTTCACAGTTATGATTAAAGAGGACGTGTGTATTGGTATTATGTATTAATGAAATTCGTAGTGGTGGCCTCGCCAAATTTCGGAGTGTTGTAAATTATCTGTCCGGGCAGGGGATTTAAGTGGAGCTTCTCAGCAGTCAAACACGAATATAAGAGACCGGGGCTCATTGGTTCCTCTCGAGCGTGATTGAAAAACAAAAAAGGTGCACGAGCGTACGGGTGACGCTCTGCTAGCAGTCTGATTGGGCGCCATGGGGCATCCTGAGGCTCTACGCGCTGATAAACCTGTAACCGGAGGCCCGATTGCTAGCACGAATTCGATTTAGCTTTTGGCGCAAAGTGATAGTTAGATGGTGAATGCTTACGTACTTGAGTCTTGCAAACAACTTCCATAGGCCTCTCGCGTTGATAAATCAAGCAACCCCCCCAACCAAAACTTTGAGAGCAGGCTGCATGTGCGCTAGCCGTGACTATCCAATCGTGTGACCAAAGTACATACGCAGGTCGCAAGGCTTTTAACTAGGGGCCGTTGATGTCCGAAAGCTGGTGTGGTAATTCACTAGCACTGACTAGTTACTCACGTTGGCGCTTACGTCCAGCTCTTTCGTCTTCCCCGCCCCACCCTAGCAAAAGAAGACAGCATGGTCAGCACAATCTTTGAAGTTTTGCGTACTTTCCGCCAAGTCACGCGTTCATTGCACACCTGTGTTCGGTTTGTACGGACATTTACCTGCCAGAGAAATGCACCGAATACCGCAACCTCCAGCAGATCCCCTTTTGGCGGGCTTGTTCGCTATCCGTGGGAAGCTCCACACACATCGATATCTCCAAACTAGGCACGGTCATGACCTTGAAGAAGCAATCTCGGCCATGCGCACTGCGGTCGCCCTGTCTAAAGAAAGACAATCATCCTTCCTAGGACCAGCGTTGGGCAATTTGGCTGCGCTGTTGTTGGAACGATTTAAATCAACAGGGAGAGATGCCGGGTTGGACGAAGCTGTGCAAATGACATACTGGGCTTTGGATTGTTTATCAGACGGTGACCCAGATCGTGCTCTCGTCCTTGCTACCCTTGGTATTATACTGTCTAGCCAGTATGACTGTTTGAGCAGACCTCAGGACCTGGAAGATGCTATCTACAGTCTGCAGATTGCACTTCAGACCTGGAGTCCCCGAGGCGATGGCACATTTCCGGCTGCTGTGTCGAACAATCTCGCCTGTGCCCTGGGGAGGCGCTACGAATACACCGGGAGAAGGGAAGATCTTAACGATGCCATCACAAGTGCTCTGGAAGCGACTCAAATTGAGTTGTCAGATGATCCCACCCTGATGGCCGCCGTGGGCTCGAACCTTGCCAATCTATTGGCGAGACAATATGAATCTATTGGGGATTTCGATAGCTTGAGCAACGCATTATTTGAGGCCCGCATAGTCACCGAGGTTGCACCGGAATTGCAACAGCTTGACGCCCTTCTCGGCCATATAAGTGGTTTGGCGGAGGGGCAACATGCGCTGAGAACGCAAGCGACGACCACCACAATAAAGGTGTCGCGCTGGAGATATACATACTTGTTGATGCTCTTTCTTTTCATATTCCTGTTGCCTAGGGTTTATCCCAGGTCATACTACCCACTTTGTGTGTTCCTGGGCGGTATTATGTCCCACTGGGCCGTTCGGAAATATTATCAGCCAGTTTCCAGTTGTGATAGGCGCGGTAATCTGTTCAAATCCGTCTCAACTTGGACTCAGAATTCACTTTGCTCGCCATATGATGATTTGCATTTTGCCCCAACGGTGGTTTCTACCCCATGGATTGATATCTCTTCTACTGTCGCCTTGAGGAGGTCGGAAGACGAGCCGTACAATGGGGACAAATTACGCAGACAAAAGTCAATCCATACTAGGCGTGTTGAGTCGAGATGTGACCAAAGGTGGAGGACTGGGGCGAGAAGTCTAACTTCGACTCGCGATAGAGAAGACGTTCCGAATGATATGGACACCTTGTCCCGCGGGGTCAATCAAAGACATCGCACTCCGCTGTCCCACCTGAGCCCAGTGTTCACAGCATCAAGAACAAAATGCAATGAAGACGGGCTCGAGAGCCAGAAGCAGCTCACCTACGATATTCGTGAGAATTTAGAAGCTCGGAATTTGATGTTCCAATCTTCAAACGAAAGTGAATGCTCAGTGAATCTTCTGTCCGCGCCTGAAAAGGAGGAAAGGGTCAGTCAGATTAATGAAACCCCAATCAATTTCCCAAGTGTTTCCCTGAAACAAATGTCTCCGATTGGGAACTCCAAGAGGACCGTGAGGGTATCTCTGCTAAACATTCAAAGCCTTAGCTAACAGACACCAGGATACCACTTTTTCCACCGAGTCAACGGGAGCTTGGGATAAACAACAGCCAATTTTGGATAATGCAATAGACCAGGAGGATAAGTCACCATTCACCGAAGTCAGCTCACTCAAAGCCGGAACAGGACCCCTCACAACAGCAAACCAGCCCCATCAATCTCACCCAGACGTAGTACCAACCGAGGATGCACTTAATAACCTAAAGAAAGACTTCAATGATAAATTCCACGATCTAACGCCTGCCACAAAGGTTGACGAAGAATCCTCGTCATTCGAAGTCGTGGCCCAGGGTAATACTTCAAACGACATGAACAAAAACGAGGGCAATGCTATGGGGAATATCTACAGTGAGGAAGCACACGTTGTGGGTAAGTCATATAGTGCGAACAGAATAAATATACATGTGTAACTAACATGCTTCGGTAGGGCATCTCAGTCGTCACTATGGTGATAGATTTGGTACACATGTATCGACTCACTGTCTCTGTGCATCCTGCTAACAACTAGATATAGAGACGAGGAACATTTCGGCAACTCTCCATGGCCATCAAAACTCTGGTGCTGATCGGATTTCGCCAGATGCGACAACAAAAGAGTTACATGCAGGATATATACCACAGGACAGCGAAGATGAATTTCCCCGTGGTCTTGACAAAGGAGTAGCCATTGAACGGCTAGGAGATTACCAAGTAGTTCCACAACACAGGAACTCGAACGACAACCATCCTGATGGCCTTTCGCCAGAGCCAGGGGTCAATCGAGAAAGTTTTTGGGGTGATAGTTTCGATACAATGACATGGCCAGGGAAGCTTGGCTCAGGATCAAGTTCCTTTAGTTCCTTTGAGCCCCCAGTTGACTTTGTTGCTTCAAGTCCAGGGGCCATTCCCTCGAAAGTTCCAAGAAAGCATCGTGATCGCGAGCTCTCTCCCCCAAAACCACAAATACGACAGAATCGAAGCTACTACGACCAATTACAAGATGAACGCAAGCCATCTGAGAGCGCTATTGACTCAGATGATGCCATTTCCGGGCATCCGATGATTCTTCAAGCAAAACGCCCTACGTTACGTCGAGCAGTTACCCCTTTATATTCCGCTACATCTGAGACTGCTGACAGCAGTGACTTCCCATCTGATATTGCTGATAACGGACGTTATTACCCATCCGATGAGAGATGGCCAGAGAAAAAAAAGTACAGAGGGTCTCTTAGGCCCAAGCCACCTCTAGAACGGCCTGAACTTGACGACTACCTCTCATCATACTCCTTGAGCAGTCTAACAGCTGCCCAAGAACAAATCAAGCACTCGAAGGGTACCGTCCCAATTAAACCTATCGCTTCCACAAAACCTGAAAGGAGGAACAATGGAAGAACACCGGCAAAGGTGGTAAAGCATGCGGTTGTTAATCCCATGCCCGCTCCAGCGCCTAATCTTAAAAAATTTGGTACTTCCTACGAGAAAGTTTCCGCACTTTCAGAATACTTCAAATGTACCATATTGCCACTTTGTGACAACTATGGTACCAATCTTCCAGCCGATGCGAGGAAACGTGAATTTGAGTACAGGCAATTAAGCGAGATTGTATTGAGTCAAGTGATACTGAAAGCCGATGGCATTATATCAAACGATGGGACTACACGTGCTGCGCGCCGCGAATTGATAAAAGAAGCCGAATCTGCCCTAAATAAGATCGATGCTGCATTTAATCTTTATTAGATCGATTATAAGCGCAATAGGAAGTGATCTTCATGATGTGTATCTGACTACTGTTTTTCTTTTGGTTCGGCTTGAACTCGGACACGTTTCGATTGTTCCCTAGCCATTTTTTCTTATCACATATCTACTTTTCTATAGCATGGCAGTCTTGCTTCTTGCTATGGTCTATGAATTTGGATTTCCATCGGGTCCAGAGCTTCGACTTAATATTGCTGCTCTCGACCTCGTGAATACCCCCTGCTGGAGACTTGAGCGCTTCTGAGCTCCGCATAGCCTGTAATTGAGTTTGCACTTTGTAAAGCCTGTCAAGGAGAGAACTCTGCTCGTCTTGCAAGATCTCTCGAAGATCTAAGGCTTGGGTGTCCTTGGGCTCCACCAAAACAACTCGTGGCTCCTCTGGAGGCTTCTGGTCCCCCTCTTTTGCCAGATGGTTTCGGAGTTCAGTAACACTCACTTCAAGGTGACTGAGGGCCGCTCGATGTCTTTTGAATTTTGCGGCTGAACCCGATTGAATATCCCAGTAATGATAGGGATACTGCCGGAATGGGATAGATTTCTTTCGGGCACGGATTGAGCTGCGAGACCAGTCCTCCAGGTCAGATGAGTCGGCGAAGTCATCATAGATGAGGCTGCCGGAGGCCATGCTGCCGCTATCGTCGATTTCCGGCGCATCATGCACCGTACGACGGGGTTGAAAATTCAAGTTTGGACTTCGCTCATCAAGTTCGCGTGGCAGTCGACGTATATTTTTCGGTGGGTTGGTATAACGTCGCCCAGTTGGTTGTCGTCGGTGAGGCAGCGGTACAAGAGACCTCTTTCTTGCAAGATATGGGCTAGGAGGCCACTCCTCGAGGTCAGATGAATTGGTCAAGTCACTAAAGCTAAGGTTGCCGGAGGCCATGTTGCTGTTATTGCCGATTCTCGGCGCATCATGCACCTTGCGACGGGTTTGAAATTCAAACTTTGGTGTTTGGTCATCAAGCTCGCGTGGTAGCCGACGTATATGTTTCGGTGGGTTGGAATAACGTCGCCTGTTTGGTTGCCGCCCGCGAGGCGGCGGTGGAACAGAATCATCTGAGGCATAGGCCCTGGACTCGTGGACATTCGAGTTATGAATGCTGATTTCGATTAATGCAGGCTTGGAAGAGCTGGATCCCTCTTGAAAACCCGATTTATCAGGTTCGACAACCGTCGAGTCACAGGTTGTGGGAGCGGATTCGGGCTTGCTTGAATCAGAGCTGTTGGACATGAAGTCTGTATTATAGGTGTTCTTGGCGCCAACAACCTGGGATACATGATCGTGCACTACCATGCTCAATCTTTTCGCTATTTCCTTCAATTGATCCCTGATGCGCAAATAATTCGACAAGGCATCTACTTCGAAGAGTTCGCTGGCCTCAGGCTTATTGAGATTGGTGACCGTACTTCTTACGGCCATCACTAGATCGTGTGCCTGCAGGAGCTCAACGTCAACATTCTTGAGCTGCTTATCTAGCAATTCAATCTGGCGGTCGACTTTGTCGAATATTCGCGCCAGACCTATGGGTGTCTGGGTCTTAGGCATGGAAGGAGTTCCGGGGATGCTGCGTATCTGCGGAAGGATCGGGTGACTCGCTTGAGTTTTTTCTTCTTGTACCTCTTCATCATCGGGTGCTTCCTCTTCTTGCTCTCGCTCTCCCAGCTCTTCCATCCAAGGGTTGACACTTAGCGCAGACTGATCATCTTCGATCCCTTGCAGCCGATTCATGATTCCACAGTTTGAGGGGATGTAAAAACACGTAGAGACTGACGAGGATGAAAGGATGCATGAGATACGTAGTTGCTCGCGCACACCAGGCCACTTTATGTATTGTCAGTTGGGGCGAGAGGTGAGGTTGCGGGGTGGGCGCTCGCTCCTTTCAGTCAGCCTGGCGCTAAAAACCAAATCTGGGGGCTGAGCACTCCACAAGAGCCCTTCAAAGATGAGTCGCTATCGCCTTGATCTTACGCATTAACTACCATGTAGGAGACCGCTCGTGAGAATGGAGTCGCTCCAGCCAGGTCACAAGCCTAGCCTAGTGATGATACTCGCCTGTCTCGGTGACATTCACGCCGAGCGTCATCACAAATTGAAGCGAAAGGCTGACCTCGACGAGGCTGTTTGGGCGACTCGACTCGCCCTCAGCATCTCCTCCGCCGACCACCCTATCACCCCCACCCTCCTGAATAATCTCGCCAACGGGCTCTGGCGACGCTACCAATCCACCGGTCAAAAGGAAGACTTGAACCAAGCGTTGTTTTACGGCCTCCAGGCGTCGCACTCAGCTTCACGGGAGGATGCCGAGCAGGCCGCCGTATTGGGCACTTTGAGTGCCATTCGCGCTAGTCTCTACATCTGTCGGGGCGATTTCCAAGACCTGCAAGAGGCCATATCGATTACGCGCCGTTCAATCCGTATCGCGACCCGATGTGCCGAGACCGCTCCTATGTTCCTGTTCAACAACCTAGGCGTATATCTATGGATGCAACATTGTATTACTAGCCGGAGAGAAGATTTGGACAAATCCGTTGTCGCATTCGGCAATGCTCTCGAGTGTTCAACAGACAACAGCGTCGATCGGATGACTTGTCTTATCAATTCCGGTCAGGTCCTGAACCAGCGATACCACCGCACTGGGCAACTGGAAGATTTGAGCCAAGCTTTGAAGAATGCTCAAGAGTCGATGCGTCTGGATCCGCAAAATGAAGATTTGACCACTTTCCTGAAATGTCTGGACCATTCTCTCGACCGCCGTGGCGGGCCTATGTCCCCATTGGACCGGCTTAGAAGCCTATGGATTGCGAGACGCGAGCTAAGGAAGTTTGTGATGCCGTTAACTATTTTCATCATGATTGTCACGCTTTATGTCTACCTTCCCAGGACGGATATCTTGTTCTCCATATTCGCTTTCCCGAGTGGTATTATCTATCATTGGATGACCAGTCAGAGACCCACAGCTGAACAGAGGATATCTATGGAAAGGAAATCAGGGCTGATTACGTCGATGAGAGAGAACCTATGTCCTCCAGGCGGATTTCACGATTATACTCCCAAGGTATTGGCAGCGCCGTTAATACCGGTGCCATTTGCCTCGTCACTCCGAGGAATCCAAATATCAGACTTCTCCGCACACCCGTCTCTATTGCACAGTCAGCGACGGCGGTCAATACACTCAGTGACGTCCGAGTGGGTGGCTAAAAGCCAGTCTTTGAGCATTCACCCCAGAAAGAGGGATGAAAAGGTACATAAGAGCAGACATCGTGGACACCGGCTCGTGTCTTCTCCTCGTGGGGGCAACAATGAGATCTCGAGTATTGCCGTCAATATACCGACTGCTTTTGCCCAATGCGAGCTGCCAGAGGATTCTCTCCCTTCATTTGTGCAAAACACAAGATCGCAAGTTGAAGTTGAGCTTTCGCGGAATGAAATAGACTCCAGCCGCGGAAAGCAAGAAACTCATGTGGTAAGCTCCTGTTTCCAGTGCCAGAAGGTGGTAGAACTAACATGTAAGGCTTCTGTGTTGCGGAATGACAGCAGCGTGCGGCGATTCGTCGGTGATGATTCCGGGTATGGATCATCGAGCGCTAGACGTGGCGAGGGTATGAATATAGAATATGATCGCGGTAAGTGATATAGAAGTGAGACGCGCAACATAACTCTTATATTTTCACAGAACACCAGAGTGTTATCTCCAATGATGAGCAACATCATCAACCAAATGCCTGCCCCAGTAGGTACTCCCAGCTCGGGATTATCCAAAACACCAAGCCGCCCGAGCGCATTTCGTCTCCCCTGGATACTTTGCAGAGGCCCTGGGTCGAGCCAGGAGGCGAATACTCCGAGCACAGGATATGGGACGTACAGGACTTACCCCCCCGGGAAGCAGAAAAGGGGCAAGTCGGTGTCGTCGTTCATCAGGGACACACGAAACTTGAAATGGGTACGAATAGTGGAGTCGCCATGGGCAATATTACCAGCACGCGAACGAATGTCGTGGGTCAGTACTTTCGCGACTTAGGGCGGGTTTTACATGCTAATCAGTTTCCAGGATATGCTAAATCTGAAGATCCCCAGTTTTGGCGTCAAAATGCCTATACCGAGCAGATGCCGAGCATGGGTCAATCCGACAACGTCCAGAGTGAGATCATCTTGCAAGAAAAGGAAGTTCGGCTTGTTCCTGCGCCAGATGCCGCCGAGTTGCAGGACTCTGTTTGTGCAGATCAATTGATTTATGATATAGAAGGGCAGGTACAAGTACCCCTGGCGCCCATAGTTGAGGACATGGTGCATATCCAGGTTCCTCAGGTTGTAGAAGTAGGTGATGAGGATCCTGTATTCTTTGAGCAGGAGGATGACAATATAGATCTGGTGGACCAACTGGCGAGGCAGTATCTGGAGAGTTCCACCCTGTCAATATGAGACATGGATATGATAGAAGTTGTAAATTTGTCTAGGAACATTTATGGGATTTCTCTGCGGACTACTTTGCTAGCTGTTAAAGGCATTATCTATTCGGACCCCACTACGTATATCTCCCCTCATCATCTCCCCTCATCATAATTTCAAACCACCACCACGTATCTTCATCTCAGGACCATGACTCTCACCTGCTCGGACTATACCATCGGCTGGATCTGCGCTCTCCCCTTGGAGATGGCCGCCGCTAAAGCAGCGCTCGACGAACTGCACCCCCGACTCCCCGTCAGCCCCAACGACCACAACATCTACACTCTCGGTGCCATCAAGGGCCACAACATCACCATCGCTTGCCTTCCCTCCGGCATCTACGGTACCACCTCCGCCGGCATTGTTGCTAGTCATCTCACCACCACCTTTGCAGCTCTCCGCTTTACCCTAATGGTAGGCATCGCCGGCGGCGTCCCCCATACTCGCACAGCCGATATCCGTTTAGGGGATATAGTAGTCAGCAAACCCACTGGCACGACCGGCGGTGTTATCCAGTACGACTACGGCAAGACCCTAACGAGCGGCCGTTTCCAACGCACAGGGTGTCTGAATAAGCCCCCCGGCGGAACTATTAGCCGCGCTAGTGACACTTGAATCCAATCATCTTCTCAGTCAGTCAGATATCCCTATACATTTAGCCCAAATGAAAGCGCGATTTCCAGCTTTTTCGTCTCCAGGTGAGCAGCATGACTTCCTCTTTGACCCTTTATATCCGCATGTTGGGGGCAACTCGGAAGAATGCCTTCACAAGTGCGAGAGTAATCGTCTTGTTACCCGGTCACGACGGAGTTCCTCCACTCCAAGGGTACATTATGGACTTATTGCGTCGGGCAATCAGGTTATGCGCGATGCAGTGACAAGGGACAGTATTGCGTGTCAGCTAGAGGGCGTTCTGTGTTTTGAGATGGAGGCTGCGGGGCTGATGGATCAGTTTCCTTGCTTGGTCGTGAGGGGAATTTGCGATTATGCGGACTCTCACAAGAGTAAAAGATGGCAACCGTATGCCGCTGCTACTGCTGCTGCATATGTGAAGGAGCTCTTGGGCGTAATCCCGTTGCAAGAAAGAGAGCAAGGCAGTACTTCTTCCCAGGAGGCGAGGGTGGGGTGGTTGAAGCAGGTATGATTAGTGCTCTACTTCTCACTTTGTTTGTTTGCCACTTATGAATTACCTGTTAATTGAATGCTTGGTGATGAAGTGCGGCACAGTGCATCAAGGGGATGTGAGCATCGGATCGGTGGGTAGTAACACTGGGGTGATTATGGGGAACGTTAATTCTACCGGAGGGGATGGAGTAAGCATTGTGGGATCACCCATCGTGGTATGCACAAGACCATTCTGCGATGTGGCTGGCTAACTAAGATTATAGAATTCATCGTATCGCCCATGAGCCTACAACGATATATCAACGCTAAAATTACGCTTCCTCGAAGGTGAAATGAACTTATGATATATGAGTTTCGGATACCGACAGAATTGGAATTTATAAGCCTAATATGACTGGTCCGAATCTTTGTTCACTTTTCCGGCAATGTCGAAGGCCAAATGCTTGCTTGGTCGAATTTCACTATTCAAGCGACTGTTTGGGACGGCCGTATCACAGTCCAGTGGCATACTAGGAATTCTACTTCAATTTTCAGGACTATAAATTTGCCATCAATGTAATAGATCGAGTGAGCGAGAGCTTCATAGCAAGTAATTTAACATATGGAATCAGTTCTGCTCCCACATCGATCAGTAAATGAATGAATAAATAAATATCGATTCAGATAGAGGTCGCATCGACAAAGCCAAAAGGGTGACCTAACTCAACGACCTTGATCTGATTCTGGTCCTTAGGTCCGAGTAAGCCTGGAGCCATATTCGAGATACCTTTCATCCTTTCAGTCAAGAGTAGAGCTCGCAGCTGGAACATAGACCTCCTGAATCCCATAATGAAAAATACCGATTTATCATTGATAGGAAAGTATGAAATAATATTTTTTATAAGATTCAACACTTTCACTTTCCAACTACGATATTTAATCTGTTCTTAGAAAGGCTTCGCTCACATTTAGGTGCAAAGACCAGCAGAGTAAGGGAAGGTCACGTCAGCGCTTCATAGCTATACGGACTTAAGATGTATTATAGAGAGCTCTAGAACGCTTTAGTGCATTAGGGCGAAGTACTAAAAGATCAGCGCGGCAGGGATCTTTCCCCAACAAATCAAATTGGCAGACCAAAACAAACAGAAATGTAAAAACATACAACATATATTCTATGTCGGTGGTCACCTAGCGCCAACGATGCGTGCTCGCCGCTTTATCCAGCCCTCTTGAGGGCAATCTGGGCATGTCTTCACCCACCTGAATATTCTTCATCTGAACATTCGGCCCATACAGACAAGGCGTTATTGTAAACTTCGAGGGGAATTACTGTCTAGGTGGTCCCTTTTCTTTTTCTCCTTCTTTCACTAACTTTTAGCCTACATCGTGCATATAAAATGCGCGCCTAATATGATCCAACGTCGAATTACACTAAAAACATCATGGACTTTTGAAGTCACTAGAATATGAAAATTCCACGATAGGTCTTATCAAAAACTAAAGAGGATTATACTTATGTATTAATCATATTCAATAACTTCACTATATACCAAAGCCTAACTATTAGTAGTCTGTAACTAGATCTTATAGTCACTACCTTATTTTTATAATAGATAGGATTTTAGGAGATAGAGATAAAGAGTAAGCCTTATAGATAAGACTATGAAAGATTAGCTATTTAATAAGATAGAAAAGGAGCTAATCAATTATTAAGAATCAAAAGATCTCTTCCTTCTAGTCTAGTTATAAGAAGAGGGTATTAAGTAGTATTCATTACTATTTAATAACAACACCCTAACCACACTTATAATATAATAGCGCTAAATGCTCCACAGAGAATGACTAGGAAAAGGAATCGAAACCAATCCATAGTTTGAAAAGAATTACCGAATTCCCCGCCGCTCAACTCGTTCTTCGTCGTCATGTCCAAACCTATGCCGCAGATAATCCTTGAATTCCACCGAAACAGAAATTACACTCATGAGATGTTCATATCGTAGCTGTTGCTCATCATATTGAGCCAAAAGAGTGGCTGTTTGGATCGTATTTCGGATCTCGCGGCCGTTGAGCTCAATTTCACTGAGAGCCTCGGCGTACTCTTCAAGCTCCTCGACATTGACATTAACTTGAGTGCCACGCAGGCTTCTGATAAATTTATCCCATATACGTCGTCTCTCTTCCTTTCCAAGCCCTGGGTAGTGAACAATTAGTTGTACCCGTGACTTGAACGCCTCATCGAATGTGCCAATCCGATTAGATGTTAGCACCAGAATTCCGTCATAGTACTCGATGACACGGAGGAAAACAGAGACCAGCGCATTCCGTTGAAGATCCTGATGCGTGCGTTCTTCTAAAAAGACATCTGCTTCATCAAGAAGTACCACGCACCGCCAGACTTTGCCTAGATATAGTACGGACTCAAGGTACTCCTCAACTTCGTCAGCATTTGTTCCCACATCTCCGCATGTCACGCGGTAAAGCGGTCGATTAGTTACTTCTGCAACCGACTCTGCTGTCAAGGTCTTTCCTGTGCCTGGACCGCCGTGTAAGAGAAGTATAAGTCCATTTCCCTTGCCCTCAATAACGTCCATCGATTCGTTTGTGAAGTTGTGCTTCTTGACAAGGGCTCGGATAAGCTTTTTCTTCGTCAAGTTGAGCACAAGATGGTCAAATGCTTGCTCGTTCCACTTGATCGGCCTGATTTGTGAGATAAAAAGCAAGCCTAGTCCCAAATTTCTGTCTCAGCAAATGTTCGACATGGTTGGTGTCACAAATTCACTTACGCCATTTTTTATCATGAAAACCGAATCCATGCACGGTCACAGGTAGTACCAAAAGAAAATCACCAGTAGGGGGCTCATCGGACTCCATCTGCTCATCGCTAATATATTCGCGTGTCTCTAGTGCGTCTTCCTCCGGATGAAGTTCACGATATGTAACCATATCAACCATGTACCGAAATTGAATCTAAAATGACACTTGAGCTGAGTTCAATCCGTGGATAATGTCGATCGAGACTCACAGTTTGCCCATCTCTCTGTGTGGCGGTAGGAAGGTAAGACACATATTTCCCTTTTCGCACTGACCAAAATTCCCGCCCAGATCTCTCAAGTAAGTTTCGGACATCTGGCGCGGCGTATGCGAGGGGAAAGATGGACAGATTGGTGATTGGGATCTTATCTACTAGTCCCGGCCATTGGATGCTAATTTCCGTTTTGTATCTCCAGAATCGACCATCGAATCTCCAGGCCCAGCAGGATAGCCTCGAAGTTGACCCAAGGAAGCTGTCAAGAATATAGGCACATGGATGGCACTGTTCTGTCCTTATAAGAACATCTCGTGGGGCGAACAGCTTTGGTAGATGGTGGTTGTTCACGAATCCTGCCTCGAAGAGTGAGTCGGCTTCGCTGTATTCCTCCCTGAATGTTTCCTTCATGAATTCGACAAAGGCGACAGCAATATCGAAGTACTCCTTATCCAAGTTGCTCGTCAAGACCGACCCCTCGCCAATCCCGCGATAGTGATATACTTGTGTGACCAGCTCCCGCATGCGACTGGGATCCCCGAGTTCGGCGATGATGCCAGGATCCAGCCCAGTCAGTTGGATTATAGTATCTTGAAGTTCATCGGAAACAATAAGCATTGCCTCTGCATGCGAACTGGTAGGTATCCCATCATTGTCGAGTCGATAAAAGTATGGCAGCAGCGATTTGTTGAACGGGTCGTTTGGCCTTTCCAGAGCGCGGAACTCGGGCTCTATTGCTCGATGGTATGTTTCGCAAGAGTAGTCCCGATATAGGATGAGCGCAATCTCGGAGTTTGACTCAATGAAATCAGCGACGTCGGCGATCAAATGCTTGCCACGAAGAGCACTCGCTTTGCTGTCACCGGCGAAAAGTCGTGGCGCATCTTGGAAGTATGCAATCTCTAAGTGGTTTTGATGATCCTTGGCTCTAGTACAGTGGACGCGGTGAATTGTAAAGGCTTCGAAAATGGGAGTATGGTACAAAGGGGTTCTTCGTTTCGGTGGAGAGTCAGGCTGCGAGTTGCTATCCGAATTTCCGTCGCTCAGTGGTTCTTTTCGCTTCCGCGTGTTTGAAGCTCCCATACCGCTCGCGTTGGGTGCCGAAAATGGAAAGTATGGAGTGTTCCGAGGCATGGCGCGGATGGGTTGCGACAGATGCAACACAAATGAGGCCGCGCAACTTTGAAGAGGAGCTGGCCAGCTGAACTGGGCTCAACTAAGCTGACCTTGAGCTGACCCCCGCAGCATGCAGGCGCCGAGGCCACCAATGATATCAGCCCATGCAGACTAGCCGGATGATCGCTCAAATTCGGCCCCTTGCCCAATAGAGATCTTACAAATGCTAATCAACACTTCTATAATGATCTTACGAGAAATCAAACGCAAAGGATAAACTTTTCTCTGAGGTTATTGAAGTTTGCAATATTGGTAGCGCTCAGTTTTGCTATTTAAATCGGGGTTTTAACCGATCCCAGCAGGAATCCCACCCCGGTTGAGATCCTCGCAATTTAATAGATGGCATGATGGCGCTCGGTGTTGTTCTTCCATGGGAATCCTTCCAAAATGCATCATAACAGATGATAATGGCCTTGAAGTTTGCGCCTGGTTCATCAATGACGCGTTGGAGGCTATCTCGAAACCTCTCTGCTAACGGTGCATGCTTGATCTCAATCATGATAAAGCATTCAGGGAGGACGCATAGTATATGAGCTAAAATTTCAAATAGCTGCTCTTCATCTGGCTCTTCGTCCATCGGTTGTGTTAATCCAAATTTTCCCGGGGACGGGATGTCGTCAAGTATGTCTAGGGCCTGGGAAATGAAGGCCTTCAGTCCATCTCTTGCACTATGCCTTTCTCTTGAGGTGGAGAAGATCCAAATGATGGGAAATAAGGTCGTCTTTCTCAGGAAATGAATTGCATGGCAGGCAAAATTATCAGGTGCAGGTAGTTCAAAAGATGAGCGAGCGTATGTTCCTCGGATTGTTAACATTGGATAGCTTGGATCTATAAGCCAACGACTTAGGCTCTGAAATAATCGATCTGAGCCTCTATCGTTGGGCCACGGATTCCATGATGGATCTCGTTTTGTAAATGAGAGAACCTTTTGAAGAACCTGTTCCGGATCCTGGGCAGGTTGCAGGGTGCGAAGGAAAGCAGGCTGCTCGAATACAGCTTTATTGGATTCATCCCTAACAGGTTCACTATTGGCAAAATTCAGCGACTCCGTTGAATAAGGGATGGCTTCCAGAGTCTCCAGGTTGCGTGTGGCAGATACTGGAGCTCTATCCCTCGGAGCACTCGTCATTGGCGTGCATGAAATGTTCTGGTCTTTATTGGTGTCAATGTGGCTTCTCATAACCGAGAGAAATAGCCTTGCATACGCGGCCGCTGTCGCGGCAGCATATTGTTGCCAGGCTTTATTCTTATGAGAGTCGGCATAGTCGCAAATCCCTCGTATAACTAAGCATGGAGCCAAGTTCATCACACCAGCCGCTTCCATTTCGAAACAAAGCATTCCGTAATTTTCCCCTAGAATATCTCTTTGCTTTGCACTTCTCATGACCTGGTTTCCGGAGCCAATGGGGCCAAAGAATATATGGGGCTGATCTGAAGATCGCTCAATTCGATTGGTAATCTGGCCCTCGCAGCAATGGCAGTTGTCACCAATCGTCGTATGTGGAGAGTCTGGGGCGAACAAAATGTCCTTGTCTTGACCTGGAAATCGAAACTCAGGTCTCTTTTTTTCAGTAATCTTCAAGTATTGTTGCAGTGAGTTGGCTTCCGAATTAGGGTTGGAAATCAAGCTGCTGATTGCAGTCATAAGTAACCGAGGTGGCTGCTGTAGTATACCTGTACTTTGAAACATGCCATTTTCGAGAATTTTCCCCATATCGTACTGCTTAACGGCGGGATGTGACCCGTTCGGATGACTGACAACGACATCACCAAGGCGGATATCATTTTCGGATGAAGGCACACCTCCACCAATGCCCACCAGCAAAATACATTCCACCTGTGGGAAGCTTCGCTGCATGTTTACCATTACTGCACTAGCAGCATTTGTACCGTATTCCCCAGATGGAAGACAAGTTGCAACCACATAGTGCTCTCCCATACGGCCTAATGAATAGTGATTTGTGTCTTGTTGAACCGTTTTCAACTGATGATGTTCTTCCTCAAATAACGTTCTTACGGCGAGAAGTTCCGTACGGAGCGCGCATAGAATCGCGACATCATAGTTTTGGTGTGTCAAATTTAAGGATAGACGCTCCATAGTAAAATGTGAATTGCGTGCTACCGAGTTGGAACAGTGTCAGGGGTGAACATCAGAAATTATGCTCCTCGGTCTCACGGGTTGGCCAAGTCAGCCCGGGCGCTTAATAGATAGCTTCTAGTGGACGCTCTCAATGGGAACCTCTCCACACACTGGCAGTTGTATGAAAGCGCACGGGCCTTTGGTTGGTCAACCTGTCTCGGTGCCCAACAGTCACGCTTCGACCCAGTGGCCTTGCATCATTAACCAACATGCTACCTCTATGTATTATGAGACAATGAAGTCACTTTAAGAACTTTCCTTCACTTTCTTGCTTGTGTTTCCCGAAAAACTTCAGAGCTTAATGGAAAATACTGCCATAATGGCATTTTATATTTTTTGAGGTGTGTTGTTCGATCATGAGTGCTTCAGTGAAGGAAGTAACCCGTCGACACAACATTTCTGAAAATTAATTTATCCCATCAGCCGATTTTGATGGAGTATAGGTTGTCAAACTAATCATACCAGCTCTGAAGTCGATAAATAGCCTCTAAACTATTGTTTCATTTTTGAATCTCTATGATCACTAAGTAATATAGACGGGGCTATCCTAGTTCAACACAGCCACTTTCATAGTCTATTCACCTGACAAAGTACTCGTTAACTAGTAAGTTAGTACCTGCCAGGTAACTTGCTTGCCACTTCACCGCCGAGCCCCCTCACGCTCATTATCACACGGAGTGTGATTCGGGGACTAATACTTTTTTACGTTGCCAAACTCGATGACTTCATGCATTAACTCTACTTCTACCCCTTTACTTCAATTATCTTCAAGCCTAGAATCTGGTACCCACTATGCCCATTCCCCGACGCTCGATGGGCCCTCGGCTCGGGGGCTCTTCAGGGAAACCCGAAACCAGCTCGAAGCCTGCAACCTCTAGCACAGTGAATTCGAGACCTCTCCAGACGTCCTCCTCGGAGACCTTCGGAAGACCTATCCTTGGCGTTGACCGCCCACACTTTTCAGAAAGGCCGTGGCTGGATAATGTCAAGGATACAATTTCTCTCCACTACAGCCCAGCTACTGCTCCGCCACCTTTACCACCACCGCCGCGCATTCACGATCTCGAAAATGGCTACGATGCCGGTTGGTTGTATGCGAATTCGAGCCGCTCGACAACAAGTCTTCCCCCAATTAACCCGAATTCGAGTCTGTTGGGGGGCCATCGACGACCTGACTCTGCGCCGCGGAGTGATCGCCCGGTTACAGCCCAAACAGTGAATCGATTGAAACTACTAACGCGACAACCTCACGCCGCACCGCCCCAGATGGAACCTGGACCGCCGGGCAAGTACCGAAATTGGCCTCATCGAATGAATATGTCGATCACCGCCAGAAAGACGATCAAGACGATCTCAGACGACATTTCGTGCGAACGGACACAAAAGAAACGGAAGCTGAATGCGCTATTGATGAATCAACGCAGACAAGAGAAGGTCTCTAGGAGCTATGGCAAACCAAGGGAAACAACGACAAGGCATTTCTGGGGCCACCAAGACCTTAGACCTATTTCGCCAAGCCTGATTGACCGATCGAGGGTTTGGGCCGTGGAAGACTTTGGGGTGCGGGTAGGAAAGAAAAAGGTCTCCCCACATGGCTCTCTTTCCCCGCCTGGGGTGAACAGTTTCATGAGAGACAAACACGAAATGAATAACTTCGGAGACTATGACACCCACCAACTACATCCCCTCCCTGTAACCCCACCATTCGTGACCGTCATTGACGAGGACCGCACTAAACCTGCCGTCAAATATCCCAAGGGAACACCCGACCGTTTCCGTACGCCGCACCTGCCGGAAACCCAGACCCAAACGCGTCATGGCGACTCGGTACTGATGAGCTATTTAGGCCCAGACCTTCCGGAGGTCGCGGTGCATGCTCGTAACTATCTGTACTCGGACTGGTTGCCCAAGCAGGATCCGTTGCCCGTGGAAAATGAACATTCACAAAGGGGCCAGCACAAATGTGAATACCCAAACTGTGGTCGCTATCTCCGACCACACATGCTCAGCCACCAAACTGAGAGGCCAGAAAAGTGCCCGATCGAGACTTGTGAGTATCCTATCAAGGGCTTTGCTCGTAAATATGATAAGAACCGCCACAATTTGACCCATTTCAAAGGGACTTTGGTGTGCGGTTTCTGTCGAGGCGCGGGCTTTGCAGCGGAAAAGAGCTTCGTTCGTGCCGATGTCTTCAAGCACCATTTGACTTCGGTTCATGGAGTGGATCAGACTTTGCCAGGCAACTGTAAGGGCAAGATTTCGGGGTCCACGAGCGTTCACCCGGGGAAATGCTCGGTTTGCACGACAAGATTCGGCAGTGCTCAATCCTTCTACGACCATTTAGACGACTGTGTTATGAACAAAGTACTTCAGCAGCAACACAGCAACAATATTCAAAAGTGGGCGAGAGGGCTTCATGGATAATTGGCGTGCGGTCCACATGATACAAATATATATGCACGCTACCCAGCTGTGGCAAGACCTTCGTCCAGAAAACCCATTTCGAAATACACACTCGGGCACATTCGGAGACCGATTACTACACCACTTGTAGGCGACTTAAAGGCTGATCGTGCCAACAGGTCAAGGAACAGCCGAAGCCCCCTCTCACGCTACTACTCTATGTCACAATGTCTGGTGAAAGGGGCGTGGTTGATGACTTTGCACCGACCCTTCGGGGTCCAGTCTTGCACAACCTTTGCCGAAGCTATCTATGGTTCTTTTACGCACTGGTCACCTGCCCTGTGGATGGATTTTACTCTCAACTAAAGCGCCCTCTGAGAGATATTGTCTACAGAGTAAAGATCAAACAGCTATGTGGATATATGCCGGCTAGGGGTACTATCTCCTTCTTGGATCTACCAATACCATGTACACAATGAGCGGGACGACACACATAAGCTAAGGGGCTACATACGGCCCAAAATTACGAAAGCCCAAGGACTGTATCTGTTCGAAGGGAAGAAAGTAAGACCTAATCAGATTGGTTAGGAGACAAAGTACGAGGCAGATGAAGATAGGCAATTCAGGATAATCTAGGCCACGCTCCACGTGCCTCTCTAACAAAACCAAATCAAATCAAAAATCAAAGTCAAAGTCTATCTGGGCCATTTTAGGCAAAAAATGGCCATCATAAAGCGTGACTGTGCAACTTCCGTAAGTATATTCGGGCTCATTACCGCCGTTGGGCGAAAGACACCCTGGCAAATCCCAGGAGGTATACTTCTCGAAATCACCCCTGTCATACTAACTCTGGAAATCTTCCATGTGGTCACCATCTGTCGGGACAACGTAGCACCATCCGACTGAGTCCCTCTCATACGGAGTGTCGGTAATTGTCCCAGATAAGCAGCCATTTTGATTGTTCAATTGCCACTTGCCTTGATAACAGCTGGGCCACGTGTACGGACACTTCTGGCTCGTGATGATATCCACGTCGGTTTCCTTGCTCATAGTACACCTTGAAACCTTGCCCTTAGTGGGCCATCCTCTCTTTCCCGAGAAGAGTGACGCTGCCTGAATGGGACCACCTTACCTGGGACTGACAAGCACTTAATAAGTATAGGGTCTGCCAGCCTATAATTGATTGAACACTAGCAAATCAATAATTTCCAGATCTTTGTAGCGGACAACGAGGACCCAGGACCTAATAGGCCTGAGAGCACGAATCCTTCCTCGGATATGGAGCCCTAAGCGCAGTGACGGTCTATTCGGGAGAATAAGAAAGGTCACCGATTCAACTTAGTTTAAATAGTGAGGTACTCCATGCGTTCAGCCAGGCAAAGCTCTTCGATTGCAGTTATCTCCATGGGAGCGAGTCATTCGATTCTGCACCTCTTCTCTGGTCAGAATCTTCACTGTATCCTTGAGAAGATAACCAAGACTAGACCAGACGGTTATGCTGGCCACATTGAATATATTTTCCGTTATCAGCTCCAGCCAGGATCAATTCAGGCCACCAGAAATGTAAAGATACAGCCGGTTCGCGGGCCGAAAGAAGGGAAAGGAGGGAATGATATTTTAGCCGGTTGGCCATGTCAGTGCTTCAAGGGTATTCAAGTCGCTCGGGTGGAGAATAGAGGGACTTCATGGCATTCAGTAAAGCGGCAGAAAATTCATAATAAAATGCAAAAAACATACAACATACAACAGTCAGGATTCGCATGTGGTCACCCACCATACTACTAACTAACCGGCGTGTGGCTTAAGTACGGCTGAGCGGACGGGAAGCCCTGTTCTCCACACCCTATGGTCGTATGTACTGGACGAAGGACTGTAAGGACATATGGAGTATAAAAAAATGTCAGACATGGAGATCAGGTGACACTAGTCCTGCTCCACGCTTTTTTCTCTTGTTTTCTCCTTCTTTCCTCCATGCAACCACAATACTTTCAGATTGCTCTGTCTGTTCGTTCTTTTCTCTTGTAGCAGCAGGCTGTATCAGCTTGTGCTCATTGTTGTTTCTGTTCTCATCCTTGACAAGCGCCACTCGCTGCCAAAAAAGGTAGCGGACCAACTGGCGAGCTTGGTTTATACGGATACGAGTCGGGTGAGTGCTAACTGGGTGAAGCCCGTTTCGGCGCCGTGTGACTGGGGATGATGAGGCAAGTGTGCGGTAGATAGCAGCCACAGCTTGCATGCCTTCAGTAAAATGTTTAAAAGTTAGACTACTAGAAAGTCTATGTAAACAATGGAGAACCGGGCCAAAGTACGAGTCAAAACACCGAGTTTGACGCTTTCTCGTCGCAACTTCATTATTTAGTGATATCTTTGTCTTCGAGGAGTTCGTAAGCCGAGCCCTGAAAAAGACATGCTCGCTCGCTCCCTATCCTGGATAATCGAATCCAATACTAAGGGATATCCAAATTGGCATATCTTGACGCAATATATAAGGGACACTAACAATTTACCATCTGCTTGCACCTCAGCCTGAGACGTACATTGAAATTCTTTCGATGCACGAAGAAGGCATTGTATAAATACATCGGCTCTTCGGACTCGACCATTTCAACCTATTTCATTGAGTTAGTACACCTTTCTGATGACCTCACTTGCTACACAGGCTCTCATTAGAGAACAACCTACATCGAATTTCCTCAAAAAAGTGGGAATCATCTTGTAAGTTTCCATAAGGCTTATGTTCTTCCCAATGCAGGTTCGGGACCCGGCACCAAACTGAAACATGCTTTGTCGCATCTTAGAGAGTTGGGCGGGATCCGCACCATTGCTTTCCAGCCAGCGCTCAGGTCGATATATTTCTGCATCTGGACCAAATATCTCCTTGTTCTGATGTAAAACCCAGGCGTTACACCCCACGACCGTTCCACCTGGCACATACTCCCCACATATCTGTGCGCCTTCACGAGGAGTAACTCTTTCCAGGAGCAAACCCACAGCAGGATGCATGCGGAAGGATTCGCTGATTACGGCATCTAGATAAGGTAGGCTCTTCGCCGCCGTAAACGGCACCACGTCGCCTGCGCCCGTAGAGTCTTTGGGTGAAGCAAGTGCTCCAATTGCGTCAGCCGCGTCGATCTCCTGCATCAGGTTTTGGTAAACACGGGGGTTTTGCAACAGATAGTAGAACACGCTTGACAGGCTGATGGCTGTGCTATCGGAGCCGGCAATAATCAGCGATGCGCACATGGCAGTGATGCGATTATCTGTCAGAAATTCGGGATTCTTTTCTTGGGACTGGAGGAAGCGCTGAAGAAAGTTGACACCTTGTTTGCCAGTGCTTCTCCCCTGGTCATCTACACTATTTTTGCTATGCTCGCGCTGCTGGTCCAGAGCAAATTTGATGATGGTTGCATTCGGACTTTTCGGCCAGAGGCCTTTGGATTCGAGGAACAGCTTGACCGGGTTTTTCACAAAAAGGCGATCCAGCCAGGGATTTTGGCCAATGGCGGTGCCATAGTTCTGAAAAGAATTGATAGCCTCGATAATGTTCGAGATGTCTTGATTCTCCTCCACAAAACCGAGACGCTTCGACCACGTGATTTCACCGATCACATCAAAAGCAAAGAATTGAAGCCACTGGGAGAATGAGCAGACACGTCCCGTGTCGACGAAGAGCTCTTGCGTGCGCTGGAGGCAAAAGGACGTGCAGCTATCCACAAGCGGCTCGTAATCCAGCAATGTGGTGAGCGAAAAGGCGTGATTAACAGATCTCCGAAGTTGGGCATGGTATTTTTCAGATCTGGTAGAAAACCTAGATTTAATCACGTAAGTCAGCCACATTCATTTCTGTCCTGCTCAATCTCCAGTTCCCTCAATTTGCAGCTCTGCAGCATGCTGGGCTGTGACGGGGTCACAGGATAAGACAGTCTAACAAGAATCCAACGGGCGATGTGTTCGTGCCAGTAGGAACGTACAGGTTATAAACAGGGTTACCCTTATTCACGGTAGCGAAGACATCGTAGTATCCGCTCTGCCGAAAAGGTTATGATGTGAAACAATACTAAGCCCAAATCACTTTTGCATTTACCTTCGTGTACCCCTTATTCAAGCCATATATATCCGCAATAGCCGCTGGATCTCCGAAGGACAGTACGTTTGGAGCTACCCGAACGACATTGCCGTACTTTTGGTGAAGGGTGCGATATGTGATGTGGGTATTCCGGTTCCAGACGTCGGTGAGGCGCCAAGCGTTCGTCAATGAAGCAAGGATTGGACCTGGATATCTATTGAGACCTTTGTGATATCTTTGGAAGGCGAGATATATGATAATAGCAGCTGAACAAATCAGGAATAAATGCATCATGACGATATCAGCCGACTCTCGCAGCATCTCGATTCAGTCGCTCCTATGGTTGCTACCACGGGATCAAAGTCAATCTATATTTGATCTGGTATCGATCCATGAGACTGCCGAAATTTATAGATATAATGGAAGTGGACGGGAGGGCTGAGTATAGTCCGTATTGTGCTGACGTCAACTGCCCTAAGGTGAATAGCGATAGAAGTGTGGGGATGTGGCAACGGGATCTCCGGTCCCACTGCGGGGTTCCGGACTCTGCGGCATTCCCGGGGATTATTTGGAGGAACGGGCCTTCGAGAGGATAGTCTGGGAGCCATTGTTCCTCGGCAATCATCCTTCTCAGTGCGGGCGTTGCCGACAGATAGGATGCGTCATTCGTGTTATGTCAAATTCTAAGAATCAATGGCACACGTTTTGAACACTTTACGTCAGGGTAGGGCTTTCAGTGCGTGTAGGGCTTCGCATTCAACTTTCGTATCTAGTCTCAATTTCCCAATGTCTCGAAGTGCATCGCTTTCTATCTCTTTTCGCCTACCCTACATATGCACAGGCTGCGTCTTAGCTGAAAAAACTTCTCACCAACCTCGTTTTCAATCGGAGAATCTTTTGGCCAGGAGCCTCCCGCTGCTAGGTTACGAGTTGTCTTGCGGTAGGTTGTGATTTGACTCCACGGTATACAGCCCCACTTATAACTTCGATTGTTCTCTGCTATGGCTATTGAAAATGGCATGAAAAGCGAGTCGACATGAAAGTGTTTGGTCGACCTGCTTCCAGTCTGCCGAAAGGGAAATATCTAGTGCTACGCAAAAGTTTTTTTTTTATGAGGGAATACCTTGAAGGAGGAGGAAATGGACGGCCGAAGCAGGTGAAAATCTTCTCACTATGGTAGGTAAAAGTATAGAGGCTAGTATTGTTGCCTTCATAAAATATGATCCAACGCTCGCGGTGGTAGTACTTGCTTGGTATGAAGGATCGTTATAAACGAGCAGGCTGACCACCCCTGATCCACGAGCTGTTCAATGAACCAAAGCCAATAAATATTCTGTTCGCAACTTTAATCAAGGTAGGTGACCATATGAAGGATGGTAGGTGATCTTGAAGGTCAATATAAGCGTTGAAAAGATAAGTTGATCAAACTAGGAATGAACAAGTATGGAAGGCTTCAGCAACTTGAAACTGCAAAATTCCTGAACTAGAAGGATTGATTCCCCACACGTATTCTCACATTGAAAGGAGGTGCTTCGTTAATATTGTCTGCTGCGAGGACAAATTTCATTCCTGACCCTGTAAAGCTGCTATGGGGCCAAAGTGGGTAGTCCAAGCTCTGATGCGTTTCCCGAAAAGGAACATGGGAATAGTAAAGAGAAGGATAAAGTACTGAATTCCAACCATTTCCGCAAATGCCTATTTTTTCAATTCGTGTCAGAAACATCTGCTATTTGGTGGCAGGCTAGGGTCGGTCTTACGTTTTTGACACCAGTTGATTCTTGCCAATTAACGGTATATAATGATAACAACATTGCGATGGTATTCCGAATCACAAAGACAATGACTAAGGCCTCACCCGCTAACTATAGATAGTAGTAAGCATGTTAGTTGACATACTGAGTTCATTGTGAAGCGGAAGCCGAAGGGGAAAGAAAAGAGGAAGTCGAAGACATAGGTGAGACCCGGTCCACATGTGGATACATACCTGATTATAGCTGTCTACTGCATACGTAACCACAATGTTCGAGATGGCCGTCACCCCAAATCCTTGCATTGCATAGCCAAAAGCCGCGCCCACCCAAGTGAGTCGATCTGCTGTACAGATGCCAAAGGTCAAAACGCCCATTGGTCCAATGATGGCCGGCAATATTATTGCAGGCAATCTAAACTCGGGTTCCCTTACGCCATGGTTTGCCTTTGTCATGCGGGCAGAAGTGAGGTCGACGAGCTTGCCGCCGAGGAAAAATGCTATGACAGCACCAATGAAACCAGACAGAGCGAGCAAGCCAACACTACCAATCTTCCATCCAAATGGCGGTTTAAGAAATACCCGGCTGGCCGTCATTTGTACTACAATGTTCCTATGCATGAAATTAGTAACTCCAAGGCCAATGGAAGGGAGCTGTGGGCATGCGGTAGGAAAGCCGTACCATCCGACAAATGTGCCAACCAGAAGCCCAGTCCAGAGAATGGGTGGATACACCACCAGGCAAATAGTATTCAGGACAGCCTTGAAGAACGAGACATCCGGCCTGTAACCGTGTGTAAGGGTCATCCAGGGCAGGAACTTCCTTTTAGGTGGATACGCCGAGGCCGGCAGCTCGGTATTAGCAATTTCCCGCTGGTAATTGGATTCTCGGATAGTGAAGACGCCAACAAGGAAGGTCGTACCACCAGCTATGGCCAAGAATCCACTTGTCCAGCGCCAGCCAGCTTCTTGGGTAATGTATGCGCTGATGAGAGGGCCGATAAAAAACCCAGTACTAAGAGCAAAATGAAATAACATCATGCAGTGACCTCGTTCGTGGACGAAAAACAGATCGGCGATTAAAGACGGAACTGTCGCATCGGCTGCAGAGCTAGCAAGACCAGAGATGATACGAGAAGATAGGAGACTTGCGTAGCTAGATGCATAATATGTCCAAACATTAGTCGCCGTTAAAAGGAGAAGGGCAAACAAGTAGACAGGCCGTTTGCCTATGACTCTCGACATGGGGACCCATAACAAATTGCCGACTCCCATGAAGAGCAGATTGAAACAAACGATGTAGCCTGTTCGTGTCTGTGACTGGTGAAACTCGACACTCAGGGGAACGAGGGCGACGACGAGGCTACTGGAGTTAAAGGTTGAGAGAACGGTAAAGAAGCACACCGTCAGACACGTCAAGTACTTTTCGCAAGTTGTCCAATTCTGCAGCGGAGAAAGAGTTATTATTGCTGGACTTGCGCGCCCCGTCCACTTTACTCCTGGCATGAAGTGTAACGGAGACACGCTGGAATGATGATGACGAGGATGAGGATGATGAGTTTGGAGAGCAACTTGCCAAGGGGTCGTTCGGGTCTTGGGTTGGTTGAGGTACCAAAACAAGCCCTTCGAACGGCTTCTCAATAGACTCGTCAACCGTTCCGCATACGGCATCTTCAACGAACTCGATGCGCATGTCCTGGTCATGCTTGGGCAATTCGATGTCTACCATTGTCGGGAATTCAAGATTCTTTGCCTTTCTCCAGCTTTATGTGTGTGACTAGTGAACAATAGTGCTGCTAGAAGGACGAGGTCCTGTTTTCAAACCAATCCCGCTACCATCATCCCAGATTTTATCCTAGGTCTGATGCGGGGTTCATCTGGGGTAACCGGTGGTATTCGGGATATCCGCTATTTACCGAGATGTTCCCACATGTTGACTGCTTGAATGGCCTGCGTTTCTTGATTTTTGGTAGATGTTATACTGTACAGGTCCCGGTACTGCGGAATGAACAGACGATGGGAACTTGGCATACTAAATCTCTGCTGCTTCAAGCAGACTAAGAAGAACAGGCCAGTCTGTTCAGGTTCACTAACAGGCAATAAAAAAACATGGACACTGAATATTGAGAGTATCATTCAGGCTCCAGGTTTCCAGTGTGAACCAACTGAGAGGCAGCCACTCTTTTCTCCCTCTTTCTCTCTTCTAGTAGGTTCGGTCGCCGGGGGATATAAGACTGCATTCCAAAGTTACAAAAGCGGATATTTGCGACGATAAAGATATAGGACAATTTTATTTTCGACTTGGGTCGCGTTTTATTTCATTAGCGATTTTAAATTCCGAGTTCTGTGTAGGCCAAGTGGGGCGATCACAGGTGTGTGACTGATCTGTACAATTTGGTGCCAATCTAATTTTGCGGTTGGTAAAAGAACTGATCCGAGGTCCGGCTTAGTTAATACGAAGATAATCCTTGGGGATAGGGTTCGCTAGTAGATTGGTGCCAGGCTCCACTCCCCAGACCAGATCAATCTTCCCCGCATTTTCTTCCCATCTACCTCTCCTGGTTCCCAGCATCGTCAACTCCACAAACTTTCCTTTATTTAATCAATTTCAAAAAAGGCGCTGTATTTCAGCCTCCGATCATGGATCGCGCTATCGAATACCAAGGCTCGACGCCTAAACGTCTTCGGGCTGCTAGAGCGTGCGAGATGTGCCGGCTCAAGAAAAACAAATGCGATGAACTGAGCCCATGCACCCATTGCAAGCGTACGTGCTAAGCGGCCATAATCGATTGGCTTCTAGTTTTGGTTTTGACGTTGTGGCACCATGTTGCAGATCGAAAAACCAAATGCGTCTATCGTGGAATTCGCAATATGAGAAGCGACCGTAACTGCTATGAGTAAAGCCAGCTATCCATTCATGTATCAATGAGACTTGATTTTGATTATGAGAAAGCTTTAGTTATGTTTGCCAGCTCGAAGAACAGGTCAAGATTTTATCATCCAATCGAAAACACCCCCAGGCCGACAGCGATGCTGGCTCGGGTACCACTCAATCAAATATTGTTGGCCAGAGAGGTGACACGTTGTTGCAACAGGAGCCATCTCAGGCTGACTGCATGCAGATACCTCTTGATACTCGCGCTACAACTGGGTTCAAAGCCGCACGGGAGTTAGTGACCGTAAACCGTCACACGCGCAGCTTCGAGTTCTACGGCAGTTCCAGTTCAGTTGCGATGCTGGTACGGATGGGAGATACCGGTGACCCCAAAGGTGAAGTTCAATGCGAAAACGAAGAATTGCTAGTTTCCGCCCTTCACAACCCAGCCTTCTCTCCAGAACCAATTGAGGCACTTGTACCAGCAGCAGAAACCGGCACAAGTGCGCAATCAGTATCTGTATCAACTTGTCGACTCTTCGTGGACAGCTTCTTTGCCACGCTACATTATATCCACCCTATCCTGAATAAGTCCGCATTTGTCGCGCGGTGTGAGCTTTTATGGACATGTAACACTTCGTCACTCAGTCAAAGCTTTGTTGCACTCTATTACAGCATTCTGTCTTTGGGTGCGCTTCTGAGGCCCAAAGAGGAGGAACTTATTGGCAGTATTGGCAATATGCAACAGAGCAGGAAGTTCTTTGAAGAGGCTCGAAGGCGTTCCAATCCCTGCATGGTGATGGATCTTGAATTGGTTCAATGCAATTTCTTTCTGGCATGCTAACCCTCGCTCCTTTTTCGCCACATGATATTTTCTGACTGGTTGCAAGTAGGCCAAAGTGTGTCAGAACGAACTCAACCCCAATTGTAAGATTTATTAATCAAGTATAGCATCCCTATGTCTAATTTCATCTATAGGGGCGTACATGCACATCGGCCTGGCCATAAGGATAGCCCTTTCCATCGGTATCAATCGCGAGCCACCGCTAAATTCCAATAAAGATCTTGCGTTGCTAAAAGCAGAGTCCAGAACATGGTGGTGAGTAAGCCAACAAATACTTTTGGATAATTTCGTCTGATCATACGGAATAGGGGCCTTTATTTTCTGGAGACGTGAGCGAGTTTCTTGACAGACGTTCCGTTACATTTGATGCTTACCCTGGTATTTAGCGAGATTGCCTTTTCTTTGGGCAGACCGGATACCTTGGGACCAGATCAATACCACAATCGCCACTATCCTATAATTGTTGGAGATCATCTCAGTGCAAAAGCACCATCTGGACTTCTTGAGCAACCGGACTGTGCCATCATCAAATACATGGTAGACCTCTCAAGAATTACAAAATCAATCTGTCTGGACATATATCTGTCAGACTCAACGCTTGAAGAAAGCGTTATGTTAGGGGGTCAAATTGAGCAAGATCTTGAGTGTTGGGTCGAAAGTTTGCCGTCAGCACTTCGCCCACTCAACCAGACGGGCCAAAGAAGACCTTTGAAAGCTGCAATAGAGCCTCAATATGTCAAGAAACAAAGGCTAGCTACCACCATACGTAAGTTTGTACGTGTTGAAACCTTCAAGCTACTGACTATAAGGGCAAGGTTATCACAACTTGAGAATCCTCTTGTTCGGCCCCCTATTGATGAAGTCTTCGACCACCGAGCACTCGTCTACTATTGAACTACAAAGGAAAATCAAAAATTGCCTCGATTCGGCTAGGCTCACAATAGAAATCATTTACGAGACTTATCAGCATCAGGAATTCTTTCGAACCTGGTATTTTTCATCCTTTATCTCCCGAATGTCCTTAGTATACTAAACATCTGTTCACATCACCGTAGGTATTATAACACGACCTATATCATCTTTGCGGCAGCCATAATATTGGTCTATATATTTCAAGAGGCTGGAGAGAGCGAACTCGATGCTCTTCTCAAGCTGGTTGAGATGTCAGTTGAGATTCTAGAAATCATGGAAGAGTCTGTTGTGACGACAAAAGCGGCGATGCTCATCCGAAGAGCCCTATCAAGGGCTCAACGGAGAAATTCAAAGTCGGACAATGATAGCGAAGTCAGTGAAGACGGCAACTTGTTCCCGTTCAAGCAGTCTTGGGGCGCAATCAGCATGAATGACTGTGATTTAGATTTTGGCTTCCCTTTCCAGTTCAGGGACCTGGGAGTAGATCATTATTTCGGAGATCTCATGGAATCTCCCTGAAAGTAATGACACGAAATTTCTGCCTTTCTTTCGCACCTGATTGAATTCTGTTCGGAGCCTTGTAAGGCCTGGGGAAATTTGAGAATATATTACAGACATGCAGATAGGGTAGTTCTGAGGTTGCCGTGGTACGGAGTCCAGCTACGATATTGGGTACAGCCGGCAATAACATGCTATGCTGTGGAGTTTTCGGATTCTTGGTGAGTAAACTTTGGATGGAAAATGCAACCTCCCTGCCTGATTTATATCGTCTTCGATCGAAGGGTTCTGATATGGGTTTATTACCTGGTGACGAAAACTCGTGATAGCCCATGGCGAAAATATGTATGATGCCATAGGCGGCGACCAGCTCAAAGGCAACCGGAACATCCATAGCAATGAGTATTTCATGAAACTGTAATTTTTCACTCTCATTATTATGAACAAAAAAAAACAAGGTAAATAATTGATTGATTAGTGCAGATGAACGTGCTTTATGCTCAATTATGTTTTTAAGAGCCAATCCTCAGGCTTTCCGGACCCCGTGAGCTGATACAGGAGAGGAAACTCCCATAAGACCAGAATAAATGCGGAATCGGGGGAGATTCCGGTTTCGCATTTCGAATGTTGCATACCAAATCTGCCTCGTCTCTTCTGTCGGCTTGATTTACCAGATTTATCCCTCGCTAGTGCGGGGTCCCCGCAAGTCGTAACATCTGCCAGGATTTCTACCTTTCCATCACAACCCCTTCCCTTTTTGTTTATTACCCTCTAGTGAGGATTTCCCCCTGCTAAGCCCTTGAAATTAGGCTATGGGTGGACAGGGTAATAATGCGTGTCTGGGAAGAGCACCCTTGGGCTCTGGGTAGATTAGCTTGGAAACCAGTTTTAACATAGGCATGCCATGCAGCTTTCCAGAACTGTAGATGTTTTTTACCCCGCTTAATTTACCAAATTAGAAAGGCCTGTTGTAGCAAAGATGCCGCTAAGAGCCGGAAGTCGGCAATTCCGGAGTATCAGAGACTCGGATATAAGCTTTGTTCCCCAGCTCCAGGCCTTTTGAGCTGCGAAGCCGAAGTCTAGACAGGGGTCTTTGCTTTTTATGAGCAATCTATGTGCATTGATGGTACTAAACGATCATCTACTTACGCGTTCTTATTCGCGCTTGTCGAAGGTGGCCCCCAATCCATAGGCAACCTAATTCCTGGTGCTGGATTCGTGGACATGAATGGCCTGGGATAGTCGTTTTTTGAAATTGCGGTACCACCTTACGACGATCATTCAGATGAGGTTCCCTTTCACGCGGATACACAAAGGGTAACTCTTTAAGACAGTACTGTTAGACGTCAGGTGACCGGACCTTGTAGACTGACCATCACTTCTTCCTCTTGTTCTTTTCGTCCATACAAGTCATAAATCAGAGACTGCTCTGTTAGTCATTCCTTTCTGCATACTTGTATACCGTAGTCATATGCCCATGTGCTTGAGTCTCCTCTGACCTCCGATTCGCCACTAGCGCATGCGCTGGCACGTATTTGATATATATCACGAATGTGCCGGAAGTAAGTAGAGTTAAATTCGCTCGACATAAAGCCCGTCCATTATCAACACGTGACTCCTCGCGTGCGGGGGGTCGGAGCCTAGAACGATCACCTCATTTATTCTAGAAAGTTTCAATGGAATTTGTTCTTCTCGGCGTTGACATCATTCTCCAGGAAGACCTCAATTCTCTTGGTCATCTTAGGTTCAATGTCCTCCAGGCAGAGACAGGCAATCATGCCCACGACACCAAATGCAATGGAAACCAACGCGACAGTCTTGAGACCCACAACATATGAATCCACGTAAGCCGCGTCGGCTGCTTGAGCGATGCCCGTAGTGATACCGGGAACCTTCATGATAGCTGCTGACCCGAGGGGCAGAGCAGCAAGGACCTGTTGGGCGGTCTGCACCGAAGCACCTGCAGCGATGGCGGCACGAGTAACTTTGGTGATGACATTAGAACTGACTACGTTAGATAGGATAGTGATGTAGACGGTCTGCGAGATGGCACCGCCTGCGAACCGAGCAACACCCCTAACAAAGCAGTCAGCATGGAAAGGATAGAGAAGCCAATATAAGACTTGCCCGAGACCACCAACGATTCCCAAATCGACCTGGTCGGCTCCAAACTGGATATAAGCGATGGAGAGGTATTGACCCCAACCGTATCCCACTGCAGAAAGAAAGGTAAATGCGATACAAATGCCTTGTTGAGAGGGGTTCCCGAGGGCTAAAAGGCTACCAAAAACAGTGGCGACCATGACGGAACCAAACATCTGCCACTTCCAATATTTGATCCAATGTCCGGGACCAGCCAGGCCCAATGCGCCGACCAACACGCCAAAGCCTTGAACTAGGGATAACTTCAAATCCTTGTTCCCCGAAGTAGACGTGGTAAAAAAGACATCAACCATGGTGTCCCAGATAGTGAGGGTACCAAGGTAGAACATCGACACCATCATGCTTGCGATGAAAGGGGCAGTAAAAGTGCGTCCATAATTCCGACGGAAGATGCGGGATGGAGTTAGCGGCTGATTCAGCGGTGCAAATGTCTCCCAGCAAGCGAAGAAGATAAGCATAGCGAAGCCGACCGCTAAGCAAGCGACAACCATAGGGCTGGAGGCAGAGGTATAGGAGGCATAGACGATGCCAGCCAGGATGAGATTCGCCGCTGCAGTGAAAGCTATCGCTCCCACGTAATCCAGTTCTCGCATACCTTGCCGCCACGGAACGCCCCGAGGATGCTTGGGCGGGAAGTATAACGCTGCAATACCGATGCATGAGCAGCCCATGACAATGGACATTCCGTACAGAAGCCAACGCCAAGCGCCATGAGCGATGGCATAGCGGCCAGCCACGGGTCCAATGATAACGTCCACGTAGTTGATACTGTCGACAAGAACGACTGCTGCAGGCCGCCACTTATTAGGAAGGAGCTCCGGGAGCGCAAATGCCGTCAACTGGCAGTTACCGCCACCGAAGCCGATGATAGCCATAGCTGCAATGAGGGCAGAGTTGGACTTGGCTGAGGCACCCACAATACCCCCGACTACGACGAGGACGTTACCAAAGATGATGAACCAGCGCCGGCCAAAGAGATCAGAATTGGGACCGCAGACCAAGAAAGCGACGACAGCACCAAGGTTATACACGGCAGTGATCCATGTACCCTGAGAAGCATCGCCCAGTTCGGCTGCGATCTGATTCTGGATTCCGGCAAGACATGGGACGGACCAGTAAGACACAGAACCGGTCACAGTGAGCATCTAGAAAGGTCACCTCTTTGGTCGGCCGAGTCACTTTATGGAAGTAGCTTACAAAGATAACGACCCAGGTCTTGAAGGTCACAACATATTTCACATCGGTCTCTGGCTGAAAGTTTTCAGTGCCTGCTGTCGGGACGTAATGCAGTTTCTCCAGGGTTGTAGGGTCGTCTGGGACCGTCTCGGCATGCTCTGCCAGGTTTGTCTTCACAGGATGAGTGAGATTGGCGGCGGCGGTCATGGTGAAGATAGATTTAAACTTGATCACCTGTTCATGAAGAAAGAATTAAAGCGACGGCAACTTTTCAATTCCAGTATGGTGTAGAGGTCTATTAGTGTTCAAGCGAAGCGTTAGGGTTGAAGCCGAAAGACCCCAAAGGCTCGAGCATAGCTTTCGTCCGAGGCTGAGGGTCCTTTAATAGACGGAATTTGAAACCTTGGTTACTATACTGGATGGCCTCGGGCAGTTCAGGTATGAATAAATAGTAGTAAGGTTGGGACTGAATGAGGTACCTTACGAATAGGCTAGAACGTGGCCGAGGTCCATATTACCTCGGCCAACGTTGTGGAAACCATACGGAGCGCGTGGATTCATAAGAGTGAAGGAACGCAATAACCATCACAGACATTTTGCTCAACGTTACCAGCATGGCGTGTATGTACTTGAGGCCCCTGAGAACAGTGAATAATATAACTGACCCTGTCACCTAGTCCCCCTTGCCGCCGCCATCGCGGGCACTGCTGTTGCCGCAGCTTACCTCGATGCCAAATTTCTGATTCACCATGATCTGACATCAGGCTCCTTTGATCGAGAAAAACCGGTCTCCTACATCAGCAAAGTCGTGAGAGAAGACAGACAACTCACTTACCATGTTCTCGAGGACCAGGCCACTGGCAAGAACGCCAACACCATATTCCTTATCTTCGAAGGTCGAACATGGACATATAAGCAGTTCTTCGCAGACCTCCAACGGGTGGGTAATTGGCTGATGAACGATCTGGGCATCGAGAAGAATGAAGTTGTCGCCATCAACGGCGGAAACAGCCCTGAATACCTCTTGCTATGGTTCGGCATCGATGCCATTGGAGCCGTCCCAGCATTCATTAACTGCAACCTTACCCTCCAGCCCCTAGTACACTGCGTCAAGCTCTGCGAGTCCTGTTACCTAATCTGCGACGAGGACGTACGTCAGCTCGTCGCCCCAGCAGAAGAAGAGCTCAAATCCTTCGCCATCCCCTGCCAACCAATCTACTACTCCCGCAGCACCATTGAGGCCCTCTCCAATACAACAACGACTCGCGAAGACCGCCGCAAAGGCCTCGACCCAGCCTCATTGCGCGCATTGATCTACACATCCGGCACAACCGGCCTCCCCAAAGCAACCAAAATTTGGACGTCCCGCGAAATTAGCACTGGCCGCAGCGTAGCCGAGTACTTACAATTGAGGGCCGGCAAATCGCGCATGTACACTTGTCTACCCCTGTACCACGGCGCCGCACACGGCCTCTGCGTCACACCATCAATCCACGCTGGGAGCACCATTATCCTCGGTCGGAAATTTAGCCACAAGACGTTCTGGCTAGAAGTCTCCTCTAACAACGCAACGATAATTCAGTATGTCGGCGAACTCTGCCGCTACCTAGTGAACGCGCCAATCCATCCCCTTGAACGAAAACACAAGGTGCAAATGGCATGGGGCAACGGCATGCGTCCGGACGTCTGGGAAGTGTTCCGAGAACGCTTCAATATCCCCGTCATCAACGAGCTGTACGCCGCGACGGACGGTCTTGGTAAGAGCTTCAATCACAACCGAGGCCCCTTCGGCGCAAACGCAATTGGTCGACGAGGGCTATTATGGAACTGGTATAATGCCGAGAAAGAAGTGCGGGTAAAAGTCGACGTCGTCACCGAAGATATTCTTCGCGATGACACTGGCTTCGCGATTCCATGCAAACTCGGCGAAGCTGGAGAAGTACTGCATAAACTCGACCCAGCTCAACCAGACGCACTCTTTCAAGGATACTTCCGCGACAAACCTGCCAGCGAAAAACGGAAGATTAGCAATGTGTTCAAGAAGGGCGATCTCTGGTTCAGATCTGGGGATATGCAGCGGCAAGACCCTGACGGATGCGTCTACTTCGTCGATCGTCTTGGCGATACGTTCAGATGGAAGAGCGAGAACGTCAGCACGAGCGAGGTCTCTGACATTGTCGGCAAGTTCCCACAGTTTGCTGAGACAAATATCTACGGTGTGAGTGTCCCGCACAGCGATGGGCGAGCTGGCTGTGCGGCGGTTGTCCTCGCGGAAGGCGTGGACTTGGATCAAGTTGACTGGAAGGGTCTCGCTACATACCTTATTGGGACACTACCGAGGTATGCCGTACCGATTTTCATTAGGGTGGTCGCAAATCTGGAGTATACTGGGACGATGAAGTTGCAGAAGGGACGGATGAGAGCGGACGGAGCGGATCCGAGTAAGATGGGTGATGATAAGATGTGGTGGCTGCCGATCGGGGGAACGGAGTATGTGCCATTCGTGGAAAACGATTGGGAGCGATTGAAGAATCGGAGTGCGCGACTATGAGACCAGATGATCTGGAAGAGAGATCTGGAGCATCTGCTAGAGCACGCCAGGAATGGAACAGTGATTACGCACAGCTCGCCAGGGACAATTGCACCACCCGAGTGACTCTATGGTCGCTTCCGCTGTGGTGTTGGGACCTTGGTGTTGTACTTTGAGCCTCCCCTCAAGCAGCTGAAGCACTGGGTGTGGTGATCGCCATTTTTGTCTTTCTTCGGCGTTAAAGACTTTCCAGTCGGGCCTCCTGTTAAAGTTCATTACCTTGGCATGAAAGGTACTTGTTTCCAGCTATTGGAGACTCTCAAATGTTAACTCGTTTCGGCATCTCTGCCTATCTATGATTCTGGTATATCTGGATCAAGTGCGGAGTTTACTCCCGAGGTTTCCTGTACCTCCACCTCGGGTACCTTAGGTCTGGAGATGACGTCTCCGAATAAACGGGGTTCCCGCAATCCTAGTGACAGGATATAACCGTAGGTCTGCGCGCATTTGCCATTTCCCCGCAAAACTCACTCCAAATCTAAACACTTTAACTTCACTATTTTGATCTTTATATATTCATCCCATGGTCAGAGTCCAGAAAAGGGTATATATATCCCTTGATTACTATGGATTAAGTTCATAATTTCCTTGTCAAGTCAAGTGCACTATTATTGTAAGCTTATGTATAGAAATTAATTCTACATATAAATAAGCGACTTTTTTTATTACTTTTCCGTCTTAACCAAGGTATTATACATAAAGTGTTATTATCTATTATAATAAAGTATTCCATGCAGTTCTAGGAGATAAAGAGCTTATTTCGAAGAATTGTACTTCAATAAAAGTTAAGTTTTGCGGGGAAATCGCTAATGTGCGCAAACTTTTAATAACCCACTATACACTGTTTTAGCCTAAACCCACGCACAACCTGATTCCTAGGCCGCGGCACTGACCGCAACCGCAATACGGTTCTTATTAACCGCGGTTATTATTAAATCTAGAAATATAACTAGACTCGTGGCCTACATATGACTGCATAGATTATACAGTTTTGCTAGCATTCTTTGAGTATTCAATTGTAATTAATTACTATAGGAGTACAGGAATCAAAGATTAGGTAGGGATATATTAACGAGGCATCGAACTATCTCCTGATACTCTTTTCGATAGGTTTAGAGTATCATAGGTAGATTCTTGTGGTTTTGGCTTGCTTCATAAAAATATACACTGGCTTCCTCCAGTACTTTATATATATCTCCACAAAAAATTAACCAATGATAACAGATTCATTTGCAACTACTATCTCTTACTACCTCTAACCTCCGAATTCAATCGAAAACTTATATTCGGAATTATGTATAACTTCCACTAAGATATATTGATATTTCTATTAATTTCGCGCAGGAATAGTGTCAAAATGTAGGACAGACTGTTATGACCAGAACATATATATTTAAATTAAGAAGAGGAACAAGTCAGCAACATGAACATCATATAACGGCCTATAATAAGGTAAATTAGCGAGATCATGCTAGTGCGGTTAGTAAAAAGATGTCCGCAAGTTATCTTACGGTTTTGCCGCGGTCTAGGTACTGATTCCCCACCTGGGCATAGCTTTATAGTTACCACCAGGTCCTCGACCAGTGACCACTTTCCAGACCTCGGTAACCTCTTCTCATTGATTAATCCGGTAGGATATCCATATATTGTATTCTTCCCTGCTCACCACTTTCTTGAAAATTCTTGAAAAACTCCACCTGATGGTTATGGCTCAACATTCACAGACCGGCACCGGTGTCACAAGGCAGACGATCAATGTTTTCAACGTCCTTATACTTATTTTTGTTGGCTTGGGTTCTCTGAGTTTTGGGTACTCTGCTTCTGTCATTGGTATCACTCTAGGCCAGCCATCATTCCTCGAATACTTCGCCCTTGACATGCGACCAGATGCAGCAGACCTGGAGGCCACTATGAACGGTCTCTACCAGGCGGGTGGCGTAATCGGCACGCTTTCTCTCCCAATCGTTGCTGACAAGTATGGAAGGAAAGCTGCTATCACAATCTCTGCAATTTTAATCATTATCTCTGGAGCCTTCATGGCAGGAAGCACCAACATTGGGGAATTCATCTTCTTCCGATTCATCTCCGGCGCTGGTAGTTTCATGATCCTGGCGGCAGTCCCGATCTGGATGAACGAAGTCGTGCCGTCTAAAATTCGCGGCGCCTTAGTTGACATTCATGCTGTGCTCGTGGTTACTGGATATACTACCGCGACTTGGGTTGGCGTTGGCTGCTATTACTGGAATGACCCACATGGCAGGCAGTGGCGGGTTCCCTTCGCCATTCAGGTGTTCTTCCCTCTATGCTTGCTAGCTGGTCTCTACTGGATCCCAGAGTCCCCACGTTATTTCGTCATGAAGGGGCGCGTGGAGGAGGCCAAATTAATCCTCGATAAGCTTCATTCCGACAAGAGTGACCCAGACAGCATCTATGCTCGATCAGAGTTTTACCAGATCCAGAAGCAAATCCTGATCGACCGAGCCCTTGACAGCTCGTGGATTCATATCATCAAAAAGGCTTCTTACCGCAAACGGGCTTTGCTTGCAATTGGAACTTGTGGCATCATCCAATGCTCGGGTGTTCTCGTCATCAACAGTAAGTACTGTACTGCTGGAACTTCTCGTTGTTCTTTCTGCTGACATACCTCAGATTATGGACCAACTTTCTATCAGACACTACAATATAGCGAGTCGAAGCAGCTCATTTACCCCGGCGCCTGGATTACCTTGGGACTTGGGATGAATTTTCTTGCCATGTTCGCAGTGGACCGTTTCCCCCGACAAAAGTATATGGCGTTTGGTATGGCAGGCTGCATGATCTGTCTGGCGGCCGAAGCCGCTATTGTCGCAGTATATGTCCCCTCAACTAATACTGCTGCGTTGAAGGCTGGCGTTGCGATGCTGTTTGTCTTCCAAGTTTTCTTTAGCTTCTTCTTAGATGGTGAGATCTCTTTTTCCAGGTCTAAAGTAAGACCAAACCTGATAATGCTAAGGTACCCAATTCTCATACCTCGGTGAACTATTTCCTACACATTTGCGCGCAAAGGGCATCTGCCTCGGTTGTGCGACAAACGCTTTGATGAACATCATCCTCTTGCAATCTGCCCCTGTTGCGTTCATCACCATCGGCTGGAAATTCTACTTGGTACTCATCGTTCCCGGAACAATCGGCACTATCGTCATGTGGTTCCTCTTCCCCAACACGAAGGGTCTTCCATTGGAAGAGATTGCAGCAATCTTCGGTGACACAGACGAGGTCGCAATATACCAAATTGAGGTCGACCACAACACCCTTGCGATCGGTGATCACCACAATAAAGGCGTCGGTGCCGATAACAAGGACAAGGCACACCAGACTATCTCCAAGGATATCGGCATTATTGAACTGGGTCGTGTCGACCAAGACAAGTATGTGTAAGCAGAGACACTTTCCCAAACGGACTACCATGCGTCAAGTGCCCCTAGAGTGATCCCATAACACGATGCAGATAACCGCCCAATAATCTGACTGCGACGCCTGCCCCTGCAGACTATCTAGTAATAGAGCTCAATGAGACTTGTTCTGTTTCGAGTCGTAAACGCCAGTTCCAACTCCAGGAGGCACCTTGGAGTGCTTAGCCCATATGATACAGTAAAGTAGATAGAGAGGAAAATACTTAATTCATCCCAAGTTTCTCCCTTTCACTTCAATCTGATCAACATAAACACACTATCGCCTATTGTAAATCCCAGAAATCTGGTGTAAGCAGCATTCGGCTGCGTCGTAGGCGGCATCTGGGATTATGCTGGTTAGTATTTAAACTTGCTGATCGAATGAGACTAATGCAATTGCGTACGATGAATTGCAGCCATTGCTGAAGGAGACAGGCCGCTAAACTCCTTTGCTTTTGTGTCGTGTACTTCGAACTTTTAATACGAGGGGATTTTTGTTGACACGGGGAACAATTCGCTTCAAATAGATATGCGTGGACTCTTTCATAGATTTTGCCAACACGAGAGTTCCTAGAGGATATGGAAGCCTACAAACACAGTGTTTCTTCCACCACATTGCAGTAGTAACTCCAATTCCTACTACCAAATCAATCAGCCTGAGGGAGTACTTGATGCTCGCTTGGTTTCATGTACCCCCCCTTCATCAAAGGTCCGTCCATAACACGGTCCCAGTGGTGATAAGCAAACATCTGATCGTTCGAGAGTTCAATATCTGCTTTGCCTCGCTTGAAAGCGGAGTCATCGTAGACGTCGATGCTGCATTTCAGGCTCTCATTCTTGAGCACCACGGCTTTGATGGCCTCGACGTAGAGCCTTGCGTCCTCCATGGCGTTGTTCAAGCCTTGTGCACGGACTGTTAATTTTGTAAGTGAGGCTACGTGGTGGTTTCACAACGACCAAAATACTTACATGGCACCATCGGGTGAGCAGCATCACCAGCCAGAGTGACCTTGCCAGCGTAGTTATCCCATGGCGCTATGTTCCCCCAATAATGGAACTTAGAACCTTCCGTTAGTAAAGTGTCGTAGCTTTCAGGAAATATTACTCACACTTTCTCCATTGATATAGATATCTTCCGCCAACCAAGCCGCTACTGATCGATATGGCTCACAGTATGTGGACAGGTAAGACCTAAAAAGGTGCCTTCTTTCCTCATCAGAAGTGGGCGGAGCTTCATCTGTCCAAATTGACAGAGTGAACTGAAAAACCCAAGTCTCGGGCTTCTTAACATCCACAATGTCGGCCACTACGGTCGGGTTAGCAAATATTGTCTTGCACTTGTGTCTTTAGAACAGACTAGTAGAAAATATATTCGTATTCTGGTAGGGATGAGGGCTCAGCTTGGAAGGACAAGAGAACGTCAGTTAAAGACATTCCAAAGTGATGAAAAGACGAAGCAGAAGAATCAAAACGAAACGAATGAAGAGGAATCACCTGCGCAATGGGGTGGCCCTTGCTCCGGATAAATAAGGCTTGCTTTTCGGTGAATGTTGGATAGGCGTTCTGCTTTGTATTAATCATACTAGTATGTACAGCCTACCTTTCCGCCGTGAGTGAAGCAATAATTCTTACCAAAATCATGATATTCGCTTTATCAAGTTGTCCAGTCTTTCTATCGACGAGGTGATCTCTAACCGCACTTCTTGCTAAATTCGGGATCAAGTACAACGGGCAACACTTGTCAATCGAGAACAGCTTACCTCCGTCGGTACCTATGAGCACGGCCCCTTTAACTGTTTTTCCGCCTTTGTTAAAGATGGCAGTGACACCCTCTTTATCAATTTGAAGATCACTCAAGACGTGTTCAAACTGGACGTCAATGTCTTTTCTAAACAATTCGCGCAGCTTCCCCCTCACAATCCGCTTCGGGTGCGGCATAGGAACCCTCGCCAGCAACTCGCCTGTGCGACCATTAACCACAGGAATGCTGCCAGCTTCAGTGGGGTCTTGTTCTTCCCATGGGTTGGTCTCTGCAGACTTCAGTTGCTCGAAGATCTTAGGAGGAAGACAGGCTTCGATGTGCTGAATAGACCAGTGAAGAGCCATAGTCCATTTACCCGACCTCTCTTCATATTCTTCTTCCGGGTACTTTTCGAAAACAGTAGCGGAGATTCCGGCCTTGTAGTCACATTTTAGTCATGGCATGTGTATATATGGTTCTTGAGGCCAACCTACCTGTTTCAGCCCTTGTGCAATGAGAAGCCCCGTGGCCCCTACACGGCGTTAATTATAAACGGCGCAAATATCTTCTGCTGTAGCTCACGTACCAGCTCCCACAATAATGACGTGAAAGTCATGACTAGGAATGGTTATGGTCATTTTCTAAAGGCTTTATGTGGTTGGTTTACGAGCGTGGAACAACTGGGCGGACCAAAGCAATGGAATGCGAAAAACGCTGCGGTGCCTCTGATATAGCCAGTCTCTTCAAAGTAGACAACACAATGTCTCTTGGGCTGATTGCAATCTGGCTTCATCGCGGATAGCAAGGTCCGAATACGAGAATTGATCGGCAGGACAAACGCACTACGCCCCACAGGGTCTGTCTCGAGAAATGAAATCCAATGGTTTGAGCTTGAGCCCCCTACTACGCAAAACATTTCGCTGAGTACGGCGAACTTGGCAAATTTTAACGAGCGTATTATGGTACGGTTGGGAGAACCTTTACCGTAGCAATTATTGTCCGCGGTGATATTTTCAGAGGTTGTGCACGGGTACTTCGGAGTAGACCTTGCTGACTTTCTTTGTAAAACACCAAAAACCTGTTTCCCAAGATCTGAATGACTTAACGTATACAAGTATAAGTAAGGAGATGTAAATTTCGTGTGATTGTGTTCTTCAATTTAAGTAAAGCCCTTGATGACGTGCTGTTCGTCTCTATCAACCTTTAGCCGAAGAAACTAAAGTATGTCCATCTTGACGGAAGTCGACTCGGCGCTTACGCTTTGTCTCGCTTCTGCAGGTCAAATTTAGGCATAACCTCAAAGTTCGGTCTGAAAGTATCGGAGCTTAATAGCAAAACCCTCAATGCCGAAATCTTAATCTGCTGCTAGGTGCAATACCCCAGGATTGTTCTGTCATTATGCTTGTCACCTCCCGAAAAAGAAGGCCGTTAGCTGAAATAGACTACACGCAAGTCTTGTTCCAGTCTCTGTCCTTTCCCTTACTGACGACTGCTATAGTAAATCCTGACGATCAATTTCTGTGATCGAATTCGAAGGCGATGACAGAAAAAAAGAGGCAACTTGAATTCAACACGCAGCAGGGCATAGGTATTTGCTGCAAGGTACTTTCTAGGTGATTCTGCTCTCCAATGGCTTTACAACCTCACCTCGGAAGCTGCGGTTTCTTCTAAGAAAGAGCTTAAAGCCAGGCTCGTTGATCATGATGGGTTACTTGATGGCGAAAGAAACTATTCCAAGTCAATTTTTGGATTTTATCAAAGTAATTCCAAGGGCCACATTTGAGAAAAGGGTAAGCAAGCACAAGTAAATCGAAGCCAATCGATCATCAAAAGTGAAGGCGAAAAGTCTGGACACACGCAACAAAACACGAATAGGATTGACACAAGGAGACTTGAATAAAACGAGTGAACAATATCCATAAAGTCTCACGGCTTAACCAAAGCCTTCAAGCACGGGCCTAAAATCAAGCCAAATTAGCAAGCTTTTGTCAAATTTCTACAAGACCATCACCCCCTTACATTAGGATCGGAGTCTTTTGTACAAATCAGGATTGCGAATCGTGATGAGACCATCCAGATTCGCGGCTTTGAATTCGTTTGCAACAGGTGTGGAAATGGACATGGCAGAACTCTCTATGGCAGGGGCAAGGTGTTCAATGGCACTCACCTCCAAAGCAGAACCGGGATTGTAAGCGGCATTGATATCAGCAAAAGATCGTTGCTTTCTGACGAGCGCTGGTGATGGCGAGAGACTATAGGCCTTCGAAGATGATCCCGCAATCTTCTTACCCAAAGCATCTGCCGCGATTGGCAAAAGAGTGCTGATCACCTTCGGGGCGGCCTTGGATACAGCACTGCCAATGACCTGGACCATAGACTTGATACCGTCGAAAAATCCTTCAGCGCCAAACAGTGACTCCGTCTGGGAATGAGAAGCGCGGTCAAAGTCATTTTTGTCAAGCTTCATGACAGCGCGAAGGGCAGCCTCTGCCATAACAGCGCGCTTGGTGAGCAAGGTGGCAGCAATCAGGTCATCATTGTCCTCAGGCTGGGATTTGGACACACTTTCTTCTCCAGATGGTGCCAATGCGTTGTTCAGAAGCTGCAAGCCGATCTTGGCACCCTTGAGAGCGAAAGGTGCCGCCTTCGTCACGGCCTTACCAATAAAGGATCCCAGTCCGTCGAAAAAGCCTTCCTCACCATCGACAGGTCTGGTTGCTTCCAGCAGACCTTCCACAAATGGAGCTTGAATCGCATCAACAGCGGACACAGACTCTGCGTCGTTTCTGATACCCCTGAAAGCGCCAAGCTTCACATTGTCACTCTTCCTCATGTAGTCCTGGGTAACAGCAATTCTCAGTGCGGAATCCTTCAGCAAAGGAGTCATCTTGGGGGCAAGGTTGGTGACATGTGGAGCTAGTTCGGAATAAGTAACTTGCATGTCGCGGAGGAGTTTCTCTGTCAGCTCCGAATCTTGGATCCTGAGGACAGACTGTAGTGTTGCCTCGGCGAGAACAGCACGCTCCGTTGCTCCCTGGGTTGCTTGTGGGATGCTCACGGTAGTAGACTCAGCACCAGCGGCATTGGCAACAGCTGAGAGGGCAGCACCAGCAACAGCGGAGAGGGGCCCACCAAGAGGCCCAAGCAGAGGGGAGGCAATTGGGAGAGCGACTTTTCCTACCCGAGCAACAACCCCAACGACAGATTTGAGAGCATCTAAAAAGCCCTCCTCTCCGTCAATCATGACATTTGGGGCCGGGATAGCATGATAAGGGAGATCGGTTGGGATTTCACGACCTGGGAGAATGGGGTTTGTTGTGGCAGTAGACAGAGCATTGGGCTTGACAAAGTTGACGCCAGCAATAGATGTTACCATTGGGTAAGATGAAGTCAAGGCCGAGATGTAGGCGTTGTAGTCATTTCCGTACTGACCTCCGATGGGGCTAGCAGAATTCTTGTCAGCTCCACCGTAGCAGTGGGCTCCAATAGACACCTGAGCGGTCTTCTTGCGGAGAACAGGAGATCCAGACTGGCCTAAATTTGCCCAAAGGTTTTCGTCAGTCATCTATTCTTACCAAAGGGGTCGTAGCATCCGAAAATCATGAACTTACCACCAAAGGTAGACAGGCGGTACTGCAGCATCTTGAGAGCGTTATCTTCCAGGTTGTACTTGATGTCCTGGAATAGCTCATACATCTGAGCGCCAATCTCATCAATCCCATCGCTATCCTCGAGATGCATATCTCCTGGATATCCAACAACACCGATCATCTCGGTTCCCTTCATCGGAGTTGGCGCAAATGAAAAAGTGCGAAGGTTGCCTGTGAATGGTGCTTCAAGCTGCACAAAGGCAACGTCGCGATGACGATTATCTCGGCTGTCGATCCACTCGCCAGTGGTCACGATCTTCTTGGCAAACCGAGTCTGCACAGACGAGTCTTTCAAAGAGTCGCGACCATTGTAACCAATGTGGCACTGCATAATGCTAACTCGGCCAAATCCTTGCCCATCATTTCCGGCGTGGTCGTAGACACAGTGTCCAGCAGTAACGAGGATGTCCGGGCGGATTAGCCAACCCGTACCCATGGACGCCATCTCAGCTCCGGGAGGCATACCCTCGTAGGACATTTCCAATTTGACGATGGCTGATTGTAGAATGTTAGCTTTCATATGATCGATATTTATGGCGAGCCATAATACGCACAGCGATATTTCCCGCCATCTTTATAATCAGTTTGATCAACCCTGGCCCGGTGATCAGGCTGGAAGACGGCTTCGGGGTTTCCCCCACCTTGGAGTAGAATAATACTCTCAGTCGGGGGGAGCCCTTCCTGTCTCTAAGGTCCAGGTGGCGGCTAGGCCAGTATATTGAGAAGGAGCTGCCATTTGTGGTGAATCTTGAGCTCAGACGAAGTTATGAACAAAGATATTGAAGACAGGCTAGATTGCGTGGGAATGGTTTTTTGAGTGCTGATGAGAATAGAACCAGAAGTGAAGAAGTAGGGCTTTATATACCTATTTTGCTCTAGGCACCTGTCTCCGTCAAGTGCCTTCTTGGTTCTTTGATCGGCTAAACTGGCCAGCTTCGAAAAAAACACTCATATGTCCAGTCTCATTCTCAGCTCGTCACATTCAGCCATATTGTACCGGTTCGGTGAGAACGTCTGACCTTTCCCGGCTAGCCTGTTTGAAAGGGAGATATAAACTTAGTCCACTCAAATGAACGAGCTCATCAGTAGGAAATCGGACCAAAAAGCCGAGCCTTAAATTTTCCAAGGCTTGGAAATGCTTCGTAGATAACAGGAAACTAATGGCGAGGACAAGATACGATATTTACGCCGGTAAGAATCCCGAACAATCAATTCGCCAGAAGACTATATTTGGCTCAGCGGACTCTGTGAAAAGCAGCTACTAGTAGCAAACATTCTTGCGATATGCATGTACTTTGGCCTTGATCAGGGCTAATATGTCAGGTACAGGAACCGGCGACGCCGTGCGGGGCAGCTTCGCCATAAGCCCACTTGTGCTCTGGTCAACATTTGAGCCCATGCAGTGTGTATAGCAGTGGCGCTAATAGCTCAGCTCTGGGCCCTGTCATCTGCGGGGTTTATTCTTCACGAAGAACACAAGACCGAGGATCAGGTGGGGCACGGATTACTGATCATGGGGTGTGAAGAAAAGAACAGAACATATTGGTGATTCTGCCGGTCAATTTTGCCGATGATTAGTTTTGGGCCTAGTATGGTCCATTGACGAACTTTGCAGAATGGACTTGTGAAAGGATACTAATGAGTGCTTAAGCTCTGGAGGAGATGATGACGGATACAACTATAGCAATGTGTATCGAGTTATCTAAATTGCGTTCGGGTAACATACTAGTAGATAATGCAAGGCACAGCTCCTTAGCAAATCGCCACTTCCCACAGTCCTTTTTTCTTTCATCTTAGAAACCCTTAGTCTAGGGCCAAGGATGCCCTCAGCCAGCCTCAACCACCACAGTTGTGGAACCTTCCAAGATTATATTGTCGAGTTTGGCAGAAAGCACCCGACGGATCGGGCCGTTTCAAGCCACGAACCAATCGGCAATCATTGCCATATTCCGCTCCGCTAGAGTCTAGAATCTCATACTGCAGGTCAATCACCCGGCTAGCTCATTGGGGTAATTCTATTTTGAATGGTCTCTCGCGACACAAGACATAGCACCCGTCGACTGGATATCGCTTGAGAAGTATCAAGAGTATCCGATTTGTTTGCTATTCAATCAAATTTTCTCGGTTGAATCAAGCTGTAATCTTTTCCCTCAATTAAATATTCCATTCTATTTCACGGCAGGAACAACGAGCATGAAACAGTGTGCTTGGAATAAGCTATGAAACTGGACTTTGGAAGCGGTCGGCAAAGAACCCCCGGTGTCTCCTGCTCCCACCCTTCAGCTGCGTCGGATTCAGTTGGAGAGTCGGGATGCCAACCAGGGGCGCAGCCATGGCACTGATAGAACAAAACCTTACCACCACAACAAAAAGGTAAAACTGATCCTCTCTGGCGGATCAAAATACGAAGAATGCGCCCGACACTGCTAGAACAAAACCTTGACCACCACCACAAAGGCAGAGCCGATGCTCCCTGGCAGATCAAAATACGGGTCGTGGATTTTGTGTTGGATCTACCTCAGCAGAAAGCATTTGACCTGATCAAAATAATCTTGGCGGGTATCAAGCTGGTTGGCGGAGACCCCTACCTTCAACAGCATTTGGCCACAGATGCATGAAATTGGGGGTTAGGTGGTGTGCTGTTTCAACTGGAAGAGGCGGAACCAGGGACCAAAGCGTCAAAGTCAACTATCAAAATGAGCAGGTCGTGATGTATCTGTCATTCGTTCTAACTCTGGCAGGGTCAAAGTACCACAGGACTGAGAAAGGAGCTCTCGCAGTAATGAGGTGTGTGGAAGCATGCCGATGGCTTAACAAAGGAGCAAAATACGACAGTATTTTGTATAAGGATCACTCGGTGTTGAAATGGCTACTGGGCACTGGTGCAACGGGTGCGAGATGTGGCGCTGGATCAGATCCATGGGCGGAATTTAGATGCACGATGGAAGGGCCCATATAGGGTATCCCGAGTTTTGCAGAAGCACACATCGGCAATTCTGACTGAAGTGGACACGGAAATGCAAGTGGGCAAGCATCATTTTGAGCACCTGAAACTGTCCGTCCCCAGGACCGAGAATGTGGAACGAAAGCACGATTGCTAGCGCAGAGGACCAGAGAACTGCTCGAAAAAGGCAAGCAGGCTCGACAACAGCAGAAAGAGGAGGAGGATGGGGCAAAATAAAACAACTCCAATTGAGCGCGAAATGAGGTTTTTAATGAGCTTGCAGTTGTACGGTTACGCGGTTATGAATTTCATGATTGTATCACCAACTTTTGCATGGGACCATTCTTGATTTTTGTCGACTATAAATACCCTGAATTGCTTCATTCTTTTCCTCCTTTGCAACCTTTCACCTGACCAAATCTTCATATTTTGATTGTCCAAGAAGCCCTCTACTTGTTCCCTACGAGTGGCTCAACCATCAGTACGTGTCATTCTACTAACCTGCCCATGATCTGGGAATTTGAGGGCATTCGCAAAAGTGAGAGGAAAGTGAGGTAACGACGGTCTTATAAGGACCTGGTTTCGATTCTCTCACTTCGCAAACGAGCTTGAATTACCCTAACCGAGCCTGTTTATGCGGGTGCCTGCGACTGAGAAGCACTCACGGTCAATGAAAAGCACCACGTGCACCCAACTATCACGAAATAACCAACAAGGCTAATTTTCACTTTCATTTCAGTCGCAATCATGTCTACTCGGTCGACCAAGAAGAAGAAGACTGCGCCTGCTTCTGATTCTGAACCTGACACTCCCGCAAAAGTTGACGTGCAAGCCCTGGTGGACCCAGTTTTCAATGGCACCATGTCAAAATATAGAGCGAGGGACAAGAAACTGCTCCCGAGGCACTTGCAGGAATTGACGGTGGATGAACGCAAGCAGTATCTACCCAGCGTCTCTGATCTGGACACCCTGGCATGGTTCGCAAAATCAGTTCGGATCGATTTTGAAAAGATCTATGCCAAGACGGGGAAAATGCGAGGTCCTTACGTGTGATATTTGATGAGGAGGTCGGAACACAACAATGGCCACATCAATCCAGTGGAAGTTTTGGTGGAGAATGTCGCTAGTGCAGCGGTGACCATGGTCAGCCTGGATCATAAAGTCACTACTCGCGGGGAGACCCGAAAGATTGTTGCACCTAATCATCAAACTCTACGGGTGGACCCAACTGAGCCTGGTCATGATACATGGCTGAGCCGCAAAATCCAGTTGAAAAGAACTGATACTCCTCCAGGAAACGCTACTCCTGCTCCTGGCAATGCACCTGGAAATCCTGCTCCTGCTCCCGGCAACGCTGACAGTGAAGATGACGAAGAGAATGGCGATGAGGAGGATGGCGATGAGGAGAATGACGAGACCACTACTCGAACTGTGAAACACAAACCCACTCGCAAACGCAAACGGTCCAACACGAAGACTGGGAAAGTCGCAAAATCGAAGAAAATTGCAGACGACCGTGACCACAAGAACAACCCAGAGAAGGATAAATGCGACGACGACAGGGAGGAAGAGGATGAAGACAGTAATGTGCCCTTGAGCTCCACTGTTTCTGAAGCCGACGTTGACCCACAAAATCCGTTCAAGATGGCAGAGCTACTGGGAAGAGTGCCATGGGACCGAGAAGAATCGGAACTTGCTGATAAAATACCAAAGCAAGAAGCCCGATTGGAGGCCTTGAAGGAGTTGATCTTACAAGACCTGGCAAACGCTGATCTCCCCAAATTGCGAGAGAAAATCTTACAATATTTGTTCTACAGCATACGAGATTCACACCAATGAAATTTGATGACGAGCGAACTGATTCGAGCGAATAAGAAGATGGATATGTTCAAGCAGCAACGGGACAAGTTAGAGCTACAGATGTCCACCATCCAGGATCAGGCACAATTAATCGAAGATCTCAAGACACAATGCGACCGTGCTCATGACGAATCTGTGGGATTGAAGGCCCTCAATAAATTCCTGGAAGACAAGTGGCTACACGCACAAAAGGAGGTCAAGGAGCTCTTGATCAAACTGGGAATGAATATCAGAGATTCTGTGCCCGGACAGAAGGACAAAACTGGTGAAGGCGGACTTCGCTCGTCGGTAGAGAAGTGAGTTTTACATAGGGATCATTTGCTCTTTTTGATTTTGTGTTTGTGCAAGAGACAGGGACGGTTATCATACTGAATTCTCCCGAATTCCCGTCCGGCTGGGCCGGGCAATATTTGTTACCAGACTCGGCACCCCAATTAGCTACATAGCTTTATCATATATCCCCTCAATATACGAACTTCCACGCACTGGTGTCAAACCGACAGTTTTCGTACTGGCAGAATGTCGTGAGTATTCTCCGCAATTGATTTGCTAGAGAGCATCATTTTTACCTTTGTTGTTGTGGTGGAGGTTTTGTTCGATTCACTGCTGAGATGTGCGTGTGCGGAATCTGCGAAATTACGTGGAACGAGAGCTGTATGAGAGCGGTGTACGTGCAGTATTTGTTACCGAACTCGGTGCCCCAAACAATTAGTTGTACCATATCTCCCCTCAATTTACAATTTTTGAACGCACTTTTGTCAACACTACAATTTTCATACTGTAAGAGTGTCATGGGCATTCTTTGTATTTTTGATCTGCCAGGGAGCATCAGTCTTACCTTTGTGGTGGTCGAGGGTTTGTTCTATCAGTGTCGGGTGCATTCTTCGTGTTTTGTTCTGCCAGGTGTACTTGCGGCAAACTTTACTTTTGCCGCTTACAGAGGCGGTCAGGCGAAATACATAATCCTTGTCATTACACGCTCTGTCAGATTGACCCACCTTGCTACCCCTCAGCTCCAATCAGCTTTTGCCCAACTCATCCATCGACCCACTCTGGTTCGTTGATCCTAATCTCATACTTTTGATCGTCAATAACTGAAGTCGCAGCGTGATCGCTGTCACTATGTCGAATTCCGACATCAGTTTGAGCCCAACAATCTCCTCCAGGTTCACGACCTTCTACGATGCGAAGGCGTCTCTTGAGACGCGTCTAAATCGATACCAAGGTCTTGATGGCCAGCATGATGATGACACTCTCAAACTTTTGACGGCAACCTTCAAGTACCTGCCGCAAGACGGAAGAATTCATTTTGCGGATGATGTCGATGACTGCGTTGATGATGATGCTCTGCGACAGCTCGCTGACAGTCTTGATACCGGCCTATTGAGGCCTATGCTATCTCAAGGTGGTCAAACCCCATCCATCACCCCTTCTCCTCGGTTTGCAATAGAATACTCCATCGAAGACCTTCATGGACAGGATATTGAGTCTGCGACTCGGAACGACCAGCCCCAGCTTCGTGCGAGTTGCCTGAAACGAGACGGTCACCGGTGTGTCATTACTCAATGCTGGGATCGAGACTTCCGGGATCGCGAAAGTGATGATGATGGACCTTTAGAGGCTGCGCATATAATCCCGTTCACTTTGGGACGATACTATACAGATGATGAAAGAAGATATCTATCTTGCGTGTGGGTCAACATCTTTCGATACTTCCCAAGCGTAAGGGCGCGGCTAAATCTCTCCCTCGGCGACATCAACCGCATCGACAATATGATGATGCTTACCCCCTTTTGCCATGCGGAATTTGGAGCATTTCGATTTGTCCTTGAGGAGACTCCAACACCAAATCGGTACCGAGTGAAGAAATTTCCTCGGATTTCTGGTTACTACAGCCGTATGCTCCCTCCCGTAATGACGTTCATTAACTACGACCCTCAACACGCCCTACCAAACCCTGAACTCATTGCTGTTCATGCCGCTATCGGCAATATTCTAAATGCCAGTGGACGCGGCGACAAAATCGAGAAGCTCATTAGGGATCTTGGAGAGGGTGGGCAGATGTTATCACCTGATGGAAGCACCAGCGTTGGTGATCTTCTCTCTGTGACTGAGCTTTCTACGTTGTTGTCGGTCTCGAACTTAGCAGAAACCAAGCATGAAAGCGAGAAAGCTAAGCCACGACGAGCTCCAGCTGCCCTGCCAGGAGCCGAGAATCAGCGGTAGCTCGCAATCCAGTGTCAGAATGCAGAGTAATATTATCGAGTGCTCACATATCCAATAGATTGAACTTGATTAATATGTATCATGGATAGGACAATAAATTTTGTGTTTACCTAATCAACTGGGAATGTGTAAGCTCCGACGCTACCACTAGCATCTGGCACTATGGTGCTTATCCACAGAAAGATGAGGAGGCTGCTTGGGTCTGTGAGGCAAACTCACCAATTGTGACGGCAAAGCTTGTCACTACAAAACCTATCGGTGACAACCAAGATGTACCCCAAACATCGTTCATTAACTCTGTTGAGTTTATCCTTGCTGCAGATAACCTGGGTCAGCTCCCTGGATGGCCACTGGATGTTGAAACTGTGCGTTTCTTGAGTGATGCGGAGGAGCAGAACGCGAGCGATCTCCCTGCACTGGTTGAGTCTGCACCAAAGCCCGGTAGAAACATTTGGTCTATGAAGGGCTTTTACGGCGAGTATACTGATGGGCTAGTTACCCAGCTCAGTATCGTGTGGGGCCGTTCTTAAAAGTGCGCGACTCCAGGACGGTTGAAAATCAAACATGGAATAATTAATAGCAAGTTACTATGGTCTATATACATCAATTCCAGTTTCAATCTCTTTTTCAGGAACATTCACGTGTTTGGAGTATTGGAATCAGGATTTGTACGTCCAGAGGATGACCGGAACCGATATACCCCGTGGAGAATCACACTGGTCAAATGGGAAAGGAAGATTTGTCCGGAAAAGGTCGGGGTGATATTGATCCATGCAATCGACTTTCCGGTACGTTGAACACGTACAGCAAACTGTTATGAAGATACGAGTAGGAGAATGATATGTTGATCGAAAATAGTAGGTGGAAATGACAAAAGAGTATATACCTCATTCCTTAAAGAATATATGAACTGTTCGAGGAACTGACAACAAAACCTTGGAAGCTTCAAAAAAGGTACATGAGTCAAAAACATAATTCAAATTAGGTGGCTTTTCGCCGCTGTATGAATATAGTATAAAAGACCCATGCATCTAGCTTTCACATCTTCTTCATTCAGATATTCAAACAATCGACCCTGACTAGTGATGAGATTCTCCATCCCAATTCACTCTTACATCTGTTTGCACATACACTGGGCCCACATGATCCATATTGTAGCTTGAACCATGACAAGCTTTATCTAGCGAGTTCTGTTCCCTTTCTGACCCCCTTGAAAATGCTATAGAGTTTCCCATGCCAGGGAAGCCACCGTTGTGTAGCGGCTTTTTATATTCGTTATCATCAGACCTCTCATAAGACCTCGATGCATTACGAGTGCCTTTACGCAAGTGGCTAATCAGACTTGGAAATGTTGGAAGGCAAGTGACGATGATACTCAAGTTCAATTCGACATTTTGCCAAATACCAGTGGTGCCTTCGGTGGCTTTTAGAGTAATGCAAGTTAGTGATAAGGGGTCAATTAACGATAGCGCCAAGCGCTTCATTGGAGCCATGACATACCTGTGGGGTTATTGATGTCGACTTTCAAGATACAAATGATATGCATCAAGTCCGCAATACAGATACTGGATGTTTTAATGTGAGCCTCGCCTTTGTAATTTTGGCACGCAGGATCGTCTTCAGTACTCACAGTATACCAAAGCAAAAGAGTCCAGACACAAGCACCTTCTTTTTGCGACTCATCATAAGCCTCCACACAACCGGCTGCGGGAGACAGAGAATAAGGAAGTCCACCACCATGTTGATGCTGCTCATGACTGTCCAGCTTGCGATTATATTAAAATTGGCAGAGTTTGGCAACCATGGTTTCCATTGCGCTTCAATCGGGTTGTATGCAAAGATTAACAAGCATTCGCTGGCGATAAAGTACCCGCCGATCAGGAAGCCAACAGTCCACGATGCAACACGGAAAGACTTTTGAATTTTGAAGATGCGATGGTAGAGGAGAAGGACTGCTGCTTTTGCGAAGGAGATACTCGCGGCGTACAATACGTTTTCGGCTAGTGTTAGCTAGACAAATCAAAATTCCATTAGTACTATAAGCGTCCTTAGGAGATAGGATGAATATCTTTACTTTGAGGTATCTTTCCAGTGTTGCTGCACTGTAATATTCGATATCATAGCCGCCATGGGCAATAGTAGCGTCAAGGAGTGTGACTATAAAACATCCAAGTGCGAATATGAGGGCGATCAGACTGAACCAATCATCCCATTTCACTGACATGGATATCTTTCGAGAAATAAATCGCAATATGACCGCAACTATTGCGAGGAAGGTGAATATTGTTGTAATAGCCACGACGATACCATTTTCATGTTCGATCCCGCTAGGCATCAAATCGACAGGTGACATTGTTGAAGCCATGTTGAAGATAGATCCTTGTCAAAGCAAGACATAACATGTGAAAAGACTAAGGAACCTCGAGCAGGGGGGTGATTTCTATTGATAAAGCACAAGAAGATCTAGGGTCAGAACGCGATCCTGCTCATTGTGTTCGAACCGAGAGCGAGTACATTTTGGGGGCTAAGAAGTGGCCCCATTCTTGCAATCATCATTTTTCATTAATTATGCGCTCTGAACTATTAAAAGAAATGATGAACCTATCACAGTATAATTGCATGCAGGAGGATTTAGAGCAAGGCGGGGTAATAAGTGAAGGAAGATATCTTCCATCTACAGTATCTGGCCATAAGCTACAAGAACAAAAACCGTTTGTATGGTAGTCAGGCCGTTATGTAGTAACCAAAAACCCCCTATGTGTCAACCAAAGATTTATTGTTAATGATGTTTTACTTTACAGTTACTATGGTGATGCAGTTTAGCGTGTGATAAAAATCGTAGCTTATATGGCCAGATACTGTATCTTCAGTGTCAGCCAGGCGCCCCACGGGAATGTCTCATCATGTATAGAGTACGAACACACATGCTCACCGAGTCGGTTGGTGGAATCTCTTCAGAAAGTGGATCAGCCGTGCGCAAAACCATCGGATCAGAGACTTCTAAGCTTCTCTCCCTGCGGGCCGCTGTGGGGCACGACTCTTAATATGTCGCAAGATGGGGGTGTGGATACCTTGAAAGGGGCTTGCGATTGGTCGAAGGTAGGATTAATTTAATTAGTGAAGGATTACTTCTCACCAAAAGGATGGCCCCCGGGCGTATAAGAGACCCGAGTTCACCTTATGTACCGGTACTCAAGCCTCACGAGGTCTCGAGCATAATGCAGTCTTTGTAGGGTATCAGCAGCTGCATTCACGCAGCGTCAGCTTGAACATTTGGACCAATGAAAACCTCCACAGGATATGATTACCTGCGAAGACTAGCTCTCAAATATGATATTAGGTACATGTATACTCCGTACTACAGAATTATGTAGATCTTGTCATTAATGGTAATATCCATGGCGTGTTCGGTTACATTCGCGGGCGAACTATGGGGCCAAGAATGGGCGCAATTATGCGGTGGTAGGGCTCCCAGAAGGGGCCGCGTCATCGGTCATGTTGATACTCAAACAGTATGACGTAGCAAGCTTAGACTTGTGGATTCGCTATCTTATCTGCGAGTTCACTCTGCAGTCCTTTTCAACTTGGGTAGGATAATCTTCAGATCGGAAGATCAGACTTATCAGACCCAAAGAGAACTCACTGTTCCCGCCTGGTATCCCAGTAACAGTCGGGCTGTTGGTTCATTATGCGAATTGTGCCAATTCAGCCTAAAGGGGTCGATTCTTGTACCAACAAGCATGATTTTGACGCGATGGGGTTATAAGGCTAGTCCGATCTGATCTGCTTTACCCTGAACCTGTATCTTGTGTATGGTTTGGATCTCCGCACAATCTAGTCCGTATAAATCGATGAATCATGATCTAGTCCTAATTCCAACGTGTTTCAAAATGATGCAGAATGATTATAGGAATGAGTCAACAGGATCCACTACTAGCTATCCCTTGCTTATCTGCTCATGAGTAGACTGGCCCTATCGCGCTGTTGTCCAGATGTGGTCCATGTAGCACAGACTTCTTATTCACATATGGAGTAAGAAATAGAGAGTAGTGGATCGCGGAGATCATCCGTGGCCTGGACTTATATTTCGTTCATTAGCTTGTCAAACGAAGAGTGACAAAAGAGGCCTGCATTCACCACCCAACCATCGAATTGCTGGGGTGACCCTGCAGACCACTATTGGTTGGGGGCGGTAGTACCCCTGCTCAAGCGATTACCAACAAACCCGAATCGCACCGATTGGCCCAATACCCTTGTCCATACCGATACGAGCCATATGCATGCATGCGGAATCTTTTGATAAATGATCCCTAGAGGGCCTTAGACAGGAGATAGAAGCTGGTGATCGTTGCGATTATTTTGGGGGCCAAGAAATCAGTGATACCAGAGGCTCAATAAGCACGATCTATTTGGCTTATTTCGGCCTAGAGTCTGATCTACGAAATTAATGTAAATTCTTGGTAAAAATCGTGAATTCCCTTTGTTTTAAGTTGGAAGTCGGCTAACAGTACCACAGATTTACCGCCCAGTCTCGGCCCCCACCTTCAGCTCATGAGCTGTCCAACGACCTCCAGCTGGAATATTTCCCTTCCTCTTCGACTGCCTGTACCTGACATTTTTCCCTCCAGCCTAATATAATCGTGACCAGATACATCTGCACTTTGAATGCAATTGTAATTACAAGGCCGCCGAAATCCGTTCCTCTTTTTCCACACAAGCAGATCAAAATGGATATAAGCTATGACCCAGCTCGCATTAAGGGTAAAACCATACTTATCACCGGCGGTGCCTCGGGCTTTGGCGCTGGATACGGTGCTCGCTGGGCAGCTGCTGGAGCAAACGTGATACTCGGCGACATCAATCCAGCCGGCGAAGAAGTCGCGGCGCAAATTCGCCAAGACTCGCAAAATGAAAATGTTCATTTCGTCCAGCTAGACGTCACATCTTGGACATCCCAGGTCAATTTTTTTCGCGAATCTTTGAGGTTCAGTCCACATGGTGGAATCGATACCGTCGTTGCGAATGCCGGTATCAATGATAGCGTGGAATCTCGGGCCTTCGAAAATCCACACGTCGACTATCTGAATGATCCCAGCCCGCCGGCTCCGAGTTTCAAGACACTGGATGTCAACCTTACCGGTGTTATGTATACAGTGCACCTGGCGTTGTTTTTTCTACCGAAGAACCCGGGCTCGAAGCCCTGTGAACAGGAATCGGTTGCCTCGGAGTCAGGGCGAGACAGACATATCCTGCTCATGGGGTCTGTTGCCAGTTTACACCCGTTAATCACGCAAGCCCCGTATACCGTTTCGAAGCATGGGGTGCTTGGGTTGTTTCGAAGTCTACGCGTGACAGCTCCCATCAGCGCTGGTGTTCGAGTCAATATCATCTGCCCATACTATACCGATTCCACATTCATGCAAATGCCTGTTCGGGTACTATTGGCAGGGGTGCCACTTGGGCAAAGTGAGGATGTTATCGATGCGGCGTCATATTTGGTTGCAAATACAGCGTGCATTGGTCGCTCGCTGGTAACTGGACCCAAACTGAAACTTGATTATTCGACGGGAGAATTGGAGGCTCTTGATGAAAACGATAAAGAAGGAGCTGTTTGGGAGTGCTATATACATGACTCGGACCCGGCAGATATCTTCACTCAACGGATGCTCACCGTTGTTCATGCTGCTGTGAAGGCAAAAGGATGGGCTGGTTGGGTGTATGATATGGCTGGTGCATTTACTTGGCCTGTGCGCCAATGGTGGACTTCAAAATGAGCAATTGAGCATACAAGCGTGGCATTACTGTGTTTTTGGCTACGGCGCAATGTCCCTTGGGCTTTTGATTAGTATGTGAGATTAAATGACAGAAAATACCTTGCCCTGGCCATACTACTGGTATATTTGACTCTCAATTAAGGATGGCATATCCTCTGGCCATCAGAATTGCTACAAATCGAGATCTGGTACAGAGCCCACACCTTAGTCGAGAGTGACCCGCAGGGCTTATAAAGTGCAAGAAAGGCCTGAGAGAAAGGTTATTTCGGTTTTCTTGGGTAGGTACTCCGCTAAGCAGCACAATGGAAAGTAGAATCACAGGAGATTCCCTTCCGAGGTCTTCAGTGATTGTATCATCAGTATCATCATTCCACGCTATTCGGGTGCCACCACTAGCATGAATGCATTTCTGAGTTGAGTATTAGTATCTACAGAAAGCTACTACCATTCATCTGGACGACCGTCTCAACTACTTCTTAGGCCTGATTGCAACTGTAGGCTCAACATAATCGAAATGACCCAAGCCCGCGAGGAAATAGACGTGCTGTGGACCCTCAGGCATAAACCCAGCCAAGTTGAGGAAGTTGTGGGGCCAGCCAAGATCAAAGTCGTAGCCCCTATTAATCTCTGCGATATCTTCGGGGGTGAGCTCCAGGCTTAAAGCCTCAACATTGGCCTGGAGTTGAGAGATTTTGTTTCCACCGATCATAGGGAAGATGTAGGGAGACTGCAACTGTTAGAGAGACATGAATGAAACGGGGGTTTAAGGTTCTTACCTTTTGCATGGCATATGCGAGCGCGACGGACGTGATAGGAACATCGTGGCGCTTGGCGACCTTATCCAGGGCAGCTGACACTTGCTCTTCGCGGCCCGTCTTGACGTTGGGTGTTTGACGACCTCCTTCCTTAGGGGCAGCATCAGGTGAGCGGAAGTATCCTGTAATTGTTAATAAAAGACGCCTATATATGGCAGAGAAGGATGTGAGGACTAACCACTGCCGAGTACACCCCACGGGTGAATAGCCATGCCCTCATCCCGACACATAGGGATGATATCGCGCTCGAGATCACGCATCATAGCATTATACCGACCCTGGTAAACTGAGAAAGGACGAAGACCATGCTCGCGCGCATAAGCGTTAGCCTTGCAAACGACCCAAGCGGGCGTATCGCTGATTCCCAGATAGAGGACCTTGCCCTGCTGGACGAGGACATTGAGCGATTGCATCAGCTCAGGGATAGAGGTAGCAAAGTCCCAGGCGTGGACATAGTAAATATCGATGTAATCCACCTGGAGACGCTTCATGCTGTCGTCGATGGCCACACGCATACTCTTAGTGCCCGTTCCACCATAGTTGCTCTGCTGCACAGCTTTGCCGAAGATCGGTGATAATGTGTACTTGGTGGTGAGCACGATCTCGGATCGCCGGCCCGTCTTCTGGAGCCACTCGCCGATCCATTCCTCACTTTGACCAAATTGGTACATGTTCGCGGTGTCAATGAAGTTACCGCCTAGGTCATAGTATGCGTCCAGGAGCTCGAATGCCTGCTCCTTGGTACATTCACCCATCATGCCCTTCCAGTTGTTGCCCAGACCTGGATATCAACTTGTTAGTACAGCTTTCAGTAGGATAATGGAAGAGTTCTCACTCATGCCACCCAGCGATAATGGACTGACACGCACCGAGGCCGAGGGTGCCAAGAGACGGTGGCGACCCAGAACACTCTTGGGAAGGGGAGGTGGAGGAGGCATTTCCTTGGATTGCGTTGATTTGGGTGAAGATGTTGATATTAGAGATGTTGAGATGCTCTCAAGTTTTAATTCAATGACTTTAGTGCGTCGACGTTTGATTCAGACACCACAGTATAGAGGGGAGAGAGGCATCGCCTTAATAAGTCCAAGCCGAAATAATACATAGATAGCTAGTCCCGTCTTAGACTCATCTGGTAATTTGTTCAAATTTCACGGGTGTAAGTGCTTAACTCCATGTCTTTCCATTTGTTTTCATGAAGCCCTGGGAAGCTCATTAGTTGGGACCCGAGGGTGGAAGGATGCATCGGCTTTTGCACTGATGCTATTTCCCCGCTAAAGCCGGAGACCCTTGTCTACCCCTGTCATTATCGTCAAATTGCTTTGAGCCCAGGCGCCCGGTGGGCTAAGAAATTAACCACAGCGCCACAACGCATTATTCCATGATGATATCTGGTTTGCTTCTCCCTATCTACCATTTCTCTGCCCTGCTCAAAACCCACCAATCGCGGACCGATGGTACATGAGGGACCAAGCTTGGCGTTCATAGCCCCTGTCAATAGTGTCTAACTCGTGGTTCAGCTGCTTGTAAATCAATTGAGAGTTAACTGAGGTGGGTTCTCTTTTGCCAGCACCGTGCTTACAAATAAAAAGTCCCTTAGTATAGGAAATAACAGATAGCAATGGCAATTTATATATTGGAGAAGTTGAAGGAAGAAAGGTTTAGGCATCACCGTCGTAGTTAAACTTGACTGGCGATCAGTATCCCAAAGCGCTCTTACAAGATCTCGCGTCGATTCTTTCTGAATGATCCTTATCGTATGATGACCTCACTGCCAGGTAAATTCTTGAGGTTCATTGATTTGTTCACTAGCTGTATGGTAAGAGCACGAGAGATACCGCGAAGAGGGGAAAGCGGCTACTAGCTGCGTAGAACCCGCCGATTAGTTTGTAATATAGTGGATGACCATATACGAATGCAGACTGTTGTATGTTTTTTATTGTAATATTTTTTGAGAGCAGCATATTCGCGGCCCTATCTTTAATTCATCCTAACATGTCACCTGAGTGCCCTGAACACTACCTTTTTGCACCTGGATATCCTGCACTTTTTCTCATCCAGATGTCGTTTTCTCTGGGTGGGTCTGTGGCGGAAGCATCGCACGTTGATGCTGCTCACCGTACTCAATGGTGCTGGTGGGTCCCATGCCACCAGCTCGGGTGGCCGGGAGAAACAGATACTAGTTCGGTACTCCGTACTCCGTGCTCTTGGCAAATCTTAGCCAGACTCAATTTGTTGATACATTGAGGCAATTAAATTGCTATTTTGAACAGAAAAAAGAAAGAAAGAAAGAAACCTTCGAATAATATCCGACAAAACCAGATCAGGGTTCATCAGGGATCTTGCAGGGCCAACTTCTGCCCAGGGTTCAATTCGAAGCAAATATCTCAAGCTGGAACAATGACTATAAGAAGAAGGGGCCAATATCGCCAAGAATTGAGCTGAAGATCGGCACTATTTGCCAAGACCAGTCTGCTTTAGCGCAGGGTCACCCCTCGGCTATTCATTCCATGATTCCGCTTCCTTCACCTTGAGACACACTTTTGTTTGGCCCCCAAACAGTTCCCGGCCAGGTTCTCAAAATGTCGGAAGATAAACTCGACGAGGGTGCCGAGTACGGTGCTTTCCCATTTGATAACTACATCGCAGTAAGCGTATTTCTCGCATGACAAACCATCTCAGCTCATGCGAAATAGGACCATTGGCCCGAGGGCTTGGAGGAAAGCCCTCAGAAATGGGAAAAATTAGTGTGGAAATATCTAGCGTTATCGCTTATAGATCGATATGTCTGACATCTCCCCCCGCCGGGTATCTCGATTGTATACTAATATTTGATTAGGACTATCAATCTAGAGCAGACTTTAAGGTGACTGATTTGGCAAATGGTCTGCCGTCTGACTTGACAAATGATCAAACAAAAGTTTTGAGCATTCATCAGTCAAATTATGAGCGAAATATTTGTGCAAATTTGGATACTGGCATACAGAAAATCTGGCTTCGGACCTGCTACGATGAAGACCTAAACGAGGAATACGAAAATATGAGAGCTGATGGGGAGGATGGAATTACCCTCTTTCGATGTCTCGACGACAGCAATCGCTACGCTTTTGATGACGGATCGTTGGATCACTGGCGACAAGTTCTCGTCCGAGTACCGGGAATAACGGACTTCCGGGGCGTCGGGTACGATGGAGATGTCCTCACTTACCATTCGGGTAAAAACGACGAAGAGATGCGGGCCCAATGTGCAGAGATAGAAGACGAGGAATCTAGAGGCCTAGCCTTGACAGAGCTAGAGTTTCAAGTCGTGGTGTGCCTGCTCGACCGTGAGGCTATCGAAACGGGTCTGATCAAGATTCTTTGGTTGGACGAGCACGGAAGCAGTGCCTGGGAGAACCGCGTGGAGCCCTCTAGTCTAAATTCGCTTTCTGGGGCCTTTATGAATGGCATTCGTTTAGACGAAATTACGGGTGGAAATTCCGGTCGAGGGTCCTTGATAAGTAGATAGCCAGTCAGAATGTCAGCGATGTTGGCGATGTGGGCAGTGAGTAAAAGGGGGGAACAACACATGAGTTTTTCAATGATAACTGCCAGAACAAAGGAGGCTGCCCTGACGTTGAGTAAGTCTGGTGCCGCTGCTCCTTGCCAATTGTCTTTGGGGGATTACCACTAACTGTCGCATTTAACAAAGCCGCCCTCAATGCTCTGAGAGTACCGACTCAATGTCTTTGGACTCCGAGTTGGCTATTAAAGTTAGTCAGGAGCCACGCGAGACTACGATGCTGCTCTGCCGGAGAACATTGCAGCGCAAATCCACTGAGTCCAGCCAGGAACTCTGCTGAGAGATCGACCTCTGGATCGAGTGAGTGGCCGCGAAATGCTATTTCAGCTTCAGTGTTTATTGACCCAAAGGGTTTCTTGCTGTAAGCGGTATGGCTCCACAAGGCTATGAGCTGGACAAAACCAGCCCCCAACACTGTTCTGATCAAAGTGTTTATCTGGTGGTCCGTGCTTTCTACGAGAGGACGACTTCAATCTGATGGAAGGCCCACTGTGACCACTACTTTGACGTGCGCTACGAGATTTTTCAGGGCCTTTGCGATAGCCACTGGAAGTGCGATCCGTTTGGAAATCTACAGGGTCAGTATAGTCCGTTTTGCCAGAGCTTTTGATGTTGAAGCCACCTTCTCATAGTGGATCAAATTTGACCTGTATGGTCACGGGGCTTAGTAGGAGATTTACTAAAGAGGCATAAGATTCAAAGCTTTACTTCTTGTGTCTCTACGAAAGTAGTGGCTCGTTCACTAGCCGTGATTCTTCTGACTATTATGTAATGCTGAAAGTCAAACGACAAAGTAGCTCTAAGTTGTCACTACGTTATTAGGTGAATGGGCCAACTGATCTCATTCAATTTGACACTCTTAATTCAACACTAGACGCGTTCCAGAATTCACTTTGGTTCATATCATCAAATAAGACGGTTCTTTTAATAGAAGCTGCCTAGGCTACATGGGCAATACCCCCTCAATTGACAAAATACATAGAGATATAATCACAATAAAAGCATTATTCTCTGGTCAAGAATGTGACCGGGAAGCCGGAAGATATAATTTTTTGGTAGGAAAATGCCGAGGGCTAGAATTACACAATTTTATTGCATAGTAAATCATGGATAATTAAAAGCCCTATCTTATCTGATAGCAGTATTTGATGGCAATTTGAACGTCTATGCTTATAGGATGACAGAGACTGGTTGAGGGCACTATGGTAACAAACAGGCACTAGGTTCGACGACATGAACAATCTGCTCTGGATCTGAAATGAACAGTTCTCTGTACTTACTCCTTTTATATGTAGAATCTAAGGACCTATGAAATCGACGCCGAAAATGGCCTATTTTGGCGCTAGAAACGGCCGTAACCTTGTAATCTTATACGTAAAGGAGAGATTATTACTATACGGTATAGACTATAGTATAGTAGAGAATAATATGAAAAATAATTTTATAAATCTATTATTATCTATAAATTTAGAGTATATATATAAACATAGATATCTATATAAAGTGATTTTCAAGCGGCAGTGCGCATATCCAACCCATCTTGTAATCATCGGGACTCCGAGATACTGACATAAGTCAAATATTTCTAGGGCTTTTGGTAACCGGGCCAGTGGTATGCTGAGGAGCGGAGTAAGAAGCGCGGAGGATGAAGAAAAAAAGGGTGGGAAAGTGGCACTACGGAAATAGCATATTTTGCCAATAACCAAGTCACCATGTGCCAAGTGAGGCTGGGGATGTACCATAAACCAATGAATTGGTTCTCGCCTTATATATGTGGTGAGTCGAGCTGCCTTACCGTGCCGGGGTTGCCGATCCTTACTCATATAAGCAAAAAATCGAAGCGAAGTCATGCAGGAGCTTTGATAATTTTAAGTTGGGTCAGATCACGAAGCCATATTCGGACTTTTACTAATCTGGCTTAGCTGCAGTACAGCAGATATGTTGAGTGGTTCTAATTAGACCTTCCTTTTGCTACTTGCACCATGGTTCTACTTAACTCGGGGTATATCTCTAACGCAATAACTCACATCAATAAAGTTACATATACTACAAATATCGAGATAGCGCAAGACAAAGCTACTGATATACTTGGAATCCTCCACCACACTTATGCTCCTCATGCCCTGAATTGCTTGGGCTCCTGTGTGGAATACGCCTTCTCGCAGTAGCTCCCTAGCCAAGACCCTTCAACATCTATTCGGACTACCGACGGGCAAAGAGTCGCAACCGATCTAAAAATCAGTCGCCAAGATTCACAATCACACCTTCTCCGCTGAGATCTTCAACACGAAGAACAAAGCCAGCAATCCCCTGTGGTTACCTCCTATGATAGCCATCTGGGACTAGGCTTGCTATAGACAATCGCTATAAGGTTTCTGCATATCTTGCGTTGGCGATGGGAGTGTTACAATCGTGATTGCTTGGCACCTTGGCATTTCCTTGGTCACTTAATCAAAGAAAGACCGTTGGCTAAAGCGATGACTTACTCCATTTGATCTACTTATCCTCCGTCGGGGCTGAGGATATCTCATCATTCTCATCCTCAGGTTATGATAATAGAGATGGAGTGGAGACCGGAATACCGGCGGCGATGAGTATCTCTCCAAACTCCCTGTATATTTAAAAAAGGACTCTTTGTCCCGAAGTTGAGGATTCTATTCAACATCTTCCCGGGTTTTTAAGTTCCATTATTCAGATTATATCATTTCAAACTACAATCATGGGTTTCCTCAAGGTCCTCATCACGTCCCTTGCGACTCTAGCAGTCGTCGATGCCGGTACTCTTCTTACCGCCAGTAATACCGACGCAGTCATTCCTAGCTCCTACATTGTTGTCATGAACGATGACGTTAGTACCGCTGAGTTTAAGACGCATCGTGACTGGGCTGCAAATGTTCATGCTCGTCTTTCTCGCCGTAAGAATGGCGAGACTGGACCAGGAAAGTATTTCGAAATCAATGGCCTGAAAGGATACAGCGCTAGCTTCGACGAGGAAACCGCCAAGGATATTGCCAATGACCCGGCGGTATGTTCCTTCATTACCAATCTTGACTCCTCGGGGGCTTGTTGCAATCTAACTCGTGGATAAAGGTGAAATACATTGAACCAGACATGATTGTGAACGCAACCGTGAACGTGGTTCAATCTAATGCTCCTTCATGGGGTCTCGCTCGCATATCTAGCAAGAAATCTGGTGCTACCGACTATGTGTATGATTCCACTGCCGGTGAGGGCGTCGTGATCTACGGCGTCGACACGGGGATTGATATCTCACATTCCGACTTCGGGGGCCGCGCTAAGTGGGGTACTAACACTGTTGATAATGATAATACCGATGGCAATGGCCATGGCACCCACACTGCATCTACTGCAGCCGGTAGCAAGTACGGTGTTGCAAAGAAGGCCTCTCTCGTTGCTGTCAAGGTCCTTGGTGCCGATGGTTCTGGCACTAATTCGGGTGTCATCTCTGGTATGGACTGGGCTGTTAAAGATGCAAAGTCTCGCGGGGTCACTGGAAAGTCTGTTATGAATATGTCTCTTGGTGGCGAATTTTCCAAGGCTATGAATGACGCCGCTGCCAATGTTGTCAAGTCCGGTATCTTCCTCTCTGTTGCTGCCGGAAATGAAGCCGAGAATGCGAGCAACAGCTCCCCTGCTTCTGCTTTGGAAGTATGCACTATCGCGGCTTCTACCAGCTCAGACGGCAGTGCGTCATTCTCAAACTTCGGATCTGTCGGTAAGAGCTCCACTTCCCTTTAATTTGACGAATATTTCTAGTCAAGAGCAGTGTACTGACGGTGCTACTACAGTGGACCTCTATGCTCCCGGGCAGGGCATCACAGCTGCATACCCAGGTGGTGGCTCACAGACCCTGTCTGGAACCTCCATGGCCGCTCCACACGTTGCCGGTGTTGCTGCATATCTGATTGCTCTCGAGGGTGTGACAGCTGACAAAGCTTGTGCACGCCTTGTCGAGCTTGCTACCTCGTCTATCTCCAGGGCTCCTTCTGGCACTACGAGCAAGCTTCTATACAATGGTATCAACGTTTAATGAGTAACCTCAGAGCGTGGCGGATGATTTAACTATGGCCCCGTTGATGGCTATGTTTATATCCTTGGATGGGCGGTTGCAACGCCAATGGAGGCTATATTTATGCATGTCAAACATCACGGTCTGTTGAATGATTCAGCTAATCTTACTCTCATTGAAGTTTGCGGAAATATCGTGATAGCTAGATGACTTTCTAGGAGAACGAGAATCTTCGTGGCTCAACGATATACTAGTAAATAGTAAATTTATAGTCATATTCGAAATCAACTTGACATAATTCACAGAAAGTATGCGCCTGGGTATAATCACATAATTAATACTCTTTTGAGGTGAGCTGCTAACTTAGCTATTACCGCGCTTTGCTCAGGTCGTGTGCAGTGAGTGGATTGCTCAGGTGACGCTAAGTGAGCAAGTCCTTGAGCTTATGTAATGGTCAGTCAGTACTCAGTGAGCAAAAAGCGGCATGGGGTGAGCACTAGAACGGAAAAGCAAAGCCAAAGATTGTCAGACATTATCCTGTCTATATGCAATGCCTCTCATCGAGCTCCCAACGGAGCTTTTGAACGAGATCTGTGGCTATTTGAATGAATATCAACTGCTTTGCGCGATCCGTCTCACTTGTAAGGCGCTTTTCCTAGCCTCGCCGAGAGACTTCACAGATCGCTATTGCAAAAGCATCCACCTGCTATTGTCAACCGAAAGCCTCCATCAGCTTGGATTTATTGCGGCAGATGACTATCGTCGAACACTAGTCAATGAGCTATGTCTCGTTACTACTGATTTGGAAGGCTATGGAGAGCTTGCATACTGCGACTTTTGTCGTTCCCCATTTCGACACATTAACCCTTCACAGCGCTCACAGAGAACAGTGACAGAAGATGATATTCATGAGCGCCACACTGCATATCAAACGATCATCTCGGATCGAGACACTGTTATTGAGACTGATTTTCTTGAGAAAACTCTCGTCAAAAGCATGACACGCTTTGTTAATCTCACTGCTGTTGGATTGCGAGATATGACTATGCATGAGCTATTTAGACCTAAGCTCGCACGAAAGTCGCAGTGCTTAGGTATACGAAAGTTCAGTGATGCTTTACCTTGTGATCTGATTATGGTCCCACCTGTTTCTCGGCTACGCACGGATGTATCACCACTAAGCAAAAACCGCGGCTTGGTCTTTTCTCACATACTGAATGCACTTACTCAATGTGATGGGCTAAAGATTCAAAAGCTTTCTACCTCTAGGGTAGGCCTTACACCTGAGCATTTAGTCATGACCGAGTCACAATATGCAGGCCTTACGCCACATCTACGGAGCTTGACACATATTCAATTGCGTCTTCTTGGGGTGCGATTACATTCCGAAGGCGCCAGGTCTCAATTTGAGACACTCCTCAGTTTTCTGGTTGCCGTTGCGCCTGAACTCAGAGTACTCGATTTCTCTCAAGCCGCACAAGAGCAAAGCACAAAATCATTGCGCATGAACACGGAAGTCTTCTCCCAACAATTTTCATGCATTTCATTTCTTAAACTTGAAATGCTTCACTTATATGACTTCGATATCACCACAAATGCTCTCATAGCATTTGTCCGCACTGCGATGCCAACATTAAAGACTTTGACCCTGAGGTCCGTAAGCTTGAATGATGAGATGCCGTCAATTCCTCAGGATGAGAATCTCATCTCTAAGGACATCATCTGGTCCGCTGAGTCAAAAGAGGCAATACAAGGGCTTTGGCAGCAAGTTTTCGACTTCTTCCGGGATCAGCTCGGCCTAAGATATCTAAAAATGGAATGTCTGAAGTATCGACACCACGAGATTCAGATGAAAGATCCGTCCACGAGGCGTGCCCACATGTCTAGAATGGCTTGTTTCGGGAAGGGGCTGTCACCACTGGGAACACCGAGAGCACCGAGAGCACCGTTGCCGGCGCTGAATGGGGCTTCCGACGATGACCTGGAATCTCAGATATCGTTTCGTGCATGGATCGATCAGCTACAAATAATACCCGAGTCGTGGCACGACACACATGGTGAGCGAATATCTAACGGTATCGAACTTTAGATGACCCTTTGCTAACACTGGATTTCAGATAGACGGAAGAAAAATAGAAAGCAGAGTGTTTTGAAACTTCAGTTATTGCAAAACCTCCCTTTCTATTATGTAAGTAAAGATGAGTTACAAGCAGCTATTCATGCTTAAAGTACAAAACTTGCAGTATAAACCAAAATGAAAAAAATAACATTCCTATCTATCAAATCCCTCTATCCCTCCACATCTACACATCCGCCCCATAATGACAGCCGTAATCGGCAAAATAGACCCCTTAGCAACCTCCCACTCCTCCTTCTCAACATCCGTCAGCCCATCCGGACATGGAAAGTCCAAAAAAATAGTAACCTTCTTCTCAAATCCACACCTTTCATAAAACGGTACAGCATCCGGGGCAGCCTCAATCCAAACATCAAGCCCGCCTTCATCCGCCTTCTCCAATCCCCACTCCATGAGCATATAAGCAATACCCTTCCTGCGGTATTCCGGAACGGTGAAACAGCTACCGAGTGTCATATAGGCTTTTTTACCCGAATATCGTTCTCTAGTCTCGAATTCAGCTGTGCGGAGGGTTCGGAAGGCTTGTTCAGCGAAGATGCGGGCCCCGCCTGCTGGGTGGCGGAGTGAAAGGGACTTTATTTCAGATTCGAGATTTTGCGGGGTAGAGGTGTTTTCTGGAATGAAGATCCATTCTGCGCCGCCGAGGATTGGTTCGTTTGGTGCGTGGGGTGTTTCTTTTGAGCGGGTTACTTGGAGCCAGGTTGAGGTTGGATCTGAGGGTATAGATTCTAGGTTTTCCTTTCGTGCTTTTTCTGCTGTTGCGGATATGGTTTCTTCGATGCTGTTGTTGAGTAGAGGGCAGTAGAGGCGGAAAATTGGTTGGAGGGGGTTTTCGAATGCGTAGCGCTCTGCGGCTATTACGGCTGGGTATTCGTTGGGGCTTGCGTGTACAAGGCTTAGGAAGTATGGCATGTTGTGCTGTATTTCTAGAGTGGTGAGGGTTGGGGTTGTAGTCGCGTTGGATTTGGGTTTATAGTTTGGACCTGAGATCCATACGAGCTGACGTCCACGGCTGACATGTTTCCCCACATTATCTCCACAGGACTTTGTACATGATGCATTTAGCATCTTGGAGCAGGTTTTCCCCAGCTTTAGCATCGTTATCCTGAGTGATATTAAATAATGTACAATCAGAGTGGTATTATATGCAGTCTACTATAGTACATGTTTGAGTATCACACTACTCATGCTTCGGGCCCTTGGCATGCCGATCAGCAGCTTCAGGAGCACCCGATTCCGTGGAGTGCTCCATGGTCTTTTCAGCAGCTTCAGCCATCAAATCTTTCTCCATGGCCCTCTTCGACCACAACGCCGGCAGCCGTTCAGAGTGCATCATACCCACCTTCCTCCGGTTTGTAAACTCCACTCTCAATTTCCGCCCATACGGCGCCTTCCGAGCTAGCACTTCCATGCCCCACATCGCAGATTGAACATCAATAAACTCCACATGCGCAAAGCCACGCGGGACACCCGAGCGGCGGTCCACTGGAACCCGGATGTCGACGGTATTATGCACATCACTGAACAGGTCTTGGATATCGCGGTCTGTAAGTTCGTAGGGAATGCCGCCGATGAAAAGTGTGTTGGTGGGCCTGAGCTCGGTTGTTTTGTGCTGAATAGCGCTGCGGGCGTACTGTAGAACAACTGGACGGCCAGCGAGGACTTTCATGTGTTGTTTTTCGACCGCGACTTTTGCTTCTTCGATAGTATCAAACTGAACGTAGCCGAATCTGGAGATTTGTCAGTGCCAGAAACGCCCTTGTAAACCGCAGCAATAGCTTACCCTTTACTTATTCCCCGGTTATCGTGGACAATAGTCGTATTCAACACAGTTCCAAATTGTTCAAAATGCGCCCTCAGATCCTCGGCTGCAAGGTCGAAGAACAGATTGCCCACGTAGATTGTCTCGCTTGGTGGGCTGATCCTGTAGTTCAGGGTTGATTTTCTTGAACTCAAAGCTGATTCACCTTGCTTCATCTCTTCATCAAGCACTTTGTGGCGCGATTTCTTTTTCCCTTGTCCACGTTCCTTTTGTGCTTCCAGATCCGCGGCTTTGGACCTCGCATACAAGTCGTCGTAATCGATATCATGCTCTAGTGCGTCTCCTTTCGAAAGTGCTTCTTCGTCTGGTGTGAGAGGAGCACCGTGTTTCTTGGAAAGTCTAGAAAGGTTGCCTCCGGGTCGTCTTGGAGCATGCTTCTCTGACAGGCCTCTCGGCTGATCTTTATTTGTAGAGTTCCAGCCCACATGAGCGGAAAGAGATGGGTGTTGAGAGGAGGTATTTGAATTGTATCGGAGTAAAATTGCGCATCGTGATTGACATAATAAGGCCGAACGAGAAGATACTGAGGGAGAAAGGAGCCGGGACGAAGCTTGACGGAGTGAATGCCTAGTGATCATGTTAGTCCTTGGGATCGACTCCGAAATCAGCGCATGTTGCAGGGTGTCTAGGTAGAGTTGAGTCATACATTTTGAGGTTGCCGGCCTAGCACTGGGATTATTGCACAATTGTAGCCAAGACTGAGGTCTTCTTCTGGAGAGATCGGGGTTTTGCGCGGAGTTGCGTATCGAAAAGTTTCGGGGAGCGATGTTGTCACGTGATGATAACCATCGGCAACTGGTACGCAGACAGTACAAATAAACAAGCGCTTAGGTGACAGATATGAACCCTACAGGGTGTTTTAGCCAAATTATGGAATAGGGAACCGATGGATATAGAGGCAGATCAGAAGAGTGGAGTCCAATATAGCAAGGTCCCAATTATCATACAGGGAAATCAACATGCACCTCGCAACGCTCCTAAGCCCAACGAAATATTACCTGTACTTCGCGCATAGTAGCATAGTACCAAATATACTACCCAATACTTTTCAACCAGTTCTCTCATCCAGTTTAACGTTCCCACGGTATCAAAAACGACGAAATCAGAGATCCAGCCTATTCTAGCCCATTCTAATACACCAAAGAATCTCCGGATACAAACAAGGAAATCCGTAAGAGGGGAGATCAAAATGAAACTCAATTTCAATCCAAAGAAAAAGAGGACCGCTTATATCAACTAAATGGATCCTTGGCTCCGGCCAGAACTAGCTGGCTGAGACATGGGTGTGAACCCAGTCGCAGAGGAGTCGTTTCTCTCGCTGTTTGGTGGCGAGAACATATTTGGTACTCGGCCAGCGCCAATATCGTTCTGCGTAGTCGGCATACCATTCGGTGCTCGTGATGTCCCGAGTGGATTTGGTATCTGAGGCTGGGTCAATCCGGCAGGTTGTACAGTTTGTCCTGAGGGATCCATCATGGGCCAGAACTGATTCGAAGCGCCAAATTGGTTAGGGTTTTGAATATAGGTATCCCAAGCCTCCTGCAGGGATGTTAGCGAATGTAATTAGAGGACCGCATCGCACACCAGCATGGTCAGCGGAGCTTACCCAGTCAAGATTAGCCTGCATGTCCGGCATCTGGCCGAACATGCTACTGAAAGGTGAAAGAGGCCCACCAAGCATTTCAGCCGAGGCGCCCGCGCCCAGACCCACGCCGGCAGGCATTGGTGAATCAGTCATTCTCATGGCTGGATCCGAGAACGGAGAGAGGCCCGAGTTCATGGGGCTCATTCCACTACTCAACAGACCCAGCGTCATAGCAGCGTTCTGCTTCTCATCCTGTGGCTCAAAAATGTTGTTTGCGGTGCTATTCTCAAGCCCCGGGACGCTGCTATGCAGCTTGCCAAGCATCACGCCGAGTATACTACTGGCTTTAAAGGCCTCCATGCTCTTGTCACGCATTTCATCCCAAATCTCTTTCGAGCGTTGGATTGCTGCGGTCATCTCCTCGCGGCGTTCATGGCCCCAAGTATACGTGTCACCAGAAGGTCGGCCCGACGCTTGCAGTGTGTACCCATGGTACAAATCAAGACTGACAATTGACGCGGCCAGAAGGAAGTCTGCTGAGCTGAGGGATGTGACTATGAGTGGGCGGTCGCGGAAACGTCCACTCTGCGATTCTGTGTGAAGGATTGACTGTGCTCCGAGCATCTCCATGGCTGAATCGATACATGTTCGTCGAGAGTAGGTGAAGCGGGGGTTTTCCCGTGCACGGACGAGGTATGGTCTATGCAGCACAATTTGTGCCTTGTGGTAGACCATGTTCACTGAATAGCGGGACATTATCAATTGCACCGGATCTAACTGACAGTCTTCCAGCGGGCGGAGACGTAAGTGGTCAGGGATCAGGTCCCTAGCGTGCCGGAGATCCGCATCAAGCTCCATAGTTTTGTCATATGAAGCATTGGCAATCGACGAAGCATGCTCATTGACACGGCCAAACGCAAACACCAGACGCGCCTTGGTTATCAGGTACGAAATGGGTGTTGGCTCGCTCAGCTGTCGAGCTTGGGGCAGTTCTTTGGAGTCTTCATCAAAGTCATCATCATACAAATTCTGCGGCAGGTCCGTATCACTGTCAGCTGCCCGCAGCATACTCGGCATGCCAACTTGGAATGAAAAAAGCACATCTGCTGACCGGACAAACGACCACACCCGCCGTCGCATCTCACCCTGGAAAGGTGTGATGTTTGGGAAAACTTTCGAGTCTCGGTGGTATCCCATCCGCATCGCCAGACGGGCAACCACACCTGTTAGAACCCACACTGATACATCTGCTTCCCGGGTCTGTGAAAAGTCTCCATGTACATGAAAAATTAGAGACTCAATCAGGTACGGGTGTGGTTTTGTGTAATCCGCCAAAGTCAGACACTCTGCAACTGAGTTTCGGAAGGAGCTGGCCATATCAATGGCCTTGCCTCTGAACTCAGGAGGCTCGTCACCTTCTCGGTGATATGAGAGCATGGCCAATCTCATCATGGCAAACAGCATAGCAATCCACACAATTTCAGTTCGAGAAGGGTCCTCCCAGTGCCTGTTGTATTGTGCTTGGAATGTGGGGCCATGAAGGATATGGGTAGCAGGATCATACGTGTTGAAGTAACGAGCAACAAGAAGATCGGTCATGTATTTGGAAGGCAAAGAAGACAGAATTTCAGGTCGACTGAGAGGTTTCATGACCCCGAATAACAGTGTTGACCCAGGGACATCCGTCTCTGGACGAGAAGCCTTGACCTTTTCTGCTTGCTCCTCAAACTGTTTTTTATGTGTCGTATAGAAATTTCGCACCTCGGTGATCTATCCCAGAGTTATCAGACAGGAATCTTCTCTGGGGACCAAACAAGACTTACATCATTTAATACAGAGGCCCAGTGTGCGTCGCTGATATAGTAGGACTTGTTATTGTCCATTTTCATCACACCAAATGACTTCGTTACCTGCTCCGTATCACTCTCTTCCGCACCATGATCATCATCAAGATCCAGCTCATGAGAGAGTCCCGTAGACCCCGCACTACTATCTCCAGAGATCGTCGCCATAGCAGCCGCGGGGCCCGCCGACTGCGCACCGTTTGTCATCAGCGACAAAACCAAGCCCTCCAGCCGGTCAATACGATTTTGCATATCATCAGGCGAAGTCGGCGTTGTCTGTTGTTGAATATTCTTCTTCCGGGTGCTCACTTGTGCGTATGAGCACGAGTGCGCATCTCCCCGTTTGACGCAATTCTCGCACGGGTTTGAGCGATTGCATTTTAACCTAGCAGTAAAAGCCTCGATTAGCACAGTATTGGATCTCGATGACAAGGCCATTGAATGCCAATGTTCTGGCTACTTACTTCCTATGGCGGCAAGGAGCGCATGAAAGTGGGACTCGATTGCGTTTGCGGATGACTCTGAAATCAGGCGAGTGAGCGCTCCCGCTCGACGGCGTTGTAGAGGGCGGCGTAGGTGACATGTTGCGGTTATGAGAGTTTTGGTTCGGATTGTGGGGTATATAGTGCTCCAACGGTTTCTTGCTTGGGTATTTGATGCGCCCTCGGATACAGCTGAGATGGCCTTTTTGAAGGAGTCGGATCTGCAGCGCCCAAGATGTTCTGATGGGGCTATCTCGAATGACCGTCGAAGCTATGCGCGATCCTTCTCGGATCGATGATTAAGCTTGGCGGGGTAATTTAAAGCACCCGTTTCTGCCCCCTGACTGTTGCGACTGCGCAGTGTCGCGCCACTGGTGGGCTGATACCGTTGGCTGGCTGGGAAGGCGCACAAAGGCGGCAAATGCTGGTAAAATAGATGCGCAAAGCACCAGTAGGATGGATTTGCTCGTCCCGATCTTGTAACTCCCGTCAGTTGTATGGATTGGCGGTGCCCGAAGCTCTGTGTCTTAATAAGAGGGGTGTGGTAACGAGTCTTGACTCGGGTAGGCCTGAGGTGTTAGGGGCCAATAAGGCTACGAAATAGGCTGACAGCAGGTTGACTGGGTTGGCGCAAGACAGCTATTCCCCTTGAGAATCTGTGAAATGGCAGAGAGCAGAGAGTTTAGGCAAACGTTGAAGATGCGTGAATGGGAGATGGATGATTAATCGGTCGCAGAGTTATCTCCGGTTTTGGGTCTTATCGCCATGATGATCTCAGCGGGATGCGATCGGGCCTCTAATGGGATGAATGCAATTTCCTTACAAGGCTTGGCCTTTGCTACTTTATAGGCGCTAGTGAGCCTTTTTTTCCTACTTAAATTGATTTAATACGACTTTGTGGGACTTTTTTTGTAGGATCGTCGTAGGCACCCCCTCCTTTCACGACCATTAAGGTTCCTGTTCATATCTCCCGGGTTATGATTGGTCCAGCTTGACTACTCCTTATGAGTCATCTCAACGGAACCCTGTCTAGACCTGCCGTTGATTTATTACTTTGAACGTTGCCTGTTGGCTTGATATTTGAGATATGACTGCAGCACGTACCAGCCTACATATCTCCGGCAATTCTACTGGCATTAGGGGCCTACAGGAGAATATATCTGGAATGGCTTCTAGTGCGTGCAACAAGTTAAGTCAATTGGTACCAGCAATACACTACGGAGGTATAGCTCTGGAGATTCGCACCACTTAAAGCTTTTCTCTCCTAGAATTATACGCATCCAATCACTTGCTTAGTCAAATTTCTACATGCATAACTACAGTAGAACGTGCTAGCTCTCCACACAATGACCCCATTTATCAGGGTCGTGGACACCTTTCGCTGCCTGAAGATCTGTCTCCATAATTCCAGGCACATCAAATGAGACTATCAAAGTCAAAATTTTGCTGGTCCGGTCGCATTCGTTTGAGCTATCCCAGCTAAGAAGACAAAGCGCAGCTAGAGATCCTGGGCGGTGGTCCATAGTTTTTCCGGACCTTATACGAAGCGGTGCAGCAGAAGTATCGCATATCATAGCCTCGAGACGAGGTCATGAAACATTGATTACATTCATTGAGCTTGGATTTTATGCTCGACCTGAAGGTATTCAAGATTCTATCCCTGGTAGTCCAGACTTCGCTAGCATTCCGTCAAACTTGGCAGGTATCTGCAGACTTGCGATGCCGAGCAACGATCCCGTATCCCTAACGCGGAGCCGTTGGTCCTGTTCTTCAACTAACCACCGTATTTCACCAAAAAAAAAAAATTGTGATCTAATTCATCTCAGCAAATGTTTAGTTTAATGGAGGGCATGGAACAATCAATAAAATTCTTCAATCAGGTTCGCGTCATTACACAGCCCATGGTGCAGGTATCGTACATGCACGAAACCTGATTATCGCGGATGACCAACCACCTATGAAGTCAATTTTCCTTTGCCGAACCTGGTAGTTGATCCTGAACTCAAATTGCTCCTACATTAAATCACCGAAACCTGATGATTACTTTATATCCCTTTGATATCAAGTTGTACATGTGACGAAGCAATATATTCCTCCGCTTCCCTGCTTTCTCTTGGCGTTTCCGAAATCAGCAATTTCCGCATTATGAATCATCTTCACAGTTCCTATATCTAAAGCTGTGATAAGATTATTGTCCAATTATTTCCACCTGGGTAATGGTTCCACGATTCCCACAATCGTCGGAAGGTCTTCCAGAGTATAGCTCTCGCAGAATCACCTCTATGCCTTCCCAGGGCCCTTACATACCGATTAAAAGAGGGTCATCTGGTTCCGAAATACTCGAAAGCATCGCAAGAGATCAACCGATACCTGTTGAGAACGGTAAAGTCGCGATCCCTCGACAGCGGACTGGCGTTGTGCCTAGGAACCCTGGACGGGTCTCTCGGGCATGCGAATCATGTCGCTTGCGAAAGACAAAATGCAGTGGGGATAACCCAGTTTGCAGGCAATGCCACGACCTAAATGCCACTTGTGTATATCCACTGGCGTTTCGTGAGAGAACGAGACAGTAAGCATTCTTGCACTGTTCATTTGTTGCGTGGTAGATCAGTCCTTGGGTTGGCCCTTACCAACAATCAGCGCAGAGGCTGAATACCTTTTTCTTTAGACAAATCCGCGGTTTGACGCAAAGACTGCGAGCATGTGAGGACTTGCTGAAAGAAGTGGAGAACATTGTTCCTGAACGCATATCTAAGCGCATACAAGCTTTACTAGTAAGAGCCTCTACGCTATTAACATTTCGGTATATTCACGGTATCTAACTTCAACGTCAGAAGCAAGGAGACAGTCACTCAAACAATGCAGCAAAGGAAGCTAATAATGCCATGTCAACAATACACGATGCAGATTCATTCAGCTCACTGTCTGTCGGGTCACTGGAAGCATTGGACAGAATAGAAGATAGCCATATGGCCGATGAGTCGCTACCCACCAGAGACTATGAGAAGAGTTTAGATATGGGCTGGCGGCAACAGAAGCAGAAGGAACCGGATCATGACACCAAGAGCCAATCCGAGGTTCCTGATTCCAGCAAGACTGACCAGTTCGATCGACATGATATGAACTGGCGCCGCGAGGACTCCAGCCATGGAGTGACGAGACGAGTACAGACATATTAAATCCCTCCTCGGCCGGGGCAAATTTTTGTCCCTGGACTGTATGGACACAGACGGCAGCTCAGGCTTGCGAGCATAGACAACCTTACAACCCTTGGAAGTAATAAGCCTTGGGGCAGTACACGCATCAATTCCAAGGTTTGGCACGGGGTGTTTGGAGCAAGTACGATGTACGTATACTATATGAAATCTTTTAAGCCATTTGATTAAGACAGGAAAAATGACTCACCAGGTCATACTCCACACATTTGAAGCCTGACCTAGTTTTACCATTTCCTAGCTACCAATATCACATAATCGTTGTCAATTTATCAATTGCACGATCAGCAAACCTTCCGCGCATAGTGGTAATCTTGTACAGAAAAATGAAAAGCAAAAGCAAGGTACACAGAAAATAAAACAAAGATAAAAGGACACGCCCGGCGGAACCTTGGAGAAATAAAGGGTGAAAAAGAAGAAAAAATAAAAGTAAAGGCAAGGTGGATATGAAGGCCAGGACAGGACACGGCCCTCAATACCAATGAACCACAAGCTGCAGTGCTACTCCCAACCCAAGAGTGACGGGCCGTAGCTAGCTTGTTATCCACGACCTCGATTGTTTTTGCTTTTTTTAAATGGGTATCAGTACACATAGCTCGTGATTAAGATAATCGGCCGTGTGATCATACAGCTGAATTAAAAGAACATGGACGTTAGTCTCGTGCGGTCTGGAGAGACCAAGGGCTCTTGAGCAAAACAACCCATGATCATCCTCTGCGCGTGATTCATCGTTTACTCGTCAGCACCAAAGGTCCAGGACGGCTGGTTGTGACGGTTGGGATTGCGCAGTGACGTCGCGGTGCGAATCGGCTCAGGAGATTGATCATAGTTGTCCCATGAAGACTCCATCATTTTCACCGACTTGAGACGGTCCTCGGGTACAGGGACGTTCTTGTCGTCTTTCTTGGAGACAGCAGGGGAAATATCACCCATCGCCCAATGAACATCAGAGCTCTTCTGTCGGTTGGAGTTATTGCTCAATTGCGACAAGGGCGCCGAGCCCTTAGATTCCTGTTCGCCTTCGTCGAATAGGCGGTTTTCGTACAGACCCTGGCCGCGACTCTGGTAAGAGCTGATAATGCGGCCATCATCTTCTTCGGTGTCCTCGTTCATCTGGAAGTGCACATCCGCGTCGCGACGAGGCTTGTTCACGTGTTGGCGGACCGGGGGTGTTGGTGCACCTGCCTCGTCACTGCAACCGAAGTTACGGTCCTGCTCGCTGAGCCCGACATGGACAGGAGCAGCCTTCTTAGGAGTGGCAACGTCTCCGAAATCCCACTGGGATTGGTTACGCGGCTTTCCACGCTTGGACTCGTCGGTCTTCTCCGGATCGGTGTCGTCCGCACCAATCTCGAAGTGGTTGAATCTCTTAGGATTGCTCTTGTAGGGGGCACGGGTTTGATCCAAATTGATTTCATCCCGGGTCTCCTGAATGTTGCCAACACTGCCCTTGGGCGCTCTCTCGGAAACCTCCAGGTCAGCGTTGTCAGCACCAATCTCGAAATGGTTAAACCTCTTAGGGTTGCTCTTGTATGGGGCACGGTCCTGGTCCAGGTTATCTTCGTCTCGGGGTTTGCGAGCACCAGCCTTGGGCGCAATCACTCTTTCAGCCTTGGAGGGTGTGGGGGGAGCATCCTCGTCAATAAAGATGTCGGACAGGTTGCGCGCAGGGGGTTTCGCAGATGACGGCGCATAAGGGAGGACGGTAGCAGCGGGGGCCTTGCTAGGCGATAGAAGCTCGGACAAGGAGCCAGCTCCATAAGGATCTCTGTGGTGTCGCTTGCCGGGGGAAGATGGTCGTGGAGGGCGTTCATTCTCGTTCGTATCCTTACCGGGCGAGAGGAGGTTGGCAAGGGAGCCGGCGCCGTAGGGGTCCCTGATGTGTCGCTTGCCGGGGGAGCCAGGTCGCGCGGGGGGTTCCTTAAATTCCTCCTGGGATGGAGCCAAAGGCGGCGCGGATTGCGCATTCGCAGCCGATCGCAGCAAACGGATATGCTCAAGGCCGGTGCGGATGGGCCAGTTTCGACTGCGCGCGCCAATCATTTCCACCTCTTTCAAGAGCGAACCCTGGTCCCAATAGATGCGGACCTGTTGAATTTCATGTTGGGCGTTCCAGCGGACGATGTGGAGCTGCAGGAAGCTGCATTAGCACTGCTGCAGGTCATGGGGATCTCGGGGAATTTACCGTGGGAATGGTCACGACGCGGTCGGCCAAGTGGTCCTCACTCAAAGAGGGGAGATAAGCCCCGCCATTCTGGAGGAATTCCAGTGTTGTCTCGATGTCCAACACCAACGAATCAGAAGATTCAATCGCATTGATGATATTCTCTGCCTTTTTCTTGACAATGGAGGATTGGCGCGACAGATGGGTCAGTACCGAATCACTGCCCTCGAATTTGGTGGTTGAAGTGACGTAGATCAACGAGATATTCGCGGCGACCTGGGCGGACCTAGGGTTCGCCAGGAACTTGCTATACTCAGTGTGGAAGTAACTCATGGTCAACCAGTAGCAACCCAAGTGGTTTTCACGACGCAAGGGAAACGAGGAAAGAGAGGTAAAGGAAGGACGGGGGAGGGTATCAGGGGGAAATTGAGACCAGCCGAGGGGGCACCTGGGAGATTACGACTATGTCCTCAAAGGCCGAGACTAAAGGATTGACTGAAGAAAGAATTACACTGCAAGGGACTGCTCCACCCGGTTAGAGAGCCATTGTTTGTTCAGCATCTACGATGTACGCGTCCGAGCAACTAGATGTCCGGGGTACCAGATACCTGGGAAATGATAGGGAGTACCATACTATTGACTGGTATACGGTACCTAGGCGATCGGAATCATCCAGTAAATAAAAGCACGCGCACGGGGAACCAAGAAAAAACACGCCAGTGTTTCACTTGGTCGCGGGAGAGCCCCAGTCGGAGCCACGGTTTTAGGGCCCGCGTCTCTCCGGCAACTCATGCCAGATATAGAGTTCACATGAAATTCCAGTGTTAAATTGGGGCAAATTCTTCTTTATATCTAGGCGTTTGGAGACTGGCATAGTATTCCAAAGTTTAGTTCCTCGGTGGGTAACAGCTTTTGTTCGGTTCAGTTGAAAACAGTGGAGAGAATCTTACTTCAGCTGGTACCTGCAGGTGCCACGCTCAAGTGATCTTTTTGGATTGTTTTCTACTAAAGCCCTCGCTAGGTTAAATTTAACCTGCATGCACAAATAGCATAGTTGCAATGCATGTGTTCGAAACATTGAAGCGCCTATTCGCCAGATCTCGCTTTTTGGTTCTGTGATAGGGATGAACGCCATCTCAAATAGTATAGTCATGTGAAAATGGATGACAGGTAGTGGGTATGTGTGCGGCTCGTATCTCATTACAGGGGCCTGTGAAAGGAGTCATGTAAGCATGTGAATCATTGGAAGAAAAAGAGCCCACTTACCCAAGATAATCCTCCTTAATTGTGCCAATCGCATTGATTGCAGCCACATCTGGCTTCACACCGAGAATCTTGAGTCGCAAACTTGTACCTTTCTCGATCACCTGGTCTGCGTGGTCAGTGTATTGGGGGGGTACGGTGTTAGGCTCCCACTTGATGTCGGAGGGAATGTTCTATGATGCAGGTTAGTCATGGTCTTCAAGATATGGATAAGTCCATACTTTGCGGGCAATGAAGACAGATAAAGGACCGGCCAATGTGAAAATGCCCGTGGGCTTCACGGAGGTGACGATAGCGTCGACCTGATTGTGTTGATGTCAGCAAAAGATTGAAATCGTAAAGCCAGAGCTAGACTCAAGTCTAGGCTGGTTCGGGTCTCAACCTTGTGCACATACAGTCTCTCCTCGGAATGGTTTCCAGATGATTGCGCGATATTTGATTGTGTATTCAGCGTGGCCGCTGGAGGGTATGACTCGGCCCTCGCCAATATCAACCATATCCATCACACAGATCACGAAGTGGTCTCCCGTACACCGACCTTCCTCCTCCTCATTGAGTCGGGTAATAAGGTACTCGCGCATATTGGGTCCGAAGTAAGAAGGGTGCAAGGTGATCACCTTGGCCTCTTCTTTGAGGAAGAACATATTTGCGGAAGCGCGCTTCGCTCAATTTGTCGTCAAGGTAGTGAGGGGGTTCGACGCTTCGCGATTGCGGATCTGAGGAAGGTTCTGTGACACGGCTCGCGAGTAGGTTATGAGGAGGGGTGCTTGGAAAGGTGCTGTGACTTTGCGCAACACAATGCGATGCTTTCAATCGAGGTTAAACGTCGACGAGCCTGCTACCATGACCTGACAATGGTGTAAGAGCAGAGGAAAATATGCGCCTAAAGGCGTGGGCGGGTAGAAATGAGCAGGTGCTGAGTCTGCCGGAGATATGAAGGCAGATCGCAATACTGCGGGCACGCTGGAGCTGCTGACGATTGTCTCGGGGTTCATGGCGGGCAAGTCCAGATCTAACTTGGAGTTGGGTCACGTGATATCTGGATTTAGTTCATTCACTTGGTCAGAACATGCGAAGCCACGCATGATTATCAATTGGATTCTGCTGTTTCTGAGTGCATGGCTGATTTTACCACTATCTTATTCACAGAGTCGTTAAGAGAAAATTATGTTTGTGGTGGGTGCCACGTTCCTGAAGAACCGGGTTTCAACATTTGACGGTTGAAGAAATATATCCTGACAACAAGCAACAAGCAGCCCAGGAAACCATCCACAATATATTGTACAGTAGATGCCTTGCCATAGGATAGCAAACCCAGAACGCCAAAAAGCGACAAAAACCTATGCGCTTATACAAATAGCTAATGTTAGCAATTCTTTCTTCTTTTAGACCTATATACCTACCTAGATCCAAGGCGCATGTCCAGGTGTGCAGTAGGTATTGATCTGGAAGCCAACACTTGAGCTCCATATAAGTTGGCAATATTATGCCACTATAACCAAAAGAATTCTATTAGCTCTAGCCCCTGTGGGTTTTGTCGCTATCCTGTATTGTAGTTCATGTTAAATTTTTGAAGATTGATGTTGTATATAATATGTAACAGCGATTACAAGAAATACAGAAAATTACCACACAAAGCTGCATTTAAACTTTGACAATACCGTACAGAAACAACTCTATCCTCTGGGGCACCTCGGCCCAAGCACATGGCACCACTCAGAGTTCACGTTTAGCTGATGATAGAGCTTCCCCAACATTTCGTTCCCAGCACCCCGCCCTCGAGCAACCTGGCGACCACCCCAGAATGGCGCTGAACTTGGAAAAGCAGTTGCTCTTCGTGAGTCCACTCCGTTCAGAATTATTATTTACCATGATACTGACCGACTTTCTCAGTATGGAGCTTACCACAGCAACCCAGTATGGTATCTTATTCTTGGACAACCGAGCGCGTAGGCTTATAACTATCTAGGTGAACGTGGCAATTCACATCACCTGTGTTCCGATCCTGCTGTTCACCGGTATTGCTCTGGTACGTGTTTCCGCTCTCTGCAAGGCTCCTTCAACGCGACCTCGGTATGACTACGAACTAACACAATATCCACGACCTGAACAGGGTTGCAACAGCCCACCGCTTTTCAACGTTCCGGACTTCCTGAGTGTCGAATACCTTCCCCCGAACCTTGGCACCATTGCTGCCTTTATTTACTCGATATTCTATGTTCTTCTCGAACCGGTCGCAGGCGGCCTGATCGCACCGCTAGTGATCGGCTCCGCAGCATGCGGAAACTACCTCCTCGGAAGCTACGGAATGATCGTGAACTACTATGCGGTGGGTATTCATATCGTGTCATGGCTAGCACAATTCGTGGGACACGGTAAGTTCGAGGGACGGGCTCCGGCGTTGCTGGATAATTTGGTCCAGGCGCTGCTGCTAGCACCACTCTTTGTGTGGATGGAGATTCTGTTCTTTTTCGGGTATCGGCGGGAGCTGAAGCAGCGGATGGATAAGAATGTGGAAGTTGAGATCGAAAAGTTCCGCAAGGAGAAAGAGCAGAAGAAGGGCAAGGAAGCGAAGTAAGGTCATGGATCGTTTGCTTTGCTTGGGAAGCAGTCGGGTGTGAGGTTTGATTGGTTTCGGGGCCAAGGTTCAATGGGAAACCATGCCCATAAGGAGTGCCATCTCACACTACGGATTATGCAAATCTAATGATATCTGGATATCTTGTGCTTGCATGTAAATGGAAATTGTGGAAGGTTGATGTCATTTCGGAAGGGGATATAATGTTAGCTATGCCCGAGTGGAAGAGGTGGTAACTCCCCATATAGACATGTCTTTTGTGACTATGGTAATAGTCTCAACCCTTGGCGACAGTGCATATATACAGTGCACATTTATACTGGATATAAAGCTGTACACACTGTTTACTTACTCCAGGAAGTTCACCCCATACTATTTACTATCCGGTTGCCGTGACGAAACACATTACCTAAGCCACACACCTGACCAAGGATTCCGGCGACCCGAAGAGAAAAAAACGGGTAGCGGCTGGCCCGTTCTCGGAGCACCTCGCACAGTGCCATTCTGGTCGATTTTTGGTGGGAAAATTTAGAGTCGTATGAAAGGGAAGGAAATATAAAATCTTTCGGAATTAAAAGTAAAAAAATGGGAAGCTATAGTTCGTAACCAAGCCATGATTTCGGCGGAAAGAACAGCGTGGAGGTACACTAGGGCCACTTCGGAGGGACTTAGCCCCTTAAAACGGTTTAGCGCGAGACCTGAGAATCCAATCCTCCCGACAAAGCTCTCCCTTCCCACCCGTCCACAACCTCTTCTCTCCTCTCCGAACTCCTCTCCCCAATTACATCCTCCCTCTCAGAGAATTTATCCTCACACCCTCTGAACCCCTTTCATAATGTTCAGGAACGCTCTGCGGCAGTCCAGCCGCTCGGTTGCGGCCGTCCAGGCCACTGGCCGCATCGCCTCGGTGAGTCCATCCCGTCCTGGCCATCCTCGTCCATCGCCTTGTCCGGCCTTTTCCATCTCGAATTCGAGCTCGATTGGTCCTCGGATCCCTATCCTACCCTGCGCCCATCCATTGAGGATACTTCGATCACTCTAGCACCCCCGAGCTCGTCGTTAACAAAGTTTTCGCCATGTTATAGGTTCGCGCGGCTGTCCCCGGCCCCATTGCCGGTGCCTCCAAGCAGGTCCGCTCTTACGCCTCTGAGGCTAAGGCCACCCCTACCGAGGTTTCTTCCATTCTGGAGCAGCGCATCCGTGGTGTTCAGGAGGAGGCTGGTCTCGCCGAGACCGGTCGTGTTCTGTCCGTCGGGTACGTCAATTCCGCCCAGGGCGGGTAAAGGGTCGTGAGGGAGAAAAATTCGGTCACCGGATACAACTTCGCCAGACGCGCCCACGCCTACCACCAAAACAATTCGAATCGAAACAGAAACTAACCATGTATCAAATAGTGATGGTATCGCCCGTGTCCACGGTATGACCAACGTCCAGGCTGAGGAGCTTGTTGAGTACGTGACCCCCTGTTACCCGAAAAGTCTTGGCATTATCAACTTTCAAAAACTAACAATTCTTTCAGGTTCGCTTCCGGCGTCAAGGGTATGTGCATGAACTTGGAGGCCGGCCAGGTCGGTGTCGTGCTTTTCGGTTCCGACCGTCTCGTCAAGGAGGGTGAGACTGTCAAGCGTACCGGTGAGATTGTGAGTTGTCCTCTCCTGGGTCTAATTTTGATATTGGATCTTCAGCCTCCTTTTTATCTCCACCACTTCCTAACACAAATCCTAGGTTGACGTTCCCGCCGGTCCCGAGCTGCTCGGCCGTGTCGTCGACGCTCTTGGTAACCCCATTGACGGCAAGGGTCCCATCAACGCCACTGAGAAGCGCCGTGCTCAGCTCAAGGCCCCCGGTATTCTTCCCCGTCAGTCCGTCAACGAGCCCGTGCAGACTGGTATGAAGTGTGTCGACTCCATGGTGCCCATTGGCCGTGGTCAGCGTGAGTTGATCATTGGTGACCGTCAGACCGGTAAGACTGCCGTCGCTCTCGACACCATGCTCAACCAGAAGCGTTGGAACGACGCCGGCAAGGAGTCTGAGAAGCTTTACTGTATCTACGTTGCCGTTGGTCAGAAGCGTTCCACCGTCGCTCAGCTCGTCAAGACCCTTGAGGAGAACGACGCCATGAAGTACTCCGTTGTTGTTGCTGCTACCGCCTCCGAGGCCGCCCCCCTGCAGTACATCGCTCCCTTCACTGGTTGTGCCATGGGTGAGTGGTTCCGTGACAACGGCCGCCACGCCGTCATCATCTACGACGATTTGTCCAAGCAGGCCGTTGCCTACCGTCAGATGTCCCTGCTTCTGCGTCGTCCCCCTGGACGTGAGGCCTACCCCGGTGACGTTTTCTACCTCCACTCTCGTCTGCTCGAGCGTGCCGCCAAGATGAACAAGACCCACGGTGCTGGTTCCTTGACTGCCCTGCCCATCATTGAGACCCAGGGTGGTGACGTTTCTGCTTACATTCCCACCAACGTCATTTCCATTACTGACGGCCAGATCTTCTTGGAGGCTGAGCTGTTCTACAAGGGTATCCGTCCCGCCATTAACGTCGGTCTGTCCGTCTCCCGTGTCGGTTCCGCTGCCCAGGTCAAGGCCATGAAGCAGGTCGCCGGTTCCCTGAAGCTTTTCCTTGCTCAGTACCGTGAGGTCGCTGCCTTCGCCCAGTTCGGTTCCGATCTTGATGCCTCCACCAAGCAGACCCTTGCCCGTGGTGAGCGTCTCACTGAGCTGCTCAAGCAGAAGCAGTACTCCCCCATGGCCGTTTCCGACATGGTTCCCCTTATCTTCGCCGGTGTCAACGGTTTCCTTGACCAGATCCCCGTCGGCAAGATTCTCCAATGGGAGTCCGACATCCTTGCTCACCTCAAGAGCAACCACCCCGAGATCCAGCAGACCATCGACCAGGAGGGCCAGGTCTCCAAGGAGCTTGAGGCCAAGCTCAAGGAGGTCATCGGTGCCTTCAACAAGTCTTTCAACGCATAGGTGAGCTAAGAAAACAACTTTGAGGGGTCCATGGTGATCGTTCTGTTTTCCTGACTCTTTCTATGTGTATAGACAAGATAGCTTGTACAATTTTGAGGCCATAATTTCGTTCTGTTCCTCTCGGTCCTTGACGTCCCACGGCGAATTTCGGTTTCAAGCCCTGGATGTAGCGATGTAAGGCTGTTTTCTTCTGTCTCTACTGGTTCTACTGGTCCGGGGTAGGAATCACGTTTCGCTGTGAGATACTTTGGGCTGACCGGGGCAGCCTGATCTTTGACCTTCCAAAATGTGATTATATCCTGTACGTTTAGATTTTTTCCGCGCATCGGGGGGCGCGTGATGGGAGGACACCAAATTAACTTCCGTCTGGTCTCCATGTGTCTCTCCATGTTGGATCCGCAATTCATTTTTCTTTTGTTCTATTTATTGCGTAAAATTTCTCGTAAGCTGTAAACCCGCTCTGCATTCAGTGGTCCTTCACCCGGGTAGCAGATCAGTGACATCTGTTTTGCCAAGTATAAGAAGTTATGCCCACTTATATTTTATTCTCATGAAAGTGCCGTCTCTCCAGCAACCCAGGATCCACCATTATAGCCCACCTATTGGCCGTAACAATCTTCATAATCATCTGGCAAGCCTGTTAGCCTGAAATTCAAGTCCCGGTACAAGCGGTCTCGGCAAGTGAGACCGAAAACGGCACCCGATCTCTTATCGATAAGCGAACAATCTTTTTCCCTCGAGTCAAGTCCCCCGCGCGTTCTATATATCCCAATACCTGTTGCCCAGAGTATCAATTATCGTCATGTCGGCTCCTACAGACACTGCGCCTGCCTCATGCAAGGTTATGCTTTCCAAGCACGTGGCCAATCGCTTGATCAGCGAGGTCCAGGAAGGCGTCAAGACTCTTGAGAAGCCGCCGCACCTGGTCGGATTCTTGGCGAACAATGACCCCGCGGCACTGATGTATGCGCAATGGACGCAGAAGACTTGTGAAGAGAAGTGAGTTCAATTCCCCGACGGCGTGCTTTCTGTGGCGTTTTCAGTGGCTTCAGTTTGTTGGTGGGGTTAGCGGGTATGATTCATACTTGCCCCTCGTCGCGCAGAGAAGAAAGCACCATACTCTCCAAACAGAAAAGCCAGACACCTAACATGGCTATAAAATTAATTGGCATGATACAATAAACTAATTCAACATAGTGGATTCAAGTACACTCTTCGCGAAGTTAGCCGCGACGATATCGAGGAACAAATTATTGGTGCCAACACCGACTCCGACGTTGACGGCATCATTGTCTACTACCCCATTTTCAACAACCGCCAGGACCAATACCTGCAGCAAATAGTTGATGTCTCCAAAGATGTCGAGGGTCTCAGCCACCGCTACATTTTCAACATGTACCAGAACATCCGCTTCTTGGACCCGGAAACCAAGCGCCAGAAGTGCATCCTGCCCTGCACGCCGTTGGCCAACATTAAGATTCTTGAGTACCTGAACATCTACAACACCATCCTGCCCTACGGAAACAGACTTTTCGGTCACACTATTTGCGTTGTGAACCGATCCGAGGTCGTGGGACGTCCTCTTGCTGCGTTGTTGGCCAACGACGGAGCTTGTGTGTACAGTGTTGATATCACTGGTGTGCAGAAGTTCACTCGTGGTGAGGGATTGCAGAAGCACCGACATGAGATCGTTGACCTCGAGGGTGCGACAATGAAGGATGTTGTCCCCCTGTGTGACGTTGTTATTTCTGGTGTGCCGGGTGAGAAGTTCAAGTTCGACACCAGCTTGCTCCGTGACGGTGCTGTCTGTGTCAACTTCTCCAGTGAGAAGGTGAGTTATTCTTTCAATTTTGGGAGTTGATTTTGAAATTTACTAAGATTATGTTGTATAGAACTTCGGCCCTGAGGTTAAGGAGAAGGCCTCCCTCTACGTTCCCTCCATTGGCAAGGTGACCATTGTCGTCCTGCTGCGCAACTTGTTGGTGAGTTCAATTCCTAATCTACTTAGATTGAAGAAACCTTGTAGAGAATGTCAATTAACTTCTATCACAGAGACTCATCCAGAACCGCCGGGTAGATGATGTTAAGCCTGCTGCTGCCACAGAGCGCCCTGGCACTCTTGAGGCTGAGGTTGTTGTATAGGAACAGCATTTGATTTTTTCTCAAAAATGATGGATGATTACCGGCCCTATGTGGAAAATTCTTGATATAGATTTGTTTTAGCCGAATGAATATATGTATGTTCTTACTTTACTTTCCGGATCGTTTCTAAGGTTCGTTATGTCTTCTTGTACACTGTCTCGAGAATTGATAATTATCGGCCAATGCAGGAAGCCCGCAGTACCAGATGATCGTAGATTCCAATATATTGGTGATATGCTCACTAAAGATATGCTCAATGCACCCTGCCACAAGTTCCCGAGATCAAAGCCATCATTTTAAAACGAACATGAAACAGTGCTCTTGATGTTTTCTTTGAACATCAACTGGAGCAAGCTCTATCGTCCCGAATCACCAGCGTTCTTCTTCTCACTCTCCTTCGCCGCAAGTCTTAGTACATCAACCTCACTCGCCAACCAGCGTCGGAACGGCTCCGGATGAAAAACGCCGTCAGTCGAGAACCATGTTGTAAAAGGAGCTACGATGCGCTTGTCCTGTAGGACCTTGCCAGCAGGGGACTTGTATTGGATGTGGAGTTTGTAGGGAACGGAGTTCTTAATAACAGACGAGGAGATAGATATCTGTAAATTGACTCTGTTAGTTTCAAGCATACATGTAGGATATTACTGCTCAGTTGTTTTAACTTACGGTCTCTCCAGTCTTTCGCTTTCCGCGAAATACCTCTCCAGCCTCCACGGCCCAAACCCAATATGTCAGGGCGGTGTTAAGAATGAAGTACGAGCATACGGCGACAATGACCCATGTCGATGTGGCGGCCTCCCAGCCTAGCTTGCGGTCTGCGTAAAAGGTAAATGCCGAGATTGCGACGGCGCTGTAGCCCAGCGCGAAGCGGACGTTGGTCTTGGTGTGGTCTGGGGTGAAGGTGTAGGGCGCGGGGAGGTTGGTCAAGTAGGGAACTAGGGCGTCATCGCTAGTGGATTTGAGGTCTGAAAGCAGATTTATGTTAGTTCATCCCAAGGAATTGCGAATATATCTTGCCCCGAGCAAACAAGGGTCCTGTGGCACGTAAGTTGGGGTAGGTAGATCTGGAGAGACGAACCGTTGGTGGAATAAATAGGCACCTTGGTAGTCGCCATGGCTGCAGTTCAGAGGAATTGATAGAATGGTACAGTCGTATCTCTTAGACTTATAGCCAGAAAAAAGTTGCAGACAAGGTGTTTCGTGGTGTTGATGGCCGGTGTTTATCGCAAGGACACAGTTGCGGGTTGGAGAGAGCTGGAGCTCGCGCGGGCCAATGATAGCCGCTGCCGCGAACCTCGACCACTTCAGTCCAACATCCCCTTCACCTCCCCCACACCAGCAAATCAACCGCCACGGGAATCCTCGCTGGGAGTCATTCGTGCAGCACTCTCAAGTTAAATTGCTCTGGCCTTTGAATCTGTTCATCATGGCCTTCCAAGGAGCTGAGCAGACCATCCTTCGGGATCCGGCGCTTTTGTGAGAAGCCATTTCGATGGACGCGGAGATACCTAAACTAACGGTTGTTTCAATAGCTATTGGATTTTATTCCCGATTTCAGTGGTCATGGTATGGGCAACACCATTCATCCGCTATACATACTCGATTCTAATTCATCGCACGAATAGATCCTCACCGGAATCCTGCGCCACTACGCAACGGTCCTAATGAACACCCCCCCGAAGTCCCCCGCCACCCTCGCTGCATCGCGCGAGCGCCATGCTCTTCTCCGTGGTGTTAACCTGCGCAACTATGCTTGCGCTGTTCTGGACCGTGAATCCTTCGAGATGCGCAAGAACTACCTGATCACTGGGTTCCGCAACGGCTCGTTTCTCAAGGACCCTAACAACCGGGGACAGCCTCCTGCCAACCCTATGACAGACCCAGCTGGCATGGAGCAGATGATGGGCATGCTGAAGGGAAACATGATGATGATGATTCCCCAGACGCTGATCATGAGCTGGATCAATGCGTTCTTTTCTGGATTTGTGATCTGTAGGTGTCCAGCGAGGAGATCAATAATTGTTCATTATTAACAGTCTCTAACAGTGAAATTGCCTTTCCCTTTGACTATTCGCTTCAAGTCGATGCTCCAGTCTGGTGTTATGACTCGCGACCTCGATGTGCAATGGGTTTCTAGTTTGTCATGGTACTTCCTCAACCTGATGGGTCTTCAGTCAGTCTTTGGATTCATCTTGGGCAGTGATAATGGTAAGTGATGATGGCTTTGCCAGAAAATGGGACAGTGACTGATGTTTTTTACAGCTGCCAACCAGATGGCTCAACAAATGGGCATGGCTAACCCTGCTGCCATGATGAACCCGATGCAGCCTGGCCAGGACCCCGATAAGCTGTTTTTGAGCGAGGCCGAAAACCTGGAGGTTATGGAGTACTTCTCCATTTTGAATGGAATAGAGGAGCGAGTCTTGCTCAACTATGCTCCCGAGGTGAATTAGATTGGATTAATTGGCGGGAGATAGGTGTCCATGTACGGTATATACAAAAGGGCAGTTGGCTCTGAATAGATCATGTTCACAAACCTTACTGTCTACAAAGGGCATTTACGAAAGCTGCATATCTTGTTATAACCCAGGCTTATCCATGGGACTTTCCATTATCATTAAACGTCCTAAGCAATTCATTATGTCGTAACGACGTTGAGAATCAACGATAATTGATCACGCTGTTCAACACCCAGACCTCTCCGTTGGGCACTTTCTCCGCAATACTGTCTACCTCGATATTGCCAGGTTGTATCTAGTATCAGTCAGTCATCAAAAGGTTCACAACAGAGAAAGTACACCTCAAACTCACAAATATTTTATCTCCCTCTCTTGTCCACTTGAGCTTCTCTCCTCTCAGCGATTCCACCTCCTCTCCTTCTTTCCAAGGGCTAACAGGAACGAGATGGGCTTCGACAAATCGTTCCAAGTTTCGCTTCGCGCGATCCTGCCCATCTTGCCCTTCATAAGCATTGACGTCCCCATACTTCGCATAATCCTCTGGGTCTTCCCACGGTTTACGGGGCAATGCCTGAACAGCACTATTCCGTGGTGCCAACACGGTGACATTCTTCGAGGAATCATTCAAACGAGAGGCGATGGGGTCAAAATCGCGGGTCAGCTGAGCGAAAATATTGATTCCCTTGGTTTTGGGTAGGACATCAGCGATCATAGGTGAATCTGCTTCTGGACCTGTTTCGGAGCCAACAGGCTGCGGCTTACTGAAGCCTGGGATGAATTTATCCATGATAGGATGTTGATTTTGTGATAGACCTAGGCGGGCTTCTCGGAGAGTGTTCGGGATGGAAAGTCCTAGAACTGCAGCTAAAGACCCTAAAGAAATCCACAGCAGAAATAAGGATGTGATTTGAGTGAAGAGTCTCATCTTGGTTGAGCTGGGAAGTGGGATGTACATTGTAGTACAGCTTCAGCCCATGACGCAAGAGAGCACGTGATGCAGATAAGTAATGTATACCACGTGACCGTTATCGATAAGACAGAAAATGGCAATGGCCGTCACCGGAGGGGAAGGCGCGCCCCTGCTATTGACCTTATATCTCACTAATTTGTGGTGTGGCCGCTCCCTTTTCACATCATGTCGGCTCTACAGACCTTCATGCTGGCCGTTGACAACGACAAAGATGAAGCAAAGAGCATCGCTGCCTCCGTGGCCCAAGGTAAATATTGTCCAATCATGCCACCCCGCACTCGTATTAGTGATGTGACTCTAATCGAGTTGCAAATGCAGATCTGGAAAGCAAGAAGACCACTTTGATCGACATTGTCCGGCAACTTGGCGAGTATATCAATGACGAAGATCCAATTCTACGTGGAAAGGCGATTTCCTTCCTCACTGCGGTGATCAAGGCTCTGCCACCCCGCTTCCTATCGAGACAACAGATTCAGGTTTTGACAACATTCTTTGGTGACCGAATTGAGGATGGCGGTGCAGTTGCGGGCTTGGACAGATTGCAGGGATTGGAGCGGTTCAACAAGGAATTGGCTATCGAGACTGCACAGGCGTGAGTCTCATACTTTGTCTTATAGCCGGTGAAATACTAATGGCTTTATAGCTTGTTCGGTAATTTCCAAGACCTACAGTCTCGTTCCCAGACACAGCGGTTTCAAGTCTATCAGTTGTTGAACGAATTGATGTCGAGGCACCGCGAGGCTTTGCGTGAGATGGGTGATGAATCCCTTATGGGAATTGTGGATCTCATGACCGGAGAGAAGGATCCACGTAATCTTATGATGGTTTTCTCTATTCTGAAGGTTGTTATGATGGAGTGGGATGTTACGAACCATGCCGAGGTTAGAATGCCGCAGCCAGCCATAGTAACACAGCAGCTGATTTCACTAGCTTCTTTTCGACTCGGTGTACAATTATTTCCCTATCACCTTCCGACCTCCACCAAACGATCCATATGGAATCACCGCACAAGATTTGAAAGGCAGATTGCAGGATTGTATCTCTGCATCGAGACACTTTGCTCCGCATGCTATACCTTCATTGCTGGACAAGCTCGACTCTACGTCTCCGAATGTTAAGGTATGTTACTTGGTGAATTCCTAATATGCTAATGCTAATATCCATCTAGAAGGATGCTCTGAACGCATTAATTGCGTGTATTCATTCATATGACCCTGACACCGTATCCCGTTACTCAATCACCATCTGGGAGGTCCTCAAATTCGAAATTCTGAATGCTCAAGAGGAGTTTTTATCAGAGTCATCTCTGGAGGCTCTTTCAGGAATCGCAAAGCGACTTTCCGAGGGAGTCACTGAAATTTCGTCAGATCTGCCCCTTGCACAGTACCTCCGCCCTATCACCCAGGAGTGCAATGAGCAATTGCAAGAACCTCAACAGAAGCAGGCAAAGCCTGCTCAACAGATCCTTAGCTCGCTATCTTCGTCTTCTGCTGTAGCATTTACAATCATTGTGCAGTCTGTTGTTGCTCCCATCTTTACTATCTACCAAGAGGCGGATGGAATTGTTAAGCAACGGGCTCTCCTTGAGACGCTAGCTGTCTTGTTCCAATCTGCAACCCAGGTCTTTGGACAATGGACAACTCGTGGAGGCGAAGTTGCCCAAGCGAACCCCTTGGTAGAGTTCAAGGATCAATTTTCAGATGTCCTGGGACAGGCTCTGATGGGCTCTGCCAAAGATGAGGTTTCTTTCCGTGTCACTGCACTGAAGGGTTTCCTGCGGCTTTCGACTTTGCGTGATTTCTTCCAGGAAAATGAAATCGGGTTGTTTGTTCAATATTTGGATGAAATCCTCCTCACAGAGGAGTCCGTTGGTCGGGATGACCTAAAGAAGGAAGCCATTGCAGCATTGGCGGAGATTTCCAAGCACAAGCCTCGACTGATTATGGATATTACTTTCCCTGCATTTGTGGCCACACTTCCAGATGAAGATGATGGCACGAACTCAACTTACTTGTCAACCTTGGATACTCTGGCCCAGATCAGCGTTGAGAGAGACATTTTCGAAACGCTGTTCCGGCGTCTCTTCAGCAAGCTATCGATTTTACTTCAAAAGGAACAGCCTGGGTCTGCAGCCTATCCTCGAGCTATCCTTGTGACTCTGCTTTATGTCATGCAGCAGAGGCAGATGGACGCCGATCCAAATGTGGATTTGTACTTTGATAAGATTGTTGTTGGTCTCTGCCAGAGCGTTGCAGAGTCAGCCTCAGGAAAGGGAAAGAACCGTCTCCTCAATGATCCCACAATCCTTGATACTCTAGGTCGACTTTGCAACCTTCTCGTACGTGCCGTGTCGGTTCAAAAGCAAGAGCAAGCCGCACAGAACGTCTACAGTCTCTTCTCGACAGGAGGCTTTGTACCGGTTCCTTTCTCTGAAGGTGCCAGTGCTGATCAAGAACGTACAATCATCATTTCGACATATCTTCTCGCGGGCTTGTCAAAGGAATGCGTCAATCTCATTCCCAATACATCCCCTGATATGTCAGGCCTACTTTCAGACCTGGTCAAGCGATCTGTATCTGACAACGCAGAACCAGCCACGCATAACGCATTCCTGCATCATCTGGCACTGCTTGTTAACAAGTTCCTGTCAAAGCAGGATTTGAAGATTGCCGAGAATCTCTTCGATTCTCTTGTCTCACCTGAAGGCCAGGCTTTTACTCCTGCCACGATTCGTACCATCTTCTGGTTATCAAAGGCTCTCGTTCTTCGCCTTTCTCCATCCACTACACATATCCTGACCTCTTTGATGGGTCTCCTTTCCTCTCCAGACCAACAAACCAGCCACTCCACTGCTCGCGGATTTTCCATTCTCCTTGGAGAAGATGATGTCCTTTCCGCAGCCAACGGTGCCACCATCCGCCTGCTATCCAAGCAACGCGTCTTCACTACTGTCATTCCGTTGATTTCATCCCGCATCCGCGATGTCAACGTCGCTGGCAATGACGACTCCACTCCCACTACATCATCAGACCACATCAAACCAGCCCACTTAACCGCCCTCGCGGGCATCCTCTCCACAATTTCCACAGCCCTCGTCATGCCCGAACTTCCCACCTTACTTCCACTCCTCCTCCAATCCCTCGACCTTCAAACATCCGACTCTGTTGCTGTTCGCGCTGCAACTCTCGACACCCTCGCGGTTATTATCCGCGATAACGGTGTCACCACTATTGACAAGTGCGGCCATGTCCACAGTCTTGTCCAGAGACTCCTCAAGACAACTGTAGCCAGACCAGGCTCTGGTGTCGTGAACCCTCCCCGTCTCCGGGTTGATTCACTCAAGTGTCTCTACCTACTTGCCACAAGACAGACTTCTGGCGAGTCCGGCAATGCCAAGATTCCACCTGCGATCTCCCCGCTTCTTCCAGAAAAAGCACAGGTCCTGCGTTCTTTGCGGGCCGTTTTGGATGACCCAAAGCGTGATGTGCGGAAGGCTGCTGTTGATGCGAGCAGTGCTTGGTTCCGGGGTGTGGATGATTTACCCGAGGAAGATGATTGAGGGTATGATCGATGTGATGATATAGTCACAGGTACTTACCTTAGTACATAGTCTTTGGGTGCATTATACTAGAATAGAAAAGCTCCTGCTCCGTCCTTTTTCATTCTCCCTTTAGCATACCGCTGAGTTATTGTAAAGATTATAGGGAACATACCAGAAATAATGGTTGACATTGTGGGCCTTTATTGAAAAGAAGAGGAGTTTTTTATTGAACACCGCAAAATTAGTTGAACATTTTCACCCACCGCATCTAAGGTAGCGCAGTATTCAAGATATAGAGAGTGAAAACTTTTGAGTACACACTCAAGTACCTGCATGCTCACTTTATCTATAGACCACGCTGGAATGTGAAGGTGGTCAAAGAGTGATACCGAGTGATACCTATATTATGATTTTAGTGAAGCGTTATCTCGTATATTGACGTGAATCAAGCGAAGATGATGCGATGTCCTTTAATACTCGAGATAGCACTGTTCAGAATGACAATTACTGCGCTATTTCAAATGCGATTGGTGAGGGTGTTCAACTAATTCTGTGGTGTTCGTTCAACGCACTTCCAAAAAGGGGTCTCTTTTTGTTTGCATAGATTTAGGTTCTTAAGCGTACTAGGTATCCGGGGGAAAAGCGGGGAAAGGTGGAGGTGGCTTTTAGTAACCAAACACACACGTTTCCATGGGATTATCATTTTCTCGGTAAATCGCTTATACCACTTCCTCCCAGATACACGATCCCCGTATTCATTTGAGCACAAGAGTATTTGCAATTTACCACGGGTTTAGGGATGCGTCTTATTTACGTATCGGCCGCACAACATGTCGACACAATGTGTAGAATCGCGAGGTATCACGTCTTTCGGAGAATTGGCAGTGACAGCGACCTCGCAAGGGACGCAAAACCAATCGTGGCCATTGCTCTCGATCTACTTAGCATGTTGGACATCGTAATCAACAATGCAGGTGTGACCGGCAAGGTATCTCCGCATGACGACATCGATGTAGAGAATTTCAGGCTTGTCTGAGGTGGTCAAGATCCTAATAAGTCAATACTTTCCTGGTGCCAAATGGGCAGGTTTCTGGTCCGGCTCGGGCCCGGGGTCGAAGTGGTCACTAGCTGATTTGGAGTCCGCTCGTCCTCCGAGGAGTAATGAGCAGACTCATCCTGAAATGTCGGGGAACCATCGTTCCCCTTGTCGCTTGAGTTCAGACGAGTGATTCGGGGAGTCATCATATTGAACGGAAGATTACCGGGAAGTGGATATCAGGTTTGTCTCATGATCCTTCGGGTCATTGATATGGGTCTTGGGTTCGGCTTGGCTGCAGAGGTTGGATCAGATTGTGGGTGTTGGGTTTGTTGTTGTTCGACCTGCGTAGGTTACATGCATGAGGACGCGACTGGCGGTTCAGGTTGAGAAGAATGGAATGAAGACTGACGAACGAAGAAGAGGGAGGAGACGGAGAGAAAAAGGAGACAGCTCACGATCCAACCAGCGAGTCACTCTTCAAAGCCGGACTGGGTCGTAGCTTTTTATCATCTCGACGGTGCTCAAATGAATCTGAAATGAGCTTTGATGACAAAATGTTTCAGGCTGTAATGATAGACTTGGAGGATGGACGACGATGGTGATTTTTCAGACATTGTGTGAACCATATCTTGGGTCGTTGATTGCCCAGGCGGTTCAATGCAATAAACAGTCGCAGAACCGACAATATGCAGCTATTGAATTTTGGGTCTAGTTGCTGTAGTATTCAAGTCCCACATGACATGACAAATTTATAAAACATCAGTACCGTCGGGTCTCATCGAATGACTGTCCTTCATATAAGCCCCGTCCTGCATATCCGACCACACCTCGAACAACGAGGGCAGGGAACACTTCATCCACCCTGGAAATGACTCATACGGATCTACCTCTAACACCTCGACGAGTTTCACATAATAACGTCTCTTCTCTTCGTATTTCGAGTCCTCAGGAAGGTGAGCGTTGTGTAACGTTTGAAAACTTTCTTCGTCAATGACAATAAACATGCGATAGCCAGGAAACTCATCGAGCACATCGCGCTTAGTTGCCTTGGCCCTGAAATGCTCGCGGAGCTGGTCTATCGATGATCCGTCGAACTGGGAAGCATCTTCAACGACCCGTGGCTGGTAATTAGGCCAAATCTCATCCCAGGGAGTGAGGTTGAACTCATTTGCCCTGGAGTTGTACTGACGGGAAGATTCGTAATAATTGTAGAATCCAGCTTTCATGTACTTCGTGATGAGGTCGACCATACGCGGGAAAGCGGCATTGGATTGGGGAGTATAGGTCGTCCGGTAGATGGTGTAGCCCCAGGTGGGCTCAGAGTAATGGAGCCATTCATAGATGTTACGAATGGAGCCTGGAAGCCAGTGGCATTGCTTCATCGGCTTTCGAAGTAGCGACATGATGGGTCGACTTTGGATGTTGCGGTGGTTTAGAGGGGAGTTGTGGGCGGAGAAAAGTCCAGCCTCATTGGAACCTTAGAAAGGACCGCTTTATAGTCCCCCTTAGGGCTGTGAGCAGGTTTATATCAAACTTCCTGTCCCCTTCAAATTACCCTACTTGTACTGGTCCCTGGTCAATCAAGTGTCTCCAGCATAAATTACCGTTAGTTCCTTGGCATCATTCCCACATTATCTTGGCATATTAGGGCCATAGACGGAGTACGGAATACGGAGTAGAGAGTAGAGAGTCAATGTTACTGTCTCTCCATGTGGTACTTGATCCCTCGTACGTTCGATCTAGTGCCTCGCAGTCGGTCTCTAATGACTGAGTTAACCCAACACACCTGGGCAGGTGATGTCAAGTAAGTCCTCCCTAAATTGAACCCATGCTTTATCTAATGACCCGCGTATCAAGCTCATTGGCCCTCACTAAGAGAATATATCGCTTCACATCAACATCTGGTAAAGGTCTACTTTGTTTCTGATGTACGATCTTCTTATTAACTGTACTGAAGATAAATAACAAAAATAAATATGCCTAGAAAGTCTGGAGTCCCTTCGTCATAGCGGTCGTCATACATGAGATCTAACAATATCTAGGTCAACAGAAAGCTGCCATTGGGTATCTGTGCTACCCGAAAACGCCATGCACCATAGTCAAAATAAGAATGGACGATGCAGAAGAGGCCATAAATAACCCAAGGTGGATGTGCAATGCGAGGAATCTGAAATGGCATATGGAAAGGGTATTCGGGTTCTGTATCATCGTCAGCAACTGTGAAACCCCAAATGCAGGAAGAATCCCTACATTATTTTTGAACCTGGTTCTTGTTCAACTGGATAGCCCACTTCATCTCTGCTTCTGTCTCCTTCAGGGACACAATGGCAGCATCGATCATAGCATTATTGGCATGAGCCCGCTCAATAGTTCCCCGAAGCTCCTCATCCTTCGTCTTCTTGTACTCTGCATGATTCTCCAGAAGCTTCTCATGAGCTTCCTTTAACCCCTCGACCTCCCTATTCTTTTGCTCGGCGATGACATCCAGCCGCTCCGCACACACCACCTGCGTCTTCTGTGCTTCCGCCATCGCCTGTAACTCTGTCCACAGTGCCTTTACCCGACGACCCAGCTCTGCTTTCTCGCGCTTCGTCGTACTAGATAAGACCTCATACTGTGTCTCATGGTATTTGGCAATTTCCTGTGTATGCGCCTGCTCCCGATGATGATTTTCGCGTTCTTCACGCATAGTGTCGTTCGTCCTGCTAGCATTCGCTTCCGCATCTTGGCGTTTACTCCGTTCGCCCGCGTGCTCGGCGCGAAGTTCTTCAATTTTCCGGTCTTTCCGAGCGATGGAGTTTAAGTTGGTCTCGTTGACCTGTTCTAGATTCCGAAGCCGCTCGTTCATGTTCTGTGCTTGTATCTTCAAGGCTTCGTTCGAGCGCTGTGTTTCTTCGGCGCGCGATCGGTACAAACTGCATTCGCGTGTGAGGCGCGCGATTTCTTCTTGTAGGTTATGGATGACACGTCCGGATTTGCCAGTTGCGGCATGGCCGACGGCAGACCATTCTGTGGGACCTTCGCCAGTGTTTATGTTTGGGCTTTCGGATGAATTGGAGGGTTGGGACGGGGAATTGTTGGAGTCTGCGGTAACCAGCGGTTAGTCAGTATACAGAGCTAGCCCTGAGGTATTCACGAGATGAAGGAAGGTTCAACTAACCTGTAAGACTAGTATCAATGCCGTTTCCATCCGCCATCAGCCCAAGCCCGTCCCCAGCCTCATCTTCGAAAAAGCCATTGCATTGGTGCATGTTCAGCTGTGTGTCCACATGTGGGAGATTTACCTGTGGCGCTTCTGTCGTGGTAGACGAGGAGTCAGTATGGATGGTATCGAGCTTTCGAAAGGACTCAAGCCGTCGCATAACGCGCCCCAGGTGAGCCATACTGGATGACGTTTGGGGGCGCTGAGAATTGGGGCCAGACGTGAAGTGTGCGTGTCTGCATGACAGATCCAATTTCCTGCACGATGCGAGGGGGCCGTTCTCTCCTTCCAGAACAGACAATGGCAGTCGCAATCGTGTCCCAGAGTACACTGTACCTGGAGGGTTTCACACTTACCAGTATTAAAATTGAGTCGGGGGAGGTGAGTAGTGTTTTTATGTCGTCTGATCATCGAATCTGGAATTAACGGGACATTCTAATGTGGGTCGTTCGCGCGTTGTGGAGACCCTGAAATCAATAGTGTCAAGAAGATCAAAACAGAGGAATTAATAGAAACAAAGAGCAGAAAGAGAAGGAACAATGTAAACACTCCAACCAGGCACAATGAGAATGGGAGTGGAAATGAAAAAGGAGGTTCATCCAGTTGGGTTTCGTCCCGTCGCGTACGCCATTTCACTAGAGCCGGACGCTAAGGGGAGGGTTGGCGAACCATGATTACATTGATGTCAAAACAATGAGATCATAATACATTACAATAGAAAAAAAAAGAAAAAAGCATATGAATGAGACCTGAAATCATTTCAATTACCTCCACTAAAGTACGCCTGTCAATGATATCAAGGGGTATTGGGATGTATATACAGGAAGGTAGCCCCAGTCCAAACGTGGAGATATGAAACGAGTGACATTGCATCGCCCAAACCCAAACAAATACACCACCAAAAATATGAAATTAAAACCCAATGTAGAAAAGCACCGCCATGGCACCAGCTGCTAGCCCAACAGAGTATCGCGAAACGGACGCAGAGCTCTGAACACTTCCGGTCTCGGATGCCGCCTTTCCATCCATAACATCTTCGGTACCAAAGGGAGCCTCAGCCGACATGGAGCTGGTGGCAGAGCTTGAGGTAGGGGTGCCAGATGGAGTTCCGGAGGGCGCAGAGCTGATCAGAGCCCTGCTGCTGGCGCCAGTCATCTCACCGGTGGGCATGCTCATTGTCCCGGTCATTGTTCCGGTCATAGGGGCGGCAGTGGTGCTTGCGGAAGTACCGGTGTGAGTGGTCTCCGTAGGTTGAGGGTTGGCAGGGGCGGCGGCCGTCAGCAAAGCAGAGTAGTTGCGCTCGCCATCTTGGGTGACCTGGAAGGCATAGGTCTCGCCCTCCTTGATGTTGGCACCAGGGGTCCAGGTGAAAGTGCCGTCCTTGGCCTGGTCGGTAATGGTCTCCACGTCCTGCAGGTTTCCGGAAGTACCCTTTCGGAGAGTAAGAGTGACAGGCTGAAACAAGTCAGCAAACACCCACAATGGTATGTATAATCGATTGGTCTCAACTTACCCCGTTAGTGTTGGCACCGGTCCATGTGAGAGTGACGGGCTTGCCAGCGGCGATATCTGCCGGCCAGCTGGTGAAGGAGAGGGGATCGGCAGCGTAGCCCAAGGTGAGGAGAGAAGCTGACACAGCGAGGATGGTGGTGAAATGCATTATGCTGAGAATAATGAATGACGATTAGAAATGGAATATTAAAGAAAGTATGCCGGGATTAAGTCCTATATTTGGCGACGAAGAATATTGATATTCAAAAAGCCAGGACGCAAGTGGCGCTCGAAGGTTCTTATTCTTCTGACAGGAAGCCCCAGCCCTTGCAAAGCAGGCATAAATCCAGTGTGCTGGTATTCGAGAGTTGATACCCACGCCCTGGGAGAATGTCGCATTCCTGGGGTGGTTTAAACAGCATCTCCATCTTGCTATACAAGCATGTAACCCCCGTTGGCTGGAGAATTCTTCCAGTAAATGCATGGAATTCTCCACAAATGTCCCAATTGGTTCATAATCTAGAGTTGTATGAGTCCTGGGCTCATGATCAAGGTGTACTGCAAGCTGGTCAAGAACAATGGTGCCAGGCAGTCTGATTCCACAGGCTTGAACTGTTTTGATCATACCTCCAAGTGCTCCTTGACAGGTTAGATCAAAATACATAAACAATGCACAGACCATGGCTGGCGGGGGACCTTTAAGGAATGTTATCCCTTCCCGAAGTGTTGACGACCAAGGCATAGGGCTTCCGATGACCCGTTCCCGTAATTCATGATGTCGAGCCAGGTATTTCAAGGCCCTGAGAACATTGTTCTCCGAGACCCGTAGCTTCAATTCCATACCAAGGGGGACAGAAAGCTTTTTAGATTGTATTTACTGTCGATCTTGTCGTTCAAGTCTGGGGATCGCTAGCTGTCGATCATATAATCTGCAAGGGCGGCCGTCAACCTTGGACATGCAGAGTATACGACTGCGGCAATTTCTTCCTGCGTTCACTCTTGGACTAAAGTTTATATTAAACTTGGTTTGTATATTGATCGCGTGACTGTATCAACATTGAAATAAGACATTTCCTTTATGCAAGACTAAATTCTAGCATGATATCAACAATTTTATCCTCCGAACGCCAGCTGATGGTTATATGCTAAAAGGTTATATTTAGGAAAACTCCCACAGACCACGCATGAAGCTTCCAGGGCCTGAGTCGACGCCACCATCCTCCTCGAGCATACGATCGGTGAAGATACGCTTGGGAATCTGGTATTCCACAACGGGGGTCTTCTTCAATGGTCTTTCTCCAGTTCCCAATTCTTGAGTGACCATTCCCTGGTAAGTGTGGTCCAGGAAATCCTCCAAGTTATAGTGTTGCTTGGTGAATTGCTCGGAGATAATGCGAGCGATTGAAGCGACATTGGGGTGGTAGTGAGACTGAAGGGTCTCAATCTCCCACAAACTGCTCTCAATGGCACCGGTGCGGGTAGGGTCCTTCTCTGTGGGGTCGAAAGGATCATCCATGCCCTCTGCCTCGATTTCAGCTGCGAGCTCCTTGTCGTTGATCGCCCGGTGCATCATAAAGGAACAGGTGGGGTGGCTCTTGAAAATATTGTACATGAAAGGGACGATGACCACAATGGCCGAGGGCGGGGCATTGAGAGCCAGGCGGGCAAGTTTCTTAATGAAACTAGCCATCAAGGCAGCCGGAAGATGGGTCGAGGCGAGGAAAGTGTTCATCAGGCGAAAAAATCGTGACCGGTGCTTGGAGTGCAGCAGGTCCGCATCGAGAAGCGAGTACAGTTTGGTATAGAATTGCGGGTAATCTAGGTTCTTCTCTTGGATGAGGTAGAAAAGACCAGACAAGGCAAGGAGCGAAGTGGCACCACCGGCATTGTAGGAATCCGTCAGGAAGTCCATCAGGAGCTCAGGTCGGGTGAACCAAGGCTCAATATGGTGCACCATAATCCGCAGAAGGTTCTTTCGCTGCGCCTGGGAAAGGTCGTTGCGAAGAATAGCCAACCATGCCTCCTGCGCGCGCTTCTTGTGGGAGTTCACCGAGGTGATCCGTTTGTTTGTTGCTGTGGGGGTTGCAAAGAAGTTCTTGAACTTGTGGCCTTCGGCAGGTACGTCGTCGCATGCAGAGAGGATGGTTGTGAGGGAGTCGAGGACGTCGGAGCTTCGTCGGATGGCAGCGTATTCACTGGTCACCATTAGCAAGAAACAATCAGTCACAAGATTAGAGGTACATACGAGATCTGCCCAAAAGTGTGGTATCTCACGTCTTCAAACTCCTTCAGGAATTTGGTAATGAACTCAGTCTGCAGATCCTGACCATCATGAGCCTCGATCACAGCCTCCACGATATCCTTGAAACTTGTAGACCACACGTTGTTGTCGGCTCCGGGGATATGTGTAATGCGCTCTTTGATGATACGCATGCTCAGCGTCAAAGCAGTGATCTGGGATGTAGTGTCGCCTTCGCGCATGATGACCAACAGCGCCCGCTGGTACTCCAAGCATCGCTCCTTCAGCCATGCCGTAATGATCTTTTCGTTCTCGGCCGCACGACTCGACTCGACAAAGGTGCCGGTTGCCATCAATCTGCTGAACACTCGGCACAGAGACACAGCGACGGCAAGATCCGGGTTCTTGACTGCTTTGTCAACATTGAGCATCGAAATCAAGGTTGCGATGTTGTTGTAGTGCTTTCGTCCCTCCGCAATCTCGGTTTCGAGCTTCTCGATCGTAGACAGAGTGTCGGCGAAATCGTCCTCGGCGACCGCACGACGCTTGGAGGGAGCTCCAGCATTTTTGCTGCTTTTGCGCTTCTTGGAAGCGTCGACTGCGGCGGGCATGATGTTGGATTTATCTCTGCCGTAGTTCGAATGCGACGTCTTTTACTGGCGTGATCTCGGATCAGCAAAAAAAGTATGGAATTTTGGAATCTCGGAAGCGGGTTTTTCCGCGCGCACCATCCTGGTTCCCAAAGGGGCTAGCGTGTGCAAGCCCGTCCTACCCGTCCCGACCTCAAACCTCCTCTCCGTTCACCCACCCTGTTAGGATCTTTAAATTCATCTGCAACAATGGCTGCCCGTCTCGCTAAGAGCGCCATTGGTACGTCTCGACTAACTCTTCTTCGTCCGATCCGATTCCCAGAGGTACTGACTCGCTCCGTTCTCCAGGCGCCGCCCGGCTGCGGCCGACCGTTTCCATCCGCGCTCCTGTCGTCCCTGCCATCACTGCGATCCGCGCGGCTTCCAACGTTCCCGCTGAGGACCCCTCCAAGAAGGCTCAGTCTATCCTGAACGCTGTTCCCGGAAACTCCCTCGTCTCCAAGACTGCCGTTCTGTCCGCCGCCGCCGGTCTGTCCATTGCCGCTATCAGCAACGAGCTGTACGTGATGAACGAGGAGACCGTTGCCGCCTTCTGTCTGCTTTCCGTCTTCACCGCCGTTGCCAAGTACGGTGGCCCTGCTTACCGCGAGTGGGCCGAGGGTCAGGTCCAGAAGCACAAGGACATCCTGAACGCTGCCCGTGCCGACCACACCAACGCCGTCCAGACCCGCATTGACAACGTCCAGGAGATGTCCGGTGTTGTTGATGTCACCAAGGCTCTGTTCGCTGTCTCCAAGGTAGGTTTTAATCTGCCAAAGGGCACTGTTTGAAGAAACATACGACGGATATTAACTACTTGCGTAGGAGACTGCCCAGCTTGAGGCTCAGGCCTACGAGCTCGAGCAGCGCACTGCTCTGGCCACTGAGGCCAAGCAGGTCCTTGACTCTTGGGTCCGCTACGAGAACCAGGTTAAGCAGCGCCAGCAGCGTGAGCTTGCCGAGACCGTCATTGCCAAGATCCAGAAGGAGCTTGAGAACCCCAAGGTTCTGCAGCAGATTCTCCAGCAGAGCGTTGCCGATGTGGAGCGTAAGTTTCTTTGTTCCTGTTATCCCTTGCATATACTAAATTATCGCCAGGCATCATGACCACCAAGGCCTAAATGGGATAACTGTGGCTCCGCCGGCAGTTGCCATGTGTACAAAACTATAGCGGCTATTTGCATCTGCTGAGTTAGAATTGCAATACCATTTTTTCTGTCACTCTATCTGAAGTTCGTGGGGGCATGATACAATCCTGCTGCTGGTTTCGCGGTCTTTGACTTATGGATCATTTGCGAATTGATGTCGTATGTCTCGTATTGTAGCTCGGAAACAAAGTCCGATAACGGAAAGGTGAAGGTACATATTTGCCCAGGTATATTTTACGATTTTCACCCAACCCTGGCGTAATACATTGCACATGCATGCTCCCTGGTCCATCGACATATGTCTACCATAACCTTGGGAGGACTACTCGGGTCGTAGGGCTGGTTGACATCAGACCCGCCAAACATGCAGGGACTGGTGCCGCCACGTGTGGAACTTTTCCTTCTACATAGTACCTACTAGTATCAGATAAATCCAGTTCATTTTAACTTCTCCGACTCTGGATTCAGTAAACACTAGACTCTTTTTGTGTACCCACTAGACTAATTGTGGTTGGGTGTTCCCGTCACCCTTGGTATCATATATATTGTACTTCATTTGGTTAGCCGCCGAGCAGACCCAAGGAACGCCCGAGGCCATCAGCTGCAGGCACACAGCCACTATGCCTGTTTCTATTCTTAAGCGTTGAACTTTCTTCTACTTTCAAATTGAATTTATTGTCTTCTCTATATCTAGTCGTTCTTCGCATCTACAGAATACTTTACATCTAACACCCCAGCCCCCCTCCCCGGCAATATCCGCATCGCATATCGCATATCGCATCTTGCAGATCAACATACAGCAAACAGCTGCTGATACAAGCACAATGCCATCCCTCCGCAACATCCTTCACAAACGCGAAGATATCACAAGCGATACATCTCAACCTCGCCCACCTCCTATAACAATCACAACCCCAACCTCTAGCTCGCCCCCAGAATTCACCTTCCTCCGCTCAGACACCTTCGGTCAAGAAGTCATAGCACCACCAACCCACGCAGACGACCCTCCATTCTCGCCAACAAGCCTCAAATCCCCCACAGACTCCCTCAGCTCCCCCCACGACCCCTCAAGCACATCCCGCCGCAGCTTTCAACTCTTCTCGCGCAACCGAGTCTCCCGCTCAGAATCGATCTCCAGTCCGTCTCCACCCCGCCGCGAGCGCCGACTCTCAAACCTACTACACCTCGACAACCGGCGCAGTCGCAGTGATTCGCGCGACTCATCGGTGAATATTCCGCAGGACCTACCTCAGATCGATGATGATGCTGTGGGTGATAAGCAGGAGCGCGAGGCGGCGTGGGAGAAGAGAGCTACTGTGCTTGCGCAGCATCATCCGCAGTTTGGGGGCGTTGGATCGCCGTTGCAGTCTGAATTCGATGTTTCGGAGTGGGGTGGGCAGTCTAGAAGTTCAAGTCGGAGTCGAGCTGGAGACGTGCGGGACGATGTAAGTGGATGCTTATATATATACAATTTAAGGCCGCTTGCTAATTTGTTTTTTAGGTAAATATCCAGGAGGCGATTCGACTGCATGAGTCCGGTGGTAAGTTTATGTTTGCGATTCTACGTGACCGTCGACTAATACGTTATGTAGATCTAGAAAAATCTACCCAAATGTTCGGTCAGCTTGCCAATCCTAATGGTGCAAACAACCCACTCAGTCAAGTTCTGTACGGACTTGCTCTACGGTACGTGCCACCAGATTGCGATACAATTTACTTTATACTAATTCATATTCTAGACACGGCTGGGGTTGTATTAAAGATGAGGCCCAGGCTGTGACTTACCTGTCCGCCGCAGCTTCCAACTCAGCGGCCGTTGAAGCCGAAGCGCTACGCGCCGGAATCAAAAAAGGTGGCGCCGCTAAAGGAGAGCTCGTTCTTGCTATTTTTGAGCTAGCTAACTGCTTCCGGAATGGCTGGGGCGTGGCGAAAGATCCTGCTGCTGCTAGGCAGTATTACGAGACTGCGGCGAACCTGGGTGATACCGATGCTATGAATGAGGTTGCTTGGTGTTATCTTGAGGGATTTGGCGGAAAGAAAGAAAAGGTAAGCACAATTAATGCTCTATTTGCTATTCATACTAATGTAAACTGTAGTTCAAGGCAGCTAAGTATTATCGACTTGCTGAGGAGAGTGGCTGTCCTACAGTGGGAAATTCATGGTATGTCATGCTTGATACCCCAGATCAAGGGCGTAAATGGCTTGCTAACATTTTCGATAGGATCTGGAAAGAGAAATATAATCCCCAGTAAGGGGTTCGCTTTTCAAGTTTGATCTTCACCTTCACTATGTGCCACCACCTGCATGACTGATGAATTTCTTGACATATACGTTGCATTGTTGTGTATAATTTACTTTGTATGAGTTATGAGTTCATGGACGATACCAATGCTGCATTGATGCCCAGGTGGATGTGAATATTCGTGTTCGAATGTCAAAAGTAGCTGTCAATACTTGGAATGGACTAGCTTTAATGCTTGCGTTACTCCCAAACAGTAAACTGCCGATCCCAATGCTCAGTCCTTCAGCGAGAAAAGAAAAATTTTCAACGCTCAGGATTGACTGTGTGAAGGATGGTCATGCCTCGCAAGACTTTGCTAAAGAAGGTGTCGAGTCCATGGCTGGCGGTGTAGGATTTTCTAGATGGGTTTGAGGAGGTGTGATTCTCTAGAGGTTTTATTTTTGCGAGTTAATCGTGTATAGTAGTGACATTGATAAGGCAAGACATTCAAAAGGCACTGAGGCAGGACACAGGTAATACCTCGTTTTCGTTTTCGGTGTTTCCTTTCCTTTTTTTTTTTTTTCTTTCTTTTCGGAATTGGGGTGGCTGGTATACATGGAAGGAGTCAAGGGATGTCAGATCAGGTTTCACGGTATACACTTATCCCCTCAAACATCGTTTCAAACAAAGGCGTACGCAGTGATACGCCAATATACGACATTCAGAGGAGTCTTACTTTCAAAGCTGCTCATGAGAGATGTCGTTTGAGTGGCGGAAAGTGTTCCTCCCAAGTGAAGTCATGCCGGTGCTGAAATTATTGGCCACCTGGCGAGCACACGGCAGAACGATTGACCTTTCCCGATCAAACTAGGGTTAGACTCAAGGAATGGGTACCTTACCGCTCAGAGGCCAAGGTTCAAGCACAGCCGAAGACGCACCATAGAGTGGACGACGTGTTTACTATCTCTAACACTGTCATTCATTTCGAACCTGCAGTAGCCAGAAGAACTAAGGCCCACCACAGGCAACGGACGACGTTATGGAGATTATGCCAAACAGCCAGAGCAAGACTTTAATGATCATTAGCTGGCAAACAGAGAATATATAACGAATCATACTGAGACAAAGACCTAGACACATATGTGGGCCTCAGAAGTTAGAATCGGACTACGTTCAAATAACCTTCGAAAGGTGAGAAAGGATCTGCCGGACATCGAACGCAGATCAAAGATGCTGATCCATGCGACCTAAAAAAAATGGGCAGCTGCCGCTTCTCTCCATGCCCGGTGTATATGGTCCTGTTGATTGAATATCTCTAGATGCAGTTGTACTGCGCCTCAAGGCTTGGAGCAAGCGCTCAAGGGAAATCGATAAAAGAAAAAAGAAAATGGAAGGTTTCGACAGCTTAATGAATACTGTACCCACTTGAGGATAGAGCAAGTGCACCTGAGCATGCAAATGTTTGAAAGGAAAGATGAATTCTTGATTTGGTGCGCAGTTTCATCTTAACGTTCAAAAAAAACATAAGTCACAAGGCTCTCATCTTGAGAACTTTAATTGAAGGATACCTCATAACAAAAAGTCCGAGAAGCCACCGACAGCTAAATTTTCTTTCTTCAGAGATCCAAAGACAAGACGAACTATCCAGAGACTACGTATGCCCAATCTTAAATTCAACGCAAGCCTTCAAAGCCACCAAGCGACACCTCCAATCGGATAGACGGACTCACTGCATCATGATGCAAAGCAATTTCTTCGGAGCTCATGGTGGAATGTCGGGTGTAAACTCAACCTAGCGAGCAATGATTCCAGGTAGAAGGCGTTGTTGATCCCCGCACGTCGGCCTCGCCTCTCTTAATGGGGTAATCGGGCCCGATGATCAGGGGAGTTTCTAGTACAGGATTCTTCTGTGGAGACAAGCTCTGTGGTGGACGATAAACTTTGTTCGGAGAATTAAATAAGGCATCGGCTTATTTACTTTATGAAGGTTTTACAGTGATCATTCGTATTCCTGTGGGGTTCAAGTCGTTCACACTCCAACGTCTGGGGAAATAATCCCGTAGAATCTGGGGTACCCCAGAATCCTGATTTCTGTCCAGCTTTCTAAAAGATATTTGGATCTATGTGGTTTTCGTAGCGATTTTCTGTGAATACCGGGATATGTAAGGAGGAATGATCATCATCTAGCCTATCTACTTTGGGTGACCGGCCCCCGGAGACTACAATCCCAACAATCTCATGAAAAACACATTAAGCGATCAAGGCAAGTCCGGAGCATCCGCGAATCCACTCCATGGTCCTAATCTCCGCGGGGTAATCTCATACTTTCGATCCAGAAGAAAGGGGTCCAAGTGCACACAGACAGCAATGAGGGTACCAGTGGCCCGTGGATAGATCACGTTACAGGGAAATGACGCACCAGTGCAGTGCAATTAATCCAAATTATACACTTTATTCGACACTATGATCACTTCAATGTAGCCAAACAGGGACGAAAGCCAGTCCCAAAGAGACGTTAGACTCCCTTGGCCCGGGGTCTCCACAGGCTAGACGAGCAGATGTGGTGGGGACCGGCATAACATTTAGCCCCCGACGCAAACTCCGGGGTTTACCCCGGATTCAGACCAGGGGGTAGCTTCTCAGAACTATAAAAGCTTTGAAAGCCATGGTCCCTGCTCAATTCCCCAGCAACTACATCTTTCTCTGCATCTTGGATCTCGGTCTTGGGTAGAGTTTCTGCCAATTCGCCATGCGTTATTCCCGGTCCCCTGCGGCCGCCCTGGCCCTTGCAACTGCGGCCTCCGCCACCTCTCTTAGCAGCATTTGCACCGACGCCTATGCGAAGAAGGCCTTGCCTGTTGGTGCCATTGATGGTATTACAATTGACTCGTCTTCAGTTTCGACAAGCATTGTTACCAATTACACGGCCACTTCTATTTTCTTCCCTACTGATACCTTCAACTACTGCAATTTGACTTTTGCGTACTCGCACGATGGCATTGATGGGGATGTAGTCCATGTGCAGTACTGGTTGCCTGAGCCATCAAAGTTCAAGAACCGTTATGTTTCTACCGGTGGTGGTGGTTGGGCTATCAACTCGGGCAGCATGTCGATTCCCACCGGTCTTGTTGCTGGAGGGTGAGTATCTGCACATTTACTTGAATGTGAGCTCGGACTGATTTTTTTTCTAGTGTCGGTGGTTTGACTGATGGTGGATTCGGAAACTTTGATACTGAGTTCAGCTCCGCTGCTTTGCTGGCCAACGGAACTATCAATTGGCAGGCTACTTACATGTTTGGTAAGACCCACAATTCTCACTATTTTCTGGAAAAATGCTGACCTTTGGAACTTATGATAGGCTACCAAGCCCACAACGAGCTGGCCATCTTCGGCAAGGAGCTGACCCGCAATATCTACAATGTCGCTTCGAGCGAGAAGGTCTACTCCTACTACCAGGGATGCTCTGAGGGAGGTCGTGAAGGTTGGAGTCAGGTCCAGCGTTTCCCGGATCAGTTCGATGGTGTCGTCACTGGAGCCCCTGCCTTCCGCTGGGCACAGCAGCAAACCAACCACCTGAGCGGTAACGTCATGCAGAAGACCCTGGGCGTCTACCCCTCAAACTGCGAGCTCGAGAAGATCATGAACATGACCATCGAGAGCTGTGATCCCCTCGACGGCAAGACTGATGGTGTCGTCGCTCGCTCTGATCTCTGTCTGGACCACCTGAACTGGGACAAGATCGAAGGAGCATCCTACTCCTGCGCCGCTTCCTCCAGCTACGGCTCCACTACCCCCGCTGACTCGGGTACCGTCTCGGCAAAGGCTATTGAGCTCGTCAAGACCTACTGGAAGGGTCTCTACGACTCCGATGGCAAGCGCGTCTACTTCAGCTACCAGCCCGGTGCCACCTTCACCGATCTCGAAACCCAGTACGACTCTGAGACAAAGAGCTACGAGCTGGATATTAGCGGTCTTGGCGGTATCTGGATCGCGCAGTTCATCGATTTCATCAAGGATGCCGAGAACATTGACAGCCTTGATGGAGTTACCTACGACACCCTCAAGGAATGGATGATCTACTCTCAATCGAAATACGGCGATATCCTCCAGACCACCTACCCCGATCTGACAGATTTCAAAGCCGCCGGCGGCAAGGTTCTCCACGTCCACGGTGAACAGGACTACTCCATTCCCACCGCCTCGTCAATCCGCTACTGGGACTCCGTTCGCTCCATCATGTATCCCAAGAAGGGCTACCGTGATGGTGCTTCCGCTCTGGACGATTTCTACCGTCTCTTCCTTATCCCCGGTGTCGGCCACTGTGCTACAAATGACTACGAGCCTAATGCCCCGTGGCCCCAGTACACTTTGCAGAGCGTCATTGAGTGGGTTGAGGAGGGCAAGGCTCCTGCTACTCTGGCTGGTTCGGCCGATATTGATGCCACTATGTGTCGCTGGCCCACCCGTCCTTTGTGGACTGACAATGGCAAGAAGTTCCAGTGCGTTTATGATCAGGATTCGGTGAACTCGTTCACTTATGATCTTGATGCGTTCAGCCTTCCTGTGTACTAGACGAGGAATGGCATGAGAGATGAGAGATGCTTAGGTAGTATTATTAGAAGAGTTAATATGATATATTACAGTTTTTGTCCAACAATCGAACCTCAATTAGACCTCGGGCGGTAATCATATGGTCAGAGATTCTCTTCCATTTCAAGGTTTTTGGGTATAATTACGCATTACCTCGTGCAGAATAGGTATCTGCATATGCGATGCAAGTCATTTCAGTCCGTCCAAATGCATCAGAGTCACTTGTGTAGTTTGTCTTGCATAAATACCTTGCAGAAGGATTTGCCACTGCCGCCCACGCCAGTCTCAAAAATGATTGGAGGACATTGAATTTTGATTAAAACTAGAGATAGCAACTTTTATAAGCATACTCAAAGTATTTTGCACATCTAAATTCAGTTTCAAAGTATAGTAAACGAGTGTCAGAATAAAAAGGGTCCAAGCTCAATTCCGCGTAATGTGTACTTCCAAGCCCTAAGTACATTCGTCGCACAAGACACAGAGAACAAATCGAAAACTCAAACCATAACTTATTATTTTCACCATATCGTATCCAATCTAACATCTATTCAACAGGTATCATGGCAAGATAACAAACACGCTCAGTGCCGCATCAAAACCGGGGTATATCTTCTCCCTCACTCTCCGAAAAAGTAAAGACAAGCAAGCAGACAAGAAATTAGGGAAGGGGCACTTAAGCCCACTTTCCGAGCAAAGCCATGATTCCTGCACCGAGGAACAACGAGCAGACCATAAAGGTAAGACGCTTATCATCCTGAGTACGGTGGGGATCGAACAAGAAGTCACGAGCAAGTAGCTCAACGAGACCAGTGTAGATCAGGATACCAGCCGAAACGGAATCAAGGACACCCGAGATCACGTTTGCGGTGAACGAGCCAGAGTTGTAGGTTGTACGCACACCGAGTCCGATGGCGATGGAGATGGGTGTTGTAAGACCGTAGGCTGAGCACAGGAACCAGGGAAGCCAGCTACCCTTCTTGAAGGGGATAGAAGACATTCTAGCACCGATACCGAGACCCTCGAAAGACTGGTGGAAGACAAGGACAGGGTAAAGAGTTGCGAACTCATCACCGGCAACACCAAGGTTCAGGCCGATAATAACGGAGTGGAAGATGACACCGAACTCCAGGATCAGGAAAGCGGCGATCTGCTGTCTGAATGAGCGCTCGATAGTCGATTCCGCGATATCAGATTGCGACTCTAGCTCCTTCATGTGCTTGTTGTCCTTATCGTCCGAACGGGGACGATCAAGAGAGTGGCGGTGGGCAGAGTGACGGCGCGGCGGGTCTTGCTGGGCCTCCACGCCAGTAGCCATGATAGGCTCGGGATCATCGCGGCAGAGACCGTACTTCTTCTCGACGTAGCGCTCAGCACCGAAGTCCATGAGGAAGATGAGCATCAGCGAGGTAAGGACGATGGCCGGGCACCAGGAGTAATCAGCCCAGTGACCTGTCATGCCCACGCAGCTTTGCGGACCGATTTCAGAGTAAGCAGGGTCGAGCAGATGGATGAAAGCTGTCGCGATAATAACACCTGCACCGAAGTACTTGGCGAAAAGGTAAACGTAGAGTGGAATGCGGAGACGGGGAGCCCGTTGAGCTACGACGGGGAAGAATGTTGCGATGGAGGAGACAATTCCGATAACGAAGATGGCAGAGATACGCGCGCCGAGCTGGCCATTGTATTCATTGCTCGAGGCATCGAGGTAGCAGACTATCTCTGTTGGGTCGGCTGTTGCGAGGTCGACATTGTGAGGGTCGAACGCCATTTTGAGCGGTTGCGGGTGCGGGTATAGAACCGGACCCTTTGAGATTGATATTACCGATAGATTGATATCAAACCAACCTAAGGAGGTTTCAAAATGAGGAGAAAAGAATGAAGGGAGAGTGTGCACGGTCTGTAAAAGGTAGGATCTTCCCTGCCATTTTATAAATGGGAAAGAAAAATCTCCTATCGGTGTCCCCGCTGAGATGAGTACCTTGGGAGTGTAGGAACCCTGGCCACGAGTTTTCGCCCCCGTTAGATGTTTGGTTTAGTTAGGGTGGAATTATGGGTCAGGATTAGCTGCGAAGTATAATTTATTATCTAACACAAGTGAGAATCGATCTAGAATACCTTTGTGGTGGTGTGGTTGGGTAACGTGGTGGATGTTGGTTCTGGCGTCGTATAACCACGCTTTTACAACACAACCTAGACCCGAAGTATGCAAGATCGAACCCACCATGTCTCGGAATCTTGGACGGCTCGTGGAGTCAGGTCCGAGCTTGACTCCAGTGCCTCGTGGTGGACCGGAAATCGGACATAATTCAGGAGAAGTGATTGGGTGTCGCGACGAGGTGACTTGCTCCCAAGGTCCTTCGGCTAGCGAGAATAAGTGGACAGAACACCAGGATGACGATTTTTTCCGTGAACTTTGCCGAGAAAGGAAAGCCTAGAAGAGAACAAATAAGTCCGGTCTAAATGAAATAGGAAATCGGAGAGGTATGAATATGATCTCAGAAGAAATGGTATTTGATGTAGTTCGGTAGTGGTGAAGCCAGACCGAAAGCCCCATTTCGAAGATCGGGCATAGCCGCGCCATGCGACCCAATTAAAGAAAAGCAAAGTCATCATGTCGGAAATCATTCCAATTGCATCGTATCGGTCATAAGTCATCCAGGGCGTCGCCGCCAATCCAGGGTTTAGTTAACGCTCGAACAGGAAAAGCCAAGATCAACCTTGGGAGAGCCTCCCAAAGGCAAAGAAAAACATTGACAAAGAAGATAATCCATAAACCAAAAGGAAACGACCCATCCCGAATGCTGTCTCCGCTCATACCAACGCTAGAAAAACAAAAGCATATCCAGTGGATCTCGTAGCTTGTGTCGCCAATAATCAAAATCCCTCATCCCATGTACATCATTCCCCGTATGTTATGATAATAAAATCCTTCCTCCCACGTAAATAGACAAAAGTCGCTCCAAAATCGCTAACAGATCAACATCCCAAAATCAAATGATAAGAATAAAGTAAGAAAAAGAAACAAGGGGAAAATAAGAATAGAAACAAGAAGTCATTACAAGGAAATTGCGTGGTCTATCCAGGCACGCAGTGGAGAACCGTTGCCGGCCCATGTCATTCTGATTCGCTCGGAGCCAAAATCAGTTTTGATCAAATGCAGGGAAGTCTGTCGTAGCTTTAGCCAAAAGTCGTGGCCAGAGTGGAACCCCGACGTCAAGCGGACTGAAAGCCCATCTCCTGCTTGACCGGAGCAGCCCCAAACTCCTGGACCATACGACGGAAATCGTGAATCACTTTTTGTGGGACTCGCTCCCACATCAGCGACCTAGTGTATACATTGGAGGTGGCATCATGCATCCGTGAATGCTGAGCAACATTGTGGCGCATAGCAGCCAGTGCCTGTTGCAAGTCCGAAGGCGGCTGAGGCTTAAAGCTGCCTTCACCTTCGAAGGTTGTCAGTGAGTTATACTGATCCGCATTCATGGCAAAGACCTGTGCGCGCTCTTGCTCTTCGGTCGGAATGACTAGCGTATCGTGCAGTTCGTCTAGCGTGGAGGATCCACTCATGCCACCCATCTGGGCCATGTCCATGCCGGTCATGGCTGCACTGGCACTAGCGCTAGCAGCGGCGGCCACTGCGTTGGTGGAGTGAGTAGCATCCGACGGGGATGAGGCTAGTACCGCTTTCAGGACATTAGCCGACTCGGCGCGGTACTCTTCCGACAGTTGGGGAAGGTTTCGGCCGGGCAGGGAGGTATTGTTGGAAGCGATGAATGCACCGAAAAGCAGACACATATAGAAGGCATTCCAGCTGAACGGATAATCCGAGTTCGAGGGCTTCTCGGCTCTCTCGTTTACCTGGGTCAGAGCGTGGGGTTGAATTGGACCCGATGCAGGCATCTGGTCTTGCATGGGGAGTCCACTGGGCATGGAGAACTCGTCCCATGGATGGCCATCCATCGACATATTCTCAAAGCCGAACTCGCCATGGGATTCCATGCCAGGCTTGACCCCACGCTCCAACTTCTCGACGGTCTCCATCAGGATGTTGTTCTTCTTTCGAAGATCGGCCGTCTCCAGGGTGTGTACACGGATCATCTCGTCTTTCTCAATATGCAAGTTTTCCAGGTACTGAGTGACCTGCTGCTGCTGAGCTATCCAGTTTTCCTGCTCACGCATCAGATCTGCCTCTCGTTTTTGCAGTCTTTGGACGACTTCCTCCATCTGGGTCATCGCAAGAGCATATTGCTTCTTCTCTTCCTCCAGCTTCTCGGTGTGAAGCTTCTTGCGTTGACGTGAGTCCAGTCTGTAAGGCAACGAAGGTCAGTAACAAGCAAGACCCGGTCATTCAAATACTACTTACGCCGCCTGACGATTACGCAGTAACCGCTTCTGCTGCTTGAGCTCTTTGATCTCGTCCTCGTTGGTCGACTGATTGATCAGTTGGTCGATGTTACTCAACGTGCGTTCGGCAGGGATTTCAAAGCGAGCGTTCTTCTTGCGAATTCCATCCCGTCGAATCGTCAACGGTGATCCATTGCGATATAGGCTTTTAGATGGGTTCGCATCGGACAGATCCATAGGCGCCGGCATCCAACCTTGGCTAGACTGCGGGGACATCGCGACCCCACCCGGCGGCTGGAAGCCCATGGCGCCGCGATATGACACCGCACCCATGGACATGGAGCCGACCGGCCCTACCGCACCCCCCTGAAAGGGAGCAGAATTGCTCTCAGCTTCTGATGGATACTGATCGTAGGCAGTTGGAGTGCATGAACCAGAAGCGTTCCGGGATAGAGACCATGGTTGAGCGTAGTGGGCCCCGTCAACGGGCATAAAGGGAACGCCGGAATCCAAAACAGCCTGACCTAGATGCGAGTTGGAACGAGACTGATCGGAACCGGCTGAATAGTTGGACCAGACTGAATTCCGATGTGAGTAGGCCTCGTCGTATGAAGCACGTCGCGGATCAGCGAGTCCGGGAGAGGTGGAGTCCAAAATCTTGTCGTCTAACACGTTCATCTCCTCCTCTTCTGATGGCGTAACATCTAATGGTGATGGATTTTGCTGGTAGAAGTCAAACTGAGAATACCGTGCCATCGCGGAAGAGGCGGTGTGTGGGTGGATATAGTGTGTAAAGGGAAAAGAGGGGCGGGGCGGGGCAACACAAGTTGACAAGAAGTATGCGAAAGTCAGGTGGAAGAGAAAAGTAAATGATAAATAAGCAAAATCGAGGAGAATCGAAAATGCAAGATGAATCCAAGATCTTTGATATGCAAATAGAGGGGGAAGACGCCGGGTAATTGTAGCAGGCGCAAGCATGGGCGGTTGACCCGAAACCTCACGAGTCACGGATACTTAAGTCTTCCATAGACAATGGATAATGAGTCAAAGTAGACAGTACGATTAGCGGTCTGCGCGGGACTGGAGTGTGCCTCTTCCTCCGTCATTGGCTGCTTCGCTCATCTTGGGCAGACGTGCAGGCCCTGGAGCGCATACTATTACTTTTCTCCCCTTTCCCCTACCTGATCGGGCATTACCTGATCGACGAAGCCCAAAATAAAATTAGAATTAATGTTTCCCTTCCTATTGAGGTTTGCTCAAACCAGTAGACCTCATAGACCAAAGTAGTGAAAATCCCATCACGTTTAAGCGGGGAATGTTGCTTATCGATAGACGATAGCCTATCGATCAACCTTGTCGGCCCGCTGAGACAAAAGGTCTGTGCTGCCCGAGATTCAATATTCTCTCTTCTCCAATCATTTCTGACTCGGTGTGACCTTCATTTCTTGAGTGATTCTTTGCTTCTGTGGATATTTCTCGTTGTACGGGTCCGGCCCGTTGGCTCCACCACCCATTCCATGGTTCTCTGGATTATCCCGAGGTCTTGCACACCTCGGGAAAGCAGGGCGGATGCACGATGCACGGATGTTCTGCACTGATCACTCGTCCCCTCCAGATGACGCCCTTCAGCTCCCACCCCAGGCCAATCTGACGGGTACATCTTCTGGGCCAAAACGCCCAAATCCAAATCCTTGTATCCATTTTTGGCCAGGGTCACCACCCACACTGGACGTGGGGTGGTATGGACAAGAGAATCACGATGATGCCATCGTGATGAACCCAAGACAAACCCAAAAATGGTCTCTAAACAGTCAACGATTCGTACAACTCCTATGGTCAAGTCATTTCCGTTTCAGAAATTCAATATTTGCGAACCAGTGATGGTCCGGATTTTTTATTCATTTATTTACTTTTTTGCCCGTTCGTTCTGATCTTCTACATGTGGAACCACTCCCGGCGTTAGCATATCTTAACACGAAGTTGACACTACCCGCCCAGAGCGCAGGATCATGTCGGTTCCTGTCTTCTGATAGAATTCTACTGAAAGGTCGAGCCCACTGGGCTGCATCGGAACCCCTGAGCATGTTTGGCTATAGGACGCGGCATCATAACCAAGGTTCCGTGATAGGTCCTCGGAAACGGTGACCCCGTGCGAGAGGGCCCCGGCCGATTAGCATCTGGCGGTGAAAAACACTGTCTATCCAATCGTAGATCGAGATGAGGTCCTCCTTCCCGCCTTAGTAATGAAGCACCTAAGTCATCGGGGGAAAATACAAATGGAATGGAGCCTAGAAGATGATGACCTCAATCCTCGTGTGCTTGGACAATTGCAACGCCTTCCGGGTTTTTAGTTTGTGATGACGACTAGACTGAGTGAGATTTTAATCCCTTCTATGAATGCCCTTGTTCATATTCGTGGATGTATTATCTTGTAGCGTGAGAATAGTGTACATCCTGTGCAAGTAGCTTCTTGAATCCCATAGAGAAATCGGCTGGAATGACTCATTCATGATCTACCAGGAGATGCCCCCCACATCTAGTAGATCCACTATATGCCATCGAATGGCGTTTTCCAATATAAAAAGGGGAAACCGTGGGGCCAGCCACGTTCTGAGTATCGTCGTTGCCCAACATCCTTGGAACGTTATCCAGCCAAGCCCGGTTCTACAGTAGCCTCACTTTGGCCCGTGTACGCTCCCTGCCTGATCTTCGTTCTGCACCCTGAGCATTGGGCACATGAGGAGCATGGGGGCGGTTGGTGGTAGGATTGGCAGGATCTGACGGGTGTGTTCCCATTCGAGGAAATATTTCCACCTTGACGGCTGGTCCTGGTCCTTACCAGTTCCTTGAGAAGCGGTGATGTTTGTGTTGGATGATGTAGGCACTTACTACGCTGTTGTTTCTTTGTTTACTTGATTGTTGATAATGTGATTGATAATCTTAACATTCTGGCCGAATGAGTCATTGCGTAGACTTCTTGATCTACGGATTCTTGAGACGATGCGGTCAAGGAGACTTTTTTTGGTCATCTCATGTTCGGCTTGACATCACCTTGTATTGTTTATTTTCTTGGAGTCTAGGATACCTTCACCTTCTTGGAGTCAATCATTCTACTTGATAGTCCCAGCTTCAATGAATCAATCCACATACCAAAACCTAAAACTACGCAAATACTAATCCTCATTGAGTAAGTTCTTAATAATGCCAATGTTTATTGCATTCGCATCTCAAAATTTGAGATATATGCCCCCTCCACTGAAGCCCAAGGCAGATACACATTGTCGCTTCCCGGGCCTACTTCTATTCTACCTAGCTTTCAGCCTACGCCCTTATGCCTATACCAAATTAGAGAAGGATAATCTGACACCGCAATCAACCTCTTGACACCCTTAACAACCACTTTTAGAAATTGCGTAGTAACTGTAATCCTAATGTTAATCATTTCTACTTAGACTAATTACCATTGTCCCATTCAATTCATTCGTGTTGTATGAATTTAGAACCCTCCTAGTTGATTACATAATATTCTGCCAACGCTTTCTGCTAGTGAAATCTTTGTATATCTACTACACCCCGGGGCCCTATATAAGCTACGAATTGTGATTAAACTAAGCGCTACCTACGGACTAATAGGATACTGTCAGGCTGAAGGTAGTGGCAAGGGAGACTGTAGAATGCGGCCATTCTGTTTACTTTCCTACCATTTTTACAGGATCAGCCAACCTAGCCTAAATCAATGTGTTACTCTATTCGACTCTGGAGTCGAGTACGACTGCATCGACTGGACAAGCTGGTATTGACCTTGGAAGATAAATGGTTCTCGGATAATCCTCCTGAGTTTCTAACATTAGGAAAACTCCATTCCTAAGCATATTACCTGGTATCCATGGATCCCGTCATGTGAGATCCAGATACCTCAAGTGCTAAACCCCGTGGTCTCCACAATCAATACGAACATTATAGAATACTTATTCAACTGGAGGACCGGACACAATTATGTATTCAATGATATTTTTCTCAGAGATGCTATGAATCTCAACATGTTCAGGGGTATCACTGATTCTGGCTAAGCCAAAACCACATGAATATCAACGAAAGAAAGAAGAAGGTCAAATCCAAAGTGCGCTCATAAATTACGTGCTCTCAGCAAGATGTTATCTCCTATTGACAAGTTTCAAGACTGCTTTTAGAAGCGGATAAAGTCTTGCTGCTGATGCATCTCACTAGTATCCTCACCTGCGATCAGTTCTTCAGGCATGTCATCAAACTCGTCCGAGTCGACATCATCCGAATCAATCGCATCGTATTCCTCCTCTTCACTAGATTGATCGGACTCGTCCTCTCCACCCTCGGCTTTACTGGCCGCAGCCGCGGCAGCCTTGCGGATCTGACCGGCACGGTCAACATGGGGCAACTGGCAGCGCTTCTTCTGGCAAACTCCAGTATTGGCGTAGTCAGGGCACTCGTGCACATGACGTTCTTCGCATTGGGCACCTTTCTCACAGTAACCTAAAGTCGCAAAATCCCGGCAGACGGGGGCACCAGGTGTTGTGCGGATATGAGCATAACGACAGTTATCATTGGAGCACCGTCCCTTCATGAAGTGTACACAGGTGGGGGAACGGTGGGGCGATGGCTCATGGGAAAGATCACAGCTAATACCTGCGCTGCACTTGCCTGTCTGGAGGAAGTCTTTGCAGATGGCAACTTTGCTTGGGTCGTGAGTAAAAAGACAGGATGGTCCTTTGTAGCATGCACCTAGTATCAAAATGAGTGAGTTAGTTTCCGAGTCACGAGTGTTCGATATGGCGGGGCTAAATAGTCCGCCGGATGACAAGATACCGGTCGTGTTGAATCTTTTGCAGAGTTCGTCCCGCTTCTTGGCGGTACCTGGTTGTCTATGTATTTGTCAGTATAAGCACTCAACACTGGATGGGGAACATACCTTTTTGAGGCAACAGCACCAAGACGGTGCAGGTTGCCATTTTTGCTCCGGACAAAAGTCACGCCAGCAACGGTAACACGCTTTGGTGTAGTATTGGCGGTATTCGGATCATCTAAAACAGGTGAGCCAGTTCCGGATAGTACTAAAGGTTAAAAATGAGACATACTTGATACGCGAACCAACTTGCTGCCTCCGCGTACAACCTTAAATGGAACATCATTGACAATAATCTGTTGCGAAGAAGTAGACACAGATGCACCTGCAGGGCCCTGAGCATACCGAAGAACCTTGGATTGTTCGCGGTCGGCGCGTCGTTGTTCTTTAAACTTGCGAGTCTCCTCCATGGCCTTAATTCTGGCCTCTTTTTCTTTGTCGTAGACAGCGGAGTTGATGAGCTGCATATGGCGGTCATTTCGGGCGACCCACCCGTTCGAGGTGGGCGCGGGGCGCGACTCGCCATCGTTGTCGCTCGCAGGGCCAGGAGAAGAGGCAGAACTTGGCGTGGATCGAGAAGCTCCGTTATTCAAAACCAGTGTACGGTGTCGATGCGGACCTGCCGGTCGACCTCTGCCTCGAGAGTACGGTGCCCAACCTGAGTGGGAAGGTGCGTGGCGAGAGACATGGTGTGACTGGTGAGCGGACTGAGGATGCTGGGTTGATTGGTTCTTGTGTCGATTGATTTGACCTGTATATATGAGATCACTGTTTGCCTGAGGGTGTGTGGAGTTGCTTTCTTACCTGCAAGTCGACCAATCTTGGTCAACAGATCCTCATTTTCAGTCATGAGGGGTTGCTTGGAAGCTGTAAGGTTATGTCTGATTAGTTGAAAGACAAAGAATGAGTTCTGAAAGTCTCCGGATTACAAAGGTAGCCGAAAATAGTTTGCAAGTGAGAGATAGCTCGTGGGGAGGAAAGTTGGAATGACGAGTCGCGATCCAAACCTTAACGCCGGTGGCGCGGCCAGGTCATGTGACAGCTTGGTGGCACGCATAGATCACAACAAGGGTTCAACGCTAGATTATGCGGGGATTGGAGACGGGATATCAAATAATGTCATGCTAATTTCTGCAGGTATTTTATTGATGTTACAACGTATTTATTACTAAGATATCTCTAATCTAGGCTTAGGCTTTTCGATATCTTAAAATTGCATTTCATCAACGCCAGAAGCAGTCGGGTCATCATCCGAGCCATCATCATAGTTCTCAGGCTCGGGAGCCACAGCCTGAGCATCGTCAAATGATGCTGCGTAATTCTCTTCCTGTGCCTCTGGCTTCAGCTGCCATGTCATCGAATGATCTCCGGATTTGATCAAATGTGCCACCATTTCCAAAGTTTGCTTAAGATAAGCTTCAGGCTGTTGTAGGCGCTGTTTGAGGGCCCTAAATGGCCAGTACTTGTATTGGCGGAAGCACTGGAAAATCTTGTCCAGCAGCTCGTTTTGCGCAATACGCGTAGTTTTGTTTTCTTGTGACTTGGATTTGGAGGCCTTCGTAGCTTGCTGGAATGGTGTGAGTAAATCACAAGGCAATGTAAACAAGACTGAGCACATACCACGAAAGTGCCCTTGTCCGAGGGCAAAGCATGACGTTGAAGTAGGAGGTGAGCAGGAATTTTCTCCACAAAATGAACTCCCGCCTTTGGCTTCAGGGCCTCCAGAGCCCTGGCCTCTGAAATCTTCCGGAACTCCTCGTTCTCCACTGGTAGACAATTGAATTCCTCGCTGATTCGTCCGATGAGCGCCGTTTGTTCTAGAAGATGTGAGTAAAGAATATCTCCAACAGTTCTCGCGCAAGCATACTTGGTACTGTTTTCCTCACATAAGGCTCCCATTTCTTGCCTTGCTCTCTCCTCCTGGCCTCGCGCTTCATGGCCTCATACAAGGCAGATCGTGTCTCTCCAAACGAAGCCATGCGGTTTTCAGCGCCGGGCACATCCTTCTCTGTAAATACATAGGTATTTTGGGTCATATGTGAGGCATTTGTGGAAGTGACTGTTTGGCGTTGCAGGGTGTAGTCTTTCGGGATGTCTTTATTATCTGGTCGTTCGTGGAGCCGCAAGCTGACCTGCACGTGAGATTGTTAGTTTCCAGAGAGATCAGAACCCAGACACATTGACAAAAAATTATGCGCCACACTTACCCGCTTGAGGTCTGATGGGTCCCCCTCTATCCTCATTGTTCCAATTTCAATCTCCTCGTCATCGTCGATTTGCGCCCAGTTCTCCCACAGCTGCCGAGGAAGGCGGGATAACCACGCATGCTGGCCGGCTTCTGTGAAATCCAGATCTCCAGCGTCTTCGTAAAGGTCGTCATCGTCCATATCAGCAAAAACCAAGTCCTTGTTATCAGGATCGGGTTTGATGTACATGGCATCGGGGTCTTGTTTGACCTGCGCCATGGTGGAGAGTGGAAGAGGAGAGCTCCGATTCGAGGACGGGTGGAGATTGAGGGTATGCGATTGCCCAGCCAAGAGAGGAACACGAAGTTGACGGGCGTGATGAGCGTTGATGGAATTTGAAGAACGAAGATCGAGTGGAGGCGCCACTGAGTGGAGCTGCCTAGACCAACTGGCCAAGGCGGTGAAAGCTGGCAGTGATGACTTCACTTTAGCTCCGAAGGTATATCATAAATGCAGAGCTAAAAGCTTTAAGACGAAGTTTATATTTGGGAATAGACAGCGATCTGATACATATTTGTGACATGTTAGTGAGGATTCTAGGACTGATTGGGTTTTTTATTGTGCTGATCCCATATGTGTTAGAGGTCAGCGTGAGCTTTGAACCCCACCAATGCCACGTTTACTTACTTGGCAAATTCCAATAGTGTTAGACATTATTGAGCTACCTTAAAGCTGCATTGACAGCCATCTGAAAGAAAAGATTGAGTGTGATCAAGGTTTTCCTGTACTTTCCTCGGCGCAGACTTGTAAGCTAGCTGCTATAAGCCTATACATATCTTCTCCGCCTTTCTTATCGATAAGCTTGCACCTCTCGATCCTCAACCACAATGCAACCTCCACAACTCCTACAACAACACTGTTAGACCCAGACGACGACTGAACTAATCTTTCAGCTCACTCCCTTACCTCTGTCTATAATAATGGCCTCCCAAAGGGTCACAACAGCGCTGGCAGCGATCGAATCCACACCCCACCAATCCACGAAGCTTCAAGAATACAACACCCTCCTCAATGATATTGTGACCAGCTCATCTGGTGACGAACTTGCTCAAGACATAGTATACTACCTAGACTCTATTCTCAGCGAGTCTATCAGCATTGTTGCCGCTCGCCCTCTCCTCGATTCCTTCATCGCCGTCCTCCGCAAGTTCGACCCCGAAATCAAGATCAAGGTCGGACAGCACGCCGTCACGCTCTTACAGTCTCGCACAACATCCGTCGAAGAGCAGGACTCACAGATTCGCGAGATCCTAGCGGAAGCCTACGAGTCACAGGAGGAATATACCGCCGCAGCACGGGCACTACAGGGAATCACCATCGACAGCTCGCAGCGTCTGGTCTCCGATGAAGACAAAGCAAAGCTCTGGATTAGGATCGTGCGCTACTATCTCGAAGACGAAGATACGACCAGTGCAGAAACATTTTTGAACCGTATCAAGAACTTGCCCAGCAAGATCCAAGATCATGATGCCAAGCTGTACTTTCAACTTTCCCAGGCTCGCATTCTTGATGCTCGCCGTCGGTTCCTGGATGCCTCGCAGGAATACTTCAATGTTAGTCTAGCTGAGGGTGTCGATGAGGGTGATCGACTCACAGCGCTATCGGCTGCTATCCGGTGTGCGGTTTTAGCGCCAGCGGGCCCACAACGTTGGAGCACCCTTTCACGGCTGTACAAGGATGACCGAGCTTCTTCCGTGGACGAGTTTTCTATCTTGGAGAAGATGTTCCTCGATCGACTTCTCACTGCGGAGGAGGTTGCTGCTTTTGCAAAGAAATTGGCGCCCCACCAGCTTGCTGTTACTGCTGATGGTGCCACTGTTCTTGATAAGGCCGTTATTGAACATAACCTCGTTGCGGCAAGCAAGCTTTATGAAAACATTACAGCCGATGCTTTGGGATCTATCTTGGGTCTTCAGGCTTCCGTTGACTTATCTGCCGGTGAGAAGGCCGAGGCCTATGCTGCCCGAATGGTGGAACAAGGGCGTCTACGTGGTCGTATCGACCAGATAGATGGTATCATTTCTTTTGAAACTGGTGAATTTGACGATCCTACCTTTCGTAAGAGCCTTCGCCAATGGGACCTCGGGGTGCAGAAACTCTCAGAGGATGTGGAACAGGTGGCTAGTAGTATTTCTGAACAATTCCCGGTATGTGACGATCATTTAAAGGCTAGTTCATGTTCTTTTGCTAATCTTTTAGGAATTTGCTGCCGGTCAAATGGTGCACTGATAGCTCTATGACTATCTGATGAATTTTCTACGAATTGATGTCTACTATATGCCCGTGGTTTACACCACTCTAGCCAAGCTTAGAATACCCTCCAATTGCTACCTGCCACTGAGGTGTCTTGAATCATTTATTGTCAGTTTCAGCATTCTTAAGGGAAGTCCAATCTCCCTGTGAAATGTAAACATTGTTGCATATATCTATGGTGCCTTCCGTAACTATTATCACCACCTGCCTGCCGAGGTGTACGTTAATACTCTTTGCTTCTCTATCGAGCCTCACCTAGCCCCCAAGTCATAATATTACGTACTTGAGCTATATATGGTCCACTTAGCCGATTAAGATCATCAGAGGAAACAAGCATTGAGTGTCAATTGGAGTCTGTTTGACTGACTTGCTGTATTCGCTCCCGAATAGCTATCACTACAAGAACCCAAGGACACAGGGACTGAGACTGACTAAGTACAGGCTGGAGCGGACTTGCCTCATCTAGTAGACCATCATTCTCATTAGGTATAGTCCATTCTGATCCTAGTATGATACCATGATCATGCTGAATAGCCTGTATTGCCGTATAATATAGCATTCGAGAGTCTGAAGTTCCTCCATCAATGCAAAATCTTCCCCTGAATATATCCAGGGTGGTGAGACGAAGTTCCAGACTCCGACTCCTCATAAGGATAATATGCAAAATTTCTGGAATCCCAATATCATTCACATGATTCACAGGACGAGGGGGAAGGGCCATGCCATAAATCACAGTCAGGATTTCAAACAGCCGTCTAGCTTTGATGTAATAGGCGTCTGTTTCCAAAGCAGATATTCCAAGATTTGTCCAAATTTCACAGGCAAGGCATCTTGCTTCTAGCATGAGCATTTGGTGGGATGCCCATTGGTTAGACGGCGAAAGTCGAGATTTTAATTGCATCGCACCTTGTGCCACTGCACTCATATCCTGATTGAGCGCCTGCTGCATCGATCTAATTTGAAGAAGAATGCTTGGGCTCGATGATGTAATCGCTTTCGTATAATCAATTGCAAATGACACCTTTATAGTCTGATGGGTCAGCCAATCAAGGGCCTTCTGAGCTTCAGCCATTGTTCGAAAATTCCCAGTAATAGGCACATATGTGTGTGATGATGGATGATGATAGAACTCGTAGAAGAATTGCGCAAACATCTCACAATGGCGAAAGAGCCGTGTCAGGTGTGTGTTCGTTTGATGAGCTTTTAAAATATTCTTGCAATGTTGGTAATGGACCAATGATCCCTTCAAATTTCCGCTCAGGAATTCGATATTCATGAATAGAATAGAGGTCATGATCACTGTATCCAGGTCTGGGGGTCGATGATATGGCCCGGTGATGTCTTTGATTGCGGCGTTGTAGCGGCCCACGGCAAAGTTCTGATTGACAAAAGAGCGCTGAGTGGCATGTTCAAATAAGGAGCTCATAGCGACTACCGCATGCCTGACAGCGGATTCTTGGTGTAGCCACTGAGGTAAGAGCTTAGTCCAGAATTCGGGGAAGAATGGAAGAATGCGCGGTGCAACGATTTGATGGAAAAATCCCAAACTTCGTAGATCTAAATCCGTTGCACCAGGTAATATGGACGGTCGGACTCGTTGTGCTCGGGGAACCCATGGTTGATAACCATCGCACCTTCGTCCCGTTGAAGTACACTTCAAACAGTTTGGACGGGTTTCATCGCATTTTATTTTGCGAATTCTGATCAAGATTCAGTATTTAGGGCATGGCAAGGAGATTGGGGATTGGACCGACTTGCAGGTAATACATCCGGTGTGGGTTCTGCGAATACCTTTGCGAGCCATGGTTCACTGATGAGACCGAGTGATTCTGGGCCTATGACTAGTGCCAGAAAATATTGATGGGCTTCAAATATTGTGTAATAAGAAGTCACAAAATTTAAGCGTAATACGAGTGTGAAAAGAAGGGGCGGTCAATGAGATAAATCATACCGGCCCAAATGTGGCGGTCGACTCTGCAGATACTAGTACACACATTTTGCTTAGCTTTGCAGACGCACACTACAAGCAGTTTGATTACTCCATTCACTTGATACTCTTGTCTCGGGCATCTTACAGCAGGTAACCAAAACAATAGCAAGTTCGTGTTTCATATCCAAGTCCATGAGCCATGTAGATCAAACATCACTCTCAGCACCGCATTTCACAGCAATTCCCATAGCCTCAGCATCAGTCTTATAACTCTTAAATTTCCTCGAAGGAACCCTCTTCGTGAACATCTCATCCAACTCTGCATAAGTCCGTCCCGCGGTCTCAGGCTGGTAAAACCACAAGTAGACCAAACAGATCACACTCAAACCCCCAAATACAAACGTCACCTTCGCACCCAGATTCGCCTCATTGGGATTGAAGAGGTATGGCAACACGAATGACCACATTGTGTATAACGCATTCTGCAACGCCAACCCAATAGCAATTGTCTTAATCCGCAGTCGCGATGTGGAAACTTCCGTCAGGATGGTATACCCTGCAGCCCCGATTGTCATATTGTACCACCAGCAATAGATCAAAATCATCGCGACAGTTCCTTTCACTGCGCCTGACGCGTTGGGGTTATTTGTCTGAGAAGCTACGACGGCAAGACCACCCGTTAGCATCAGGATGACTGTTAGCACGGCGAGGCCGTAGATCATGAGGTTCCGGCGACCGAGACGATCAATGACGAAGTAAGACATGACATTGCCGACAAGTGAGAGTATTTGCTGTGCAATCTGGAGTCTGAAACTCATTTGTGTGCTGTATCCTGCTAACTCCATATAATATGTTGAATAGCCCGCTGCAAACACAACACCTGAGAGCGCCTGAATACTAAGCGGGGCAATGGAGATTACTGTTCTTCGCAGATTGGAGCGCCGGAAGCATTCAAAGTAGGTAGCTCCTTCTGTCTCAGCGCGTACCTCTTCAAGTGTGGTTTTGATGATGGCGATCTTCTTAGGGCGCTCGGTTTCGCTGTATCCCAGTCTACGGAGGGAATCGTCTGCATTGTCTTCCAAAGACTTGGAGATGAGCCACCAAGGGGACTCGGGCATAAAGGTGATTAAGGCGACGGCGATTGCGGCGAAGCCATATTGTGCTGCGAAAACGGCGCGGTAGGCCCAGCGGCTGGTATAACTGCCCGTTGTATTGGTAATCAAGGCTACGACGAGAGGACCGATCACATAGGCTAGTGCTGTGAGGCAAGTAAGTGTACCGCGGAGGGCGAGGGGAGCGATCTATAAGAACAGGGTTGTCAAATATAGAACACAAAAAGGTGAACCAGGTTGAGACGGGAAGCATACCTCGCCGACATAAGTCATAGGCACAGAAGCCAACGCGCCTAATGCAAATCCATTCAAAAACTTTCCACCGAAGAACATCTGATTCGTCGTCGCCACAAATTCGAGCGTGATACCCGCGACAGAGATCAGAAGCGCGCCCCCGATTGTGATTTTACGCCCAATGGTATCAGCGATCTGTCCCGAGCAAAGGGCTCCGATGACAGCGGATGCGACGGGCGCTCCACTGAAAGCTGATTGCCACTTTGCCTCTAGTACATAACTCCCTTCATAATAAAAGCCAAAGTCCTTGCGGAACTCCGGTATGCTGGTGACGTTGCCGGATGCTTGGTTCTCGAAGCTGACAAGCAGGATACACCACACGGCATAAATACACCATAGAAATATCCATGGGTATTTCTTGACGCTTCGCCATTTGCTTAGTTCGTGATCCTCCCGGTTGGCTATATGGCTGAGTTGTTGGGTGTCCGTATGCTCGATGAACTCTGTAGTAGGCTTCTCCATTATGGGTGACTTGTGGCAGGTATATATTGACCCAATGAGATATAATGGAAAGGGGGAACCAAGTTGGTAACCACAGGGATGATCAATTTTTCGAGGGGTGTGGAGGCGTTTATGTATCCCTAGCTTTCAGGGATGTGCCATCACCCACAGATAATCAGCTGGCAAGCTCACTGCTAGGTATGCATTCTTGCAGAGGCAAGCCGAGCGGCTAGAAGGACCCAAAATGCGGATGTGGGTAGACAAAGAGCAGATCCGGGATATGAGGGGAAAACCCAATGGCTTGAAACCCAGGATTTCCATCACCACGTGCCATTTGCCTTCTACCCTGGACTTCCGCTCGAGATATTCAACACAACATGAATTCGTTTAAAAATGCGTTTTTAAATTGAAGTCTGACAAGACAAAGTATTCTACCTGCAATGTAAATGTCTACAGATCACTGCATCTTGGGTCATGGCTATCATCCCCACCTGGACCTCAAATCCGGGGTGCGTAATCCGGGGTTTGGGTACCGCGGGTGATCACATCGGGCAATCTTCCCCTCCCCGAAGTTTTCCCATCGAGAAGGCAATTTTAAGCACTGTTAATCCGCCACGCTTTTTCAAAACAGGATATTTTAAGCCTGTTGGGATACTTCATGGCAGGATGCTTCAGCCTATGAGTTCGGGCAAGTTGGGGCTCATATGCCAAGGTGAGCTATTTGTGAGCAGTGTAACAAGCAAAACAATTTGTATTGATAGATCGCCGATTGAGCAGGATCCTGCTCTTTGTTAATCTAATTTGTGCAGGTGATGTTGAGATTTGAGTGCAGAATGACAGTCCATCAAACGTCTCGGATCTCGACAGCTCCTGCTACTGAGAAGGAGGACATGGTATTCACGAGATCATTATGACATGATTTTACATAACACTATCGTGACTATGGATCTTGTTTCTCGGACTTCTCTCAGACCAATCGTCAACATATGAAGGTACTTTGATACATCCCCCATTGCCCCAGGGTTCAGTGTTACGCCTCTAAGCGGCCTTGTTGAATTTTCCCTAGCCATTCCATGGGCATACTGGCCTGAAAACTGGATCCTTACCTTGGAATCCTCAAATAATTCACCAGTGCTTGGTATTGCGCAATTTGTCTGCCCCTCAGATTCAATAAAGACTAGTTGTCTAGATAGAACGTGTACACCTTCCAGCTCGTCGGCTATCGTGGCTAATTTTGATTCCGTAGTGCAGTGTGGGTTAACCAGAATTTCTATACTACATCAGACCGATCGCAGATAGTGTTGGCTTGATTAAGCCAACGGCAAAACCTTGTTGCAGAATATGGGCCTGACCCCGGGTAAACATCGGCAACGGGAGGCCATCAAGAATGCGGGGCTGGCAACTGCTGGGGTCGGTGTCAATTACCCCGAAGCAGCACAATCTACACGTCACATCTAGGCAGTGATGTTCGCAATGAAGACGATTCTGGGCAAAAATTTACCATCTTGCTCACCCAAGCAGCCGTCATCATGTCTGTAAGCCCATCAATCACGTCGGTTTCCTTTGAACAACATGCCACAGGACTAGGCATCGGAATCCCCAGCCCTCGCATCTCGTGGAAGTTCGCCGCCACCGAACACACCGTCCCTGATTGGGAACAGAAATCATATGAAATCGAGATTCAGCGTGGTAGTTCAAGTCCAGAATCATACCATGTCAATGCATCAAAGTCCGTTCTTGTGCCCTGGCCGAGTCAGCCTCTCGTTTCCCGCGAATCAGCCCAGGTCCGTGTTCGATCCCACGGCGGTCCAAGCAGTGAGCCAACAGAATGGTCGAGCTGGACAAGTGTGGAGTGTGGCTTGCTGAGTCCTCAGGACTGGACTGCGCGTGCGATCACTAGTCCTGCCAAGCAGGCCGAAGGACCTTTACGTCCCCTTCGCTTGCGGAAGACATTCAAGCTTTCTGCAACTGCTTTGCAAGATGCCCGTCTCTATATAACCAGCCTGGGCGTCTTCCAAGCTTATATTAATGGTATCCCGGTTGGTGATCATTGCATGGCACCGGGGTGGACGAGCTACCACCACCGACTGAACTATGAGGTCTTTGATGTAGCATCGTTGTTGCGGGCGAATGAAGAAAATGTCATCGCAGTCGAACTTGCCGAAGGCTGGTATGCTACACGATTGGGGTTCCTTGGTGGTCAGCGATTTATTTATGGTGATGAAATGGCATTGATCGCCCAGCTAGAGATCAATTCTGTGCAGGACAAGGTGTCTGTTGTCTCCGATGCGTCGTGGAAGTGCCACGCATCGGCACTCATCACCAGTGAGATTTATGATGGAGAGGTCTATGATGCTCGCGAAGACCAGAAAGGATGGAATACTCTTTCGTTCGATCAGGAATCTTCTTGGGATGCCGTTCGTGAGACTGAATTCCCCAAGACGGAATTTGTGGCACCCAATGCGCCCCCAGTGAGAGTTACGCAGACCGTGAAGCCTATAGAAATTATCACAACGCCTTCTGGAAAGAAGATTGTCGACTTTGGTCAAAATCTCGTAGGTCGGGTCCGCATTCCTTCTCTTGTCAACCCTACCGGCCACACCGTGACTCTTATTCATGCCGAAGTCCTCGAGAATCAAGAACTCGGCATTCGTCCACTTCGCATTGCCAAGTGTACCGATACTATCATCTCTGCTGGTAGCGAGATATTTGACTGGTCACCACGCTTCACCTTCCATGGCTTCCGATACGTCCAGATCGACGGCTGGACTCCTACTCTCGAAAATCTTGTTGCAGAAGTAATGCACACAGATCTCCATCGAACAGGCTGGTTTAACTGCTCACACGAAATGATCAATAAACTCCACGAAAATGCTACCTGGAGCATGCGCGGAAACTTCCTCTCCCTTCCCACTGACTGTCCTCAGCGGGATGAGCGTCTAGGCTGGACAGGTGATATCCAAGTCTTCGGACCCTCCGCCAGCTTTCTATACAACACAGCCGGCATGCTCGGCGACTGGCTCAAAGACCTCTCAGCAGAACAACTAGCCCATGACCACGGAATTCCACCCTTCGTCATCCCAAACGTAATCCCGGAAGCCCTCTGGCCTACATTCCCTCAAGCCGTCTGGGACGATGTCACAGTCCTTCTCCCATGGACCCTCTACCAAAGCTACGGAGACACAGAATTCCTCCGCCGCCAGTATCCCAGCATGAAAGCCTGGGTCGACGTCGGCATCCTCCGCGGCCCAGACAACCTCTGGGAAGACACCATCTTCCAGCTAGCAGACTGGCTCGATCCCACCGCACCCCCCGATAACCCGGGTAACTCACGTACAGATGGAACACTCGTCGCAGACGCATATCTCGTCCATGTCACACGCACTCTCGCATCAATCAGCAAAATCATTGACGAAAAATACGACGCTGAACGTTACGAAGCGGATTACCATACACTCAAATCCCGCTTTCAGGCTAAATACGTCTCCTCTACCGGCCTTCTCGTCGGCGATACCCAAACTGCCCTCGCACTGGCCATCGTCTTCGACCTTATAGATGACCCTGCTCAGCTTGCAACGGCAGGAGAACGTCTCGCGCGTTTAGTTCGGAAATCCAGATTCCAGGTCTCGACCGGTTTCGCGGGTACACCTATTATCACGCACGCTCTTACAAAGGCGGGATATCCTCAGCTTGCATACAGGATGCTTCAGGAGAAATCCTGTCCGTCATGGATGTACCCCATTACCATGGGCTCGACGACAATCTGGGAGCGGTGGGATAGTATGCGTCCGGATGGAAGTATCAATCCGGGTGAAATGACAAGTTTCAATCATTATGCGCTTGGGTCAATTATCAATTGGCTGCATGCTACCGTTGCGGGTGTTAGTCCACTTGAGCCTGGGTGGAGAGAAGTTCTTGTCAAGCCTGTTCCTGGGGGCACTATTACCTCTGCTGAAGTTTTTTATGAGACAGCTTATGGAAAGTTGGAGTGTTCATGGGTTCTAGCCGACCAGTGCTTCAAGTTACAGCTTGTTATTCCGCCAAATTCCAGGGCGAAAGTTGTTCTTCCTGGTGATAAGGATGAGAAGTTGATTGGATCTGGGCGGTATACGTTTGAGACAAAGTTCGATAGTCAAGTTGGATGGCCACCGAAGGCACTTGTTCCTCCTATGTTCCACCCCGAGGACTCATTTGTCTGATTCGCAACTTGGAACAGGTGATATTAGAAAATTGGCTTCAAACAAATTGATTGACATATGGACTCATTTCATTTTAATCTCCAGCATCATGGCCTCGTAAGTCGAAACCTCAAGTAGTCGCGCGCAGAAGGCTTCTTCCACGGTATCTCATATTTCCCTGTCAATATCTCAACCACCTCAAACCCGCATTTCCTCAAGACATTCGCTGAAGCATGGTTCTCCGAATCACATTCTGCCTCCACGACATTAAATTGCGGCCTCTCCCATAGCATCTCAAGATACACAGTCAGCGCTTCAGTCGCGAACCCGTATCCCCATGCCGAGCGATGATAGATGAATCCGACTTGCGGGACGAAACCTGAGCTATAGTCTCCTACTATGCCTAGTAGGAAGCCAGGCTCAAAGATTGATTGGCTCGAGTCTGCATTGGAGTTTATTGGATGCGTGTTGTTTTGGCGAAGGCCGCTCATATCAATATCATCGCGTAGAAAAACGGCAAAATGCTCACTGTGTAAGTTTTGGGAGGATAGTACATCGAACATCCGCTCTGCACTTTCTTCGAGTGTTTCGCTAATTTCGTATGGAAACCAGCGGGTTGCGACGGGATCAGACCAGATGGCGTGGTAGCCGCCTAGGTGCTTTGGTGTGAGACGGACCAGGTTAAGTCGAGGGGTTTGCATGCTCGGGTACTTAGGAGTGCCAGCCGCCGCCATTTGGACGGCAGTGGGCAGACTGTCCTGCTGCAAGTACTTTTCAGTTCAAAGCCTGTCTTCGATAGGGTATTGGATTTATTTATTCATGGGAACAAGATGTACTTCGGATAAATAAAGTTGCGGCAAGATCCGGCAGATCATTCGGCCCGGGATTTATAGTTGTGACCGTTACGCCACGTGGGGACGTAAAACCGTTCACAATAACTGCCAACAATAAGGGAACATAGAAGAGTCATTCACTAAGATTCACTGGTTTGCCCAGGCACTTTTGTTACGACGCCCAATCGGGCAAGGTGCGCGAGTGTGAATGAACCATGTCACAAAAAGAATTGAAATATCATAATGTCATATCGGCATAGCAAAACCGCTGGAATCAAGTATGCGACTTCAACGCTGTAGTTGAGTCATTGTCAGGGGTAATAGCAATATCAGTCTGGACCTGAATCCCAAGCTCATCACCCAACCAGTTCCTCTTTGTAGGCTGACTCCCAGTATAGATAGCGGACTGCATCTTCAAATACTCCGGGTCTGGTGAAATAGGACTCGACTTAGACAAAATATGCGAATTGCTGATATCCGTGTTAATATAATACGGAGCATTGCTGCGATTTGACCCCTTTTTCAACGTGAATGCTGGGAACAAGCCTCGGACGATGGGCAGACAAGAACAGATAAGCCCAACCGAAGGCTCAATGTGCGTCCATAATGTTGCTTGGTAAACTGTATATGTAGGATCGACGGGACTGATCCAGAACAAGACCACGATGCGGTAAATACTGGCGAAGCAGACGAAGGCCCCTATCGCGAAGACGCCGTTTAGGGCAAGTTTGTCTTGCCAGGCTCGGTGGAGTCCCCAGATCATGGGCACCGGGAGGACGAGGATAACGAAGTCCATCAGAACGTTGAAAGCTTGGTTCACGATGAAGAAGAGGTTGGCGTTGAAGCAGTGACCATCGATGCTTTTATCCCAGTATGCATTTAGGGGGCGACATTGTCCGGCGCAGGCGAGGAAGATTCCGGTTCCCCAGGCGGCGATGAGGCAGTTTAGGCCGAAGGTAAATCGTTGGAATTGGGGCGTGGTGAACACTCGGCGGTAGAAGCAGATGATAGATATCTTGATTGCGGGGCATAGCACGAAGTATGTGAATTGGTTGGCGAGGAAGATCTGGGTGTGTCAGATTATGTCATGCCTGCAGAGAAGGTATACATACCTTGTAATAGTTCTGAATTGTCTCGTTGTCCAGTGTATTGACATGAGCGCCATTCCCTCCAATTGTACACCCTATTGGACATCAGCAAGGGACTCGAGCCGAGAAAAAGGTATGGAACTCACATAGAATCAACTCGACTAGCATAGCAAGCATCAGAACCATTGACAAGATGCTCAGATAGTCATCCACGCCAAAGCCAACTCTCCGGCGTAAACGCGCCACCACGCGCAAAGCCACACATATAGCACAAAGAGCGACCAGGACCGAAACGATCACGATCATCTGCGTACCTCTCGCGCTAAGAGCCATGTTGAACAAGAGCAAACGCCAAAAAAGCGAGAGATGAGGGGACGAAAGAATGATTGAATCTCCTGGGGAAGAGCAATGTCGGGACCCTCCACATTATAGGGTCACACAAGATCAGACCAACACCGCCTGAGAAACCTGGAAATCTACGAATCAGATTGATTTCGTGGTGTACATCAGCGATCATTGGCAGACTGGGTGTAAGCCACCGAGTCGGGATTTGCGCGCCTTCGCGTACCAAGTGGATGTCCTGGTTTTCTGGTCTAATCGATTAAGCTCTGGCTAGGATGACATTGTCTTTCTGTGGTTCGCCGCGTTAGCCCTGTCTATCATAACCAAGAAGGGAAGGCTGCAGCGGTGTGAATTGCAATGACACACAATTTCTTGTTGAGACCCGTTTAAGGGGATCCATCATACCGTTTGAAGTTTAGTGGGATGGGGTTATGGAGCAGTGTGGGTCAGTCTGATCGGGAAGGATGACGCTCCGATCGCATCTGATATGGCATTCCAGCCAATCTGCTCAGGGGACTCGGGAGGTACGGAAACGATTCGAGGGGAAAAACAAAGTTGAAATATATCCCGACGGCAATTTATGAGTATCTACATGCCGTGATCGCGTATCAATGCCAATGGAGTGCCGGGCTTCCAGCATGTTGTGCTCGGTATGTACAAAGTCGTCAATTTATTCTGACTCGTAGGTGGCTGATCAGCCACGCAGATCATCAATAGTTCAATCCAATCCGAGCCCAGTAAGAGCTATCGAGCTTGGCGCGATGCACGATCCAACATGCGCTAGCCGGGGTCCAGATCCTACATGGTAGCTTAATATATAAAACTTTATCAAAACATACGCATCGCCTCAGGGCTACGGATCAGAGCATAATATGATGTTTAGAAGCAATAATAGATGACCGCTAAAGCAAATTCTACTTTTTGTGACTCGTCCAGCAGATCCAGTGGAATTTTGTGCTTCAGATAAATCATTTTCAGAGAGTGGATCCAGTGGGGCTGATTGTTGCTGCCAAACTCTTCACACAATAACTCGATCCCTGGTTGAACCTATTTATTATTATTAACTCGGACGCCACCAGATTTAAATAGACGTAACATCGGCTTTGACATTCTCTACACATAATGTACACAGCCTCATGTCTGCTCTGCGCCCAGCGTAGTATCTACATTACTGAGTATGTAACTAGAATGGCAATCCTATGGGTCCGGATCAATCCATTTCTGGTTAGCAAGACTAGTCGGTGGAGTCAACATTAATCAGGGTTGTTCGTGTAGTTCAAGGTAACGATCAACACTCAATTCCATTCACAATACAGTCCACATGTAAACACCGTGGTGGGGCTAGGACTCAGCCAAGCCTCAACCAGATAATCCGCTCAATACCGTGTAGCTAACCCCTCACACATTTCCCCTCAAATACCCCAAAAAGCAAACACGGCACAATGACTACCGTCTCAGTTCCCCTGTTAATCAATGGCAAAGAAGAGTTCCTCCCGACGACCTTCGACGTGATAAGTCCCTACACCAACCAACCCTGTTGGACCGCCGCAGCCGCCACCCCGCAAGATGCGATCCGCGCCGTCGAAGCCGCAGACGCAGCTTTCCCAGCTTGGTCGCGGACAAAACCTACCGTGAGACGGGATATCTTGTTCAAGACAGCCGATCTACTCGAGCAGCGACTGACAACCAATGCGGAGTACATGCGCACAGAAATGGGAGCCGACATAGGCGCGTCGGAGGGGTTCGTGGTTCCACTAGCGATTCGGATGCTACGCGATGTTGCGAGTCGCATTACCTCTATTTGCGGGAGTGTGCCCGCTGTGGAGATGGAGGGACAAAGTGCCATGGTGTTCAAGGAGGCGATGGGTGTTATTCTCGGGATTGTGCCGTGGTGAGTATACCTGGAATTAACACGTGCCTAGGGCGACATTACTGATGAATAGATCTATCAGGAACGCCCCCTACGTCTTCGGCATTCGCTCTGCTGCATGCGCACTGGCAGCTGGAAATACTACAATTCTCAAACCCTCTGAACTAACACCACGTTGCTACTGGGCTATTGGTCGCGCATTCCAAGACGCAGGTCTGCCGGCTGGATGTTTAAATATCCTCTCATGTCGCCCGCAGGATGCGCCCGAGGTAGTGAACGCCATGATTGAGCATCCCGCCGTACGCAAGATCAATTTCACTGGTAGTACGGCTGTGGGCCGCAAGATTGCGCGCACATGTGGACAGAACTTGAAGCCGTGTCTGATGGAGTTGGGCGGGAAGAACAGCTCCATTGTGTGTGCTGATGCTAATATGCAGACTGCCGTGCAGGGTGTACTTGCGGGCTCTTTCCTTAATGTGAGTTTCAACAACATTCTTGGAGTGTGGAGTCTAATCTTTGTATTGTTGTAGTCTGGCCAGATTTGTATGGCTACTGATCGTATTCTTGTTCACTCTTCTATCGCACCTGCTTTTATCGATGCCCTGAAAACGGCTTTGGCTGCCGGTGCTGGTGCTGACTCCCTTCCGCCGACATTGGTGAACACGGCTTCAAAGGCCCGTGTGGAAGCCCTTATTTCCAGCGCTGTTGCAGGTGGCGCACACTTCATTTCTGGATCTGCTGACACCAAAGTACCTTCGGACTGTGGTGTTCGCATGGCGCCGTCCATTCTAGGTGGAATTAAGGAAGATATGTCGCTATGGCAGGAAGAGTCATTTGCTTCTGTGGCCGCGTGCATGGTGTTCGAGACCGAAGACGAGGCAATCCGGCTGGCCAATGGTAGCGGGTATGGACTGTCAGCATCGGTATTTACGGAGGATCTCCGTAAAGGCTTGGCGATGGCCAAGCGGATCCAATCTGGGTGAGTTTTATTCCAACCATTGCTCATCTACGAACTGGCGGATTGAACTGATTGGTTTCTAGGGCGGTGCATATCAATAGCATGACAATCCACGATGAGCCCGTGTTGCCGCATGGCGGAGTTAAGAACAGTGGATGGGGTCGATTCAACGCTGCAGAGGGTCTGAATGAGTTTTTGGTGACGAAGAGTGTTACATGGATGGATTAATCGATCTGCGCCTGGCCATACTCAAGTACATAGTTCAGCATGGATCTAGACGAGCCGATTGCAGTGTATTATATGAATAAATCTATTTTTAAATATTGGATAGATCCTCATTAGTTCTCATTAAGACCAACTGTCCACATCTCTGTTCGCATCTCAATATCCCGATCTCGCGATTTACACCGTCGAATGATTTGATTTCTCGGGCGAGACCCTCTCGGATAACATTAACCCGAATTTCGGTATTCCAGCCCCCGAGAAGTATTCCACACCCGCAGTATCCGGTCATCCAGCATGCGAAGACTGGGGATGGGCTCCATTTATGCATTTTGAGTCGTCTTTTCTAGCTGCAGTAGCTTCGACAATCGAATTCCGTCGGCAATTGAACCCCGACCCTGACCAGTTTTCATGATGTCATTTGACCCACTTTTAGTAAGTCTCACCCCCGGATTTGATGGATTCTCCACCAATTAGAGGCGCTCCATATTTCAGCGGTCGGCGATTGCTTTTACCAGAATTGCACCACAATGGATCTCAGTGATTATGGCTGAATACTAGATCCATTTTCATATAGATGTAATCCACAGCAATATTAGTCTCGTTAGTTTGATGTTCAGTCCGATCTAGGCGGTTTATATTGTAGTTCAGGTAATTTTGTTGTCTGCGGTTGTCATGCCACCTCCTCGGGCCACATTCTCGGCCTTTTTAGCGTTACAGCTGTTTTTGTTCCGAGGCTTATAGCCTCGGCGGTAATGCTTCAAACCGAGAGCTCCATTATCAGGGTAAAGGAGGGTCTAGGAAAATAAATGCGGAATATTATTCTATGTCCAGATGCTGGTCTCCATCGAAATCCAGTCTAGATCATTCAGCCTTGGATAGTGTTATGGCCCCTTTGTTCTGCACCAGATCACAAGACTGAGTATCATGACGCAGATGCATGTGAAGATGTCAGAGCTGCTCTGCAATATTAGCATCCTCAAAGCAAATCATCTCTGATATAACCGCATGTGATAATCTGTTGCCCCGGATTTTGTATGATCACGAACAAACCAGCTTGTGGCAATTACTGTACTTGTTCCCCGGTATCCACAGCAGACCCATAGTCTCCATTTCTTTTTCCCCCACGCTTTGTGCCTCGGCCGATAGAAGCTCGTCGGCTTCTGAGTTAAATGCCCCCGGATTCCTATTAAACATTTTATCATTCCCCTTTCGCCCTCTTCTTTTCTTTTCCCACCTTTTCGCTTTTTGATTTCCCCCCCTTCTCTCACACATCACTACCAACATGGCAGCTCCCCAAGTCATTGTGGTCGGCGGTGGTCGTATGTGTTCCTTCCCCGCATCATGTCATCACGTTCGCTGACCTTTCTCCAGTGTCTGGCCTCAGTGCTGCTCACACCGTCTACCTGAACGGCGGCAACGTCGTGGTTTTGGACAAGCAAGGTAGGATCGAACGTTCCTGGGGTTGATTGACCCACGCTGACATTGCCACCTCCAGCTTTCTTTGGTGGCAACTCTACCAAGGCCACCTCTGGCATTAACGGTGCCCTTACCCGCACCCAGGTCGACCTCGGCATCCAAGACAGCGTCAAGCAGTTCTACGAGGACACCCTCAAGTCCGCCCGTGATAAGGCCCGTCCCGATTTGATCAAGGTCCTCACCTACAAGTCCGCCGCTGCTGTTGAGTGGTTGCAGGATGTCTTCAACCTTGACCTCACCCTCGTCTCCCGGCTGGGTGGCCACACCCACCCCCGTACTCACCGTGGTCACGATGCCAAGTTCCCTGGTATGGCCATTACTTACGCCCTCATGCAGCGCCTGGAGGAGCTCGCCGATGCCGAGCCCAAGCGTGTTCAGATCGTGAAGAAGGCCCACGTCACACAAGTTAACAAGTCCGGTAACCACGTTACTGGTGTCACATACACCCTCAATGGCGAGACCAAGTCTGTTGACGGTGTCGTCATCTTGGCGACCGGTGGTTACGCCGCTGATTTCAGCGAAACCTCGCTGCTCCAGAAGCACCGTCCCGACACTTACGATCTCTCTTCCACCAACGGCACCCACGCCACTGGTGACGGTCAGAAGATGCTGATGGCCATTGGTGCCAACGGTATCGATATGGACAAGGTCCAGGTTCACCCCACTGGTCTCGTGGACCCCAAGGACCCTGGTGCCAAGTTCAAGTTCTTGGCCGCTGAGGCCCTCCGTGGTGAGGGTGGTCTTCTGCTCAACTCCGATGGTGACCGTTTCTCTGATGAGCTGGGTCACCGTGACTATGTCTCCGGTCAGATGTGGAAGGAGAAGGAGAAGGGCAAGTGGCCCATTCGCCTTGTGCTCAACAGCAAGGCCTCCAAGGTACTCGACTTCCACACTCGCCACTACTCTGGCCGTGGCCTGATGAAGAAGATGTCTGGTAAGGAGCTGGCCAAGGAGATCGGTTGCGGCGAGGCTTCCCTCCAGAAGACATTCGACGAGTACAACCTCATCGCCGATGGCAAGAAGAAGGACCCCTGGAACAAGAAGTTCTTCCACAACATGCCCTTCAACGTCGACGACGAATTCCACGTTGCTCTGATGGAGCCCGTCCTCCACTTTACCATGGGTGGTATCGAGATCAACGAGCACGCCCAGGTCCTCAATGGCGAGAAGGAGGCCTTCGAAGGTCTCTACGCCTGCGGTGAATTGGCCGGTGGTGTCCACGGTGCCAACCGTCTGGGTGGTTCCTCCCTGCTGGGCTGTGTAGTTTACGGCCGTGTGGCCGGTGACTCTGCCACCCAGCACCTCTTCCAGAAGTTGCTCAGCAACGGTTCCTCCTCCGCTAGCCAGCGTCTGGGCCAGATCTCCCTGCACATTGACCCCTCCACCCCCGGCAAGATCTCCGTCGAGTGGGGCGGTGCCGCCGGCGGCGACCTTCCTGCCTTGGCAGCTGCCCCTGCCGCTGCTGCCCCTGCTGCTGCTGCTCCCGCTGAGGAAGCCAAGTCCGCTAAGCCCGATCCCGCCAACTTCCAGATCCCCGATAAGGAGTTCTCCATGGAGGAGATCGCCAAGCACAACAAGAAGGACGACCTCTGGATCGCCGTCAAGGGCATCGTCCTCGACGTGACCAACTGGCTGGACGAGCACCCCGGTGGTGCTAACGCTCTCTTCAACTTCATGGGTCGTGACGCTACTGAGGAATTCGCTATGCTTCACGACGACGAGGTCATCCCCAAGTATGCGGCTCAGACCGTTATCGGTCGTGTCAAGGGCCAGACTCCTAGCCTGGAGCTGTAGGCTGGTTAACAAACCTTGATTGAAAACCTTTCCGATTCTACGATCCTCATACCCACATCTTTTTGATTGTTTGCATGCGTCTTTGTTATTTATTCCATGTCATGTCTGAATGATATACGATCTGGTTTACTTGCCAGGTCTAGACTCTGGTGTTGCTGAGTCTCAATGGTCTTCGTGTAACATACCATATTTTTGGAATTTACTTCATTAGAGTGATTTATCTCAATCTGAACAGTGTTTTTAGTAGTGTAGAACTTATTCATGGTCTGTCAAGGTCGATCGAAGACATGATAACCTTGGAAGTAATCTAGCTTTTTGGCGAGAAAGCCCTGCTACATGTATGGAAAGAACATGGTCACTAATGAGTCACTCGATGTCATAGCCTATATGTCCTGGAACTAATTTTCCATATTTTCATTGGATCAGTGATTAGCGAGCCTATTCACCGGCAAAGGAGTTGTCGTCAAGCTTCGAACAAACTACCTGGTGTACTGCTTATTTCCTGGATGTTGCGCTGCAGTACATGGCACCCTATCAAGCTGCGATTAACCTCGCAGCCCAGTTCAAACCATTGTGTAAATGAGGGAAAGCCAGCTTATGATAGCTTAGTCAAGGGTCAATGAAATTGCTCGGTCATAGCACTAATAGGCTAGGCTTGACACCACTATGTAATCGGGTCTAGTGGAGATATGCGGCTCTCACACTATTAGACCACACTCATTATCATGGCGAGTATAGATAGTGCCAGTTCCAATGCGCTCAAGAACTGCAGATATCAAGGAAAGATGACAGTATCTATTCATATATCTCGATAAGATACCGTTACCCATTCAGATGGTTTTGCCTTGGCCGGTGTCAGCATGATGAAACTAAAATGGAGGATGAACCTCTTGGGGCCGAGGGATAGCTCAAACGTCCCGTAGTGAGTCTCATAGCCATGATATTCCTCATCTGCGCAGCCCCTCTGCACTGAATGCGCTTTAAGGCTCAGAGCTAAGACCCTCTAGGTCGTACAAGCCAAAAACTATCCATGACTTTCAAGAAGCCCTTCATAGAGTATAGAGTAGCAAGTAAGGATAGCAATACAAAGATCGATCGGGATGAGAGACATGGTAGAGGGCGGAAGTGTTTGTTTAAAGGGAGATGTATAGATTTACTTTTGTACAAGCCTCTCTTTGAGGGCTTTAAGCAACTTAATGTATGTCCTTAAAGGACGTATGGACAAATTTTAGGACAAGCCAGAATAGAGTGTGACGAAGAGCCTTGGTGGACTGTCTTGCCATCATTCGACTCCAATCTCTCATTTCCTCTCGATCCTCCGTAGCACTTACCAAGATAAGGCATAGGATATGATTACCATTTTATAACAGAAAAAAAGACACCAAAATAAAGAGGAAGCAAAAAAAAGAAATAAAAAAAAGTAAAAAAAGATAATGCGTGCTGCAGGACTCGAACCTGCGCAACTTTCGTTACTGGGATTTCCAAACTCCGTTTAACGGTGCTTAAGCTTTGCTTGAACTGTTGATTGGTTAGTACTGGGTTTCGAACTGGTGTCTTGAGTGATACATACTCCAGCGCCTTAACCACTCGGCCAAACACGCAGTGGTATAAAAAGTGGGGGGCGTATTTTGCTATATGAGCGGAAATGTTTTCCCGTAGTGAGTATCGCTGTCTGGGTCCCATTCTCTGTACATACTACTTACTGCTCGATGGTCGGTCCTCAAGTCGCCAGTTCACAACCTTCCCATTGCCATTTGATTGTATGGCATTATACGAGCTCTAGTCAACAAATTGAATAAGACGTGTTTGAGGTGCCAGGTAGTGCGCCAAATGAGTTCATAAATATACACCTTCCATTGGAAAGTTCTAAGGCTGTTATATGATTTGGGTCTTAAGTACTTGTACGAAACTAGAAGTGAATTCCTTGAATGGTATATCACTGTAAGATTTGATGAGCGCGAAGAACTAGGTAAGTAAACATGCGATAATGATGTCCAGGGTTCCAAGGGCATACATCCTGCGAGTTCCTTCCGCTATACTTCCAGGGAGTATTCGCAACCATAATATTTCCATAAATCGGCAACCCGGGTGACCTCAGGAGAGTCTGCACCCAGATCGGCCGCCACGGCCACAGAGATTTCATGGAAGTAAAGATGAATTGCTGCATACCAAGTGTGGAAACCCTGACTCGATGGTTCTAGTCGACACTGCCTCGACCAAGCATGGACAGGACCGTCAATTACGCTTGTACGGGAAAACTGCAGTCTGAGTGCACTATCAGTGCGATACCTAGCTAATTCCTTCTGAGAAACGAACAAGATTAGCTGGAGCCTCGACGGTGGAGTCATCTTGATCCCTACCATTTTTGCGGTCTTGTTACGCCCCGCGATCTCATACTCCGCTCGATGCACCCTGAGAGCAGAGTGGAAAGCAGTGCATAGCTGAAGGGAGCCCGACGCAGCAACCGCCTGGGCAGTAGGACCCCACGCGAAAATAGGCCAAAATAGTTGCGGATTCGCCATGTGCCCTGCTTGAGCCACGGGTAGCGGAGTAGACCCTGGCTGGATGGAACGAGCGAAACGTTGTAGTTCCGATAGTGCGATCGCATCACCAAGCATCAGGGCGAGAATCTAACTTGAAGTAAATAACGAGTCAGAAATAAGGGACAACCGATTCACAGGCTCGCAGATCTTATGCTGACTGATGCAATATTCGCACTTTTTGGAACTTGCAGTCCAGTCACAAGTGCTCTCCAAAACAGTAGCTGGGGGTTCAGCAACGTTTATCGCATGTCCAAGGCAGAGCATGCAGAACGTCCAGCTCGGACGGGCACCGATGGTAGAGAGAATAGGCATTGTTATAAACTCGAGTTTACATGAAAATCTTGAAGGAAGGCTGATACTTCCTCCATTTAGATACCATTTGTCAAGCAAACTGGAAGTTTCCGGTTTCCTACCTCATGCATATCCTAGGAAAACTGAGTTGCTGCAGACAATTATGGTCTGCTTGACTTGTTTGTCTTGTTCTGAATATTATATATAGAGTCCCTGTGAGGGCCGGATGACTGCGATAGCCCCATTTCCCACTAATAATTGTGACTTGTCTTGTAATAGTCCGTTTTCCTCGATGTACTTGGCCTGGCCTGTCTTGACAAGGGTGCATTCTCATGATGGGTGGTACAAGTTATTCTTCGGCATCAATCACACGATAATTCCAATGTCAGGCCGAGTGACAGGTTTATGTCAAAAATAAAGAGGAAGCTAAAAAAAGAAATTAAAAAAAGTAAAAAAAGATAATGCGTGCTGCAGGACTCGAACCTGCGCAACTTTCGTTACTGGGATTTCCAGCTCCGTTTAACGGTGCTAAGCTTTGCTTGAACTATTGATTTGTTAGTGCTGAGATTCGAACTCGTGTCGAAAGTTAATACATACTCCAGCGCCTTAACCGCTCGGCCAAACACGCGGTGTTATGGAATGTGAAGCATTCTTTTAGTACATAGACTACTTCACATTTAGCTTTCTACGTCAAGAAATCCAACTCGGTCCTACTAATTGTTATGCTCGAAGCATGAAGCTACTTCGTAGATTCCTCAAGATGCTTTTTGCTCCTTCTAATGCAATTATTTATTTGACTAAATATTCTTGTACAAATGCCCCATCGCTGTACCAAATGCTAAATGAAATCTCAAGCCTTCATATGTTTCAAAATCATCTTCAACCGCCTGACAGCAGGTCCATCACCATCATCTATCTCATTCTTCTCTTCAATCTCTTTCTGCGCGGCTTCTAACGCAGGACGCAGATATCCCCAGACCTCGTCATGGTATCGCTCATGTACGCTCACCCACTCATCCGCACCAGGAAGCTGAGAGAGCACGGCATCACGAAGAGGCGTCGAAGTTGACCTTCCAAGATCCGTTTGTGTTGGTGCTGGTGCATACGCAGCCGGGTCATTATCTCGAAGAAAAGTGTCAATATCCGGGACCAGGCTGAAGGACGATAGCGGTGCTTGTGACGGTTGTTCCCCGCCCTCTTCCTGTGCGAATTGTTTACGGAAAGATTCGAGCATCTTGATCTCTTCAGCTGTCAGCGGTGGAGGCGCTGCACCGGGATCTAAATCTGCGCCTGGGTATGTGTCTTGTTCGCCGTATGCGCCACCGAAATTCGCATCGAACGAAGTATCGGAAAGAAGCGATACTACTGCCGCGCCGTCCGCTGGGTCCATGTGCTTTGCAGCTTCTGATTGTTCGGGGTTTGTATTCGTGTTCGCACGCTCCCACGCTGTTGTATATTCCCTCTGTATGGGATCTTGAGCGCGCTGCTTTCCCTTCCAGTTCCCTGTCGTGGAGTTTTGGAGGCTTTCGCGACTGGATTGGGTATTGACACCTGTTGATGCTGATACATTTTCAAGGCCCTGTTGGGGCTCTAGTGCACCAGATCCATACACATTCTGAAACTCTTCTTCACTCAGAGCTGGTATCTCAAATCCACCTTGTGTTTGCGACAATTCGCTTGTGTCCTGTCCACCGCGAAATGCTTCCCCGGTGCCGGGTCCTCGCGCGCTCTGTCCCGATGACGCGCTCAGGGCCCCAGACGCCAGCACATCCTGACTGGCGTACCCAGCACTCGATGCAGATGGGAATGATCCACTCTTTCCATTCGTCGCGCTGGACAGTGTCTGCGCGGCATTGCTACCCGCGCCTTGAAATGCGCTGCGGGCGAGTCCCGTTGCGGAGTTTTGGACGCGGCGCGCAAGGGAGGGCTCGCTTTGATCGTTTAGTGTAGATGCGGATTGAGCGGAGGACTGATGTGCCGGTGCGTTGGCATTGGCATGTGTTTGGGTAGCAGTCTTGGTATTGTTGGTTGTGTCGGTGTCGCGGGTATGTGTCGTGCGGGTACCCCGCATGTTCTCCGGGGTGTCGGACATAGTGGAGGGGGAAGGAGGTTATGGGAGGAAGGCAAGTCAACCGGGTACGGTTGAGTTTAGATACCCAGAATTGCGAGAGAGTTTATAGCAGGGTGTATCTGGGCGTTGAAACATTGTTCATTGTTCATCGGGGGTTGGTACGAATTGGTCTCGGCGCTCGGTGGGATCGTGCCGGACAAAGTAGGAAGGGAGGCATGTGAATGCTGAGGTTTAGGGTATAATTTGAAGTCAATCTTTCGTGGTTTCCGGGACTACGCGGCCTAGCTCCAGATATTGCTAGATTAAGGTATAACAGTCTGCGCAGAATTGTTAATATTATGAAAGAATAGTTCGATGTTCTTGGGTTGGAGGTGGTCTTGTGATGTGATGCATCTACGGCTTCAAGGTTCTATATATGGCCTTAGCCCACATGTTCAGTAAGATATGAATAAAACCCGGCAGGGATTATTAGGTTTATAGTTATGATGTGAGGCTAAAACTACCTTATTCGTAGACTATCTATTTATGTCGGAATCATTTGCGTGGAGGCATTGAATGGTTATATATTATCCAAGCGTTTCTTTGAAAATGCAGCAGAATCGATATATAGCATAGCGGTCTAGTATCTTCCGTATCACGTAGTAATAAGTAAAATAGCCGAGTAGAATCGAATTCCCCTTACTTCTCACATAAATTTGACATGGTTATAGACATGTTTTGAGCAGATACGAGGGCACGAGCTTTCCATGGATATTGCTTTTGGCCCGGACAGGATGACGACAGAGGCGGGACACCGGTGCTGCAGCGTCCAGGATGGGAGGTCTTCAAAAGCATGAAACCCGTATGAATTGCAGCAGGCTCCGATCACCAGGGGAATTGATTGGTAGCAGCTGTCAATTGTGCGCCCGAATATTTGCCAGGGACTTTCGTGCCTGCTTCGGGCAATGTTGCAGTCGCTGGGTAGTGTTGATGTCAGCATTTGGGTATCGAATCAGTTAAGATTTTTCTCCCATCATTTTAGTTCAACGGTGGGATCTTCAGATCGTAGAATCGAAGCACATAGATCTGGATCAGATATCCCAGTCGGAGTATAAATCCCCAGAGATCCGATTGTAGCGGTGGGCAAAAGAGGGTACAGTAACCACCGTTAACTCTCCCCACCACCGCCTCACGCCTCACCTCTTTCTTCTTTTCACCATTTCGCCCGCTCTTCTGTTTTCTCCGAAAGTGAACAGAAAATAAAAAAAAATTTCTCGTATGAAAATATTTCCCAGTATACGAAAAAAAAGTCCGATTTTTCTAATATTGAAGTTAAGCTCAGGTCTTCAATGATCCCCTCTCAAGCTCTGCGGGCCCACTCATAACAACCACCGGCTCGTTTGCTCCCCTCCAAACCCAAACCCATCCAACTTCTTCCCCTCCTCCATCCCGCAACTCCCATCACTTCCTCCATTTGCCGTCAAACTTGGTGAGGAGATCCACGGTCTTTCCAGTCTTTGACCGTACGACTATTACTCCCCCCTCTTCCCCTCTCCCGCGCTCGTCATCGGGCCCCTCGCCTGCACTTGCTCCGATCGAAGCGTGGAGTCCATTGCTTTCGCCACTCCTCGCTCGCTGCCCCGGTCGTTGTGATAGTACTTGGTCCGACCGCTTCCGCTTTGTCGTCAATATCACGCCGAACAGAGTGATTAATTTGCATCCACAATAGAGCTCCCGGAGCCCAACGATCAACCTGCTTTTTTCACCGTCCTGAATTCGAACCCTTTGTCCCAGATCCACGATCAAGGGCGACCCTAGAACGAAAAGATGGTAGACAGAGATCCAGGTACACCCACCTGGAAGTTCACACAGTGAGTCTGGTCTTTGGGGAAAAAGGGAGATATCACCGAGTGACAAGCCCGGCGAGACTTCCATCATCCCTCCATCCCCCCCGGAGAAAGTAGCACAATGGCTAACGTGTATCAAAAGATGCTTTGGTGATAAAGGTGATGTAGAAGATATCACAGAAGGTACCTGCGCCTGCATTTGAGTTACCAGAAAGCTCATTGGCTGATTTATATTCCCTTCTAGCGGACATCATCTCGACCGTCGAATTCGATCACACCGGAAATTATTTGGCTACGGGAGATAAGGGTGGACGAGTGGTGCTGTTTGAACGTAACGAAACGGTGAGTCCTGCTTTCGCGATGCTTGGTTTTTTCCCGGGCGGGCTATCTTATGCAAAATTCCTCCACAGAAAAAAACCTGCGAGTATAAGTTCCACACCGAATTTCAGTCGCACGAGCCGGAATTCGATTACCTCAAATCGTTAGAGATCGAAGAGAAGATCAACAAGATAAAATGGTGTCGGCGCCAAAATGCTTCACACTTCCTCCTTTCGACCAACGACAAGACCATAAAGCTATGGAAGGTGTTTGACAAGTCTTTGAAAGTGGTCGCTGAGAACAACCTATCGAATGAGATGACTCCGCCCGCCCCGACGGGTGGTTTGCCGCGAGCACCCCGGGGCACGTTCAAGCATGCCTCTGCGCTGAAGCTTCCCCGCTTGACACACCACGACACCGTCGTGGCCGCTGTGCCTCGGAGAACATACGCTAACGCCCATGCGTACCATATAAATAGCATCTCCGTGAACAGCGATGGCGAAACTTTTATCAGCAGTGACGACCTCCGGGTCAACTTGTGGAATCTCAACATTCAGGATCAGAGCTTCAACATCGTGGATATCAAACCGGCGAACATGGAGGAACTGACTGAGGTTATTACAGCGGCTGAGTTCCACCCCGTGAGCTGTAACTGGTTCATGTATGCTAGCTCGAAGGGCACCATCAAGCTTGCCGATATGCGGCAGCGGGCCCTTTGCGACGAGCACTCTAAGCGTATGTCTGGACTCCACCGGAAGCTCTTATCTTGATACTGACCAAATGCTGCTTTCTAGTATTTGAGCAGGAAGAGGACGCTTCGTCGCGTTCTTTCTTTTCGGAGATCATTTCTTCCATTTCCGACGTTCGATTCTCACATGACGGCCGGTACATCGTGTCGAGAGACTACCTGACCGTGAAGATCTGGGATGTGAACATGGAGCGTCAGCCTGTCAAGACCATTCCTATTCACGAGCACCTGCGGCCGCGTCTCTGCGATACGTACGAAAACGACAGCATCTTCGACAAGTTCGAGGTGGTATTCTCGGGTGATGCGGAGAACGTGATGACAGGTAGTTATAACAACAACTTCATGATCTATCCGACGGAGGAGCAGAAGGATACAGAGATTGTTCTTCAGGCAGACAAGTCGGCCTTCAAGGCGAAGAAGGTTGGCGTGCCCACACCAATGAACAAGGGCAGTGGAAAGAAGGCTGGTTCGCGATCGGGAAGCCCTGCCGGTCCTGGCAGTCGCATGAAGAAGGAGACCGACGCAGACCAGATTGACTTCAACAAGAAGATCCTGCACATGAGCTGGCACCCCTTCGAGGACAGCATCGCCATTGCCGCTACAAACAATGTAAGACATCGCCCTCGGGTCTCCGAACTCCCCCTCTTATTGACCTCAAACTAACTTTCTATAGCTTTTCGTCTTTTCTGCCCTGTAAATGCCCTCGGCAACAGGACCATACACATTTCTCTTCCACGGACAGGCGTATTTTGGGAATGGGGTCGGGTAGCTAGTGGAAACGTTGACGATCTGACAAGGGGGAGAAAGAGAGAGAGAGAGGACACAACAAAATGAACAAAATCATGGCCATAGCAGCAAGCCACAGGTTCCATAATCTCAGTTCTGTTCACGCCTTTCCCTGGAATCAACTTACCCGACTGCGATCTCCCTGGTTTCTGTTTTCCGTTGAGCCACTCCCGTTTCCTCATCTGGGTTGTATGCAGCTTTTTATTAGGTACCTTGAAGGCGTTGTGTGGAGGCGCTTCATGATAGAGAATGTTAAGCTTGTTTGGGGCATATATCCATGCTTTTGTATTTGCCAGTATCTTATGAGAGGCGTTTCAGCTGAGCAACTCCTGCAAGGCCTACAAGTCCTACGGATCCTACCGCCTAAGTGAAAGCAGTGCTATGTTTTCCTCCATCATAAATTGGAATGTTTGCTTCTTTTACTGGGTTCCTTTGTACCCTACCCCTTTTATTACTGTGCATACGCAACTGTGCAATCAGTTTTGCTCCGGATTTTTCTGCCGGCGTTTGCGGGCGATGACGAAGGCGGGCTGAAAGATTTATACTGACGGTACAGGAAAATACGGTCAATGAGGAGATTGCCGCAGCGAATAGTGGGGATCGCCCCGGATGATCGGTACAATACTGTTTTGATGACCCGGAATAACCACGGCCCGTGACAGCATTAGCTAAACCGCAATGGGGTTAGCGGGAGTCGGTCAGGAAACCCTCCACTGGAGAGAGCCCGCGATCGGTCGCGCGCAATCACAATCCTGTCCCTTATCCACCTTGTCACTCGTCATCTTTTACAAAGTCTTTGATATCCTCAACTGCCTTAATTTCTCAGGCCGGTCATGCTCTGACATGCCCGCGATCTGAGTGTCGTGGATTCCTTATCTCCCTACCGAAAATACAACCGGAGAAACACATTCCCAGCTGGGGAGCTCACCTGGGCCTCAGTGCACCCTCTTCACAACTCAGACTCATTTCTGTTACGTTTGACACCTATCACCTTACTTTGTTGGAGTTCATGTTCTGGTCATGAACTCTGGGAACGATAGCTGGCACTCCTCTGCTGGTGGGCCACCGTCGCACCCTGGCATGGATCAGATGAATCAACAGCCTCGACCCTTGGGGTCATTCGGGTATGCATAATCTCTGCCACTCGAGATTGCTAAATTGACAAAGCTAATGTGTTTGTTTCCTCTGATAGACAAAACCCCCCTCAACAGGGCCCGGCTTCGCAGTCTTCCGGACCCGTCCTTCCTCCTCCTGCCGGTTAGCATTTTTTCCCCGCTCCTTTATACACCTGAATATACCTTCTCTACTATTTCTAGAGTGATGCCATGGAACTTACGAACTGACCTTTGTGCGCCGCTTTAATTAAGGACCCTACCATCCCGCTGGTCAGTCCGGCGGTCACTCCCTACCAGGCCTCGCGGAGTTGAGCCAGACCCATGGCACTCCACACCAGCCCTCAGCATATGGACAACATGGCCCTGGTCCATCACATGGATCGGGCCACTCCCTGCCTGGGATTGGGCAGGCGATGCAGCATGCGTCCCCACAATCTCTGAACCGCGAACGAGAGCGGGACTCCAGAGAGCGGGACCTCATTGAGCGCCAACGCCAGGAAGAGATGGCCCACCGAGAGCGTGAACAGCGCGAGCGCGAACAGATGGAACGCCAGCAGATGGAGCGCCAACGCGAACACCACCCCGTCCAGAGCCACCCGGGTTCGATTCCCCTCCACCAGCCTGTGGCTTCAAAGGTCCAAAACTCCATCCACGGTCCCAATGGCCTCCTCTCGAATCTTGGCGCAAACCCGAACAATGGCCCTCAGGGTAGTGTGCAGTCTTCCGGTGGACCCGCTAGTCTTTTTGGCCCGCAGATGCCGCACGGTGAAGGTACCCCTCGTTCATACATGCAACACCCCGGTGGACCCCCGATAATGGGAGGTTACAACGCAGCGGGACAGCAAATTCCCGGAAATGTCGCAGCCCTCGCACAAGGCCAACAGCCTATTTTGAATGCAAGTTCCCCACTAGGCCCCCCAGGCGCCGATCGCCCCAGTTTCCAGACCCTAACAGAGCCTTTCGCGATACAGGATGCCCTTAGTTATCTGGATCAAGTCAAGGTTCGATTCGTTGATCAGCCCGATGTCTACAACCGCTTTTTGGATATAATGAAAGACTTCAAGAGTCAAGCGTAAGTTTGTTTATCAGTCTAATCCGATACTAGCTGACTTTAACAGAATTGATACCCCGGGCGTGATTCAACGGGTCTCCACCCTATTCAATGGCCACCCGGCGCTGATCCAGGGTTTCAACACGTTCCTCCCTCCCGGATATCGTATTGAGTGCGGTACGGAAGACAACCCTGATGCAATCCGTGTGACGACTCCTTCCGGAACGAACACCTTGAGTATGCCACGCGCAGGACGCCCATTGGAAAACATCACCGATCAGGTTTCTTCCAGTAGCCTTGGCCCGCCTGGTCGCCCTGATTACTATGATCAGTCCCGCCCCGGTTGGCAACAGACCCAGCAGCAGCAGACTCAACAGCAGGGCCCACCTGGATCTTACTCTCCAGGGTCCCGAATGATGGGTCCTGGTATGTATCAGGATGGCCAAGGTGCTGCTCATGACCATCACTATGGTTACCAAAGCCAGGAGGCCCAGGGCGCCGCAAACCTGTCTCACCAACAGGATCACCGTGGAGTCGCACAGCTGCAAGGTGCAGCGTCGGCTGCTTCTGGTATGGGAAGGCCTGGCCTGATGCAAGTTTCAGGCGCTGGACCGAATGCCGGCCTGACCCAGCCAATGAGCAGTCTGGCTGGTGTCGGTGGTATGCTTCAGGGCGGCCACCCTGATCTCAACAAGCGTGGGCCTGTAGAGTTCAACCACGCCATCAGTTATGTGAACAAGATAAAGAACCGCTTTTCACAAGCTCCGGATATCTACAAACAATTCTTGGAAATTCTACAGACATATCAACGGGAGTCAAAACCCATCCAAGATGTGTATGCCCAGGTTACCACGTTGTTTAACAGTGCGCCGGATCTGTTGGAGGACTTCAAGCAGTTTTTGCCAGAGTCTGCAGCCCATGCTAAGCAGCAGGCCGCAGCTCGCCTTGCCGAGGAGTCCATTCCCATCAGTAACATGCGCGGGGACTCCATGGGCCTTCCTCAGTCATCGAACCGCGATATGAAAAATATGCCTCCACTGGGCAACTTCAATGTCAAGGATTCTGGGAAAGAGAACAAGAAGCGGAGAGGCGCAGGCCCTGGTGTTGCTGGGTCCTCTATGTCAGGACCTTCTGGTATCGATAGCGCCAGATTGCCTGAATCTCAGATGCGTGGTCAGCCAGCACAGTTTGGCAATGCAAACAAGGTTTGTTGATACCCCTCTCTCTCGTTAATCCCGCAATATTTCCCTTTTTTTGCCTCACATATTGTGGTTTGTCTACTAACAACGTTGACAGAGACCCAAGTACTTCCACGGAAAGCCTTCTGGTGCTGACATCCCCAACGTCTCTCCTACTCTAATCCCCGCATTGCCAGAGCCGATTCCACCCTCTGTATTGACAACGCCCAGCCAGGAAGAGATTGCGTTCTTCGATCGTGTCAAGAAGTTCATTGCAAACAAGCAAATCTTCAGTGATTTCTTAAAGTTGTGCAACCTGTACACGAACGATCTCATCGATCGCTTTATCCTTGTTAAGCGTGCGGAGGGCTTCATCGGCTCTAACGCCGAGCTGATGAACTGGTTCAAGCGCTTTATGAATGTTGAAGAACCCGAAGACAAAACCATCGACCCCAAGCCCCAGACAGAGGCGGGCATTGTTAACCTTGCGCACTGCCGATCATTGGGACCCAGCTACCGTTTATTGCCCAAGCGAGAGCGCCAGAAGGCATGCAGTGGTCGTGATCAACTTTGCTTCGAAGTGTTGAACGACGAGTGGGCCTCTCACCCGACTTGGGCGTCTGAAGATTCTGGTTTCGTCGCACACCGAAAGAACCAGTATGAAGATGCTCTGCACCGGATTGAAGAAGATCGCCACGATTATGACCACCACATCGAGGCTTGTACTCGAACCATCCAGCTCATTGAGCCTATCTGCCAGCAATTCTTGCACATGTCTGAGAGTGAGCGTGCTAACTTCAAGTTGCCACCCGGCCTGGGTGGTCAGAGTGAGGCCATCTATCAGCGCGTAATCAAGAAGGTGTACGACCGTCAGCGTGGCGAGAAGATTATTCGTGATATGTTTGAGCGGCCCTGCCAAGTCCTTCCTATTGTTCTCTACCGATTGAAGCAGAAGCTTGAGGAATGGAAGGCATGCCAGCGCGAGTGGGATAAAGTTTGGCGTGAGCAGATGCAGCGCGCATACTGGCGCAGTCTTGATCACCAGGCCATTGCTACCCGACAGACCGACAAGAAGCTCTTTATTGCGAAGAACATTCAACAGGACCTGCAAGGGAAATTTGAAGAAACACAGAATCGTCGCAAGGCTGGCTTGAAGGCGGTCAACTACCAAGCTGAGATGAAGATGGAAGATATGGATGTTCTATTGGATACTACACATCTGCTCTGCATGTACATTGACCGGAGCACCTCTGGCTTCGGTGCTGAGCCTCAGCGTCTGATAAACTTCGTCAAAGACTTCATTCCCATCTTCTTTGGGCTGGACCGTGAAACATTCCACGACTACATGGACGAACTTCTCATTGCTGCTACTCCCCCTGAAGAGCTAGAAGACAACTTCGCCACTGAGGAGGAATCAGCTGCCAGTCGCAAGGCACCTAACACGCAGAAGCTGGATCTCCTGCGTGAGGTCCTGGAGCGCCGGGTGGAGAAGGGCAACCAGGAGAAGTCGAATGGGGTTGCCGAACACCAGCCTTCAGAGCAGCAGCAGCAGCCGACTCCTGAGATTGGTCGGGCTCTTTCTGCGGCCGTATCCGAGGTCGAAGAGGCCTTTGATGTTGCTGAGCTGAAGTGGATGGAGCACCCTGGTCAAGGAAACTTCAATGTGGAGCACGAGTACACTCTGAACGAGAAGTACAAGAAGACCGAGCATCACATGTACTGCAACCTGAACATCCTCTGCTTCTTGCGCACATTCGAGATCCTTTACATGCGTCTGGCGCGCATCAAGCAACAGGAAGAGAGTGCCCGCGAGCAAGTTCGCCGGGGCCTTCTGCCCAAGCCTGCCCATGAGCTTTGTCTTATTGATCGGTTCCCGAGCGATTTCTTCTATGATGTCGAACCCAAAGCGAACCTTTACAAGCAGATAGTGCGCATGTGCGAGGAGGTGATCCGGGGCGATATTGACCAGATTCATCTTGAGGAGACTCTCCGCCGCTTCTACATGCAGGGTGGATATCTCTTGTACAACCTGGAAAGGATTTTCTCGTCCATTACCAAGTTCGTCGCGTCCATCTTTACTGGAGATTCGCGCGATCGTAGCTCGGACATTGCGAACCTGTTCTTCAAGGAGCGCGAGAAGGAAGAGACGACCCACCACCAGGAGATTCAATATCGTAAGCAGGTTGAGAGATTGGTCAAGGAGGGTGATATCTACCGTGTGACCTACGTGAGTACCCCGTTCTCCGTCAGCTTTTACATGTCTAACCATTTCACAGTTCCCCTCTGATCGCCGCATAACCGTGCAAGTGATGACCACGGAGGACGCCACCCTCGAACACGACGACCTGAGCTCTGAGGCCCGTTGGTCCTACTATGTGACCGCCTACTCGATGCGCGATCCCACTGAAGGTGTCCAAATTTCCGAGATGCGCATTCCATTCCTGAAGCGTAACCTACCCGGCAAGCTAGACGAGGACGAAGAATACGACCGCTACTACCGCCGGCTGCAGCACCACGACGGTCTGATCATCCGCATCTGCGCAAACAATTACACCATCCTCTACCAACCCCCGAGCCACGACTGGTTTTGGCGTTCCAACGCGCCAGCGCCGAAGGACGCCGACGCCGAAGTCATCAAGGCATTGGAAGAGGAGCGCGCCAAGGAGAAGTCCACACTTAAGGAAAAGCGTCATGACCGCTTTGTCGAGAAATTTGTCAACAACCCCAACTGGGCGCGTGGACTCAGCAAAGACAAGGTCGACGAGTCGAACCAGCGCTTCCGGTCTTGGATGAACGGGACACTGGAGAACGGAGATAATGGAGACGCTGTCAAGGTATCACCGATTCCCGCCGAGGAGATTAATGCTGCAGCTCCCGAGAAAGAGGAGCAGCCTGCTCCTGAGACCGAGGCCAAGCCGGAGCCCACAAACGCCGAAAAGGCCGATGTCGAGATGGCTGATGTTGAGCCTGCAGTGTAATTGTCCCGTTAATTACTGTTATCTGTTCTGTTTTGTGGACTGAGTGGAAGGGGAGGACGTTTGTTTATCTTGAAGGAGATGAAATGCATTTGCTGCTTGCGAGAAGGAAACGGCGTCATATCACACGAGGAAATTGCGACGATGAGTTCTATGGGGTTTGTCTATTATTATTTTTCACCTTTTTTCATCTTCTTCTTTTCCCATTTTTTTCTTATTGTCTTTTTGTGATCTCGCAACCTGTATTAGGGGCCTGTATCCTTAGCGATCTAGTTACCCGGTCTGTTTATCATCGTTTCCCCAATGCACAAACGACAGTGCGGTGTTATCTCCTTTTCCAGCTGCTTGTTATGGACACCGGATACATGCCAGGTTCCAAGGTTCTAGGGCTCCATGAACCCTTCCGTGAAGCAGGTTGTCCGGCTCAGCCTCATCCGAGGTAATCTTCAGGATGACAATAAGTGGATCACGCTGGATGAATGAATGATCTATGTTATTTCTTTTTTTCTTTCATTTTCTCATTTCATCACTTCTACGTATTGTATACTATGTAATCTACGGGGCGAATTAATCACTGCATCTACTTAACCATGGACTAGTACGTTGTATACCCAAGGAGCAAGTATATTTCGATCTAAAGTTCATGCATACTGGTATAGTAGCCCCTTTCCAGCTCCATCAAACCACCCGGGACAGATAAACGAACCTGTCGATCACCCATTGAGGATCACGATCCGCACGCCTGATGAATTTTCGTGGCGCTATATCCTAAATTCTGTTGTGCACGGGTGCTCGGTGTGCAGAAGGGGCTCCGTGTGGCCGAATCAGCTTAACCGATACAGTCCGAGACGTGGACTGACGAGGCCTTGTTCGGGCCGGGCGGATCCTCCTGGCCGGTATCTTATTATTTTGGTATAGTATTGGTTTCGAGGCGGTTTTTGACGGTTGCAATGCAGTTATCTATAAATTTTGAACCTCAGGTTTTCTACATTACTTTTTTTCAAAAAGAGATCAACATCATTACGTCGACTGTGAGGGTGCTAACCGGTGTATTATGGGGTATTTGGGGTATCAGAACTGGGGTGCAGATTGTAAATTTAGCACCGAGCGAGAAAATCCCGAGAGGCACCGAGTCAGCGCCGCGATGATGTCAATATGATTGGTCACGCTAGGCCGCATTCGGGTGCTGAGTGTCATGGATTCGTAAGGGATGATGATAACGAGATGGAAAGGGGAGGCCACGATAGTCTACAATTCATATCTAGAAGACAGCAGAGAGCTTCAACTATCGATACAATCTACGTCCATATCCACAGGTGCGGGGAATGACAAAATCTGGGGAGCGGAAGAGAATACACCCACAAAGGCGAACTAGCAATCGAGACCTTTTCCCTTCTCCCGAGCTGGTATGGTAACTTTAAGGTGGAACCATTGCCCGTGGGGTTATTTCAATCAGGCGATTTCCTCTTTTTAAATTCTTCCCTTCTTTTTCTAAATCTTTCTGACCACTCTCCTCTCCTCTCACTAATAGTCAAGATGGCGGCCTCAGCCCTTTTGAAGAGCCGTATTCGGCGTCCTTCTTACTTGAAGAAGCTTGCGCAGCCTGAGGACCTTATCCACCATTTCCCCAGTGGCGCCTACATCGGCTGGTCCGGTTTCACTGGTGTTGGATACCCTAAGTACGTGATTGATAGGATGCAACAATTGATAGTCAATGGATCTAACAAATCGACAGGATGGTCCCTACCGCACTTGCCGATCACGTCGAGAAGAACAACCTCCAAGGCCAATCGAAATACACTCTGTTCGTCGGAGCTTCCTCCGGCGCAGAGACCGAGAACCGTTGGGCAAAGCTGAACATGATTGAGCGCCGCAGTCCTCACCAGGTCGGAAAGGAGATTGCCAAGGGAATCAACAATGGACAAATCAAGTTCTTCGATAAACATTTGAGCATGTTTCCCTCGGATTTGGTCTATGTAAGTTGGATTTTGTAGCTGCGGCTCGGCATTCTCCGCGGGCAGACTTGACGATCGCGATCGGCCGCTAACGCTTCCCGCAGGGCTACTACACAAAGGACAGGCCGACCAACAAGATCGACGTCGCCGTTATCGAAGCCTCTGCCATCACAGAATGCGGTGGTATTATTCCCGGTGCCTCGGTCGGCGCCTCGCCTGAGTTGATTCAGATGGCCGATAAGGTCATTATTGAGCTTAACACCTCCATGCCTTCTTTCGAGGGTTTGCACGATATCGTCGGCTCCGATCTGCCTCCGGGCCGCAAGCCATACCTCATCATGGCACCGGAGGACCGCATCGGAAAGCCATTCATCCCCGTTGACCCCGAGAAGGTCGTTGCCGTCGTGGAATCCACCTACCCCGACCAGACTCAGCCCAACTCCCCTGAAGATGAGGGCTCCCAAGCCATCGCCTCCAACCTGATTGAGTTCCTCAAGCACGAGGTCAACCACGGTCGCCTTCCCAAGAACCTCCTTCCCATTCAATCCGGCATCGGTAACATTGCCAACGCCGTCGTCGGAGGTCTCGCCAAGGGCGGTGCCGACTTCAAGAACCTCAAGGTCTGGACTGAGGTTCTGCAAGACTCCTTCCTCGACCTCTTCGACAGCGGAAACCTGGACTTTGCCACTGCTACTTCCATCCGTTTCTCCCCCGACGGTTTCAAGCGTTTCTACGATAACTGGGAGCAATACGCCGACAAGCTCCTCCTCCGTTCCCAGCAGGTTTCCAACAGCCCCGAGATCATCCGTCGTCTCGGATGTATCGGAATGAACACCCCTGTCGAAGTGGACATCTACGCCCACGCCAACTCCACCTGTGTCATGGGCTCCCGCATGCTGAACGGTCTTGGTGGTTCCGCCGATTTCCTGCGTAACTCCAAGTACTCCATCATGCACACCCCGTCTACCCGGCCTAGCAAGACCGACCCCACCGGTGTCAGCTGTATCGTTCCTTTCGCTACCCACATTGATCAGACCGAGCATGATCTCGACGTTATCGTCACTGAGCAGGGTCTTGCCGATGTCCGTGGTCTGTCGCCCCGTGAGCGTGCCCGTGTTATTATTAAGAAGTGCTCGCACCCTGATTACTACCCCATTCTCACTGATTACCTGGATCGTGCGGAGTTTGAGTGCTTGCGCAAGGGTATGGGCCACGAGCCGCACATGCTCTTCCAGGCTTTCAAGATGCACCAGAACCTCCAGGAGAAGGGTACCATGAAGATTGACTCTTGGGAGTAAGGGCTGGGTATAGAACTCAGTCTTGTGTTACAACATCCCTTTTCATTAATTGTATATATTAGCGTATTTTTGACTACCAATCCATGGATTTGATTTGACTTGAATTTATTTTGCTCGTATATGAGTTTCAGTAGTAGCTTTGAAGTCAAGTTTAGCTCTGTAGATCTATTGTGTTGTTGGCCCACTCAGAGACTAGACAATGATGCTTTGAAAATCTTCCACGTGATTGGTCAGGTCTTAGGCCAGATCTTGAACTAAGTGGGCGCAAAGTTACACACATAGTATAATGAAGATCCTAGATTCGTGCCGAATTGTTGGCCTTAACGCTAGAAGTCGCCTCCCTTGAGGCAAAATGGTGCAAAAATGACACCAGCTTATCATGATGCCGAATCGCCACGACCGGCACGAAGAGAAACACAGCCCCCAGCATCATTACTACTCGAACCCCAATCCCAGGTTGCCGGGGGGAAACGGTCGCTGAAGTTTTCATCATGCAGTAACAATGTGAGCTCTTGCCAGCTTCGGCTTAAGTCACTTGCCTAGATACCGAGGTCCCAGTATTGGTCCCTGTCAGATGTGTAATGCTACGCATATCGACAAATGATTGTCTAGGCTGATTCAAGACAAATGTATTGTGCATAGATTGAGTGATGAAGTCTAACAGAAAAATAAGCTTATCTAAAGCAGGCCCACAATAGTCGGAACTGTGTACTCAAAGCCAAAATACCCTCTACAACTTGCCCTTAGGAGCCTCAGTTTCTCTAAGCGTGTGTCTATAACACCAATCAGGATCCGCCATATCAGCTCTAATCCCATAGTTCTTCTCCGCATCCTCCATAACCGCCATATCAAGCGTCGCCACTCCCATACCTTCGGTGGAAGTACCCAGCCTCACCAACGGCCCCGCATAGGGAATGTTAATTTGCGAAAGACCGCAATAAGCCTTCCCAGGTGATCCGCCCGCATTGGCGAATACAACAGCACAGGTGTTCTCGAACGTGCGCGCTGTCAAGATACTATCCACAAACAGGAGCGAGGCAGATGGATTCTGGGCACCGCCTGCCTCGGAGGCACCATTGCGCATCCACATTGTAGGCACGATGATGATTTTCGCGCCGGCGGATGTTAGTTCGCGCCATGCTTCGGGGAAGGCAAGGTCCCAACAGATGAGGAGTCCGACCGGCCCTAGGGGGGTTTGGATTACCTCATGTGGAGCTGAGGAGGAGCGGAGGTAGGTTCGTTCTGTTCCGCGCCAGAGGTTCTTTTTTACGTATGTTCCTAAGATTTCGCCGGTGTTTGAGATGAAGAAGGTGGCGTTTTCTAGGTTTGGTTCTGCGATTTTCTGGTCGGGTTTGGCTGTGGATATTGATGGAGATATGGGTCGGACGATTGACCCGGGAACAATGCAGATATCACATTCTTTCGCGAGTGATTGATATCGATTTAAATAGATTTCCCAATCTTCACAAAGTGAGGCGAAGCGGGGATCTGTCGGGATCCAGTTTGTTAAGTGAAATTCGGGCAGGACGGCTAGTTGACATCCTTGCGCTGCGGCTTCGCGAATGAACTTCGCGGCGCGGGCGAAGTTGTCTTCGGGCTTGAGGGGCTAGAAGCTATATCAGATACTGAAATGATGATGTGGGGCTGTCATTCTTCAACCGAGGTACGATGCTCATTGCCGGACTATTGAGGATAAAACCATACCTTCACATAGAGCTGTATAACAGCTATCTTGCAAAATGGCGGCATGGTTCCGAGAAATTCATGGAAATTATCTATAAGATGAGAAGGTCAAAAGCGATAACGAAAAAAGAAGTTGTGGTGGCTTACAAAGAAAGGAGGCTAAGAGGGGTGATGCGCTGGCTTTTTTTCCCGAGGTTAGTTCTATACAGGCTAAAGCAATTGAGGCTATTGAGGCCTCTGACAATTGACATAGATAATCATCAAAAATGATTCAGACTCACATTTTGTTGTATTGATTCTGGCATATCGTTTTGGTCGAAACTATGGAGCTTCATGGTGCATGCGGCTGTCCGGCTTGTACAACGGACGTCCCAAATGATGACAAGCGCGTGTTTAATAGCTCCACTACCCCCAGCAAGGAGTAAAGTAACGTCTTGCAGAATGATATGGTCGTTTAGGACCAACCGCTCTTGACTGTAAAGGCTGGAAATTCGTCATGTACATGCCAAGAGCTGTACTCTGGTTGCTTCATTTCAGCCCTTATACCCCGTATACCTGGGCCCGTATGTAGATCCTAGCGCGATTGTGTGTCTCAAATGTGTTTATACTTTGACTACTAGAATGGACCGGGCTTTCCTTCCGAGTAAGAATTTCCATCCCGTTCTGACCTTTCCCGCCTTGTCACCAAAGTTCCCATCTATAACAATCCGTGAACGAAAGGATAGAGCAAAGATAAAAACAAAAAAACATACAACAGTCAGGATTCGCATGTGGTCACCCACCATACTACTAACTAACCGGCGTGTGGCTTAAGTACGGCTGAGCGGACGGGAAGCCCTGTTCTCCACACCCTATGGTCGTATGTACTGGATATCCTATTGAAATGAATAATATAGCACAGTAAAGAAGAGTATATTGAACGTTGAAGGCAAATCTGGACGACAAAAAAAGAGGGATGACCAAAAAATGAATGACATAAAACAGCATCGAAATGTTTGCATGTCATATCACTGCCTATGTGGTATCACGACTCACTATGGAAAAGAGCTCCGAGAGAGCTTATGGAAACTTGGTAGGTAGTCGTTACTCACTAGTCATCAAGTCGGCATATGGTCCGTTGAAGATTCGACGGTTGTGCTATATCGGAAATTCATCTGGAGCCTCTCAAAATCGACTAGAACCATATTATGTATGAGCCTGGTGATCGTAAATGCAAGTCAGTCTTGGTGGCATTTTTGTAACCCAGTCGGCATGTTGGCGATGGTAAGGACTCTATTGACCGAGTTGTACGTCAATCGCGACACAGGATTTGCTTGCGTTACGATTTCTTCGAACAATCAGGTGGCATGTGGATTCAATATAGTATCCGTGATAAATAGGCTCCACAATTGTCACTTGATACGCTGGAAAGGAGCCACTTCTTCAATTTGCGATGCCATGGGTGGAAGGTTGTGGTTGCTGAGTTCTAAGGTAGGATCATCAAAAATACTGCTGTTATTGTGAGTATATCTGGAGAAAAGTCAAGTTGTGGATTGGACGTTAGGAAGGAGATAAGAGGAGAGAGAAATTGAAGAAAAGAAGAAGATATGCAGGAGGAGGAGGTTTTGGAAGGAAGTCGATTTAGAGAGAAAGAGAGAAAGAGAGAAAGAGAGAAAGAGAGAAAGAGAGAGAGAGAGAGAAAGGGAGAGAGAGAAAGAGAGTTTATTAACTTGTTTGTTTGACTTCTCATTACCCACATATGGTGCCATGCCATGGAGGAACTGTGGTTCCGACAAATTCTACAGATGTCAAAGAGCATATGGTTTTATCTAACCTTGATTTTAAGATCAAAGTCAACGTATAATATCACGCTTCATTCGATCCGGGATATATTACAGCATTCAATTACTTTCGTAACTTTCTTCAAGCTTCCGAAGACATTGACAATTTTTCGTGAAGTATCTGCTGCTTTCGAAGACTAAAGTATAGAACAAAACAGCATCGAAAATGTAAATCCGATCTTTTTCTTTAAGATGAACATGTTCGGCAAGTTCCGATTACATGAATGCAAGATAAGATCTACAAAACAATCCAATGGAAAATTAGAATGACCGTTGAAGCCTGAGCCCACAAGCTCACCGACACCGATCATGCCACACCCGAAAACTCCCTTTAACATCTGACCACCGAATCCTTCACAGCCACACCGTCCAACCATTCGGCAAAACCGAAACAATCAATCCAATTGAAACCCAGAGATATTAAAAACTCAATCTCATATCATTCCCAAAGAACCCGGAGGTTTTGCTTCCGGCGTGGTTCTTCGGCCGTACCACGCACCACACCACTTCGACGTCATGACTTGAGCCCCACCCCCGGATTTGGGTCACGCTACCCATACACTAGCCCTGTGGTAGGGGTTCATAATTATTTACCCACACGGGTTAAATCAAATACCAGACTCGTGACTGGCCCGAGGATTCGGACCCTCGGGTCCGACATACCCTTCGAACCAAACTACGATCGCGGCTAGGGTGGAGTTTGGTTCGGGTTTGGCCGTCGCGGGTATCAGGCAATGCGCTTCGATCCATGGATGTTCAATGGTTTAGGTTAGATCGGTGTGGCCGTGCTTGTGTAAAATGAGTTGTATAGAATGGTGCTTGGGTATATAAGGCGATTGAGATGTCGCATTGAGGGATCTTTTTTGTTAATCAGGATTCACATTACAATCTCATCTCTACTATACTTTACTCTCTACTCAACTCAACTCTACTCTACTTGGCTGCAATGACCAACCCACAGAAAGTCAAGACCGATTCGGAGCACGCTCGTCTCCAGAATGACTTCGGAGCGGATTACTGGATTCGCAACCAGCAAGAACATCGCGTAAGTTCTATCTTTGTTATTGTTTTGATGAGTATCCTAGACTAATAGCAATTATTGTATAGCATTCTACTGCTGGACGTGGCCTCTTCGCTGGTCTCCAGGATGTGAAGAGCTACAACGTGGACAATGGATGGGCACGACGAAAGTCTGGGGATGCGCAGACTGGCTTGTTTGGATCTCTCTGGAATCGGTAGGTTTCTCTCTCCAATAATTGTCTTTCACCACATCTTGGTGACTAGACTCGTGCACCCGAAGCTAGATCAGAGCTGACTTTGATTGACTAGATTCGTTGGTGGAACTTACCACCCGCCCACTGATTGATCCAATGAAAAGCCTCGCACAGAATGCCACATGTTTGGTGTCTGATGTTTAAGATTCAACGATTGTATATATTTATTGTTTAATGAGTTAAGACTCAGGAGTTATGGGCATGGAATTCCAGATTTCATTATGAATCAATTTTCATTTCACAAACCGAGAATTTCTTGTACAGAATTTTTCAGAAACCAGCTATACATAGCTTTCCATTTTTCCTTAATTCTTGAGCACGGTCCGATATGCACTAGGCCCAATATGGATAAGCGAGTGCGCTTCCTTGGATATATACATATTAGATGTATCTCACGAGGATCCCGAGCCCCTCCTCCCTTTCAATTCTCACCAACCACCCATTGATCACTGTCAGCTGTCTTCGCTGAATGCCTAAAAGACTAATATAAACATCATCCTCTACGAGGACCAGAGGATATGATGAAAGACACTGTTTTCATCGATACACCGCAGGGGATCAAGGACCTAGTGGACTGGGTGGCCTTCCAAGACACTTGCATGGGAGACTCGCAACCCCCCTTATACATCGATATCGAGGGAGAACGTCTTAGCCGGAACGGAAAGTTGACATTCTTGACCGTGCTGGTTTACCCCGGGAAAGGTCTTGAGCGTCCTCATATAATCGACATTCACACACTTGGAAGCACTGCCTTTTCTACGACCGGCACGCGTGCTAAGAGTCTGAAAGATATTCTAGAGTCGCCAAAGTTTCTGAAAGTATTTTTCGATGTCAGGAATGATTCAGACGCTCTCTATGCTCATTATGGAATTGAACTACATGGCGTCCGGGATGTTCAGCTGATGGAAAGCGCCGCGCAGCCTACTACAAGTGATCGAAAGTTCCTAAATGAACTTTCGAGATGCATCGAAGATCTCCTGTGCGGGCCAGAAAAACAAGAGTGGATGCGATGTAAGGAAAGGAGCGACGATTTGTGGAATCCTGCAAAAGGAGGCTCATACAGTGTGTTCAATGCTCGGCCGCTCTCGAACGAGATATTTTCATACTGTGTTGGTGATGTACAGCACCTTCCAGCTTTATATCACAAATACCGATGTGGAACGGATCGGTGGCAGAAGTTGATCGCAGAGGAGTCTCAGAAACGAGTATCAGAATCGCAACAGGTTGATTACAATCCTCAAGGAGAAGGAAGGGCACTGAGCCCCTGGAGTGCTGAACAAAACACAATGCTTGACTTTTGGAGTGAGGTTCCTAAGCCAAAGGACTATTTTTCTTTTGACGGCCTCAGCGATTTTGAAGAAGACGCTTGGGAGTTTGATGGATATTCTGGGGATGAGAATGATTACGAGGATAGGAATAGAGCACCTTGGCAGGGTACTCCATCTTAGCTCATCTATAAACCTGCTGGAGGTCCTGTAGTCGATGGATTACAAAGCAGAATTTGCAATGATGATTACGGAGAACAATCTGTTACTTTGAGACAGCCCACAGGGCTAGAGATGGCTCTGCTTTATCTCACCTCTAGGAAGGAGAATAGTGGCCTGTGTGTGTGGTTTTTCTTTCACTTTAGTTTTTCTACGCGACTGAATGACTCCAGCAAACAAAAAAGCCTCTTCACTGGCCAGAAGCCGAGTGCAGTGCGTCTGATATTTTGTAATATGTATTTGATGGTAGTCTAAGCATTCAAGATTCACTGTTGAAATGTTGGTTTCCTATCTTCCAGCTGAACCGAGATTCTTTGCTACTACTATCATTCCTTCCATTCATTCTATTAAACACTACTAAAGCTTACCTCTGGGTGCCATCTACCACTGTGGCTGAAGTGGAGCCAAAAAAAAACTGTAAGTGAGAGAGCCTAGATACCTAGAAGTCTAGTCATTGTTTTGATCAAATTTAGGTACTTGGTTGGATAAGCAGACCGCTAAAGGTGCAAACAAAGTCCATGAACATATTCTATCATAAAGCCACCACCTCTCCTTTCTTGTATATCCAAATACCTTACGAGGGCCTTGCTCAGCTAGCAGATTAGCATTGGCTCCCTTTGGTTAGGCATGTTTAATTTAGAAATCCCTGAATTGTTTGGCTGCAAGGACGGCTGAAGGTGACGCGTAGACCTCGGGATTGGGGGCTGGGCCACCTTCACAGCTCGTGCATACGCGTACCTTCGATCGCTTCGGGGAAACACTTTGGCGGCGTTCGCGAAATAATGTATTCGGATTGGTTATTGGTTTGGGGTCTCTTATAATAGTTATCCTGCACCTGTCCAATCACGCAACTTGTCGTTTGTAATTACTCGATATTATCAGGCTAGATTCAGACGATACGTGTAGCTCATACACGGTGCCATAAGGGGGCAATGCGTCCATATCGTACAAATTAGATTTTCTGCAGTCTTTGCCTACTCTGCAAGCTATTTAGTGGTGGCTACTTTAAAACGAATCGAAGCTTTATAAAATCCATGCTGATACATCTTAGACCACAGTTTGCCTTGGGTTTCTGCTCTCTTTTTACACGAACGTCTGGGTTGAGAAGGGGTACGGCATTGTTTACGGTGAGATGGCCACAATTTCGGGAGGATGCCTACTGTTCTCAATTCCCATGTATATCTGGGGTAAGCAGATTCGCCTTGCTTCAATGATATGAAGGGTTGTCCATTTCATCAACTGGGATTATGATTGTGAGGTTGGGGAGTGAAGATGTGGCGGTTCAGTCATCCATTTTATGAAAGTATGGATTGGCATGGACATCGAAGTTTGTGCAGACTACATTGCTTGGGCCGTTCAGATATATATTTTGCGCTCCGCGGGAAGTCAGGGAGAATATCCCGATGGATGCTTCCTTGGAAAGTCGAAAACCAAGGATAGAAATACGGTGGCTTGAAGATGCTTTAAGATAATTGAAGCTAGGAAATTCCATAAACACTTTCTAATTAAGGCCCAAAGTTATCTCTATGGCTACGTAAGTCCATACTGTAGAATGTACGCGGATATGATGGTGGCCTGAAGGCCTGAGGCCAAATGCGTTGTTGTCATTAGTCAGCATAGTGGTCAGCCCCTGAGGAATTTCCAGATGAAGAATGGAACATTCTATATTTGCGTGGCCAAGACATCTATCTGACATAGGAAATGGCACCGAGACATCTCAAGCGCCCAGCATCTCACATATTTTGGTCAAGTGCGCAGACAGCAAGGACCGGCAAATGAAACGCACCACCCCAGCAGAAAAACGCCATGTCAACGCCCCACCGGCACTTGGCCCAGAGCAACGAGACTGGTCAGAATTTTCACGAAATGAAAATTACCTGGTGGTCCATGTGCTGGACCTATCAACCCCTGGGCTGACCCCTGAATAACCTCAGAAACAGGGTCTTGCCAAGCCTCCAGACTAAATTCGACTCCATACCATACGACAGCCGGTGCCCAGATCGACTATCCCACTTGGCGTTGGATAGCGTCTCCAGAATCTGGAGATTTGGGCGGTCGAGACCAATGCGTGGAGAAGAGAATTAAATACACACCGATCGGAATGGTTTTTTATTCTGGCTTTTATTTTCTAGCCTTTCTGCTTTCCCCTTCACTTCCCCTTTTCTTCAATATTTACCCCATGGACAAAGTCCGGGTACGTAAGCAAAGTTAAAGTCCTTGGAACTGGGTTGAACCAATAATCGGCCCCACGGGAAAAGATTAGATGGTCGGAAGCGAGTTATCCGAAACTAGCGAAGCCTCAATGAAGCCTCAGGGGTAAATGCCGTTGCCTGGGAAAAGATCCCTCCACAGTGGGTTTACTCCAGAGACTGAGTGATTATTGAATCCTCCGCATTGTACGGATTCGAGTATGGAGAAATGCTTTCAAGCATTTTTTAAATTGAGATCAGAATACCTCGTTTACAGAACCAGATCTAGGCCTTCGTCGCATTGGGATCAGCATCTTGTCCCACCGTGATCGTCGATACGGGAACGTGCGGCGCGTACGGAGTAACCATCTATAAAATAAAGACGGGATGCTTTGGAAATATCAGGTTCCCGTGCACCTCGGATGATCGGCAATCAGAGGAGCTGACGAGTCATTGGAGAAGAATCGACTTGGGGCTGAGCTAGGAAGTGCGCGGAAGAGAAAAGAGGACCCCTAAGATAAGATGTGGGTGCTTTGCATCTGTACTCTGCACTTGATCAAACTGTATCAGTTGAGGCGTTAAAGTCGCCACTGGGTGACAACGGTCAACCATGTATAAAACCGTCAATAAACAAACCAATACATTGAGCGTCGGTCAATACGAGAGTACGAAAGCCCGAAAGAACGAATGAAGACCGGCAGGGCGGAAATTAGAGTCTGTGCGTAGGCCAATCATAGTCAATCAGTGGTTATTGAAATCTCCACATCAAGCTGCCACTTGACTTCTTCGAGATTAGATCCTAAGCATGTGAGCCCCACATGGCGCAGGGGAATTTCCTGTTTTTTTTTTTTCTCTTTCGATTTCATGTCACCTCCCTAAAGATCCATGGGTACGTGGCTATGGACCTGAGTACAGATACCTCGATATCCATCGTCATTTTAATCTTCATCTCATTTCCTCATATTACTCTCCACATCTAATGAACATGTAGATGCAAACCCTCAGGGTCCCTGACCCTGTCACTGCCCCGCAGTAAGGGGCTAAGACAAAACCCTCAAGCTCGGCCCCCAAGTGAGACATAAACTCCAGATACTATTTGAAGACATGTATTATCGGATTGTGATGATACCTGAGCTGTACTATTTCCCTGTAATCATAACCTGTGTAAACAGATCCCCACTCTTGCCCGACCCGTGCGGGCCAACCACCAGCATCGGTTTTTTGGGTCTGCAACGATTGACCAATCGCAGACCCAGCGTACCTGAACGGCTGAGTTGGGACCCCGTATGAACGAACCACCCAAGGGTACTGCAGGGTAACTCGAATTCACGATCAGTGGAGCCTGGTACCTGTTTGTATTCACTAATGGGGCTAAAGGCCCTTTCTCTTTCCCTCCCCTTTTTCTATTCCCCCCCCCTAACCTCCACTTTCTCTCCCCAAACTAAAGCCCTCGAACAAAAGGCCTTGCGTGCCCACTTCCTCTCCTTCCTCTCTCTACCCACGTTCCTTGATACCATTGACCACCGCTTCACTCGTTCAGCGGGCATTCTTTCGTTGGCACGCAAGACTCCTCATTCAAAATGAAGGGCTCTATCTTCGCCGCCGCCGCCATTGTGGGCTCCGCTCTGGCTGATGGCAACCTCCACCGTCGTCATGACGCTCTTCACCAGAAGCGCGCCGTCGCCGTCCCTGGCCCTGCTTCGGCCTCGCCATCGGCCTCGACTCTGATGCCCGATGCTGAGGAGACCTGTGGCTGCATCACCAAGGTCATCACCTACTACGGCTCGCCCACTCTGGTCCCCGTTCCCCAGACCTCCGCCACCGAGGTTGAGTCCGTCTCTGCGGTTGAGTCGACCACTCCGGTTGAGTCCACCAGCACTCTCACCAGCACCATCCACTCCACCAGCACCCTCACCAGCACGGTGACCGTGACTCCCTCCGTGGCTGCTACCACCGCTGTGGCCCCTACCACTGCCGTGGCTCCTACCACCTCGGCCACCCCGGCTTACACTCCCGCGGTTTCCACCGTCTACGTGACCCTGCCCACCAATGGTGTCACCAGCTTCTCCTCCACTGGTACTTACACCATCCCGGCCACCACCATGACCGTGACCGACACCACCACTGTCTGCGGTGCCACCACCTCCGCCCTCACCAGCGGTACCAACACTGTTGGTGAAGTCACCACTGTTGTCTCTACCGGCACTGTCGTGACCTGCCCCTACGCCACTGTCAAGCCCACTGGAACCACCGTTACCAGCATCATTGAGTACACCACCTACACCTGCCCCGTGGCCGGCACCTACACCGTTGTCCCCGGTACCACCACTGTCGTTCCCAGCGACACCACCGTGGTTGTCCCCACCGCTTCCACTATCACCCCCGGCACCTACACTCAGCCCGAGACCACCATCACCGTGACTGAGACTGACACTACCTACTACTGCCCCTACGCCACTAGCACTGGCCTGGCCTCCACCTCTGCTGTCCCCACCCCTGCTGCCGCTACCACCACCGTTGCTGCCGCCGCTACTACTGTCGCTTCCACCAGCAGCGCGGCCGCCGCTACCAGCAGCTCCTCCGGCTTCACCGGTGCCGGCAAGTACGGTATGACTTTCTCCCCCTACACCGACAGCGGTGACTGCATGACCCAGGAGGAGGTTACCAAGAACGTTAAGGTTATTGCCGACAAGGGCTTCAACCTTCTCCGTGTCTACTCCACTGACTGCAGCGGTCTGGAGTTCATCGGCAATGCCGCCAAGCAGTACAGCATGAACGTTATCCTCGGTGTCTACATTGAGTCCACCGGTACCTCCGGTGCCCAGGAGCAGGTCGAGGCCATCGCCAAGTGGGCTGAGTGGAGCATGGTCGAGCTGATCGTTGTCGGTAACGAGGCCGTCTCCAGCGGATACGTCACTGCCGCCGAGCTCGCCAGCTTCATCTCTTCCTCCAAGTCTACCTTCCAGTCTGCCGGTTACACTGGCAAGGTCACCACCACCGAGCCCATTGACATCTGGCAGGAGTATGGTACCTCCAACCTGTGCTCGCCCGTTGACCTGGTCGGTGCCAACATCCACCCCTTCTTCAACGCCGACACCACCGCCGCTGAGGCCGGTGCCTTCGCCCTGAGCGAGTACAAGATCCTTGAGAAGATCTGTGACAAGGACGTCCTCAACCTCGAGACTGGCTGGCCCAACGCCGGTAACGCCAACGGCAAGGCCGTCCCCGGTGTCTCCGAGCAGGAGACCGCCGTCAAGGGCATTGCTAGCACCATCGGCTCCAAGTCCATCTTCTTCTCCTACGCTGATGACACCTGGAAGTCCCCTGGTGAGTTCGACGTTGAGCAGCACTGGGGATGCGCTAGCGTCTTCTAAGCTCGTCAATCGTGATGTGACGCAGTCCTTTCAAAACTTGTACAGGAGGATCAGGAGTTCTTACCATTTACATTCTTAAGCATGTTAGATCCGCATGTTGATGCAATCTGGCATGTCTTTTCTTTCTTGGCTTCTATGTCTATTATCTTGGACGTGTTCTGTGGTAGATACCTTTTTATTTGATGTTGTCTACTGACCCTGGTTGCATCCACCTGATCTCTTTGTTTTTCTTCATGCTTTTTGCGCTGTGTATATGTTATTTATTACATGCCCTTTTATGAACCGGCACTCCTGGTAGTACGTAACTGTATGACCTGGTTGTGATTGATATCCGAAATTGCTATGCAACCATCCGTTTGTTGGCTATGATCGCAATGTAATCTGTAGGTAACGAAATCTGGAGACCAGCCTCTAGGATTGTGTCGGAGTAACGCTGTAAACAGTCCAGGCATGCACCAGTCTCCTGCAGCATGGATTCTGTAAACGGCTAAACTGGTATGGTCTAAAGCTTTTGAAAACGAGGTTCTAGGCTTGCATTAGGATCGATTTGAATCTTTGATTTGCAAAAACAAAACATACAACAGCTAGGATTCGTATATGGTCAACCGCTATACGGCTAACTACCGGCCTGTGGCTAAAGTACGGCTAAGCCCTCGGCCTTTCCGAAGGGGGTGGGGGCACCTCAATGTATCCATGGATATGCAACTACATCCCCCCAATCAAACCAATCAATTCGGACTACATCTGGTACCTCTATAAACATGATTTCCGTGGTTCGCTATCGGTCCAACAAACCCACAGTCCCTTTTTCCTCTTCTCAACAAAACAAAAGCCATACAAAGCCGAAGATTTTCCTCCTGTCTTCCCGATGCAACCCCGGGCCTGGATCATCTTCCCTCTTGTCTTCACTTTGACCTACATATGGTTTAAGTCTACCATGTCTTTGCCAGCTTCATCACCCTACAATGAAGAAAAGATAATCACCCAAATCAATACCGTGTATAACCTGCTTCTCAAGCTGAGCTACTTCACCCCCGACCGTATCAACTTTCCCCCAAAAGACGGCCACACCATCAACGAAGAGCTATGCCGCTCTCTCCATCTCACTCCGGCGGTGGTCTTTCTCATGAAAAGAATCCCGTACGTTATCGACGGCTATCATAAGCCGATCATATGGCAATCGCGCGCCTTCGAATACACCCTGGATGAAGAGATCCGGAAGGGCCGTGATCCCGAACGAGCGGATGCAGTCATCGACGAAGACGAGCTTAGAATGGACTTTTTGCGACCGTGGGAGCTTGCGCTGACTTGTTGGTTGGACGATGGGATTTCAGTCATTCTGGACACTAAGTCGAGTAAATTATTCTCCCGCCTCCCTGATAGTATGTTGAGTGTACATTATTAACAGTTTGGAACAGATGTTATTCGAGTCATAGATGAGTCTGAACCAGTTGATGACTTCCGGGAAGAAAGCGAGGCTCATGATGCCCCCACATATCTCCAGAAGATTATCGATGATATTCGTAATCTCGAAGTGGTGTATTCCCCCAGTCGGGATAGTGAGTCAATTCATTTGTCTGGATGCTATGAGCAGGTTGAAGTGAAGCGGATTTTGATCAACGAGTTTGGTTGGGGGACCGAAGAGTTCCGAGAGGAAGATTGGCGACGAGAGGGTCAGGAGATTTACGAGAGGATTGAGTCTGAGGGAATTGAGAGGTGGGAAGAGAGGCAGAGAAATGCTCCAGCACCGACATACATTTAGAAGGTAGTATCTTTGCCTTATTATTCCAGTTTCTGGCATACTGGTTCGACTGCGCGGCCGCACCTCAGTGTGTTGCTGGTTATACTTCATGGACATGGGGACACGGCCGGTGAGTCTAATCCTTTGCCTTCATACTTGCCTTTCCTAATAAATGCTTATGAGAGTCAAATAGGTCTATTATGCCGATACAGGAGTCTGCACCGGTATGAGCTGCGACGATGGGGGAGCTGGCTACAATCGGGCCTTTTGCGTCAAGTCTGACGTACAGCTCAACAATTGCTACTGGTTTGGTAGCCCCAAAGACTATAAGCAGAGATGTCCCTCCAGGATGACACTTCTCACCCAGACACATAGCTGGGTTCAAAACGGGATGCGAAAGTGGCCATTTCTCTAGCTTCCATCACTGCAAACTCCCTCATCAACTGCGGACAATCGAATGCTGTGAAACTCATCACTGGCGGACTAGGGTTCAGCGCAAGTCCACTGGGTATACGCTGTCGGACTCTATCAAATAGATTGGTCAGCAGTTATGATGATGACATGGAGTCGCTCAGCCTGATCAATTCCGATGACTATACCATGAACAACGTCCCGGGGTACTGCAGCGATGATGGCAGATTCTCAGTCATTCAGGAACTAGTATACATCACCGCAAGCCAGTCTAGCTGTACCACTACAGTCACCGTCGAGAAGATATCACCAGTGTGACAGACACTCCGAAAACTGTAACTTGTGATGCAGACAAATATGACCAAGCCCGCCGACACTGCTTTGCCGAGTGCCTCGAGATGGAACCCTGCCTCGAGTCCAAATGTCACAACGGGTCCAAGTGAGACTGGGAACGTGCCTAGATCTTAGGGATTGCGGTGAAGTAAGACGGGTCTCGCCTAATGCTGCATCGCACGTCGGTCTCTCAATAATTGTCCATAAATTGACTAGAAGCGAGGGTGATGAAGACCCAACCTTCAAGTACGGTAGATATCATCTAGCGGTGTACCAACGCTACTGAAGACTAAAGGACTCGGTGATCAAATTTGATCATGCGGTTGATCTACACTGCAGTCTTCAATATCTATGCTGCACTAAGCCGTTGAACTACATAGTCATGCACGCACACTGCGGAGATGCAGGATGACCTACTATTCGCTCAACTGAGTCTCGGACTGTTTATAGAAACTGACTATAAAGCATGAAAATGACTGAAGGTGTTTAAATGGTCATATGTACCATGGATCTTAATTACATGCTGATTCCATCAAGTCTTATGCCTCACATATTAGTGCATTAGACACGACCATTGCCTATGTGCAATCTTTCAACCCAGTCCAAAACAAATTACAACTTTGCAGTGATTTGCCGAAATAAATTACTGCGGCAGCTTGTATTCATCATCCTCCTTGATACAGACCTATCAAAATATTAGTATTAACATCGTTGGGGTATTCATATCTGAGCTTGGTGGTTGCGATGACTTACACCCATAGTGCCGTTGCTGTGGTTTTTGAACGGCTGGCAGATCATGTTGCTGATACAGCACTGGTGGGGATCACCCATCGGAGCGTTGACGCGGCAAACTTCGAATTCCTAAATCATATGTTAGATGAGATTCATCGTTGTGCGTTGTGGATGTCATGTTTAGACGGCTGGTTGGTTGGAATCACGTACGTTCAGGCAAGTAGATTGGGTTTCGGGAGTGGGAATGGCGTTGGTGATGCTGGCGATGAGGCCGAGGATGAAGACGGAGGCTTGCATTTTGAAGTTGAGAGACGGAGGGTAAGCGGTGTTGATAAGGTTGTTTGTTCTAGACAGGTTGGTTAGCTATGACTCAATAGTAATATCGAAGATGGTAGATGGTAATCTTGGATAGGGCAAAATGGGCAGATGGGTAGTTTCGGCTGGGTTGGATGAAGGTTCAAAGAAAGTATCAAGATGAGATGCAGGAACAAGATGTATTTGAAACCTTGTAAATTTAGGTTGGTAACAACATACCTTGAATGAGCGACGTACGGAGAAGTATATCCTGAATTCAGGAATGTCAGGTCACCGGGAACGACGTCTTATAACATTCCTCATATCCCGTGCCTGAAATATATGGGGCTGCCATGCTTCCGTAGAGACACCGCCGATCCATGACTGTGAGACGAGCCAAGGGATCGACAGGAGGTGGTGGTTGATCTTCAAGTGGTTGGTGTGATTGGTGAAGGCTGGCTATGATTGCATTCTTGATCTATCTGTCAGGGCATCGATCTAGCATTATATCGATTGCTTGTACTACAGCAATTATAGGTGCATACCCAATATCCCTCTTCATTGTCTAGTATATGATCGCATCGGAAGCTTGTGAATATAACGGTCGCGACCAGAGACTCCCCTATTGCAACGCCAAGTATTTTTAGAACCAGCTCCTAAGAATTATGGGGAATAAGAGCAAACTACTTTAAGCGAGTATTTAGGGCCGTTCAAGGTGGGGCATCGCTATCATATCTCAATAACAAGTGAAAGAGATCATCTCGACATGCCAATGATACCAGGGCAGAAACCCCCCTAGTTTCTAGACGCGAGCTAAACAGGGCTGGTGGTGCTTGGCATCATTGGTTCGTCCTGCGAGGGGCTTCCTATGCGTGTGGTGGGGGTTGGCAGGAGGCGGGGCTTGGCGGCTGTCTCGCTGGGCTGCCTTGTTAGGGAGGGATCTGAGGTTTTTGTGGGTCGATCATGGCTATCTTCTACGTTGTGATTTATAACGAAGTCCGAGATGTAGAAAAGGGGTTGGAAGTGACGTATTTTGATGGTGGATTTCTGATGTTGCCGATGGCAGCCAGGTTTGTGAGGCAGCAGTGTGGTGCTTTCCTCCTAGGAGATTGTTCTTTTCCTCTCTACAACACCACTCTTTTCTCATTCAAGAACACGGCGGGCAAATTTTCGCCAGAGGAAATCTGTCTATCCTGATTATGATCAGATGATTGAGCAGTCTAGGAGGTCGCCATAATATCAAATTTTGACCAGCGCGTTAGGCATCAAGGGATACTTACTGTACCTGAGCGAATCCCGAATGGCACCACCAAAGTTATGAACTTACTCCCGAACAAAGTCGAGAATCATTCCAGATGTGGCAAATCTAAGCGTTTGATGTGTTCTCATAGGCACTTCAGCCAACAGGACTTTCACCGATGGCCTGCGGGTTTTCAAAACAGGGTTACTGAATAAATCTACAGCACTTGATATGTTGTCAATTCCGAAGAATTTTGCTAGTTTAGCATGGCCCGAAAGAAGCCTGCTGGACCTACTGTGTTGAGACTAGATGTTCCATGGATCAATTCGTTCCGTGACTAAGTCTTTGCTCCACCCGAACCTTGAAACATTTCTTTCTACCCCAGATTCTACCCTCGACACCCCCCAGCTGTCATGGACGATGTCCCACCAATATTGCCAGACGGGCGACTTGGGGAATCTTTTATTGCCCCAGTTTTCGAAGAAGAAGCCTTCCTATCACCGGGAACATTCTCCAGTGCGGACGAGTATGCTGCAAACCCGCGCTTCCTAGAACTACAGGAAGAACTCCGCTGCGTACTTTTCAGCGCAGTAGCCAGCCTAGATCCAAGCACTTACACATCCCCTCCTTCTGAGCCATTAATAGAGGCGACAGGGGCGACGAGGACATCCCATCAAAGCCTTGACTTTACTCGGGTCTCTGTCCCTAAGATTCGTCTAATTCACTATCTCAAAAATTGGATCACCGAATGTGCTCCGTACCTCGACAAATTCGACGAGTCGCGTCATTTTGGTGTTCATATTCCTATTCTGGCACAACGTTCGCCTGCGCTATTTTATGCCATTTTAGCATTCTCCGCCCGCCAGAATGAGCGGAAGGCATGTCTCGATAAATCCTATGACAGTCTGGAGTTGTATCAGGAGTCTATTCGTCTCCTCGGTCCATGCCTCCAAGCCAAAGACCCGAATGTATTGGCTACTGTGTGCATCCTCGCCGTCATGGAACTAATGTCCGTCAGTCCGCGCGACTGGCGCCGCCATGTTGAAGGCTGCGCTGCACTTTTCGACTCATTTAATGTTAACGGACTATCAGGAGGCCACTTACAGGCTGTGTTCTGGTGCTACGCACGCATGGAGCTATGTGGAGCGATAATTTCCAACGGCGCAGAAAGCACTGTGCTTCCGTTGGAAAAATGGGTGCCTTCTATGCCTGAAGCTGTCACACCCACTGAACGAGATAACATGATTCGAGATTCCTTCTGTCAGAAGGGAGTTGTGTCGCCAGATATGCACGCTAATTGGGCCGTGTATCTATGTGCGAAAACATGCGATCTTTCTTGTCGACAGACCCGATACGTCGAGCTAGGCGAAATGATCGACGACCCGCGGCCATTCACTGAACGATGGACCTGTCTATGGAACGAACTGCAATACTGGCTTGAACAACGACCTCCGGCTATGTTACCCGTCAAGACAACGGGGATAGGAGGTGGTCAGATCTTCCCGGAGATTCTCTTCGCGCACTGGGCTGCTATATCGGGCAACCAGCTGTACCATGCGGCTTGCATTATAATGCTCGATATGAAACCCTCGGAACATATTGTCCCACCGTCTAGACCACATTACTCATCGATCTGGCATGCACGCAGGGTTTGTGGGATTTCGCTTACGAATCCGCACAGTGGCAATTTGATCAATGCTATTCAGCCGCTGTATATTGCCGGCAAACTGCTCAGCCACCACAGTGAACATATCGAGGTGGCAAGGCTTTTCAAAATTGTTGAAGAGACAACTGGTTGGGGTGCGCTTTGGAGACTTAAGGATTTGGAGCGGGCTTGGGGGTATGAGCCCGGTGAGATACTATCAGCGATTTGATACCAATTTGAGATTTCTTCTAAATGCCAATTTCTGCCCAAGCCCTGGAGTCTTTTGGGTTATGTACCATTTCCAATGTTATAAATATAGATGAAAATCTATGTACTGGGCCCAGGACAGCAAGGCCTAAAGATATGTACAAAGTGACAGAACCTAATGCTCTACAGATCCGCACACGACTTCGGATATTGTAGCGCATGCTTGATCCGCTGCTTGAGTCTATCCGCATCAACCTGGAAAACATAGTTGACTTCCCGAATGCCACGAGGGGCAAGAGCCTCCTGGTACACATGGATATTGCCATAATTGGGACTGCCGTATGAGATATCGACATCCAAATAGACTAAAACAATTAGTAATTATTCTCCACTGGGTAATGAAAACCTACCTGAAGTCTGATTGGTAGCAAGCGACGGATCAACCATAAGCGCCGCAGCAGTCTCATCCCAGAATGGAAAAGAAAGATCATAATAATCGTGGAAAAGTTTGCTATACGGGTTCGGGACGGAGTAAACCTCATCCGCAAATTCCTGGCTAGGAAAAACCTGGTTCGCGACGTTGCCCGCAATAGTGATGTTGGGAAAATCGGCCGTCAATGCGATTTTCGAAGCTTCAGGGTCGATCATGAGGTTGATCTAGAACTAATAAGCATAGATCAAAAAACAATGGTAGACAGAAATATACTCACATCAGACTGCAGATCAGCGAGAAGGATACTTCCAGTAGCCATCAACATATTTAAATCCACATACCCACCCATAATAACTAGATCCTTAGCCAGCGACGCAAACTCAGGATCCATACGAACGGCCAGCGCAACATTAGTCAACGCTCCAGCAGAGTAAATAGATACCTGACCAGGATATTTATGCACCATCTCAACCATAAAGTTCGCAGCAGAGGTAGAGTTTTCCGGCTTTCCCTTGGGGTATCCCTCCTTAAACGCAGCTTTGACTATACGATTCGGGTTACCGGAGGTAGGATCGCTACCAGCAGCCTCAGCGGTCTTGTTCTCCGGAGCGAAAGCGCCTTCCCAAGGCAGTTTTCCGTGAATGGTTTCCCATGCCTGGAAACGTTCTGGTGTATTGATGAGTGGGTATGTTGCACCGGGGTAGACGGGGATGCAGCTTAGGTTTCCGGCTTCTAGGGTTGCTACGGCGTGAAGGGCGCCTTGGGGTTGCCAGCTGTTTGCTGTGTCTGGAGGATATTAGTGCTTGAGAACGTTGATTTTTTTGGGTGAAATTACCTGAGGCAAGACCGAGGATCTCTATATCTCCGTCGAGAGCAATTAGGTATGGTACGAAGCCTGCTGTGTACCAATCATTGTCCATGATAGCATAGTGCTTCTCTGCACGCGAGGCTTTGGGTAGAGCATTGGCTCCGGTTACAAAAGGTAACAGGGCGCCGCAAAGCAGCGACAAGGGAATAGGATGCATCTCTAACACAAGACAGGACGAAGTCAACAATCAATACTGAAAAAGGTGTCGATCTCTCTTCCTCGCGAAACACATTTTATATATACACTCATTGGGATTATCTACTGCTACCTTAACCCACTATACGGCCACCGACCATTCTCCGACAATATCCAAGCTTCATAGAAGAAATTTACGTCAACAACAACAACCAACCCCATAATCCCCACAGCTGATGCCGATTCTCCCCGCATCAACTTATCCAAAGGAGAAAGTCTCTGGCTCTGCACCCCAAAGAGGAAATTATGGTCCGACCACACACACATCACGCTAGTTTCAGTTACACTCTTGGCGCATTCCGTGACAACTTTTGGGTGAAAAACTCTCTTAGTTAACCGAGTGGATCCACCCGATTTCTCAAAACGGGTACCGTAGGCTACGGTGTTCTGGTTCGAGTCTAGTGGCTCACTCTCCGCACTTTTGTTCTCCATGTTTTTTCGGGGGCGTGACTCGGGAGGCCGAGACTGGGGAAATTTTTAAGTTTTTGTGGTACGATTTAGGTACGCGGGATGAGAGGAATTTTTGTATATATGGGGTCTGCGTCCTTGGTTTTTTTGATGATTTCAATCTTGTCTTTTCATCTTCTCAAAGGTTGTGCTTCCTTGTGGTTTTAATTGATTGACCTTCGCCATGACAGATCGATCATCTGTTGATGTGGAGGTGACTCCACGCATGCATATTGTGAAAAAATCTATGTGGCAGTCTATCTTTGATAACCCTAAAGTGCTCTTCATCGCTTTCTTTGCCTCGTTAGTTTCCTCTATTGTTCAGGATTATATCACAATCTAACTTTGTCAGGTTTGGTGGTTTCGAGTATGGATACCAACAGGGTGTCCTGGGCCAGTCTCTGGTCATGACCCGTTTTGTTGAGAACTTCCCAACTGTTGTCGCATCATCCACAGCAACGGGTTGGTTGACCTCCGTTCTGCAACTGGGAGGTATTGTCGGATCCCTGACAGCGGGTATCCTGGGCGAGATCTTCTCCCGAAAGTACACCATGTTCTTCGCCTGTTGCTGGGTTATTCTGGGAAGTTATCTTTACATCGGCGCTACGGCCGGAAACCCATCTCTTTTGTATGCCGGCCGTTTCTTCACAGGTCTTGGTGTGGGCCTGTTCAGCGGTGTCGGGCCCCTGTACAATGCCGAGCTTGCAGCTCCCGAGATGCGTGGCCTCTTGGTCTCTTTCTACCAGTTCGCCACGATCTTGGGAATCATGATTTCCTTCTGGGTTGGTTACGGAAGTAACAACATCGGTGGCACTGGTGCGTCGCAGACCGATCTGGCCTGGCGTCTTCCTTCCATTATTCAGGGTATTCCCGCCGTGTGTCTCGCATGTGGAATCTGGTTCATGCCATTCTCCCCTCGCTGGCTGGTAAAGAAGGGCCGCGATGAAGAAGCACAGGCTACTTTGGCCTGGATGCGAAAGGTGCCCGTTGAGCACGAGCTGGTTCAGGTTGAGTACTTGGAGATCAAGGCCGAGGCCGCCTTCGAGGAGCGCGCTTTTGCCAAGGCATTCCCGAAATTGGCAGAGCGTGAGCGCAAGAGCGTTTTCATGAATCAGATTGCGCAGTATGCCAATTGTTTCCGGACTATGGATAACGTTAAGCGGGTGGCTACTGCGTGGTTGATTATGTTTTTCCAGCAGTGGAGTGGTATCGATGCTAGTGAGTACTCATTATGTGTTGATATTGGGTTGATACTAACCAGCAAATAGTCATTTACTATGCTTCCAATATCTTTGAAAGCCTTGGTCTGACTGGTGGTACTATTGCCCTTCTCGCAACTGGTGTGACCGGTGTTGTATTCATCGTCAGCACTATCCCTGGAATGGTATGTTCAAGCCCGCATATCCTGAGTTCCCCAGTCTAACAACACCTAGCTCGTGATCGATAAAATCGGCCGTAAGCCCATGCTTCTTGGTGGATCAATCGTGATGTTCTGCAGCATGGTAATCGTCGGAGTGATTGTGGCGAAATTCCAACACGATTGGCCGTCACATGTGGCAGCTGGTTGGACCGCTGTTGGTGAGTGGCAACGCATGTACCTTCCAAATATACTAAAGCTAATACCTCTCTAGCCCTCATCTGGCTCTATATTGCAGGCTTCGGCGCCACCTGGGGTCCCGTCTCCTGGACCCTCGTCTCCGAGATCTTCCCTCTTTCGATCCGCGCCAAAGGTGCCTCGATCGGAGCTTCAAGTAACTGGATCAACAACTTTGCCATCGCATTCTTCGTTCCACCGATGCTGCAGGCTTGGGAGTGGGGCACGTATATCTTCTTCGCTGTGTTCCTGGCGGTCGGTATTGCGTGGGTTTATTTCTATTTACCCGAGACCAAGGGTACTTCTCTTGAAGAGATGGATCGCGTGTTCAAGAGCAACACTGGCGAGCGGGATGCTGAGTTGATGCGTGAGGCTCAGCGCGATGTCGGCTTGACCGACTTCCTGGAACGCATGGGTGCTGCTACTGGACGGGATCTGGAGAAGAACGGCTCTCAGTATATTGAGACTCTGTAGTCGGCATGAGTTTCCTAATTAGTTCGATAATTTGAGATCTGAGCGCATATGCTTGGCGAATGAAGCTTTGATGAAACCCCATACTTTTGTAAATGAAGAACATTTCCCCACATAAGAACGTGGTTATAGATCTATCAGCAAGTAATTGAGATATCTCGATCCTCGGGTGGCGTCCGGACGCCTCCATTACCCAATCGATTCAAAATCGCGGTTCAGCCCGCTCTTCTCCCTCGGCGAGTTCCGCCCCACAATACGACCTTCTCCCTGAATTTAGGCCGCAGAGGCTCCGCAGAACCTCTTTTGGCATCTTTCAACATCCCCGTCATGCACGTTATACTTCAATCATGCCTCGCAAGCCTACACCTACAGACAAACAGAGGGTGAGGACCGGTTGTCTGACATGTCGCAAGAGGCGAAGAAAATGTAGGTGAAAACACCGGTCGAACTGAGTCAATCTGACATTCGCAGGTGATGAGCAAAAACCACGATGCGCAAACTGTGAAGTCAAAGGATTCACTTGCAAGTATGGATCGGACTTGGCTTTCATGACGCCGCGGTCTGGGGAGGTACTTGGTGGATTGCGACAGGGCTACAAGGCGATCAAGGTAAGTAGTATCATGAGAAAGAAACTCTGGACCTCTGTTAATGTCAGATATAGTTCGTGGATGATTCGCCTGCTCCAATTGCCAAAGGGAGACCAAGACAGCAATCTGCACCAAGCCAGAGCAATGGGCAAGATAACCTGGATCACCAAGAAGAGATCCCATTTCAAAATCATGACATCCGCCCCGTCGGGTTGAGCATTCATGCCCCCGATGTGTCCATTACATATCCAGGATCGGACTTGCATGCGGATACTGACATGCTTGTTGATGCAGAACCTCAAGCCTCTGTTGCCTATCACGGACATCTTGGTTTTGCTGCGAGTTATCAAAGATTAGTGCACAGGCCAAGCAAGGAAAACACAAGTTATGAGACTGATCTACTTCGACATTTTCGTTATCACGTTGGGCCATGGATGGACACTGGCGATTCCAATTGCGCCCTCGGCGTTCGGGTCCTCCTTCTTTCCCGATTAAACAGACCTCTACAATGCGCCATCCTCGCACTATCGGCAGGTCAGAGATCTCTTCTTTCTTTGACCCACAGTGAAGATATTGTGAATATGCTGCGATTCCGCAAGGAGGCAGAAGAAAACATCGCACTGCAGCCTGAGCTGGAAAGGCGTGTCGGTGAAGTCCTATTGACCGTGCAAGAACTTTTACCGTCTGGACTTCATCAATGGAGAAATCTCCTTTCACCGCAAATTGAGCATCCGCGTGGATTCATGTCACCACTTGACCTGGCTCAAGAGCTGGGAGAATCGCTATTTTGGCTCTATTTTCGACTTGGTATGTTACCGAGTTTCAAGTAATGGAAATTAGATCTAACAATTTCTCAGACCTGGCAGCCTCAATCTCCACCTCCAAAGCACCCATTATCTCATTCCAATCATTTCTCCAACGAAATGGATCTTCAATCCATACATCCCAATCTACAGTGCAACTGATTACTAACAAATTCTATCAGCATGCGTTATGTCTCCTGGGACATTGTCTCGCCTTGATATATGGAGACCCTGTTTCTTCTCTCCAAGCGGGCTCTCCACAATTAGCAGCCTTCCCATCTCTTCGACAGTCCCACTTCCTCTCACAGTGGACCTTTCTCTGGTCAGATTGTCAAAAGTGGTATAATGAGCGCCCAGTCGATGCGCAACAGATCTTGGATGTCCGTGGAGGTGAAGCAGATCAAATTGACCCGGACCACAACTCATCGTTCCCGATCATGATCTTTACAACACCTATGGCGCTGGTCGCCAATGCTGTTTACCATATAACGTCCCTCTTGCTCCTTACGCACAAACCACGGCTTCTCAAGTCGCTTCCCGGTCCACGGTGTTTTACTTCACATATATGGCATGCGCAGGCAATCGCCGGTATTGCAGCTAGCAATGACTCGCCAGAGCAGTGGGACCCCGTACTCGTCGCCAGTCTGTTATTCATTGCGAGAGACATGACGCATGAGTCCCAGCAAGTTGTTATACTGGAGCGATTGAGAAGGATAACGGCTACCACGGGTATTAATTTGGAGCATGAGACAGACTCGCTGAAATCGAGATGGAGAGTTGCGAGATATGACGGAGAACTAGAAGTATAGGATAGGTGAACTATGATAATAATTTAATAACGCCTGGCTTTTATCTATCCACCAATCCAGTTTGCAATAAAATAATATGCAACACATCATTGCAATTCATACGCAAACGGGATACTCTGCATGGCGCCTTTCCGCTGCACACACATTGCAGCAGCCGAATTCGCTTTCTCCACCACCATTTCAATCACATCGTCGAACATCTCCAATTTCGCCCCAGTGGCAACGAACCGCGCAAAGTCCGATGAAAAATACCCGACGAAAGTATCACCCGCAGCAGTAGTATCAACGACCTGAGCAACCTTGACTCCATTCACATAACCAGACCGACCACTCCTAGTCGAGAAATAGACACCCTTGGCACCAAGCGTAATAAGTACGACTTGCACGCGCGCAAGCATATGAAATCTCGAAGCCAATTCCTCTGGCCGCAATCCACCCAGATCAACAGCCTCCTGAACGGGACCAGAAAATGAGAAACCAGCAATAGTCTGCGACATCTGTCCAGCTTCAGTCTCGTTCATAATCAGCACCGAAGTCCCCAGAAGAGCCTCCAACGGAATCCCCTCGGGATAAACAGGCGCGGGATTGAAGACCACATGAGGAAACCCTTCGGCACGGTTGAAGCATTCCAAAGCCCACAACGTAGTTGCTCGTGGAATCTCGCCTTGTAGAACAACAACCTGTGGTAAAGGCATGGTAGTCTGATCTATGACTTCCCAATGAATTCTGTCAACATCTGTCATACCGCTATGATTCGCACCAGGAACAACAAGGATCCGGTTCTCGCCGCTGTCTTCTTCGACGATGATAGTCGCTGATCCAGTCTGGGCATTGGCATCGGATAGAAGCGCAATACCATTTGTACAGACGCCTGATGTTTGGAGTGTAGGTTCCAGGAGTGTTTTGTAATTCGGATCGTTCACTTTCACAGCACCGATCATGCGAACAGATCCGTCTTGTTTGTTTGAGGAGATAAACGAGGCGCGGCCGGCTGCGACGGCTTGGTTTCCGCCTTTTCCACCCGCTGTTATGGTGAGGGAGGTTGCTGTTAGGGTTTCGCCTGCTTGGGCGCAGCGTGGTGTTGTTGTGACGAAGTCGATGTTTAGGGAGCCGATTACGGCGAGGTGGGGTTGGGGGATCCCGAAGCTCATTGTGACGGTGTAGTGAGGTTGTTGGTTGTAGAATAGCATTGCGGAAGTTCAAAGGAAAGATGTAAGTCTTGGTTGATATATCTTTCCAAAGCTGTTCTTTCTCTTTGTCTATCTATGGGTCCCGATCGGGCTAGTGTAGCCTATGCGCGGCCTAATTCGGTTAGACTGGTGGTTATACTCCTAATGTGGGTGGTTCTTTTTTTCGCGCTAGCCTAAAATAGAACACGCAGGCTAAGTCTCGACATTAAGATCCTGATCGCGCGGTTCTTTTTAAATGACGTTAATTTGAACTGAATGAGGAAGCAAAGCATCGAAGTAAAATTGTTTGTATGTGTATCCTATGAGGCTTTGCCGTACAAGCGAGTCCGCCTCAGTCTAACCGTTATGTTGCAAGCTTGAGATGGAGATATAAGCTGATTGTATTATTGGTTGTTAGGAAACTCCTATTAAAAGGGTTCCAAAATGAATATAAAAACCTTTTTCCTGAATGATGCAGCTGATATGGATGTAAGCAACCCCCGACAAACTCCTCGCTGTAGAAAACCAGCCATAAACCATGAATGATAAGACCATAACACCGACCCATGCCAAGATGAAGATCAAAGCTCCACTGCTCAGCGCATGTGAACGTAAAAGAGGTAGCGCTGTCTGATTTGAGCCACATCGTAGACGATGTACTCATTGTATCGCAGAGAGGCATTGTCATCCCATGCCTGGCCAACCGCCACGTCAGGCATCGTGACTCCGTTCAATTCAGGAGTCAAACAGGCCGCATCTTTCCATCCACCAGGAACTGTTTTGCCTCGACCGAGCGTAGCGATCTTTCCTTGACTTTTCGCATTATTACCGGCATTAGAATCACTGTGGACCAGCTCCAACATTGGATCACCGAGCTCTGCATCACAGAGCAACAGTAATCCCATGTTCGCACTGTTGTGTGAGCAACAGTAGTTCGCGGACTTGGTGGATGTGTCTGCGAGGTAAACACCCTTTCCAAACATGTATCCGTTGACGGGTGCTTCTGGAGGAGCGATGCGCAGACCCTGGCTGAGAATACCACCGAAGTTTGTGCTGCGCGAGCCGTGCCATAGTAGGCGGCGGTCGCTGTTCTTCAGTTTTGAGAATGGAGAGGATGTGAATCGATCGTTCTCGCCCTGGCGCTCGATCCGGAAGATATCAATGATCTATATGGATTAGTATGGGACTAAAGCCTGAACAGGGGTGGACTCACTTGATATTCCATGTTGTGGCTTGCACCACGTGAATCGTTGAGGTAAGAAGCTAGCTCGTGGTATTCACTTGTGTTGTGGCCCACTGCAGAATATCAGTAGCTGCTCACTCATAAGAACACGAGGTTCGACCTACATCGAGTCATTTCCTTCATGCCGAGACTTTGGAACTGGCGATCCAACTCGTTGATATCCGAGAGTTTGGAATCTTTCATGATTTCATTTGCGACATCCATGTCCGTAAGAGCATCGAGCAATTCGACCTCCTTTTTGATCAGTTGATCAGAGTTCAGAATCGGAGGTCGGTTTCGACGAAAGTCATGGGGGATCGTGGTGAAGTATCTATTGCTCAGGCTCTCAATGGTTGTTTGCCAGTTTGTGTCACGCGTAGTCTCAGCAATCAGCTCCGCCAGTTCCTTCAAAATCAAGAAACCGGATTTCAAGGTCCGGTCACTTAGTTTCCCAAGTGGTAACTTCTTCGCATCGTATGACATCGACGCCAGTGCCGATTGGACGTGTTGAGGGTTGAAAATGAAGGACATAAGGTTCTGCAGGGGTTTGGTCAAGGTACTTTCTCCCTTGATCGGCACATCGTCAGATTTATTCTTCTCCAACGTCTCGTCGGCGTCATCATCCTCATAATTCCGCTCGATGAAGGTATATTTGCCATTCTTCGGAGTGCCCAGGCGGTTTTCCCACTTCAAACCGGATTTGTCTTTGAACTTCTTCTCAAACGCAGCCTTAGCCGTTTCAAGTGATCCATGGCCCCAGGTAGAGTACTGGCCAAATTCGCCGACGCGGCCCCAACGAGTCCATGTAACGTACTCCTTTTTGTCTGACGATACGATCAGTTGCACAAGGTAGAATTTGTTATTGTTCTTTCCAGAATCTGTCTGGTTCAGAGCCGCATCCCATATCAACCCAGAGTCCTCGATCAAAACCACAGAATCTAAAAGGATGGTCAGTAAAGAAAAGGCCTTTGAGGGAAGTAGAACAACCTTTCTTGTTTTGGAAGGGAGAATGGTAGATGAACATGTTATCGATGGGAACCTTCAAGGAGGATTTCAAGCTCGTCCGCTGCGAGTCCTTTGGCTTTTTGTTCGACTCTGCCTGGTCGTCATCCTCTTGCTTAATGGTGCGCTTCCTCGTGTTATCGGTAGTGCCATCTAGCATTGGGACTTCGGCTTTGATGTCGCCACCATTCGAATCCGGCAATATATAGGCCTTCTCGGGGAGAACTTTTTTCGCTTCGCTTGAGGCTACGAGCCATTGCACAGTTACAATCTTGCAATTCTTGACATTGCATGCTTGTTGATCTGTTTGCTTTCAGTAAAGAGAAGTGGGGCGCTTTCCACAAATCGGGATATTTACACTTGGTTCCTCTTTTCGCAGCGTCCCTCTCAGTGGTAATCAAATGTGTGCATCCGTCATCCACTGTTGCAGAGAATGTAGCACCTTGGGCTTCAACCAAAGACTTGACATCGGCTGCGACCCAGCACGTTAGCATTGGTCAGGGTCCACTGGTGTGGGGCTAATATTCGGCTTCTGATAGGGGTCCCTTACCCTGCTTGTACCCTGGGATGGTACCACTGACTGCAATTGACAGCTTTTTGAAGGATCGAGGCGCCATATTTAGGTGATGTGGGAAGAATAGAAGAAGCGTATAGGAGAAAATTGACTCAAGTGAGAGTCAGGCCAGCAGACCAAGAAGCGTCTGGAACCGAGATGAGGAGAGAACCTTCCAAAGTTGGAAGTTGGACAAATTGTGAGATGAATCGGAAGAAGGAAGAGGGCTGATAGATGAATTCTGATAGAGACAAGCCAGGGAAAGCGATTCTTTAAAACGAAGCTGACGGTCACACTGTTGACTGTTGGCCTTATAGACGAGGCACCAAGCCGGCTGCTGCCTGGGTTAGTGTCAGGCAGCACTCGCTTAAGTGGGGAATGGGCAAACCAGGCACCAGCTGGGCGGGATTTGGTAGAACGAGCTCAAGCCACCAAAGTCAATTGATCGAATCTTAAAGACTGATCCCTTATGAGGGTGCTCTCTGTCCAATAACACATTTCTAGGTTCATCTCAACAGTAAGCAGCCATCCAGGTGCCGCGGCAAATTTCGAAAAAGATCGGCGGTTATATTGGTAGAATTCTGAAAGCATGGGGCATTGTTATCACAACAAGAGATTGCCTATGTGAAGCGAACAGTGCGCTTCATGCTCACTTGGCTCATTTGGCGTGTAATTTACGGATCCTGATCCGGTCTTGGAGCCTTGGCGAGACACTGAATGATTTTGTAAATTTGACCGAGGCACATTTGAATCAAAACAAAGTAATGAATTGCATATTCATGTTCGGTAAAAGGAGGGCTCACACCCACAGACTCATACAGCAATGGGTCTCCAAGCCTGAAGCTTTACCTGCGAGACCCAACGACCATCTTCTGGATATCAAGAGTGTTTTGTGTGCCCCAAAAATGTCAAAATGCACCACTTTGAAAGTGAAGATAACGATGGAGAGGAGAGAGACCTATGTAGCAACGAGGAGGCAAACAAGCTAAGCCCTGAGGCTTCGAACGCTGTGATCTGGCGACCTCGAAAGTATGCCAGTAAAGACCAATTCAATTGTTTGATAAGACATAACCAGTTGTACAATGCCGGGGTAATAGACCCTTCGGGAGCTACTAGTTTCTAGCGTCCTTTAGTGTTCAAGGACCTGAAGCGAGAGCCACAGCGGAAATCTTCACTGTTCCTGATAACTAGTTCCTTGGCATGTTTGGTTCTCCCTCTTACGAGTATCTCATAATTGTTAAATACTGTGCCTACCGGCCAACAAATCCTCAACTTCTTCCTTTTCATTCCCCTTCGCCCTGTAGATATTCCCAATATTCATGAATATATGAATCGAGCCGAAAATGGATCCTTTCGCAAAACTCCCGACTGAAATTATTTGGCAAATTCTTGAATCTTGCTGCGACTTCACCAGCTTAAACGGTCTTCAACAAATATCTCCCCGAGTGAAGGAAGCTTTCAACGGCTCGTTCAAAAACATCACTGAACACGTCCTAAGAAACTGCTCCCTCACTTCGCACGGGCTTCATTACTATTTCACGCGCTTAGCCTCCATTTTATCGACAACATTCACTCCACAGGCCTTGCTAGAGGAGCTTGCTGGCTCACCAAAGGATGGTTTGCGACCTATCCCCCTTTCCACCACCCACTCACTAGCTGCGGTGCATCAGACTGTAAGTACAGCAGCGGAAATACATCTCGCTGCCTGTGCTTGTCTTCAGCAATTCATGAATCGTCTCGAGTCCGCAAAGCCCCGCCGTCCCATGGCTTCCGATGCCAAGGTTGTGGATTGGATGCACAGATTAATTCCACCACCCAAAGGTGGCGAGCTTGTCCAATTCGATGTTGATGCACCATCGTGGGTAGAATCTTATCGGACGCATCGAGGGCTCTGGAAACTTGAGCTCTTCCACCAGATCCATAATGCTGCGACAAACCACTGGCTATGGTCTACGCATGATCTAGACTGCTTCAGTGAACAATATCTGGAATGGTGTCAGTACCCAGGGGGAACAGAAGAGCTCCAGACGATTTCGGAGTGCGTGGTCGATTTATGTTCTTCCAAACCGACAATTCTCAGCCACCGGACTCCATATTTAGTTGCCATTCCGCCATCAACCGTTTTGACGGTACAGAAATGCTGGCCTTTGCCAAATATTCAAGATACCCACGTTGATTCGAAATGGCGTCGGAGTCCGGCATATATAGAGGGCAGAAACTGCGTGATTAGTTTTTTCAATTGCCTTCGCGGCGGTGAAAAAGCCCGTAGCTATAACGCCCTCTGGAAAGTGGATTTCAAAGCATTTCGACGACTTGGTGTACCTCTTTGGGACATGTGGCGATTGTACCAAATGAGACTCATGTCCCAATCTCGCAGTGTGCTTTCACCACGGGGCGACTGGGTTGGCGGAGAGTCCGAAAATACTGAATGGCCTCGTCATGTTACAGCCTATATATGGTTCAGTCTAGCAGAGGAGGGTGATGTGATTGTACAGCTTAGGAAATAAAAACTGATGTTCTAAGGTCGGAGTGATGTATTCAATCCAGGTGATAAATCAACTGACACACTAACCGCTTTGAGTGACCAGTTTGGCCAAGAAAACCTTGACCAATCAAATCTATTATAGTGCTAGATACAGTAAAGCCCTTTGACGTGCGGGGATGCTGACTGGCGGCTAGAACGCTACACCTCGTTGAGCGGCGAGGGCGGTGATTGGAGCGGGGGCCACGGGAAACGTTGCGATTTCTATGTTGATAATTGGCGATTCATGACACTTCGAGACCGGGAGCCTCTAGTCTATTGAAACACGCTTTTCTGTATGCAGGCGAACACGTACTGTAAGGCCCCCCCACCGACTTATGCTTAGAAAGCTTAATACGGAACGAGATCAGCGATATTCCCGCTCCTTCCCTTTCTCTCCTCTTCACCTGTCGTTATATCAGCGCCACTATCAGCGTAAGGTACCTAGCGATGCCACAGAAATCACGATGGAGCGTTTCCGTTCCGAAGATAGACATTCCCACTTATCTCTTCGGGTCCCCTACAGCTCCTCTAGGCGATGCTGTCGCCTTTGCTGACGCTGAAGACCCAGAGGCGCTGTGCATGACCTGGACCGAGCTCCGCCTCTGGTCACAGCGTTTAGCCGCGGGATTAAAAGCAGCGGGATTAAATGAAGGTGACCGAGTCGTTATCCTTAGCGGCAATGATATTCTATTCCCCGTTGTCAACCTCGGCATTATCATGGCCAGTGGCATATACCAATCCGCGAATCCGCACTCCAATGCCCACGAGTTGGCGTACCAACTCAGCCTCACTAAGCCAAGCTTCATGATGGCGAGCGAGGCAACTCTAGCCTGCGCTCTGGAGGCTGCCAAAATGGTAGGCATGGAGCGGGAACGTGTTTTCGTGTTTAACAATGCTCCACTCATCAAGGAAGGCGGTGGCGATGATAATATTGAACTTGAAGTAAAGCATTGGAAGCACTTACTGGCGCCTAAAGAAATGGGTAGGCGCTTCATTTGGAAGAAATTGAACCCGGGAGAATCGAAGTCGACAACCGCCTATGTGATAATGACATCTGGGTTGGCGACCCTGGCGTAATTTAAGTCTCTATTGATGCTAACGTTATGATTGATAGAACCACTGGTCTTCCAAAGGCAGCGGAAGTATCGCATCATGGCATTCTCGCAAATTGTGTACAGACTGATTTTGTGATGAGCCTCGATCCCAACCTCCGCACGACAGAACAGGCGGCTAGAAATTCGAGGTGGCTATGCGCAATACCACTGTACCACGGTCTGGCGCTATGCTATTTCTGCACCATATCCATCGCCAGACGGGTTCCCTCATACATCATGCGGCAGTACGAGATCAACCGTATGCTGGAAAACATTCAGAGATTTCGGATCACGGAGTTGCACCTAGTACCGCCCATCATCGTGGCCATGACCAAACATTCTGCTGTGAAGAGTGGAAAGTATGACATCAGCAGCGTCACCAAATCTTTCTCGTGCGCAGCACCGTTAGGTCCAGCACCAACTCTTCAATATGAGTCGCTTTGGCCCAAAGGACACGTAAACGTCAAGCAGGGCCTTGCGTCAACCGAGTTCGTTCCCTCTCTTTCACCAAGTACTATTTACCATGACTTGGAGCGGAGGCCAATACTAACTCTGCCCACAGATCCTGCTGCAATACTCTAGGCTGGGATCCTACCCTAACGGCAGTGGCCGGCTCTGTTGGCGAGCCCATGCCCAACTGTGAGATCAAGCTGATGGATGATGAGGGGAGTGAGGTTGCGCGAGGCCAAAGTGGGGAGATATGGTTCCGTGGTCCGAACATTATGAAGGGTTACTGGCAAAACAAAAAGGCGACCGATGAGACGATTACTCCAGATGGATGGCTAAGGACAGGAGATGTGGCGCGCCAGGATGAGAATGGGTGGTACTATGTCGTGGATCGAAAGAAGGCAAGTCATGGTGGGCGTGTTAATGAAGCCGAGGATAATGGTTGACAATTGTGGCAGGAAATGATCAAGGTGAAAGGCGTCCAGGTCTGGCCCGCTGAGCTTGAAGCACTCCTTCTTGATCACCCGGCCATCAATGACGCCGCCGTCATCGGCGTGAGAAAGTGAGGCTCAATAATATTTCCGTTAAAAGGTCTTGTACCGTGGACTAACATATACAGGGGCGATGAGGAGTACCCTCGTGCCTATGTTGTGGCAGCACCAGGAGCTTCAGTCTCCGTGGACGACATCCTGCAATTCATCAACAGCAAGGTCTCAACGATAAAGAGACTCACAGGTGGAGTCGTCTTTGTCGATACCATCCCCAAATCTCCGGTATGTGGTGTTGAAATACCGGCTAGGGTATATGACAATAACTAACGGACTATCTAGTCTGGGAAGATTTTGCGACGAGCTATCAGAGACGCTATCGTAAACAACTCAAGATTATAAGAGCTGTACATAGAATCTCGCGTAGTGTCTGGTGGTATCCATGTGTGCTGCTATTTGACGAGTAACATCAGGGTATTCCCTCTAGATCACAGCGGGATGGTACCGTCACGTCCGGTGCAACGGGCGAGCGCGGGAAATTCATATCCAAGGGATCCATAATATATGACAATCAGTACTTCTGCATTGCGTTATATGGGGAAATCAAGGAGCAGCTGACTCGCGTGACTCGCATACCCCGTTGCTTGTTTCTATGCGCAACCCCTCCTAGATTTAAAATCCTTCCTTCTTAGCCCTGCCCCCCGAAAAAAATATACTGGTACCGTCAATCCTTCCAGCTTTTGGAATGCCCAGTGAATACGCCTTGAAGCGTACCCACGGTCAGAAGGTGATAATTTACGCCAGAGACTTGTACCTCCTGATAATCACCGCGCTAAATCTGAAGTCGGGCGATATGCTAATGGAATCGCTTGTAGGCAAAATGGAAGGATGGCCTTACTATTTTGGACGAAGCCCAGCGCTCGGCAATCTTTGACCAGTGGCTAGAGATTGGCCCGCAGGGCTTGCTCAGGTATTTTGTATGCGGTTAGTGAGGGTGCTCAACTAATTTGTGGGTTTCACTCAAAAAGCTCCTAAACCCCGGAGTGTACTGTAAGTAGTCTACTGGAAGCGTGCACTTATACAAGGAGAGTATAATACAAGCTCTAGTCGTCGAATTGTTAATTTAAAAATTATTGCATTTACTATGTGGTTTGGGGGTGTCCGAGTCGCTAGTGAAATACATTAACTAGTTATGCCAATGCTTTCATAATTACTAATCCCGAGCATCGGCTGAACGTTTCAGGAAAAGCCGAAGTTTACCCGTCTGAGTTTACCTTTACTTGTCCATAATCTACGAATGGAAAGGAGATAGACTTGAACATTGGTGTATCATTTCATTGATATTCATAGCTGTTTCGCGTTTAACTAGTTCGATTGACATCATGACTTCATCATAGCTGACTAGGCCCACGAGCAGATCCTTCCTGCACCAGAACCAAATCGAGCAGCTGCTCCAATGCTTGAGATCTACCCGTCGTCTCAACATCTACCTTATTACCCCGGATGACCTCTAGCAGCTGCATCCGAGTAACAACCATGGCAAAGTCAGCCACGTTCTCCTTCGCATCTCGTAGTTGATCCGCGGTCAGCAGCTGGCGCCGGGTAAGAACTCCATTGTTCAAAATCACCCGCCACTTTTCCTTCACGTCCGTGACATCAAAATCAATAACAAACGATAATTCTGCTGCCTTTTGTCCATCCACTTGCACAGACATAACCTCGAACCACTGGTCGATGCTCAGCTTCTCGCCAAGTTGTGTCCGACCACCTGCGACCATACCAGCCTTGGCACCATTGCGAAGCTCTTGGGCGCTGGTCAGGTAGAAGTTGCGCCATGTTGCATTCTCTGATCCGAATCCCAGAGCTTCGTACGCAGAAGCAAGAAGTAATTTGGCCCGTTTTTCTGGATTTTCTGGGTTTGCGGCCACGGCATGCGCTAAGATGGTTGCTGCGAATCGGCTGTCGCCTCTCTGGATGAATGTCTCGGCCTTGTCACATAAACCATCAACACCGCCAAAGCACTCCACATAGCGCTGTCCCTCTTCCGTGGGTGGGTACTTCCACAGGTTCTCGGGACGCCCATCGAACCAAGTCATGTATTTTTGGTAGATACCCTATAACCATTAGCTGAGATCTTACCAGGACATGACAGTTACATACCTTCACATTATGGCTCAAAGATCCATAGAACCCGCGACAATGCCAGGCCCTCGAGATCGCCGGAGGAAGCTGCATGGTTTCCGCAATCTCAATACCGGTCATACCCAAATTCATCATTCGAACGGTCTGATCATGCAAATATCCGTACAAATCTCTTTGCTCCTCAAGCCTTGTAACGAGCTCCTTGCGGCCCCAAGTCGGCCAGTTATGACTTCCAAAAAGCACATCTGAATCCCGTCCAAACATAACAATTGCTTCATCCAGGTATCCAGACCAAGCCTTCGCATCCCGCACCTGCGCACCCCGCAGCGTAACGATATTGTGCATGCAATTTGTCGCTGTCTCAGGGATACAGAGTGCCTTGTAATCAGGGAAGAAGAAGTTAATCTCGGCAGGCGCTTCGGATCCAGGAACCATCTGGAAGACAATCTTCACGCCGTCCACTTCGTGTACTTCACCCGTTTCTTGGATGAGCAGGTTCGGCGGGATAAGACTTGTCGTTCCGACACTCGATCCCATTCCGAGACCAGTGCCGATTTGACCTGTCGCGCAGCGGGGTAGTGCATTTCCGTACATGCGTGCGCCGCGCTTGCGCATTGCCGGTCCAGCGAGAATGCTTTCGCTCATGATAGCTTCAAGGAAACCCTCCGGTGCGATGATGGGAATGTCGGCGTCTTGGGCAATTACTCCGCCAGCGCCCATGTAGTGGTCTCCATGCGAGTGGGAGTAGATCATGCCTGTGACTTTCTTGCCCTTTCCGCGGTGCTCTTGGTACAAAGCCAAGCCGGCGGCGGCACATTCACATGATACTAAGGGGTCAATGATGATGATTCCCTCTTTGCCTTCTACGATCGTCATGTTTGATAGATCGTAGGCGCGGACATGGTAAATTCCTTCGCAGATCTCGTATAGTCCATGTTTGGAGTTAAGTTGACCTTGGCGCCAGAGATTGGGGTGCGCTGTCGGCGGGCATTCGGCTTTCATAAAATCGTATGCATCAATGTTCCATACTATTTTTCCCGTGGCATCTTTGATGATGCCGGGTTCCAGTGCAGCAATGAAGCCCCGGTCAGTCGCTTCATGATCAGCTCGATCTTCAAAGGAGGGGTTTGCTGCCATTGTCAAAGGCTTTCTGCGAGAATATAACACGTGTAAAGAGATAATTTTTCGAATTGGCTAGAAGTTTTGGAAAAATATATACGTCAACGTGGGGCTTCAAATTGCCGAGAATTCAGCATATTAGCTCCGACTCCATGTTCCGGCCGGGAGATCTGTTCTGTCAAGCGGGCCACTTTAACAATTTAAGCTTTCGGCAACCTTGGAGTGACCGTTCTATAGCCATAATCCCATCGCAGTGCGTTTAAAGATTTCCGGGGTCAAATTATCTTCTTAATTGCCCATTCTTCATCACTGCATCAGTTGCAAAAGCTGCGAATCCTCATCCGATAACACTCGAGCTTATCTTCATTGCGCTTAGTTCCGAAATAAGCTCCACCCACACTTTGACGACATAAAGCTTCCCGCGCACGCCATCACGGCTGGACCACTCAGCCTTAACACCGGCTAAACGATTAGTGAATTCCAAGATAAAGAGATTAAGTTCACTGCATTATTTTATCTGGGCCACGCATCGGACGTAATCCCAAAAGGATCATAATTTCAAACCTGGAATCACTCCTGCCAGCTTTACAACCACATCAGACAAACTACGAGTCTAATGAGAGTGAAGCGACTAATTACCATGTTCCTGACTAAATCTGTTCTGCCGAGCCGGCCACTTAACCTTCCGGCAACCATAGAACGACCCTTCAGTAACCGTAGTTCCTTCACGGCCCCTTCCCCTCAAACATTAAAATATACTATTTTATCTCTTGATTTTCCTCGTGGCATAATTATCATAAACCACGAATCCCGACCTAATACAATCGATCTTACGATCTGCATTGCGTTTAGTCTCAAAATAAGCTCCACTCTTATTTGACGACATCAAGCTTTCCGGGCACGCCATTATTCGCCATCACGGCTAGACCACGTACGTTGACATCGACAAAACAATTAGGAAAAGATAAAGAGTAAATGTTCCTGCATAAATTTTATCTCGACCACACACCAAATCCATATTCACATTCGAAATGCCTGTCCATTCAGAAAAAATGGTCGCCTCAGACGTGGAAGCGCCATTGCCGGCTTTGTCCCAATATCAGACGAACTATGAGGATGAAAAGGTCGATTTTCTTGTGCAGGAAGATCCCGATGCTGATGAGGAATACACGCTTGCTGAGCAGCGAAACATTATTCATAAGGTTGATAGGAGGTTACTTATTTTGCTGGGGTTGATGCAAGCGGTTTCATTTTTGGATCGGGCGAATATCTCCAATGCGGCAGTTGCAGGGTAGGAACCTCTGTAGTGATATGCTTGTTTGGAAGAATCTGACATTTTACAGGATGGAAGCGCAATTAGAACTGGGTGTTGGGACACGTTATGTATGTTTATCTACCTGTTATACATGTGGACGATGGCTAACTATTATCCTTACTAGTCCATCATTTTACTTGTTTTCTTCGCCCCTTATATCGTCCTCCAATTCCCAGCTTCGATCGCCGTTCGCAAAGTTGGACCTCGTCTTTTCCTATCCACAATTGTTTTCCTCTGGGGTATTGTGATGATTGTATGTACCAGTGTCCTTACCTGTGAATCTAACTAATGAGGACAGTGCTTCGCATTCGTCCAATCCTGGAAAGCCCTCATCCCCCTTCGAATGATCATCGGTGCTCTCGAGGCAGGCTGCTTCCCCAGTCAATACTATCTCATTTCTGCTTGGTACTCTAGATGTACGTATCTAGTTTTCAAATCTTTATGTTCCGCGCTTACACCCTCCAGATGATCTTTTCAAGCGAACCTCCGTTTTCTACCTCATCGGCGTCTTCGGATCCGCTATCTCGGGTGTCCTGGCACTGGGATTTTCCAAAATGGATGGATTGGGCAACTATGCTGGCTGGCGATGGATCTTCATCATGGAAGGAATTTTAACCTGTCTGATCGGACTCGCCGGATACGTGTTCATGGTTGATTTCCCCGAACAAGCGCACAAGGCATGGGGATTTCTTACCGAGCGCGAAAGCGCATACATCACCCGTCGCATCAACCGTGACCGTCAAGATGCCGGACTGGATAAATTCTCATTTTCCAAATTCCTCAAGCCGGCTCGCGATCTGAAAGTTTGGGGTTTCGCCTTGATCTTCCTGTGAGTACCACCCAGCTCCCCCCCCATCTCAAATACAAAAAGGGACAACTTTCTAATTCCAGGTTGTTTAGATGCACAACAATGCAGGCATACTCGATCGGCTACTTCCTCCCTATCATCCTCGAAGACGAGATGGGTTTCTCCAAAGCAGCCACCCAAGGTCTCAGCACACCCCCCTACATCATCGCCATGATCCTCATGTTCGTTCAGGGCTGGTTGAGTGATAAATTCCAGCTCCGTTTCCCAGTGCTTTATTTCAACGCCATGATCTCCATAATTGGTCTCTGTCTTATGGTCTGGACATCTACGGCGGGTGTACAGTATTTCGGTGCTATTCTTGTGACAAGTGGTTCCAGCGCCAATCTACCGACCGTCATGGTGTTCCAGGCGAATAATATCCGTGGCGCTTGGAAGAGAGCATTCTGTAGTGCTAGTATGATTGGACTTGGTGGAACGGGTGGAATTGTTGGAAGTCTTGTTTTCCGGTCGCAGGATGCGCCGAAGTATCTGCCTGGCATTTATGCCTGTTTAACGTGAGTTCCTGTATCGTTCTGTCATGCATCGATGTCTGAATACTAACTTCCCTTTGCAGGGCCAACGGAATTATTCTCCTCCTGACGACCCTTTTGGTTGTTTATTTCTCCTTGCAGAATAAACTGGCCAATCGGGGGATGGTTGTTATCGAGGATCTACCCAGCTTTAGGTATGCACTCTAAGCCCTGGAGGCGGAGGCATAACGATATCTATTTTTGCAGTTTATTGAATATTTAGCGATACGGAGTCCATGACAAAAAGCATGGATCAACATATGAATCATTTTTCAGGCCCGAAGAGCCTTCCTAATCAATTCCTACGTTACCCCCGAATCTTGAGTGACCTCAGACCAAAGGTCTGCCCAAACATATCTCCCCTCGTAGTCATTCATCACTTCAAACCAACCCCTTCAGGTTCATAACACTAACACTAACCAAGTTGTCCGTCGTGCTAGCCGAGTCACCACCTCCAGTAAGAACCAACCAGTTTCCTTCTCCCTCCAGAACCCTCAGAGACCGCGAATAAGCAGCAACCTCCGGCGAACTGATCTTTGTCCACTCGCCCTTTCCAAGTGCCTTGTTCACAAAGATGGAAGAGGACGACTGTCCATTTGCAATGATAGTCCCGTGCTTACCCCCGTAAGCTGTCCAGACTACATAAGGCGCAGATGTGGGCTTCGTGCCATCTGTGGCGATCAATTCGACTCCTTCGGCCGAGTTGAAGTCCAGCGGGTTTGAGGATAGGCGGTAGTAAACGGGGAATGAGTAGGATGATGTGTTGAAGAAAGAGCCGTACTCATACATGAAGATATATTGTCCGTTCGGGAGCTTTGACTGTTAGTATTGGGCGAACTGGGGTGGATGAATGATATACGCACCTTTGCGACTGTTGGCATTCCAGGGCGATCGGTGTACGTGGGGTAGGCGCTGTACTTATTAGCCATGATTAATAAAAAGAAGTAGCTGGATATAGTTCATACACATCATCGACAACCGGCCCCCACTTCTTTAGATCAGACGAAACTTGATGAACCAGTTTCTGTCCGTAAGTGGTATTATCGCGTTGATCCGAGTAGTAGCAGATCAATTTTCCATTGCTGTTGGTCCAATTAGCAATATTCTAACTGTCAGCTCCAGGATTGTCAACCCACTAAGCCATAAGGAACGGCTCCCAAACAGGCGTCAAACCGTTATCGGGCAACGCCTCACCACCACTAGCAATGTGGCTCACAAACTCCCAGGTCAGTCCCTGATCATGCGAAGCATATAACTCAATATGCGTGGTAGAGAGGTCCTCTGGGATACTATTTCCGGCTAGCAAAAGGGTTCCCGCCTTGAAAGAGCCGATAGATTCCGTGAGATAGTATAGGAACGGCTGGTAGCGCAGTCCATATCCGTTCACTTTGTCAGTAACGTTGGAGTACGCAGACCAGGTTTTACCATAGTCTTTTGAGCGGTAAATTGGGAAGTAGACTAGCGGCGGCTCGGGGGAATAGTTTTCCCATGTTGAGAGGAGGTCGCCATTTGGTAGCTCAATTGTGCGGGCATACAGAGTTCGGGGAAGATTGTAGTCTGTTGGTGGGTCGAAGATTGTAACGTCGGATAAGGCTGAGGGGGATGGGGACTTTAGAGACGCAGCAGCAGCTGTTACAGCGAATGTGAATATGTGGGAGAGCTTCATTCTGGATTATGTCAATCTGTGGTAACTTGAATGAATTGAATTGCCTCATGACGGGAGCAGGTCATTTATGTACGCATTTGCGGTTATATTGTAGATGCGGTTGGCAGATCGGCCAAGCTTCCAAGGTTCTATCCCGCCGGGATTGTTCTTTTTCTGGACTCGTCAGGACATCTGGGGACAAGTGTGGTTTAGCCGGGGTATTTCCATCAATCGCGGGTCTTCTGAGCCACCTCCGCTTAATGGTATGATGAAAGGCAATATTTCTCCTAACAATATTTACCGAGGAACAAGAAGATTGACTTTATTTACCTTGGTCGGGCTCCGTGATGTCCGAGTGTTTGTTTTTGTGGGGATGAACCCCGCAAATATTCCGTTTTCGTGGAATCTGTTTGCTTTGAAGTGGAGCTTTTCAACAATCGAGATAAGATGACGAGTCTACATAAATGAATCAAATTGCTAGAGTTGGATGCATATATGGATATGAATCATCAGGAATTCATTACATGACACCATTGACTGAGGAGATCATATCAAAACTTCTACGTAAACAAACGAAACGAAACACGAAGCCAGGCGATGGCTGACATGCAAAGAAACTCGCTATTCGCCTACGACAGGATGCACACTTGATCAACCGCCAGGAGAACATGCAGAAAAAAAAAAGGAAGATCCAGCTTTCCCGGCCGCACTAGCCGTAAATCTTCGCCGTTTCAAATGTCTGTATCTTTTCCACTGCAGATTCGGAGAAGACGAAGAGACCAGACCTAAGAGACATGGTCCACGAGGGTAAGTGTGAACGCGATGAGGGAGGAACTACCGGATCTTGAGAGGTACCCAAACGGGAGCCCAGACGCTTTGTTCAATACCTAAAACCAACCTGCGGGTACGACTTTGCTGCCCATTACCGCGGGTAACAGGTAACCCGCGTGTCCTGCCGAGACCTAGGAGCCGCATTGCCTAGTCAATTACACCTTGTATGGGAGAAATGAAGCCAATGGCCAATTATTTAGGGCTACTAGTTCTAATCATAATAGTCACTATTTTCCTTTCAATATCTTGCTATATAAATCAACCTTATTAAAAGAAAATCACAAGGGCTGCATTAATCGGAGATCTGTAGTATGGATTTGGTTAAGCATCAATATCCCCCAGCTATTGCGACCTTATCTCGCTATGACCATTGTCGCATCCATTGGATCAGACCATTCTTGTGCTTCGGGCCTTCCTTAGTGGGTATGGTTATCGAGATATTTCCAATCGAAAATTGATGCTAAGCATTGACGCTAAGCTTCGCCTACCTTGATTTATCGCAACTGATGTATAAGGGGTCAATGCCACACCAGGTCTCGACGCGGAAAATATTATCATCCGAAGTCTGGAATATGAAGAGGAAGACTTTGCATATACCCCTATCGGCATGATCTGCTTACACTTTCATCTATGAAATGCTCCTGTGCCAAGTCTTTACGGATTTGCCCATCGTAAGACGTAAGCTAGTTATATGCATGAAATGAGGAAAACACGCCTCAATGCCCGATCTTGAACTCGTGTCTGAGATTGATGGCACGTGCGATCTCTCAATCTTTCCAGTTCTCTAGTGGGGGCGCTTTTTGACTCAAAAAGTAACGCGGCACCGCCCGCCCGAAAGTCCGTGTGAAAAAATTGATGAACATCCGTGATACCCGTGAATAACCTTGGAAGGGCCCTTCAAATGTAATGAATAGGGGGGAAAGGAGTTGACATTCCAAAACTTCGTAGTGAGTGCCTATTAGCCTGCTACGCGATGATTGGATTCTCGGACGAACTAACGTTTCTAGATTTTTAGATCCATACATAGTCTTTTTTCCCTGGCCTGTTTTCCCCACTGCTTCATTAGCGAGCTCCAAATTTCTTCAAAAATGGAAAAGGAAAGGACTTTAAATTTTGGTTTATATATATTGCACCCGCGGAGTTTGAAACTGGATTCATCTCCTACGCTGAAATCATCCTCAAATAAAGATTTCCATGTTGGACAAGATCAAACATGCAGTACCAGTTCTTCGCTCTCCTCTTTCCGGCCATAACCCTTGCTATCCAAGATGTGCCATCCACATACTCTGAATCGAATGCCGAATCTAGCTATTATGCTGAAGTCGAAGCTATTTTACCTACCTATCCCAGTTGGTATGAATCAGTCATGGAGACGGCTATTCCAACTACATGGGAGATGAAATACATGAGCGACCTCACGTTCGCCGAAAGTGTGGAAGAAGCGGAGCTTTCGGGAACCATGCCGGCTTGGTGGTCTAGCCTGCCCAGTGATGTCAAGTACCTGTACACCAGTGAGCAGGCGGTATTCGAATCCAAGGCGTCTACTATTACATTTCCTATGCCTGCCACCATTACCTCTTCCTCCGGCTCATCTGCCACGTCCACATCCGATGTCACTGAGACTCCCACGTCCACTGGCGGTGCTCCTGCTGCTACTGGGGGCTTCATAATAGGCATTGCTGGTGCTGCTGGTATCCTAGGCCTTGCTCTTGTTCTATGAAAGAATTAGTTGCCTAGTGTGTTATAGATTGGACTATTAGTACTGGGCAGGATCACTGAGTATGAATTCGTGCTCACGTTTACTCAAGAAGCCCGAGCCTGAGCGCCCTCATAAAAGCGGCAGCCAGTAGCCCAGCCAGCAAGGCCCCACGTGTCTATATAGATGCATATTGCAGGAAGTGGACCAAGGAGCAGTCTCATTGAGCGCTACTTCAACTATCAAAGCCTCTCGTCTGTGGTGGGAGTGCGCAGGGCCTCGAAATCATTAGGGCGAGAATAAATTCAAAATGAAGAGCGTCTGTACCTGCATCCGCAATTTGATTGCTACAAATGACCACCCTAAACTAAGACAAAAGCCAGACTCCAAAGATCTAAAACAGAGAGCCCGAAGTGATGAGAGGGACGTTTACGCCCATAGAAGTCAATACAAGAAACTCACGCAAAATAAGATTGAGATGGTCATGCCAGAATGGAACAAAAAAAGACCGAACAATGATCATGAATACCTAAAATGCAAGGAATGGCACAGTTGATGGAAGAGAAAGAACGGGATGCTCAGTCATGCCCGTAAATGGAAGCTCGAGGGAGTTGTAGGCGCTATACATGGACATTTGTCGCTGATTCGGTATGATTGTAAATAGAAGGTCACAGAAAAAGAAATCAACAGTAACCTAAGTTAATGAAGTGGAATGGTTCAGGCCCGAAATTTGACGAGCGTGAGATGCAGATTATGTATTAATGCTGGAGGAAAAGTGGTGCGGTGCGTGCAGTGTGGGATATCATGGTCAAAACGTCAAAGATAGGGAATGGGATATGCATCGTAACATAAATGCTTCGAGGAGGTTCAATTCACGGAGGTAAAGGTTTTCAATCAGAAAATGGTAAATCGCTTTTGCTTTGCTTTGGTGACATCTAGATCTTATCAGCGTCATGCTTCGTTATACCATCTGTGGATGAAAAGTACTTACCCTGCCCTTGGTTGCTTTTGTCCCTCTGGAAACGACCTCCACTGCGAGTAGTCATTGCAGCGCTCGCGCCATCGGCGGCAGCTCGGATTGCAGCAATGCGTAACTTGGCACGCTCGTCACCTTGGTCGGCAGCTTTGACATACCAAACATTCGCCTCGAGCGGATCACGTCGGCAGCCCATTCCCATTTCGGTAAAGTATCCGACGGCGTATTGGGCCTTTACAAGACCTAGAGAAAATGACAGTTAGAGACGATTATCTTCTAATAAATGTGGGTACCTACCAAGATTGGCTGCCCGTCTAGCCCACTCATAGGCCTCATCCTCATCCTTCCCAAGGACCGGCTCCGCACCAACCATATACCACGCACACAATGCCATCATAGCAAGAGGATGTTCATGCTGGGCAGCAGCAGTGTAGAAATGGATACTCAGAGCAGGGTCACGAGGGCAGTTCAGCTTGCCGTGCTCGTAGGCATCACCTAGTCGGTAAGATGCCTCCACGTGACCCAGCTCCGCAGATTTGGTGAACAACTGTGCTGCGTAGGAAACATCCTGGAACACATCATCTCCGAAACCCGTCTCATGAAGTAAGCCGAGCTCATATGGAGCCGAGTTATATTGCATATCGGATGATTCGGTAGCACGCTTCATCCATTTGATTCCCTCTCGGTAACGCTTGCCCAGTCCCATGTCACCTGCCAAACACGCCTTAGCCATGCGAGACATTGCACCAGGATGGTTCTTCGAAGCAGCCTGTCGGTAGAATTGGACTGCCCGACCACCATCTGGCCTTGTTCCCCAGCCAAACTCGTAGCACAGAGCTGTGCGATAACAAGCTTCCACGTGGCCGTGTTTGCTGGCGGCGACAAAGAGCGAAAATGCTCGGTCGTGGTCTTCTTTTCCCTTGTTGAATAGTCCAGACGCATACCCATCACCCAAGTAGTATTGTGCAAAAGGAAAGCTGCGGTCCGCAAGACGTTGAAGAATGGACTTCGATTCCCGAAGCAGCCGGGCCCGCGTGATGGAGTTTGAGTCTTCGAGATCCACATTGGGCATTTCACGCATGGAGCTGATCATGAAAACTGCAAATTCGTACTGCACGCCTGGTGAATCTGTTTTCTTCACGTTTGCCAGGTACATCTCAAATGTTTCCTTATGGCTTAAGAGGGAAGCATTGTTCCCGACCGATGACCGGAGTTGCGAATTGTCGAATTGGGCCACACTGGGACCAGGCTGGGGGTAGGATGTATTCAACAGATCGAGAAATGAGCTGGAACGGTGATCTGGGGACGCGGTGGAGTTTCTGGATGACGACCGGCCCTGCATGTATGGCGAGGCCGAGAGATTGCGTCGGTGGGCGGCCACACCATCCGATCCAGACGAATATGCCGAAAGAGGGCGAGCAATCCTCGTCCGCTGAACGGCTAGGTTTCCAGTCGAGCCAGACGGGTGATCTTTGAGGTTCATCCCCAAGGTCGAGCGCTTCGCCCCTTGTGTAACCTGTTGCTGTTGGTGGTGATATGTGAGGGGTTCATAGGCATCAGAAACCACGGCCACACTTTCCCAGCTGCCACGAGAGGAGTCAGTCTTTTTGAGAGAGCTTTGGGCGTCATCTTTCAGCGGTGCTTCGCCAACAGACCATGATCCGTTGCTGGCGGGTGGTCCATATGCATGGGACTGAGGAGATGGCGCCTGTGAGTCTGTCCGTGGAGGATATGTAATGTCCCAGTGTTGATCCGGGGTCGACTCTCTCAGTGACATGTGCGCGAACTCCGGTAGCTCAATCTTTGGTGTTCCAGGGCCATTGGGAATATTCTCGATGGGAACACTAGAAGCCTGGGGTAGTTGAACTCCACTGTCGATCTTGACTGGGGAGCGGGGTGAGTTTTGAACCACCGGGGATTCATCATTGTCGGTAATAACTGAGACAGCCGGTCGGATGAAGTTCAAGCTCTGTGGACGAGTCGGGATCGTTCGTGGAGTGGCTTTGGAGTTGTGCGCAGATAGCGGCGGAGGAGAGTCCCGGAGATAAGCTGGGGGAGGTGAGGGTAAAGGGTGGCCGCCGTGTGCCACCGAATAAGCCATTTTCAAGCTAATGTGTCGATCAAAGCGAGTGTGCAAATTTCAGGCGAACTATGCGAATACTACAAAGACATGAGAGTTGCAGCTGATTTTTTTTTGGGAAGACGTATTGAATAAAGTCCAGAGAGCTGTGAGGCGGTGGAGCACAAGTCGGGTAGCCCCAGTGTGGACCACAAAGGCAAGTTAATGTTAAAGGGGAAGGACTTCTAGGTAAAAGGAAAAATGACGACCATGTCGGTAATGAAGGTTTTAAGAGGGGAAGGTGTTTCAGCCAACGAGAAAGAACTTAAGAGCCTAGTAACTTCCAAGAGAAAAAAAAAAGGGTAAAAAGGGTTCGAATCCCCACTTGATCGCTAGTTTACTCCTTGAAGGGTCAGCCTATTGACTTTCGCCGTGCTTTAGGATTACGTGCTATTCAGGTATTTATCGGAGTTTCATCTCTTATGCGCTTGTGAATCATTGTTTTCTATGTTTATTCCTATATAGCGGGGGAGCTATTAATATACTGATTTTTTCGGGGATCTTTTACGCGCGCCGTATTGTGTCTTGGCTCGTATTGACAGAGAAGCTAAAAGAGCAATGCCACTGTCCCACGTATGATCCACTGGCTCCACCTTGGAACACGCGGAGTCATTCTGATCTTCAACAGCTGTAAAGTTCGGTACATATATTCTCGGCCGCCTCCAAGCCTTAACACGAGAATGCCTGCCACCTGGCTACATATACGAACCGATTTTACCTGTCGCTCTTTTTGTCTTTCCTTTATTTTCTGAGCCTCCAGCTCTCATGCTAGCAAGCCATTGCCGCCCTATCATCATGCCTCGGTGGAGCCCTCGAATGATCGAACCTCATCGGCGGGGACGGGACGCTGGGGCAGCATGCTAGTTACCAACGGGGCCTTGGGTGCATCCCACTAAAGGTATGGCGAACCACACTTTGCCGGTATCTCCGGCCTATCTTACCAGGTGAGTCCGGTTTTCGCTACACTGGAACCCGGACAATCACAGTTCGAGATTTCCCTGGTGAAAGATGACACCATTTCTATATTTACCTATAGTGAGCTAGGTTTGGCTTAGGCACCCGTCATTGGGTACATCTATGTTTTTTTTTTTTTTGTTTTCACTAATTGATTTGATTCAATTGAGTTATATCCGCACGGCCCGTCGTTCGGACCTTCAATAATGAATGGGCTCGATAGTGCTCCTTGCTGGCGAACTAGTGGGCTCCACGGAGTACGGAGACGTTGCTAAAGCTACATAATTCCATATTATCATCTTGATGACAGAATACCGGTTTCTGGCTGCTTACCGGTCTCCCTCGCGGCTGGCGCATACCAGCGCCACTAGCCAGGTATGTCTACACCGATCTGATCTCTGTCAGATGCACATTCCAGTCCGAACGAACGTGGGCATGGCTCCCATGCGCTGCACAGGCCGACCATCGCACAAGGGATGGTGGATTCCTAGCAGATCCGAACTTGACCTGGAGACTCGGTTGGATCATATACAGAACCATCAGAAAGTCCATAATATTTCCAGTTCTTGTATGGATCATTTTTATGTCGAGTCGTTCAGTTGGTGTAGACCCGCTGTGATCGTCCGCCATTTCGATCTACGGTGCACTGTGCACGGGCTTTTGACCCCTGATCCAGGACAGGGATTCTCTTTCATGAACTGCAGGGCTCATCGTCTTCACGATGCCTTGAATTTGATAGATCTCACGACGGTGCTTCAACCGGCATTGCATAAAAAAAATATATCTGTAAGGCGGGAATGATTGTTAGGATATTGAATACCCCTCGAGTCGTACTTCTGGTTATGGACTGAGCGGTGGCGATTAAATGTGACAAAGCATATGTATACCGTACTCTGCAGGGTCCTTGTGGCTCACTTATAGAGCTTGGCATAATATCACTAACTCACTTTATGAAAAGGTGTCAACAGTCGGATTGATTTCGTGTATTTTGCCAGTATGGCCAATACCATTGTGCAACCCAAGCGAGACAGGGTACTGTACCAGTGGCGCGATCTGAAAATAGCACGAAATCCAAGAAAAAAAAAGTCGATGACCCCGTGACTGTAAGCAGAGACTAGCAAATTGCTCGGCAGAAGTTCCTTTTCGTCTTAGAATTGAAAGAGAAAAAGTCCGGTTTAAACCTAATGGAGCCAAGTGTCTAGGCATTGTGGACGGTCATTTGCTCCATTTGGTCCCTGACCTCGGGTCTGACCCACTGGTCTATTTGTACCAATCACTGCGGTTGGTTATGTTTTGGCTGATGTGCTTATTGGTGATGCACCCCGGATGCTGCCCCTAGCGACAAATTAATGATTAAGGGGGGAAATTCTCCTCATTGTTCCAAGCGAGGAGCAAGTCACTCAATAGTAAGATTCCGGTACCAAAGGTACTTCGGTACCAAGATCATAAGACCAGTATCGTAGACCTGTTTGGAATAAATCGGGTGGACATCTTTTTGCTCCTGAATTTATTTTTTGTACCAAAGTCACCTTCGTTAATCTGAACCCTTCGGGTCGATCCGCTCGTTTTTGATTCGACGTTCTCGACCCCGTGAGATTGAGTGGACCTTTGTTTATTTCTCCACCGTCGCACCGGCCGACCGCAGCTTGTGACTGTGACGCTCATCGAACTGCCCGACCGTCAAGAATCGAGAGAAACAGACCGACTAAACGCTCTCATCCTCGTCCATTTAGCAGCGTTACCTGCACATACAAAGTACCAGCATCGAAGTTGTGTTCGTGCGGAGATCCGGAAGACAGGCTTTGTTGATCCTCGGATATGCACTAGACAACCAACCAACACAGCGACTTTTTGAACATTCCGAGGCCATTCACCTGCAGTACATGACCGGGACGTACTAAGAAGTGAGTGCGACCAAAATTCCGATACTTATTACCAGAAGAACTAAACCCAGCCCCAATAGCACCATGTCTTTGCCGCAGAGGCCAGGCAAGGCCTCGCCTCGGCGCGAAGAGGTGCGGGCTTTCCGTGAACCCTCAAGGCGGCGTCGCAGGGACACCGACACGGGTGACTACAGCGACAACCCGACTTCCACACCGACTTCCCACCGACATCGTCGCCGACACTCACATGGCCACCGGCGAGCGACCGATACCGACGACGATCGCATGGAGCGGGGCGGCGACGTCAGGCGCAAGAAAAGTCTCATCAAACCCGAACGTCGCCATGTCGACTCCGACCACCCCAATTACCACTATCGCCAGCGGTCGCATCATATGAATACCCACCCATCCACGACCGGAGAGGACCCATTACTCGACCGAGATGGCGAGGCCGAGACGAATAGCTCCAAGAGCATGGACATGAAATCGAGGGAGATGTATGGGCAGGGGAATGTGAATAAAGCGATGGAGCGGGGGCCGAGCCGACAACACTCCAAAAAGAAGAAGAAGAGGTCTTCGCGCCGGATTTCGAAAAAGCCCACCCTCGAGGATAGGAAACGACAAAAGGCTATGGAGGCGGTGCGCCCGCCAGACTTGTGGACCACTTACTGTGCATTGATCAGTTGTTTGGTGCCAGATGTTTTGCTCAGGTGCTGTGGCATGCCGCAGCGAGAACAGCGGACGGCCTGGCGGGAGAAGATCGGCCTTATCAGTATCATTTTGATGATCGCCGCGTTTGTCGGTTTCTTGACTTTCGGATTCACGGCAACTGTCTGTGGAACCACTCCAACGCGATTGAAAATCAACGAGGTCGGCAGTGGTTATATGATCTTCCATGGTCAGGCCTACAACTTGGAGAACTCGGAGCACCCGGCCGCCGAAGGGATTCCTGCGGACACTAATGTTCTATACGATTTACCGCACAAGTATGGTGGTCAGGATGGCAGTTTTTTCTTCCAGGAAGTCAATGGTGCTTGCAAGGGTCTCATCACTGCCGTGGATGGTGGCGGTGTTCCCACCAACTCTAACGGAGATTTAGGATGGTACTTCCCTTGCAATGCTTTCAACCAGGATGGTTCATCCGAGCCTAATAAGACAGACAATTACTACGAGGGATGGGCGTGCCATACCAGCTCCGCTGCTCGGAAACCCTTTTGGAAGCTCAGCCCATCAGGCGATGTGTATTTCACTTGGGAAGACACGAAGAATAAGAGCCGGAACCTCGCTGTGTACTCGGGCAGCGTCCTGGACTTGGATCTTCTGCGCTGGTTCAACACGAGCCAGGTCTCGTATCCTGCCAAGTTCGACCAACTTCGCGAGAATCCAGATGTTCGGGGAGTTGATCTGACTTACTACCTGCAGGGTGGAGATGAGAAGAAGCTTGGACAGTGTTTGACGCAGATCATCAAAGTGGGCAGTATTGACACAGACACCGTGGGATGCATTGCTTCTAAAGTAGTACTCTACGTGTCTTTGATCTTCATTCTGTCCATTGTTGTAGTCAAATTTGCTTTCGCCGTGTTGTTCCAGTGGTTCTTGGCCAAGAAGTTCGCTGCGGATAGGACGAGTATGAGCTCTGATGCCAGGACTCGTAACCAACAGATCGAAGACTGGTCCAACGATATTTACCGACCGGCACCTCGCATACCTGATCCTCCAATTACCGACCGCCTCAGCAAACGTGCCAGCTTCTTGCCGACCACATCTCGTTTCTCCAGCCCATACGTCATGAGTGGATCCACCGGTGCTGGTGGTAAACAACGGTCGAACTATGTAACAATGGCTAGCCAGAACTCGACTTCCCGGCTTATGCCCAGCTCAACCACCACTGGAACCATGTACAAGACGAGTCACAACAGCAGTGGCGGTACTCTGAGTGCGGACAATTCTCGGAATCCTGCAGCGAGCAGGACCAGTTTAATTGGCCCGGGCTCCCACGACCCTGGCTTTTCCACTGTCCCTGATTTCGATGCTCCTGGTCCCGCTGGATTCATTCATGAATCTGTTGTTCCTCAGCCCCCGCCTGAGTGGCAGCCGTTTGGCTACCCTTTGGCGCATGCACTTTGCTTGGTTACATGTTACTCCGAGGGTGAAGAGGGTATTCGGAGTACTCTGGACTCCGTCGCTCTTACTGATTACCCGAACAGCCACAAGACAATTCTTGTCATCTGTGATGGTATCATCAAGGGTAAGGGAGAAGACTACTCCACTCCAGACTTTGTGCTTGGCATGGTGAAAGACCATGTGGTTCCCCCGGATGAGGTTCAACCATTTTCATATGTTGCCGTAGCTACGGGCTCTAAGAGACACAACATGGCAAAGGTCTATACTGGATTCTACGACTATGGTGAGACCTCTATGGTTCCCCCTGAGAAGCAGCAGCGTGTTCCCATGATGGTGATTGTGAAGTGCGGTACCCCTGCCGAATCTACTCAGTCCAAGCCTGGTAACCGTGGCAAGCGAGACAGTCAAATCATCCTCATGTCGTTCTTGCAGAAGGTCATGTTTGATGAACGTATGACTGAGCTTGAGTTCGAGATTTTCAACGGCATGTGGAATGTCACAGGTCTTCCCCCAGACTTTTACGAGGTCGTTCTGATGGTTGATGCCGATACGAAGGTATTCCCCGACAGCTTGACGCACATGGTCTCCGCTATGGTCAAGGACCCAGAGATCATGGGTCTGTGTGGAGAGACCAAGATTGCCAATAAGACCGACAGTTGGGTCACCATGATCCAAGTCTTCGAATACTTCATCTCCCACCACCAAGCCAAATCTTTCGAGTCCGTCTTCGGTGGTGTTACCTGTCTGCCTGGATGTTTCTCCATGTACCGCATCAAAGCTCCTAAGGGTGGCCAGAACTACTGGGTTCCCATTCTAGCCAACCCGGATATTGTGGAACACTACTCGGAGAACGTGGTTGACACCCTCCACAAGAAGAACCTGCTTCTCCTCGGTGAGGATCGCTACTTGACCACCCTTATGCTCAAAACCTTCCCGAAGCGCAAACAAATTTTCGTCCCTCAGGCCGTCTGCAAAACAGTTGTTCCCGACGAATTCATGGTCCTGCTCTCCCAGCGCCGTCGCTGGATCAACAGTACAGTCCACAACCTGTTCGAACTAGTCCTGGTTCGCGATCTATGCGGTACATTCTGCTTCAGCATGCAATTCGTCATCTTCATCGAACTAGTCGGAACACTAGTTCTCCCCGCCGCCATCTCATTCACCATTTACGTCATCATTTCATCCATCGTCAGGAAACCAGTCCAGATTATTCCGCTCGTTCTACTTGGTTTGATTCTGGGTTTACCTGGTGTCTTGATCGTCGTCACAGCTCACCGCCTTGTCTACGTTCTCTGGATGCTTATTTACCTTGCTTCTCTACCCATCTGGAACTTCGTTCTTCCTACCTATGCCTTCTGGAAATTCGACGATTTCAGTTGGGGTGATACCCGGAAGACTGCTGGCGAGAAGGACAAGGGACACGGTGGTGCTGAGGGTGAATTCGACAGCACGAAAATCACGATGAAGCGATGGCGTGATTTTGAAAGAGGTATGCTCTAGTTAAATCGACATCCTTGCTCTCCCGTTTGGTAAATTTAAAACTAACTTTGTTATTCTAGAACGACGACAACGAAACAGCGTCTGGGCTCAACCAAACCTACCCGCCAATGGGTACTCACATCACGACACATATTCAGACTATTAATGAGCGTTCCGTTTCCGTTTATTTTCTTTTTTTCCTCTCTTTAGTGTCAATTTCGACTGTGATCTACTCTCATATCTTACATACCGAATCTCGGGTCAGGCGTTCATGAGCTTTCGTCAATTTTCTTTTCATACCTGGACTTGGTTCTGCACGACTCTACGACCTATATCTTATGTGCATGTGTGCTATTACTATGGGCTTGAGTGTGACTGAAGGTTGCTTTGTTTACCTTTTTACCCTGACTATTCTTCCAAATTGGTTCTATTAATGTACAGTGGGAATTTGAATCAAGTGGGCTGAGCCTTTATGTGATATAAAAGTCTCCTTCATATTTATATTCATTTGCAAGCTTCTGAATGCTTTATTCGTCTATATGCTCTAGGTTATCATTGTGTGCAATGTTGGTGTCCTTAAAGCCCTTCTACCCCGATCTTACGGTTGTCTCGCAATTAGTTCAAGATATTTGATGATGACTCGAGTATCTATAGCATGGTACCAATACCAAGCCTAACATTGGGCTGGTTGTGCTGTAGATACAGGCTTTAGTTCTAGGGGCACTCGGCCAATATGACCAACATAGCAAGGAATACAAGATAATATGGCCGGTTTTCCCAATCGAGTCTGGCGGGATCCCAGTACTGATGTTGTGAAGCTTCATATAATGATCGATCTTGAATGGGATGCACGAGGATCGACATTTCATGCGAACAACATCCAAGATCACCAAAATGTGAATGTTGGGTCTAAAGGGTGATCCTGCGTTTTCTATGACGTTTCGCGTGATTGGTGGATTCATATAAAGTGTGATCTTGGGGTATAAAGTGTGATGCTGGGATGTAAAGTGTGATGTTGGGACGCTCTCAATCTCCTCCTCCCTCCCCCGGATATATATAGCCTCAACTTTTGCTTGTACTCTTTTCATCCTTTTTCCTTCCTCATCACTCCTCCAAAATTTCCAAATTCCACTTTTCATCTTCCATCTTGAACTTCCTTCTTCCTTCTTTCTCTAGCAATTCCGAGCTCCTCTCTTCAGTATCCAAATATCAAGTCCACTTTGAAATTTATTCTTCCTCCTTGCTTTGAAACTTTCACCTTTCAATGCATCTATCAATCTCATCATGTTTGACATCAACTTATGTACATCTTGCCCCTTTGTCAACAAGCTGATCACGCTGATCACCAACCCCTCCAAACTTGCTCTGACGAGTCCAAGGTATCTTTGCAATTTAATTTACTCTGACCGCTCGTTGACCATTTTCAAGCCCTCCCAGATGTCCTTCTCCGGATTGACTCCACAATCCGCTTCCACAACAATCGAATCTGCTGGAAAGCCACTACTTCCTCCTAAGCTTGATCCCTCTTGGAACGCAATGCTTGAATTCGTCACTCTACAATCTGTCCACCTCGCCGGTCCTTCTCGTCCGCCAATGTCCCGTCTAAACAGACAATACCCAGCTTGATCAAAGCTTCATGTCAGGACAAATGCAGCTATATCTGGGCCATTTCCGATATCTTCTCAATGTGGTGTGGAGGCACAAGCCACAGGCTCACAACAACAGGCATGCGGTGGAGAAGCACTGGCCAAAATCGAAACAGAATGGAATGAGCCATGGATTTTCGTTGACTTGCAGGAAGATTTGGGACTGGTGGAAAAGCAATAAGAAAAGAAAGACATTGTTGATACTGCTTTATGTGTTCTATATTTCTTCATGTTCGTGTTGCCTTTGCCTCATGCTCCTTGATATGTGATTTGCCTACATCACCAATTCGATTACATCCTGCTAAGGGCAATATGCATCTCAAGAGTCATTGTTCTCTCTATCAATAGTAGACTAATTGCGCTCCTAATTGAAATTCGATTTGGCAATGTTAAGGCAAAGTTGCTCAAGCTGATTTCATGCTGAAAGTTCTAACAAGTGGCATATTCAAGTAGGGTCTTGCTCCAAAGGGAAACTACTCCAGCAAGACCACCAATCGCTTCCCTGGGGCACCTCCGGCCAGATGTCATGGAGAAGCAGCGTAAGTCTTTCAGGGAGCCGGAACGTCTCCTCTTCAGAATAAATCCTCTTGTGATGTCGTATCTCTCGCGCCCTCTTCCCAATCTCCTCTATACTTGGTGATCCAGGATTGTGAAAGTTGTATCGTGTGACCAGGTATGACTTCGCAAAGCAATCAAGTAGGTAGGTCTCGGGCGTGGAGAAATTGTAAGCTCCAAATGGCACAACCCGAAGGTACTTCAGGCGAGAGGATCCGTTGGTGTTGATCATGTTCCAAATGCCAAGAGCGAGCTTCTCGTCCATGGCCGCATTGATGAGCGTTTTGCGAAGCACGGTTAGGTCTTGTGTATCAATATGGAATAATGGGGGCCGTGGCCGGGCATCGAAATGAAGATCCAGCACGAGGCTGTGAAGGTTCAAAAATTGCCCGAGAGCTTTATATAGCTCACACTCCTCTTTACTGCCCGTTGATCTCTTGATCTGGAGACGTAGTTCCTCCAAGTTTGGACAGAGCTTAGCCAGCTGGAGGATGCCCAAAACATCGAATCTGGGATATCGCGGAAGGCCTATGGTAGACGGTGCTATAATTAGCCCTTTCAAAGTCGAACCATGGCGTTCGACGATCCGATGTAAGTTTTCAGCGCTGCGAAGCCCGTAGATATAAAGGTAATTCAAGGGTGCAAATGCTATTATAGCGGCGATTGAATCGTCATGATCAGATTGAAGATGCATCCCGGGCCGACCCTTGGGGTTTGGATCAATAAAAAGTCGCTTCAGATTCGGGAAAAGCTTGGCGATGTTCACCAAGTTTATCGGATCATATACACGTCTGATATGGAGTGATCGAAGGTTAGAAAGATTCCCAATAGCCGCCAGTTTAATAAGTATATTCTCACATAGCCCGGCCGCAGAAAACGTAATGGATTCCAGTCTAGAAAAATTCGTGGCTGGGCGAGCATTCAGCAAGCTTTGCCATTTCTCTCTCAGCCGAGTGAGTGGGATTCCATGGCTGTTAGTCTCGTCTTCTAAAATGAGATGCCTTAATCCTGGAGCAGTCACAAGGAATGGTAGCATATCGTCAAGGCCCTCGCTTGCTGTTGATTGACTTTCATTGCGGACGAGGCTGACAGCAAGAGTGTGAAGGCCTGGTAGCTGAAGAACATCGATACTAAACTCGTGATTGGCCCAGTTGTGGTGCGGGGCTAGCGTCCGTATCAAGGATACTAAATGCAACCTGTTGTTTCCCGGTACTAAGATCCACCCGACAGTTTGGATGATGACGGGATACAGCTTGCTCCAAGCCACTTGTGAATTCATTGCGAGTGACAAAGTCAAGCTGCTCCAGGCGATGCAAGCCGACAATGAGAGACTCGATTGATTCCCAGCTTCTGTCCCGACGGATAGCATTGGTACGATTTATCAGGATAGGCATGTTCGGATGTTGGTTGCACCAGTACAAGTAATGCTCCAAAAAACTGTTTTTCGTGGCCGGCTCCTTGTAGGTGATCAGGTTTGTTGCCCAGGGCTCTAACTTCCATTTGGAGCTTTCTTCCTCCGCCATTCTTAATAATGGCGCCGTGAGACACAAAATGCCCAGCCTTCGGGCGTATCTCATGAAATGGCGTCCTCCAGCACTTTCTGTCACCTCAGAGACGGCGGCTTGCAGGCTTTCCATATCCCAGAATTTGAGAGTAAGTTGTCTGTATATCATTGGGGCCGCAGTCGTGTAGCAGACGCGGTTGACCCGGCTGAAGGAGGACAGATCCCTGCGTGAACCATAGTGAGGGTCTTGGAGCTAATGCTCGTCAGCATCACAGCTCAAATTGAAAATACCTGGTGATTTACGCGAGAAGCGACGTACGTAAAGGCATATCTGTTCCAGAATTTCATTTGGCAAGCGGTCCATTATTTTCAACTTTTCTACTCGTCATCCACATGAAAAGAAAGAGAGGAATCGGCCTTGGATTAAAGATGACTTGAAGGGGTCCGAAAAATACTAAGTCCGTTCGAGCCGTACTAGCGCCTTCTCGGAGCGGATCTTCGAAGGCTCGTACGGCTTGGCATAAACTGATAAGTCCCAACCTCTCTCTAACAAATGCAAACATGTCTTCCAATCATGATTCAATCCTATACAAGGGCAAGGACAAATTTTAGCCTACGCTTAGGCCATAACATTTAGTTCATAGCCTAAGCTCACTGGTCTGCTAGGGAGGGCTAGGTAAGGTAAGCAGGGGCTCGGCTGCTCTTGCCAATGCTGACCGTAGCGCCACCTTCAGTACGTCGCTGCCAGCCTTGGCTGCAAAAGCAAAGGCTTCTTCTACGACCCTCGTAGTGAAGTCTCAGCCCAGATTGAGTTGAGGCGTTTGCACAGCCCCCCTAAAATTAGGGCTGCCTTAAAAAACCAAAGACGATTTCATGTTGCTGCATCTACATTGCGAAGTGAAAGTCTGGTCCGTGTGTTGTCCTGAAGCCCGACCAAGCGTTCATCTATTTCCTGGGTTTTCGGCCACCGTCACTCCTATTTGAAACTCGAGACTAAGTTAGCAGAGATGAACGGCTACGGCAGATTCGCTGCGCTATCCAATTTGCAGGAAGAAGACGAAATAAAAGAAAATGAAGCAGATGATAATGACGTGGAGGTTGATCCTTCTTCTGGAGAATATGACGCAGCCTCGTTACCTGTCGAAAGTTGGGACGCGACTTCGGAGCTCAGCCTCGGCCTCGGGCACCGCGAGATGACCACGAGGTCGGATTCGCCAGGCGCAGACAATCCTGTTGATGAAGCCAGGTTTGTCAGTAGAACTTGTCTCGCCTGAGATCCATAGCTCAGACCTCTGCTGACATGTTCAGAAACCTGACGTGGTGTGCGAAAACTGCCAAGGTGTGTTCCTGGCAGAGGGGCAGGAAGGGACGGGCCGTCTTCGCGTGGACGTGGCGAACGCCTCGGGCTGCCGCCTGTGTGATGCGCTCCTCCACATTTGGGCACCAGAGTTCCACAATGAGCGCTATATCGATCTTGATTTTTGGTTTGTGCCTCGAGAGGGCTTCTTCATGGGCGTACTGGATGTCATCTTCAGGCCGACCAGACAGCTCTCGGCAGCGCTGCAGACAGCAAGGTTTGGGTTTCAAATGTTCAAGGACAAGGACGCAGCTAAGTGACCATCTTCTCGGGTCTCTTTTGTCTGCCATGTTACTTCTCGAATGCCCGGCTTAATTTCAACTAAGGAAACCCGCAAACACCATCCTTTACTGTGCAACTCCCTGGTTCTACACGACTGGAAGATAGCGAAAAGCAGATCAAGAAATGGCTGAAAGATTGTGAAGGCCATGAAGCATGCAGAAATATGTCTTCCAGCACAGACTTCAGCCCATCCCGCCTGGTTGAGATCACCAGAGACGGGGCGGGAAAGATATCGATTCGGCTGAGGTACCGTGATGATATTAGCCATGCCATCAGATACGCAACTCTGAGTCACTGCTGGGGTTCGTTCATGCCTATCAAACTTAAAAAATCCAAGATAGCTCAGTACCGTGAGCGAATCCCACTGAAGGAGATATCCCCCGTCTTCCGCGATGCTATCGATGTCTCAGTCGCCTTGGATATCTGGTATATCTGGATTGACTCTTTGTGTAAGCTAGCCGACATCCTGCCGCATGTGACCTGATCTAACTCCACACAGGCATACTTCAGGACTCAGAGGAAGACTGGCAAACAGAATCAGCGACGATGTGCGACGTCTACTCTTACTGCCATCTGAATATAGCGGCAGATGGCTCGGAAGAAGGATCACGGGGACTTTCCCGAGAGCGAGATACCGCGCTGCTCAACCCAATCCACATCGTCATAAAGAATAATGGTACGCCGAGTGAAGATTATAGTCACTTCAGTTCGATGAAACCTGGCAACTATCTTCTCTTTGACATGTATTCCTGGAAACACGAAGTCGACGACGCGCCATTAGGGAAGAGAGGTTGGGTGATTCAAGAGCGCGCACTGTCTCCCAGAACGATCCATTTCGGCAAAACCCAGATAGCGTGGGAGTGTCGCCAGCTGGCTTGCAATGAAGTCTTCCAAGACGGCTTCCTCACAGGCACCATCCGGCGCCGAGAAAAAGGCTTTTTGTCGACATATAAAATGAACACAAAGGCGATGAAACTATATAAGCAGCTGAAGGGCGAGCAGGATCGACAAGATAAGCTGGATGATGAAATTCACCGCGAATTGGCTGCAATCTGGGGTGACCAAAAGACTTTTGGTGACATTAACTCGGGCAAGTGGCATGAAATTGGGCTTCGCCGGAATTCGATCGCCGAAATCTCCCTCTCGTCCGATTTTCAGCCCTATGATCTAGCAGGCCTCGAAGCCGGTCTTCTCGACGAGCTTCGTCTCTCACGGCGAACCAGAGCTGAGATTCGACAGTGGGACGAGACCATCTCCCCTACAAATCTGAAGCCACCTCGTTACAAGTATATGAGCTTCATACAGCAAAATTGGTGCGACCTTGTCAAAGCATACACGGAATGTAACCTTTCATATACGAGCGACAAGCTTGTCGCCATCGCGGGAATGGCACAGGTTATATCCCGAGTCACGAAATGCCAATACCAGGCGGGGCTTTGGAGGAAGGACTTGGAACACCAATTATTGTGGAAAGTGGAATTGCCATCGCCCGCGGTGGTGAGAGACGGGACCCGCGACCGTCCTTCCTGGTCATGGGCCTCTGTGGACGGCGGAGTTGTGTGGGAGGACTGGTCTGGCGGATTCTATTCGGGGTATGTTAGCATTCAAACTAAAACTCAGCTTACTGACCGGGCATAGAGAGCTTAGCGAGATCAAGTGGCTGGCTCGGGTCTAGAGCGTCAGAATCAAGACGATCACGCCCGATCTGTTCGGTCAAGTCGCCTCAGGCTCGCTCGTCATCACGGGCCCGCTCGGTGTTCTCAAAGTGACTGAAAACAAGAGCCCCAAGCCGAACATGTCAGGCGACGTATTGGAAGCTTGCGATCACGGCGCAGATATCTTCTGGGACTCCAAAGAATTTCATGAGCGATTCGGCAGCGAGAGAACCTCGGCCATATGGAGCTACAAGACTTACCACGCGGCTCCCGCTCGCAACGCATCCAGCTATGGCGATGACGTGTTTTTCATGCCTCTTCGTATTATGGACTACGATTACTTCAATTACGATTACGAGGCACCCATAGCTCCAGGGGCTTCTCCTGCTGCCCTGCATCGACGCCCAGGGCACATACCAACGGGTCGGTCAACTCACCATATCTGCACACGCGCATCGAGAGGCGTTCGAGGGAGGGAAATGGCCTCTTCAGTCTAAAACGAGAATTGTGAGCCGCGGCCTCTACCAATCAGCTCGGCAGAATGGAGAATATACCATTCTTGTGGTTTGAATCACGACGAGACGACAGGCTCCGCTCTATAATCTGGACCCAAGGCTCGACTCTGTTTGTATCTCGAACACAACACACATAACTCAATCGGGAGACACATGTGGCAAACTCGCAGCTGAGTATTCAGTTTCATCTGCGGCCATTCTATATGCCACACTGACCATCATTTGCCAACTGCTCACGGCTAATTTTTGGCAATGAAATATGTATGCCACTCAGTTGTGAAACACAGTACAACATCCAAGATTCCGAGAATTACTGGCACCTCAACTACGACTACTGACCAGCACCGGGAGTTATCCGCCAGTAAAGCACTTGGCTTGATTTTGTATGCTTTAATCTCCACTCCGCACACGAGAGACTCGGTAGCGTTCTCTGCTTTTCTCTTCGGGGTGGCGCCTATAAGGAGACGGGTGACAGTGTGATGACCAGTGACCAGTCTTGATAGTGGTGGGTACGTTGACGAAGTCAATGACTACCTGCAAAATCCACGATCGCGACTGGGACAACCACGAATTGAGGCTGGTGGTATACTGCCACCAACGATGATACCTGCGAGCTTGTTTCATGTTGTGGACTGTTCCATTGACATTGACTGTAACGCCAATTTTATCAGTGGTGTCACCTATTGCGATGGAAGGGTGAATCTGGAATTTCTTGTACCTTGAATCATGGTTCATGCTGAGTGATTGCACAGAGACATGCAGATCTCGCCCAAGAGTCATTGTGGGTCGCCCGTTAGAATGGGATTGCAGTATATCTACAAACACTCTGACCACTAGAATAATGACGACACCATAGATTTCGGTATTTACTCCATGCGAGGTCATCTAAAACGATAGCACTCTTTCGAAGTCTCTCGTACTGTCTTCTTCCACCTTCCCCCCACCCAAAACTCCAAGTTCCTCCAACACGTCTCAACCCCGACCATTCCCTATTTATTATTTTCTATTTCATGTAGAGTATTTGCTTATCTCCTTTACTGGGATTGCACCCAATCAAAATCGCCGAATGGTGGGGTCTGCATGAGACTCAGCAGTTACGTTTCCTAGCTTCACGTGAGGTGGCTGAATGTCAGGCTTGCAGATTTAGATTAACTATCTTTAAACTAGGAAAGGCAGATAACGCTTTCCAAGGTTTAATACGACCGTTGGGCGCAAGATTGCGCTTAATCCGGAGTTACCCCGCAAAAACTTTGGCAAAGAGTACTTTAGACGCAAGTTTGAGTCATTGGCTAGTCACTCGAACCATTGTTATGTGGGGTGCCAGAGCTATACCGCATACAAGGGGGTACTTTGTCCTGTCGAATTCAACCAATAATTTTCGAGGCTCCGAGTTTTCCGGTCTCACTGTATTTGGTATCTATGTTTATTCATCTTATCTTAGGTTAGTGCCTTTGCTTGCATTGGGTGGGGATCATGTTGCATCTTACATATGAGTTGCTTTTCCATGCCCAGTACAGTCAGGTTTAACCCAGGGTTGAATGGGTTACTTGTGCTTTTGTTTCTTCTAATAATGTCTGGGATATGGGTTGGAAATTTATTTTGCATATGACTCTACATTAACTTTCTGAGTGAACTACATCGAAATACATGAGGTTATTCCACGGTGATATGATCCCGGATCGCGTCGGTCGGCTGACTAAGGGGGATCACGAGAACCAGAATTATTGAGCATCGCCTTCACCTGCTGGTTGCCTTGTCGCCTAGAACTTTATTCGGACATCTGCAGCAGACCTGACGCCAGGATCTTCCCCGTTGGGCGCGCATTCTACGGACTCTCCACTCCCCACCCCCCTTTCGTCATCTTACATCCCGCTTATCAGCCTCGTTTTTGATCCTGGGATCAGATCACCTACGGAGTTAAGAGTATAGCGTTAGTCTTTCTCCCCGCTTTGATACCTTACACTATTGTCTGGGCAAAATTACGAGGGTTCGAGGTTGAATGGGACACTGGGAACACTGGGATCTTTTCTTTTTCAGAATGATCTCTTTCCCGCATGTCCGCATTTCTCCAACTCAAGGATCCATATTTCACGGTCCCCATTCCTCTGAACTGAGACGGCGCGCTAACCCGAAAAAACGGCCTCTGTGCTCAGTCCCATCCGTTACTCCGTCTAATCAACGGCCCACACATTCCCCTCATCTCTCTCTCCTGTCAACTCCCTGCACTTACCATCGCGCCATCCTCGTGCGGTACCCGCGAACTGATCGCCGACTTCAACCGCCGCGCATCACTTTCTCACCCGCATCACAATATCGGCTTGGGCCGAGTTGCGCCACGCAAAGTGGGGTCATCAGTGTCAGCGGATTGATCAGTGCTCAGGAAACCAGGATCTGATCCGTGATCCTGCGCCAGCTCTACTTCAGCCCGTGTAACCCCTCGCTGCCAATCATTCGTGACGTACGGACAGCTTAGATCGACCGTGTGCATCGTGCCTGTCACATTTTCTCTTACCTACTTGCTTTTTTTGTTTTTCATTCTTTAATTTCCCTTTTCTTTAATTTCTTTTTTTATTCTTTGCTTTTCCTCCGATCACTCCATACGGGTCTTTGCCTTTTCCCCTATGACGGGCGATGCTCGGTGACAGCAACTTTGCACCTATTCGTCCGTCATCCGGCCTTGTGCATTCAGGCACCCCGAATATACCTCGAAATGGGTCATGTGATAGCACAAGAGTGCCAGCTCACCAAGGTATGAATAACGAACCGTCGGATTCGACCACAGGCAGGCGCCCTGCTTTTGGCGATGCTTCCTCGAGTATGGACATTTCGCCCGCTTTCTCGCCTGCCCCACCGTGGACTGGGATACCATCCGAAGATGACCAGCGGTTACATAGTGTAGGAGTGGCCGCTCTGGCTGCTGTTTCACAATACCCATACCCCCTGAATGAGGAGAGCGATTCTTTCCTAGTTTCAGAGGTCGTCGGTGCAATGACAAGTAGCGCTCGTCCTGCTTTCCGTCATCCCCAGTCTATGGGGCTGGATACCGACTGGGATAGCTCTGAGACAGATCACCACGGGGGAGTGTACTTGGGAGCGGGGAACAGCATGTCTGAATCAGAGCCCTCCTCCAGGTCTCCCCCTTCGGATGATGATATGGAAATGAACAGCATCGTGAACGATCTGATTGAACGGACTGCGACGTGGGAACACATTGCTACAATCGAAAACAGGGATGGCCATGACAATATGCAGAAGGACATGATGATGGACTACGATCCTCCCTTTGCGGATTATGCCTCGTCCCCTTCTTCTGGGTCTGATGATGATCTAGAGGACTTGCTCAAGTTTTACCCTGGTGAAGAAGCATATTTGCGCCAGCGCAAAGAAACTCGTTCCCCCGTGGCTTCCATGCGCGATGTCAACCTGGACGAATTCTATGACCATGTCACTTATGATGACCCTGAAGTGGACGCTCCACAGCCACCTGAGAATACTACTCCCACGGGAGGCCCTTTGGCAGAAGAAGCGCAGGAGGCCACAGACACCCATCCTGCGTCGATCATTCACACAACCAGTAAGTCTTTTAACTAATATCCATAGTCAATTTACGCCTAACAAATCCAGCTTTTGAACGGAATCACACAATTGACGAGTTCATCCATCGTTGGATGGTCCAATCGCGCAGTGTACCTTCTGAATTCCACTCGGAGGGCAGGATTCCCCCGCAATTTCGCCCACTGTCAAAAATGATCAACTGGAGGCCACCTCGAAACATCTACCGACCGCAGAGAAGTAGGCGCGCATTTTATGATCTTCAGCAGATTCCGTGGACCGAAACTCTGAAAGTGAAACGGGCTGATGCTCGATCACTTCGCGATGCTTGGTACACTTCCTACCACAACGTCAACCATGCACACACTAGCCATGCGGAGCGACTGCCTCAAAGCGAGTCATTTTTCCGAGCGAAATCCATGCACACGGCGCACAAGGCTTCTATTGAGCACTTCCAATTGCGCAACTTGATGTCAGTTACGGCATACAATACTGTCCAGTTTGCCAGTCGGGGCAAAATTCACTCGTGGGCTCCAGCCTTGGATTGTTACAGCAGTGTCATCGATTTGAGTCGTCCAGACCCAGACGTGGGAATTCTTGGCGCAGTCAAGATCTCCAGCATGAAGTCTGCACATGGTCTGACCATCGCAGGCGGGTTCTGCGGTGAGTATGCGGTGCAGGCGTCAGATGGAACGGGTTCTGGTGTGCGAGGCTTGGTGACGCCGGACTTTAATGATGGCATCACGAACCACGTGGATATCATTCCTAATCGGACTGGCCGATCGCCGATCTGCGTATTTGCATCGAATGATCGTCACTTGCGTATCTTGGATTGCGAAACAAACATCTTCCTGTCGGATCAGGAACTATCCCGTCCAATCAACTGCACCGCAACGTCCCCTGATAGTCGCCTTCGCGTGGTGATCGGCGACTCCCCAGACGCATGGATCATCGAGGCCGATACCGGCCGCCCGGTCCACCCTCTCCGAGGCCATCGCGACTTCGGCTTCGCCTGCGCCTGGTCTCCAGACATGCGCCACATCGCCACTAGCAACCAGGACAAAACAGTCAATATTTGGGATGCGCGCACCTGGCGTCTACTCGAAACCATCGACTCCGACATTGCGGGCTACCGATCGCTTCGCTACTCCCCAGTGGGCGGTGGCCCGCGCACACTCCTGTGCTGTGAGCCAGCAGACAGGATATCCATCATCGATGCCCAACTCTACCAGAGCCGCCAGGTGCATGATTTCTTTGGCGAAATTGGTGGCGCGGATTACTCCCCAGACGGCACTGCCATTTGGGTTGCGAACACCGACCCCCACTTTGGCGGGTTCATGCAGTATGAGCGCCGCCAATGGGGCACCACTTATGGACTGGCTGATCTACCGAATGAATGGCTGCACGAGTCAGAACTTGAGCGAGATGACCGATGCATGCTGAGCTCCCGAGAGAGAAAATTGCGATTCCTGCGTAATTTGACTGATGAAGAGCACGATAAATTTCGTATCTAACCACCTCGACATATTTTCTTGTTTTGCTTTATTTTTCTATTTTCGTTTCCTTTGTCCTGCCTTGCATCTGATACCCTGGGCTTTTTGGTGTTGTTGGATGTCTGCACTACCTTTCCAGATAGAGTATACCGCATATCGCATCGGATCTGTCACACAAGCTAGTTGTCCTATCCAATTATTATTTGCGATCATTTCGTATCCACTCAATCAACCTATAGGATGTGGCACACGTAGCATGTTCCCATTTTTCAGCTGATCAGACTATTGATTTCCCCTTCCCAGTTGGGCCGGTATACTCACGTCATCATGCCTGACACTCGTAGATGCCTAGGGATGTCTAGCATAGCATAAACGTGTACACAGTACATATGCACTGCACAGCCCACGTTAGTTACCATGGTACTCTTCACAGCCCCTCAAATCAGATTCTTAAGTAATTAAATCTGAGCTGGACGGAGCTGAACCTGGATCGGCTCCACTCGCCCCGCCACATCGCATGGTAGAGCTCAACGTAAATAAACCACCCCGCCCCCTCTCACCTACTTTCCTTTCCCCTCCAAATCCCATCTTAATCCCCCTCAAACACACACAAAATGTCCTACAACAGAGAAGAATACGGTGGCGGCGGCTCCTCCGGCCAGAACTACTACGACCAAAACGCCGACTTCAGCGAACAGCCCCGCCACGGCCACGGTCACGGTCACCAGGGTGGTGAGCAAGAGTACCGCGGTGGAAACGATGAGTACCGCGGTGGAGGTGGTCGTGGTGGTGAGCAAGAATACCGCGGTGGAAACGATGAATACCGCGGCGGCGGCGGTCGTGGCGGCGAGCAAGAATACCGTGGTGGAAACGACGAGTACCGCGGTGGAGGCGGCCATGGAGGTCAGCAAGAATACCGTGATACACGCTACAACGGTGCCGAGTCCTACAGCGGCGGCGACGACTTCTCCTCCGCTGCCCAGCACGCCAACGAGCACCATGGCGATAGCTCGCACTCCGGACTCTACGACAATGCTATGTCCTACCTGAATGACCGCAAGGGCCAGATCCAGCAGGGTGATTACGAGGTTGATGAGCAGCATGCTGTTCAGTCTCACCAGGCTATGTACAGTGGTGGTAGCTCCGAGGGACAGAGCCATGACTCTTCGTCCGTTGGTGCCGGTGCTGCTATGCAGGCTTTGAAGATGTTCACTGGTGGCAGTGATAGCTCCAGTGATGGTGGTTTTGATAAGAACAAGTTGATTGGTATGGCTATGTCTCAGGCTTCAAAGCTGTGGGATGAGAAGCAGTCTGGTGGCGCTAGCATGGTGAGTTACTTGTTCCTTGAATTAAATGTGGGTCTATGATGCATTGTGCTGACTATTTTCTTCTCTAGTCTGGTGACAAGCAGTCTGCTGTTAACAATGCCGCTGAGATGGCTATGAAGATGTACATGAAGAGCGGAAGCGGTGGTATCGGTGGCACTGGTGGTGCTAGCAGCCTTCTTAGCTTGGCTCAGAAGTTCTTCTAAGCTTGATGCCATTGCTGTCCTCTGACGTTAGTTAGCTAGCTAGGCTGAATGATGGAACTTTTTTACCTATTTGCCTAGCTGCAACATTAGGTTTACAAGGGGTACCATCTTACTACCTCATAGTCATGATGACTTACTTGAGATAGTTGCTATGTAGATAATGAAATCTATGAACATCACTGAAGATCAAAATATTCGTGGTAAAAATGCTAAATCTTGCGCGGACAGTATATATGGAAGTGGACTTTCTAGTTTGTAAAGACTATTTACAACCCTAGAAACAGAAGAAGGAAAAGATGAGAAATGAAGGGGTAAAAAGGAAAAGAAAAACCCGGCTAGCCCATGCCCAACAAACAGTAGAATGATCCATCAATCATGAGACCTGAATGCACACATATACCAGGGGTTCTTTCAGAACAAAACCAAATCACACAAAAAGGCCTAACGCTAAGCGCAAAAAAGAAGACCTCTGAAAAACTTGAGATTGAGACCGACTAGATTAAAGAAATCTCACTTGGTCTACCAGTCGTCGTCATCCTGCTTCCCTTGCATGGCATTTTGTCGAGCACGCAGTGCTTCGGCTAGACCACCAGCCAGACTGGCGTTGGAGGTGCTATTCGGCGTACCACGGCCACTTGCACCGGATGAGTCGCCCGAGTTCATGCTCACGGCACTGTCACGGGGAGCCGGTGGAGGAGCGGGTTTCCGACCTGCCATGTTGGGTCGCTTAACAGGAGGCATGGGTGGAGCAGGCTTGCTCTTCGCGGCGGCCACGGCTCCGTTAGGGACGGGGCTGGGGGTTGCGCGAGGGGCGACAGGGGGAGGAGGAGGGGGTGCAGGTTTGGGAGTCGCGGCTACTTGCTCCTCAAGGTAGGCTTCAGGGGTCCAGCCTTGAGTGGAGTTTGTCATGTCCATGCATAGCCACCAGCCTGGAGAGTGTTAGTTTCTGTTTTCTGGCATACAGATGGAGGGGACATACCATTTCCTTCCTTCGATACAATCTCCACAATATCGCCGGTCTTGATAGACAGTTCGTTTGCACGGTCGCTGTTGAAGTCATACAGAACCTTCGCGGTGGGTTTCTTCGAGGCAGGGGGCGCGACTGGAGGGGGTGGAGGAGGAGCTCTTGCAGAGCCCGTAGACGAGGTGTGAGAGTGCGAAGCCCGAGTCGCAGCAACGGGCTGAGGGACTGGGATTGGAACAACGCGGGATTGCGCTGCTGGCGCAGCGGCAGGGGTAGGTCTGGATGTTGATTGAGGCAAGGGCTGTGCAGCAGGTACGGGTCTACGAGCAGCAGCAGAGAGCTTCGATTGACCACCTCCTGGGCCACCAGGACGAAGCAGCTTGCCCTTGGTGACTGGCCGAGCAGCAACAGGCTTCGGCCGAGGAGTAGGTTTGGAAACGGAGTTGGGTGGTTCTCCAGCGGTAGTGTGGATCGTGCTACTCTTGTAGCTGTCGATATTGCTAGACCCTGGGTCTTTGACGGTCTTGACCATTGCCAGCTTGCCAGGCTTCTTGTTGTATTCAATATTCTCCCCGATCTTCAGGTTCAAGGATCCACGCAGAGCAGTGTTCAAGTGAGTGAAGAACTCAGTTTTGAAAACACAGTTCACCAATGGATCTGGCTCTTGAGCTCCAATTACCAATGAAAACCAGTCATCCTTTAGGTTGGAGGTGCTGACCGCTTTGATGGCCCCAAGGGGCACAGTGCGTTCAGATGAAATGACAAGCTGGTTGTTGACGATGCCCTGAGCCACAATGTAAATGTGTCGGTTTGTCAACACAATGATACGAGGAGCTGGTTTACTTGAGCGACCAAATTTGGACACCAGTACTTCTCCGCGGCAGGAGAAGAGAACCTCTTCTGAGCTGCTGATATTGCCACCGCTGCGAATCATCTCACCAGGACCACCGTTGTTACCCACACCAAGGTAGTCACCGAGGAATCGACGCGAGCCAAGAATACTCATTCTTCGGCGCTCCTTGCGGCCTTGGAGAATCTTGTGTCCCTGGTCACGTACTTTGATAAATTCCAAGCCACCAGTCATACGGCGCCAGAACCGCTGGATACGGATGGCGCACTCGATGCGGTACCGAAGGTAGTTACGCCAAGCACGCTGGATACGAATGGCCATGTTGTGCCAGTAGCGATCACGCATGGCTTCGAGGGCAAAGAGGGTCTCGGGTGTCTTCACAAATACCTTGGAGATACCCATCTGGTACTCCTCTGCAGGGATACTGGTATCCTTCAAGATCTGCTTGGCACCGGATTCCGCATCACCAGTCCATGTGTAGTCACCGGCATATGAGGTCTTGGGGGACAACAGGTAGAATCGCTCGACGAACTTGTCAAAAGTCTGACGGTAAGCAAAACCAGCGCGACGAATGCGCACGTTCTCCTGGAGACCAAGATACTTGATTTGATGCAGCACATTGCCAACATTGTATTCCTTAGGGGCCTTGTTGTCATTCGGTTTAATGGTTCGGATATAAGAGGGCTGCGCCTTCATCAGCGTAGCAACAAGATCGTTGGCTGAGGCCTTGATCTTGTCGCCTGCAGTGGGAGGGCGACGCTTGTCATCCTGATTCACCTGATTGGGGAAGAGGTCGTGGACAAACTGGTTGCTGCTGGATCCAGCCAGATTCAAAAGGTCCTTCAGTAACTGGTCCTTGTTCTTATCGGTCATACCTTCAACAGCGTAGCTCACATCACCAGCGTAGTGCTTGATAATGAACTGGCCTTGGCGACCCTCAAAGTTGGGGTTTTGAGAAAGGAAGTTCAAACGACCAACAAATGTGTTGTCTGCAGCACCGGAATCGGCGTGAGCCGTGGCACAGGCATCATTCAGCGCAGCAAAAACACCAGGAGGACGCTTGTCCTCGATCAAAGAGCACACCACCTTGTTATCAAAGTACTTGATGGGAGTCCACTTGATCTCTTCGCGAGCGTATTCATCTTGCTCTGCCTTCAAGGTCAACTGGATGAAAATCTGCTGCAGCTTCTCATTGACATAATTAATGCAGAGTTGTTCAAAAGAATTCTTCTCAAAAATCTCGAATCCATAAATATCCAGAATACCAATGGAGTTGGTCACAGATCCGCGAGCAGTCAAAGACTGGTTGACACGGGCCACAATCCAGTCAAAGAGATTGAAATAAATTGCCTTCGCCAAAGCATCCCGAACCGCCATCGCCTGCACGGTATTAAGCGGAACTTCGTAGACAGAACCTCTGCGGCCTCCACGCGCGGTCTCCATCAGACGAATGGTCAAAGCCTTGTTCACTTGCGCGGCATCGACCTCCATAAGGTATGCGACAAAGTCTACCACAGACTGGTCCGTGATAGAGGCATTGCCGGAGTCATCTTCGGAGAATTGAACGTTTCCAATCCACAAGATTGCCGACAGCATACGGAAGACATTGTCTTGCTCCGCCTCACTCATGCCAATCATCTGCATCGCATCCAATGTATCCTTAAACTCGGCCAAATCATCAATTCCGGCAACATCGTAACACTTCGATCGGCTCGTGTAGAGGTATGATTGCGGCTGTTGAATACCGAAGCTATCTCGGTACTTTTGGGGTGCGCCCTTGGTGAATTGGTAGAAAATGTGGAAGTTTCGTTCGTTGGCGATTTGACCAACAACTCGCGACTTCTCCAACAGGTAGTTTGTAATGTTGGCTCCAACGGGCTCACCGTTGGCATTGAACTCAAGTTCGAGGTATTTACCGAACCGAGACGAGTTGTTATTGCGCAATGTTTTCGCATTGCCGAACGACTCCAGCAGAGGGTTCGTTGCTAGTACCATGTCCTTGGTCTGTTGAATTGACGAGTCGCCGCCTCCGGAGACACTGGCGATATATTGCATGATCCGCTTGGCGGCCTCGGTCTTTCCAGCACCTGACTCTCCCGAGATAATAACACACTGATTATCCTTGTAGGACTTCATGTTGTAATATGCCGATTCCGCGACTCCGAATACGTGGGGGGGGAACTTCGAGACGGTTCTTGCCGCGGTAGGAGTCGAGCACGTTGTCGGTGTAAATTCCCACTGTAGATGAACATGTTAGCTTCCCAATTACCCAGCTATACAAATCATTGTAATAGATCACTTACAATCTTGGAACGGATTGACCGAGACCAAGACGTGGCCGATATAGGTCTGTTCGAACACCTGTCAGCCTTCCTCATGCGCGCATCACCCCACCAGCGATAGTATCCCTTACATAAATCTCGCCATGCTCAAATCGCATCTTCAAGTTATCGTTGATCGCCTCATTGGAGATCTTGCTCAGCAGTGTCAAGTCCGAAACTCCGATCTCCTTCTTCTTGGATGTCTCAAATGTGGCCTTTTTGACCTGCGGCTTTCCGGATTGCCGGCCATCGCCAACATCAGCGACTCCCTTGGATCGCCCGAATCGACTCTTCTTTTCCCCGCCTTGCGGACGTCGTGATTGACCCTATGTAATCGCAACCGCGGGGTCAGCGTCGGAACTTCGGTGTCAACGGGGGAGAGGGGGTGTCTCCGAATGACCGGCTTACCATGATATTTCAAAACTCCCGGATCTCGCGCCGAGGCGACAATGGGGAGACAAAATAAGAGAAATATGTTCACAAGGAACTGTTGGAGAGAGTTGGGTGTCTAATCGCCAGGAGTGAAGGGCGGACTTACGTACACAGACAAACCCAATCAAACAAGCTGCGCCACATTAAAGGGTCTGGGTCGGCTGCTGCCTTAGGGGGCGAATTCGCATAAAGATCGATGTTATGACTGGCTCTCCATTTACCCGCAATTCCACTGCCTAGAGTTGTTCCAATTACAGTTAATCTTTTGTATTACGTGTGCCCGACTCCATGTCTTTATGAGGCTGTTGTGGCTCGTGCGAGTAATAAATAGCAACACGACGTCATTGGGCATGCACCCTCAACGGCGTTCGTAAGCGCCTGAGTCCTTGCATCAGTGTTTGCTTTTTACCAGATGGCAGAGTTTTAAGCGCCTCCAAGCCTCATGCATGATAGCTAATGCTCGTCGAAAAACACATTTTCCATTGCACGTGGTTGCATATTCAGGTGGTAAACCCATTGATACTCCTATAGTTCAGCACGGAAATCATTGTAATCTTGTTGATTGTATTGCACAAATACTTCTTCATAACAAATGAATCAATCCACCTTCGAGTCTTCCCGCAAGAAGTCCGCGATGTTATGTCCATCATACTTTACCCCCAGATACGTGTGCAGTAGATCCGTGATTTGGTCCGAATTCTTTGCCTGGCTCACGTCGCGCAAAGATGAGTAAAGACAAGTCAAAATGTTACCAGGGTTGGCTTCATTCGCTTGAGTCCCACTTTTGGTCATGCGAGTCAATATCTGCAAAGGCTTTTCAGCGCAGAGAGGTGGTAGAGTTCTCAAAGTGAATTTGCGTTCCATTAAGCTCCGGATAAAATCCAGAAACTTGGTTGTGTCAGAGATAGGTAGGATAGGACACGCCTGAGGAACATATTGAACCATGCTGAATTTCGGTCAGAATTGGTAACAGCGTTCGTCATGAATTAGGGGGTACTCACAGAGCTTCAAGTCCCATTAATTCATTAAGCCACCAGGTCCCGTCGGACTGGCGTAGCGAATAGCCATCCTCAAAAAGGAAAACTATCGCAGTGGGGATGGGATTTGAGTCGCTTGACTGCTGAAGTTTCTGGATCTTGCCAATTGTGGCCTCTCGGGTTGATTTCAAGCAGGCAGGACTCAAGAGGAGAATATTTAGCTCGGTCGATTGGGAGCTGCTCGAATCAAAAGCAACAAAGTAAAAGTCAAATTCGACAGAGAGGCTGCTTCGAAGACCTGTCGCTGTGACAGGATTTCGGCCTTCGCCCAAGCAATTCGTAGCATTGAGAATTGGACGAAGAAGATTCCATGCGGGGTGGCCCGGAAGAGAGGGAGAAAAACAGCCATGCAGCTGGAGGCTAGTAGATGACATTATGGATGAATTTTGGAGGGGGTAGTTGAGTTGTAATGTACAGAGTTCTATAGAAATAAGAAATGCGATAGTAGAGAGGGTATCAACACCAACACAGAAGACCACGTGCGTCACTCAAAGAACAATTGGCTCTAAGCAACAACACCTGGTCGGTATCAACAATGGCAAGCGCTCTTTATGTAAAATGGAATGAGAAAGGAAATTGTTCTTACGACGAAGTCTTCGACTCAAGTGTTTTGTTTTGGGCAGACGTAACAGTCTGCTCAGCAGATGAGCCTGTCACTTTTGTGTCTTGGGTCTTCAGGGTCTGCTGGAGGGTTTTTTGGGGAGTTGGCTCGGGTGTCTTCGATTCCTGGCCAAACGAGAAGTACGAGGTGACAGTCGACCACCAGGTCTGCTCTGCCTCGGGCTCCTCCAGCTCAGGCACCTGTTCCCACACTGCCCGCGGTAGGATATGATGGGTCGGCTTGGACTTCTCCCCACGTAAAAGTAGCAGTTCTTTCTCCAGAACAACCAAGGCCTCCCTTGCCGTCTTCTCCGATTTTTCCAATTCGGCAAGACGCTCCTCAACACCTTCCCTTCGGGTACTTTCCTTCCGACGCGATCGCCATGATTCGAAAATAATCAATCCGCCCGCCACGAGAAAGAGAAAACTTTCGCTAATAAAATTTGCACCGGACTCGATGGCTTTGGACTCGCTCAGAGGTCGAATGCGGTAATTGTGAGGCTTCGCCGCTTCCTCAGCCGCAGCCTTGGCTTTCGCTAGGGCATGCTCCTCGGCTTTCGTCTCGGCCTCTGTTTTCGCCGTCGGGGATGTGGGGATGTGTTTTTTCGCTGCCGCTTCAGCAGCAGCCTGTCGCTGGGAGGCCGTATTATCGCGTATTGAGCCTAGTCGTAGACGCATGTCGAACTTGTGAAGGGCCTGCGCCATCGACACACAGATATTGCGGAAGCGTTCATGTTCGCGAGCTTGAGCTTTGAGTTGGGTCTGTTGCGAATGGATGTCAGCTTATCGCAGTCCACGGGTTGGGCCGGTGGGGCATACCGCAATTGGCTTAGAAAGGGTGCGAATTGCCAAAGATGATAGTTTTAGTGTGAGCGACATAGTGTATGGCAGTTATATGTGTGACCAAGACAAAAAGCCTGGACCTTGAGCTTGACTCACGCCGTGACGTTGTTCAGGTACACTGCCCCCACTGTCCTGAAGGGGGTTAGTAGTCGGTGACTCAGCAGCAAACTCCAGACCAATCGGGGACTCGGGATTCGACCACTCAACTGGTCTTCAAATGTTCCTACTTTTATTTCACCGTTTACGGAGTTCCATAATTTACTTATATAATTTCATTCACCTTAGAATACTTGCGATGTGTTTAGCTCAAGGACCATCTGTATGTGTTTACATGTGGATCCATGTAGGACTATATGAGCTCGTGTGACCCTTCCATGCATGGTTGGTCCGGCCCTGGAGCTCGTGGATACTCTGAATCATCAAAATAAACATTGGTAATTGAGAATTCTTCAAGTGGGTATATTGAGAATTAAAATACTCTCTATACTAGGATATTCTGGTCTTAGAAGAAAGCTGGAAAAGCATGAATGCATGGAGCTATGAGAAATTTGAAGTGCCAGGTACTAAACCAAGTGGAGGGTGACAGATCCACGTCCTCCAGGGCTTAGAATATATAACGGTCGAAGTAGTTGACTGGCAAGTTCACCCCACAAGCCAACACTGAATGAACAACAATTCCATTTGAAACCCCACCGGGGCATTATGTTAAATAATTGCAAGATAACTTTCCAGCAGTGAATGCAAACTTTATTTACAACGACGTTAAGGTGAACACTTGAACAATGAAGGCTGCTGGGGCGACACGTGATGCTTACCTCAGCATGTCTAGTGTTTATCGATTTCCGGATCGGGAAATCTATTATTGCCCGACTTTCTGCACTTTGGCTTCAATCCTTCCCCACTCCAACTCTCGGTCGGGTTGCGCTCTGTGGCTCTGTGGGAGATTTGTACAGTTTTTGCTTGTTTAGCGCTTTGCATTCCGGTATGTTCTGTCAATTCTTCGCCCTGTCCTGAAATTCACTGAAGTTCCTCGGTTTGCCGACCGGGTGGAGCTCGATAAGCAGTCTTGAAGCTGACCGTTCGGATGGTTGCAGGGATACTAATCTTGCTCAAATTGATACCCCCATCAGCCCTATTTGCTTAATATTCGCTACTTCTCATGACTTTAATGCCTGCTTTTTGATGCAGAAGTTCAGTCGCAATCCAGAAACCAGTGCGACAACTATAATACCGACAGTTGCGAAGACACCAAACGAATACATTTCATGATGGAGGCTCTCTCACCACGATCAACAAATCAGATGATTAAGCCCAAAGCCGTTATGGATCGGAAGATTGTCAACAAACCCGCCGCCGCTGCCGGTCAGAAGGCCTCCTCCAAAAATCATGCCGACCCGCCGCCCCCATTAGTCCCCGAACCGGCAGAGGGTGGAGAGCGGTATGCCATTGGCGCATTCTTAGGAAAAGGAGGATTTGCCGTCTGTTACGAAGGAACACTAGCGCGGAATGGCCGCGTGTATGCGATGAAAGTTGTCAAGTCTCAGATGCCACAAAAGAAAATGGAAGAAAAGGTAGGCATGCATTTCAAAATGATCGCGGTCAAGTGTGCTGACAGTATGATAGTTTCGGACCGAGTTACAGATTCATTCGAAAATGCGCCACCCATTTGTTGTTCAGTTCTACCGGGCTTTTGCATTCGAGCAAAGTACATATGTCGTATTGGAGTTATGTCCAAATGGGTCAGTGATGGATATGGTGCGCAAACGACGATACTTAACATTGCCCGAAGTGAGACGGTTCATGATTCAACTTTGCGCTGCCATGAAATATCTACACAAGAGATTTGTTGCGCACCGTGATTTGAAGATGGGCAATTTGTTTCTCGACCACAATATGAACATCAAGGTTGGAGACTTTGGCCTTGCTGCTATGATTCTCTCGGACAAAGATGCGAAAAGGCGAAACACCTTGTGCGGAACACCAAATTACATTGCTCCAGAAGTCCTGGACAAGAGCAAGGGAGGTCACACGCAGAAGGTGGACATCTGGTCCCTTGGTGTCATCTGCTTTGCCATGTTGACTGGATATCCGCCATTCCAATCCAAAACACAAGAGGAGATCTACAAAAAAGTTCGCAATCTAGCCTACGTGTGGCCAAAAGACTCGGAGAACAACAATCACATTCCGGAAGAGGCGAAGGATCTGGTTAGCGCTTGCTTGAACCTCGTTGATGAGGAACGTCCAGACCCTGATGACATTGTTGAGCACCAGTTCTTCAACATGTATGATGGTTGCATTCCCCGCCAATTGGATCCCGCCTGTCGGTTTAACAAGCCAATTTGGCTAAAGGAACAGGCACCGCGAGGCGACGTAATGATCAGCGGATATGGTCTAGACTCCGACGAGAAGCTGCGTGCGTACGTATACCAGGTGGACGATCCGAGCCAACGCTACCACTCCTGCAAGGCAGCCTTTTATTCGCTCTGCGGCGTTGGACGGAAGCCAGATGGAACCGCTCGCAAGTCTGTAGGGCGAAACTGCGCGAAATCGGCCTACTCTGAGTGCGAGACGGAGGATGCCAGAGGTCTCCGTCCTACGGTTCCCCTGCCTATGGATTTTGTATATCAATGGCCTCATGACTCTGAGGGCGATTGGTGTCTAATGGAATCATCTCGAAAGACGATCCCTACCGTGGACGGTGCTTCCGACAGCAGTATCTTGTCTCGACGAGCTGTGTCAGGTCGTACCAACACAGCGGCTACCACCCGAACGCATGCGGCTCTTGCTGCTGCTCACCAACGCAAAATGGAGACCCAGAATCACGCTGCGACACTTCGACAGCAGGGTCGACCTGGCGTCATCTCTCCTCGCAAAGCACCGGGAATGAGCGAGAGCGAGTCAGCGAGACCTTACCGGGATATCAAAGAGCCCCAACCTGCACCACCATCGATCCCTGATCTACCTTCAGGTGGCCTCGCAGAACGTCCCATCCGAACCCGACGCATGGCATCAGCCTCCCAAGCGCCGACCCGAGAAATTGAAAGACCGCAGTTAGCCAAATCCACCAGCATGCCATCTGGGCTGACCATTGGCAAGACTAGGTCTCAATCTCGTAAGTTGGAGGCTGCTTGTCAAGTACCGTCTATGCCTCCCCTCGAACCCAGACTGGCAAGACCTGAGGAGGGCAGATTGATTAGCCGACAAACATCCTTGCGATCAGCATCTAGACCCGATTTGAAGATTGCGCCTGAAAGAGCAGAGCGGCCGAAGATCATCAGCCCCACCGAATCGGTATTCACATCCAGCACGCAGTCTAAACCCGTGTCCACATCGCACGGAATCGGTCGGACCAACAGCAAGGGAAGTTCTTCCACCAAGGCTCGATCTAGCCTTGGACTTAGTCCCCTCTTCCATCAGGAAGATGTTTGCGAGATTTTGCCCGGTACTTCCTTGAGTGAAGTCAACACAGATTTGCGTCTTATGCTGTCGAACCTTGTAAGCCAATCCACTCGCAGGCGGACTGGTCCTCGGAAGCAGCCCCACGCCTATGTTATCAAGTGGGTTGACTACACCAACCGCTATGGTATTGGATATGTGTTAGATGATGGTAGCGTTGGGTGTGTTTTCAAGGGTGAAAACGGCCAGCCAGCTTCCAGTGTCATTGTACGAGACGGCGAAAGACACATTCGCCGCAAGGCACGCAGTGTCGATAATGGCGAGGAAAAGGGTATTCCATATTCTGAAGCGGAATACCTGATCCCTCGCAATGGGAGCCCTGTTGAATTTTACGAGAACCGTGATGATGATCTGCTTGGTTGCCGTGGCATCCGGCGAGGATTCATCTCTCCATCTTTGTTCGACCCCAGAACGTCGAGGGTGATGAGACTGCGCATCAACGCGGGTACCGAAGCTGATAAATCGGATATGGAGAAGGTCAAGCGAGTAAAGCTGGTTGATCAATTTGGAAAGTATATGATCGGATCCCTGGGTCGCCATGGCGACGAGGGCAATGATCATGTCTCCAGCCACACCAACGGCCAATTCATCAAATTCTACCAGCGACTGGGAAATGTCGGTATCTGGGGATTCGGTGATGGGGCTTTCCAGTTCAACTTCCCTGATCATACCAAGCTGGTCATTTCGCCGGGTCGTACCCGTAGCTCCTCGCCATGGATTGACTTCTACCACCTTTCTCCATCTGCCGCAAGATATTTCTCTGCAAAGGGGAAGATGCATCCATCTGGATTTGATACCCGTGCTGTCGCATCGGATGAAGCGGCCACCTTCCTAAGCATCGTCAACGGAGAATCCCTCAACTCTATCGAAGACCGAATTCGGGAGATCTTGGATGCCAATTCCTTCCTCCAGAAAGTCAGCTTCATTAAGGATGTTCTGAAAGTTTGGATCAAGCATGGGCGTCTCGGTGGTCGGCCGATGTCTAGAGCAGCTCCAGGTGACGTGCCTCCAGAGATGTTTTGGCAGGGCACTCAGGAACGGTCGCAAAGCGGAAGCACTGGGACCAAGTTTGTCTGGGTTACCGTTGGAGCCCCCGATGGCGATGGGGAGTATCGCTCGGTGGTGCTCAAAGAGGGTGATAAAGAGAAACCGGAGAAGCGGGCCGCCATGGATGTAGACAAGGAAGTGGATATGTTGAAGGAACGACTGCGTGCTATGGGTCGTTGATTTTTCGTTTATTTTGCTATTTCACGACGATATGACCTTTGAATTGTCTTTATTTTCCGACAATGACGGCGTTATTATTAGCCAACAATGACATCTGATTCCATAATTCTCATTCGCACCCTTGTCACTCTATAGTTAACCCCACAGTGGGCCAAGAGGTATGTCATATTAGCCCATGCAACCCTGCAACCCTGCAACCCCTCGGACTTCTGTTCTCCGACTTTCTTCACCTCTGCAGCTGTTTGACACTCTATTTCTTGTCTTCTCATAGGTCTAATAACCTGCGATCATATGATTTCACGGGATCCTGCATATACAGTATAAGAGGGATACAACGACGTGATCCCAAATCTCACTGCCCAACATGCAAAATCCATCTTGTCTTCTCTACGGACCAGGCGATATTCGATTTGAAGATCACCCCCTTCCAACCATTAAAGACCCTCACGATGTGATCATCCGCATCGCCTACATAGGCGCCTGTAGCAGTGACGTACGCCCATGCATCAAACGGCCCCTCAAAAGCAACCTAAAGCTAAAACCTAATCCTAGGCCCAATTTTGGCTTCATGGCGGCGTCAAAAAAAATTACGTCTCGGAAGATGAGCCCCTAATACTGGGCCACGAAGCTTCTGGAATTGTCCACGATGTCGGTTCTGAAGTCTTGAACCTCCAACCTGGTGATCCGGTCGCTATCGAGCCGGGCGCACCATGTCGACTTTGCAGTCGCTGTAAACTAGGAAAATACAACTTGTGCCCATTGATGAAATTCGCCGCGTTCCCGCCTTTCCATGGGACATTGACGAAATATTATAAGATTCCTGCTGATTGCTGCTACAAGATTCCTCCTAGTGTGGGCATCTCCTTTGGTCTTGACGAGGCTGTACTGATTGAACCGCTTGCTGTGGCTGTACACTCTATCCGCCAAGTTTGCGTACAACCAGGCGATAAGGTCGTTGTTTTTGGTGCGGGAACAATAGGATTATTATGTGCGGCCGTTGCACGGGAATTCGGCGCTTCGACTATAATGTCAGTTGATATTAGTCGCGATAAACTTGATTTTGCGCATTCCTTTGTTCCGAATGGGCGGTTATCGTTTTCGACCGCTATACCCAACCAGTCACTTTCTTCCGAAGAGAATGCAAAGTGTTTGAGAGGCATGCATCGAAACTCGCATCTCACTGAGTCCGATGTACCTGGGTTTGATGTTGCGATTGAGGCTACAGGGGTGGAGGCTTGTATTCAGATGGCTATTTATTCGCTAAGGGTTGGTGGTTCGTTCGTGCAGACGGGCGTTGGGAAGAAGAATGTTGTATTCCCAATTGCCACTGTCTCGGAGAATGAGATTAATGTTAAAGGATGTTATCGGTATGGGGCAGGGGATTTTAAGATGGCGCTTGAGTTGGCTTTTACCCGGAAGATTGAGTTGAAGCCGCTTATTACTAAGATTGTTGATTTTGAGAATGTGGACGAGGCGTGGGAGATTACGGCGCGTGGGGACGGGATTAAGACGTTGATTCGGGGGGTTGGGTATACAGATGATCTGGAGGAATTCACGAATGAGAGAAATGGGACCTCGAGATATGGATCGCATTATGCATGATTGAGGATGTATATTTAGTTATTAGTGCTGAATAGATGTATGTTCTATGTATTATCGTCAATCGTCAAGCTTCCATCTCCACGGTTGTTCCTTTACCATGCCAACGGATTGCCCTGCTGCGTGCCCTGGTCGGCACGAGCCTCAACATCTTTCTCGCTTTCAAGATTGTCCTTGCCATCGCGTAGACCCTGGGAAGTCTGGAGGGCCTTGTCCAGGTCATAAGACTCAGTCAACAAACTGAATAGCAAAGCCACCCCGGAGATAGCACAGCAGACCACCCAGACAATGCGCAGACTGTCCGTATAAGCCTCCTTCAAATCCAACTTTGTTGCACCGTCAGCCATATTTTTGATCACCTGCACCAATCCCGATGCATCCTGACTGTAAGTGCTAGCCATCGGCGCAAGAGCGGGATACTTCAGCAGATTCTTGTACATCTGATTCTGGAAGATAACACCACCAACCGCGACTCCAATAGCCTGTCCCAAAGCGCGGAAGAAGCTGAACATAGCAACGGCGATAGCCAGGTGATCCGGCTCAGCAGATGCCTGGACTGCGTACCCGAGCGACGGGAACAGGACCCCAAGTCCTAATCCCGGGACGACGTTCAGCAGAATCCAGCCATAGGTACTCGTCTCCACCTTAATCAACCACATCAAACCCAGTCCAATGGTCGACACAGTCCAGCCTAGCCAGATAGCCCAGCGGTAGCGTCCCGTAATAGTGATCAAGATACCAACAACCATCGCACTGGGTGCAACGGTAAACGTCTCAGGGAAAAGAGCGACGCCCGAGAGGACGGGACTGAATTCCTTAACAGCTTCGTAATAGAGTGGTAGGTAGTAGAGCGTGCACCACAGAATCAGACCTTGAAGGACACTTCCAATGAAAGAAACCGTTGCTGTGCGGTTAACGAAGACCCGAGGCGGGATGATCGGGTCGGAAGCGAAACGGTATTCATAAAATGCGAAGACCAGGAGTCCTACTGCGCCGATGATCAAAGGGACGAGTGTGTGCCACGAGCTCCATGCGTAAGAGACACCGCCCCAGGTGATTGGGATAAGGAATGATGAGAGACTTCCGACGAACAGAATCGTTCCGATGTAGTCAATTTGGCGGATTTTCTCGACTAGAGAGCCAGGTAGAACCTTAAGGTTCAAGAAAAGGCAGACGAAGACCGCTCCGAAGGCGATGAAGGGAAAGTTGATGTAGAAGATCCAGCGCTGAAGCGAGTTGTCAGTATATTGCCCGGTTATTCTGTTGATTGCAGTTGTATTTTCTTACCCAAGTCACATTCTCGGCAAATCCTCCACCAAGAATAGGACCGGTGACTGATCCAAGACTCCACATCGCGCTCATAATTCCAAAGTATTGTCCACGATACCGCAGTGGCACGATATCGGTGATGATTACTTCACCTAAGGCAATGATACCACCGCCGCCCACTCCTTGGATAGTCCTGCCCACGAGCATATATGTGAAGTTCTTCGCAACTGCAGAGACGATTGCGCCAACACAGAAGAAGAGAATCGCGATTAGGACCATTGGGCGGCGGCCGAAGATGTTGGAGAGAGATGCGAAGCTTGGTTGGAATACTATTGGATATTAGCGATGAGCCTGGCGCGAACGAATAGCTAAATTGCATACCTGTAGAGCTTAGTAAGAAGGAAGTTCCACTCCAGAAGGCCTCGATCGCAGTTCCATTTAGTTGTTGGGAGATAGTCTAAACTCGTAAGCTTGAATCCCAAAATTGGCATCAAAACACTTACCGGTAAAGCTACTGAAAGGGAAGTCCCATCCAAAGCCGCCATCAATGTGAGCACAGCCAAAGTAAAAAACACGAGTACACCTCGTCGATCAAGCTTGAATGCATCATCTGGCGGTGGATCAGTTGTCATAACAGAAGACGGCCTGCTGTTATTCGTAAGAGGCGCCGGCTTCTCCGACCCATGGGACGAAGGATTGGCAGAAGATGTCATGTTGTTGAAGAATCTGAACGAGCACAGATCAAGAATAATATTTGCTGCCTGCACAACTAACGAATAATCGAACAAGGTAAGGGGGGAGCATCACAGAAAGCCTATATACATCAGACCGGATTTTAGCCGGACCCTTAACTCCCTCGTTAAAGAACCTAAGGATCCACAGATCTGATTACATCTTCATATTTAGAAAACAATTTACCCGTCACTAAGTTCCAGACCGGGATAAGCTCAACCCGATAGCCTCAAATAGCTGGTGAAGTGGTGTTGTAAAGTGGACCTTTGCGAATAAAAACGCGCCAAGAGTCGGGCTAACGACCCGCCGACACGGCGATCGGTGTAATCACCCTCGCAACGAACCGCGGACCCGCGGACAGAGTTGAATGTCCGGTCAAGCTTGAATGGGCCCAAGTTAATCTAAGTTAGATTGTGAGCTTCTTTGACCTAGACTTGTAAGCGTCGTTCCAAGGTTTTGGTCACGGTGACTATTGGAGGGAAGGAGTTGGTGTGTCGAAACTCGCCGATTCCCGGTGCTTATGGTTTTTATTCCCGACAAGTGTGCCAAACAGCCTTAATGTGTGTGCTGGTGTCGCGTTTACTAGAAGTCCGAAATAAGCTGATTATAAATTCGACGGTATACGAGACATCTGTCTTCAACTCGTTTGCATTTAAATGTCCGACTTCGTTGTCGTCAACTGGGCTAGACCTGCTGAAGCTGACATGGGCTCATTCTACAAATAGCAGGAAATATAAGGTCTGAGAAACCTCCATGCGAGACCACACCGCACTTTGCTCTACGTCTTTGTGAGGTCAGTGCAGCTTTGAAACTGGCCATATTGTGCCGTTACGTCACAGTGCCATGACAGGCTTAGACATCGGTGTCGCTCTAGAGAAGACAGCTCCTAATGCAGAGCCTGCCACTCACTCTGAACTATAGCCGGCAACTCAGCCACCAGACTCGGGCGCGAAGGCTTCCACCCCAGAAGCTCACGTGCGCGTCGGGCACGACCACGCGAATTCAAACCCCAGCTCAGCGACTCAAAGCCAGCGTATTTCTTGGCACTTTCCAAATCAATAGACTCAGCTTTCGCCTCTGGCAAGTACCCCAGCTTTGTGGCTACGTCCGCTGTCTGCTGGGCCAACTCCCCCCAGACGTGTTCCCCATTCTCGGTCAGATAGTAAGCGTCCGCACCCCAGAGCCCGTCATCAGTCCGGCCCGCAATCGCTGCATCAACGAGTAGCGAATAAACATCGCTCAAATCATGGATGTGGACATCATTCCAGATCGATTGCCCCGCTCCAATGATTGGTCCTTTTTGTAACTGGAGGGTCACTTTTGCTAGTTCGTAGACTTGTCGACCGCGTTGCGAGCATGGGCCACGGCCTCGACCTAGAGTAGTGGGTCAGTCGCTATCCTCACTAACATGGGAGGACTTTCAGGGATTACCGTAGATAGTAGGCGGGCAGATCAGAGCGGTTTTAAGTACATCTGCATGCTTCGCACCGGCCTCTAGGACGATCTGGTCTACATTGCGATGGAATGCATGGTCGGGAAGTGTGAGGAGTTCCTCTACCCCATCCCAGTCGTCGTACACTTTCTCGCTTTTGTTGCCGTAGGTACCGCTGTCGCTGTCTTCGAAGGTTAGAATCCCTGTTCCGCCTGTGTGTAGCAAGTAGCCAGGGTTCCCCGTCGTGTGGCCTGCTACTAGACCTGCAGTAATTGCCTTTGCAGCACCTGCATGGTCGGAGGCATCTGCGGCATCTTTTGTGCATTGATGTTAGCGATCTATTTGGTTCGATGAGACTTGCTGAGACCTACGGAGGACAATATCTGCTGCTGCGCTTTCTCGCTCTAGGAGTGCTGAGTCGTCAAGGTCACCCAGGACAATTCGGATGTTTGGATATTGGGCTTTGATCTGCTCCGCCTTATCTGTGCTGCGAACCAGTGCAGCGTAGGAAAGGTTCGGGTGCTTTGATACCAGGGCGGCTAAGGCGTCGCCGGCAATATAGCCAGTCACACCGGTGCTGTGGCCAGATCAGAACAGTACTCACAAATTGGATGATAGAACTAACAAAAAGATCTTAGTCATGTTGTGTGATTGGTTGAGGAATTTGGGTAGTTGTGTTTCAGACGACGTCAACACGTGAGGTCAGGACGCGTCGTGAATAGGTTAGTCTGTTGATAGATTCGCTAAATTTGGCGGACTGAAGATCTCCAAGCTCTCCTGACTTTGACATGCGATTTTGATTGATCGCTGGTGCTTTGGATGTCTTGCCTTGAATATCTTTCCTTCGACCCCGCATGAAGTCATCGAGAAATTTGTAAGCAAACAGTGGGGTTGAAGATCAAATTGCATCAACAACATGCTTTAAGGATTCATTCCTCTGGACTTTTAATGCATAGAGCGGAGGCCATGCCTTTTTCGTCATAGATCAGCAAGCTAAGCCTTGTCCATTGATGACCAATAAGGTCCATAAAGTATGTTCTTGAGCAGGTACCTCTGCTCCCACTATCCAGTGGAAGTGGGAGCTCAGGAAGGCCAAAGATTTGAAGCTTCGATTACTTATATTGGCAAACTGGAAAAGATGTCAAATTCGCGATGTGCCTTAAGTAATTTGCCTCATGCAGCCTGGCTCCTTAGCTTCCTGACAAGAACGGCTTCATAATAAGATGTATGAAGCCTCATTTGTTTTTGAAGTCAAGGAACAGCGTACATCGAATAGCCAAGGTTGGGATTTCAACAGTAATGAATCATCTAAATTTTCCTTAGACCAAGGAATTTCATTCACTGTGGTAAGGTCTCCTTCCAACCTGGCCACCTTCATTTTCGTCCTAGGCTTGCGCTTTGTTCTTCTATCTTCATCTAAGCGTAGTATTCCGATCATTGAAAATACATCCCACTGAGGATATTCACATGAAAACAAAGTTAAGCCCCCGCGCCTTCAATGCAACCCTGAATCAGACAAGAAAACGCCAAGCGGTATCCGAGGCGCCGGCCAAATCCAGCAATATCGGCCGAGTCTCGGCTTTAACATTCCAAGCTACACGAATTTTTTCATCATCTCAATCTTCATCGCAATAAAAACGAAAGCCATATCATAACACTTATATTTATCCAGTTTCTCAAACTAAACACAAATTAAGCAAACTTGCCCAGGTGGAGGACCACATTCTCCCGCCTCAATCAGATCATATGGATACGACCCATCAACCTAAACCCGAGCAGCTTGCGTGGCCCACATACTAGTCCTATTCCAAGCAACTATCTCCAACAAACTAATCAAGCACCAATCAAATTCCTCTATCCGGATGAGAATTCTTCCTCAACCCACAAAGCACGCCCTTTCATATCAACCCCTCACCCCATCCGTCCCAGTCTGGCCATCCTCGGAGAAAGGAAGTTCGGAACCCATTGGGCACTTATCGAGTCATGCTCATGTGTATTGCGTTGTATATTTCAATTGATAATGGGTTTTTCTCCTCACAATTCCGCGGATGTTAGTGCTAGTTGGAATTCGGTCCTTGGCTGTTAAACCCGCCTGATTAGATTTATCTCTACGCAATGTAATGAGTTTCTCGCTTGTCTACTAGTTTTCTCCGCGGAGACCTCCGTTTACCGCTGGAAAAGCTCCCCGCTAGATACATACTCAGGTAGATACATGTATACAAGCGGAGGAGGTCTCCATCCCACCCGCCGTGCTCGGTCTCGGTGTTTCCCTTTCCTTGGCGAGAGCTTAGCTCGGTTGCAGCTAGCCAACTTTTCCTTCTTGTCATACATGTATCTGCAGAGGTATATAAGACCCGCCGAGGTGGGGTAAGGAGTGGAAAATTTTTAACCTAATGTTTTGATTGATTTTACTTTTCTCTATTCCGTACCCGAAATTGTCAGCCCTCGTGTATCAACTAAATCAAGATGTCTAGCGAGGACGACTCGATAACACCGCGTCGGAATATCGAAGCACAGAGTGCGTTCGCTTCCACGCTGGTGAATGATGTTGAAAAAGGCGAGCCGTCCAAATATGGCGTTCGCTCTGAGAAGGAGCATAAGAACTTATTTGGAGTGAAGATTGATACACCTGAGACTCATGCTGGAACTGATGCTGTTTTTGCGGCTAAGGCTCAGCTGCTTAACCAGGCTTTATTGGATGTTGGAATGGGAAAGTACCAGTGGCTTCTTTTCTTGATGACTGGTGTGGGATGGTTCCTTGATAGTGTAAGTTAACCAAGCCCTTTTATCTCTCCATGGGATACTTACGTTGGTAGTTCTGGGTTATGTCTTTCTTTGTTATTGCTCCATCTGCTAGTAATGAAGCTCAGTTCTTCTTCTCAGGCAATAATGAAGATTACCTCTTTATTACTTTGTTTGTTGGGTTGACTGTTGGTGGAACGCTCTGGCCGATGATGTCTGACGTGCTGGGTCGGAAGTGGATGTTCACGAGCACCATCGTGCTTATGGGCATGGGAGGTTTGGTTGGTGCAGGTATGCCTTCATTCACTGGACTCTCCGTTGTAGGATTTGTCGTTGGCTTTGCTGTGGCCGGTAACAAGAGTGTTGATGCGATGATCCTTTTGGAGTCACTCCCTGCATCTCATCAATTCTTGGTCGCCATGCAGGGTGTGTTCTGGGGGTTGGGACAATTGGTTGCGTCTGCTGTGGGCTGGTGAGTGATGAAAACAGAATCGGCTTAGGATTCCAGTACTAATTGACTGCAGGGCTTTCATTGCTATTTACACCTGTGGTACTGGTCCCGGCGAGAAGAGCGGTGCATACTCAGTCACCAGCCACAAGCGTGCGCACTCCGGCTCCTCGAGCAGCAGCAGCAGCAGTAGCAGTGCCTCTTGCCACTACGTCAGTAACAAAGGCTGGAGATATGTCTGGTGGACCTTTGGATGCATCACTCTGTTCCTGTATCTCTGCCGTTTCGCACTGGCCTTCTACGAGACCCCTAAATTCCTGCTCGCTCGTCGCCGTGATGCAGAGGCTACCCAGCTGGTCAAGGATATTGCTCAACACAACAAGCGACAGACCTGGATCACCGAAGCTTCCTTCGCACGTATCGATTCCACAATCGATGGATCCGAAGCTGAGCTGCGCACCAAGTCTCGAACCAAGGCTCTGGTGTCATCCATCGGTCCCATCGGAACCTTATGCCTTACCCTTCTGTGGGCGATCATGGGTCTAACATTCATCCTTTACAAGACCTACATCGGCAACTACCTTGCTGAGCACAGCGGAGTGGGCAAAGTCACATCCACGACAGTCGATACCCCGTACCTATACAGTCGTTATGTGTATATCGCCATCTGCGCCATCCCAGGCCCACTCGTTGCGGCTCTTCTAATGGAGGTCAAGGGTATCGGACGCAAGTATACTGGTGCTGGAATCGCATTCTTGACTGGATTGTTCATGCTAGTCTCTGCTGTCTCCAAGTCTCGAAATGCACTCCTTGGCTTTGAGTGTGTTCTAAGCTTCTTGCACTTTGCCGGCTTTGCGACGCTCACCATTTACACTGTTGAGGCCTTCCCTACCCCGACTCGTGGATTCTCGCTTGGATTTATGGGCTTCTTCTGGGGTCTCTTTGGAATGATTGCCTGCATCATCACTACGTTTGATAGCACTGTTGTGTCAGGCGGCGGACCTGTTTGGTTCTGTGGTGCTATCTGGTTTGTCATGGTCGGTGCTTGGGTTGCTTTGCCCGAGACACAGGCTAAAGCATCTGCTTAAACAAAGATATCTATGCATCACGCATTACATGGATGAAATGGGATATGAATATGAGAAATGGGTATATAGGCTTGCCAGTCGTTTTTAACTGGTATTCAGTTTTGACATAGCCACCTTAATAGTGATTTAATGACCGGGTACTTCCAGCATTTTATAACCAGCCCATGAAGACCGTAGTAAAATCCTAGCCGCGAAGTTTCAATGTTGAGCTGGCCGAATCATACTCAACTGCTCATAACCAGGGAACGGCGAAAATGACTCGTACGGCTTAAACCCGTTCTTCTCATACATGAACTTTCCTTCAGGGGAGCTGGAAAGGAAGACCTCAACACTCTCTTCATCCGCCCTAGCCAATCCCCACTTCAGCAATTTAGAAGCAAGACCTCGTCCCTGGTAAGAAGGGTGGACTCCCAATAGCTCAAGATCTGCACCAGTCAGTAATGTAACAGGACGGTATGATGTCCTAGCGAGAGCAAATCTCACAATAATGAGGCCGATCTCCCATCAACCTATGATGATGATCACCCATAGTCCCAAAAAACAATTCGCAAAGTTCCTTATCGCTTCCCACAGGCCACCCGCCCACGGCATCATCGGACCGCAGATCCCGATCTGCAGCGGCGTGATAGGGGCGGACCCATTTCGCGAATGCGACGGGCTTCCCATTGTCATCTGTCGCTTTCAAGATAACTTCATGCTCTGATGCAAGTCCCTTGGCATTCAGGAAACTGTCAGCTAACCACTTTCTCACTTCTGCTGTGGGTGGGAACAGGGTTCTGTTGAAAGGATCTGAGAATGCCGCTAGGAAAACCTCTGTGAGGTCCTGGGCGTCGGTGGGGATTGCATCGTGGAGCTCTAGCATTTTGATCTGATGTTTGTGCTCTATTTCGTGTGTTATTTGTTTGAGATATTGAAGTTGGACGTTCTTCGCTGCTGTATCTGGTGGAACTGTTTTCGGGTCGATTCTGTCGCGGCGGGCGCCGGAATTGGATTTTGCGTGGGTCGCGGAAAAATTTACCTTACACGCTGGAACTTTGCGATGGTCAAATTGTTGGCTGATGACGTTGGTTTAATTCGTTGCTTATGTGTAGAGTGTCTTAGACATCTTTCCTTTTTCTTTATGGTCTCACGGCCGAATACTCCGAGGCTAAAAATTTGCTGATCTGTGCGCACGTCGAGCCAAGCCTTTGCGACACCTAGCTATGGAGTAAGTGCCAGCCGTCAATTCTGAAGGATGTATAGTTGTTATGATAAAGAATTTTGGTATATATTTAGACATTATAACATGATTAACCATGTCCATCGTAATAATTTGTGGCCTGCCCAGTTGGACACGTCTAGGTTTCATTTCCCGGAAGTATCGACTTGAACACCAATCATTCACCGTGATTAAAGTCGTAATAACTTATAGCATAATATGAACTTCTCCAGACAGTTGTCGAGAACTTGTGAAGAAGCCACGAATCCCTCACTAGCCAATGGGTCGGGACCCTACTTCACTTGACCGAGCCATCGGGTTGGCAGGACAGGCAACCGAATGGTCGTAGTGTGGGTGTTGATTCAAGTGAGGAAGCGATCAGGCGCAAGGGCTTAATTCTGCTCAAACGTCTTCTCAGGAATAGTGATTGGACTAACTGGTTCCTCATCGTGCGGATGCAACGCCGTAGAACGCTTCGCCGGGGTCGTCGAAGGCCGTTGACCACTGAGCTCATTGTGCGTAGGAAGAAGAGACCGACGGATCCTCGGATCATCTGGCTGCTGTGTTTGGGTATCACCAGCACTCCGCGACGTTTCCATTTCCGATTTCAAGCTTTGGTACATGCTCTCCACGATAAAGACTTCTTCTTGCACGTCGAGATCAATACCCACCAAGCAGAATTCACGTTCGCGTTGTTCAATATATTCGCGGATATGCTTCCACTTGTTTTGGTAGCCTTTCAGGCGATCTGGAAGACCAGAACCACGCAGGTAGGTCAGGATACCAGCCACAATAGTGTTGATGGCGCCGAATGCTGTGATGGCGGAGTGTGGACCACTTGCTGCACCCAAGGCCGTCAGGGCCGCGGCGACGACGATCTGGATACCCAAACATACATTAATCATGTAGTTGAAGAGACGATATCCCCGCGCGGCTTTGGTTTCATTGCGAATGACACGCGTATAAATACCGACGTTGGGTGCGCTTCGGAGAAGATGGCCTCCCTGAGTAAGAGCCGGGACGCTGTCGATACCAGTCAAGGCGCGGAAAATAAGCAGCTTGTCGTTGGCTGGAATGAGTGCTTCGGGTTGGCTCGTCCTGATATTCCATCGTTGCCCTTCCACGTCGCTATTGTTTGCGAAACCGCTACTTTTCCGAGCCGCTGCGGCGGTAGCGTGTGCGGCCATGGGTGGGTATGCGTCCTCGTGGCGATTGAGAGCGGCCTCGACCAGTCGGCGTAGAAGAGTCTTGTCTTTTTGAGGTTGGGCCATAGCGAGGCGTGCACGGCGTAAACTCTGACCTGGGAAACAAAAGGAAAATCCAGATCGCAACGCGTCACAGCGGAGGAAAAAGGGGGAAGCACTCCATTTGTAGTCGCGAATGACAGCCAGGTCTAGTCCCGCTGTGCATATGACATCGTGCTAAGTGCATATGCGAAATGGACTGACGGCTAAAATGGAGTCTGCACTGCACCAAAGCGCGAATGGAACCATGATGAGCGTGATTTGATACCGAATGTGGCAAGCAAGAGAAGCCAAAGCTGCAGGGTCTGGTGGGAAGGTGGGTGCATACTCTCGATCTTAATTATGACAGGTCGGGCACCATGGAACTGGACGTCGAGCAACAACCCGCGCATACGACGGCTGAACCTTATGGACGAACCAGCCGAGCAACAAGGACCTGAAATGCAGTCCAGGGCTTGGCTATACAGTCGTGGCGTTAATTGCGGTGAAGATCTGCACGGGATACCTCGTGAATCAAGAAATCAAGAAATCAAGAACGGTGGGGTCCAGATCAATGCAGTCACGGTTCATCGTGATCGGCCATAGGAGAGTATCGATCGTACGGCCTCGGCCGTCGCCATTAGGGGTAGAACATCAGGGGTCGAAGTGCTGAGTCAAGATCGACGGCGAATCGATGCAACCTCGTGGCCCGTCAAGGTTACAAAATGTTGATAATTTGTCATTTCCAATAAGATCTATGCTCAGGGTCCAGTCGGAAAATTCTTGAGATTGGCATTCTGCAGAAGCTCGGGAATGAGCGTGAACCGAGTGGAGCAACTCACACGGGACGTCAGCTCCACTCGCACGGGGACTGCAAAGTGCCGTTTATCCACCTTGTTCGCGCGCCCCTTGAGAATCGGTGCACAGGGAATCGGCAGGTTCCTTGATCTCGATCGTATGGCTGATCGGGAACTTGTGCCAACCATACATTATTCGGCGCTCTATCGTCCACTAACACGGAGTCCCACTAATTAGCGTGGATCTTGAAGAAGTGTAATGGGCTACGCGATGAAAAGGGGGACTTGTTTTCGGGTTTTGATTGTCCGTCTTTTTCATGATTCTTGAGTTCCATGATTGGCCTAAACTGGATGCGCTAAGAACAAATGGGATGAGGCTAAGCCTGTGTGTATAGGAGCTTTGTCTTGGCGAAGTTGTTGATAAGGGGCTAGATCTCTAAAGGGAAAAAGATGCTGCTCTATGTATGAGCAGCCAGACTATGGAAACTTGCCCGAAATACAATACTTGGTAGCTCATTCTAATTTTTGGTCTGAGCTTATACCCTGTATTGAAATTCTTGCTGTTACAATCTTCACACCTCGGAGCGTGAGGGTATTGGAGGAGAAACCGGAGGCACAGGTGGATGATCATCCCAGAGCGAGGTACTTCTGCACAGGTTACAAATAAACTTCGCTTGCAAATTATATAGCTACTAGTATTGCCCAGGTGTATCGTCACGGAGGGAAGAAGGACACTAAACACACATGGTCAACTGGTGAAATATCCCGGGTGGTCTTCTGACAAATGCGAATTCACGTTCCCCGAGCTCATCCATGGCTCGGATCCAATCGGATTTTCTCGTCCCCACTATTGTTTCGAGAACATTTCGAAGGCAGAGTAAACAGATTCAAACGTGCATTCAGCGTACATGTAAATATGGACCTAGGCTGATTGGCCAAGGGACCGCATCGTACCTTAATGCCATACTTATCAGGCAGCAATACAACCTCGCGCAATCCAGCACCATAATGCACTCACTAATGACCATTTTCTCTCCACAACGGGATAGCGAATCACATTATCAGTTCTTTATCAGCAGCCTCGCCTATCACCGACTCTAAGCTTCAAACGGCTGCGGGGCCCCCACCCCGCCTTCCATTGACATGTTAAAAATGGGAATGCGCGTCTCGCAAATTTTAATATCTCTACCTGTTACATCACTGCATTGTCAATATGGGTGAAGCGCCACTGCCCAGAGAGCATGTGCTCATTATTCTGAATTACAAGCTGTCTGACTCGCTGGTGGAGGCTATTCGTCAGAAATTTGCTGATGTCGAGTGTACCATCTTTCCCGCCACTCTGGGCTCCAAGGTACCAAGTGGTATGTCAAGACCTGAAAGAATGAAACTCGCTATCAATGACTAACTATCGCGTGTAGAGTTGTTCCGCAAGGCGACAATCCTTGTCACATATGTCAACTTGCCGGAACCCGAGGATGCCGAGAAGTAAGCAATCGAGGACCCTTATCTCCGTGGTCGGTCTAACATACGCACAGCTTGAAGCTCGTCCATACATTCTCTGCGGGCCTGGATCACCTCATGAACAATCCTATCTTGAAGAGTGGTCTTATCCCATTCACTACCAGTTCTGGTATCCACGGCCCGCCAATTGCAGAATGGACCATCATGAACTGGCTTGTCTCCGCTCGCAATTACAATGTGATGTATGAGGCGCAGAAGGAGCACAAGTGGGATAAAGACACACCATGGATGCAGACCAATTACGACCAAGTTGGCAAGAAGGTTGGAATTCTTGGATATGGAAGTATTGGCCGACAGAGTATGTCCGACGTCCTCAAATTAGCGCGAAGCAAACTTGCTAACTGCTGCCAGTTGCCCGTGTATCTCAAGCAATGGGAATGACTGTCTACGCCTACACAGCTTCTCCACGCCCAACACCCGAGTCACGCCACGACAACGGGTTTATCGTCCCGGGAACCGGTGATCCTGAGGGAACTATCCCCGTATCTTGGCACCATGGCACAGACAAGAGTTCTATCCATGAATTCCTCTCGCTTGGATTAGATCATCTAGTCGTTTCTGTCCCGCTTACCCCTCAGACAACCCATCTATTGGGCCCCGAGGAGTTTGCGCTCTTAGCCGAGAACTCGAAGAATCCTGGCATCAAGCCATACCTGACCAACATCTCGCGTGGAAAGGTGCTTGATCAAGACGCGCTGATTGAGGCTTTGAAGTCTGGGCAGCTAGGCGGTGCGGCACTTGACGTTACAAACCCTGAACCATTGCCTGCAGATCACCCTCTTTGGGATGCGCCGAATGTGCAGATTAGTCCGCACATCAGTGGATCGGGTAGAGAGTATTTCTGGCGCTCACTCCAGATTGTTAGAATCAACTTAGACCGCAAGGCGAAGGGGTTGCCTTTAATTAACCAATACGGAGGAAAGGGTTATTAGGAACCGATTCAATCTTCAAATAGAATATAATTGCATTATTTTGCGAATTCACGACAGGTTGTATCTAGTCCTCACAACTTCCTCTGCGAAAGCACCCATAACTCCGCAGCTACAGATAGCCAAAGCCCACGGGTTGATCAAGTCTTTGAATGACGGCCAGAAACTGTTTTTCTCACGCTGCCATTCTCGGAGTTGTGTAAGCTTCTCTGCGTCAGTGGCTTGGTACCTCTCTTCTTGACTAGCCTCGGTCTGCTTGTCACCGCCGACACATCGGAGAAATAGATAGTTCGCGAGTGGGCCGAGGAGAATGACGGGATTGAAGGAGTTTGCCAAGTTGAGGACGGCGAATGAGATGTGCACGAGAGTATCGCCAAGGTAGCTATTGGGATTAGTAAGGTGTATAAAAAGACACCGAAGCTTGAGAAGCACTTACTTCGGATGTCGGACTAGACTCCACACTCCGTGTCGACATAGATCGGTCCGCTCTCCGCGATGAAGCTCCAGTTGAGTATCGGACATGACCTCCAGTGCAAACCCAGCACTGAACAGACCAACGCCAAAGGCGCGAATTGTGTTCAAACTTTTCGCACCGAGAGAAACAGTAGACCCACTCAAGTTGAGTGGCAAAGTAAAAGGCAACGAAATGATGCTCAGGATAGCAGCCTCCGGGAGGAACACTTTGAACAATGCCGTTCTCCAGAACTCAGGGTCTTTCTTGCATGCCTCGTACCTCGAATCATCTTTTCCACGAGTCACAGATCGACGCGCAATACGGGCAAATAGTCTCATGCCCCAAACAGTAACGGATCCAATGAGAAGCTTCTCGGTCCAGCTGAGCTTGCCCCAAGCGGTGCTAAATGTAACATTATTTTCATACATATCTCGGCCGACGGCACTCCACCACGCGTTAAGGACTTGGCTTGATGGCCATAGCCAGTCTTTTAGCTCGACGCGGTCGGTTTTCTTGGCCGCTACAAACGTTGCAATCGAAAGGCTGGAGTAAAGGCTGAATGAGGGAAGGATTGTGGATTTCAATAATCCGATATTGCTGGTGGTTCCTTGTCCTTCATGGGGGAATTTATGGAATGGAGGTGGTTGGAGAGGATTGGTGGACCTCGGTCCATGTTCCTTCATTGTATTTACCACATTCATGTTGCCCAGGCCCCCAATTGGCTTCGTACTGAAGTAACGATTTTGAGGCGATAAAGAAAGAAAGTTGGCGCTGGTGAAGTGGTGCTCATGCCCAGGGCTGGTGATGTCAATATTATGTAACTCGCATGCCTCGGGATGTCTCATCCGCAAATCCCGATCAGGTTTATAGGCGATCATAATTTGTAAAACAGAAAAATTCATTGGGATAAAGCAGTAGAGTATATAGAGTAGTGTACATGCTGTATATAGTCTTGAACAAGCGTCAAGCGCATTGTTGGAGGTAATATAGGATTCACTTCCTAAACCCAACGCGGGTTTCAGGGCCAACAAATATTAGGAATCAAAAAGCTTGAGATGATCAAGGAAGGCAGGAACATCGATCTTCAAATCAGCTGGTCGTGGCTCCTTCCTAGCGTCGTGTCTCTTCTTGATCATGGCATTAAGTCTAACATTCCAGGCTGGCGCTTGCGATTCCACAACAGATGCGGAAAGTTTATCGTCCTTTCTGTCATGCGTATAAGAATCATGCGGAGTCATAATATTGAAAACCCTTTTCACATGCGATAAATCAGATGATATGGATAAACCAAGATCATGGACATCGTACCCTTCGGGTATATTTTCGAAAGGCAATTTCTTGCTAGGAATCCGCCGGATCTTGCTGTCATCTTTAGCCAAACCTCGAGCATTTTGGCGAATAAGAAACTCTCTTGGGTCGTTAGGAGGAAAAGAGCCGATGTGATCTGCTTCTGCAGCAAATGGACGATCTGATGCCAAAGCAGCCTTTGCCTTCAGATACCGATTGTGATGCGGCCCATGAGAACTAGCTTGGGAGCTTGATGACGTATTATTGGTGGCCTGGCGGGCGCGGTAATTTTGAATCGCTTCTTTCTTGCGTCTCTCAAAATCAAGAGCTTTTTCAATCTCTGAATGACTATCCGGATTGAATCCTTCTCGAAGATTGGCGGCCCACCTCTCCAGAACCGGGAATCCCCGACCACTGTCCATGGAGCCTTGATAACCAGCTTCACCGGTGGTTTGCTCCTGTTGAGATGTTGGAGGCGACTGATCTTCTGATACATTCTCCTTTTGTCCAGAACTGTCCTTGTCGACCGCATTGTCACGTTCGAGATCCGTAGACTGAGTCCCGAACCTCTCACGGGCAAGCTGGGAAATAGTTGGAATGGCTTCCTCTTGTGCAGTCAGCTCCATTGATTCTTCGCCGGGAGAGAGTTGCGTAGTCCGGGTAAACCAGGTGTCGAGCGCCCCATTGCCATAGCGTTCTTTATCACGCTGTCTTGCCGCCTTTCTGGAACTACTTATTGAGTTTGTCTGAGTTGGAGAGCCTTGTGACTCTTGTATTTGGGACTGCCGTTGCTGGTTGATAGGAGATGTTGATACTAGCCGTGAGATAGGGGGACTTATGAGTTCGGGACTCTCAGGGAGTGATCGTTGGTCATGTCTGTGGGGCATGGTCGGGGAAATATTCTCCGACGATGAGCCAGCCCATGCAAGTTCTGGACTAATGGGCTGAGGAGCAAGCTCCCTTCTTGGGGTGCGTAGTGATGCATTCATACCCGTGACAGACCAAGGGTTAATAGAATGAGGTCTTCCAGTTGATGCTGAGCGCGTTGCTGCTTCTTGACTGGATTGACTTATGCAAGTGGCTGTTTGAGACTGAACTTCCGAATGTGGAGTCCCCTGGATGACAGCAGACTGAACGGGGTTCTCCCCCATCTGCCTATATTTCGTGGAGGGGTCGGTCAAGGGTCTTCGAGCCAACATGATATCAAATCCATCGCTCTTTTTGGCACGGGAAGATTTGCCTTTCACTGGACTTTTTGGCTGAGGATTCTCGAGTGGTCCATAGTGGTCACTGAATAGATCCTCGACCAGGGAAACTACAAGGTCTCGTTCCTCGAAGAGAACGTCATCTTTACCTGGCTCAATGTTAACATCATATGAGCCCCGTGGACAGCTAAGTTGGAGACACAGAAAAGGATCGATGATCGACCTCGTTACTGCATGTTTTGACACGCTAGCACGGATGTAAGATTTGAAGAGTCTTGCAATTTCCTGACCAATGCCCGCGGTAGCAGACAATGGCCGCCCATCAACACTGATGTATTGCCCCGAGTTATTGATTTTGGAGATGTCTGCCAAGGTCAGCATGTCGCCTGAGCAGTCGACGATGGATATTACTGTACCTGAATCTGGGCGTGGAAGAAAAGCCACAATGTCATATATATATTTATTTAGGTCACTTTGCAATGCTGAAGATTCATGTGAAAGCTTTTTGATCACACAACACGATGATAACTCTCGACCGAAAGTCTTGACGGCCGCATCGGAGAGTGTCGCATCAGCACTTGGTGCATACATCCAGTTCTGATTTTCATTTTTCGCTTTAAGAACTTTCAACGAGAACCTTTTAGATGGCTGAGCAATGACGTAAGCTTGAATAAGCCTTTTGATTTTCGTGAGGATCTTGGTAGCATTCTTCAAGACCAACTGTCTGCGGACAGGAATGTGCTTGAGAAAGTGAACAATACGCAGAGTCGTGCCGACCGGGTGAGATGCCGGCTGGGACCTTCTAGAGCGTTAGTTAACCGGGAAAACGATGAATTGTACCAAACACCACTTACTGGGATAATTGCCCGTCCCTTTCGTACTTCAGACACGACCCGGTAACTTCTGAAGCAATACGGGTGGTGATGGTGATGCCACCAGACATGTCAGCCACGCTGGCCAATGCCTCACCACGAAAGCCGAAGGATGTCCCGCCGACATTTTTTAGATCATCGAGAGTTTGAATCTTGCTGGTATATGTGTGCCTGCACACGTATGGGTAGTCCTCAGCTGGGATTCCATGTCCGTTGTCCTTGAGCTGTATCAGATCCACGGTGTTTGACGAGATTTCAATCAATATTGAAGATGAACCAGCATCCAAAGAATTGTCGATGAGTTCCTTGACCACAGAACAAGCATCTGCGATCACAGATGTAGATCCGATTGCCCTGGCTGTGGCTGGGGGGAGGGCCTCAATCGGCATTGTGGGTGCTGTATATCAAACATACATGGCTTTGATCCCATCGAATATTTGATTGAGATGGAATATACCATACGAAGAAAGCATCCTGGGAACAACAAATAATATTGTGAGAACTGAGAAATCGAGAAATGGACCTGATTCAGTTCGAAGTCGCAAACTTAGTCAGCGAAAGCGGTGGCAATCAGTATTTGGTGCGATGTCTTGATCACCGTGTGGCCAAGTTGAAAAGTTCGGAAGAGCATTACTTCCAGAAGACTATGTGTTCATACAGGCCAAGTAAAACGATTTTCCATGTTGATGTCATGTGTCTGGTCAATCGTCCGATCGATCTTCTGAAGTGGGGATCTGCAGGCTTCCCCGCTGGATTTGCCCTCCCAGCGTTTGCGATCTCGACCACGGAATGTAGGTAGATTCACGAGTAGTGCAGTTAGTTTCCAGCTTCATCACACCATTTAAAAATAAAATACCAAAATATCCATCCATGTAGTACTTGTCGGTGCCTCTTTCAATGCAGTTGACAAGCGATCCAGTGCCGCTTAGTCATCACCCATAAACAACACGTCCACGAACTTCACTCTTCCTCCTCGTCTCGATCGCAGCAAGTTGTCAAGTCAAAGATGCTCAGCGATGATTTCTCAATATCCCAGCTGGCCATCCCTGCGGTCAGTGTGTTGATCAGCTTCCTCGCCTACACGTCTCAGTACTTCTTTTTGCGGTTTGAGGATGCACCGCTCCAGAAAGATGAAGTCTGGAAAATCAACATCTTCGCTTTGTGCATCTGGATATGCTACTATCGAGCTTGCTATGTAGATCCTGGTCGGTTGCCTTCAGATCGGAAATCAGCAAATCCCGACAAACAGGAGAAGGAGACTGCCTCGGGTCGGCAGCGATGGTGCCGCAGATGTGAGGCTTACAAGCCGCTGCGGGCCCATCATTGCAAAACATGTCAAAGGTTGCATAATCTCACCGGGACTTTCTGTCTCAATTTTTGCATGGCATGTATTGACAGCGTTCTAGGTGCATTCCGAAGATGGATCACCACTGCCCGTGGACTTCGAATTGCGTTTCACATTTTACTTTCCCTCACTTCATTCGGTTCCTTTTCTACGCAACAGTTGGCATGTCTTATCTTGAATCCCTTCTCTGGAGCCGTGCATCTATTGTCTGGAGTAACCGAAATCTGCCCAGTGTAAGCAGTCCTCCTATCTTTTATTCCCGGTTACTGACCTTTCCAGTACATGGGTCCCTCAATTGTGCAACTGGGACATCTATTCATTTTGTTCGTTGTCAATAGCTTGACTGTTTTCGCACTATTTATTCTCCTTGTGCGAAGCTTGTACTCGCTTATCTTCAATATGACCACCATTGAATCATGGGAGATAGAGCGGCACGAAACACTTGTCCGACGAGCCCGGGTTCTTGGCGGCCATCTCGACGGGCCAGGTGGGATCAAAGTTCGAATCAAAAAGCATGAGTTTCCATATGATATTGGAATTTGGACCAACATCAAAGAGGGAATGGGAGGAAGTGCAAACGTTCGTTCAGCTCGTCGGATTTATAGAAACTCTCTAACGCCGCATGTAGATCTTCAGCTGGTTTTGGCCACTGGCAGCCACCCCTGACCGTCGTACTGGGTGGGAATTCAAGACAAATGGCTTTGAGGGTATGTTAGCCGATTTCTTATCGCGATTAATGCTAACCACTGGGGATCAATAGATCCTGGATCCTCCTGGCCACCACCTGATCCAGATCGTATTCCTTGGCCCGTGAGCCAGGCAGACCCCGGCGACTCGTCGTTGCAATTTTATTCATCTGCCCGGGAGACCGTTGAAGCATTCAAACGGCGCCAGGCGGAAGACATCGATCGCCGCAGGCCATATGCCAACATTCAGAGACGCCAGCGATTCCACGACCGATTCCAAAAGGAAAGCTATGAAAGTGATGAAGACCGGGGACCTGGGCCAGTCTATGGAGATGACTCGGATGAAGGCGAGGAGTCCTGGCGGAATGCCGAAGGAGAGCGTCTCCGTGACTTTGGCGTCGACGAAGACGTGGAATTCTATGACGAAGACGATGTTCCATTGGCTGTGCTTATGGAGCGACGAAAGCAGCGCTAATGGGGAGCAGTCTGGTATGACATTAGTACTTTTGTCTAGACTAAATCCTTCTGCATCAAACTAGATCCCCACACTTGGGTTTCTTCGGGAGATATGCTTGGCATTTGATTGTTCAGACTTCGACAATCTATTCCATTATTATCATGTAGGAAGACATTGTTCACTTCCCGGGTAAAAGCGGGCCGCAGCCATATGAAGCAAGGGAACCTAACCTCCCAAGTAGCCAAAGTCCATCACCTGAGACTGAGAATAATCTTTCCACGCCCTGAGTACCGCCCATTCGCGATATCATACGCCTCCCGCGCTTTTTCAAGCGGAAATGTGCCCGCCACAAACGACTGAAGGGCGCCGGCATCCACCGCATCAGCAATATAGCGCAGGGCCTCCAAGCTGCCCTTGACGACGAAAAAGATTGCACGAACTCCCTCCCTAGAAAGCCCCAGTTTTCGGTGCTCTTCGACGAAATCATAGCTGGCAGACTCCAGCGAAATTAGCACACCTTTGTCCTTTACATAGCCCCAGCACTTCTTTAACAAATCACCGCCAACGACATCAATGATAGCGTCGAATTTCCCTCGTTGCTCCTCTAGCATACTATACTCGACCACTTCATCTGCCCCTAGGTCTCGCAAGAAGTCACCATTGCGGGAATTCGAGCTGCTCGCGGCAACTACCGTTACGCCCGCACCAGCAGCCATCTGCACGAGATATAGGCCCAGGGCGCCGCTTGCTCCGGTAATCAGCACGCGTTGGTCTTTCATCTGTGCAGACTGCGCCTTGAGCTGGTCCACAGTGGGCTGGGGAATGCGGGCATGCTCGAATAGAGCCTCATAAGCTGTTGAAGCACTAAGTGGCATGGCTGCAGCCGAGACGAAATTCAAAGCGGTCGGCTTCAGCGCGACCTCGTCCTCTTTGGCGATCGTGTATTCAGCCCATGTAGCTGCACGGTTCACATCCGTCATACCAAAAACGGCATCGCCTGGCTTGAACTTGCTGTCAAGTGAATGGACCTCGGTCACGACTCCAGAAAAGTCGCTACCGAGGATGGCGTACTCGTGGGCGTAGGTCTCCGGCCAGGTCAGCATGTCACGGATAATGGTTGTGGCTTCGACGCGGATGAGAAGGTCCCCTGACTGGGAAGGTTTAGGAATGGGAACATCATGGTCGAGATTCAGAGCTGTGGATGGGGCGGGATTGGCTGGTGTGTATGGAGGGGTTCCAGAAGGCGCGGGGTGGACACGAATAGCTTGCATCGTGTCGTGGTGATAGGTACGATTACGAGCGAGTGGTTTGAGAAGACAATTGGAAGGATTGTATAAGGTGGTTAAATATCCTTGAACGGTGTGAACCTAGACGAAACAACAGAGAGTCAAGTCAACTCTTTGATGAACAGCGAATAGGCTATCCGCAGCGCGGGAATCGATGATACCCGTCGGGATACCTACAGGAATACGCAGCCTTCTCGCGTGACTGCCAAGGTACATGTTGATGCACGTGAGGGTAGAGCTACCAGTAAAACAAGTGTATCGATGGATGCAAAAGCCAACCAGCACACAGGCTTTGACGGCGTGAGAGGGGAGATGTTAGCGATCTATGATAGTAGAAACTGCCTCAATACCTGCATGTGATAGGGTGTGAGAATGATATAAATTCACTCTCGTCGATGTAAGTAGTGCTATTAACGCCCATATTGCAACTATGCCAGGTGCTCGGCCACCCACATTAACATAGGAGGACTCAATCTGTCAGACGGAAAAGCAGAATTTCCTCTTTCAGATTATCCCTACATACTTGGCCAAGTTTCCACACTACGAAATATGTAATCATGTAAGGTGGAAGGCAGGGCTGATCAGTCCGCATGTGAGTTGCGTCCAATCACACGAAACAATTACATTGGACTATCAAAGTTGGAAGTCACTTATTCAAAGCGAGGGTATGTCCCAATTGAAGATCTTGGAAGATCACTTGGAAAAGAACCAAGAATCAGGACACGACTAAGCTTACGCAATTGGTGATTTTGCTTCTAAGGGAATTCCTTACCTTCTCAACACCCCTCAGTCTCAGGGAACTCCGTTAATCAACTATGCATCTTGTTCCAAGCTCCTATATGAAGATTGGGCTCATGCAATACTAGTGAATCATGCACGTCACTCCCTAACGACATATTATCCAATTTCAAAGTTACAATAACAGTTTACCCTCGTAATTTACATGTAATTACATTCATTACCTGCAAGTACTCACCCCGCTTCGGGTTACACATCATGGTGAGGGGTATACATGAGATGTGGTACCTGCATACATATATCATATGCATGCATTGTACTTGTTGCTCTTCAATAACCTGAAACGATGCGTATCTTGGCTTTGGGAGCGGTGTGCCATGTTCTGCATCCTGCAGCCTATCTCCACACTTATGCATCAATTCGCCTCTCTGCTGCCACGTTGACCAGCTTGGGATCACAGGTAAACTGGAAAGTACGAGCCGTAGGTAAAATCTAGGGGCTGAATGGAACTAGATGGAGTATCGGTACACTAGTATTTGAGAGCCTACCGCGGCAGTGTCCTCTCTTTTTGACTTCTCATTTTGATCTCACCAAAATATATCGCATGTGCTATTAGGAGTACTTTGCAAGTTCGAGTAATTCGCGTCAATTAGAACCTCCACCTAGACCTAGGGTGCGGCACTGCACCACAAAAATGATTCACCAACCACTTTAAGCTTATCTGCCGCAAGGTCAGACCTTGTAGGCAAAGATGTAAACAATGCATGTATTTGGGTGTCCGAAATCAAGTATATTTCTCAGCCACGAGGCTACCTAACAATATTCACATGAATGGACTGCACCCTCTATAATAACTTGTTGCTGCCCGTCAGAGCCCTCGGGTTTCCAAAACCCAGTAAGCTTCATTCCAGCCTTGTTTAGTAGAGTCTCCCATTCATTCTTTGTTCTTTCCGCCGCGGAGTAAGCAGTCATCATAGTCATATCACCAATTGCAGCCATCCATGGAATATTAGTCTCCGGCATAGCCTTCTCATTGATTAGGAGCAAAGAATCGGGACCCATTGCTTCACGAAGCCTCGAAAGGATCGCCACGGCCTGCTTGTCCGGCCAGTCGTGGAGAACAGTGCGGAGGTAGTACGCCTTCGCACCTTTGACCGGCTGTTCATCAAAGAAGTTATGAACTTGGGTTTCGATCTCAGCAGGCAAGTCTGCGGTCTCGGTCACATAAGATAAATCCTGCAGAACAAGCCTTCCCGGCAGATTGGGGAACCTTTCACGGAAGGCCAGGAGATCTCTACCCCGGCCACCTCCTACATCGACGAGAAGAACATCAGAAGGGCTCTGGACCTGTAGCTTTTCCTCAACTGGGAAGAAATCTACCCAGCTCTTCTCATCGCGACGGTAGGGTGATGCCATGACTGTATCGAAGGCATTTTGGTAATAAGGCTTCGACGCCATGTAAGCAAAGAACCCCTGCTTAGACCCAGTAACAAAATTCCATGGGCAGTTTTCATGATCATCTGGATTTTTCCATCCTTTTTCTCTGAAATACTCAGGAAGCTGGGCGACGAAAAGGAACAAGTGAGTGCTGGATACGTTAGTTATATGTTTACTCTCAATGCACAGGGACAGAGATATTCACAAAAAGATTACCGCTCCAGACATCCAAGACGATGAAACATAGGCCGACGTGAATCGCGTGGATGCGAATGTATCAGGTGTATCTTGTTTAAGAATACCCAATGGAACAAGTGCCCTCATGATCCGTCCTATTTTTGTTAACACCGGACTACACGTAAAGGAGTGGAAGTGACAGATATTTACCAACTAGCTTTGGATCCGCTTTGACATCTTCGGAAACCTGAGCCACACGCACTTTGCCATCTTCACTTTCAGAAGCGCGCTGTGTGATTGCATCGAAAAGCTTGAGATCTACAGCTAGACGAACTGTGATGGCTTGGTGGCACTTGGAGCTCATTAGCTTAACCCACGTCTGAGCCATCAATCTTGGGGAGCTTGAAGAGTACCGTATAAAGCAGCTTGAGTGTCTTATCCAAAGGAGATTCACATTGATTCTTCAATCGATCGCAAGCTTGGGAGAGTTGAGCTAGCTGCTGCGGGTCAGCAGCCTCAAGGTTGCCGGAAGAAGTGACCAAATCAATGGACTTGATAAGCTGAGGAATATCCATGATTAAAATTTTGAGATGAAATCTCGAAAATTCTCATAGATCTAAGGAGAGAACGAGGCCTGGTTTTTTATAGAACATGAGATTAAAGCCTTAAAGAATAGCCTCGGAAGAGGTGGATGCATGTACATAGGATGTGGGGGTTTGCTCTACGTATCAACATGATAGAGCGCTTCAAGTGTGGACTCCGTATAGCATCTCCCAGATAGCGGGAAAAATAGGTCACTGCGTCACAAAATCGAAAAATAATCTTGCTCATGCATGAGGAATCGGCTGGATGCAGCATTTATTGAAGGCATTACTGCATACTGTACCCCGTGTCACAATTTGTTGGGATCTTGCGCGATCGTCATCCTGCAGCATATGATAAATCATTTCGATCGACTTTTCCCCTCGGCTTCTCTAAGCCTATAGATGCCGACCTATAGATGCCGACCGTATGTAGTATGGTGGAGCACGCACGGGGTACCCAATCGAAGACGTTACGGAGATTTCTCATCGTGGCTTCTTGTAGGTAGGATTATCGGTCCGCATGTGGGATGGACAGCTGAACTGTGGATCCGAGATGACCCCTCACCAAAACAATGTAGGTTGATTTCAAATGTTGCCGTACGCCAATTTCAACGCTAGTACTAACTCAAACTATGTATCTTTTTCTGTTGTTCACCGTCAATCCTAATATTCAGTATCATCTTCTTCCTAAGAAATGGTCTCAATATGATGATGAATTCTATGGGTCAATCCACTCCTGCATACGCTCGGTTCTGTGTGATCCAATAACAGGAACTGTCATGCACTCATTGCTAATTGAGTTTCTGAACTGCAACTAAATCTGTAGCATTGTGGCCAAGGTTTCACAGTGCAGCTTATATGTATACGAGCATATTCACGCTACATCCATATGTACCTAAGTGTTTATACATATCAAATTCGTCACTGATACATAATCCAAGAAGCAAGATCTGATATACACAAAGTATACTGGGCCGGTATATTACATATGTATCCTGAATAGACATGAACTTGGCAGCAGCCGGATGATCAGACCTGGAGTGACACCTACATAAGCTGTGCGGTGAGTAAATCAATGCATCAATGGTTACCTATTTAAAGCCTATTACGTAGGAAACCGGAGGTTGAGCCACCTATCCGCCTCAAGCTCCTTATCGAGCAAAATAGGCCGCACAGGGCCTTTCCATCCACCTGAACATCCCACTGCATCGTATTTACTGACACTTCGCTTGAGTGCGAAATTCATCGATTGCCAGGAATTGCTTCGACATGTCTTTCAATCTGAAAAACGGAATTTCAAAGTTTCAAAGTTTCGAACTCAGCTCGCCCTATATACTTTATGGACTCGTTCTCGGTGCTCTATGCTACTGGTGGAAAGCTACAGAGCTCAAGAATCCATCTGGGCTACCAGTCATTGGCAGAAGATGGTATGAGCTGGGTAATGGTAAAGCTAGACAGCGGTTCCGGGACGACTGTCTTGGCATTGTCAGGTCCTGCCTGAAAGAGGTCGGTGATATCTCAATTCTGATGATTGTGACTATCTAATTCTGAAAATATCTGTGAGCAGTACGGAGATGCGTTCTATCTGTATACCGATTCTAGGTATCGCTTGATTCTGTCTCCTAACTACGCGGACATGATCCGTAATGAAACGCGCCTGGATTTCAACACAGCGCTCGCAGATGTAGGCAAAGTCCCCTTCTGAAAAGACAAAGGCTGACGAGACACAAGAAACTTGTCAATGGTGTGCATGGCTTTGAGGCAATGGAGTCAATGACAAGCGAGACAAGAATTGTACGAGCCGTTACGAAGCATTCACTTACTCGCCATTTGGGTGAGTTCTTTCCCAACTCACTATTTTGAGGATCTCTAGCATTGCTTCAGAAACAAGTTCTAATATATCTCTTTAAAAGGGACCTTCGTTGAGCCGCTTAATGAAGAATCTGACTATGCACTTCGAGAGGTCTGGACTGATGATCCTGGTACGTACCACACCACTACCTCCCATTTTGGGATTGGGGCTGACAAGTCCACCAGATTTCCACGATGTCATGTTGAAAGACTGCGTATGGAAAATGTTTGGGCAAATAATGTCGAGGACTTTTATCAATGACAAAGACTTCTATCGAAACCCGGAGTGGGTACATGCGAGCTCGGAGTATGTCGAACTGTCAGCTTTGGCGGGATATGAACTTCGCGCCTTCCCAAAATGGGCAAAGAAATTTGCTGCGCCCTTTCTTCCGAGTTGTCGAAAGCTTCAATCACTTTTTGATCACATCAACACTTTGCTAGAGCCCTTGAAGGAGAAGCTACATGAGCAAAAGTTGGAAGTTGATCCTAAGAACCCCCTAAGCTTCTTAAATCAAAAGCTTGAAGGTCAACTAGATGAGCTTGGATCTACGTTAATTGCCCTCTGCCTAGTGTCATATGATGGAGGAGGCGAGTTATTTACTCATGTTCTTCACTCAGTTTGGCGGAACGGGCAACTGGTGAATGACCTCCGTTCTGAGATTGTGAATGTTGTTGGGAATGAAGGTTTCAACAAGAATACCTTGCAGAATCTAGTACTCATGGATAGTGTCCTGAAGGAGGCTCAGCGTATGCACCCTGAGTCCGTTCGTAAGTCCCACTCACCTACACTCCACGGATCCCATCTAATCTTTGATATTAGTTCAGTTGCAACGGATTGCTTTGGAGGAAGTTGTATTACCTGATGGACTGATAATACCCAAAGGAACCCCACTTTTGGTCTCCGGTTGCCATATGATTGACGCGTCCGTGTGGCCTGATGGTGACAAGTTCGATGGCTACCGATTCTTCAATCTGCGCCAGAAGGCAGATTCTTCTACAAGACAGGCATCATACAACTTTACATCAACATCTAAGGACCATTTCGGCTTCGGTCACGGATCACAAGCATGTCCGGGAAGATTCTTTGCGTCGTATATGCAGAAAATACTTCTCTGCCATGTGATCATGAAGTACGACGTTTTGGTCACTATACCGGAGGAGGGCGCATGGTTTCAACGTGGATCCACACATGTGGCCCATCCAGGCCTAAAGGCTCGTGTCAGGCGAAGGAAGGAGGAGATACAATTGTGATAAAAGCGTTCGCAATGGAGAAAGGCTCAGGTATCCCATTAGCCTGCTAGACTCTGTGCCTGGTTTATATGGCGCACTTATCATCTATTCCGGATTCAATTGATATGTTGCCCAATTGTTCTAGAATTCTGCCACTTCCCCGCAGTCCTTTTTTGTTGTTCTGGCACAAGTCGATACAAAATGGATTATTTTTCTGTTTTTCTGTATGCAGGCCAATTTCCGTCTCTTTACTTTTATTTGCTGTCTGTGAATTGCTCAGATATCGCTTACCGTCCATAATACTTACCACATCGTCATTGAACAGAAGGTCCAATAAGAGCAAGTGAAGCGAAAGTAGCGGTGAAGTGATATGCATAAAGAGTGGGCTCTGCACTGTCAACCTGTACTGCCGATACATCATATTTTCAAATTCTTTTTAGTAATACTATAGTTGACCGAGTACATACGTCACTCGTCCCAATAGATTATGGAATCTGTGTGGTCAGTGGGGCGAACCTGATTTAGAAAGATAGATACGAGACCACTGCTGAGATCAGCTCTGAGATTCGACGAGATTGACAAATCCCACAGTACTGTGCGGTAAGATAAATTTAGACCACTAGCAGACCGTTTGACCCGCATATGCACAATAAAGTTTGGCCAGTCATGATTTTTATCTAGCTAGGCCTTGGACTGCTCTACGCTAGAAGGTTGAAGGGAACAGGGAGTTCCGCGGAGAATCGCAGTTTCGACAGAATGAGGGACACGTACGTGCTCTACATCCGGCAAAGATTGATCGCTCAATAGAAGTTTGTCCCGAAACATCCCTTTTTGATTTTCAGTGAAAATGGGAGATGTCGTATAGTGATCCAAATTAGCATAGCTTACATTGTCAGGTTGATCCGAGGCTATATCTGGGCGCATGATAGAGTTGCTGACTGTCACCTTAATCCCAGATGACGTACCAGCCAGGATTGTTTATCATTTGGTGTCGTAACTTTTGGTACTATGCCTCATTCCGATCACCATGTAGTATGCCTATGCTACTGTCGTTAGAATATGATTCGCCTTGATCGAGTAGGAAGAGAAGACAATAACATGCCAGGTGTACCTGATTTGATCTTTGCCCATGAATATGGTAACAAGTTCGAACAAATATACGCTACGTCTCATCTTTAGCTTCAATAGCGTATGTAAGTAGTTCAGCCAGAAGCCTTTGTTGTTCTAAGATGATATTGTTTATTAGTGGCAGAGGGCAGGCCTCACAGAATATGATATATAGAGCTTAGATGAATGGAAGCGAGAACCCTTTTCTCATATTGCAGCAAGTCTTCATTGCCTAAAGTGATATCTCACATCCTAGCTGATAACTCAAGTCCTAAATGCTCGCGACAAAACTTCCTACTCTCCTCACTCACATCAAACCCATTGACCCACATTCTACCACCAGGCTCAAATGTGCTTTTACAAGCTGGATCAGGCACCGGCCTCTCCCTGATTATCTTCTCTCTAATCTTCTCGGGTCCAAGTTCAGCCAACTGCGACCGTTGCAGATCGCGAATAGCATTCCATTTAGCATCTCGCGCAATTTGACGTTCGCCATCCGGAAGGGTCATATCAACAGCATTGCCACAGCTGATGCTGCGCAAATGCTCCACACGAGCTTGTCTAAACTGGCTCCACACACCCATCACCTTGCTTAGATCCTCCTTCGACTTTAGAAATCCCAAGAACTCTGCCAGACTCGCTGTATCCTCAATCGCCATTCCCGCCCCCTGTGCAGCATGAGGAAGAAGAGCATGTGCTGCGTCCCCAACTAGCGCTACTCTTCCAGACGCACTAACATAGCTGGGAATAGGAGCCACCTCACCCAAGGTCCAGGAAACACATTCCCCTTCTTGAATCAGTGACGCCAACGCTTGCACCTCCTCACACCACTCTGAAACAAGCCCACGCATTGTCTCAATATCGGCAGGATGATTCCATGATCCAAGGGGTACCCCTTCGCTCGGTCGCGGGACACCAATAACAACATTATATAACTCGCTCGAGGCAACTGTATAAGCCAAAACGAATGCGCCAGGTCCCACCCAAGTTTTTGCTTCTGGAGAAGCCATAAATGGTGCAGTAATGGGATTAGAGAGCATCCGCGATCGGGGAATCACAGCGCGGTAATTATGTTCCCGATACGGGGTAGGAGCCACATCCTTCGACGCCGGTAAGCATCGTCTAGTCTTGGACCAGATCCCATCTGCTGCGACTGTGAGATCCGCCTCGATAGCCTCACCGTCTGCTGTATAGACTGTGCCGGTCTCGTGGTCCACGGACTTAACGGATTTTCCGAAAACAACGGACACGTTGGGTAGCTGTTTTACGCGCTCAAAGAGCACTTGCTGCAGGTCTGGTCGGTAAACCTGCCATTGGGGCCAGCCGTAGAGCCATGTGCTGGTAGGGTTATTCATGTTGAAGGACAATTCGGTGTTGTCTTCCCAGCGGCGAACGGACATGTGGGAGGATTGGAAGGCGACTTTTTCCAGAGATGGTGTTAGGCCCCATTTGTGTAGAATGCGGGTACTATTTGGGAAGAGTTGCAGTCCAGCGCCGAACTCGCTGAGGGAGGTGTTTGATTCCAGGACTGTAATCTGATGGTCGGGGTTTATGTCTGAGAGTGCTATTGCTGATGAAAGACCGGCCATGCCAGCACCGATGACGGTAATCTTCAATGGGATGCCCAATCCATTCGACGACATGTTGATTTGCGAAAGCTGAGCAGAATGAGTTTAGAGCCAAGTCCTGCTTTGCGGGAGGGTTGGGAAAGAGCGATATTATAATGTGGATGCTTAAGCTCTCCTACGAGCACCTCCTATCGGCACTAAGCAAATAGGGCCGATGGCTATCCAAAGGAGCCCATTCTGACGTGTATAAACAACCTATTATTTCATATCGCGTAGTACTGGTGGGAACCATGCATTCTTACCCACTACACGTGACCTGTGTAGTTCTGGCGCAATATGGTCGACCCTGGAATCGTGTGGGTCCTTGACAAATTGCTCCCCACCCATAACCATCCACTCTCAACTTCCCAGTCGTGTGTCGTGGACATCATCTAGTGGTCACACAAGATGCAGTGATAAACCGAGCTGTGCCAACTCATATGGATCAGCATGCATGTAGAGTCAGGACCTTAATCGCATTTCATGTTGGAAATACGTGGTTATGACGGCGAGTATTGGTCACGTCATTTCACTTTCTGCACGTCAGGGAACAGTGCGGATGCCGCCAATGGTAGTTTGAAGACCATGCATACTGAGTCATGAACAATATATTCGCTATTTGCTACCAGTCGCAGTGAGCTCCATGGCAGCAGATGTACTCCGTACCTGCGTGGGGGGTGTCGTTAGTACATCCGCAGGGGGATCGGCATGAGCTGGGTTTTACTTCCACATATTCGGCCTGGTTGAAAGCTCTGTAATTTGCATGTTCTACCGGTTTCAATTGGATGCCGTACCATTGCATTCTTCCTTTTTTTTTTTTCTTTCTTTTTTTAACCACCAATCATCAATCATTGAATATGGTGAAATGCGTATTGGCTATCATCCGACATAGACGGAATGTTTGACTGAACTGGGAAAGAGCATTGATCTCACGATCCTGTTGAAGATGTGATCGAGGGTTCCAGCCTGCATGATACGATACAGTACTTCCGATTACGGTAAGACCGATAATATCAAACATATACTGTGGGTTATGCGGGCGGGGTCTGACCGACACTGAATGGCTTCATTTGACCTATTTGGATGACTGCTGTATTTTCCTTTCACATCTTGTAATTATTGGGTCCTTGGCACTAGGGGCCAAATTGTCGATTTGAACGGGCGGAGCGCCTGGAAAGTCATTGCGCAACCATAACGGGCTAATGGAACTTTAATGAATGGATCAGATTGATTAATCGGCGACTAGTGACTTTCATACAGCGGGGATTTGTTCCATGCCACATGGTGGAGTTCTAAGTAGGCCAAGTGAAGTGCACTGACTTGTATTGAGCTTGTCATGCATTAGTTTCGCCACTAGTGACTTTGGTGCAACGGACAATCCCTCCAGAGTGGAGTCTTCATGGAGACCAAGCGAAGTGTACTTGCATGCAGCTTTTCATGCATTGATTCCGCGACCAACGCCCGTCCACCATATTTCTTCTGCATCTACAGTACATCCGAGCCTCGCACAAGGGCCTGGCCGATGCTGGTCCAGCCAGCCACCGCCTTGCGAAGAATTACCCCTCCATGCATAGTCGATGCATCACTTCAAGCTTGCAGACCGCCATTTCAATACTGACATTGTTGTTTCTCTCTTGGCGATCCAAACGAGATCATGCGTCCTATTATGACACAGGCATGCGGGGTCGAAGGATTTCTGTATTCCCGTGTGGTACATTTCCAGGGCATAAGACGTAACGTGTGATGCAACGCATTTCCTCGGGGATTGGTTGCTAATCCCCCTCAATCTTGCAGTGCGTCGTCTATAGTTTCGAGTAGCGTTGTCATATGCAGGCACAATCTGGGCAAATACAATTTATAACTGCAATTAATTACCAATTTTTGAGATACTGACACTGCATGGTTGTTGGTGTACTCACATGACTCCGTGTATAAGTGGAAACTCCAGACGTGGTGGATAGACAGTGATAAATTAGAGACAACACTGTGCAAGATTACTAGAAAGACCTTTCACTTCGAAAAAAGGGAAATACGAATTTGCTGCGACGAGTCTCCTTGACCATACGATCGTGACCAACATGGCGATTCAGGAATTTTCCAGTCTTTCTAGTCTGACTACGAAGACCGTGGCATCAATTGATGCATATAAAGCGGCCAAGACCGAAAAGGCCCGACATGATGCCCTTGAAGCTGCCACGCGTCTCGTAAGGGCTCTTGAAGAGCCTTCGGATGCGATTTACAAGTTATTCGCTTCGGTATGGCCTGAAATTCAACAACTTAGCTACCCCGTACTAATACTTGTAACCAAAGCCTGCTGTTCTCATGGCCATTAAGACCGCCAGTGATCTGGACATCTTCACTGCTTTATTTCAAACAACTTCTTCTGTCACTTATAAAGAGTTGGCTGCACGGAAGAACGCAGACGGCCAACTGGTTGGTCAGTATCAATAATATCCATATCCACCTTCTTGCACATGTTGACGCGTTTTAATAGAACGTATCATGCGTGTTCTTGTTTGCAACGGTTTTGCAAGTGAACTGGGTCCCGGTCAATATGGTCCTACTGATTTTTCAAGACAAATGACGGAGAGGAAAACGATTGGGACAATGGACTCACTGCAAGTATCCCGCTTACTTTCTCAAGCTCCGCAAGTACTGGTCATTTCAAGCTAACATCACCAATTCAGTTTCATGGACTTTTTACCCATCATTAACAAAACACCGGAGTTCTTCCAGAAGTCTGACTACAAGAATCCTGGAGACCCCAACAATGGGCCATTCCAACATGCCTATAACACGACTGGTACCTGCTGGGACTGGTTGGCGAAGAACCCAGGGGCATTAGATCGCTTTAATACGTTCATGGAGGGCGGCCGAGATGACATTGCTCACTGGGCTGACTGGTTTCCTGTTCAAGAGCAGTTACTAGATGGAGCTTTAGATGACCGCGCCCTGCTTGTTGATGTCGCCGGGGGTCGTGGTCATGATCTCGCCGGATTCAAGGAGAGATTTCCCATGGGAGCTGGAAAGCTTGTACTTGAGGATTTGCCTTCTGTCATCGAGGACATTCAAACGCTGGACAGCGATATTCAGAGAGTCAAACATGACATTTTCACGCCTCAGCCTGTCAAAGGTATGATCTGCTTCTATTCTGTTTCCGTTCTCGCACTTACTAACGAATAATGTAGGTGCTCGTGCATACTACTTCAAGCACATTATGCATGACTGGGATGACGATCACTGCCGGGTAATTCTGCAACATATCACCGCTGCTATGGAGACAGGATATTCCAAAGTCTTGATTGAGGATTACATCGTCCCTGACCAGAATGCGGGGCCAAAGGAGACTTTGACCGATATGATTGTCATGGTATGGTGTCCGGGAATTGAAAGGACTCGTCACAGATGGACGGAGCTTCTGCAATCAGTCGGGTTAACAATCAAGAAGTTTTGGGTGCCTCATGGGCACAACAAGGGCGTTATTGAGGCTGAGCTACGGTCTACAGGAGATGTCTGAGATGTCTGAGGGATGAGCCCCACTCCCATATGGCTTCATGCAGCTCAATATTAGCTTATCTAATTTCAACCCCATTTGTGACTCCTTCTCTCTTCCCTTTCCATGCGATATTGACTTCTCCTGCACTGGCGGCGTCACGTGTCGTCCTAAAAAGCCACCTTAATTGTCATCGCACAAAGATTTCAATTAGTCATTGATAGTCTTAGGAATAACTAGAAGTCGGACTGAAGATTTTGGACAGTAAGTTGCAAAACATAGGCAGCATGACAGCGTCTAACGTTATCTAGGCTTCTTGACATTACAAGATTTTCCAACACGCAGTATCTGTTTGTAAAGCCTCGGACAGTCATAATGCTAGCCCTCTCGCTTTGTTACAATAATCCTTTATACAAGCAGCGTGTATATAGAAGTGAAAATTACATTTCTAAGTAGTTTGGTCAAAAGCAGCAAAATGCCCACTGTATCAAGCGCCGCGACAATCCGGGTCTAGTACCACAGAGCCTTGTTCCAGTACGTGCTCTTCACATTGGCCAAGTCATCAGTCTGTGTGTACATAGTGGTGTTGAAGACCAGCTCGATGGCATCGCTGCCGTACTTGGGCCAGTGAAGTTTGTCGCTGGGCCACTTGGTGTTGGGGTTGCCGGTCAGGACAAAGGAAAGGAGATACTTCTGCATCTTGCGCTGTAGGTGAAGGAAACAAATTAGTATTTCATCTCTCGATCAAAGAAGGGGAAAGGGCTCATACAGAAACAGTGGAGCTGACGGAGGAGCTACTGCTGATGGTGACACCAGCGCCAGAGGCAGCACTGCTGCTGGAGCTTGAAGAAGAAAGGGAGTAGGTGCTGTACCCTGTTTATTAAGAGATTTGTTAGTTTCGGTCGTAGAACTGCCTTGAAACTTTGACTCCATTGGGGGTCTTACAGTAGTAGCTTTGGTCAGTACCGTGGGTGGCCTGCTCAAGAGCAACCATGGCGTTCCAAGTGTTGTTGTCGAGGGCGCGAGTCAGGGCATAGTCATGCGCAGTGAGATCAAAGGACTGTCTCATATCCGCGAAGCGATAGCCGGGGCTGCTGTAATCAGACGCAGGGAAGGCCTCCATGATCTCCTCGACAACATCGTCAGTGATAGCGGGGAAGAAGGCCCGGAGCTCAGCCTCTACGTCCGCAACGGTGCTGACGCCCGAAGTAGGTGAGCCGTTGTTCTCGTGCTGTTCGTGGGTGATGACCAAAGGACCGTCAAAGTTGAATCGGCCCTGGTAAAACTGCGATTCATAAGTGTCGGCAACGAAATCACCATCAACGCGGGGTTGGAACTGATAGCCATAGGCGTCGTAGACATCCGTAGCAGCATCAGTGAGGTTGGTGAAGGAAACGGCACGCATGCAAGTTAAGTCACCACCATCACAGCCAACTGCAGTGGAAACGTTCTGGTAGAAGACCTCGCCCTGGTGATGGCCAGCTCCAGGAACGAAGCCAGGAGAAGTGATATAAGCCTTGTTGAAGAGTTGTTCGTTGTGACCACCATAGCGAGTCATCATGAACAATGGCATACTGCCACCAGCGGAGAATCCGAAAGCAGTGATATCGTCGGGGTTACCACCAAACTTGCTGATGTACTTCTTCACCCACTTGTACGCATGCTCAACATCGTACAGGGCCACATTGTCAGTCGCACCCTGATGAGTGAGAGACACCGAGTTAGCAATACCGGTGATTCCCAGACGATAGTTGAAAGAGACAAAAATAAATTCCTTCGTCAGATCGAAGAGACCCTCCGGGGTGTTCTCCGACTTGGAACCGCCGGTGAACCCACCACCGTAAGTCCACACCATGACAGGCAACTTCTTGCCCTCAGAGTTGGCTGGAGCCCATACGTCCATGTAAAGACAATCTTCCTCCGAGGAGCAGTCGACATCGGCATCAGCATAGGTGGTACCATTGTTGATGCCAGACTCAGTAGAAGGCCATTGTGGTTTGGCGAAACGAAGGTCACCGGTCGGAACGGCAGCAAAGCGAATGTTCTGGTATTTGTAGTAACCAAGGGTCTCGTTTCCAGCAGCGGCTTGGAGGGTGGTGTAGTCAAGGGTCACGGTTGGCTTGCTTGATGTGGTCGACTTGGTGGACTTGGAAGCTGCCGCGGTGATGGTAGCTGCAAGTGGCAGCAAAAGAGTGGAGAATCGCATACTTCCACGCGTGGTCTAATAGCTCAAATGAATGACAAGGTGAATTTGGATTGATAGCCAAGGCATCAAGTCTGGGCGAGCCCATCTCTTAAATCCCATTGTTGATGTTACTGCCAAATCTACATCATCAAGACAGTGACGCGGCCTCTTCATACTACGTTCGGCCATTTAACCTTGAATAAACAAGGCGCGCCCGTTATATTTCCGAATAAAGCGGATTATTGAAGGAGATCTACGTTTGCCAAGTGCCAAGAGACCTCAAAATACGTATACAGTTCTATGGCGTGGGACGGCACAGACGGGTTCGGAGCTGCAGGGGAATCCTGTAATTTCGATGGCTATATATACCTGGGCAATAATGTCACGTCAGACCTTGTGAGTCCGAGATGTGAGAATGGAAGAACCGATGCCGTTTGACTAGAAACATGCTGCTTTGATGCATTACTGCTCACGAAACCCTTTTTAGGGGACACCCACGAGATTCTCTCGGCATTTACACAGCCTTGTTTCAGATAAGCCAATGATATTACTCTATTGGAGATATGTGGGGATGCGGCCCGTTTCAGAAGGCGGTTAAGTTCATACCCGAAGGACAGGCCTAAGGAGTACCCCATGAATGGATTGAAACAGACTAAATTAAACCGGCACTTGGAGCAATTTCAAAATCAACCGTCGGCAACAGCTTCTTCATAGGATTTCTCAAGCTATGTTTTGTACACCTTCTATGAATACCTTCGAAGGCCTGTAATCACGAGATCAGCCCTTGACTGGCAAACAACCATGGACAACTCGTTCACGGAACAACAATTGTCCCAGACTTGCATACATCGACGGTGCTGTCCCGTATAGTCTAACGCTGACCCTTTTTACTTTGCCGCGCCTTGGTGGCTAGTCCAAACCCCAGACCATGGTAGATGGTTTCCAATATCGTAATAAGACCACGCGTCATGTACTGCTCAAAGGTCTTCCGGTCTAACATCACGCGTCTGCCAATCTCCATATTTGCAAGCTAGGGAAAAGCTTGTGAGTCTTTCCCGCCCGATATGCCAATGTGCATACCAGCAAATATAGGGAAATAAACAGAAGCACTGAGGGTATGGTGGAAACAAGGGAGGCTTCTAGACGAGAAGGCAAGATCCTGAGATCATTCCAAGGATCTTAGCGGGGAAGCACAGCTTGACGTTAAGAGAGAAGAAGACATGCCGTTTCTGCCCCGGGACATATTGGTCGCCAAACAGACCGAGAGGAATACATCATAGCTGAAGCCCACGGTCACGAAAATTAGAATATGTGTGGCAATTCCAAATAAGTCAGCTTCGAGGTTCGTGATTCGGTGAGTCGTACCTGAGTTACTGCCTCTGATATGCAAAAGCAACAACTGCAGATCTTCGCCTAATTATGACGCCTAGCATGACTACCATTAGGGATCCGAGGCAATGCTCAAAGCACGCTTACCTACTAAATGTGTGGCACGACATGTTCAGCTCGTGCTATTTCTCCTTTTCGACCTTCTACCACGCACAAACTGTGGTCCCTGTTGACGTTGGTCGACCATAGCTGTTATGCTATGTAATGGCAAGATGATCTCTGTGTGACCGTCGATCGCGCTAGATAGACGCCGATCTGTCCTACCCAATAGTCAATAATGTCTATTTGACTTTAGGAGCTTGAGGTACATCTTCATCATACACGCGCTGAATATGTGGTGACTAATAGTATTACTGCGAATTGCAGTCTCCGCTGGTACAGGTTACTCAAAGGTCTCCAGCCAAGGGGTAAAATAAGCAATGAAGCCAATACATGTCCCGAAGTTGCGAATGTCTATTGGTCCAGTATTCAAGTAAAAAAAGTGATGAGGGCATTGTTTGCAACTGGTTGGTCAATTTGGTCGACGATGTTCATCTCTGTGTCACGATAACTACGTATACTGTTCCTGAGTGGAAAGTCAATGCGTGAGACTCTTGCGCAGATTAATTGGCTTCTTTACTTGCACGTTCGGTAGATAAATAGGGCTCAGTATCTCACATAGTTTCCTACTCATCAATGAATCTTGATATCGTCTTTTCTCCTCTCCCAATAGATCCTCCAATCTCGTTGCCTGATACAATGACTGAAAACTCCCCTCTCGACCATGCTGCGGGCTTCGGTCTGCGCGAAGGAAAGGGCTACCTCCTTGACTCCGGTCACGCAGGAAGCCAACGGCTGAACTACCAGTACCTTATCTGGAAGCAGTGCCTCAACTACAGTCTGCATCCCACCATCCGAGAGGCAGTCGGGGACCACCCACGCATTGCCGACATCACCGCGGGAACAGGCCTCTGGCTCCTTGACGCAGCACACGAGTTCCCCGGTGCCATCCTCGATGGTATCGACATCAACCTCGAGCGACTTCCACCAGCCGCCTGGCGCCCCAGCAACATCCACCGTCTCTACAACTGGAATATCTTTGACGAGGTCCCGTCCGAGCTCGAGGAGAAGTATGATGTTATCCACCTGCGTCTCCTCCTCCTTACCATCGCGAACAGTGATCCGGCACCCGTGATCAAGAATGTCATTAAGCTGCTCAAGCCCGGCGGCTGGATCCAGTGGGACGATCTGAGCACCGCACACACCTATGTTGAAAAGACCGATGAGAAGCTTCCCACCGTGGCGCTCGACAAGATCAGGGAGTTTGTGCACTCCGGTGGTCGCCATGACTGGGTGTTTGATCTGCCCTTGCATCTGCTCAAGCATGGATTTGAGGAGAGCCAGTTGACATTTTATCATGGACGACCGGACTTGATTTGCCATGATACTGAGATTCATTTGATGACGATCAAGGAGTTCAATGGTCATATGAAGACCGAAGGACGGGAGGAAGAGGCGAAGCATATTGATGATCTTGTCGAAGATGCATATGCAGAGGCCCAGAAAGGTGCTGGGGTTACCACCCCCCGGGTCGTGTGTGTTGCTAGGAAGAGACCGGTTCCCTATGCTGTGCGCGAGGCACTTTTCTTTTCTTGAATTTGTGTCTAGTCTATTTGTGTCACACATCCAGGAATTGTTTTGGATGTTGTATACATAGACATGATTTCGGGACGGCATATAGTCTAGAAAATAATAAACAAATTGTCATCGAATGTCTTCATTCATTTTAATTAACGCATTTGTCTGTACATGCCTGCTTCCAAACTCAGAAAGGGATAATGCTCTGAGGAAAATCAAAAATCAAAAAGATATGGTCCCAGAGAAACCTCGACTTTGGCGTTATTAGCACCACACTCTAACCAACTGAGTTATGGAACCGATTGGTAGTCTCTACGTCTAAAGTAATGCCTTTGAACCCGCAACAAAAGGAACAATGTTTGACAATATGACGTCACTGCCGAGTGGAACTGCCGATTCCGCGATTCCGTGTAGCAGTACCCGGTTGAACCGAAGCACAGTTAAGAGCAAGCAATTGTGTTTCTCCCAAGGTCCTTTCTTCGAAGCATTTTGATTCGTGAAATTAGAAAGCATTATCCAATATGTCTTATACCGGCCATTGCAACTGCGAAAGCATTCACGTGACGCTGCCCGAGCAGCCTCCTAAGACTGGCGTTTGTCATTGGTGAGTCTTCGTCTACCCCTGTTCCGCCGTGCAGATTAATTAAAGTGTAAATCCAGTTCAAACTGCAAGCGAGTTGGTGGTGGTAAGTTCGCATTGAAGGCTCTATTTGGCTAAGATATTTACTTGGGATTTTTACCTGCAGCCTTCTCGGTCAACTACTTTGTCCCCGAGGATGATTTGACCATTGATGATCCGAACAATACGTTGAAGATTTTCGTGGATTCCAAGACTGCGAGCGGAAATGTGATCCAGGTATTTTGATATGTTTTTCTACGAATTAGATGCATACTAATTCAGTTACTCCGAAGCGCAACTTTTGTTCGAATTGTGGAAGGTAGGTTTTTATTCCCCGTCACCGAGCATACTACCAGTACTAATTGGACCAGTGCTATCTTCACTAAAAGCCCGAAGGCCCCGGGGAAGGTCTTTCTCAAGGCGACTTTGTTCGACACAATTTCTCCTAAGGGTGGAGAGGTTTTCGGTGAACACCGACTGGAGCTGTGAAAACACTTTGCTAGCCGCATTAAATATATCTTGCTCAACACGGACCCTCAACCTTAACAATTGAATGACCCATAGATATAAATGGCACAAGACAAGTAATTAGATTAGTAGTAAATTGAAAGCAATGTTCCAGGTCGAGAATAACACTACAGATATTCATGCAAAGCTGAAAGCAAGGTAAAATGCAGTTAATGAGCTACAATTTGGTCAGCGCTGCTTTTGGCCGATGAACGCCAAGAGTAGCGGTCCATCGGGATTAAGGCTGTGCTATAACGCCCGATATCAGGGAACAGAATCCTTCCCAGGTTAACGGGGCAATCCGACTCCACTTCCGAGTGAATAGGGTCCATGAATTTAGTGCCTACAGGGGAAAGGAAAATTTTATAAATCCACGACTTCGCTTTATGTTTGGTTTTGCCCCTCTTGCTATACCTCCCCTGCGAATGCAAATCTGCGACCGTTAGTTTACTCACAGCGCGAATGTCTACTCTCGAAGAAGCCACTGCCATCAGACACACTCTGTCAGAGTATCACGTCTACCACGAAGGCGATGAACACGTCTGCCTCACGCCATTCCTAGATCTCACCAAGGAGTTCGGATACAAAAAAAGGCACCACAAATGGCAAGCAGATGATTACGCCTCCCGTCACCGACGATGCAACGAATCAAACAGCTATTATATCCATCGCCCGGTCCTGGCTTTCCACGATCCACCACGCACATTACTAAGGGGCAGTCATAAGCTCGGAAAACCGATCTGCATCATTAACAGCTCAGCTTTTTGGCGTGATTGGAATATTCAGTTCGTTCCCCAGCTGGAGAACGTTATTGATCGCCGCGGTGTGGTTAAGTGGGAACGTCGCACGAGACTGGATAACAGCACTGCTAATGACGATCGCGTATTGAAAGGGTATAAGGTGCGATCGTGGCGGGTTTGGGGTGAATCAGGAGGCGCATATCATCGGAGTGTGAACGCGCGAAGGAAAGCCCTACGGGAGGAAGGGAAGGAGGAGAACATTCCATTTGATCCTGCTATGGCAGATGAAACGGTACATTTAAAATGGACTTCGTCGCTTAGGAATGTCCGACGATATCATTTCACATATGCCGGTATTACCTTCTTTTGGGAGGGGACTCGTGACCTACCTGGGGATGTTTGGTCTAGACGCCTGATGCCGCTAAATCACTTGAAACTTATCGCACAGATTCCTGGGAGAGAAAAGGTATTTCTGGCTCATTACAAGTCTAATTTCTCCTCTAAGAAATTCGGACGGTTGTTGGTCTTCGATTCTGCGATTTCGAGGCTTCTTGAGGAGTCGGGTAATACCGCCTTGCGCACGAGCCAAGATGATGGGGAGAACCCTTTCGTGGCTGAGCATAAACAGCCAGAATCGGATACGAAGAATACTAGACTTTACGATTTGGTCATAGCGACATCTATGTGTATGGTTATTGGTGAATGGCAGAAGCGATTAACGGCCTGGTTCATCGTGGTGATGATTTTGCAGACTGGAAATGGTATGACGATTGCAGGTGGAGGGGCCTAGACGAAATACTTGGAATAATCGTATGCCAAGGTCTATCGATGTCAATAAACAAGCTCTAATTGTATGAAGTAAGCATTGCCAAGGCGCTTCCTCCTTTTCACGGGGAAGTTTAACATAGCCGATTGATAGGCAGTCATCGGACTTTCACCGAGTCGATCTTCAAGTCGGGGTTCTAGCCGTCCCTTGATAATTTGAAGTCCGGTTAAATGCATAGGATCAGTTGCTAAAAAATTACCAATTCTGGGTGAGTAGTTCTAGCGTGAAGGCTCGTTTGTGGGTACCCAGTATGTAATGGGTATAATGAATAAACTCGAGTAGTCTGCCAATACTAAGAAACTGCTTGGCTTCCAGGTTATCATATACATCATTAAAGAGATAAAAAGAATAAAGGCCATCAAGATTGCATCACGCGGCCTCCAACTCAAGACGGTCGGCCTTGTGTTCAGAGCTCAGGGTCTCCTGCTTCTCCGCTCGCAATGCTGCCCTTTCCTGCAACTGCCTCTCAATACCTGCAACAAAATCTTTGTCCATTGAATCTTTAACGACACGCCAAAGAGAGGGTCGCTTTCCATCCCGGTCGGCGAAGAAGAGATCCACTGCTTCAAGAGGCATCTTACTGGTCTCGGGGAAAGTGAAATAGACAAGTGGCACGGTTGCAAAGTTTATGATCGCAAATACCACGTAGCATTTGTACCCGATATTGGTGATCATGACGGGCGTGATCTCAACAACCAGAAATGTAAATAGCCATTGAGAGACGACGGCCAGGGCAGCACCTCGCAATCTTAGCTTGAGCGGAAGAATTTCGCTGGGATAAATCCACATATTCGATTGCCATCCCAGGGTGAAAAAGCTCTGAAAGAGGTATAACACCACAGCGGCGCCGTATCCAAGTTTCTCCCCGCCGATGCCAATAAAGATAGCCGAAAGGGTCATGCAAACACCCATTCCAGCAGACCCGATCATGAAGAGAGGACGTCGCCCGAAATGCTCGATAGCCCACCAGGGAAACAAGCTGCTGAGAAAATACCACACCTGCAGACCACCTGAGACGAGCAACGCATTGTGTCGAGACATACCAATCGAGTCCTCAAAGACATACGGACCAAGCGACGACATGACATTGCAGCCCGACATCTGCTGAAAGAAGTTCGCCGCAAACCCGATGGCCATTCGCGAAAACCCGCTGATCCCGTTATCCTTGAATATATCACCCCAAGATCCCTGTTCCTCTGCTTCAACCGAAAGAGCAAATTGAATCTCCTTCAACTCCTCCACAACGGCAGGGTCATCTGGGAATCCAGCACGAAGTGCCGCGAGAGAGATTCTCCCATTCGCCATGTCACCCTTCGCACATAGATAACGCGGTGACTCTGGTAGAAACGGCATACACACAAGCGTAATGCAGCAAAACAAAATCTGGAACGCACAGGGAAACCGCCACTGCACAGATCCAGAATAAGACTCCATCCCATAGTCAAGCCAGTTCGCGAGGATCAACCCGACAATCAGGTTCGACAATTGCATAGCCATCATCCGACCCCGGGATTCAGGCATACTGCATTCAGACAGCCAGATGGGAATAACAGTAGTCATGATACCAAGCCCAAACCCAGCAACAACCCGACCGACAAGAAACTGGGGAAGACTGAATGTAGTCGCTTGGAGAATCGCTCCGATCGAGACAATCACCGCTCCAGCCATATTGTTCGGCTTGCGTCCGAACCGATCACCCATAAAGAATTGGAATAGAGCGCCGAGCAAAGCACCGACTTCGTAGGAGGACACGAGGAATGCTAGTAGTGATGCTTCGGGATCTCCGAAGACCGCCAGGAATTCAGGCGAAGTAGTGAGTCCACCCATAAATCCGAGGTCGTAGCCGAAAAGAAGAAATCCTATCGAACATGTGAATGTCACGGCATAAATGAGGTTTTGGCCTTTAAGGCCGACGAATGTCGGTGATTGTGTTGACGGTGACATCTTGTCGATTCCTGGGGGAGGCAATTGGCGACCTTGGGAATAAGACCTGCAGCCTGGATTTGAGCTTTCCCCGTCTTTTGTAGTTGAATTCCCCACAAGTCGTGGGGTAAAATTGGGGTGTGAATGAAGATCCGGCTATAACCCCAGGTCGGCACATGTCCGAGTCGTGGTCCACTCTGTGTAACCTATCAGTTACAACTCCTCCAAGGCTGATCTTTGTTGTTTACGTGGTGATTGCCCTCCCCTTGCCTTATTTGCTCAAGTTTGAGACCAGGATACACGCCTGATAGGTTCATTAGTTGCCCGTACCCAACAAAAAGCAGGTTATTTGTGGTGTGGTGTGTTTCCCCTCATGCACAAACCCGACATAAGAATAGACTTTTTCCAGAAGGACGACGTAAGAAAATAAGTGCATGAAGGTAATACAACTAATGTACCCGTTGGGTAGGGCAATGTCCACTGTAATCCTTATTCTTCATAAGGCTTGCTTCGATCTTATCCCACTTCCTGACCACACGCGCCCTTTGTTCTGGGGTTGATGCACGCATATCTTCGTGTCCTTGGGCGATGCGAGATAGGATGATCTGACATTCTTGGTTCTTGCCGAGTGACTTTAGAAGCCTTCGTCGTAGACCAGTCAGAGGGTAGCCAGCCAGTCCCCACAAGGCTAATAAATGTTGTCAGTTTCGCACAATTATGTCGAAAGAAGCAGATCATTAGGCATACCTGCTGGGGGCTTCAGGAAAACTCCACCGATACCCTTTCCGATGCCTTTAAACATCCCCTTTGCGCCATGGTCTCTGTAGCCATGTTGAGGCTGAGTGACTAAACCTGTGAGGCCGTCGTACCACCCGTAGCGGAATTCCTGTTAAGTGTCAATAAGATTTCTTAGGTGACCATATGGTGATAGTTTAACGAACCGTTCCAGCTGCCCTCAGGCCACTGCGAAGCCCCTTAACCTTTGGTGTAGATCTCACCATCGGATCATGGTACAGCTTCGGCGCATTGTGAAAGCCCTTAGAAAGACTGAGCGACACATCGGTGGGAAGCCATATAATAAGGTTAACAAACTTCATAGACATTCTTCGCCCATGATTCGCAGCCTCACGGAGACTACTGTTCGCTTGCGCAATTGCAATTTGTTCACCCATGGTTTGTGTCTTCTCCAACTCCAGACTATGGTTTCTTTCGAGCTCGGATTCGGGAAATAGAGCGTCCTCGCCGAATTGGTTATCCCAATCTTCCATCATGCCATCATCTTCATGATCGTCTGCCACTTCCGCCCCTTCATCGCTCGAGTCAGGAAGCTGGTTCTGCTCTTGGTGGGCTTCAGCCACTGCATGGTCCGAAGAAGACGGATCACTGGCAAGCTCATCTTCATTTTGAGGTCTTTGGTCCCATTTTCTTTTGAACTTGGGCTTCGTATGGGCATGTCCTATCGCTCGACCGGCTGAAACGAGGTCTTGCATCACATCTACTGGTACATCTGCCAGTCCCGTGACGAAACCGGAGATCGCCCCAAACAGAACTTGGGCGGAAGCGCTGAGTGGACCGATGGGATCCCTGTATGTATCGTATTCCATGGCCCGGCTCCTATGAAATAATCAGTAAGTGGCTTGATGGATAGTCGTCGTGCGCGGTAAACTCACAGCACCAGATCTTCGGGTTTTAATCTCCCCATCTCTACCAGAACGGCGGCTGCGAATGCGCTAAATCCCAATTGTGTGCGTTTCAGATGCCACACTGCGGGATGAATGGGGCATACACAACACCGCAATGACCTCAAGTTCAATTGGCGGTGAAAACTCCGAACTCCATCGCGCACCCCATTTTCCTGTTTCATCTTCTGTGCTATAGCCTGTGCCTTGACTTGGGTCTCTTCCTTCAGCGCCATCTCAATCGCATCTTTCAATTTGTCCGCCGTGAGGTGTTTGTGCGGAATCGGACGTGGCCCAGCCCCGGCACGTGCAACAATCCCTCCCCAGAACTCCTGGTCTCCAAAGAACGGTATGATGATAGTTGGACGTGCGAGTGCGAGTCCGGCGGCAGTTGTGCCTGCGCCGCCGTGGTGAATCACGCATGAAACGTGTCGGAATAGCCAGTCGTGGGGACAGCTGCCGATGAGGAGAATGTTTTCGGGAATGTCCACTTCATCGACGCCGAGATTTCCCCAGCCTTTTGAGATAATTGCCCGTTGCCCTGACATCTTCACGGCCTCGAATATCATTTTAGTTAATTTGGTCTGGTCGTCCACCACAATGGAACCGAAACCAACGTATATTGGTGTTGGTCCTGCTTTAAGAAATGCGTCAATCTCGGCTGTGGGTTTATAGTCGGACTCTGATGGGAGGAAACTAAATCCACAGATATCGATATTTTCGCCCCAATCGATTGGTTTGGGTAATACTGCTGGCGACCTACGAGGTATCACTGTTAGTAACACTGTACCAAAGGGTCTGAAATTCTTGATCTCCGTACCAAAGATATGAGCAAGGTATTTGCAGTCTGTGAATTAAGCTCGGCGCGGTGATGTGGTCCAGCGCATCGAGAGCCAAGCTTTTCTTCCGGAAGGTATTTACTAAATCACCGAGTCCCTCCCATACCATCATATCAACGACAGCATAAGAGACAAAGTTGGCGACGGTCGGCTTGCAGTTCTGCTGGTGGAGGATAGCCAGAGGGTGGGGAAAGGACTGTGTGGGTGACCATGGCATGCTGCGAAAGTTAGCGGAGTCCCGACAAATCGATACTGTCTATATTTTATAGGCATGACGTACGTAAACATGATATGGAGTGGTACTCCAAGCCTCTGCGCACAGTGAATATGTGCTAGACTGGGCGGATTGGCAATAATCGCATCAGCCACAAAAGGCCGTCGGCGGTAGTCCGTCGTATCACCCCAAAGATCATTTTTGATCTGATGCAAGTCAGTCCCATCACCCATTTCATAGCACGATCTCCAGCATCCGTGAATTATTTCCTTCATCTCCCGTCGTCGCTTTTGAATCGCACCACTCCGAATTGTTTTAAGGCCCGGAAGTAGACCAGGGTTCTTGACCATAAACGCCATGAGCTCAGCTGGGTCTCCGCCGATGTTGAAAAACTCTAGTCCGCCTTCGAGAACGAACTCGCGGAATGCGAAGTGAGTTGCCAGTCGCACACGGTGTCCGTGTGCTTTGAGTTCCTTGCCCAGTGCGACGAACGGCTGGATATCTCCACGTGAACCTATGACTTGGATGACGACGTTCATGACCAGTGGGAAGTTTTTCCCATCTCGTACAGCACGACTGCAGGTGCTAGCTGTATCTTTCGCTTGATCACATTCTGATTGCATTGGGGTGGCCTGCAGTCGATTCAGCAGTCCAGCTAGGTTTGGTCTATGCTCTTTGATGCGAATATCGAGCCGGCCATCACCTGTTCGAACAGACCGAGGTTAGTCACTGTTAAGGCAAATTCGATGATTTTCTTGATCGCGAACCTAGCACCCGGACCCCTGTATTGAGTCCATCACCGTTGAATCGTATCCGATCATTGTATTCTGACAGTGTGTCGCTAGTATCTTCAGTCCAGTCGCTGGATTGGGCTGACCTCTGTTGGCTGGATTCAGCTTCTTCGGTAGCTGATGTTACAGAGGACATGGTAGGCGGGAGATCGACAAGGGTGGCTTAGGTTTGACTTCTGCAGGAATGTGCATGTGCTGATGCGACCATACAAATGGTCACTACCAAGACGATAAGCTCAGGGTGAAATATCCTGCCGGCGTAACAATAGTTGATTTCCTACTGGAGAAAGTTCCTCGGTTCATCGTGGACAAAATAGCTTGCAGTCAATGATGTCACAAGGATCCGGCTCCCTCGGCCTGATCGACCCACCTGGCCCACCCAACTCCATGGTTGATCAGCCTTGTGACCGTGATGAACTCGATCAGAACTTATTACTACTGGAAGTTATATTAATGAGAAAAAAAGGGAATTAGCAGTGGATTGGTATAGGGCCTGGCAAGTAGGTCACTCTACTTACCATATATATTTGCGCTTTTAAGTGCGGCTTTCCGATCTTGCCGCCGCTTTTCTGAGCGCGCTCAGAGTCAGCCTCACTGAGTAGATCTCACTCCAAGCTCAGACTCAGCGAGCCTGATTGGCTGTTCACTGATCCTTCACTGATGATACATTAAAACTTAATAGGCATAATAAAGTAAGGAAGAAAAAGAAAATTAGGAAGATTGGATCAAGCTCAAATAGAAAAAAAGTGACAGGAAGAAAGCCAGGGTAGACAATCTTCCCAGCTCACAGTTGACATTAAGCGAATGCCATTATCAATCATACCGAAACCGAATGAAAGTTGATCTCTAGCTGAATGATATCTTGCCAACAAGGTGGCCTAACTTGCGCCCGAGGCAACATGGACCTCAACAGACCCCGCAGTATTGTCCTGCTTGATGTAAATGAGGTCTAAAACATTATCCTTGTTCCAGTCGTACATCATCCAGGTTCCATTGTTCTCAACCGAGAAGGTGGTGTGAACACTCTGGACGATGGTCTGATAACCAGAAGCACCCGAGGCAACATTCACTTCGACATAACCAGAGGCTGTGTTAATGTTCTGGATGAAAAACAGATCATATGTTCCATCCAGACCATAATCAGCCAGAAGCCAAGTACCATCGTTGCTAATAGAGAGACTCGATTCGGTCTTGCTAACTAGCGTGCCATATTGTGAAGCTCCTGACGCGACATAGACCTCAGCGTAGTTGGAGGCCGTGTTGCTATCCTTGATGTAAACGAGATCAAGAGTATCATCGCCGTTGAGATCGAGCATCTGCCAGCGGCCGTCGACCTGCACATCGAACACCGTCTGAACATTCTCCACGAGATAAGATTGGAAGTTTGCTGCACCAGAAGCGACGGTGATCTCCACCTTGCCAGAGTCGGTGTTTCGGTTCTGGATGTAGATCAAATCGAGTGTTCCATCGTTATTGTAATCGGCCAATTCCCACACTCCGTTGTCCTGCTCGGTGAAAGCAGTGGTGTCGTCGATATAAATGGTTCTGTAATTTGTCGGGGTAATCTGTACTTCGACGTTGCCAGAGCTTGTTCCGATGGTTTGGATGTAGGCGAGACCAGCGACAGTGCTATAGACTACACCAGTGGAGTATTTGTACTGGTAGGGAACCATCTGCCAGGTGCCATATTCAGCGGGTGCTGGGAAAACAGTACCAACTTCTTGAACACGACTCTGATACACAGAGGCTGTAGCACCACGAATCTGCCATGCCGTTTGGCACAAGGCCAAAAGATAGGTCCGTATATGCATGGTGAGGTAAAAAGAGAGTTGGGTAAAAATGAGTGAATGGTCTTGCGAGGACGCAGAGACAGGTGGTAAAGGAAGTTGATGTCGGAAGCACGACTTATCAAGAAGTAATTGTTTCCTGCTTTTCACATTCTCACACTTCCCTAGTGCCTGTACATTAGGGGTAAAAGTTTTCACAGTATTTCTTGTCGCGTCCTGCCAAAGCTCGTGTGAGCCAGTCGGTTCTCATCACCCGATAAACCTCGCATCTACAAATGGAAGATGTGGCGTGAGTGGAGAATGAATAGTCCACAGCTCGCTCAACGGACGCCGTCGACTAGACTATGCCAATTTTACTCTATTCATCGCATTTTCATCGTATTTCTACCGTTTAATGGCAAATCCCCCTCGCACTAGGAAGTTCCTTATTATTACCAGGATCAATAATGACCAATTGGATTGACTGAGACGGCTTTAGACAATCGTCTCCTTTAGAGCAAAGTCATAACGAGCGGAGGCGACCAAAAATCCTCGTCTCCATGTGGGGAAAAGAAAATTCTATGGGCGCAGAAGAAGCAAAAAGACCGAGGAAGAAAGGTGACGGTATGTCCGTCAGCTAGCGTCAGGGGAAGTGGGACGGTATCCGAGAATAACGATTGTGCCCTGCTATGGGAAAATTTCACCGATCCTGCAACCTTCAAAGATAGTGTTTTATTTTTATTCTGGTCACTAAAAATGTCATAGGGTCTTCCCAGGGTCTTGCCAGGGTCTGCCCACGGCTATTTTACCTTGTTATGACGCTGGTATCTCCGACGTCTCCCGCTTAGGCTCCACTTCTAGAGGGACGTGGCCAATAGATATCAAATGCCGAGCATAGCCTCGGACGCCAAGAGACCGCCCCATATTTACGAGTGCTTCTTTGCATCTTTTTCTTGCCCCAAAACAATAGTAGCAAGCCAGTAGGTTAAGCGAGAGACATTCGCGGGACTTCCGAGGCTACACGAGTAGAAGCTCGTCCCCCATTGGCCCATATCAAGCAATTTCTGTTGACCACAACCACTTCAGCTCGTTATGTGTCCTGTTTTTTTTTCGTTGGATGGAGGTTTGCCTTTCTCGGGAGAGGACGGGCAGGGGTAAGACATTGCCTTTGAGTGAAAAGTAACGGGTAGTCCAAGCAGCAAATGGCATGGCGTAACGAGAAGAAGCTATGGCACCGCCACGTCACCTTAATAGAGTTCAGTCTGCCAGGGCCCGGATCCAGGAACAGGAAAGTTTAACGACTTAGGGTATGCGGTTCTCCATACTTTCGATCTGGGTAAGATGAAAACAAGATCTTAGTGCCAAATGAAATTATTTGTCATCTGGCCTTCGTCGATCCTAGCAGGTCCAGGAAAGCACTTATCTCTATTGACACATGGACAATCTACGCGACTCGTAGTAATCCACAGGAAAGCCTCTAGGGCTCAGAAAATCATTGAGGGCCCCGCGAGGAAAACTTTCCACGAGAAGTGAAGTTCCAAGGGGTCCTCTTCGCTCGGTTGTTTTTGCCATGGACAGGAGTTCTTTTTCCAGTGGGGACATGTACGGTCTCTTCTAGGGTCTCAGGGACGTTCTCAGGGACGTTCAAAGCCGAGCGCGGATTGTCCAAGCTTCCACTAAGCAAGTGTGGACTCCACCGCCAGCTGAATGCACATACTGCGATTGTGTGATGGGACTATACCTGATTTGTGTCCTCGCTGGTTTAGGCCATTTTCTTCTCTCCGTCTGCCCTTTTAATCAGCCCTCATGTTCTTGGCGTCGATCGGAGTAGCCGAGAATTAGCCTCTCGGCCTTTTCTACCAGTTCTAAAATCGGTTCCTTTAAAAGTGGAGAATACGTTTATAACTTGACACCCTGTGTATGTATGGGTCTCTGTCGCCCCTGGGGGCTTGCACTATTCAGCCACATAATGCTCCATGGATACTCTTCCACAACCTAATCAGGATTTAGAGAAAGGCGACAATTGAAAAAACAAACAAAGGAAATGAAATGCCCCTCTCTAGTTCAGCCAGCCGATAGGAGCGTTAGTCTAGGCGAAGAAATCTCCGGAGTCGGCAAGAAGACTCCCCACATAGTTAATCTTTAAAAGAATCATAGCAGAACTACAAAATGTTCTGAGAAACACTTCTAGTCACTCCTGTTGGCGGTTTTCCTACACTCTTTCACGAGAGGTTTCCCTCTCATTTCTTTCATTAATTGCATTGGTTTCTCCCCCCTAACCGCCAAGCATGCGGTTTACACGCTCTTTTTTAACGAGCACTTTGCTCCTGGCAAGTGTTTCGACCGCTAATGCTGTCCGCACCGTGACCCAAACCAATTGGCATACCGTGTGCCCCTGCAGTACCGCTCTTTTATCCTCCCCCACTACCCCTAGCCTCTTGGAATCCAACCACGGACAATCTGGAGATTCTACCAACACGTCCGGCAAAGACTCTGGATCAAGCTCGGGCTCTGAATCAGACTCGAGCTCAATTTCGGGCTCGGACTCGGGTTCTGGAAATAGCAATGGCTCCGGCTCAGAACAGCAGTATACTACTTCAACTGTATTCGCCACCAATGTCCACACTGTGACTGCTTGCCCGCCTTCTGTTACGGATTGCCCAGCCACAGCAAAAACCACTTACGTGACCACCGAGACTATCATTGACTATACCACTGTCTGCCCTGTTACTGAGTCTGCTACACAGGCCGTTGCTGCCACCGATATTGGTGAAGCTTCGCCCACAAAGACAGCTGCTAGTGTTGGTAATGATCAGTACACCACCTCCACTGTCTTTACCACTAGTGTGCATACTATGACCGCCTGCCCGTCCTCTGTTAAGAACTGCCCAGCGTCTGAGAAGACCACTTACGTTACTACCGAGACTATCATTGACTATACCACTGTCTGCCCTGTCACTGAATCTGCTACACAGGCCGTTGCTGCCACTGATATTGGTGAAGCTTCGCCCACCAAGACGGCTACTAGTATTGATAATGATCAGTACACCACCTCTACGGTCTTTACCACCAGCGTGCATACTGTGACCGCCTGCCCGTCCTCTGTTAAGAACTGCCCGGCATCTGAGAGGACTACATACGTGACCACCGATACTATTATTGATTACACGACTATTTGTCCGGTAACTGCTACTGAAACTGGCTCCAGCTCTGGTGCTACGCCAACTAGCTCTACTTCCACCTCTGGGTCCGGTTCTGGCCACGAGTCTGGTTCTGGCTCTGGCAACCACTCTGGCTCCGGCTCTGGCAACCACTCTGGCTCCGGCTCCGGCAATCAATCTGGTTCTGGCTCTGGTGACCACTCTGGCTCCGGCTCTGGCCACGAGTCTGGCTCCGGCTCCGGCAACCAATCTGGTTCTGGCTCTGATGACCACTCTGGCTCCGGTTCTGGCCAAGAGTCTGGCTCCGGCTCTGGCAATCAATCTGGTTCTGGCTCTGGCAACCACTCTGGCTCCGGCTCTGGCAACCACTCTGGTTCTGGCTCTGGCAACCACTCTGGCTCCGGCTCCGGCTCTGGCAATCATTCTGGCTCCGGCTCTGGCAACCACTCTGGTTCTGGCTCTGGCAACCACTCTGGCTCCGGCTCTGGCAATCAATCTGGCTCTGGCTCCGGCTCTGGCAATCATTCTGGCTCTGGCTCCGGCTCTGGCAATCATTCTGGCTCCGGCTCTGGCAACCACTCTGGTTCTGGCTCTGGCAACCACTCTGGCTCCAGCTCTGGCAACCACTCTGGTTCTGGCTCTGGCAACCACTCTGGCTCCGGCTCTGGCAACCACTCTGGCTCCGGCTCCGGCTCTGGCTCTGGCTCTAGTGTCTCGCACGTCTTCACTACTGGCTCCTCTATCTCCTCATCTCATTCTGCCCAACGTACGAGCTCCATCGGTGGGTCTGGTCATGGTCACGGTCATGGTCACGGTCATAGTCACAGTCATCATGTTTCAGGTGCCTCCAGCAGCATCGATCACTCTAACTCGCCTCGGCCTTCATCAACTCCCCTGCAGACATCCACTTCTGGCGCCTTCATCTCGCCTTCTCGTTCAGTCCAACGTACAAGCTCGACTCCTGTCATCAAGGCCAGCGCATCCGCATCCCCCTCTGCAGCTATTGAGCCCCTAGCTTTGTATGTCCAGCAGGTCCAAGCAAAGCGGAAACGTCAGACCTACAACAGCGCTGTACTTATCGGCGCTGGCTCTCTTACAGCCAGCTGCGCCGATGCAGACCGTTTCTATCTCACTGGGGGGCATCTCTACGATGATACATTGCTAATTGCTGCCGACAAGGACGCATCAAGCGCGGCCTTTAAGGGATCCAGTAGCCCAGGACCCATCCGGGGCACCTTCGCCATTACAGACAACACTCTCTCCTGGTCAAACTCGGACTTCACCAATAGCGTGGCCTCGTTCTGTGTCTCTAATAACACCGTCTTGGCTATCTTCAGCGGTAGTATGCCCTCCGGTTGCACCCCGGTTACTATCGCTGCCGTGAAGTACTGTACGTATTAACATTTTCCCATTGGAGAACCAAAAGCTGACAGATATCAGCCCAGATGTGCCCTGGAGGCGATGCGACAACCAGCCTTCCACCGATCAGCTCGGCCATATCCTCTACGAAGACCCGGATCAGCTCGACCAAATCTTCCTCCACACCCTTGATCCGCTCGGCCACGCCGTCTTCGACTGCCATCCCCCAGTGCTCTGCTAAATCCGACCCGGAGTTAAGAACCACAGTCCTGCCGGCACTCGACCCCAGTGTCGATGGTTCCACCCTCCTTAATCTGTCCCCCTCGATGTATGCCACTCTCTACTATGCCAGTCCCACAGGCTCGACCATTCTCCAAGTGACCTACTATATGCTCTATCCTCAAGTGACCCTGGAGAATGCGTACAAGATTGCCACGGTGACCTGCTCCGGTGACACATTAACCGTCACTGTGACCACCGCTGCGGCTTTCAACATTGTCAGCCAGTGGCCCACGAACAAGTTCATTCTCATCACCAATTCTGGCAGCTGCAACTCAGACTCTCAGAGAGGTGTCTACATGGTTCAGTCATACACCACAGATGAGGCCAGTCTCACAATAACCCTTGATGTAACCGCCAAGGTCTGGGCCGACGTCTCAGAGACCATGGAGGTCGCTTATGGCATGGGACGCGTGAACTCGACCAACATCTCCTACACTCCTTCGTGCACAGCGTCCTATCCTGCGGCAGGCAGCAGCACCCCAACTCCGAGCTCTGGCTCGGTGTCCTATGCAGACCTGACCCCCGAGGAAAAGAATATCGTCACCTATCTGACTCAGAACAACACGTACGATGACAACGGTAACATCGCTGTCACTGTGCCTGCTGTCACCGCAAACACCACAACCCCTGTCTATAACCCCGACTCCAACTCCACGCAGCAAGCAGCCCTCGAAGATGCCTTGCAGAACGCCGGTCTCCCATCCCCGGATTCGCTGTGGAATAAAACCGCTAGCGATCTCGCGGGTCACTGCTCTAACGGTGTCTACGTTCCGGCGACAACTGTCTACACCAAGCGTGCACCTCAATCCCCCCGCCGCCGGTCTTCCCCCAAGTCCTACCCCACTGAAACATACCACCGTCACCGTCGCTCCCTGATTGCCAAGCGTTCAGGACTTGATGACGAAACATGGTGGAAGTATCTCTGGGAGGGTGCCTGTAGCGATATTGTTGGCGACATCCTTGAAGCACTTGACGAAGAACTAGGGGCTCTTGCCGAACTCATCTGTGATCTAAAAGATCTATACGATGATGTTGAGGAGGCCTACGCCAACCGTAATGCGATCGAGTGTACCTGGACGGGTTGCTACCTCGAGGTAGTTGTCGCGACTTACTGGAACTTTACCTACACTGCAAGCGCGGAGTATGAGATCCCAGCGCAGACGCTGGTGCAATCCTCGGTTGGTAAGCTTAGCTGTGTGGACTGCGGTCTGAGCATCTCCAACCTTGAGTTTGTAGGCAGTGTCATGATTGCTACCTCCACGGGTAAGGTCATGAGCGCCTTCATGACGCCTACCATGAGCTGGACAGGAAACCTCGTCATGGGTCTCGAAACTACGGACGCTTGGTCTGGAGAATGGACCTATAACTTCGATACCCTCGAATTTAATCAGCCCGTCTCGGTCCCCGGTGAGTTCACTATCACGCCATCTGTGTTGTACAGTCTGGGAGTTCAGTGGTCCACTACTGCCGCTGTCGACATTACCGCAGGTGCCTCCATCAGCGTGAACAGTGGCACCCTCTACCTGGACTTCTCCAACAACCTCGCGACCGAGAGCGCGAATTGGTCGCCCACCGTGGAGTACACCTACCCGGTGTTCTCTTCTGCTGCGGAGGTTTCGTTCATTCCTATCATGAGAACATCGCTCGCCATCGCTGTTGTGATCGAGAACGCAAATTACGGCCAGCAGCCCATCTACATCAACTCCGACACGGCTATTGGCTTCAACGCCGCCCTCATCGAGGATGATGGAGAATATTGTAACGCTGGTGAGCTCGAGTTGACCTCCTACTCCAGCGTTAACAACGAAGTCCTCTTCACGGGTGGCTCCACCACCGTTCTCTCCCAGTCTGGTGACAAGGCCGGCCAGACCAAGTGTTTCAACGTTCCCAACGACATACCGACAGTAGATGAGGTCAGTGCCCTTCGCAACGTCGGTGCTGCCTTCTGTACTTCCTACCTAGGCTACGTGGCCCCCACCTCCGTCGCATACGCTGTCAGTACACGCACCGGGCCCTCGACCATACAGACCGTTGTGCCAACAACCATCTCAACCACATCCACCATCTTTGAATACCCCACAGTTACCACTGTCATCACACAGACAGCCACAGTGGACGCTACCTCCTATATGACCGTCTCCGGCTCTCAATCGCTTGGTGACTCGTACATGAAGAAACGAGCTCTTGAAACTGGCTCCTCAGTCAAGAAGCGCTCTATCAACAAGAAAAAGGACGCCGCTCCCCAGCCTACCAAGGCCGCTAAATTTGCTAAACGTACCGCTGTCGCCGAACCCACGCTGGTCTCCACCTGGGACGCCAGCAAGATCTCCCTTGCCTGTTCTCAGGTTGCCACTGGTACCGCCACAACCACCTTCTATACCTCCACCGCAACTGCCTACTCAGGTAGTGTCGTGAACACTGTGTACAGCACCGTGGATGCACTTGGTGCCCTCAAAACCGAGACCTTCTCGCGCATTGTGGTCTCTCAAACGGCCACCACTGTGACGGGTACCCAAACCGCCACAGCCACCACCGCGACTAGCTGTCCCCTTCAGACCCAAGTGTCCTGCTTCACCATCAGTGCCATCGGCCCCGATCACATCAATGGCAAACAGCTCTACATATCTGACAACAGCTCCTCTCCCGTCTGGGGTGGCTGGGGTGCCGGTTATGAGGTGGGTGTCTTCTACCTGACATGCGCGGGTGATCTCGTCGCGCTCCCCTCCATGGACGTCCTGGCACCTGCACAGGATATGTGGGTTGAATTCGGCAGCTTTGCTTCCACAACCACCAAGCAAAGTTGTTCGCAGGATACTTCATCAAGTATCCTCAGCTGTGGAAGTGGGTGGTATTCTACCTCGCCAACAGCGCTACGCTACACTGATTTCCGCGCATACAGTGGAGATTGGCAACCTGTTTGGAATGATGCGACAAACAAGGATGCATTGACGCCGGTCGTGTTGACTTATAATACTGTGGATTGTCCATGCCAGTACTAGTCTGGTTTTCTTTCTCTTATCATTCTTTCCAAATCTCTTTTATACTTTATGAGGTCTTGAATCTCAAGATCTCTTCTTTGTATTATGTCTGGATTTTGTTCATCTATATTTTTAGCAATAACTATAGTATTTCAGAGACCAAAATTCACATTATGACGGAAAAAATGCCCAGCGTATTTCGAATGTATGAGTATCAAGAAATTTAAATGACACTCTTATGACAATCCAGAGGTTCAAATGTTAGGTGAGGGGTCTGTCTATGCTTGAGGCTGATCGGGCCGCATAGCATCAATCAAGTGGGCAGGATTGTTTATTGTACCCTACCTCTGTTGTTTGATTGCCCGCCTAGCCTTACTAGGTGCAATAAAATGTCTGTAACCTTTCCAACCTTGGAATGTTAATCAGAAGTCGATTACTTCACATCATCTCTAGGCCTGGGCATATCACAATTCAATCATACACGTAAACCAATTTGACAAACGGAATGTCTTGTTAGGAAATTGATTGTTAGGAAATGAAACCGGGACTTACACAGAATAAAGAATACTTTGCACGATGATCGACTACTCGGTCTTTAGAACCCGGCTCAAAATAGCGGACATAACCACGTATCAACCCCTAAGATTGTAGATCGTCAGGTCGATTGCGGGCAGTCGTAACGTTGGGCACGGTCCGTACGGTCGCGTATCTGCCTTCATGAGGTTCAAACCATCTAGATTGACAGCGTTATAGATCTCGCCATTTCGGATTATACAGGGTAAAAGTGACATATAATTTAATAGAGTTGATGGTATTCAACACTTTGGTATCCGAGGATGATGTAACCGAAATGCATAATTTGCACTAATCATGTCTAAATAAATAGCTCTCTATCTTCGGTTCGGGAGCCAACCAACCAAATGCGACAAGCTAATCTAGATATAGTATTAGCGATGAATCAAGGATCTAAGAAGTCGATTAGCACTATGCCACTAGAGTTAGGGATACAACATAGACCGGACCTCCGGTCTGACCCACTTTCCCCTCGACAAGATAAAGGGGATCACCAATCAAGGCCGATCTCAACAATGCAAGGATCCTACCTTCCCAATCGATCTTAGCGATCTGCAGGAGCTATATATGATCAGGTCCCAGCCGAGCGGGGTTGTCTGGTTTTTGGATTTCTGCGATTTAATCTTTCAAATACTGGGGTTGACGTTCAAAATGGGAGGATTTTCACGATTGACGGCATTGGCAGCGCTGGTACCTTATGCCGCGGCTCAATTCGTTCCTGCGCCGACCGACTTGATCACCAAGAAAGGTCATGCTGGTATTAATGTGCGTTATAAGGAAGTGCCTGCCGGAATCTGCGAGCAGGATCCCGATGTAAAAAGTTACTCGGGTTATGCTGATGTTGGGGAGAATGAGCATATTTTTTGGTAAGAACGATGTGTTGATGGTTCTCTTTTTCTTTGTTATAAAGGTTCAAGACACTGACGGACAACAAAAGGTGGTTTTTTGAGACCAGAAATGGAGATCCTTCAGAAGTACGTCACGCGACCTTGTTTTAAGTAAAGAAGCTCACAATATCTAGGCGCCACTGACAGTTTGGATCAATGGTGGGCCCGGCTCATCTTCAATGATTGGATTATTCCAGGAGCTAGGTCCATGTGGAGTTGACTACGAGGGAAATGTATACAACAACCCTCATTCATGGAGCAACGTGAGCAATATGGTAAGTTCCCCCCAAAATTCTTTCCCACGAATTTTGCTGAATTGTCATTAGATCTTTATTGATCAACCCACTACAACCGGCTTCTCATATACAATCCCCATCCCGGGCTACCAGGACGACGAAGGCTATATCATCGAGTTGCCCAACACCACATGCCCAGACTATGCCCAGCAATACGGGACCTGCGGTACGTATTCCAAACCTGACATTGCACTGGTTCCAAATACAACACAGGGTGCTGCTCCAAACATGTGGAAGACCTTGCAAGGATTCATGGGTGCATTCCCTCAGTACTCAAAGAACGGCTTCAATTTCGCTACAGAGAGCTATGGAGGTCACTATGGCCCAGTCTTCAACAGTAAGTCTACCTCCATAGTCGAAGATCACAGAGAAATGCTAACCGATGTAGCCTACTTCCTGGAGCAGAATGCCAAAAAGATCCCCGGTGCAATCGATATCGAACTTGAAAACGTATTCATCGGTAATGGCTGGTTCGATCCCTTGATCCAGTACCAGGCATATTACAATTTCTCCGTGTCCCCTGGTAACACATACGACTATGATCCATATAACTCAACTATAAAGGCGGAGTGGTATAACAACCTCTATGGAAAGGGAAACTGCGTTGATCAAACTCTGGAATGTTACGCCACCGGTCGGAATGATATCTGCTCCGCAGCAGACGACTTTTGCGCGGATAAAGTCGAGTCGCTTTACGATATCTACTCGGGGCGCGACGAATATGACATGCGTGAGCTGAGCTCTGATCCGTTCCCTTACGTGTTCTATGTGGACTATCTCAATTCCCCGAAGGTTCAAGCGGCGATCGGCGCATACCAGAATTTCTCCGAGTCGTCTAATACTGTCGGTACTGCCTTTGGAAGTACTGGAGATGATGACCGTATGTCTGGCACAATAGGAGATGTGAAGAAGTTGATAGAATCTGGAGTCCAGGTGGTTATGTATTTCGGCGATGCGTATGAGTCCCCTCCAGCTTCAACTGACCATAACGAAGAGTTATCGAGCTGACATTAACATTCATCAAGTGACTACAACTGCAACTGGCTTGGCGGCCAAGTTATCGCAAAGGAGATTAACGCTCCTGGTTACGAAGAGGCAGGTTTCGTAAACCTCACCACTTCGGATGGGATCGTTCACGGACAAGTCCGACAGAGCGACTTGTACACTTTTGTTCGAATTTATGAATCTGGCCACGAAGTGCCATTCTATCAGCCTCTGGCTGCATTGTCATTCTTTGAGAGGGGACTCTCTAGGAAGGATATCGCCACCGGAAAGAAGAAGATGACACAGCATGGAGGCTATCGAACTGTGGGAACCCCTACAAGCGATTACCGAGAGGGGAATAGCACGATCGATTTCAAGGATCTTCCAAGTAATGCTACATATAACACCACACTTAATGGACCCAATCCATAGGATGTTGATAGGCAAGTGGGCAGAGGCTTGGTGGAATCAACTTTGACCGTACCTGGTGTTTTTGGAGATTTGGTTGTATAGCCTTGGTTCTCGAGAATATCACATTCTTTTTTTTTCCAACAAATAGATTAAAATAGTTGATACACAGAGAAATCGTATATGATGCTCAAAATAATTACGAGGTCAGCGCTGGCAATACAGTTGATCGCCACCTAGATCGGTCACCGCGCAAAACTTCGACAACGGTGAAACCTCACCCCGACTGCTACTATATCACTATTGAGATACGACTTTCCCGATGATGACTCAAACTTCAGTCTGTCTAACTCTCGTGACTGCAAGATGAGGACATGATTATTTATTAAGAGCAGAGACCTCAATTATGGTCATTTGCCCGGGTCCAGAACTGTGCTCATGTATCAGGAGCTGGGAAGCTGGAAAGGAAATGCAGCTGATATAGAATTCCTGCAGGTCACAGCCACTCTTCCTAAGCGTCACCATTGGGATAGACGCTTGCAAGTGGTATAAACATGGCTCTCCAGCGGTACTTTGAAACCTGTCGTTTACGTGAAAACAACAGCTGGCATGCCTGTGAAGCCATCTGAAGTACTTGATTTGCCAAGCAATATTTGATTCCTCTCCTAGATGCTGTGACATTCCTAGCTCGATCTTAGCTGTCACCCATACTAGCGACCTCCAAGGCGTGTAGTAGATTGCATAAATTTTCCGTTGTGACAGGGAGGTCTTGACTTGCTGGGTACTTGCGTTGAATGTCTCTTATACAAATTTGGAGCAACTCTCGAATTGAATAAAGCGTCAAGGCATATAGATGGTTGTTAGATTCGCGAGCTTCACCTGTAGATAGCACAGGCCGGGCTCTACCATGAGCTATCCAATCTCGAGTCGCGATTGTCTCTTCACCATTCAACAGGGTCTCCTCGGTCTTTTTGATAGATGAGCCAGTGTCGCTTGCTTCCTCGGTCGAGATCATACAGTAAGCCCAAAGACACAAGCCACCGTGATAAATCGCGGTGGCGTGGAACTCCGTCATGACCTCCATGGGAAGACCTCGGATTAGCTTAAGAAGTTGACCGGCATGCCACAGAGCCTTGCGGCATTCGCTTGATCTGACCCATTGTCGCGCCATGGTATACGCGGACTGTGCCTCTTCGAGCCCTTCTTTCCCTGCTAGGCACTCTAGCTGGTCGATTGAAACGGAAAGATGCAGCGACAGCAGTTGTTGCAGAAGGAGGGTTGAAACAGATGGTTTTGATCTGGGTGGGCATAGATCAAACTGATGTGATAGTTCCTCCAATGCCTGAATCAACCACCGGCGCTGGCTATCTTTCCACAAAATATGTTCAGAAGAGTTGACACCCTGCAAATATCCAACCGTCGCTTGAAACTTCCGATATACTTGAATTAAAGATGAGATACTGTATTGCACAGCTAATCTCGTGATATTGATATCGTAGATATTCGGAAGGGACTGAAGTTGAGACAAGTCCGCCAAGCAGTTGAAAACAGAGACATGCACTGGATCCTCGGCAAATTGCGAGAAGAAAATAGTTTTCCAGCTGGCAGCAGAGCTGGCAAACCATAAAGAATTTGTCAAAGGGAGTCGAAGAGAGAGTTCTGTGTAGTGTAGTGGACCTGCCACTGACATTATGAGCGACTCCTGGCCGCAATGGAATAGGAGATGGTATATCAGCCTAGACAGCGTGACCACCGTTCAGTCAGCAGAGCCTCACTAAGGCTGTGTGATAAATAATTGTGACATACCTAGTAAATGACTCCTGCTCCACCCAAGCTCGCCATTTTGTTTCTAAGGCCTCACCCTCGTCGTCGGGGCATGGTCGGATTGGCGTGTAGGAAGACTTTCGGAAACGGCCACATCCTCGAAGCATCTAGTCATCCGGATGACATTGTCAGCATTTCTCAATGCGAACAGTTGTGACCTTATAGTGATAAGGGCAAAGGTGCCACACATTTACTAGATTACCGAGGCTCCCACTAGCCATTTCCATCTTACGCCTAACACCACTCCATAGGCCAATATGCAACTCCAGTGCATATGCTTGTAGGAAATGCAAGTCTCTAGTCAGGATATTAGATACTCGGGACTAACTCCACCACGAAATAGTTAGTGAAACACATTTCCATGCTAACCATTCCCCTTCGGTTTTCCTTGTGTGTCTCTAACACTTACAATCTTCGCCAGCTGAACTGTAAGCAGCTCGTGCATTGCCAGGCCAAATTTCTGTATGGCACGGCTTGATGCACGTATGGCACCCAAAGCAATAAGGCCCGCGACCAGCTCAGTTGAGGCTGTAGTGATATCGAACGTGGGAATATGAACCCAGGTGTCGTCTTGTTTACTCATCCAGAAAAGAGACGATCGGAGTAACACTCCCAGTGTATCGCAGGATGGAAATGCCGGTGTGGGGCGGAGACTTTCTCGCGAAACTGATGCTCCAACTAACATCGTCAGTAGGCGATCGCGCACCAGTGGTGGACAGCTGCAGCGCATTGGTTGAATATCGCATTCATGGACGATCTCATCCGCAATGGCCATTCCGTACGCAGCTGACAGGTTTTCTTCCTCTTCTTCCTGGAAATTCCGTGCAGTCGGTGTCCACGGCCCGTGGACCATTTTGAATGCATCTCTGATGAGCTTAATCTTGCTCTCCGCAACAATTGGGTTGGTGGATATCGATGTTAGAACTGCGTCACTGCCAGAGCTACCATGAAAGTGAGTTTCTGGAAGGGAGAACAAGACGTTCGGACTCGTAGAGACATCGAGGTAATCGTCCAGATTAAAGTGCGGATAAAGGAGGCCAATGTCCCAATTTTCGTGAGCTATTGCCTGCTGTGGCTCGCCGGGGCTTGACAATGAACGGCTTGCCGAGACTGGTGGTGGAGAAAGACGGCAATTATCTGCAGGATATATCGCGTGAGGCAGGAACCAAATATACTTCGTTGCCACTTGAAAGTGCGAATCCGACATACCGGACTCTTTCTGTGCCGTAAGTGTATCAAGCAACATTGCGTCGGGTGGGTAGTTGGCTTCAGTTTGAGCGCCCCCATCTGGTGAGATCACTTCGTCTAGCGCATTTGAGGTCATTTCTTCAGAAATGGGGGTGAGACCCATTAGCTCATCAGGCTCCAATATATTAATGTCAACGGCTCTGGAGCATTGTATCCCCTTCCGTAGACAACGCGTGCACTTTGCAAGGTTATCACACTTTGTCTTTGACGTGGCACATGCACGGCAGGCTTTTAATGCTCTGGGAGCCCTGAATTGACGGGGTTGCTGTAGTTTAGTCGCTCGGGCACTCCTGCAGCTATTCTCTATGTGTTCTTTGAGCTTTTGTCTGCAAAGTCTATTAGGTCCCGTCATTCACTTGTTTTCTACTGGGTTGGGGTAAGGCACACTATGTATATCCACATACATGAGCTTGAATTTGGTGAGACATAGCCCGCATTGGAATGGTCGCAGTCTTTTATCCATCGCGTGGGCGGGCAAATGGTGAGTTGCACAATGTCAGTTGGGATTTATTTACGAACCTTCCCCACCGTCTGAGTCCTTCCCCGCTCTGAAGTCAAAAACCATGTGGAGCCGAAACATCAAGCAAAGGCTCAGGCGTGGTAATGTATTTAATTTCTTTATTCTTTTGTCTTTATTTTTGTTTTTTTGTTAGCCTAGCCTACTTTTATGACTGAAGCTGATGCGAGCTTGTCAACTGTATCATAAATTCTCTGATACATGAACTAGCAGCCTTGTAATTATTCAGACATTCATAAGTTGAGCTCTGCCAGGCCTAGAGGCTCCCATAGGGAACCACCGCCATCCTTCCACCGAAGTTTTCCCCTAATGACCACTAAACAAGTAATGTACCGCCCTTCGATAGTGATGACAAAGTTTGGTTTTCCCACGCCTCAAGCACCATAGAATGTAATCTATAGCATGATGCGAAGGCAGCGATTTGCATGCCTTACGTGTCCCCAATATTTGAGGAGACCACCATGCATGCATCGAACAAGACAGCTGTAGCTTTGATTATCTAAGAGACAACCGAGAAGTCAAGTTACCTGCCTAATTCCTATGCGAAGTCCACAAGCACTACGACCGACAATTTGGCCAATAGTTTGCCGAGGATTTCCGGCATTCCGATCTCTTACATAATAGCTCTTAACTAGTTCGAGCTTACTCAAATCCCAGACATGGATGAATTGTTGTATCACTAGTCTGCGAAGAACAAGTAAAGAATAGGATACAAAATTATTGCGGTCTTGGAGAAGCTCTTGTTTGCTCCAACACTTATGGAGAGCTGCTGTGAGACTGACCATCTATAATGCGAGAAAACTTATAAAATGAACTAAGATTTTGTAGATACTATGTATGATCGAAGCTTCTCTTTGCTGGACCTCTCCCGTTGCATAATCTGACTTGAACGATAGTATTTAGAGAGAATTTCTGAAATGCATTAATGTGTGGAACTAGTCAATAAAAAAACGTCAATTTGGAAGATTGGATCTCAATCCTGACAAACGACAAAATTCGGCTTTGAAATACTGAGAGCAGTCATAAGATCGTAAACTGCGGAGGTCAAAGTTTTGTCCTCCAAACCCTTACATTGTAACAGCTCCCGGAGACATATCATAACCTCGCTGGTCGAGGACAACGCAACCATATTTTCATTTTTTGCCTCCTTAGTGGACGGAAATCCGCTAATCATAGGGTACCCTTCTTTCAGATTTACCCATTGCTGTATCTTCGTCAATTCGTGGGTATCCAGAGTAAATTGTGCAGTTGCATCTGCTGGTATTGAGCCATCAATGGCGCCAATTGTTCCATACATCCATAAGCACAAGCTGACCTGGTATGCTATAATAGAGTGAAACTCGGTGAATTGTGCCGGGGGTATTTGACGCAAGTAGCGGACTGCCTGGCCAGCACTCGAAACGGCAAGTCGGGCTTGCTGGCGCTGGCTCCATATCTTTGCACTCCGATATACAGATTTGGCTTCATCTTGGCCGTCACGACCCGCAGCAATTTCGATCTGATCGAATGGAGTGAAAAGATGCATGAAAAGGAGTTCAATCAATAATGACCGCTGGGAAGCTTCTGGGGTTTTCCGGCTTTGATTGATTATTCGCATGCTTTGTAGAAGACTTTGGAGGTGATGCTGCTGACTTTCACTGGAAATGATATGAATTCGTGTCGTATCATATTCGCCAGAACCGCAAAGACCTTGAATTTGCTGGTAGTCACGGATCATAGAAGAAATGCAATGTAGAAGTATGAATTGAGCCAGATCGAAGTCATATATCTCAGGCAAGTACAAAAGGACCAATGGATTCATAATGGAATCGCGGGTGGAAATATCTCGTGATGGGCCGTTACTTGTCAAGCTGAGGAGTATATTCTTCCACTCGAGTGATGATTTGGCCATCCAGAGTTGTCGATGGGATGGAAGTGGAAGTGATAATTCAGCGTATGAAACAGGCGGTCGGCTGCCAGTTGTCAAGGACGCCTTCGAGCAATGCACTTGTATGTGATATACTAATCTATGGAGCGATTTTAGTTCTCTTAGGCCTGATACCCTAGTCATGTTCGACACGTACCTCTTGAATGACTCCCTTTCCACCCAATCGCTCCATTGAACTTCAAGCACTTCACTATCATCGCCAGGAGATATGCTAATATCGTCATATGCCGAGCTGCGATAACGACCACCACACCGCAGCATCTATGGTAAAATTAACTCCACCCCCTCTAACAGCAAAGGGTACATACGTGAATGATGCTTCCCACAACCGCTTCGGATATTTCCATCATACGCCTGTCCCCACTCCATAATCCAATCTGGATGAAAAGTGCAAAGGCCTGAAGATATTGTAGTTGACGCGTGCGTATGATATTGTTTTCAAACTAATTTCAGTCCCCGTCGTTAGTGCCACGATTCAGGCACAAGAAAGATTATACGCAGGAGTGGACCTTACCACTTGAAAGAGATATGGATGAAGGATACTATGTAGAGCTTTGCCAAACCTTCGAACGTCACTATTTGTGGACTGCATGGCGCTTGAGGCAGCACAGGCCATTACCAGCTCCAGGGGGGCTTTATTTGCATCATAGGTGGCGATATGGATCCATGTATCCTCTTCCAAAGCATGTGATTCAAAAAACCCCAGTAAGAGCTGGCTGAAAACTTCCGCCGACGGAAAGGCCGACGCCACCCTTGTTACATTTTCTTTGGCGCAATTCTTGAGTATCATGCCAAGAATTTCATCCCTGGTATCTGTAGACACAATTCTGGAGTATGAATTGTTTCGCAGGTTGGCGGAGTATGGGTCATATAGATGGGACGTAGGCTCGAGGTGGACGTTCGCCTCTTCAGCCTTACGGTGATTTTGCCAATCTGGATTCCAGTGGCCGACTGTTTTCCCAAATGCTAACGTAACATTCGATAAATCAAGTAAGGAAGTCAAAAGAACTTCAAAATTATCTTTGGATTTTATCGGTGATTGAGAGAACGAATGACGAATGAATGGCGCCATAGAAAAGCCACTTGCAGAGAATAGAACATTGTCATGTTTCTCTTGGCACGTGGGCAATTGGGGTTGTTTTTCATCTGAATCATCAAAGCTGCCATTATCCGGCTGTAGGGAATAATTTTCTGAGGCTAGTTAATCAGCTGTCATGGATCAACACACAAAGAAATTGCTCCATGGTCAAAGTCTTCGAGTTTCCACATTGGGGAGTTTACCTGGGCAAAGTCCCAATGATTGCGGTAATTGTGGACTTAAGATAGATTCCCCTGTTCTATCGCCAACGGCAGCCTCCAGACAGAGACTCTCAGTTGCCCTCGGACTAATTTCAGCTGGATATGACTGCTCTGAGTTTCCAATGGTCCCCGATGCTTCCACGTTCAATACCGTAGGCCTGATACATGGTATATTACGCTTCTGACATCTCTGGCAGCGCAAATTGTTGTCGCATCGCGCCTTGGCCGCCGCACAGTAATCACATGCCTGCGAGGCACGAGGTGCACGACGATGGCGGTGTCTGTTGACTTGCCGGCGCTGCATGTCCATGGACATATATTCGGTAATTCCGGAGTGACCGAGATGAACTGGCTTCACACACAATTGCTTCCTTATTTCAGGAAAGGAATTCGTGTGGACAGGGTGTGTAGGTCTAGAATCCCGAGATCATGTGACGAAACTCAAAGGGAATAAATGCGGGGAGATGACGCGGACGGTGGCGTGCCTGGGGTAATGAAGAAATGGCTGACCTCGTCTGAGTCCCCCCATATAGCAAAGGCTATCGTCGATTATAGCCAAGGAAACTGATACTCCTATAGTGGCACAAAAATCCGATGGTATATGTACAGGAGTTCTTGAAGTTACCTGGACTTCGCTACGACAACAAACACCCATTATACATGTTATCTTCTATGGACTATATATTATTGGGCTAAGGATGCCGTTTCGTGGTCGAGTGGATGGAACTCCATGGCAGTCTGCCCACGATATTCTTACTCTTCATAAAGTAGGCGTGTCGAATATGTACAGAGAGAGGCTATGATTCTGTCAAGGTTGGTGGCTTCTGATGTGGTCCACTTCCCGACCTAATCAAATTATTTTGTTTCCGCCTTATCCCAAGCTCTTAATTCTCATATGCGAGGCCTTTGACAAGTGAGAAAGAATTAAAGATTGTGAGGATGGGCGAGGTCTTGAAGTCTGCAAACATATCGTGTTAGAACACATCTATCCACTATTGTCGCTGAAGGTCATTCCAACCCCCAACGAATCAGAAACAACGCATTCTTTGAAGGACTCATATTGTGAAATCTGAAGGGCCAAGAGCACGACCGGAGGAACTCATATCTACTGAGACCTGGGACGCAGCAGCAGAACATGGTATTATATATATGTGGAATTTGATGCGATTTATTATGCTCAATAGCAAAAAAGGAAACACAAATATCTGTTCTCAACGCCACGATGTACCTGTGCTTAGCACAACGAAAGTCCACCCGTGACCGGCAGATACAATCCATTCAACCACGCCGCCTTAGCCTCACAAAGCTCTGCCACAACCCAGGCAACCTCCTCAGGGTGTGCAAACCGTGATTCCACCGGGACCCGGTCCAATCGAGAACGTAGGAGATCCAACAAGGCACCCGGTGCCGCAAGAAGGGTCTCGGTAGCCACAGGACCTGGCGCAACAGTATTTACCGTACAGCCGTGCTTGCGAGGCAAATCACGGGCCCAGCACCTCGTAAAGCTTTCTATCATGCCTTTACTCCCAGCATAGATGCTCATATCGGGGTCAGGATCCCTGGAGGTAGAGCTTCCAATATTGATGATACGAGATCCGATGGGTGCAAGCAATGGTAGAATGGCATGCGTCAGGAGGAATGTTCCTCTCCCATTCAGGTTGAATGTCTTCTCCCACGCGTCCTCTACCTCAAAGTTGCTACTGTCGGATATACTGCAGATACCGCTGTACCCAGCATTATTGACAAGAATATCGATTTTTCCGAAGTGGGCCGCTGCGGCTGCGGAAAGTTGCCTGGGTCCGTCTATCGTCGCAAGGTCGGCTTCCACGATTATTGATTTTGATTTTGCGTCTCCGGCCAGTGACCCTAGTACCTCGAGCGCGGTGCTTGCTTCTGAGGGGTAGGGATAGTTGACGATGACCGCGGCGCCGCGGGCCGACAGCTCGCGGGCAATGGCCGCTCCGATCCCTGACGATGAGCCACTGACAAGGGCAACCTTTCCTTTTAGTGATAAATGTGACGACTCCATGACAATGGCCTATATTGGTACATTGGGGAGCAGTGCGGCACATTTCTTATATCACTGATACCCAACGGGATAAACTGTACTTCGAATGTCGAAATGAGATGATCGCTCCACTTCCCGGAAGCCGACCCGAGACTTGCATCTGTTAATCCGAGGTCATTCTTTCCATCCTCGGAACGGACCAATATATTAATTTTGATCCCGATGTTCAATGTCCCGTGAATGCTCCACCATTTGTCGTGTGCTTTTCGTATGTGCCAACAGCGGAACTCTTCCGGAAGGGGTTAACTAGGGAAGTTGGACTGCCATATATACACGTTCAATATTCAAAGGTTCTAGCACAGAGCATGACACTACAAGTCTACAACATAACCGGCATCTGTATCAATGAGGAGGAACTACTAGTCGTGAACTTATTCGACTCCGTGTGAGCTGGATCTACTATTTATATACTTGATAAACGGAGCACTTCCCATGATTGAATTGTGGCTGCTCTCAAACTAATTGATGGCGATGGTCCCACCCACCTTTTTGACACTGTATTGAACAACATTTCCACGTTCTTTCTTCGGAATTCTCCTGTGGGCGTTTGAGAAAGACGAGTATCAAGCTTTTTTTTAGTGATTCTATAATTCTTGCTACTATGATTTCCCTATAACCTGCCGTATCTTCTACACTGCTTTCTACGTCAACTTCTATCTGATTAGGCGTGTGGTCTAGCTCGTGGAATATCTTGTTGAGGACCCTGTCCTGAAATTTGGGGTCAGGGTTGTTATTTCCAGGGAAAAGGGGTTACTCAGTAATCAGCGTCGAGATTGATATCGTATATGGATGAAGTGGTATGTCTATCTACTTCCATTCAACATCGAAAATTGGCCCTAGCTAGGTCAAGAATGATGAAATTGCGACATCACGTCCGGACCAAAAGGAAAAGGCTTATTTTCAATTGTAAGGTTAAGGAGGTGGATCGGGTGGAGTGAGGAGAAAAATAATCATAACTGGTATCAAAATAGATGCCATCATTATTTGAGGGCGGCAGTAGCTCAAAGACAGGTGGCATTATTTCCGAATTTACAAATGACAAACCAGTGCTCAAGTAGTGATATTAGTTAAAAGCTGAGTGTAATTCGATGTATCCAAGAAATGATTTCCTTGTCAAGCCGAGGGCATCCCAACCCTCCCGCGAAGGCTAGGCAAGTCAACAAGGGGAAATTCTAAAGCACTCCACCGTTTTAGGTCGTGAGCAATAAGAGGAAGTTTTGCTCTTTCACCACCCAACATCCCCCGAATGTCATCGGAGTGTTTCCATTTCCCCTCAAGTGTAATGCAGCTTACGTCTGAATCCTTCTCCCATATTGGACGTATATCACCACTTAGCTCAGATGCTAAGATTCCGTTCGCACCACATACAATGCACACAACATGATTCCCCTGACGGAACTCAATTTTGAGCTGATGACAGTACGGGCAGCTCCCTGGCTCCTCAGTGCCCAGATACTTCACTTCTCCCAAAGGCTGACCCATTTGGCTCGCTACACGTCGGGCCAAGATCTCCGCACGAGCAATCGCATTATCAGGATCCAGTAATACGGACCCCGCATTCGCGAAGCCGGGTAAGACAATTTGATCGACGACCTGTGCGTGAAGTGGATAGACCACAGAGTGCATTGTTGGCAGGGCCATAGTCCACTGCTCTGGAAACTCGGGGCCTGATCCGGCCACCGCGATAAAGCCCGCCACGCGAGGCTTGAGTTCGCGCAGATCAATCTGGACATGCTGCCATTCCGGATCCCCGGATTCCTGGAGGGCTTTCATTCGATGGGCATTGGACACGTCGGCGTATGGTCCGAGGATGGCATCAGCCAGTGCTTTTAGGGCCCCTGGAGGTTGGTGGCTGTAGACTGGGGTTGCGATGATGAGGGCATCGGCGTCCATTATTGCGTTGTATGCCGCTTCGCGATCGTCTGGCTCTGTCGCATCTTGTATTTGCCTTCCTTCATCGTTGCGGTCCGGTATTATTGTGTTGTCTACCCTGAGTGGTTGGCGATGTCTTGGTATTGCAACGGAAGGTATGTGCATCCACGATACCGTTGTGTTGGAGTCTTCGTTAATCGCCGCTTTTAAGGCGGCTTTGAGCAGTATCTCCGAGTTGCCGTTCAGGGAGCCATTGCACAGCCCTAGGATATGCATTTTTGTGTGAAATCAGTGCGAAGTTTGAACAAGCGACGAATAACGATATATGTGCGGCTATTTGTGTACAAGTCTTACAATGAGTGTGTGTAATGGATTTAAAAGCTACGAAATAGCTAGTTTGCCGGCCGATGACGGAGTTCCCGAACAAATCGGATACTTGTCTTCTCGGTGGTATCCCACTTTACTCTGATTATATTTGATTTTGTGAAGGCCGGAAAGCCGGTACCCGCTGCGATATAATATTGTGCTTGGCAGAACTTCGGAAGTCAATATGTCGGAATTCCCGTTAAATCTCGGGATCTTTTGGGAAGCTTTGCAGTTACCAAAAAATGTGATTTGCAACTACAAGCTAGTCTGCAACGTATTTAAAATGACTAGAGTTGAAGAATCCTTGAAATACGCAGGACATTGTGCTTGCATGATCTTGCCACTCCAATCCCGTTCGGCTCGCCAGTCTGATGAATACATAGGAAATTTCAGAAAGATTCTACTCAGGTACAACTATGCTTTCGGACAATATGTCAGTATTATCTATTCAGTATCAGATAGTCATTGTTTGTTTCATTCCCCTTGCCAGCTGCCTCATTTTTCTTTTTTTTGAAGATGTCAGAGTCAGGAGGAAATATCGATTCCCGCCGATCGTACCAGGTCTTCCATTCATCGGTAATATGTTACAAATGCCCATGGAAGACCATGGGCCCTATCTCAGGGAAATTGGAGACAAATTTGGCGAGATGTAAGTTCAAAACCCACCAACCGCCGATTCTGCCTATTTTAACATGACAACTTTCTCCAGTTTCACTTTGAAGTTCGGAAGGACCTACTGGGTAATTTTGAACTCAGGCAGGGTTGTCAACGAGCTTCTAGTTAAGAGGGCTGCTATTTACTCATCCCGTGGAAGCCACATGGCACATAGCATCATCTCCGGTGAGAAGAGGATGCTACTGATGCCTTACGGAGATATGTGGCGGCGCCAACGGCGAGTAATGCACCAGCTCCTCAATTCTAGTCAGAAGACAGTATTCAGGGCATTCCAAGATCTCGAGTCGAAGGCTTTGATGGCGGATCTCTTGGAAAAACCAGACAGGTGGTACTTATCTGTGGCGCGATTTTCCAACTCAGTTATTATGAGTGTGGTTTTTGGCCGGCGCACAGCTCTTGGTGACCCAGAAATTTCAGCTTTGCACCGCGCCCAAGAGGAATTTGTCCCTTTCACGATGCCTGGTGCATCTGTTGTGGATAGCTTCCCGTTTCTGGCTAAGATTCCATACTTGAAGAGGCTCCAGCCTTGGAGAAGGAAGGGCGATGATATTAATCGACGAACAACACGGTACGCTGATCAAAAGATTCAGACGGGCGTCAACTACACGTACGAAAGGCTTAACTTGAATTTCTCGATCTAGTACATTTACTCGGCTCATAGAAGATCTTAAGAGGCGCATAGATCAAGGGGTCGCAAATTCCTGTTTCATGACGAAACTTCTCGAGTCCAGCGCCGAAAAAGAGAATTTCACCACCGAGGAACTTGCATATATTGCCGGAACTTTGATCGAAGCGGGCACCGACACGACACGGACGAGTGTCTTGGAGCTCGTCGCTGGGACGGCAATGTACCCAGAATGGATACCGCGAGCGCGAGCAGAGCTGGACTCAGTGTGCGGTCACAACGCTGATCGCTTGCCTGAGTTTGACGACCGCGACCGATTGCCCATGATCAAAGCCGCCATCAAGGAATCTGTGCGCTGGAGGTAAATCCCCTTTTTTGGGCATTAAGGCGACAAGGCAACTGCAAATTACTAATCCCTTACTGTTAGGCCGTCCACTGCCCAGACGGGAGTTCCACATGCTCTTACAACCGATGACGAATTCGAAGGCTATCATATTCCCGCAGGAACCACTGTTACGTGGAATCACTGGGCTATCTCTCATAGTGAAACCGAGTATAAGAACGCGGAGCAGTTCTACCCAGACCGGTTCCTGGATGAAGATCTTGACGATATCGTTAAAGGCCATTACGGTTTTGGGGCTGGTAAGTCTGGATCTTTACTGTTAACATCCAACTGAGAGGCAGTACATTGACTGATTTAGTAGGTCGACGGCTTTGTGTTGGCTACAACGTCGCTGAAGGCAACCTCTTTATTTCGATAGCGCGTCTCATCTACTGTTTTGACATCGAGCAAGAACTTTCACATCCAGTAACTGTTGACAAGCCCTTTCCCGTCAGCGCGGAAGTGGAACCATTTGGAGTGATCATCAAGCCACGAAGCGAGGCGCACCGACGACTGATCGAGAGGGAATGTCATTCAGCAGCCCAAGTCAGCTCATGAGCTCCATGGAAATAAAGTCCCGAGTTACTACGATCTGCACGATGTTGAACCGAGGAGAGTATAGAATGCGGGACCAAATTGGAACTAGGAGAAATCACAGATTTTTCGTACCTGAGTGCCCAAATTACTAGTCAGAGATAGCCGTGCCGTCACAGAAGTTTCCCAAGCGTGTGAAACCACTAAGAGGAAATTTTGTAGTAGTTAGGACGCGAAAAAAATCAACTGAGTAGTTATTTCTTAAATCACAGGCAGATGGAACTCCCTTGCATGCCACCTGGCCAAGCGCAGTCGTACCAAACTCCGTAATAAGTACAGTAAGGGGTTCGAGAAATTTGGGCTGGCGTGCAGATATGGAGACTTAGGGCGAGGAAGTATTGCATGCTTCCAAATGGAGAATCCTTGTTTTGCCAGCAGAATTACCAAGGGCCATCTATATTCCTACTGATCGGTAATCTGAAGAAGTAGGTTTCAAAGATTTCTTAGCATAAAATCCATAAATCCTGGTTGAATTGAAGTTCCTTAACACCAGTACTCCAGTTCAATGGTGAGTGATGGTCCTGCTGCAATGGAGGCTAACTAAGAGTATCGGATCAAAATCGAAGAAAATACCCTAGCAAGTATTGTTCTTTTCAATTGACCATGATTAGCCTTTCCAAATTCCATGCATATACTCATTGACCATATGCGATAAGACTCAACCATATATAGTGAAAGAACATTGGAAGCGTTGGATTTATACGATGGTAAAGTAATCACAGATCTATGAAATCATTCACTGGAATGACAGACCGACTCTTTAACTGATCTTCCTACATACAGCGTTCCAGGCAGGTCGTTGACTTACTAGCTTCCACCAAGCTAGTAATCGTGGTCTCGTCTCAACCTCTTGTCCAATTCCCAGCTTGTCCAGAAAGGCAAACCAGGGGAGGTGAAAAACGTCAATAATAGTATAGGTCTAGGCACATAGTGTTAGTCCCAATGTAGTTCCAAACAAATCCCTAGATACACCTACGTTTCCTGCCAGGTACGTTTGCTTGGCAAGAAGACTCTCGTAATAGTCGAAGCATTGATGAATCTGCTCTTCGTAGACTTTTATCAAATGGGCATCCGGCTCTCCGTGCCCCATCATCCTAAACACACATTGATATTAGTATTTCTTTGAAATGATATTGATAAGAATGTCCAAACTTTTTAAAGATCTTCTCGTATGCCAGCCCTTTGAATGGCGGATCGAAGTACGAGTATTCCACACTTGCCGCTTGCTCCATGAGTGCTAGCCCCAGCTCGGAGCCAAGTAGATCGGCTTCCTGCGAGTACCGCTTTGCTAGGTAGCGGCAGATGGCCCGAGACTCGAATAATTTAACATACTCGTCTTCATAGGTGGGAACCTTTGCGAAGGGGTGCTTCTCGGCCACATAAGTAGGGTCCTAGACAAGCAAGTTTAAAATTGGATACGAGCTTTATTCGAGATACTGGGTCTTGGATTATACCTTGTGCTGCCCTTCTTGCATGCTCACATCGATCAATTGGTATTCAGCCCCGGCTTCTTCCAAGGTGACTAGAACCCGCTGGGTGCATGTTGAGAAGATGGAACCGTAAACCTTGGCTGCAGACATATCAGAATGATCATCTTTTTCCTATACCACTTTCTAATATGATTCCCAAGTTGTCAAATATAGCTCTCAATCACCTGACGCTCTCCACATCGTTGCCGAATAGACGGGATGCCGTTGACGGGATACCGTTGACGGGATGCCGCTGACTAACCCGTGAGGGTTACTCAATATAACTAGTCGGCCCCACTAAATACGAGGATTCATTCAGTACAAAGTATCAAGGCCTTAAATTTGATGCAGTTATGCAATTTTCCAGATATCCTCAACTTCGACTCATACGACGTTACCCCACCAAGCAGACACGATGGCGACTTTCACACACAAAGACGAAACCGTTCTCCGAGGAGCACAACGCACTGATTTCAACTTTGATGACTTGGATCACAAGAATATACCGCTAGAAGAGAAAGAATGGCCTGTCATCATCATCGGCTCGAGCATGGTTGGGATGACACTGAGCATCTTGCTAGGATACCACGGGTAAAGTTTAAAGAAAAGCTATGCTCAGATTTCGCACTGACAATGATTTTCAGAATAAAATCCATTTCATTTGACCGACATCCTTCTACAGCGACTCATCCCCGTGCGGCACTATTCCTGTTACGTACGATGGAGATATTCAGGCAATTAGGCCTGGATAATGAGATGGAGACAGAAAGCGCGTCCGACTTTGACTTGAACGCGGGAATGTTGATGGTTGACAAACTCATTGGAGGAAAGGTTCTCGCTAGAATGCAAGAAGCAGACCCAATTGAAACGGCAAAAATCACCCCATGCAAACGGCTTTGGTTAACTCAGAACATGTTCGAGCCCTTGCTACGTCGGGAGGCGTACCGTTTCGGCGGAGAACAAAGTTTCGGAACGCGCGTGGTGCACTATGAAGAGAAACAAGACGAAGTAATTGTGGTTTGCCAAGATATTGAGACGGAAAAGTACACGAAGTATAAGACAAAGTATCTGGTTGCCTGCGATGGGAACCGGAGCGCTACTCGGCGGAAGGAGGAAATTGAGTGGCATGGGCCGGGTATCTTCGGCAACAATCTTTCGATCAATTTCAAAGCTAACCTAACGCCTTTCCTCGGTTCCCGGGCTGTCCACGGTGTCACTTATGTGAACAACAAAGATGTATCTGCAGGATTTCGACTAGAAAATGGTGGAAAAAAAGGATTCATGATTGTCTCCAGGACTGGAGATAAGGAGGACTTTGAGCCTGACTCGATCACCGCAGGAGAGGCACGGCGTGCATTCTATGATGCTTCTGGTCTAGATGAAAGTTTTCCATTGGAACTTGAGTCAATTTCTTATTGGACTGTCGCGGCTCTTAACTCGGACAGATACTCCAGTACAAGTGGTCGGGTATTCCTTGCCGGTGATGCAGCGCACGTAATGCCCCCAACTGGAGGGATGGGTGGGAACACGGGTATCCAGGTAAGGCCCTCCAAAAAATCACAGTCTTCCTTCAAGCTGATACAGATCAGGATGCATACAATATTGCGTGGAAGTTGGCCTACGTGATCGATAAAAAGGCTTCGCCGACATTGCTGAAGTCCTACACAATTGAGCGACAACCTGCAGCGGAAGCAACCATGAAACAAGCATTTGCCCGATTAGCGAATCGGGTGCTCAGAGAGCAGAATATTGATCACGAGAAGGAATTGCCAGACGACACTTGTGAGCTTGGTTATCAGTACCCTGCGGGTGCCTTTGTTTTTGGAGGCACTTCCTCTCCTTCCTCGGTATGGGATGACCCACACAACCCCAATATCAGAATTGGGGGTAGGCTCCCGCATGTTGAGCTTTGTGATAAGTCTAGACCAGGAGTCAGCATCTCTACTTTGGATCTTATAAAAACCAACTTAGTCCTGTTGGTTGGTGGAGAACTGGCTTCCTGGCGGGAAGCCACATCTTCACAAACTGTCCAGGTTGACGTTTATGAAATTTCCGAGAATTCGAGTCCTGTTTCTGATCTGAATGGCAAGTTTACAGCAATTTCCCAGCTTGGGATTGGAGAAGGCCTCCTTGTCCGGCCGGATGGCTTAGTCGCTTGGAGAGGCAAAGAAGCTGAGAGACAAGGAAAACCTGCTACGCTCAAGGCCGTCCTTGAACATGTTCTTGGACTAAGCCATTAACAGCTGGAAGTATCAGCCGTCAGCTTTACAAATCTATATCTCAAACTCATCATTGTTTGTTCAATAATTTTCCTGCATATATTCTACATATTCAATAGGAAACAGGTTATCTTAACACCCATCTAACAAACGTTTTTTTTGTCTGCGAATCCTGTCATCATCGCCAAATGTCTTGCCAACATAGATTCACACATCTTGTCAGAACCTCTACATAAGGACAGTAGGCTTGAGAGTTTTGTGACATGAGCCTGTACTATATATATTAGGTCGGAATACGGTCCACTGCAGATACTCTCTTTCGAAAAGCCACACAGCCTTTTGTTTGCGCAACGAGACTGCCCTTTGGTCTAACCGATAATGGATCTGAACAGCATTATTTGACAAACTTCAATGGCAAAATTGCGGCTTTAGACATCTCAAACGGTGCATATAAATGACAAACCTGTGTGTATAAACGCCATTCATTGTTAGGAAGAGTACTTGTTGTCTAGAAAGGAAGCGATCTCAGTATCATTAGAAAATTGTCGTAGCCATGAAGAACAGTTGAAAGAGTTTCTCTGTGACATGTAGAAATCAACGTCTCTAAATCGGGTTTTTCCTTTATTGAGTTATTAATGAATGGACCAATGCTATATTGAGAGAATTCTCATGTCGAACCTTCTGTGCAAATGCGTCCCTATTTCCCCGCATTTACACCGTCTAGTATGAGGCGTCAGATGTAGAGCATATTCGAGGCTTGGGTGAAGATATGTTGTTTGGGAGTATAGGTCTGAGAACAGGCTCATAAGACTATCTGCTTTTGAATGTGTTAGTGCAGAATCTCCCGGTGCATATGGTAGTTTTAATGCTTTTGAATTTGCCAATCCGCCGACTACCCATGACGCGGAAACAGGAGGGATAGTCGGGAGAGAGAAGCTAAGCAGCAAGATTTTATACAATTTGACCGTCAATTGATGTTTTTTTCCATTTTTTCCCTCGTGGAATATCTTCGTAGTTAAGTGCCTCGGTTCTAAGTTTCGCTTATCTTGCTTTGCTTTGGAGAGGCTACGTCTATTTCGGTATTCATCGCGCGCAGCCCTTCCATTGCGAATCTATTCAGGCTTTTCTCTGTACAAAGTGAATTGCATTCTTTGTTGTTCTTCCTCGTATCAGACTTTCTGCTGAAAATCACATTCACAACATAGAAGAGGTTTGACTTGGATTGACGACCCGTCCAACTACAAGTTTGATCGCCAACGAGAATTGCATCACCAAATTGACCAAAGTGGCGTATATCAAGTACACATCCGGGACCATGTACATGTTATGTACCGAAAGCACTCCAAAATTCGAATAACAACAGTTATCAGATCATTAAGCCCATGCCGTTCCATTTCGCGGACCAGTAAGAAAAACATTGAACTGCTCGCCCTGAAGGTGATTATTGTAATATTGGAAGACATAACAAGTTGACCCTAAAGCTTCGGTTGGCTCTACCAAGTAGATATAGCCCTCTGACTTCTGTATTGCGTACCACTCATCCTGTGTTTCCTGCGAAGACTTCATGGAGTTCGGTATGAAGGCGGAGAAGGTTGCGTAGGGGTAAACTTTACCCGGGACGACGCCAATTGTCACGACTATGCCCAAAGTCTCGTCAATAACTGGCGTTCGGTAATTCAGATCCGTAGGACGATCGGACATCCAGTTACACGCTGCATTTTTGACAATCCAGCCAGCTTCAGTGAATTGGCAGTCGGAGGCGATATCGATAGTTGTATTATCGTTCGCATTGAAGCTTGCTGCAGCTATAGCTTCTAGCTGTGCCCGGCTCGCCTTCTGCCGATTAGATGGTGGGGATTGCCACCGCTTGTAGTTGCTCGCAAGATTCTCAGTATCTAAGGCGAAGCCGTCGTCGCCGCGGCCACGGTTAACGTAGAATTCGAACTCGGTTAACAACTGGTCTTCCACTTTGATTCGGCCCTGAAGCATGGATTGTGTCGTGTTGCTTCCTTCACTTATGGCGAGGGAGAAGAATGCCTGGCTCTGGGTGGTATCAATTGCTAGGAGGCTCGGAAGGCCTGCTTTGGTGACGGTACGCCAAAGAGCCATCATGTTCAGCGCTGCTGGATGCGTGTTTTCGGTGGCTTTGTAGACTTCTGCCAGCGGTAACCTGAATGGGTCTTTGGCCACCATGGAGTCCAGAATAGCGCTAACCATGGTTGTCATGCATTCCCGGGAGCACGTCGTTGCATTCGAGTTGGTTCTGCTGACCAACGTGTCCACTGTCCTTGCAGCCGCTGTGGCCACGAAGACTATGATTGCCAGTCCCTTCATCAACATATCTGCCTCTGGCTCAAGGCAAGAAAATTAATGTGGTAACAGAATGGTTTGCCGACAACTTTGATATCACTCCAAGTTACCAGCTTGTTGGGTACCACAAAATATGTGGAGAGTAATTTTCCCCGGCACCAACGCAGCTCTTAAATACTTGAACGGGTCAGAATATGTACCTTGGCCAAGTCAAGGAAGGTAGCGGCGTGGAGTCTTGGTAGTTACATCGGGACAAACCAATATTGGGCCACATCAGCTACTCGGCATTCCGTTAGCATACCAACATCACGACCAACGATTCAACCATATACACGGCCTACGAGAAACTGCTCAATGGGTTTGTTGAGCTTCGGCTTTGACCCCTTCTTGAGTTGAAGAACCCTTTGATCTGATCATTTCCATATCAAACAACCTCTCGATACTATACTGAACACACACACCTCCGTGATTAGATGTCTCTGATCTGGTATACTATTGGCATATATTGCACGCTTATAATTTTCGACCATTGTACAAAGATTCTACCTAACACCGTCTACTTCGAACGCGGAATATTGTCAAAATAGCGGATCCTTGTGATTACGGCATACAGAGAGTCTTCTTTCTGCTAGTTCACACGACACGTAACACAATTCGTATAGTCCTTCCTTACAAGCGTACTCAAGTCCCACTTCCGCTTATATCCGGCTCCACTTGCGGCTTTCCGGCGCGCTATATGAGCGATACTGTGGATTCATCGTGACCTGACAACCCCACAATCGCCTCAGAGCCCCGGAACTGTGTACGGAAGTCTTACCCCACTTCTTCTATTTGCATCCCCTCGGAATTTTATTCCAACCAGCGAAGTTTACTGCCTTAGAGCAAGTTTAATGATTATGTCTACTCCACATGACAATCAGATGGTGGAGCCGAGGATACAACCGAACTAATGCCGAAGATAAAGAAAAGCTATAATGTTTACGTTTCCGCCTACTTTACTCGATAAGACACTGATTTATGGTTGTTCTACAATAACCTTGTCCCTTTTCATCACAATCAACGTACGTTCTGTCGAATTCCAAGATGCATATTCCCAACCCACTTTTTCTGCTGCAGCTGTCATTATACCTTGCGGTAGTGGTACCTACTTCCGCCGCGGTGGTTGGCAGAGCATCAAACGACAACACCTCCCGGGAGTATTTGTCCAAGATTGTCACTCAAGTTCTCGATTCCATGGAGGCACACAACCCGCGCTCCCTGCCGTTAGCAACCGTATACAAAGCAACTGAGAATTCACACGCCGCGTCGCTTGCCATGATGACATCGTGGCGCACCATCGTCAAGGTCGAACAGCCTAGCTTGCTTGCACTTGACACCAAGCAAGGTTCGGCGTATTTTATCTCGGATATTAGTGAAGGCAACTCCAAAACGAAGGGAATCCTTCGAGGACGAGTCAAGGTGGTTGATGAACGCATTACCGAGCTAGAGTTGTTCATTAATCGGTCCCGTGGTGATGACGGCTATGCCTTCTCTGCTGAAGAACTGGCGGAGAATTATAAAATTCTAATGTCGCCACCGAAGAACCGGAAGAAGGCGAGCCGGGCAAAGCTGGAAGCTATCGGCGCAGCTGCTTGGGATTCGTCTAATAATCTTTCAGTCGCTGTTGGCGATGACTGCCAGTTTACTGAAGTAGGCTGGAGCATCATTGACACGGGAACTTACGGGAACGCGTCAACGAGCTCGCTGACTTGCAGTTGGGGCTCAACTAGACCCACTGATCCTAAGGCACGAACCAGACTGGTCATCGATGAAGAGCTGGGCTTTATCGTGACGAACGGTCTATGTCAGGGTAAAGTCTATCCCTACTACGGCGACATCTCTACTTTCATCCCGGACTCTATGTCGTCAAACCAGGAAGCGCAAGAAGTCTGGTTTGATGGAGTCAAAACACAAGCCAATTTAACGCTGGTTTCTCCAACTGAGGCTACTGGAGAGAACCTTGAAGTGCTCCAGTTCTACAACGATGAGCTCCAAGCCCTTCAGTTTAATGTTTTTCTCACCGGTCCGAATATGACATCCTCTTGGGTGTAGGAGGAGTTTGCCTGCCTAATCCAAAGATTTAGGGTGAATAATGCACCTCTATCAGTCAGTCTCCGCCATAACAACAATGATAGTTGCCTTGTGGCAGCCCTTTACCAGATACGTGTTGCTAGTATAGTAGACCAAATATTAAGCATGTTGAAAGCCCTGGCGATACAAACGGCATAAGTTAGTGTTGTATTTCATAAGATAGAACATGGCCACAACAAGAAAACCAATAAAGCTGAAGTCTTACAACATCTGTTGGATATGAATCAAGCCTGTTCCAGGAATGGTTTGCCGGAAAAAGACCAACGGGGTAAGACTTGCCAATTTCGTCATTTACCGCCTTAAATTTTTTTTTCATCTCATGTAAGAAATATAGTTCATGGGGAGTGAGAATAAATTAGGTCACAAATTGGGGGAACGGTGCTGTATGTTGTTTGATTTGTCAAAAGAAATCGCAATGATTCAGTATGAACTTCTCCCGCGGGTGCACGACCGGCTAGCCTAGCCCCTAGGTACGGCAAGCCGCTAAAGTAGCTTGGCATATAGCTCATCAGGTGACCAGGTGGTTTTTTTTTAAATCTACCTGGCTATATTATATGACTTTTTGGGCTTTTTACCAGTTATTACTAGTAATTATAGGTGAAATTTAGAGTTAATGCTAGTTACGTGATGATAAGAATAGTTAGGTAATATAACTAGGGGGTAATTTATTTTTTTTGACTATATTTTATTTATTTTCTAGGAATTACTACTAATTATAAGTAGTTTAGTACCCTTTTTCTTATTTAGGCTACTTAGTCTAGTACTAACTAATTACCTATAATCACTAGTAATTACTAGTAAGATAATATATAAGAATAATAGTCTCTTAGCTAAGCTTAGTAGGCTATTTAGAATCACTAGTAATTACTAGTAATTATAAGTAAATTAAAGTAATAATATATATATAATAAAGAACTTAAATCTATAAGAATATAAAGTATAATTAGAATATATATATACTAAGAATTAAGATAGAGTATTTATTAAAGTAGAGACTTATAAAAGAAATATATTTAAATCTATTTTTTCTAGTAATCACTAGTAATTATAAGTATTACTATATATAAACTTATAAGCCTAAGTTTAAAGTTATAAGTAAATCTAAGATAGCTATATATACTAATATCTACTAATACTATTAAAATATACTAATAATACTACTTATAAGTTAAATTACTTCCTTTTTCTCTTTATCTTCTTCTTTCTTTTTCTCTTATTCTTCCTTCTTTCCTTCTTTAAAAGCTTCTTAAATATACTAGAATATTATAAGTGTATTTACTATTTAATCTTATCTATTAAGAAGTCTACTTTTTAATCTATATCTATATTATTATTCTTTTCCTTATCTATAATATTATTATACTTATTATCTTTATTCTTAATATCTTTATTCTTATTCTCTATTAGGACTAATAAAGTTATAATAAGATTAATAGTCTTATATTAGATTAAGGGACCTAGTATTAGAGACTAAGATTAATTTATAATAGTCTATATTTTTAAGGCTATATCTAATAGTATCTTATTCTTCTTATTTAATTAAGTCTTTATAGTAAGCTTTAAGAAGGGCTTTAAAGAAGCCCTAAGGGACCTTATAATAGATATAGGAGTTATAGATATTACTAATAAGAACTAGAGATTATCCTAAATATTATTAGGTTATTTACTAGATATATTAATCTTTTTCTTACTCTTCTTTATAGGCTTTAGAGTTACTAATTTAATAAAAAGGTCGCTAAAAAGAGTATTATTATTATTAATATCCTTATACTTTCTATATTACTAATAGTAAGTTTAAGATACTAGTGTAATTACTACCTAGCTTAACTAAACTCTAGTATATATAAAAGCCTAAATATCTTAGATTAAATAAAGATCTATCTCCTTTATATTTCTAATAGCTATATTTAATCTAGTTTAAATTCTACTTTAATTAATTATAGTATAGACCTACTTAATAAGATTTATATAGCTATTAAATTTCTTCTAGATACTTTAGGGAATCTTAGAATAAAAGGGAGTAAGACTAGAAAGAATCTATAGCTACTTCTTATATCTTATCTAATTAGTAACCCTTAGTATTTTTAACTATAAGAGTAAATCTAGAGTTTATAAATAAGCTTTATATTTAATAATAGAGTTTATAATAGATTTTATTAATAGATAATCTAGTATATTATAAAACTTTATAAGGTTCTAATAAAAATAAACCTTATAGTATATAAAGATATACTAGATATAATCCTACTAAGTCTAAGAAGAAATAGTATTAATCTTAGTAAGATAGTAACTAAAGCTACTTATCTACTTTAGATATTAGTTAATATATACTAATTAAATTCTAATACTATTAATATATATTTACTAGACTAGCCTATCTATAATAATATAAATCTTTATAAATAGGACTTAGTAAAGCCTATAATATATCTTAATAGATTCCTTATTAATATAGATATAAATAAGTATAATCGCTAAGAAAGATTAGTATTAATAAGTTATTATTAGTAATCCTAAGAAAAAACTAACCTTTTCTAGTAATATCTTCTTTAGTAATAAATACTATCTTAAAGATTTTATCTATAACTCTTTTAAAGATTATATCTATCTTAAATACCTTATATATTACTTAGTACTTAGCTTATTAAGCTATAAAATATATAATATATATATTAATACTATTATTATATATTTCCTAGATATATTATTTATTTAGAGTAGTCTACTCTTAAAGATACTTAAGATAGTATATTAGATATTATTAGTTATAACTCTAATATATATTAAAAGAAGTAAGACTAACTAGTAAAGCCTTAATTAATTAGGTTTATAAGAACTTATTACTTTCTAATTAGGGCCTATATTATATTCTAATATATTAGTGAAGTATATATCTCTAATATTAAGGTCTACCTATCTAATATAAGAAGCGCTTTTATAGGATTACTTCTTAGGAACTTAGCTATACTATTATTAGTACTATCTAGTATTATATCTAGGAGCTAAAACTTACTAATAGTAAGGATAGATAGATCTATACTTATAATTAATATCTCTAGATACTCTTTAATATTATAGGGTATTTTACTTATAGGAGATAGTAGATATATATATATTCCTTTAGAAATATAGATAATAAAGGGGCACTACTTTAGGTCTTTTAGGATTACTATTAAGATATAGACCTAATAGCTATAATATTTAATAGTATTATTACTCTAATATATAGCTAATAAAGATAAAATATTAGTAGAGATTAATATATATATTATAAGTAGTACTAGTAGTATAGATAATATATAATAATATTTCTATTTTAATATAGCTAATAGAATAGTAATATAGTCTATAGTCTAACTATCTAATAGTAGACTACTAAAGGAGAAAAGATATAGGAGATAGGTATAGTTAACTCTACTTAGAAATAGAATATTTCTCTAGTAGTACTTTAGGGTTTAGCCTAGTAATAATCTCTAGTAGTTATATCTAATCTACTATAATCCCTAGATAATATTATTAGTATAATAGATATAACTAGAGAGTAGGATAGCCTATACTTTATAGTATTTTAAGTATTATCTATATATTAGGATATCTCTAATTATATAACGCCTTATAGATAGCCCTTTAGTCTTAATAGAAGATATAAGTAATATACTACTAGTAATTATATCTAATAGCTTTATTCTAAGACGCTTTAACTACCTCTTATAGTTAGCTATACTATAATAAAAGTTCCTCTATAATCTCTATATAGTTAAAGCCTTTAAGGATTATTAGTAAGATATACTTATAAGCTTAGATCCTAGAGTATCGCTTCTAAATATAAATATAAGATATATTAAGAAAGATTAGTAAGTTCTTTATTTATTATTATCTATTACTATTATAATATCTAAATCTATAATAAATATCTATAAATACTATCTTTTAAATATTATTAGTATCTAATAGATACTTAATATTTATAATATAGATAACCCCCTCTAGATATATCTTAGGGTACTTAGGGATAGATTAGATATATTTAATAAATTTAATAGTATAAAGATTATATAGGAGTAGTTTATAAACTATTTTAAAGCTAATAGGGTATTCCTCTATAATAGAATAAGAGTTAATAGTTATAAGGGGAGGATTTAATATTAATATATTAAGTATATTTATTATATTAGCTTATAGTATATAAGGGTTAGTTTCCTCTAATAATACTAGTATATATTTAAGTTATTACTAAAGTTTATTTAGGATAAAAGGGTTAAGATCCTAGTTATTAATATCTTACTTTATATTAATAGCGAGAGATTTTTATAAGAAAAAGGCTTAGCTTAGATTAAGGGAGAATAATTATAAGAGGGGATTAATAGGGGGTAAGATATATAAGAAAGAAGAAGTAGCTACTAAAAGAATTAAGTTTTTAATATTAGTATTAGATAAAAGCTATTAATAATCCCTAATTACTAGTAGCGCTAGTTAAGAAGTAAAGTAACTAATCTTTTAGAATTATAATATAAATATTATTTTCTCTCTTCTTCTTCTTCTTTCTCCTATATCTCTCTATTTATTACTCTCTTTTACTATCTTACTACTTCTATATATTCTACTCTAGTATACTTAGGAAGTAAAGCTATTATAAAGCTCTCTATACTAATAATTATACTTAAATAGAATATTACTATATTATTACTATCCCCTAATCTATTATTATCTCCTAACGTGTTATATCTAACTAAGAATCTATTATCCCTATCTCCTATTCTATTATAAATAGATAAGACTATTTTATACTATCCTTAAGACTAATACCTAGTTTATTTTACCCCTTATCTCTTATCTCTATACTAAAGGGAAGCTAATTAGATATAAGATATACTAATCCTCTTATAGATTAAGAACTAATTCTCCCCCTTCTTTTAATAGGAGGATATCCCTATTAAATAGACTCTAATAAGAGATTAGCT